CGTCCATAGGTACAGTGGTAGGGGTATCACATTCTTCACAACCACAAACAGGATTAAAAACAATCTAGCTACTCCCATACCCAGAGATGCTCACCTGGAGCTCGCACGATTCCAATAGTAGGAACGCCGGCCAGGCGGAGGTCTAGCAACGACGAAATTTAGGGGCAGTGGACGCAGTGAGCATTGAGATCGGACTCACCCGCACCCATAGTTGAACCAGACGGGGGGGGGAACGCACCCTCAGAGGAGTCGTAGTTCACGAAGGACGCCTCTGCAACCCCGACCAGACCGTGTGGGTAAGCCTAGACGGCCGCGACAATGAAAGACAATATCTACGATGATCACGACGGATCCCCTCAACGAGGTCGGCACGATCCTCTTCAAGGGCTGCCCTCGTCTTGCATGACCGTTCGTGGTTCTTGATCCCGCTTGGAGCGTACTTCTTGCCGCATATCGAGCACGGGAGGTAAGAGTCAAGGGGAGCGCGAGGGCGACCTCTCCCGCGCGATGACATAAGCTAGTTGAGGTGCTAAACACACCATCCTGAGCGAGGGTGAATAGAGAGAACGCACCGACTTCAAAGTATAAGGAAGGGTACAGCAGAGAAGGAGAGGGGAGGAGTGAGGAAAGAGGAGGGGCCAAGAGCTATCGCAACAGCATCCAGATCTCGCGATATCATCGCAAGATCTGCCGCCCGTCTCGCAACATACCGCAAGACGCTCAAGGGATTGCGATGCCGCTGTCACATCACGGGAGGCATTGCAATCTAATCACAAGGCGGCTACGAGAATCTCGGCTCGCGAGGCCGATTTGAGTTTTCCGACATGCCATACGGCGCGGGCTCAACTGCAAATACGAACCGTGCTCGGTCTTGGACAGCTTTCGTCTCCTTCGTTCTCTAGGCACGCACGGTCACTTCTGAGATGAACGCGATGCGTTACTTATCCAGCCCCGCTATACATACATGCCGCCATCAGTCTGATTCAGCAGGAACCACGTCGCCTTCGTTCCGACCAAAGTGCACTCCACCACCCCAATCCGCCCATACCACCCTCGACCCATCGCGCGACACCACCACCGTGCTCACGTGTTTGGAGTCCAGCGTCGGCAGGAGACGGTAGAGGCACCCGTTGTGCGTGCTCCAAAACCACGATCGACGGTATTTTGCGTCCTCTTGGCCCACGTCTCGGTAGGTGCCGTTCTCCACGAAGATCCGCACCGGGAAGTCGCCTTCGACGATATCTGAAAGAAAACCTCCGGTCCGTGTCTCCACGACGCAGCACGACCATGTGGTCTCAGACGGCTCGGCGTCCGCGACGCACAAGGCGCGCTCCCCGTCCTCGGATAGGGCTATCACCCCGAACCCTGCATCAGGAAAAACCCAAATCTATAATGAGACGTTACTGAGGCTTATAAGGGCTAATGAGCCCGATTATTGCGTTATTCAGAAGTATTATTATTCGCTTACCCATTTGCTAATGAGAGACCATTACACGGAGAAGGAAATATTAGTCGCAAGAGCAGGCTCTCACCACGTGCATTTAGTCTCACTCATGTCCATAGATCGCTGCTTCAAGCACTGGATATCGAGTAGTAGCACTAATCACACATAGAATATAGCGCAATCACGGATGAGCATTGATTCAATATCTGACATCCAGACTAGACCAGTACCTAGCTACAGCGATATAGAAGTCCATATCAATGAGCGATGATGATGCAATGCAAACGGTGCCGTAGGTGCGCGCGTAGAGACGGGGAAGTGCACGACCGAGAATGCGTGCACGGGGAGGGATGAATACCAAGACGAAGAAGCCGTGTACTAACGAGGGTGGGGCTGGGTCCGGCGCGTGCGCGCGAGCGGCAGAGCGCGGACGCCGCATCCCGAAGCACATGTGGAACAGGTGCTGGCGCACATGGTCTTGTTGGTGCTTTTCGCCGAGCGTGTGGGCCTCCTTCGTGAGGTCGCCAGTTGGGTGCGCACGCGAATAGTGTGCACGCCGCTCGTTTTAGAGACGACCACTCGCGCCCACCGCTGCCGCGACCAGCGCAAGGGCGGCCCTCTCAAGCCTTTCGCACACCGTCTGACGGCGCACGAACCGGCCCTCCCCTTGTCTGCGTTTGGACCTGCTCCCGCGCCTGCGCCTGGGACAGCAGCGGGCGGGCCGTCGACCTTGGAGACGACGAACGTGCCCTCGAGCGGGACCGTGTGCGCTCACGCTCGCTGACGACGTACCCGCGGGAGACGGTGGGGAGGATGCTGCTGTCAACGTGACCCCTGGCGGGACGTGGATGTGAATGACGATGACGATGACGTCCTGGGGGCGGACGCGGCCGTGGAGCGCGCACTCGCGCCAGGCCAGCGCGTATCACGCGGGGTTCTGTGCGTGCGTGAGGGCATGTATAGGGGAGAAAACGGATCAGCAAGCAGAGCGGACGGGGTGAAGTATGCTACCTCACCGGTGACATAGATGTTTGTGATCCCAGACCACATCCGCTTGATGACCATGACCAGGTCCGTCAGGCTCGCCGCGTGAGTCGTCCGGGTCGTGCTTTTCGTCAGCCTTGTTCGAGACAGAAACCGGCGGGGGGCACACCGTGACCGTCGCGCCTCAATCCATCCGTCGCACTCTTCAAATACAGTGCGAGCCCTTCCCTTCTGGGCATTTGCCGGGCACGAAATGACCGCAAGACGAGAGCGGACACACGCCGCTGGCTGCGCTCCCCAGATGCAGCGGCGGTACATCGCGGTGAAAAGGGGCACGGGCGGGAGGTTGCGACAGGGGCACTCACTGATTCCCAAGATAGACGGATGGTCCGCCGCGGTCGAAGACTCGTTGGCCTCGGGCAGAGAGGTGGACGTCAACGGTAGCGCGAATGAGACCAACCTGGCAGATTAGTAACTTAAGGGAGCTTGCGGAAGCGCGAGACATACCTGCGGGGTGCGCGCGGCGGCGAAGGAAGAGCTCTGGGACTCATTGTCGTCCTCAAGGCCGTGGAGGAAAAGGAAGAGGGTGCGACCCAGGGCGTGGCTGATGAGGTGGGCAAGGTGGAGGTCCGAGAACTGGGAATTCAGCGGAGAAAACGACGGGGAGTTTGACGGAGGAGGATGGAGGAGGCGGCGGCGGAGGCGGAGGCGGAGATGTCGATGATGGTCCGTGGAGACAGCTGGAGCCCGGCACCGAGCGGGGACGCGCGTCGCGCGTTGGGAATAGGCGCTAGTGTGGCCGACGGTGACCGGTGACCCTTGGTGACCGCGTCCCGTGATCGCGTCCTCAACGCGTTCATGAGTGGGCGATACGCTGTCCAAACTCCCGTCCAGTCTCCCCTATGCAACGCCCTCTTTTTCTGGTTCTCGCTTCCTCAGCGCTCCCTGCCGCATCTCGTTCCCAGCATACCACTATTCCTGTCCATCAAGCCTCCCCGCATTTGCGTACTTCGACTGCCACAACCACCATCTGGCTTCGTCCCAGGCCCCCTCCGCCCCCCCGCTCGAGCTTGCACCAAGTGGCCGTGAGTTGCCTTGCAGCCTTCATCGCCTACGCACGTAACGCACTCCATCAAACGCGACTGCACACCTCCGTCAGTCTCCCTCTACCTCCTTCGACGACCAAATTCCTGCTTCCCCGCGCCTGAGGGTCGTCAGTTCATCGGCCGTCTGCGACAACACCTATTCCAATACATAGTGGACGATCGCCGGCCAAGGCATGTTCGCGCTTCACGAGACCAACCAGATGGAGCGGTAAATGCGCTCCTACCTAGTGCACCACTCCTTACATCATCACGTCTGCGTCAGCCTGCGCTCACAAACAAGACGCAGCAACCGCTCTCCACTTCGCCGCCAAAGCCCATCTTCCCTCCCGCCACCATCCACGCTGGTGCCCCGCTGTATAGTGCGAGCTCCTCGCGTAGCTTGTACAGCACGCGGCACACCCGGCACCTCCGACACCCCGGAGTCGTCGATGTCGACGTCGCATCCCCCGCGTCGAGCAAATCCCCATCGACCCCGTTCGGCTCCCATGTTTATTTCCCTCGAGGTTCTCTACCACCAGATGCTGGGTGCGAAGATCAAGAGCGATGTGGTCATCGACTCGCGGGTGCACCTGGGTGAGTGCGAGTTCCTGACGCTCCACAACAGCTGCTGAATATCGTCAATGCGCTCGTGTGCGGCTTCTTCGGGGGGTGCGATGGCTGCTTCCCCCTCAATCCGATCGTCGTCAGCGCTTTAGCCGTGATGGCACGTTCAACACTTATACCCAGCTCGCCCCGGGCGCAGTCATTCCTGACGGCGCGACGTACGGCCCGCACGTGTCCTCGCACGACGACCCGTCGCCCGACCTCCACGTGCAGTACAGCGGCGCGGCGCCCTCACTGAGCATTTCCGCACCAACTGTATACGCCCAACACGCGCCGCACATGCACTCCGCGAGCAACGCTGTGATCACTGCGCCCGACTCACTCACGCGCGGTTGGATCCACACCAGCAGGTCTACTCGTCGGGCTGCAATGCTCCCGTCTCACCCACCGCGCCCAGCCCGTGATCGCATTTGTCGCACAAGGCAAGGTTGTCGTAGTACTTAGAACATGAAGCAATAACAGTTTAATGAATGATCTATCTATGCGTGCTGATGTGTGGGCCGCTGAACAGTGGGGGATCATTGTATACTGGCCGGGATCCAGTCGAAAGTATCATAACTGGCTAACTGCATGTACAGATATCCACTACACCCACTCAAACATGTCAAATTATACCTCATCCACCCCATTAGGGAGGCAATAGTTCAACGTAGTGTCTAAAAACTGCGGTGAGTTGGAACAGCGGCAGTATTTTCGCGTATAGGGGCTTACCAATATTTTACCTCTCAATAGGGATTTGGGTTTTTCCTGATGTGCTAGAAGGACCCGCTTGTATGCCGCGAGCGGAGTTCCCGCGGGTTCATCGTCCGCCCCGGAGTCGACTAGGAGCGTGCCGTTAGTGGTCACGGCGAGGACGGCGGGTGTGCCGCAGCCTTCCTCACGCCGCAGAACGGCTTGGAAAATCTCGGCGTAGTGTCCAGGGAGGCCTTCGACGTCCGCACCAAACCGCGGCTGGTATTTTGCAGAGCTCAGATCCCAAGCCTCGACGTATTCACTAGCCATGTTACAAAGGACCTCGACCAGAGCATAGAGGCGGCCGTTGGAAATGTGCACCGATAGCCTGGCGTGTGGATCAGATTTGTCTTCAGTCATGCGGCAAGGGCGTTTGAAATGGAGGTGTTTCGTGTTCTCCGGGTCAACCACGAAAATGTCTCCACCACGCATCAAAGTGAGGATGTATGCGCCGTCCGGAGACCAAGCAGAGGCTAGGATGTCGTCACCCATATCCACAACCGACCTCTCTCGCAGCGGTCGGTTGTAGCCGATCGGCACTTCGTCTGCGTGGGGTAGATCGCAGATGTGGAGATGTTTTCCGAGGGGAAAGATCAGAACTGTGCCAGAGGGGGAGAATACCGGCGAGCTTTGATGATCCTCTGGTCGATTGGGAAGATCTTCATCCACATCATGCCACCGTTCAAGCACGGGAGGACCCCCGGTTCTAGCGTCCCAGACCATCGTCGATATTCCATAGCGAATATCGATATCTAGAGTCGATACTGATTTGCTGGCTGCCCAGCTTCCATCTGGAGAGACGGCGAGGCAATCAACGCAATCAGGATGACCATATGATGCTGGTGCGATGGTTGCTGAAATAGAAAGTGACGGAGTCAGAGACAGGAAAAGGATCACATTTGCAGAATATGGCGCACCATAGTTCTCAAATACTATATGGAGAAGGTCCTGTTCGTGCAGAGGAGACAATAGGCGCTGCAGCCACATTCGGAACCGATCACGGAGGTTCATGGTCGAGTTTTTGATGATGAAAGTGATACCGAAGTTCCCGTTCGAGTATTTCGCGTGATTTTGCACAAGCCGTGAAAGGTCAAGGGAAGTATCCACAGCGTATTTCTGGTCGATGTCGAAGTGAAATAAGTATGCGAAATCGCTGTCTAGAATGATCTGCAGAGAACACAGAGATTTTGGAAAGTCTCCACCCTTGATGATCAGAACGTTGAGCCCTAGCTCTTCCCGAAGCTGCGTTTCTCGGAGTGAACACATGAGCCCATATGCGGTTAACTCCAGGGAAATACAACTAATGTTGGAGAATCCCGTTAGGCGGACGGCTGTAAAGAATACATTCAGCTGAAAGCTCCCTCATCTCTCAGGCACTGCAAAAGTACCTGGAGTAGTCAACCACTTAGACGTATTTACGATGGAAATCTTCTCACCGCGCGAAATCCATTCTGAGTACTGTCTTCTTATCTTCGTAACACATCAAGTTAGCTCGCACTCAGATGTCTGGATATAATTATCTCACCACAAAATTCTTCAAGCTGGGCTGTTTACCAGGGACGAAACTCCAATCGTGCACTGGTCTATTGTCGATGTCGTGGAACTCGGATAGCTCAAGTGTATCGAGGGCAGGCAGGGCGCGGAAAATCCGACGGACGTGATGGTGAGTGGGAAAGATTTGGTAGTAAACCATGAGTGTTTTGAGTGCGGTATAGTGCTGGAGACGAGAGAACACAGCGCTCGGGAAACGGATGCCGTCGTATTTCGAGTACATTTCTAGACTCGTGATGCGGGATCCGATGAAGGGGAAAAGAAATGCGAGCGCCGTGTGGGGAAAGTCGTCGGGGTCTTCGTCCTCGAGCCGGACGGCATGTATGAACCGACTCAACTGAGGAGAGTGCTCAAGCGCTGTACGAACGGAATCGAGGCCGTTCTTGCCATGGATGGTGACTTTGTGCCAGAGATTGAAGGTTGCCCTCGGAACCCAGGAGTGGCACACACGAGCGCAGGTGGAGAGCGTACGGACATCTTCCTGGATGCCGAGGTCATCGAGGACCCTCTCAGCGACTTCGGTTGGTACCGGTCGAGATCTCATCGAGGACGGTGGAAGTCGATGGGGATATACAGATGGAGAAGACATTCTGAGTTGCTGTGTGTGCCGCGAGAGAGAGGGGGGAAAGGCGTGGTGGGATATGCCATCGGATAGCAATGGCAAAGCAGCGCGACACCTGGGTCACGTTACATCCACGTTCCCGCCGAACCTAGGAGTCCCGGTCCGATTGATCCCGCTCTTCAACAAATACCTTCCCGACCCGGAAATTTCTACCGCAGACTCCGGCAGAAAGACATCTGGCTGTAGCTACGTTGTGATCTTTGCACAAAGTCTCCGATCTGGCGCCGAATTGCTCGGTAAGTTATGAACAAGTACCCCAAGGCGTATGTATTCATGTACCGACGCCCCACCCTCGAGCCTCGAGCCCGCTGTGATCGGCGTTGGTGAACGGGGTGGACGACGGAGCCAGGACAAAGGTCGGCGCTTTCCCGGAACCTCGCGATCTTGGTCCGTCGCCGCCTCCACATCAAGTGCACGGACGCAGCGCCGGCCCAGAGGTTATGCTGTTGGCACGTAGTTAGTACCCTACACAGCGCGCGGACTCGGAAACGACGTCACATACCCTCCAGTGTACTGCGCCGACAGCGACGTTCGACGCGCTCGACGCGCAGTCGCAGCCAGGGCGGGCTCAGGAGGCACTGACCCGGGTGCAGCTCCCTGGAGGAGCGGTAGGAATGAACTTTCAGTGAGCGTCGGAACGCGAGAACGACAGGAAGGCTACCAACCCAGGATCGACAATGTATGCCGCGGTGCCCTCCAAATGCCTGTCACCAGCGCAGACTGGCTACTGGCGAAGTGAAGAGATAGAGCCTGGCCCAGCAGAGACGCCACGAGCGAGTTCGATCGTCCCTAGCTATCCCTCACTGACAAGCCTCGCGCGACGCCAAGGATGGGTGCGGGAGAGTGTGGGGGTAGGTGGTGCATTGCGGAGGAAAATCCAAAAAAAGGAAGTCCTGGGTAGAAGTGGAACGTGTCAGCCATGATTTTAAGCGAAAGCAAAGTACAGCGCGGGGTGGACTGATAGGATAGAGGCGCAAACGCAGAAAAGAAGAAGTGAGCCATACCTTGCTGGTAGCCTTCTGCCAGTACGGGCACCGTAATCCACGCCGTCGAAGGGAAGCTTGCTGACGGAGAGCCGTCGAGATCCAGACAGAGCTTATTCGGCATTCGGCCGCACCAGAAATGCATGGGAAGGGAGCGTGGCGTATGCGGGACAGAGGCTAAGGCCCAAGAACGACGAGGCGACCGTGGAGAAGGTCCTGGGCTGTCCTGGGGCCGCAAGTCCACGCCCGGCCGCGCGAGCTCGCGATTGATGGCGCTTACATAATCAGCCCAAGGCATCCGGCGGCTTGTGGGGCCATCAGCTTGTCTCGTTATTGACTGCTCTACTGCTCAACTACTGTCGTCTGACGATTGAAAGACAAATTTTGTCGTACATGCAGTCTGGTAAGTCGCATTCAACGCCAGTAATAAGTATCAGTTTTTGACTGATCCGGGCCGCCCGCCCGATAGAGACACGTCAACAACTGCGGTCGCATCTAGAACCATGGACACGACTTCTTCCTATCCCGTACGTGATTCTGTAATTCCGTGCCCTTGCAAATATCAAGGATATCCTCAGTGCTACAGCGCCTAGATTCTCATCCCCCTCGGACATCCCGATCATGTCACTTCACGCAACCCTCTCCAATCAGCACGATCACGAACCATCCTGGGCCGTAGAGTCCTGTGAATTGGCCGGCCCAGCATACAACCACCTCCCTCACAACCTTGCGTAGCCGTGGACAATCCGACCCAGCGCGTTGCATCCCATACCCACTCTCACGTCTCACGTCCACATGGATTTATAGGTCTCAGAATGTGCAACAACTTGAACGCACCGCTGGCACATTCTAACTAATATCCTTTCTGCTCTCATAAGCGTGACGTGTTTTCAAGATGACGTGTGCCAACTTCTCGGCATTATGATGGGTCTCCGGCGTTGTACATAAGTACTCGTGGCTGCCAGGCTCAAGTCCCGAGCTTGACAAACGTGGGCAGCACGGCGACGGACTCCAAACTAAGTGAGCGCCCCCTGCCGTTCTTGGGCGTGTTCTAACACCGCCGCCCAGCATCAAGCCTTGGAAACCAGATCCCGAGACGGTACGCACGACTCAGAAGCGGCTTCCCTGGAATGCTTCCGGGCATGCACTGATGGGTGATCTCGAGTGAGGACCAAACAGACTGCTGAATGTGCCCAAGGCAGATGGCCATCCCATGGCCGCGTTCTGAATGACAACCATGGAAGGAGATTCCGGTACAGCGCCTAAGGCCCTACCAGTCCTTGGGCCATGCTTTGTTCCCGAGGTTTTCGAGGTGGCACCGAGTTTCAAGACGCGGTTTGTCATGTTGCCCGTCGCGGCTAACACGGAGCATTTACTCGTAACAGACGCCAACCCAATCGCGCAACGAAGAACCCCACAGCTCCATAACCACGACGCCCAGCTTCCGTCGTTCACCAAAACCGTGACGAGCCGCGAGGTACGGTAGGTCGCGTCAAGCCCGCCCTCTCGAGCGGCGAAGTGCCCCCACATTCGGACCCGCGCTGCTGTGCCTCCGGAGCGATTAGCTTCGGGGAGTGCAGTGTCGCTTCGCAGTCGCGCGAACGGATGTGACGCGTGCGCGCCCGGAGGCATTTCCATCCGAGGCTGCTGCCAAACACACCGATGGCGGGACGTCTCCACGCACAGCGCACGGACGACTGGCCTTACATCCACGCATCAGAGTCGCCCTGGGACGTACAAATACCTCTCTCGACAGACCCCGCTCACCAGACCCGGATCTTTCAACGTCTTCGAGCTCTCTGCTCTCGTGCTCTCGAAACCTCCTCTCGCCATCCGCTGTCGCTCTCCCCCTCGTCGCCGTTTTCGTGTACCCCGCTCGCACACTCTCCTCGACCCTCGGAAATGTTCGCCGCCACCCGCTCCGTGGTGTTCGTTGCACTGTTCGGCGCCCTCGCCCTCGCGGCCGCCGTGAAGCGCGTCGACGTCGCGCGCGGCACGTGCTACGACGCCGGGGATAACGCTTGCGGCTTGACGGACTCCAACACCGACCACGGCATCGCTTTCAGTCGCGAGGTGAGCCGCGCATGGCTGCCTCAAACGCTTCATATACTCATTCGGTCTGTAGTTCGAGAACGACAGCGTCAGCACCGACGACAGCAACAACGGCTGGTCGGGTTTTGACGGGGAGGGTCAGAACAACGGCAAGCGGGTGCAGGCGAGGATCGATAAGGTAGGATGGAGTCCTGCTGTTCTCCGTGCCTGGAACCTCTCCTGAAGATACTCGCGCCCAGTGCCTCGGCTGCATGTATCTTCCGAGTGACGAGGACGACCACTTGGTTCCCCAGGAGATTGGAGGTCCGTAATCCTCGTACCTGTGGACCTTGGCGTTCTGCTACAATTCTGTCGTCGCGGGACGATAATGTTAAACGACTGGAACTAAGTCTCAGTATTTGACCGCGGAGTAATGGGGAGGAGCAGCGGTGCGCCCAGGTTGGTATTCAACAGCACTTATGTGTGACCTGATCGTCTGCCATTCTTGCCACGAATTTCGGGAGCGGCCGGCGAGGGACAAGCGGTCAAAATGACCAACCAGATATGGACGGTACACTACGCGTTAAAACAGCCGGAACCGCCTCTGTGCGTGAGAGTTCCGGGGACCCGGAGTGGCGTGCCAGAAGTTGTTGGACACGGGAATTTTCAGTCGACGGGCCTTCTCAGCGCGGCGAGCATTGGGCAAAAACGGCTAATATCAGGAAACGATGTGGAGGTGAGTATGCAAGGCCCGGGAGAAACCAAGAAACAGTCTGAGCTATGGCTTTCTAGCTGAAAAGAAACTAAGAAGCATAACGAATACTGGGGGTAGGCACATGAAGTAAAAACTGCAGTGCGAGCCTTAATCTTACGTGAGTATGTCCTCTCAATGCTGAATGATTGTAAGCCTACGCACCAGCCTTTCAAGGGCACTTGGCACAGTGGTAGCGCGCACGCTTCGCATGCGTGAGGTCCAGAGTTCAATCCTCTGAGTGTCCATTTTTCCTACCAACGGGAGCACGCGTTCCGTTTAGCTGGGCACCGACCCGAAATTCCGTAGGCTGAATGCCCTTCATTTCATGGTCCGTACTACTCCGTGGTCCCTCCAGAGTCTCCGAAACTAGAGTCACGAATAGGTCGCTGCACAGCGCAGTTCCACGGACTCAAGTGGAGCGTGCTCTGACTGTGAGCCTAGATTCAGCGTCACCACGTTAGGACTGAACGGGTGAGACGATGCGCAGGACCTGTACACTGTGCTAGTGATTCTGAACTCCGATCCTAGTATACCGTGGAACACGCATAGCGAGTTTTCACAATCTCGGTTTGGGAGCCGGTATCATCTTGTTGTGCACCGCGCTGACGCACAGACGTTTGTTCGTCATATCCCATATCTTCAGAACATTGTCAGCGACCGTACTACGACTTGGGCACATACCAGTGGACACACCTCAGTCAGAGTTGACACTGTTCGTGAACCAAATGACTTCGTAAAGTTGACGATGTGCAACGTGGCACCCCTTATAACGGTGCGGAGGAACGCGTCAAAGCAGAGAAGTTGACTAGCTGAAGGGATGCACCTACAGTGGCGCAGGTGCGTGGAAGGTCGCATTTATGGCTTGCGATACTGACAGGTCCCATGTTGTTTATCGAGATGCACAGCGAGCGCACCGAGCGCCGCAGCGGAACACCTAGTTGTACGCGTATCAGCCGGCTCCCAGCGGCACAAGGACAGAGCCCGAGACGCACGCGTCCACGAGGAAGACGGCACATCCACCGTGCATCGTGTTGAGACCGTTTGTCATTTCTGGATTGGTAGGGCGCCAGCCGGTGGCCGTCAGACTTCCGTGAGTGCATTAGAGCGTGAAGCAGTCTTACCTAGGGTGACCACGATCTCACAGGTAAGTTTCGCCTGCGTCTTCCCGTCGGTCTTGTGGACGTAAAGCTCAAGTTCCTTGATGAGGACGTTCTTGGCGACGTCGCCGCGAAGGGTATGCCCATCTGGCCGACTTTGACAAGGTAGGCGCGAACGGTTGCTTGCTCTGCAGGGAGCTGAAGGCGTCTCCCTTGACGACGAGCCATCAGTGGCATGGTCCTAATAGAGAGAACGGGAGGGAGGGAGGGAACGCGGTCACTGGGAACCTTAAAAGACAGCTCTGATAGTTATACAGGCGCGAACCAGAATCGGATATCGGGGACTGCCGGTCGGGCGTCGGCGCACATTCACAGCCCGGTCTGGCGCGGAGCGCGATGTCGAGCAGAAGCGGTTCGACGGAATCACGGGTGTGCGAGAAGCATGCTAGTGTTCAGAGGCGCGGGAACTTCGACGCGAGACACGTCAACGCGACCACGTGATTTGAGACGGATGTCACATGTGGCCCCAAACTGGAGGCCACAAGTTCGAATCTCCCGAGCACGCTTATTTCCGCCCCTGCTACATACTACACATACCGAACGAATGCATGTAAACTGTGACGAATCATCATCCACTCATTCGTCTCCTCCGTCTTCTCCGCGCCCCAGTGCAAGTGAGCCTTCAAAGCGGGGTACAAGTTTGTACGGAAACTCTCCGAACTTGCTGGATAGCGCGAACACGCGTGAGCAAGCCGCAAATTCTGATGCATTCTGGAGTTTCTTACAGCGTCAGACCGTCCGAGACGGGCGGGGATTCTCCGGTTTCGGGACGCCGTCCTGCGAGGTGATGTTGTATACGGCGAGGATCGCACTGAGGGGGTCCACAACGCGGCGTCTGCGTAGTATTGCCTGGGCAGATGCTATCGCCGTAATCTGAGACAGGGATTCAATGACATGAAGGCGGTATGCTCACCGGCGGCCAAAGCCAAACACGATCCTCTTCACCACTGCATGCGGTCGTTCGCAATCTCTGCAGTGGTATCGTCCAGTCCGGGATGTAGCGTTCCGGAATGAATGAATCCGGACGGGGGAAGCGGTCTTCCTCGCGCGTCATAGCCCTGAGAGCAGCCAGAGTCATTTCAGTCACGCACAGGGCGGTCAGGAATATTGCGTACCAGACGTTCGCCACGATGGTGGTGTTCTTCGGGAGTGTGTAGCCTTCGAACTCCTCTTCAGTGCTGATGTACCGAGATGCTACGTGCAATGTATCAGCGAACACTTCAATTGGATTGTCGCATAGCGACGTACTCAACGGAATCGGGGGAACCCATCGCAAGACCTCAGTCACGACAGCCTCCAGATACGGAAGGGATTCACGATCACGAGTGTTCGGCAGACGGCCCGGCCAACGACCGCGTCTATCTCGTCTTGGGCCTTACGCTGCGCCTCGGGGTTGGCCAACATGGCCATCAAGAGGGTAGAGCACAGGGAGATCATCTACGACAATGGCGTCTGGTATCATGGCTTTCAAAGGGAGAGGCACTTACAGCAGGGTACCCGCCAGCCATCACAGAGAGAGCCGCGTACTGGGCGATATTTCTGTCGTACGGCGTCTTGCACGTCTGCATCATGTCAACAAGGAATGACTTCTCGGGGGCGTCTGAAGCCTGCTCGCCCCGGATCAACGACTCAACTCGCCGAGGGAGGCAGTAGAAGCACTGTACGCACCAGCTCTTTCGACACGTGCTGCTCCGACCATCGGAAAAGCGTGCGGATCTCCTGCCGGTAGCACGACACAATGCGCGAGACTTCGCTCCCCGCCAACCACGTGGGGACGTACTTGACTGCGCAGAATGGGTGAGCGCAGTCCCGAGCTTCGCGCTGGCACGACGAAACGACGCACATATAGGGAACATCTCTATCCACGCCGTGTTCGAGGACCCGATCAGCCCCGCCGCGTTGTCGCCGATCTTCACGGACAGCAGCATAAGCGCGTCGTCCTCGTCCACCGCCGCGTAGCCGATCGCCCACTTGAGCACCATACGCACGAACGCGCTTGAACCACGAGTCAGCCGGGGCTCGCAACAGTGGCGCGCGCGAAACGAAGTGCGCGACTCACAGGTGGATGCGCCACTCGACCCTTTCTGGGTCGCGCGCGGCGCGCGAGGTCGAGGACGAGCTTGCGCGCCGTTTCCTCGAACACGGGAAGGAGGTCGGAGATCGCGCGGGCGTTCATCGCGTCGTGCATGTGGCGCCGCTGTGGCTTGAACGACGGGTGCCGGCGGACGGGAGGAGGGCGAGCGCGCCGTCGAGCCCCGTGCTGCGCGAGGCGCGACTGTCTCAGCGAGCGCGCATTAAAGGATCTATGAACGGGTTACGCACAGGCTGAGCATGACGCGGTCGGGGCGGTCCGAGAAGCGTGCGGACTGCTTAGTCAGCAGCGCATCTGCGGCGTCGATGGTGTTGATGACGATTACCCGCCTCCAGAAGACGTTGAAAGAGATTAGAGAACTCTCTGGGGCCCGTTGTGAGCACGTAGCAACGCAGTGAATGAAAACTTGGCGTACGGAGCTCCTTGCTACATTGTCTAAACAGCTCATAGGGTTGCTTCTTGATGGACGCCGTGAAACGGCGGTCGCTAGTTGTGAGTTTGGGAGGGAGAGGGAGACGGGAGTGCCTTCGGCGACGAGCGACAGATAGTGGGAAGGTGGCGATGAGGCATAAGAGGCCGATGACGAGCGGAGCGTAGGCGTACATGGCGTTGGAGAAGTTGGTCCGTGCGGTATGGAACTTATAGGAAGCCCCCAAAACTCCCTGCATTTGTCGCATGTTCGGGCGCGGGCATGAAAGTCCAACAGAAGCAGAAGGACGTCCGGATCCTTTTCAGGACGCGGCCAAATTGACGATGATACCCCGAATGTCACGGTGCCTCCGGCGGCGGTGATTCTTGAGCGGCATGAAAGCCAAATGAGCACATCGGGCGCGGGTGATACAAACGCGCCGGTAAGTCACAGCTATGTTGATATTTTCAGCTCGCGGAGACGCCGTGGGGAGACGAGAGAAGGAATGGCATGTGGAACGTAATGTAGAACATCACGCACCAAGCCCGCGCGCTGATAGAAGAACGTTGGAATACCTGCCTTTTCACAACGGGCTGCGTGGATGACTTAGTACATGTGAACGTCAGAGAATCCTGACTGGAGAAATATTCGTTGTATCCGTGCACGTATCGGGCGTCAGATCGAAGTGGACGTCGACTATGTCAGTTTTACGTGCCCACCGGCTGTTCTAGTGCCTCTGCCGCAGAGACAGTTCATGTTCTGTTCTCGAAGTTCCCTATCAGCGTTTTCTGACAGAGGGCTACTTGGAGAAGCTCACCTGAGTGGTCATCTGCGCGTTGGCTGGCGGGAGTTCAGACCCAGTGAGAACGCCCCCTATCCGGAGCTATCTGGAGCTATATGCAGATATCCCCACCTATCTTGACCGATTGGTCCGACATTTAGCGCCAGAACTCTCTCGATTTTGACGCATTGACATGTAAAAGTGTTCTCACAAAGCACAAGCGTGTCTCCCCGAATTGTAATTTTGGAGTGAGCTGTCGTGCGCGCTCTCTCTCTCTCTCGTCTGTCCGCGGTCCGGGCGGGCGGCTCTCGCGGTCACATGAGCTTGTTCAACGCGTCTCCGCTGGAATGCCTCCCTTGAGACTCGCCGATGCGTGACATGTCGTAGCGGCCCCCGCGCGACGACGTCTGTGATATCCTCACCTTTTGGATGGGTCTGTTTGAGCCGAATGGATGAGGTATGTTCCATTTTCCGCCCATATGTGCTTGATTGTGATAGCTAGTATACTTTCGAGTCACCCGCAGCATTAACGGCACTGCGCACTCGACTTTTCGCGCCTCCGCGAGCTCCTGCGCGAGCTTGACATGGCATGGAGCACGCGCAACCTTTGGCGTCCCCCTCGCTTCCGCCAGCTCACACTCGCAGTTCATTACTGCCACCAAACACGCCGCGCAAGTCCCACAGGCTTTGCTGCGGCGGTCTTGGGGGAACACTTGAAAGGTCGCGCGGACGACAGGCGAGTTTATGTCCTCCCTCAACGGCTATAGAGGCACCCAAATCGAGTACGTGCGCGTGAAGTGTTCTACTTCACCGGCTCATACTACACTGGCTCACATATACGCTCGTTCTCCCCACGCTACTCTCCAGACCCCATTCTCCCAACACTCTGCAGTTTCCCCCGCCTGCTATTGTCGACCCCGGGCCTTTCTACTCCAATGCTCCCGGAATGACCCCTCCGACCCACGCACACGGCAGACATTGATCACGAAGGTGAGCCCATGCTGCCCGATTATCCTGCATACCACTTCCCATAGTAGACGCCTTCCGAACGTGCGCAGAGTCGTCAGTCGGCATTGCAGGCACGTGCTCAGGCAGGAGGGGTGTGTGGCCAACGGCGTCCTCCAGGCAGCCCAAGCGGCACCCATCCACGCCGAGGCGATGTGGCCTGCGACGCAGCCTGACGAGCTGCGTGCGCGCGGAGGCGCTGTCTGTTTCGTGTTCTCCCAGATGGCTAGCGAGCTGTCCCAATGCACTGCCCATGTACGACTGGCGAGTCACCGATATGCGATTCACGTGTTTGTCGGGCTAGACGCACTCGAATTCTAGCATCGTCGCATTGGACGCGCTGCGGCACGAGGGGATGATATGGGAGAGCATGGAGGACGAGACGATTGCCGAGTGCTACACTGAACCACCGCGGTAGCACCGCAGCTTCGAGGCTTCGCGGCTGCCTCGAGGGAGCAACTCTGCGAGGGCACGGGTGGGCCTCGGACGACCCGAGACTTACCCGTGCGGATCTGCATCCCAATCTAGGTAACACCACCGCCTGTAACTTGCTCAGCCACTGCACCCCCGAAACCATTTCCGTCTACCGTGCTCCGATTTGCGGCTATGTATATTGATCTGCGTGCATCTAGGAGCACTATTCATCTCACCTTGCCGAGAACGACCATGCAGCCGAGGTCGTTCCGTGTGTACCTCCCCGTAAGACTGGCGATGCCTCGGTAGCTCTGACATTCCTCGGAGCACGTCAAACTGTATTCACAAGGCTCCAAATAAGTCGGTAGGTTGAGATATCCATTGATTCAGTGCGATACAAATAACAGAGGACTCGCACACAGGAGTCACCCATCTTGGCACACACCTTCCCACACCTCGCATATCTCGCCACCATGGCTTCAGCCTCAGAGCCGCTCCACCCTTGCAACTGCGTCAAGGGCTGCGGCGGCCAGCTCAGGATGCTGACGACATCACAATGGAAATCCCATGCCAAATTCCGTCCCGTCCCAGCGGACTTGTTGGACGGGCCGGAGCCAAGTTCTGCACCTCCAAATTTTACTCGCGGACGCGGCGGCGCGGCGGCGACAGTACGTCCACGCCCCCGAAAGCTTCATACAAGCTCGGCTCGCTCACATTTTTATCGCCCTGACAGTCCAGGAGCCGCGGCAGTGGTGGAAGTTCCCCGGCTATGCCACGCAGTGCGTCAAATCGAGCCCGCAATGCTTCACCAATGGTGAGTAGAGCGCAGTTGGTCGTGACTAGCTGACTCTCCGAGCTCACGTTTGTACATTTGCCAGATTTTCCGGGGCTCTGAGGCTGGGAGTCCGAGTCATCCTACCCACCCGGTTCGCGTCCTTTCGTGCCCCCCACCCGTATAACTATTTATCCCATGCAATTACAGCCGCATCAAGCACAACGTTCCATCTCCCAACCGCCGCAGCCTATGCGAAGTTCTCTATCACCTCCGCGGCACGAGTTTGATTCGCCTCCACCATGGTCGCCCTTGCTGCAGCCACGAGCCTCACCCCCTCTGCAACCTCCCCTTCCGCAACCACCCATCCCACGATCTCCTTCTCTTCATCCGCCCGAGCCGCATGTCAACCCAGAGGACGAAGTGGGGGAGCTTATCAACCAAGAGCTCTCCGCTGACCCGTACGACGAGACGGGGGCCACACCAATCCCCACATTGGAGGAGCTCCGCCTTGCGATCGCCTTCCAGGATGCCATCAATCGTCCTGATACTCCACCGGTTCAAACCGTTGTCGATGGCGAAGATGACGACACTCGGGAGGCTGCAAACGAGATGGAGAACCGCCGCCTGAACCCGGTCCGCGGTGTTCCTTCGCTCGATCGATACGATATCGCTTCTCTCAAGATGTACCTCGCCAGGGGTGACGCTTCGCAAGACAATTACACAGACAATCGGGAGGCCATGCTCGAACTTCACCCGGAGGATCGCATTCGCACCTACGCCGGTGTTAAGAAGTTGATTCGATCGGTCACCGGTATGTAATTGTTCGCACATTTGGCAGAGGCACAAGGCTAACCCCGTTCGTTACAGGCATCTACGACATCACGGTCGACATGTGTGTCAACTCGTGCGTGGCATTCACTGGTCCTTGGGAGAATCACACACGCTGTCCGCTCTGTGGAGAAGACCGCTAGGATTCCTCTCAGCCTGCACGACGTAGTAAGAAACCTGTTCCCCGCCGCACGTTCAAAACTTTCCCCATCGGTCCCCAGCTCCAGGCGATGTGGGCCTCAGCCCCGTCCGCAAAACTCATGCGCCATCGGGAGAGAGAAACCACACGCATTCTCGAAGGCCTTCACTCCGGCACCCCCGACACCAGTCTCAACGACATCTATCATGGATACGACTATCTGACGGCAGTGCATAACGGCGCATTCACCTTGACGGACCCCCTCCTCATGTTCTCTATCGACGGTGCCCAGCTCTACGAGAACAAGAGCTCAGATACCTGGATATACGTATGGGTACTTCTCGATCTTCCTCCCACTGTCCGCTACCACAAACGCTTCGTCATTCCAGGCGCTGTGATCCCAGGTCCGAACAAACCCAAGAACTTGGACTCGTTTCTGGTCCCCGGGCTGCGGCACCTGGCCGGGCTCCAACGGAACGGCCTCATGATCTGGGATGGTGAGAGGGCAGGCGCCTTCGACTCTCATCCATATCTGTGGCTCGGAACCGCCGACTGCCCAGGTATGGCGTATATCTCGGGTCTCGCCGGTCATAACGCGAAGCGGGCTTGTCGTGTCTTCTGCGGCCAAGATGGACGCCACAACCCCGGTAAACCTACCTACTACCCCGCGATGAAGCCTATCCAAGGCGACATGTCCGATCCGCACGCGCGCGTTTTCATGCACCACGTCGACTACGGCAAGTACCAGGAGAGAGTCACCAAGTACTCAGAAAGCCTCCGCGCTGTTGTGACGTCACCCTCGCTCACGGTGTACGAGGCCCGTCGACTGAACACCGGCATCTCAAAGCCATCGATCCTCTGCGCTCTGCCACGGTTCCCTGGATGTCCCCGAGGCTTCGGTCTCGATCTCATGCACCTTCTTAGCCTCAACGTCACCGCTCTCATCGTCTCCATCCTCCGCGGATCTCTCAAATGCTACGAGCCCGACGACAAGTCACAGTGGCGATTTTCCCCATTCCGGGACGATTCGGTATGGAAGGCTCATGGGAAACTCGTCGGCGCGTCCACGCGATATCTCCCCGGATCCTTCGATCGTCCTCCTCGGGACCCAGCGGAGAAGATTAGCAGCGGCTATAAAGCCTGGGAGTATCTCCTCTACGTCTACGGCCTCCTCCCCGGATTCCTTCGCATCAACTTCCCCGACAGATCCCCTTTCTACCGCCATTTCTGCAAGCTCGTTCTTCCTGCACGCGCCGCTCTTCAACACTCCATTCCCCACGACCAGATCGCCCCCATGCACCAGCGCTTCTCGGAGTATGTGCACGAGTACGAGGAGCTGTACTTTGAAGGCCGTAGTGAACGGTTGCATTTCGTCCGTCCGTGTCTCCACACTCTCTGTCACATCTTCCAAGAAGTCGAGCGCACGGGCCCGTGCACAGCGTACACTCAGTGGACACTCGAGAACTTCATCGGCAATATCACTCGTGAACTCAAGCAGCACGTCACTCCCTATGCCAACCTCGCAGAGCGCGCACTCCGACGCTGTCTAATCAATGCGCTGAAGGCCTTATACCCTCATATTTTCGACCCTCCTCGTCCTCTCCCTAACACTGCGCTGAAGGTCCTTGACGCTCCCGAGGGATACATCCTCTCCCATCCGAGGGAGCGTAACTCCCGAGCACTCACATCCGAATTGGAGCGCGAGGCACTCCGGCAGTATCTAGTGTCGGTTCAGGAACCTTTGGGGCCAGATTTCCATGCCGTCGTTCAGCGCTGGGCTCGGCTTTATCTTCCGAGTGGACAGATCGCGCGCACGCTCTGGAAAGAGGGCAAGGCGGAAGCACGTGGGCTACAGCCGCGTCGTGCGCGCATGGTCAAGGTGAGTGCGTTGTCACTTGAGCGCGTTTATGTGCGTAAACTCTAACACAACTCTGCGTCTGGGTAGCTCGGGTCGACGATGTATGCTGAAGTGCAGTTTTTCTTCCAAATGCGACTAACTGGGCCTCAAGCTGGCGTGGCCACACTCGCCATGATCTCCCGGTTCACCGCACCTGACCCAAGGATCCTTGCAGAAACTCTTGGTGCGGTGCTGGCATGCACCTACCGTGGTTCAGCCGCGCTAAGTGTCGTTCCGGTACGCTATATTAAGTCCGTAGTCGCGATGGTACCCCTTCCACTTACGAGGATGGAGGAGGAGTCACGCATCGACCTTTCCCAGAGATATTTTGTGGTTGAGAAGCCAGGTTTGGAGATTGCAATGCTCGCTGGCCGTGTATCCTCGCTTTCTGACTCGGACGAAGATCTTCCGATTGAGTAGCTCTCATCTCGCTTCAGATTGATAACTTTCTAGACTACAAGTACAGTTGCGCAGATTCTCGATATGGTGCATGCCCCATGTATTATTTTCTCATTCCCATATGCGTACAACCGAAGCCGATCAAGAGTCTGTGGTGAAGGGAGCAGAGCTTGCTAGATACGCCACTGATTATAAAATCAACGCCAAGATCACTGAGGGATAGCACCACACATACCAATCAAGCGCAATATCTGTTTCATTCACAGTCCGTGATGGCGCGATGTGGATGGCGAAGGCTGGGGAATAGATTCGGGACCAACACCGGATATGAGAACAGATTGAGTACTCACCACACTCGACTTTGCAGATCTTTTGGATAGACCTGGGTTAATCTCCATCCACCTCGTCTGCGGAATTGAAGCCCACTCCTGCTCCCAGGTATACGGTTGTGGAAGAGGTCTGTTTTGAGGAAGAGAGCTTGCCTCCACCAGGGTCGGCGCGTTCATCCTGGTCACTGGGGAGGCGGATCGAGAGCGGCTAGACCGATCTATGGCCTCGAGATGCTTCTCCTTGAATTGAGCCCTGATTGTTTCCAGAACAGAGGGCTTACATCAGGAAAAACCCAAATCTATAATGAGACGTTACTGAGGCTTATAAGGGCTAATGAGCCCGATTATTGCGTTATTCAGAAGTATTATTATTCGCTTACCCATTTGCTAATGAGAGACCATTACACGGAGAAGGAAATATTAGTCGCAAGAGCAGGCTCTCACCACGTGCATTTAGTCTCACTCATGTCCATAGATCGCTGCTTCAAGCACTGGATATCGAGTAGTAGCACTAATCACACATAGAATATAGCGCAATCACGGATGAGCATTGATTCAATATCTGACATCCAGACTAGACCAGTACCTAGCTACAGCGATATAGAAGTCCATATCAATGAGCGATGATGATGCAATGCAAACGGTACCGTAGGTGCGCGCGTAGAGACGGGGAAGTGCACGACCGAGAATGCGTGCACGGGGAGGGATGAATACCAAGACGAAGAAGCCGTGTACTAACGAGGGTGGGGCTGGGTCCGGCGCGTGCGCGCGAGCGGCAGAGCGCGGACGCCGCATCCCGAAGCACATGTGGAACAGGTGCTGGCGCACATGGTCTTGTTGGTGCTTTTCGCCGAGCGTGTGGGCCTCCTTCGTGAGGTCGCCAGTTGGGTGCGCACGCGAATAGTGTGCACGCCGCTCGTTTTAGAGACGACCACTCGCGCCCACCGCTGCCGCGACCAGCGCAAGGGCGGCCCTCTCAAGCCTTTCGCACACCGTCTGACGGCGCACGAACCGGCCCTCCCCTTGTCTGCGTTTGGACCTGCTCCCGCGCCTGCGCCTGGGACAGCAGCGGGCGGGCCGTCGACCTTGGAGACGACGAACGTGCCCTCGAGCGGGACCGTGTGCGCTCACGCTCGCTGACGACGTACCCGCGGGAGACGGTGGGGAGGATGCTGCTGTCAACGTGACCCCCTGGCGGGACGTGGATGTGAATGACGATGACGATGACGTCCTGGGGGCGGACGCGGCCGTGGAGCGCGCACTCGCGCCAGGCCAGCGCGTATCACGCGGGGTTCTGTGCGTGCGTGAGGGCATGTATAGGGGAGAAAACGGATCAGCAAGCAGAGCGGACGGGGTGAAGTATGCTACCTCACCGGTGACATAGATGTTTGTGATCCCAGACCACATCCGCTTGATGACCATGACCAGGTCCGTCAGGCTCGCCGCGTGAGTCGTCCGGGTCGTGCTTTTCGTCAGCCTTGTTCGAGACAGAAACCGGCGGGGGGCACACCGTGACCGTCGCGCCTCAATCCATCCGTCGCACTCTTCAAATACAGTGCGAGCCCTTCCCTTCTGGGCATTTGCCGGGCACGAAATGACCGCAAGACGAGAGCGGACACACGCCGCTGGCTGCGCTCCCCAGATGCAGCGGCGGTACATCGCGGTGAAAAGGGGCACGGGCGGGAGGTTGCGACAGGGGCACTCACTGATTCCCAAGATAGACGGATGGTCCGCCGCGGTCGAAGACTCGTTGGCCTCGGGCAGAGAGGTGGACGTCAACGGTAGCGCGAATGAGACCAACCTGGCAGATTAGTAACTTAAGGGAGCTTGCGGAAGCGCGAGACATACCTGCGGGGTGCGCGCGGCGGCGAAGGAAGAGCTCTGGGACTCATTGTCGTCCTCAAGGCCGTGGAGGAAAAGGAAGAGGGTGCGACCCAGGGCGTGGCTGATGAGGTGGGCAAGGTGGAGGTCCGAGAACTGGGAATTCAGCGGAGAAAACGACGGGGAGTTTGACGGAGGAGGATGGAGGAGGCGGCGGCGGAGGCGGAGGCGGAGATGTCGATGATGGTCCGTGGAGACAGCTGGAGCCCGGCACCGAGCGGGGACGCGCGTCGCGCGTTGGGAATAGGCGCTAGTGTGGCCGACGGTGACCGGTGACCCTTGGTGACCGCGTCCCGTGATCGCGTCCTCAACGCGTTCATGAGTGGGCGATACGCTGTCCAAACTCCCGTCCAGTCTCCCCTATGCAACGCCCTCTTTTTCTGGTTCTCGCTTCCTCAGCGCTCCCTGCCGCATCTCGTTCCCAGCATACCACTATTCCTGTCCATCAAGCCTCCCCGCATTTGCGTACTTCGACTGCCACAACCACCATCTGGCTTCGTCCCAGGCCCCCTCCGCCCCCCCGCTCGAGCTTGCACCAAGTGGCCGTGAGTTGCCTTGCAGCCTTCATCGCCTACGCACGTAACGCACTCCATCAAACGCGACTGCACACCTCCGTCAGTCTCCCTCTACCTCCTTCGACGACCAAATTCCTGCTTCCCCGCGCCTGAGGGTCGTCAGTTCATCGGCCGTCTGCGACAACACCTATTCCAATACATAGTGGACGATCGCCGGCCAAGGCATGTTCGCGCTTCACGAGACCAACCAGATGGAGCGGTAAATGCGCTCCTACCTAGTGCACCACTCCTTACATCATCACGTCTGCGTCAGCCTGCGCTCACAAACAAGACGCAGCAACCGCTCTCCACTTCGCCGCCAAAGCCCATCTTCCCTCCCGCCACCATCCACGCTGGTGCCCCGCTGTATAGTGCGAGCTCCTCGCGTAGCTTGTACAGCACGCGGCACACCCGGCACCTCCGACACCCCGGAGTCGTCGATGTCGACGTCGCATCCCCCGCGTCGAGCAAATCCCCATCGACCCCGTTCGGCTCCCATGTTTATTTCCCTCGAGGTTCTCTACCACCAGATGCTGGGTGCGAAGATCAAGAGCGATGTGGTCATCGACTCGCGGGTGCACCTGGGTGAGTGCGAGTTCCTGACGCTCCACAACAGCTGCTGAATATCGTCAATGCGCTCGTGTGCGGCTTCTTCGGGGGGTGCGATGGCTGCTTCCCCCTCAATCCGATCGTCGTCAGCGCTTTAGCCGTGATGGCACGTTCAACACTTATACCCAGCTCGCCCCGGGCGCAGTCATTCCTGACGGCGCGACGTACGGCCCGCACGTGTCCTCGCACGACGACCCGTCGCCCGACCTCCACGTGCAGTACAGCGGCGCGGCGCCCTCACTGAGCATTTCCGCACCAACTGTATACGCCCAACACGCGCCGCACATGCACTCCGCGAGCAACGCTGTGATCACTGCGCCCGACTCACTCACGCGCGGTTGGATCCACACCAGCAGGTCTACTCGTCGGGCTGCAATGCTCCCGTCTCACCCACCGCGCCCAGCCCGTGATCGCATTTGTCGCACAAGGCAAGGTTGTCGTAGTACTTAGAACATGAAGCAATAACAGTTTAATGAATGATCTATCTATGCGTGCTGATGTGTGGGCCGCTGAACAGTGGGGGATCATTGTATACTGGCCGGGATCCAGTCGAAAGTATCATAACTGGCTAACTGCATGTACAGATATCCACTACACCCACTCAAACATGTCAAATTATACCTCATCCACCCCATTAGGGAGGCAATAGTTCAACGTAGTGTCTAAAAACTGCGGTGAGTTGGAACAGCGGCAGTATTTTCGCGTATAGGGGCTTACCAATATTTTACCTCTCAATAGGGATTTGGGTTTTTCCTGATGTAAGCTTCTCCGTGACGCTCTCGGCAAGGTCGTCTGCTAGTTCCCTCCGCATAGCAGTGAGAAAACGGCCCAGGCGGTGCTCCATGCGGTCAAGGAGATCATCAATGTCAAGAGCCTGGGGTGCTGGAGTGAGTTCTCTGGGAGGGAGTACTGGGGGAGCCATGGGGGTAGAGTCAGGAGAAGGGGAGGTGTCGGAGACTTCTTCGGCGTGCCGTACTAGATAAGCTGCATTGAAAGCAAGGTGGAGGGGTGCTATCACCTCCTGTAGTGCGTCGCGAGTATCACTGTAGTCTTGAAGCGAAGGGGATGGGGCAAAAGCAAGGTCACAGGCCAGTTCTGCAGTGGTGAACATGATATTGAAGAGTGTGTGCACGAGGTGGTCTCGTTCCGGGTGGGATGTTGCCTCTGCCATTTGGTGGGCGCAGTATGCGCGAATCAGCATGTTGATATCCCCTGGATGCATCGTTCTAGCAGAGATGTATAGCGTAGCAGTAGAGAGACGATGAGGGGCACCACAGCGTGAATATCTCCCGTGTGTGCAGACGGCAGATGCGTCTTTGAGATCACGTGCTGAAATTCTCGCGCAGTGGCCGCGCGGCCGCGCCTGTGTGCGCCCAGTCTTGCGCATCTGTTGTCTGCCCTCTACCTCTTCCTATCTCTGCTCCCTCATCCTCTGCTTCACCATACCCCAACTCTAACTCACTCACAACCTGAAAACAGCATGCCCGGGCGCTCAGGCACGCAGTGGTTACATCAGGAAAACCCCCATGTGCTAGTTAGAGAAAGTTTTCTCTATTTGGTGATTAATAGCAAAAATAGTCTAACTAGTGCGAACTAAAGTTGACCATTGCTATTGCATCTACCTAGCTGCAAATAGCTGCAAATTAGATCTTAGGGAGCTCTCTATTTGCTGCAAGTAGATGCCAAGTAGATCTCAAGGAGCACCCAATTAGCGTGTAATATGTTCATAAAATGCTCTCAATAGATCACACAAGGGCAAAGAAGTGAACAAATTTATATTGTCATACTAAGAGATACAGCGTACAGACTATAAATGCAAGACGGACGAGCATACAAATGCTACCATAGAATCCAGTGACAGAAGTGGTGTGGGCTATGCAAGTGACGTGGGCGACGCAAGTAAGGTGGGCGACGTGGGTGGTATGGACGAGACAGGATGAACGAGACGCATGGACGACGTGCTAGCAACGGGTACGACGTGGATTGCAGGCGTGACGCAGATCGAAGGCGCGGCACAGATCGCGGGCGCGACGCGGATCGCGGACGTGTTGTAGGCGACCTGGGGGCAAAATGCAGACGCGTCGCACGATGCGGGTGTGGCGAGCGAGGTGACCGGAATGGGCGAGGTGACGATGTGGGCGAAGTAGGTGACGCAGTTGACGGGGTCGGGAGGGTGGATTGATGAGTGGCACCCCACACGAACGGGCTCATCTGCGTGTAGGTCAAGTGTCATTCAAAAGTGATTTTATCAAGATACATAAACAACTCACAAAGTGCCATCGGGCGACGCGGGTCCGCCGGGTGACGCGAGGGCGCACGCGAGAGGCGAGGTGAGTGAGATGATAGATGCGAACGACCCAGGTGATGTGGGTGACCGGGCAAGGTGAGCGAGAGGTGGGGGACGCAGGCGAGGGCGATATGGGCAAGGGAGCTTATGTGGGCGAGGTGGCAACACGGGTGAGGCGTGCACGGTGGGTGATGTGGGTGTCGAAGGCGAGGTGTGCGATGCGGGCGTGATGTAAGCAACAGACGATCAGCTCCAGGTGAGCGTGACGTAAACCGGACAAGTGCTCACCAGTGTTCTCGAGCCTGATGAGCTCATACTGCTAGCACGTTGGGGGACGAGGGGGGAGGAAGAAAAACATTGGAATAGAATGGGTGTACTCACGCATAGTGTGCATAGTGCGGCGGCAAGTTGGCCCCGGTGCCAACGCCGTCGAAGCGGTCGTGTGAGGGCGTGGGGTGTAGGAGTCGCCGTAGCACATACTGGGCGGAGGTACCCTTGTGGGACGAGTCTGCGAGGCAGTTCTTGACCTCGAGCTGGCTGTGGGGCTCCTGGACGCGTCAGAGGTGCTCGTTCTTGGGCTCGAGCTCGCGAATGCGTAGCAGCGGCGGAGGGATGACGCGACGTACTCATGGCGCAGGTGAGATGCGAAAGGTGGTGACATGAGCGAGGTGCGCGAGGTCAAGGGCAGAAAGGTGGGGCAATGAGGAGCAGGGGAGACGAGATTGAGGTGTGCTGGCAGCAGTCGAAGCCTGAAGGCCTGAAGGGCGGTTGTTGGGCGGCTGCACTTTCGGGGATGCGTGGGAATCGATGCACGTCGCGTTGACTCCAGCGCTTGGCATTGCCAGCACCGTCGTCTTCGTCCTCGTCGTCCTCGCATGCTACCCCCTGCCGCTCTGCGCAGGCCTTCCCTACGTCAACCGCACCAGCTTTTCGCCCTTCAATACTTCCTCACCATCATGCCCGCTAGTTCCCCTCTCCCTGGGATCAGCTCTCAAGATCTCATGCAAGATCCATGTGTGCGAACTATGTAATCCTTTCGCAGTGAGTTCTCCGCCTTTTCCTGCACACCCTGTCTCATTGTGCCCGTGGCCTACGTCACTCCCGTGCACCTCGCCCATCTCGCTCGTGTCGGCCGCCCGGGGACGTGCTTTGGAGCGGGGCACGGCCGCTGCCCTCGCGGTACCTGCGCCTGTTCCTCACGTCCCCGAAGACAGGCATCAGGGACGGTTTCGAGTCCGTCGTCCGGCGCGTTGTCGTCCGGCAGGAGTGGCAGCCAAGGCATGCACTCGTCGCCCGCCTCTGCCTCGCCCACCACCGCGCGCTGCCCACCGCCCACGTCATCCTCCTCCGCCCGCGTCGCCCACCCTCGCCCGCGTCGCCCTCCCGGTGTCGTGGAGTCGGTCGAGGACGCGCACAGCCCGGCGCCCGAAGCCGACAATGAGGACATCGTCATCTCAGAGTTCGGCATCCAGGCCGGCGACGGCGCCGCGAGCCGGATCATCCTGGAGGCATCCATCCTCAAGGAGCAGATCGCCGAAACGTCTGTTAGTACCGCGCCCCATGCTTCTCGCCTGACCGTCACTGACGCCCCGCAGCACGAGCTCACCCTCCTCCGTGAAGCGCGTGAACGCGACGACGAGGCGTTCGGCGAACACGTCCCGGATACAAGGGAGCGCATGGACTCGCTCGGCGAGCGCATCGACGATGCGTACAAGAGCATCGCGGCGCACGACGCATCGCTCCTCGACGCTCAAGCGCGCCTCCAGAGCCTCGGTGCGGCAGTGTCCGACCTCCATCGGCGCACGGCGCTCGCCGAGGGCATCGATGAGCTCACGCGCGAGGTCAGTGCGGCCAGGGATATGCTGCTAGACATGTGCTTTTATATCGCGCACGCCTCGAAGAGACGCTGATGCCTTTGGCAGAGACGTGCGAGCTGCAGCGGCAGACGTGTCCGCATTCGTGTCGCCCGTATCCATGTCCCCTGCGTCCGCGCACCCTCCTCTGCCACCCCGTTGCAGCCCTTGACCTCGTCCACGTCCACGTTGCCCGCCTCGTCCGCCTGGGTCGCCCACGTCTCGCCCGTGTCGCCCACATCACCCCACATAGTCCCCGCCTCAACGTCTGTGTCATCCTTGCCCGCATCTCGCCACCATGTCGCGTCCACGTCGCCCGTGTCCACGTCGCCCGTCCCCGCATTGCCCGCCTCGCCCGCGTCTCGCTTCGTGTAGCCGTGTTCTCTCGCCCGCATCTCCCGTGTCGACCGCACGGCCCTCGTTGGCAGCCGCTTTCCATAAACACTACTTTGTTCCCAGTGTATTAGATAGATCACATTAGACAGCAATATATTTCATTTTCCACGCACTTCTATCTCGTTGTGAACCATTGATAACTTAGTGATATTGAGCATTTCATTTGCAACAAGAGGGCTAACAGGACTCTAATGAGAGACATGTTAGTGCAAACAAGATCCATTTTCCACAAGAACACTTATTTGCACAAGAATAGATCCACCATAGAGCAAATTAGGCAAATTAGATCTAACTAGCAAGTGGGGGTTTTCCTGATGTAAATCGTGAGTTCCATTCGGGGCCACCACCCAGCCTGCCCCCACATGCTGCCATGGCGCTTTGGCCTGGCGGACATGGCGCATATATGCTCCCTCCAACCATGTGGACCCATCCTGGACCAAATGCGTTGGGCCTTAGTGCATCAGCCAGCCATCAGACCCCAGTACCACACCCCCATCTCCGGACTACAATTTGTACGGACATCGAGGCCTCATGCCCCCCGACTCGTCGACCAGTAGTCCACCACTTGCCCCAGCAGATGAGGGTACCTTGTACACGCCTGATGGGTGGGAAGGCGGCCCCGATCATCCTAGCTCCCACATCCACTCTCCAGGCACTCCCATCACTTCATTTGAAACACATACCCCGGTGAGAACAACTGTTCATATGCGCACTCAAAGTACTTATCATCGTGTATACAGACACTCTCTCCTTCTCCCACTTCGTGGGCAGAAGGATACCTCATTTTGACCGCCCAGATCGCAGTGGTGAAGCGCATGTACTCAGAGTTGAAACGGGAGATTGCACAAGTAAAGTAAGTCAAATCATGTTACCTGCATATCTTTTTCTGATCTACGAATCTAGAATGGCTCCTCCAACCATGTAAGTTACATATGTGCCATGTTCCTAGCCTGGGGATACCTAGTACAGCCAACCCTCGGGTGTACTAGGTATCCGCCCGACCCATACTCTCCCCCGCAAATACCGTCACCCACGCAGTGCGGGGAGAGTATGGCTCGCAACTTGCTTGCACTAGGGATGCAGTGTACGATGGGCACACTGTGGCAGGTGTCGAGCATGGGCCGCACGGCGAGCGGCATGTGTCTGGCGGTTACGCGTCAGGCACAGCGGCGGAGTCCAGACTGCACACGTCGGGTGCAGACCGCACTCGTTGGGTCCGGACTGCGCACGTCGAGACTCGGCGCTCAGTACGCATGACGCACCCTTCAATACCCGTGTAACACTCACTGCGCGCGATCTGTGCGGGTCGCGCGGAGGTAGTACTCTATGCATAACATCAGAAGGCTGACTGGAAGCTCGCCACAGGAGCATGGAAGATCGTGAGAGCAGAAATGGTAATGCCTGTGTTTCGATTGGTTTGTGTTTCTACTGATTGTATACACCCCAGCCGAAGCCGCACAGAAGTTCGAGAGAGATGGGCCTGGGCTCTGGAAAGATATGGATCGCAAAAGCGAGTACTTCTCTGCAGAGGTCAACGTAAGTCATACATCGCACTTTCCCCGTGCACTGACCTTATATTCGAACAGAAGAAGATATTTTGGACGAAACGCGAGTTCGACGAGGCCCATAGCAATCAGCCAACAACCGCCAATGAAAAGAAAGGTCCGAAGGGACGGTCACGACTCAAAGGCAACATCAATGTCCGCGCTCTCTATATTACCGACTTGCATGGCATGCCTGTCTCCGGCACGCATGCCGAGAGGATACGCGCGTCATGTCGGCAGTTCTTTTGCCATCTCGCGCTGCACAACAGAGCACCGGCGACGTGGTGGCATGGTATAACTAACGATGATCTTATGGACTTTTACAGGTGGATACGCTCGCAGCACCCAGAACTACAGCTCTGCGAAGCCAACTGGAAGGCGCGACAGCTTGCAATCGACATATATCCTGGGTGGATGCAGGGGCGGAAGCAGCAGACCCCACAGCAAATCGCGGACGAAAACATCGGTGGCGAAGCGGTCGCTTTTGCCCTGAAAGCGATCTCTGGTGCTAATCGCCACGAGCCAGGTAGTGCCCACTCGCATCTATCCTCTTTGCGAGATTCTGACGGAATAACCGACAGACACCACCCCAGGTAGTGAGCACCTCGAATATATGGACACGGATATCAAGCTCGGTGATGCCCTGTACCGCATCTCACCAAGTCCTAGTCCCAGCACTTCCAAACGCTCTTATGATCATGCTGTCGGCTCTACAATGTCCGAAGATTACCTACCATCCAAGCGCCTCCGTCCCTCCGCCTCTGAGTCATCTTCCTCTCTCGCACTTAGCTCGCTGCCATCAACCTCACTCTCTCCTGCACCGTCTCTCTTGCCAACAGTTCAACCCATCCCATTCTCGTATTCTTCCTCTATCCAGCCCTCGACCTTGTCTACCAACACTGCAACTCCACCTCTTCCTGGGTGCACGACGCCCTCGGCCACGCCCAGAGCAGTGTTCACTCCATCTCCCGGGCTCGCGATGCCGACCACTGAGCCTAGCACTGCCTCGGTTGTCGAGCCCACGACGCAAGCGGCGCCACTCGTCAAGCTCAAGACTCTATCCACTGGATACATGACGCCACCTATGGGCCCCACCACCTCACCACCCACCAGAAGTGTGGTGTCCTCCGCCGAGCATGTGACGACTCCCACCACACCCAGCACGACACCATCTGCAGCGCCCGCACCAACGTTGATGGGGAGCACAGCGGCATCTGCCGCCCTGTCTGAGATCGCTCGGACGCCTTCTGCTAGACCCACAACGTCAACGCTCACCAGAAGCGCGACGTCCTCCGTCGAGCCTGTGACGACTCCCGTCACGCGACTCACGCCCAGCACGACACCGTCTGCCGCGCCTGCGCCAATGTTGATGGGGAGCACGGCGGCATCCACCGCACTGTCCAAGATTGCGCAGACGCCTTCTGGTGGACCCACAATGTCGACGCCCGCCGGAAGCGCGGTGTCCCTCGCCGAGCCTGCTTTGACGAATCCTGCCAGGGCCAGCACAACGTCGTTCTCTGGGCCCACGCTCAACTCAGTCATCGAGCCCACGGTGCCACTCGTGAAGCTCACGACACCCTCTGCTGGACCCACGATGCCGCCCGGTGCACTGGCTACAGACTCCAACACTTCTCCTTTCAATGTGTCCACTTACGACTCCTCCACCACCTGTGATACGCACTCTGCAGCATCTGCCCTCGTCACCGCACTGTCACCTCGATCTCTGCACACGGACTTGTCCTCGGCCGCCGACGCTCTGTCTCTATCTATACCGCCAGATCTGGCCACTGCTGTATCTTCTAGTGGTGCACCTGAAATGCGACAACTACCAGCTGCTGAAAATACTGAATTTGACGAACTAGCTAGTACGCTGGAAGGCAACAGCACCTCTCCCTGCGGTGGTGGCGCTACTTGTGCAGAAGCGCGGCCACTTCTTCTGGTATGTACAACTGTGACTCGCACAATGCTGCTCTGCACTCACACGAATGTCGCAGATGCCGAGCGCATTGTATGTATCCTGACATTCATGACTTGCAATCTCTAATCGGCCGTGTTAACAGGAAAGCTGCGTACGGGCCGGGCGGCAAGCTCCCACTACCAGAGAGCCCTATACGGCCCCCAAGCACGCTCGACGAACACGAGGAGCCATTCCAGCAACCGGCATCAATGGCTGCAACATCAGCGAGCAAGAACTCCAAGGGCAAGGGCAAAGCTCGTGCGGAGAAGAGCAAGGCAACTGCCGCAACGTGGCCACCGGTGCTCGAAGCAAACTCTAAGCTCCAGTGCGTTTTATCTTACTTATCTTCACCCGATCTCATCCAGCTGCAGGGTGCATTGTGCGGTCATCTGGTACACGAAAAATCACGGCACCCAAGAAGAATTTTCTGCATGGTACAGGACGCTGAAGCACCCCCAACGTGAGGTATGTGTCATTTACGCCTCACCGTACGGCGAGCGTGGGTGACAGTCATGTATAGACCTACAAGAAGACGGACGGCGCCAGGACATCAAAGAAGGAAGCGGGCGCAACAGGTGCTGGTCCTGCATAGAAGCGCAAGTGCGCAAGGCGGGAGCTGGAGGTCGGGCGCACGGGCAGAGAAGGCGAGGGCACGAAGGTGCGGAGGGCGGCAGGCGCGTGAGGGCGCGAGGGCGCGTGCAGGCGGCGGCGGCACAGGGGTGCGAGGGCGCGTGCAGGCGGTGGCTGCACGAGGGCGGGCGAGGGCGGGCGAGGGCGGGCGAGGGCTCGAGGGCGGGCGGGCGGCGGAGCGGGCGCGGGTGCGCGGGGCACGTGTATGATGTCATACTGTCAATGAAATTGGTGCAGATATATTCAGATCTATGAGGCCTGGTCGCACGTGGTTCCACTGAAAAGGCCCGTTGATAGCTGGGGATACATGGCAATAGGTGGCATCTATCCCCATAATTGTCAGTGGCGTGTCAATCGTTGCGGATAGATGGGGATAGGCGGACATTTATGAAAACCTACGCAATGAGGCATTCAGCAATATCGACCTATCCCCAGCAATCTGGGTCGTTGAGATAGCTCCAGATAGCTCCGGATAGGGGGCGTTCTCACTGGGGTTCAGAGGCCGCTCGATTTGACCTTGGCGAACCGTGGGAGAGCTGACGGAATTAAGCGCACAGAGGGCGTGACGCGGCGCATACTAGCCAGTGCCTGACGCCCATGACTCTCTCCATTCGCCTGAACAAACTGTTTTCAAAAGCTTATGTTCGTCCTTTAGCTTCTTGAACCCACCAAGGTGTGTCTAAAAATCCTGCATAACAAATGAGCATCATCTAATCGTAAATTACAGCACTAGTTTGTTGTGCCCGTCGCCCGAATAATCGCCCCACCTTTGTGTGCACCAAGTGGAAGCCCACAAAGTCCATATTTGTGCGACACAAAGAAGGTGTGTATCATAAGTCGATCTTTCAGATGATCAGAAATTGAACAGCTTCTCAGATTGTGATTATTGTCTGCAAGAAGCGACTGACTCTTGATGCGACCAAAGAACACTATTCAACTGTGCAAATGATTTCGGTTCCCGTGGTATGTCAACTCTACCGCACAGCCTCGTCCTCAGGCACACACACATTCAGACACGCACGGGTCACTGCTCGTCGCAGCACCGCGGTCCCACCTGCTACAGCTTCTCCTCCGCCCGTCTTCTCCTCGTCGCCTCCTGCGGTCTGCGACCTACACGATGGTTCGACTTCTCGTGACGGCCGCGCTCACTGCTTTGACCCCGATCGTCATATTTGCTGTGTGGTCCTCACTGCGCCCCAAGCGCAGCTATCCCCCGGGTCCACCCCCCGCCTTCCTCGTCGGAAACCTTAAGGACATCCCGAGCGGGGGCCACGAATGGGAGCAATGGGTCGCGCTCGCAAAGAAATATGGTTCGTGACTCCTTCACGAGCTTCTCTCCGCGCGTATGTTCATGTATTCTTAGCCACCGACGTTCTCTACCTTCGCGTTCTGGGGGCCGACATCGTCGTCATCAGCTCGTTCGAGGCCGCCCGCGAGCTCCTCGACAAGCGGGGCGCCATCTACTCGTCGCGCCCTCGGATGGTGCTCATCAAGGAAGTGTACGTCCTGCACCGCGCCCGTACTGTCTCACACTCATCGCGCTCCGTCTGCAATAGAATGGACTGGGCGTGGAACCTCGTCCTCATGGACTACGGCCCCACCTTCCAGGCGTACCGCAAAGTCGTCCAGTCTGAATTCACGCCCGCCGTCGTCGCCGACAAGCACCGCGCCGTCATCCAGCGCGAGGTCGCCACCCTGCTGGGGCGCCTGCTCGTCTCCCCGCAGAAGCTCGTCAGGCACATCAAGCTGTACGTGTTCCCGCGCATTCTATTCCTGACGAGCGCCCGAAGAAAAGTTACAGAATGTCGGGTGGCGTTATCATGGACATCTCGTATGGCCACCGGGTCCTGTCCGAGCGCGACGAGTATGTCGCGCTCGCGGTGGCCATGCGCGAGAACGCCGACGGGCAGCCGGGCACCTCGATCGTCGACGTGTTCCCTCCCCGTGAGTGCTTCGGTGGGCTTCTCGTGCGCATCCGCTCATGCACCGGTGTCCGACAGTCAAGTACGTGCCCGCGTGGTTCCCCGGCGCGGGGTTCAAGCGCAACGCTCTTATCGGCGCACAACTCTCGCGGGACATGCGGGACAAGCCGTACAACGCCGCGAAGCGGCAGATGGTCTGGCGCTCTCACGCTGTCGTCCGTCAAGCCCGAGCTAACTCATGCGCGCACTCAGGTGGAGGGCACAGCGGCGCCGTCGCTGGCCACCCGGCTTCTGTCGCAGCACGGGCTGGAGACGGCTGGGGTGGAGCGCGACGAGTTCATCAAGAACTGCTGCGGTGTCGTATACAGTGGTGCGTCCCTGTCTGGACAGCTCGCACACGCGCGCGCGGTGTGCTGATGCGCCATACCCGCTCAACAGCTGGTGCAGACACCGTGAGTTGTTGTCGTGGCACGTTTCCGTCATGCTTACAGACAGCGTGTCACAGACGGCTACAGCCTTGACCAACTTCGCCCTGGCGATGACGTTGTATCCAGACCTCCAGCGGCGCGCACAGGACGAGCTGGACGGCGTGGTCGGACGGGATCGCTTGCCGACGATGGAGGACAGGAAGCGACTGCCGTACGTCAACAATCTGGTAAAAGAGGTACTACGCTGGAAGGTAGTCACGAACCTTGGTGCGACCGTCTGCTCGAGGCTTTGCGCACCCGCTTACAGACGTCGCTCAAGGTGTTCCGCACTCGACCACGTCCGACGACACGTACGAGGGCGGGTACATCCCCAAGAACACAACCGTGATCGCTAACATCTAGTGCGTCCCGCCGCGCACTTGTGCGGCCCTCGATCCTCATACCGTCCTCCCAGCGCGATGCTTCATGACGAGTCCGTGTACGCCAGTCCGGAGACGTTCAACCCGGACCGGTACGTTCCGTCAGCGGAGAACCCTTCAGGCGAACCGGACCCGGCGCGGGCGGTGTTCGGTTTTGGACGTCGGTGAGCGCGGGCACGCCCTGTTTCGTACTTGGCACGGGCGATTGACGGGTCCCGGGTGCAGGATCTGTCCGGGGAGGTTCTTCGCGGACGAGTCCGTGTGGCTGGCCGTCGCCTCGGTGCTGCACGTATTCACGCTCTCCGTACCGGCGACGGCGGGGAAGTCCCATGTCCGATGGTGCTCGGGGCTCGTCAAGTGCGTGTGCTTCGCCGCGGTGTTGCTTGGCAGACGTGGGGACGCTAACGATGTGGTCTTGGCAGCGAACCGTCGCCGTTCCCGTTCGAGATCCAGCCTCGGTTCGAGGATGCGCGGGAGGTTATTGCCCGAGCCGAATCTGAATGAAGGCCCACGGATGCGGATGATAGACTGTCGGACATGGGAGTGCGCGCGACGGAATGACGATATTTGCCATGTACAGTCTGTTTCTCGAAGCACATGCCACACCTTAACTCACATCATTGCAAATGCCGTCCGCGATCGCAGCCCCCGGAGCACCGACGAATTCCTGGCATCTGCATTTGGACCTACCCTCCTTTGTGGCGCGCGCGCATCACCTGTGCAGTGATGTTCGATGTCAGAATGCGTTTCCGCGCCCACGCCGGTGCAGCCTCCAGTTTCGCCGAAGCCCTACCACAGCACCCGTCTGTCACGAACTCAACGCTGGTCACAGGCGCTACACATGGGCGGATTCCGGGCTTCTGTCTGGAGCCGAGATGCCACGCTCGAGCTCGCAGGACCTGCGGTGTGAAGAGAACATCCCCGCGGGCTCGTGCCGTTCTTCGATTCCAGCGCATATGCTAGAGCAAGCACCTTTGAGCCTTCTGACACCCGGCGTGCCCCCTTTAGTACCCTGCTCATCGGAATCCCCCTTTGCCAGCAGTTCTCCTCTAGCATAGCAGACGACGCCCATATCATGTCTACTATTGCCGAAAAATCAGCACAGCCGCCCTCGTCTGATATCTCAAGAGTTTCAGCAGCCAGCCGGGAAGACGATGACCACGTGCCGCCTGCCGCCCTCCCCGAGGCGTCCGCGAGTACGCCCAAGACCGCCCGTTTCTGGATCGTCCTCACTGGGCTCGTCGTCGCCCTGTTTGTTGCCGTGCTCGAAGGGGTCAGTCTCTCTCTCCGTCGTGCACCTTCCATCCCCTCACCCGTCTCTAGTATGCAGTGTCCACCGCCCTCCCCGTCATGGTCAACGACCTGCACACGGACCAGTTCATCTGGGTGGCCTCCACGTACGCCATCGTCGGCACCTCTCTCCTTCCCCTCGTTGGCGGGCTCACCGAGGTAAGTTTCCACCACCGCGTGCTTCTCCTCAACGCTCTCTCATCCCTCGCAAGGCCTTTGGACGCAAGCCCGTCATCCTGGGCGCGCTGCTGCTCTTCATGGCAGGCGCGGCGGTCTGTGGCTCCGCCCCGAACATCAGCGTCCTGATTGCCGGCCGCGCCCTCCACGGCGCCGGCGCCGGCGGCATCCTCTCCTGCACCCAGATCGTCCTCTCCGACCTCGTCACCCTGCAGGAGCGCGGGACGTACAACGGCCTGTTCGGACTGTGAGTCCCGTCTGCTCTCCTTCCCAACCGTACGCTCACGCGCCCCTCAGCGTGTGGGCGATCGGCGGGGGTCTTGGGCCGCTCGTCGGGGGCGCGCTTGCCAAGCCTACGCTCTGGCGTTGGATCTTCTGTGGGCATGACATATGCTCGCCTTCCCTGCGTGCGTTTTCGCTGACTGAGTGCGCCAGACCTCAACATCCCCATCGCGGGGCTCGCGGCACTCGTCCTTCTCGTATTCTTGGACCTTCCGCGCCCATCTTCGCGGTCGGCTCTTGACTGTTTGAAGTCGCTGGACGTTATGTGCGTGCTCGCGCCCTCCTCGCACTCGCATGCTCACGCTGATGCGACTGCAGAGGAAACACGCTGATCATCGGAGCCTCGTGCGCCATTGCTATCGCCATCACATGGGCTGGCGTGCAATTTCCGTGGAGTTCGGCGCAGGTTCTCGCTCCGCTCATCATCGGTGGCGTCTCCCTCGTTTTGTGGTTTGTGTACGAGACTAGGCTCGCGACTCACCCTGCTGTAAGCGTGCTTTTCTGTCCATTTCTGCAGTGCTAACGAGCAAATAGGTGCCCATGGTCATTTTGTCGAACCGAACCAGCCTCAGCGGGTACGTAGCTCGCTCATGAAGCATGAGACGTTTATGCGAACAACAAGCTCAGCTTCGTGCAAATATTCGTCGCGGCCTTCATCAACATAACCCTCGTATGTGAGTCACGTCCGGACACTCTGTCTCGTGCCCTCTAACCCCGATCAGACTACCTGCCCGTGTACTACCAAGCGTGCAAGGACGCATCGCCGATCGCGTCCGGCGTAGACCTGCTCGGGCTCTGCTTCGCCACGGGCGGCTTCGCGATCCTCACCGGGGTGTCCGTCGCGGCCCTGAAGCGCTACCGGCCGCAGCTGTGGGCGTCCTGGGCCCTGATCATGCTCGGCCTCGGGCTGCTCTCCTCGCTCACGGCGGACTCCCCGCGCGGGGCATCGATCGGCTACCAGGTCCTCGTCGGGGTCGGGGTAGGGATGGTGTACTCGGGCGGGTACTTCCCCGTGCTCGCGCCGCTGCCGGCGACGCTGAACGCGCCCGCGCTCGCGTTCTACGTCTTCGTGCGCTCCTTCGCGCAGGTGCGTTCCCCTCTCTCTCCGTGCGCCCCCCACCGTGCTCACCCGCCCTCGCAGATCTGGGGCATCACCGTCTCGGGGGTGCTCCTGCAGAACACGCTCGCGGCGCGCCTGCCGCCGTCGGTCGCCGCGCTCGCGCCGTCGGGGCTCGCGAACGCGGCGTACACCGTCGTGCCGCTCGTGTCGAAGCTGCCGCAGCCGGAGCGGGACGAGACGCGGGCGGCGTTCGCGGCGGGCCTCGCGGACGTGTGGCGCGTCGCGCTCGGGGCCGCCGCGGTCGGGCTGCTCGCGAGCGTGCTGATGGAGGGGCTGCCGCTGCACACGGAGCGGGACGCGCGGTGGGCGGCGCGTGGAGCGGAGCCGAAGGGGCTGGGGGAGGAGAAGGCGGGCGATGCGGAGGTGCAAGTGGTGGACACATAGATCGTAGGCTACACGTCGGGGAGGACGAACTCGCGCGAAGTACGAAACCTGAGCGAGGGAGGCGTGAGAAATTGTAAGATGCCGAAGTCCGGCAGCGCGCAGCATCGGGCGAACCTTAACCTTTTTCGTGCCCCGTCCCGTCTCCCATCCAGGCTGAGACTCCCAGAGTAAGTACTAAAATTTGAAGTCCTAAGTCCTAACCGCCAATCGGGGCATAGCGCTCCGGGGGTCGAAGACAGGACTTCTGTCTCTCCACCAGATCGTGAACGGCATGATGGGTTCGAGGCCAGTGCGTGTCCGCACTACCGCCAGCTATCACCGGATTTTACGGACACGTTCGACTCCCGGTCGATGATTGGTGCCATTGTGCGCTCAAGTACGTTGCAGCGACGATTGCAAATGTAGGCGACCCGCGGTATGCGCGCGTAGGAGTGCGCACACATCTTCCCCCATCTGACAGCACACCACAGCACCGTGCCCACGGGTTCGTCTTCCGCATCGAAGAGGATCACCCCGTTCGTGAACATCGCATTGTGCCTCCTTGCATCACTTCGGCGCTCGCTTGTTGCTCCCGGTTGGCATCTTCCTCCTATCGTGTCGGGTCTTGGCATGCTGAAGACCCTCCGAAGACCTTCAGGTTCTATCAGCAGTCCCACGCTGCCCATTTCAGCGGAGCGCTCGTCATTCTCCGCTCTCTCGCGATTCTCCTCTGCTTCCACTGTGACCGTCACGCAGCAACCGCCGGCGCGGGCTCTGCGAACCCAATCATCTTCCGGTCACACCGACACGCTCTCCTCGCACTTCTCCAGACCAATGCGCCGTGGTCTGAGCGGAGCCGATTTGCAATGGTGCAGATTCGGTCAGACGCCATCGAAGACGCCCCGGATTGAAGATTTTGACGACCACATGACCTATTCTGGGCGGCGGGCTTTCGTCAGGCGCAGTGCCCTTTACACCCGAGGCTGTAACTGATAAGGCCACCGCTCAGCAAATCCTGTTCCCGTTCCTTCTCGGAGTCGCTTCCTCCGACCGCCATGCCGACTTTCTTCCTCCCTCCAGACTTCGATTTCATGCCCCTAGGGGGTGCGGCGTTGCTCGGGACATACATCTCGACCATGTACGCGCCTCTATTCTTGTATTTCATGCAGATCACCCTCACCTTTCCGTTCGTAACAGGCTGTATGGATTCACTACGTTTCAAACATACCGATACTATCAGCTCAGCTGGACCACTGACACAATGTTCCTCAAGCTTTACGTAAGTACTCGCTTTCTCGCTTCGTGCGTACGCTCACTTATACCTTTATTAGGTTTTCATCATCTGGTAGACTTGGATCAGTGGCCACGTTTATACGTGGATAGCTGACAGCTCGCTAGGATCCTCGAGACTCTGCATACCGCCCTGTCGATCGCGTTCACATTCCGTTTCGCGATTGTCAACTACGGAAATCTTGCAGCATTCGAGGTCACCAAACCGTAAGCTGCCCGTTCGCCTCATGTGTCGTGATTTTTGACGTCGTGCCCCTAGCTCTGACGATGTACGTCCTTTGGAGCCCACGCCTGCGCTGCTGAGAAGCTAAGACGTTCTACGAAGGCTGTCACTTTCTCCACAGTACGTCGTAATCCGTTCGTGGACTCCATCGGCTGTAGGTCTGACATACATAGGCGGTCATATCGTTTCTAGTCCACCTGTGCGTCTCTTCCCTTTCCCGCAAAGCGCATCGTATACTGACGCGCCGTAGGTTCTATTGCCGAAGACTGTGGATTCTTAGCAACAATTCTTTCGTCCTTGTTGGGGTTGTGGTACGCAGGCGGACGTCTCTCGTTGGGTCTAGAACTGACGTATATGCTTCCTACAGCTGATCCTGTCCTTCGCCAACTTCGGAATGGAGCTAGGTGAGCTTTCGGCGCCCGCCCAAAGTTGGAGCATTTGTTGACGAGCCTTCTCCGCATAGCTACGGGCGCATTGACGTTCGTCTTCAGGATCCATCATCAATTATGTAAAACAAGCTAAACCATTCGGCTCGTCACAGCTTCGTGCACCCCAAGTTATCAGACTTCCACCTCATCACGGTACGTCAAATGTTACGTTTATTATGACTTGCGCTGAGCGCTACGCAGCCCTACTACACCGGCAGTCTCTCCTTGGCCGCAGCGGTAGATATCATCATCGCAGCATCCCTGTCTTATCTGTTGTACAGGCATCGTGGAATGATGGAAAGGTATGTCCGCCCTCGCTAATCTATCGGGGACCCGAACACATTATTACAACACACAGCACCAACACAATCATTACGAAAATCACTGCGTACGCCATCACAACCGGCGCTCTCACGACGTGCGTCGTCTACCCAAGCCTTCGTCACCTGGCACGATACTCATCCGTTTCCCAGCGTGACCAACATTATTATCCTCATATGCGTAAGCCCCCCGCGTGCCCGCGCCGCGCCCGCTCGTAATTTGACCCCCTGCGCCCCAGTTCGTCACCATGCCGGACAACCTGTGGTACCTCTGCTTCTACAGCTTCATCCCAAACCGTAAGCGACGCAGCATCCTCTTCAGGTTGCCTCCCGGGCCGCTCACCCCCGCCCCCGCCCGCAGTGTACACGAACTCGTTCCTCGCGATGCTCAACTCCCGCGCGGGCCTGCGCGCCGAGACGAAGCACGTCTTCACCAGCACCGGCGTGGGGTCCGACAGCATGCATTTCGCGCGCCGGACCGGGATCAGCTCCGGGACGGTGCGGGTCGGGGTCGACGTCGACGTCGACTCCGCCTCCGACTACGCCAAGTTCGGGCGCGGGCAGAAGGACGCGGTGCGTTCTCTCTTTCTTCTTCGTTGGCGTTTTCTCTACGCGGTCGTTGACGGCTTGGTTCGTTAGTCGCGGGATGACATTGAGATGCGTGACGTGTAGGTGTAGTGTGTTGGTGGTCTGAGCTGGGGACGGGGAGCGACGGTGGTATGTATTGCGTCCTCGGGTGACTTAATTTGGCAGTGCCTTCCTTTGTATTCGTAAAATGTTTCTTCGTGCTCAAAGTTGGCCGCCACGCCCTCGTATTTTCATCCATAGCATCATTGATAGGTACCTAGTGGCTACGCTTGAGGGCCAGTGAGCGGCGAGGGCGCGTGACACGTTTCCGGATCACCTCGGCTTTTCCCTTACTCCCGACACGTGGGGTGGTGGGGAGTACCGGAAGTGACTATAGGTAGCGAGGCACAGTTCAACGCTCAAGTTGACGGTCAAGGACACCGAGGTCGCCGCGCTCTGTCCGTGTAGGTAGGTGTAGGTGCACGGCCAAAGAGGGCCCGCAGCGGATCGAGGGTTGAAGAACCACGGCCTGTCAAAGCTGTTGTGGCATTCGGTCGATAACATGGTTAAAAATACCTTCGCCGCCTCCAGCCGGGGACTCACGACCCTGTAGATGGGTTGAAACCGCCGCGCGCTCTTATTACCCAGGACATCTACGCCAAATAAAGTTAAGAAGGTGGGGGGCAAAGACCTCTCATCCACTGCCAGAAGCATTCCTGTATAACAACCGCATCAACATTCAGTTCGAGATGCGAAGGATTCTTGGGAACCCATACCGTCTTCCGCCCACGACCACATCAAGAAGGCAGTCCGGCCATGGCATAGAGAGTCGCGCGGTCGTCGCTGCCGTCCACAAGCTGACGGAAGTATCCGCCAGTCTTCTTGAGAAGCTCGCTGGGCGGAGCGTACTCGACCTGGATGAATGGAGGATACGTCGGCACGGGCCATCATGTATCAATAAACGCAGGGACGTACGAGTCTTCCCGCTTCGAGAACCATCTGTGCGGGACCATGTGTGAGCAGGAGCGGGACACCATAGAGCCGAGACTTACGATCTTGTCCGCGTCCATGATGCTCTGGAGGCGATGGGCAACCGTCAGCACTGTCACGTCTTTTCCGAGCTCCTCGCGGAGAGACTTCTGGATGATCGCGTCGGTGTCGTAGTCTGCGACGTCGGCTAGTTAGATCAAATGCCACGACACGACCTGTCCACGCTTACCGATCGCGGAGGTAGCTGGGAAGGGAAGAACGATGTCAATGGAGCTCATGTGATCACGTTCAAGAGATGTACCTTCGTCCAAAATGAGCAGCTTGCTGTTGCGTACCATAGCCCGCGCGAGTGCGATGATCTGCCGTTGGCCAACGGAAAGGTTGCCTCCGCCACCTGCGATCTCGGAGTCCAGCGTAAGCTTGGCGCGGCTCTCATCCCCAGAACCGGTGCGCTCCTGAAGGGCGGAGAGACCGGCGGAGCGCAGCGCGTCGTTCAGCGTCATGTCGTCGTGCTGACCCAAAGGGTCGAGGTTCTGGCGCAACGTTCCACTGAGGAGCTCGGGGACCTGGGGGATGATGGTGACATTGGACCTGAGCGCGTCAAGGTTGAGGCCGTCCGTGGGTAAGCCGTCGTAGAATACCTTACCCTCGGTCACGATGCACCGAAGGAGCGACAGGGTGAGAGAGCTCTTGCCACTGCCGGTCCGGCCGACTGCGCGCGAGTCATGAGTACCGCGCGGGTCACGTCACGAAGGGGTACCGGCTCACCGATACCGATGCGTTCACCCGACTTGACCTCGAAGGAGAGCTCGTGCAGGACACGGGGGCCTTCGCGAGAGTAGCGCGCAGACAGCTTCTCCACTCGGAGGCCTCCACTGGCAGGCCAGTACGCGGGAGGGACACCTTCCGGCGTGGGCTTCGGCTCCTGCTCAATGACCATATACTGGTGAATGCGCTCCAAGCTGCACGAAGTGAGTTACTGATGAAATGGAATCTGGATGGGTATCTGACCTGTTGGCTAGTTATCGAGACAGCAGCCGTACAAAAGTAAGTATCGCGCTTACTCCCGACAAAACGCGACGACGTACCGGTGACTTGAAAGTCGTTAAAGACCCGCAACCAGGACAGAATGTAGCTGCTGAATCCAACTTCCGGCGTACTTTCTATAAGAAAATTTCGTGCACAACGTCGTGATGCACTTACCAGCCATAGCAAGCGCAAAACCGGCATTGGATGCGCTGATGTTTGCCGAGTACGTGAGGTACACGGCCAGCACGGTGGTGAGCATAACACCCATGATGTCGACGCGCACCGTCACCCAGCGGTTGAGTGCAGCGTAGGTGAGTCCGGCGCGGGTGAAACGGTCCATGCGCTTGTACGACTCCTGCTTGAACGCCTCTTGGGCACCATACGCACGGATAGATACTCAAGAGTCGAGTAAGGATCCCTGAAAGTAAAACCGAGTGATGCCACGCACCTAATCCAGAAATCGCACCGCCAAAGTGGCCGAGGACAGGCGCCTGGGCGTTGCTCATCTCGCGCTTGACAGACAGCTGCGCGCGCATGTAGATGGACGAGATCCACCACCCGAGGAGTAGCACGATCGCAGCGGGAATGATGAAGATAGGCAAGACGATCGCGATCGAGACGATGCGGAGCGTAAGGTAGACTGAGCCCTCGAGGAGCGAGTGGAGCATCTGAGGGATGGACCCATCGACTGCATCGGATTAAAATGAGTGCCAATTGAGCTCTGGATGATGGATATACGCACCGCCTTGTATGTCGGAAGTGCAGCGCGTGATGATGCGGGAGATTGGTGTCGTGTCGAGCCATCTAAGTCATTGTGAGTAACATCAAAGCGAGAGACGAAATAATGACATGCCGCAAAGTAGTTCCGAGGACCGAAACTACGAGATCGCGATGGATGATCCTCGAAGCACGGATGCGACCGTAGACGTGAATCGACCAACAGATACCGTAGACGATCAGAGCGGCGGCGACGAGGCCAAGGTAACCAGCCAGGTAGCTATGGGTGTGATGTGAGAAGAGCGCTTAAGTTGACACGCACAAGGCACTCACAACCACACTGAAATCTCTGAACGATCATGGGTCTCGTACTGAGCAGCCCAATATCCCAAGAAGTATGACTGAGATGGAGAAGTTAGTGAGATTTCTGATGAGAACATACGCGGAACATACTTGACTGTTGATGGAGGCGTGAGTGAGAAAGAGAAGTGCAATGTAGAAGACCCAGTAGATCCAAGGGACAGCTGCTACGTTCCGCATGTAAAGTTGCACTGTATATCGTCAAAATCGACGTTCGCATGATGAAGCGAAATACTCACAAGCACCCCATCCCACACGTCCGGTACCGATTTCCTCGGCGACAACGAGTTTGCCGTCCTTCTTCGAGAGGTCGGCGGCGGCTTCTCCACTAGCCTCAGGGACGTCAATCTCTTGATCAGCCCTGGCGAGCACCTCGACTTCGTCCTTGAGCTCCGCGTCCTCCTGCAGTACCTTGTCGAGCGAGCCCTGGCTGGCGATCCGTCCATCGTTCCCGACGGCCACGACGAAGTCCGCAATTGGGCGCGTAAGAGCAACGTTGTGGCTGACGAAGACGACGGTGCGCCCGCGAACCAGGTCGCCCTTGAAGCACTTCTCGACGATCCAGCGGCCGGTGTGCACGTCCAGCGCGGCGAGGACGTCGTCGAGGAGCAAGGTCTCCGCGGCCGAGTACACCGCGCGCGCGAGCGTGACCCGGGCTTTCTGGCCGCCGCTGAGGGTGATGCCCTTCTCGCCGACCTCGGTCATGTCACCGGCGTCGAACAGGCTCAGATCGCGGTCGAGCGCGCATTGTCGGATGACTGGATGGTCAGGTAAGTTGATCGCTTGGACGTGGGACGTGCACCGAGAACTTACCCTCGTTGTAGCGCTCATCGTCAAACGGCGCCCCGAAAAGGATGTTGTCTCGGATGGTCTCGTTTTGCACCCAGCTTTCTTGAGCGGCATAGGCAACGCCACCGGCGCGAGGGAGCCCGACGAACGCCTCGGGCCCTTCGGGGGTAGCGTGCATCTCGCCGAGTAGGGCCATGAGGAGCGAGGTCTTCCCGGAACCGGTAGGGCCAACGACAAGGGAGATCTTCCCGCGAGGAAAGACTAGAGGTTCGTTGATCCGGAGAGCGAAGTGGCGCCCAGTTAGTGCGCTGGCGTCAGGAGCCGCAAAAGGCGTCGCGGAAGCGGCGGACCAGGTGAAGGTCGTGTGGGCAAGGCCGAGAACCGAGTCGTTGCGCGACGGACGAGCGAACGCCGCGGTGGCAGATGCTGGACGTCTGGGCTCAAAGTCATCCAGGAGTTCCGTATCGTGGAGGAAGTCGTTGATGCGGTCCAGAGATATCTTGGCTGAAAGACATTGGTAGTGCAAGCGGAGAAAAGGGTCAGAAACGTACCTTGGGTGCTCACAGGAACGGCGTAGAATATGATATGAAGCTCCATTTGGATCATCAGGAAGGCTGACAAGGGTGTGAGGCTAGATGCCGCTACAATGATGGAGCAGACATACCGGTCAGCGACGAGAAGACCTTGGAGGCTGTTGAAACGCATTTGGTCAGGACATGTGGAAGCGATAAAGTAGGAATCTTACCGTTGAGGTCTTGCTTCGCGACTAGTGTCTACAAAAAGGTCCTCAGTGCATTGTTCTCTGACGACACGTAGCACTCACGTAAGTACCAAAAGTGATGGCCATGGTAACGAGCGGGATGGAGAAACTGCAGGCTATCAGCACAACGCAGGGCTTCTGAAAGACACATGCGCCCACTTGATGAGATTGTTGATGAGCTCGAGGTACTTCTGCATCGTCAAGTGGGACAGCTCCGCGTCCCTCTTCTCCTCAATCTGCTTCTCCACGCGGTGCTCCCACCCGAACAGCTTTATCATGCGGACCACGTTGAGCGTCTCGTTAATGAGCTGGACGCGAGCATCTGTACGGCTCATCATGCCCGCCTGGTAAGTCTGAATCCAGCTGCTTAGGTAGCCGGGTATCGGGAGGAGGATGACGATAGACGCGAGCCCGACAAGCGCGCTCCAACCAAGCACCCTCCAGACGAAGAAGATGGCGACGCCGATGAGAACAGGGACACGGATGACTGCAAAGGCCTTTATAAGCGCAAATTCCCCTTGTGCGAACGCACGGGAGACACTTACAGAGCTGCATCCAGAACTTGTTCCCCTCTTTGATGTTCTCGATGTCGCTTGTAACCAAATTGTTGATCTTCCCGATCATGTTCTTGTCCTTCTCGTCGTTAAGCCCTTGACCATCCCCGCTTCTCTCCGATTTCACACGAATGCGTAGCGCGTGCTGGAAGAGGAGCTCGGTGACGAGGGCCTGCATGCAGAAGTTTATCCTGTAGATGATCCACATGTACTGTTCCTCGGTGAGCGTGACAAACACAGGGCCAACGAACATGAGCACGATCCACGCCCAGGATTTCAACTCGGACTGCGGGCCATTGGCTTCGATGTCCGCTAAAAGACCGTTGACGGCGAGCGGGCTAGTAATGGTGATGACAGACTGGGTATGAAAAAGTGCGTCAGTAAAAGGAAACTTGTTGGCAAGTAGAGTTTAATTACACAGAAGAACATCAAGGCTGCGTAAATTGCGTATGGATTTACTGCAGCGAAGGGTCAGTCAAGAACGCGAGTATGTGATAGACATGTCCCAGACACAAGAACGAACGAACGACCGCCCCAGATGGCAAAGCGTGTATACCATCTCATTCCCTGACAACCACGAACCCCACCAACGACGAGGCAGAGAAACGTCCTGAAGGAGGTCATGACGGGCGCGATGTGGCGGACTTGAGGGAACCTAAGGTCGAGCTGGGAAGATGCACAGCCGGGTGGGTTGTGCGGCCAAAAGCGCGGGCAGCCAGCTCTCGCAAACTCACGCTCGAATACCCGCGAAGCAACAGTGCTGCCCGTCTCCGAATGCCAATGGGAGGAATGACTCACTGAACGCGCGCATTAAACCCCAGAAGATATGTTCGTCTTTGCCCAGCTCGAAGGGATCAATTTTCTGTCAAGCGTAAGCCAATCGTACCATCGCAGCATGCAAGGACGAACCGGAAAGACCTCCTTGGTGAGATTCTTGGTCTCATCGATGTCCGCAAGAGGAGGGAACTCGTCAAGTGGAAGGTGCTCCACCCGGGACGCCTTCGCAATGGTTGGGTCTATCCAGCTGAAGAGCGCGCGGGACAGGAGCGACGCAGTCTGCTCGGGGCTCGGCACCTCCACCGGTTCCTGCAAGTTGTCTTGTTCATGTCAAGTGCGACAGACCATCCCGGAAAATGCACACACCTCAGGATGTAAAGGCACGTATGTGTGAGGAGTGACAAACGGAATGGCGGCGGCCGCGACAAACAGAAGCGAGAGCTTGATCCACAGTAGAACGCCCTCCTGGGCGTCCTCTGGCCAGTTGCGCGAGTGGAAAAAGAGTGGAGCAAAGTCGCGGAAGGTGTATGTGGCAAGAGTGACAAGGAGGACGAAGGAGAGGTGTGACTCCAGCAGCTGACCATGCTTGCGAGTGATAATCGACCCAAAAGCGAGCGCGGACGCGTATCCCTGGAGGAGTTCGTGAGCACAGGGGTGATTATATGCGCGAAAAAGGAAGAGTTTCGCACATAAACGTCGCAGAGGATAATAGCTATCCACCAAGGACGGACGGGGGTGGTATTATGCTGTTCCTGGAGAGCCGTCGCGATGGACAATCCGAGGAGGGCGAGGCAGCAGGCGAGGCGAATGAAGTTGAGGACGAATATTGTTGGACCTCCCGCGCGCCTCACGACACGACGGAGCGCGTTGCGCTCCTCGGGCGTGGTGGCGGATGTGTCATCGTCGCCGTCGTAGAAGAGCGGGGCATCCTTCTGCGCGCAATGGCCTGCCAGCAGAGACGAGCCTCCATGGATGAGAAGAGCAAGCGCGGAAGCAGCCGCGCCGTAAACGGGCGCGAAAGCCGTGTCGCCGATCTGAAACGGGCTGCGAGCGCGTATTTGTAAGCGTTGGTTCGAATCCTGGAGGTGCCCTTTTGGTCACAGCCACGACGTAGATCCTCACCTGTCGGCCATGGCGGATGGAAGGCGGTTTAAAGCCAGGCTACGAAAACGGCGAGTGTTCAAATACGTGAGGCTGTACTGCGGTTGCTCTGCACCGAGACATCACTCCGCCAGTCACGGAACACGTGTCGGGCTGCGAGTGGATCCCCATCAATCCCGCAGGTGGGCCAGGACCTTCGCCGTAGTTTGTCGTCGCTCCGCATCCATACAACGCTCTACTCGAGCGCAGCTGGTGTCCTCGTTGCGCAGGACTGCGGTCATCAGCCAGGACTTGAGCCCTGGACAGTGGAATCGCAGTCAGCAGCGCGCCTCTTGCGGTCAACGCTAGATGCCGTGTCGCTTGATCAATTTCGCCAGCGACTCCTTCTCAGGAAGACAGGCGGATACTTCCGTCAGCTCGTGGACGGCTACGACGACTGCGCCACTCTCTATCCCATGGTCGGACTATTCTTTGTGGAAGACGATTGATGACGTTGTTTTACAGGAATCCTTCTGGTGGCTATTGAGAGGTGTTCTTGCACCTCGTCTCGCAACTTGGTCTAGCGCAGATGTCGTTCCCAATATGTATGAGCATTCAATAACGGTTTTCTGGTGTCACACAGCGGTTTCAGCTCGTCTACGGGGATGCTTAATCGCAAGTCCCGGGCCGGAAGCGGTGCTGACATCACCAAAAAGACATCTTATCGACTGAATGCCACAACGGCATTGATAGGCCGACGTTGTGGTCCACGCGTTCAACTTTCGCCGTGCACGGACTGCGTATTCGGCGACGTTGGTTCCTGACCGTCAACTTGGACGTTGAATTGTGCCCTACTACTTGAGGCCACGTCCGGTGACGCAGCGGCCGTTCTCATCATCCCCCAGTGCTCCCCACCACCCGCGACCGCCGACAGTCGAAAGCCGCCCCTCTGAAAAAGCCATGGTTTTTGACTCAAGGTAAGTACAAGTACTGCCAGAAGTTGCGAGACCTGACATGTTCTCGCTGGCGGTCCAGCGCTTGGGGCGACACGCGCGCGGTCCCCATTTTGGGCGCCTGTGTCTCTGCATTGACTCTCGCTCTCCAGGTCGTGTACACGTGGCACTTTCAACCTCCCCATTTCAAGCATCCCGTTATCGTCAATCAAAACGCGTGCCCGCAAGGATCACGTGTGACCTATGAAGAGACAGAGCACCAGGATGGCCAATACAACCTTGAACGTGTCATGGAATTTAACGCGGTCCGACGCGATTTTACATGAAGACGGCACGCCTCGCTTGCTGCGTTGCCCTCGCTACGTTGTCCGCCGTTCCCCTCGTCCTGGCGAGCCGGCGAACTCTAGAGCTGCCTGCCTCCCTGGAGTATGAACTTGTACACTGCGGCTTATACGTAAGTTCGATTCACTTTGCATTGAATCGGCCGAAACACTCACTGTCGTTCATCCCAGATTTACGCCTCCGCTCTCGCTGTGGGACATCTGTTATCTCGGAAGCACAGCTCAGCGTTCGCATCACATTTAGTTATAGTCACCTTCTTGGCGCTTGCCGTATCCGCAGGTCGCAACGTTGTCCCGTTGTTTGTCATAGGAGGTGTGCCTGCTGATCTGGCGACGCAAGGTGTTCTTCTCTGGGCCAAGATTGTCTTGCTTTTTGAGATCTCCGTCATGATTCCGCTGGTCCTCCCGCACTACGACCCATCCATCGTAAGTTCTGTTTCTCGCTCACAGCGTCCTTTGTCTATTTCTCATACCACGTTCGTAAGCCGAATCCAAACGACGAACAACGCAGTAGCCTGCTAGCTTACTGTTTGTTCGCATGGCTAGACGTCACCATATCGAAGGCCTCACGGACATCTCATCTTTCGCACAACGAGCTACCGTCACTTGCTGAGGATAACCGTGCGCGAAGTCTGGTGGAGCGCAGCTTCTCGGTGTGTGCGTTCATATCACTTCTGAAGGACCGATCTCATGGACCATAGTACATCGATCCTCTCAAAGTAAGGTCAGACAGACACATTATTTGGGGCCTTCTGCTGTTCTATCGTGAGTGACCTCTTCCGAGCGTTCGCGGTGAAACCAACTATTTCGATCAGGCAACGATCTCGTGGTACGGGTCATCCTGTCCCTTGTTGCTGTGAGGTTCACTTCAATCTGGTGCATGATTCAGCACCTCACGGTTCATCGCAGGCTGTCGTACCCCTCGCTACGCCCATCGCACTTCGAAACTTGCTTAAGTAAGGGCCCATGCTGGTTCGGTGTCGAGTGCGCTGACAGCTACTTGAAAGCGTCCTGGAAACTGGCGGGGAGCACTCTCGGTATGAGCCGTGGACCTGGATCGTCCTCATGTTCATTGGCTCCTCGATCTCCACGTTGGCGGATCAGTGGTACATTTGGATTGTGGTAAGCGGACCAACATATGTATCCTGACGACATCCTGACGCCGTCCGGATCACGTTCAGCATCGTCAACATGTCAAGACACAAGTCATTCTCACTGAGCTCATCTTTCAGCACGCGCTGCGCATCCGCGTCAAGGCCGAGACTTCGGCTGCTGACGGATCGACAGCCAGGAGTGCCAATCTGTCAGGGAGGTTGAATAACCTTGTCACGAGCGACATAGAGAACCTTAAGGTCGCAAACGTGTTCTGGATGCACACCTGTGAGCGAACAGACTCCGCGACTAGCATACCGCTAAACATCTGTTGGCAGTAATCAAGTGGCCTTTGCAGATGATCGCTGCAGTCTTGCTGCTCTACCGCATCTTGGGATGGAGGTACGTACCGAGACTGCCTCCGATGACATTCCTGATGTGATCTGATGACCGCGACATCAACTTCAGCATTTTTGTAGGAATTGGGGCCATGTTTATAATGCTCCCTTTTCCTACATATGTCACCGACTTCGTGCGCAAGTATCAAGCAATGATGATGGTAAAGATGGACGCACGTGTGCAGTTAATCAGCGAGAGTGAGTAATTGGCATTCCCTTCTCTTCTGGACTCGGACCCGTCTGACGCCGTTTGTTTTCAGCACTTGGAATCGTGCGAATGATCAAGCTTTTCGCTTGGGAACACCACGTTGCCGAGAAGATAACTCGCCGAAGGGATGAGGAGCTCGTTGAGCTGCAGAACTCGCGGATGATGATCCTTCTCAGCAGGCAGTCTACGTTCGTTTACTCTCTGATCGCTAGCGTTTTTCAAAGTGCACATGTTCGTTTTGTCGCAGGTTCAGCATTCCGCTTCTTGTCATGTTGTTGACGTTTGCAAGCTTTGTTTGTCCCTTCATCTTTCTTCCCTATAAATTGGCGTTATTGACGGCGATTCATAGGCACTCCTCCAAAAGGGTGAACTCACGCCATCTCGTGTATTCCCTGCGCTGTCAGGTATGTTGTTTGCTATGACGTCATATTACCGCATATGTTAACTCAATTGTCAGCGTTTATCATGCTCCAGAACCTACAACTACTCTTCGGCAACTTGCCTAGCGTTCTTCGAGGTGTGTTCTTGACCTCAACACTGGTTATTCTAGCCAGCTGATTGCTGTTTACTTGAAGGCAAGTTGTCCATTGATCGCATCAACGACTTTTTGCATGAGGTGCGAACTTCCTCTTCGCACAATCATCTCGTGTCTACATTAACTTGTATTTAGACGGAGCTCCTCGACGAGTTTGAGGACCCCCCAGTACCAGGAGAAGACAGATTCATCGCCTCCGACGCCGACATCGACATCGGCATCAATCACACTCACTTCACATGGTCGTCTTCCGTGCCCGGCAGCGGCGCTCAGACTCCAGTCGACCCGACATCCTCTACCACCCCTGATCTGCGGCGCTTTTCTCTCCGCATCGACGAGCCCCTTCGATTCAAGCGCGGGGCGATCAACCTCATCATCGGCCCGACTGGGTCGGGAAAGACCTCGCTGCTCATGGCCCTCCTCGGAGAGATGCACGCGCGTCCCTCCGAGCCCGGAGTAGGGACGTGCGTGAAGCTGCCGAGGGACGGTGGTGTCGCGTACGCGGCGCAGGAGAGCTGGATACAGAGCGAGACGATTCGGGTATGTCTACCAGTCCGCGCAGGGCTTGCCGGCGCTGAATCCCAGTGGACAGGACAATATTCTCTTTGGGCTGCCTTTCGACGAAGTCAGGTATAAGATGGGTGAGCATGCAACTGCTGCATGCGGGCCGATCTTTTTCTAACAGTGAGGGCAGTGATCAAGCAGTGCGCGCTTGAACGCGACCTCGCCCTCTTTGCGGCGGGAGACATGACAGAGGTTGGAGAGAGGGGGATCACGCTGAGGTACGTCAACGGCCTGGGCCTCATCGTTGGACACGACAATGCTGACCATATCTCAGTGGTGGACAAAAAGCTCGGATCACGCTTGCGCGAGCCGTGTATTCGAAAGCGGAGATTCTGCTCCTTGACGACGTGCGCAAGGCTCTAGTATAGCTCTGATATCACAGCTCTCTAACATCCCCTACTCTAGGTACTTGCCGCCCTCGACGTCCAGACGGGTCGTTCCATCGTCGATCAGTGCTTCATGGGCGATCTCGTCCGCAACCGCACTGTCATCCTCGTTGTACGTCATGTCCCCCATTTTCAATCACGGACGTCGTTTGATACGGTCCCTCAGAGTCACAATGTTGCTCTCACGCGCCCCATCGCTGGTTTCGTCGTCGCCCTCGGTAGCAACGGCCGTATCGCCAGCCAAGGGTCGCTCGACAAGGCACTTGAAGACGACCAAGAACTCATGGAAGAGCTCAAAGCGGACGTCAATGCTCTTGTCAAAGCAGACCAGGATCTAGACAGCCAGAATGTTGCAGACGGTACGGCCGAACAGAGTAGTAACGGAAAACTCTTCGCTGCCGAGGAGATTAGTCGAGGCACAGTCGGATGGGATACCAGTAAGTCTAGCTGTGGTATCAGTGTACTTTGACTGATGACGATTCGACAGTGAGACTGTACTTTTTGAATGCGTCGCGGTCACCGTGGATCTTTTGGTTGACCTATCCGACGTTGATTGCTCTGACGCACTCGATGTTCAACCTTCTCGTCGGTATTCACGCACATGTGCAGAGGTCTCTATTCTGACTTCTGGTGACCAGGAATGGGTTCTAGGTCTCTGGGCTTCGCAGTATGAGACTCATGAGCGAAGCGAAGTTCACGTGGGATAGTAAGTGCAGACATACCTTGTTCGGACGATGCGATCGCAGGCCTGATTTCGAACACTAGCTACGTCTCATACTATCTGGGAGTTCTGCTCGCAGGATCAACTGCATACGCAATTGGCTGGTACATGGTCACAATGAGCTCCCTGCGAGTATCTACGATCGTTCATCAGCAATTAATCAAGTCGGTCCTTGGCACCACGCTACGGTAAGCAGTTGCATACGCTTAGCCCTACCTCAACCATGCACTGATGCTTCGTCGAAGTTGGCTAGATAAGACTCCCACATCACGTATTGTCGCGCGCTGCACCGCGGACATCCACACCGGTACGTGATTCACTCGTCTCCTTCGCGTATCATCATGCTCAGGGTGTCTTCCTCGCAGTCGATACCGCCGTCTATCTTGCGATTCACCATCTCACTGAGCACACTGTGTTCATGCTCACCAAGCTCGTGGCGGTCACCGTGGTCATCCCTGTGTTTGTAATACCCGCGGCTCTGTTTGCGGCCATCAGCAGTACGTTCAGTCGGAGCTACATGCGTGCGGAGCTGCCGATCAAGCGCGAGATGAGCAACGCACAGGCGCCGGTTCTCGGGCACTTCAGTGGGGCCATGGCTGGCCTTGGTGAGTTGTGCGCTTTAAAACGCCTCAGTCTGACGTCTAAACCGTCCTTACAGTGTCAATTCGCGCATACGGTGCTCAAGAAGCGTTCAAGCTGGAGTCCTATAGACGCTTGGACTATTACAGCCGCGCGGCCTTTCCGTTCAATGCGCTCACTCGGTACGAAGTTCCGACGTTCCCACATCTAGTCTGTTTTTAATCCTCAACATCGGTTAGATGGATCACCGTACGCGTCAACCTTCTAGGAATAGTCTTGACGACTGCGCTAGCGACCTACCTGACATACGTGGCCTCGATCGGTGCCGCGAGCACCGGTTTCTCGATGTCTATGGCCAGTAAGTATTGTCTTAAAATTATTCATGAACGGTATCTGATGTCACGCGAACAATTTAGCTGAAATGGCTCAACGCATCTTACATTGGTTCCTTGCATTTAACAACTTCCAGATATCCGGTACGTGTCTCAACGACGTATTATCATCATTTGCTTCGTTCTCTGACGATGCCGATACGCGGACAGCGAACAGGTATGGCATACATGTTTCATTCTGCGCATTTTCCTGACTATCTGCACAGCGTAGAACGTATCCGACAGTATTTGGAGATAGAACAGGAACCGAAATCCACCAAGTCTGGTGTGCCGCCTGCGTACTGGCCTGCAAGCGGGGAGTTGCGAGTCGAGAACCTTTCAGCGAGGTATACCCCTGACGGTCCGAAGGTCTTGCACGACCTGTCGTTCCAAGTCAAGTCCGGTGAACGCATTGGCATCGGTAAGTGGATGTTGTCACCGACGTCGCAGAAGGCGGTCTGACATGCGCTTCCATGCAGTCGGACGCACGGGCAGTGGCAAGGTAAGGATATCTGCCCTTCTCACTACGCTGTCTACGATGCTGAGGTACCTCCCCAGAGCTCGCTCACCCTGTCGCTCCTTCGCGCCATCTACACCGAAGGCAGCGTGTTCTACGACGGCCTCGCCACCGACGCTCTCAACCTCGACGCGCTCCGCTCCAACGTCACCATCATCCCTCAGGTGCCTGACCTACTCAGCGGCACGCTCCGCCAGAACCTGGACCTCTACGACGAGTACTCCGACGTGACACTGAACGACGCGCTGCGCTCGGCGGGTCTCTTCGCACTGCAGGAACGCGGCACTACGAGTTCGAGCGATGGGCACATCGACGGCGGGGACGGCGCACGGCTCACCCTTGACTCTGAGATTGCCGGTGGGGGAGGGAACCTTTCTGTTGGTCAAAGGCAGATCATTGCGCTCGCGCGGGCGATCGTACGGCGCAGCAAGCTGCTCATTTTGGACGAAGGTGTGTTTTCATCCCATCGTGCGCGCGTTTGCGTTATAGTAATGGATTTACGGTGCAGCTACATCGGCGATTGGTGAGCATAGAGCTGCGGAACATTTGACGGATACTGACGGACCTCTGGGAAGACTACGAGACGGACGCGATCATCCAGAAGTCACTCCGAGAGGAACTGGGGAAGGATGTGACGGTGCTCACTGTGGCGCACCGTCTCCAAAGCATCATGGACGCCGACAAGATTGTGAGTCGAACCTTCGCACCGATATCGTTTGATGAGCTCACATAGTTGCTGCTCTTTTAGATGGTTCTTGATGCGGGTCGGATTGTGAGTAGTTGACCGAAGTCATCCTATCCAGACGCTGACCGAGATCATGTAGGTTGAATTCGACAGTCCAAGCATACTGCTGGGGAAGAGTGATGGGTATTTCCGTGGGCTGGTGGACGGAAGTTTGGATCGACACACGCTTTATGCTATGACAGGCGCCACCGCTTGAGGTCATTCCTCGTTCAAATAGTAGGGGATGCGGGGCCACGTGGGGGATGTTCGGTCGGAGTCGAAATTGGTAGTGCTCAGTGCTGCGGTGTTGTCAGCATAATGGGTATTTGAATGGAGAAGGAATGAGAACAGCATGCGCTGCAGTCTGCTGCAGTCCAGCCTTGAGAGATTTGTCTCTGATTCAAGCAAGATACAAGGGGATAACACTACGGATACATGTGTACATTGACAGAGACCCGACGCGCACGAACGGAAACTCCAGAGTCCAGAGCCAGAACCTAGTACTCCTCGACATCAACGTCCGACAGCGACGCGTACTCGCTCTCCGTCCGGTCCTCGTCCGCGTAGTACTCCTGCACGACCTCGACCATCGCGAACCGCATGATCGGCGAGATCGGGACGAGCTTCGGGCCCAGGACCTCTTCTTCCTCTTCCTCTTCCTCTTCCTCGTCCTCGTCTACTTCCACGCCCATGTCCACCCCCGCTCCGACGCCCGAAGCAGGGTACGGCGGGGCAAGCCCTGCAAGCCGCTCGTGCGCGCGGATGATCTCCTCGTCCGACATCGGCTCCATCTCCGCGTCCGACCACACCGTCTCGGGCCGCATCCCCGTCGCCCCCGCCCCCGCCCCCGCCCCCGTCGCGGCCCCAGCACCGACCGCTGAGCTCGGACCGACGCTCGCCCCGCTGGGCCCCGCGCCAGCACCCGCGCCCTCGAGCTCATCCACGGCCGTCCCGCTGCTTCCCGGATCTTGCCTCTCCCTCTCCATCGCTGTCGCCCCTGCCGCCGCGCGCTGCCCAAGCTGCAGCCGCACGCTTTCCCTGGGGGCTCTCCCCGCGCCCCCCATCGTCGTCGCCGTGCTCATCCTCGCCTGCGCGCCCGCCCTTCCCGGCGCCGACCCGTCCCACTCCCGCGACACCGGCTCCGTCCAGCGGAGGTCGAGGATCCGGCCCTTGACCATCCCGTCGATCGCGCGCGCGCCCATCTCGCGGCAGAGCAGAAAGTACGGCAGCGCGCGCGTCCGCGGCTGCGCGAGCCGGTTCATCACCCGCAGCAGCTGGAGCGCAGAGAAGTCGGCCTGGAAGACGGGCGCCTCTTCCCCGTTGCTCGCGCTCGCACCGCTGTGGCCACCGCCGCCGCCCATGATGCCGCTGCCGGAGGGCACGCCGAGGAAGGTGGACGGGGACTGGTGCGGGGTTTGGAGCGGGCTGTAAATGCGGAAGCCTTGGCCGGATGGGCCGGTGCCCGTGTTCATGGGCATTGGTGGGGAGAGACGGTGAATGGCGTGAGTGGACGCGTCTTCATTGTTCTGCGCGCCTGGAGATTCGCCTGCGGCTTGCCCATTAGGGGAGGCCTGCGAAGAGTGGATGACGTGCAAGTTGAGCAGCGCGTGTGCTTGGATGAAGTGGGACGACTGTTGTACTGCGCATGGGATTGAGTATCGGGGTTTTGAGAAAAGGAGCGACTTTACTCACTGTCAATACGTCCGTTCGAGTTCACTGACCGGCACGCGCAGAAGTCAACAACGGCATCCCCTCGAGGCAATGAAGCGACTCACCGTAGTCTGTGACATAATCCTGCCAGTGTGCAAACTTGCCACCGAACGCCTCATACAACTTCTCGAACTCCAGACCACGGCGCAGCTGTTCGGGCACGCCAGGCAGGATCCGCTCGCGGAAATACTTGCGCGTCTCCGCTTTAGGATAGTCGCCGATGGTGATGATCTGCATCGTCCGAAGCGCAAGTCGATCAGCGATAGGGACACACGGAGCGCCGGGCGAGGGAACCGCACGCACCTTGCAATGCTGCATTATGTTCAGTTGGCGCAGCCACGTTTGGTAAAACGGGTCGCTCGTCGCGTGTATGACGTGGCAGAGACGGTCCTGTTTCGTGAGGACCAGCATCGCGTCGAGAAGGCACTTCATCGCGTCGATCGAGCGAATGAGCGCAGGGCTGCGGGCAGGTAAGGCCATTCAGCGACGGCGTATACCGCAAAACGTTGAGGGGACAGTACGTACAGCTTATGCGCCTCGTCGATGAAAAAGACCGGGATCTTCTTCATCGGCGCTTCTGGCTTCTTCTCCTGAGTCTGGGTTGCGTCGCCGTTTTCTCGCGCGGCTTTCTCTGCTTGCTTGCGCCGCATCGAAAACATGCGGTGCGGCCAGGACGGTTTCTCCTGACGCCCTTTCGCCTTGTTTGGGCCGTCTTCGTGTTCTTCGCGGCGCTTTGCTTGGAGAGCTTCGGGGGAAGGTTGGAAGTTCCAATACCGAAGGAGGGAGCTCTGCACCTCATTGAGCACAATACTAGTGCCATATATGCACTACTTACTTGGAAAAGCTCCATCAAACGCGCAATGTCACTCGTTTTGATGTCTCCAACGGGCGACCCGAGCGCGTCAGTTGATTGCCCAGCATTAGACACACGTCGCTCGACATTGAGCCTATCGTGCTTCGATGGACGTTCGTCAGCCACATCAGACACGTTTTCGAAGAAACTTACTTTGAAGCTCCATGCCTCCTTCTCGAACGGTTCGTACCCGGGCATATCGGAGTCTTGTGCGATGGCCATGAAAAATCCCTCCATCTGCTGACTGACAACAGACTGTTCGATGTCGGAAAATGCGCAAAAGGAGGGGGAGACGTACCTCAGACTCATGTACAGACTAGCCAGGTCTGCAAACCCAGCGATGCGAAGGTCGAAATGGAGGACATGATAGTTAGGTTGGGTCAGAACTTGTCGAAGCAACGCGGTCTGGAGACGCGGTCAATCCATGTGCATGAAGCAACCGGTCGAGAAATGACGTACCTTTCCAACACTGCTTGCCCCGAATAGCACCGTGAAGCTCGGCTCTCCTTCGAGTGCTCTTGTGATCGCCTTCAGCTCCGCTGGTCGATCGAAAAAGCCAGGTAGGGGAGAGAAGGTATGCGTGGGGGTCAATTGCGCGCGCTCCCTCGCCTCCTCCAGCTCTCTCCTCGTCTCCTCCAACATCCTCTTGGATTCTGTCAACGAGCGCAGGGTTTCCGATGGCTATATGCGCGTTCCCAAGCGTGAAAAAAGCGAAAAGATACGTCAACACTAGCCGACGCTTCACTGCGGGTGCATGTATGCGCATGCAAAGGACGGAAAGAAACTCACGTTAGCCAATACACTGATGATCTCTCCGACTCCGAAAAAGTTGCGTTTGCGAGCGTCCAGGGGCATAGACATGCCACGGCGGCGGGGGATGTTGGAGCGGAAGAGCCAGTGCAACTGGATGGCGGGACCCTCGCCGATCGCGTACAGGCTCTGGCGGCGTGAGGCGGGGGGCGAGAGGGCGTGCGTGCGGGGCGTGGGCGACGGGCGGGCTCGAGAAGCGTTGCCGCTGCCGGGGGCTGGGGGAGACCTGCGGGCCATGATGGTGGTAGCGTGCTCGGGGACGGCGGAAAGGGCGGTGGGCAGCGGCAGACGATGGGCGTGCGGGAAATGAGAGGGAGTGAGGAGATGGCAGCCGGGCGGGGCGATATGAGCAATTGAGGCCGTCAGCGAGGACCGCGCGCCGGGCGGGCGGAGGGGGCGCCGTGGCGCAGAGAGAGCCCCGGCGGTGAAGAGCGTTGGGGGCATGTGGCCATAGTCCAGAGGCTATGTGCGCAATCGGGAGGGTCTACACGTTGCAACGGCCTGGGGACCGTCCACGGCGCTATGAACTGGGAGAACCCTGTGAGTCGAAGGAGAAGCATCGCGGACGGCTGCTCGATGGCGAACCTGTATGGTTATCCAGGCGGCGAGGAGATGAAGATGAGGGCTCCAGACAAGGCGGAAGATAGAAGCGAGCGTGGCCTGAGCCGACGCGGGCTGCGAAGGTCATCGCGGACGAGCGCAGACGGGCGTCGGTCGTCGGCGGTCGCTGTCAACGATGACGTTTTGCTGCCACCCACGTGCTCCGACGAGTCCCACGTGGCCCGGTCTCTCTCCACATCTGAACGTTGAACCCGGAATCGCGCGTTTCAAGCTTTGGTTCCTCGCGATTTCGTTGTGAAAAGATGTTTTATCCCGTGTGAAGGAAAAGTTCGCGTAGGGTGCACGACAAGCTGGCCAGAGACGTATTGGTTCCAGCGAACCGGAAGAGGTGTTGCTGCAGCTCGTCGAGGAATACGGCAGGTTAAGTATTCTTGATTGCGGACGTCGTTTCGCGGGGTCTCCTCAGCCTTACTGCCGAGGTCGCACGGGAGGTCATATACGTTGAGACTTGAATATATGAATATCCTCCAGTTGTTCGTAGGGGACAGCCCCGTCACCTGCCGTACTTCAGCTGTATAACGCCTATCTACATATTGAACGTGTTTCCGTAGTCTGACATACAGTCTTGGCACCACTACGGCGCATATGGACGCCCCGCATGGAACGAGACAAGAATTACTCCGCTGCATACTGACGAGGATACGAAGATACCATTGCAGGGATCTGTGAGCACATAAATATCCTAGTATGCCGCTGAACACACGCAAAAGATGGCCCAACAAGTCAGTACACGCGACAGAGGTGTCGAGTCCTTCCCCATGCGCTAAACATCCTATTCTTGAGGTCTGCGCGTATTCATCAAAGAGACAGGCACCAAAACGTACCAGGCAGTCGTCCTCCAGGTCAATATACCATAACGTATTAACTACAGCTCCGGATAATGGCTTGAGCGCAGTGTCAAGGGTGTCGAGGACGAAATCGTAGTTGCCGCAGCTCTGCATTCGTCCGTCGTAGTTGTAGTTCGTCCACAGGTAGAGGACGAATCTGTGCTCGAGCGACAATGTCTGCGCTGTGTCCAAGCGCATACCGCATTTCTTTGAAAGGTCGATCGCCATAAGGATGATGGCGATTCCCGCCACTTCCGCCGGGGATCCACCAACCTGGGAAACGAACTCGTCGAAGTTGAGAGTCTCAGCTCCCTCCTCATCAGTGGACAAGCACTTCAGTTTGTGGTGCTTGGCGTACTCGAAGGCGGCCTCCCACTTGAAGGCGTAACCGAAGCGCCAGAGAGGTAGGCAATTTCTGCCATTGTATATCTGTGAACGGCGAAGAGTAAGTCGTGGGCCGTACGTTTCGAGGGCACGAGTGACACGCTACATGTGACGGCACGCCAAATAGAAGGGATCAGGAGAGATGGGCAGTGAGGAGACACGAGGAGACGCACCTGTTCGTAGCGCAGCTCCCATGGATCACGCTCGTCAGGATTCAGAGGGCGCGACACATCTTCGTCAGAGTCCTCGTTGGACTGGCGGTCGCCGGTGGCGGGATGAGACGTGTGGTCGGAGCTTGACGGGAGCGAGAACGCGATAGCAGGAGAGTCACTGTCATCAGATCCATCGTCGATGTCGGTTGGATGGCACTTGTAGGCAGAAATGGTGTGGTCCATCTTAAGGAGATTGAGTGCAGCGAGGAAATTGTCTTCGGACAGGCTTGTATGACACAACAGAACCGAACCATGGGTGATGTGGCGTGGGAAGGTCGGCGCGCCGTAATGAGTTACGGGGGAGACTCCGAGAGAGGTGAGTGTACGGCGGGAGTACCATGGAGGTTGGCTCTATGCACGCGTTGGCAAGAAACGACTCGAAATGATAACTCCCACCACCAGCGCAGATGCCCGCGCGAGCTCGTACCTCATGTTGACAGAGCCGTGAGCGGCAGCCCTCAGGCCTCAGGCCTCAGGCCTCAGGGCTCATGACGGGCGGCCCGACGGTCGGGCCACGCCGTGCCAGTGACCGAGCCGGGCTCGCGGCAGGCGACGGGCTGAGCGGAGGCTGCGGCTGCTCTGCTCCTGCCATGGTCTACATCTCGTCCTGGCAGGAATACCAAGAGGCCGCGGAGGCCCTCTATGACAAGTCTCCCAACACGGTCAGCATCGCTCTCTGTCCTCCCCTTCGCGCGCTGATCTCCCATCTCCCCGATCGCCAGACGCGCTACTGCGCAGTCAAGTGGAGGTAAGTAGTCGGCAGACGGCCAGGGCAAGCTCGTCCTCAAGTTCACCGACAATACCACCGTGCCTACCCATGCGCGCCATCTCACTCGACCTAAAACTCACTTCCGCGCGGCGTCACCCGTGATCGCAGTGCTTGAAGTTCAAGACACATTCCTCCGTCTTCCTCAACCGCTTCGATGCCTTCAACCTCACTCTGATGCAGAAGATGCAGAACAAGCGTCCGACGCAGGCGTCGCCCGCCCCCGCCGCTCCTCAGCCCGCACCAAGCGCACCTCAGGACACTGTGCCCTCTGTGCCCGCACCAGCCGGTCCAGCGGGAGGGGTGAAGAAAAAGAAACCGAAGAAGAAAAAGTAGATGGATGGTGGATAGGACGTATGCGGTCCAGGTCAGATTTCTTGAACCTTTCATGTGCTGTACATCTGCGTCATTCCACGGCGATCATCAATCACACTCCATCTACGATATTCGGGTGTTCACGTCCTCGCCCTCGGCCTGAACTACGCAAGCAGCGGATCGGTAATGTACGCAAGAGCATCACGGAGAGGCCCTCCCATTTACCATCAACTTCGTGAAGCCCTTCGTGACTAACACTCAACGGTAGCTTTCTATCTGCTTCCCCTCCCCTTCAGTCCTATCGAGTACGATGGTTGCCATGGAGGATGGTGGGACCGCACAGGTGTGTCGTCCAGTCAGCGATTAGGATATAGCGCTCATCTACCTGTGTGGTTTGGCGGGCGACGCCCCGCTGTCGCATATGCCAGATGTGCTCCGTACCGACCTTTGCAAAACGGTCTTGGCACGTCGTATTCAGCGAAGGTTTTTCACATAGCGCTTTCTCCGCAGTGTCAGCGCACACATCTTGGACCATGCATATGCTCCCGACCAGTCCGGGGCATCGACTGTCAAACGACGGCGTCGTACACAGCTTGCGTCGTGTGGAAGCGAGCTGTACCTCGTGGTGCAGTTACAAGGGGGTGGCGACGGTCAAGGATTCAGCCTACCCAAACTAGGAGGCCAGCTACCTGCCTCTCGCGCTCAAGCCGCACCTGTGCCGCGGTGGCCCCAACAGAGTCGAACAGCTTCTCGGTATGAACGGAAATTGGCTCCAGGAGGCCACATTTGGCTGTCGCTCGTATCCGCCCAAGAAAGCATGAGCATGTCCGGCATGACAGGCTACAGATTGTAGTAGGCAGCCTGGGCTTCCCACAGCAACGAAGAACACACCCCATCTGCCCATAAAAACCAGCATCGTCCCCAGCTCCCTATCCGCTCTCCAAATCCCAGGCGGCCTCCTCAACTCGTCCAACCCCACCATCACCATGCTCGCCCGCCGCGCCTTCCTCCTCCTCTCCCTCCTCTCCACCGCCCTCGCCAGCGCCGCCCCAGGCCGCCGCACCCCCACGCCCGCAACGCTCCTCCCGCGCGGCAAGTACGACGACAGCGACGGGTGCCCGGTCGGCTCCGCCTCCTGCTCCGCGTTCTCGTGCTACCCGCTCGACGGATCCGTGTGCTGTGCCGGTGCGCCGTCTCCCGCCCCTATCTTCCCCCTCGCGTCGCTGACCCTCCGACCGGCACCGGCGACAGACGGGACGTTCTGCGACCCCGGGTGAGCGCTCCTCGTCCTTCGCGGCCCGCGGGACCGATCGCTGACGGGTGCTCGCAGGTTCACTTGTCAGGCGCAGGCGGACGGCGTCACCGAGTGCGCGGCGAAGCACAACGGCGCGGCGGGGGCGCACCCGGCGGCCGCGGGCACGCTCGCGGGGCTGCTCGCCGTGGGCGCGGCGTTCGCCCTCGCTTGAGTGGGCCGTGGGCGCGGCGTTCGCCCTCGCTTGAGTGGGCCGTGGAGTCCGTCCATGGGGTCTCGGGTGCATATTTTGGTGGGACTCGGTGCTTCTCGCTGTTGCGATGTGTGCTGAACTCCTGTTTTGCAGAGATGACCGCATGGATGGGTGATTGTTATGGTTCGCTTTTCTGGGGACTTGGTGATCCTGCTTTCTCTTGAAATCGAGTTGCTGTACTACATGGATGTATGCCGGTAGAATTGAAGTGAATGCACCATTCATCGTTCCATATATGGTGGCCATCGCAACGTTCCACGTGGTAACGGAACATATCTCGGCGAACCATGTGCATTCGTTCTGGAACCTTTATATGTATCCACCCAACATGTGTGCAGTCCAAGTCTCGCGGCGCTGATTCAGGCACTATGGGACCTTCCTCGCAGCATGGGTTCGACTCCGGGAGACGGCAGACTGTTTCATAAAACACGATGTGACATTCGCGAGGTGGGGTGTGGACAATGCAGTCCTAACTTTTTACACGCACGACAAGCCAACCAACCCAACGCAAGTGCCCAACGTATGCAACCGACTGATCGATCGCTCTAAACTTCAAAAAAAAAGGTAGTACGTAAAACAAGAGTGCACATAAAATATAAAACGAAGCATCCAAGGTGATAGCTACAGCAGAGCGGACATAAGAGTACAGTAAAACAACACTATCGGCGTGTCCGTGAACTGAGTGTGGCGAGAGCGAGTACACAGTCGGCGCGCGCAGGGTCGGGGTTAGGCGTGGTGACTCGTGAGCGATGGCGATGGCGCGGATTTGGGACGAGGACGGCGTGGAGGGATGGTAAATGGAATCCTATGGCAGACCTGAGGAAGAGCGGGGGGCTGGGGATGATCTAGCACGGCGACCCAAGCACATGATGTCGGTACTGCAGTTGCGACGGTGGAATGGCGTCATCGCGCGGCACTCTCCCCCTCAGCACCACGAGCCGTGGACGAGCGCGTCCCACGGCTTCTTCGACTGCAGCGTCTCGACAAAGTGCGTATGTACGCGCGCCAGGGGTCATCGTCCCCGCGGCGGTGGCGGCGGCAGCGTGCGCGTCCGACCCGGGGCAACCATAGGTGATGTGGCGTGGGAAGGTCGGCCCACGAGCCTGGACAGGTGAGTGTACGGCAGTGTACGGCGGGAGTACCATGGAGGACGGTGTTGTTGGTAAGAGACGTTGACGACTCGAAATCCCACCACCAGCGCAGATGCCCGCGCGAGCTCATCGCCGCACCTCATGTTGACAGAGCCGCGAGCCGCAGCCTCCCTCATGATGACGAGTATGTGAGTCAGCCCCCACCTTCGAGATGCCGATCCACAGTGTCATTGACTTGCTGGAAGAGAGGGACAGGCGATATCTAACACCTTCCGGGTACCTTTACACGTCAGGTTTCAGAAAGAGAGACACAGGGGGTAATGAGGCGAGAGCAACGTGCGTCGTGCAAGCAGGCGCGTGGACAGGCGCTTCTTGGCAGCCTTTTCGGGACGAAATCGCGAGGAACCAAATAAGCAAAGCCCGAAACGCGCGATTCCGGGTTCAGATGCAAAACGGATTTGCCACAGTCAGCGAGCTTGGAGATCTCTTCAACATAGTACCAGCTGATGTTCTGCTGGGCGGGGCAGGTGCGTGAATTCTCGGCTGTCTTTTCGAGACGAAATCGCGAGGAACCAGATAAACGAAGCCCAGTGAAACGGCGCGCGGTTCGGCCGGGTTCAGATGCAAACGGTTGTAAGATCGCGCGCACTGCCTGGAAGGCACCGGGCATCACCTAAAAAGACCTCGGGCATCCCGACTCTGAGAGGACTGTCCTCCGTCTCACCAAATGGCGTCCGTGTCCACCGCCGCTGCCTCCCTGCTCACCGTCGCACTCGTGTTCGCGTTTCTCGCGCGCAAGAGACGCAGGAGCACGCTCCCTCTACCTCCGGGGCCGCGCCCCCTGCCGTTCATCGGCAACGCCCTCGACATGCCCTCGAAGGAGATGCGTACTGCCTTCAGGGAGATGAACGAGAAGTACGGTCAGTATGGCCACCATACATCCAGAACTTGGACAGCGCTGACCAGACTTACAGGCGACATCGTCTATCTCGACGCGCTCGGGCAGCCCATGATCATCGTCGGGTCGCACGAGGTCGCGGTGGACCTCTTGGACAAGCGCTCGTCAAACTATTCAGACCGGGGCTCATCAGCAATGATTGACATGTGCGTATCTTCCATCCCGCCGTCCTCTCCCGGCCCGCGCTGACGACCACGGTTCTCCACCAGTGTGGGCGCCGGGTGGGCTGTCACTTTGCTCAGGTATGGAGAAGAGTGGAGACGCCACCGGCGCGCGATCCATCAGTACTTCAACGCGGGCGCCGTGGCACAGTACGCGAAGTCGCAGAAGCTGGAGACGCACCGGCTAGTACGCCGACTGATCGACGACCCAGAGCACTTCCGAAATCACCTCAGGCAGTAGGTGTACGCATCCAGCGTCCGATCTGCGTGACACTCACCTCAGAGGAACAGCTTTTTTGGGTCGTCTGCGCTGCGCATTTCGCACGGCATAGAAGTGGACGACGAACCTGTGGACTACCTCAAGATCGCAGATGACGCGATGGATATATTCGCGGCCGCGTTTGAGCCAGGGAAGTACCTCGTCGAAATCATCCCTTGGCTCGCGCGCATGCCGTCCTGGTTCCCGGGGGCCGGAGCGAAGCGCGACGGGGAGGTTTGGAGACCGATCATCTACAAGATGGTCTCAGCACCGTGGGATGCAGCCATGGAGAAGATGGTAGGGAGAGACGCTTTTCGGAGCAGCAAGGAGCTGACACTGTTGGACTAGCGGCTGGGAACGGCGAGTCCGTCCATGGTTAAAGGCCTCGTGGAGCAAATGCGAGAAGACGACGGACCTGACCAATTGGAGGTTATTAAGAGCGCCGCAGCGGTGACGTTCGCCGCCGGTTCAGATACAGTATGTGTTGTTTTCTAGTGATTTAGAGGTGCCGCTGAAGTTAGTTCTTCCAACAGACTTTCTCGACGATGCAGACCTTCTTCATGGCGATGACGATGTACCCCGAGGTTCAGAAAAAGGCTCAAGACGAACTCATGGCCGTCATTGGCCCCCATCGCCTTCCGGAAAAGGACGACGAACCTTCTCTCCCGTATATACAAGCGATAACCAAAGAGTGCATCCGTTGGCGCTCTGTAGTTCCGCTCAACGTGCCACACCGCTCCTTAGAAGACGACGAGTACAAGGGCTACTTCATCCCCAAGGGTTCAATCATCATCACTAACATATCGTGAGTCTATCTCTTCCACTTTCATCCGATCTCTCGTGCTGACACCCTGAAGCGCGTTCTCACATGACCCCATAATGTATCCGAACCCGGACGTCTTCAGCCCCGAGCGGTTCCTCAAGAATGGCAAGATAGACCCCGCTGTCCACGACCCCGCTACAATGGCATTTGGGTACGGTCGCCGGTAAGCACACACTTCACCGCTCCAATGACAGATCACTGATCCTCTCTTGCTCCTCCAGGGTGTGTCCTGGAAAGCACTTTGCCGAAACCTCGCTGTTCATCGTGATCGCCACGGTGCTCCACACACTTAGCTTGTCCCCGGTAGTCGGACCCGACGGCCAGCCGATTATGCCGTCAGGAAAAATGACACATGGATTACTCTCGTCAGTACCTTTCTGTGAACACTGTTGTTGGATGGTACTCATTGGCGCGCACAGATACCCCGAACCATTCCAGTGCGACATAAAGTCGCGATCGTCCGAACTTGAGGCGTTAATTCGCTCGAGCTGCACTAACATGCAGGGTGTTCGTGCGGCACAATCCTGATACACTACATATATGTTTACCTACTATACCCCCACGTCCTCAGAGTCAAACGAGGTATTTTAGAATGTGTTTGGAAAATCACAACTGTTTGTCTTCGTGGATATTATTTCAAGAATTACAGTATTGACATCCGATCAGTGGAAGGGGTCCCGCGCACCTGTCCTAGAAAGCTCAATTCATCCGAGGCATTATGCATACAAGATCATGTGTGCGTCCCACAGCTCGCGTGCAGCCGTATATGTTCTAATTGCAGATCGGGTCGATCGAGTTCACCTTCGAGCACCGCGCACTGAACGCCGTTATGCTAGTTTGCCACCAACGAGCTGGGCCCGGGCTCGTTTTTGCGCCAAACGACGTGCGCGAGGACTAGCGTGAAAACGCCACCATCGAATCCCAGCTCGCGCACCCGGGCAGAAGCAGCGCTGGGGGGTGCACACTGCACCGGAACAAGTTGAGGAGGAGCGGTGGGAATTCCCCGCTGTCCCGGTCTTGTGAAAGCGACCTAGGACGTTCAAGTAAACAGCGAATTTATAGCATCCTGCAGACTGGCGATCACCTGGACATTCTTCTAATTGACGCACACCCAACGTCCTTCTCGCCGTGGGTTTCGAGGGTGAGATGGGGAAGGCACAGTGTAACAGATCTTCGACTCGAACTACAGCACATCACCGTGCCGATCGCACAACGGCATCAGTAACACTAGTTGTCACGGGCATTGTTTAATTCGTTCGGGACAAACATCCGAAATTTTGCGCGCGCGATTACACGTTCGTATCCAAAGGGCTGTAACGTACTCCTCAAGCACGTACTCACCACGAATGAAAGACAATATCATCAAACACATTCCGAATGGTACAACTCGGACGCCGGCTCAACTCCGTGTCAACACTCCATGATTCCAGCCGTTGCGTAAAGCGTCGCACGATCCATGCTCCCATCGACGAGGCCGCGGAAGAAACCACCATTGTTTTCTAACAGGACCCTTGGACTGTCGAATTCAACCTACATGATCTCGGTTAGCGTCTGGATAGATGACTTCGGTCAACTACTCACAATGTGCCCCGCATCGAGAACCATCTAAAAAAGCAGCAACTGTGTCAGCTCATCAAACGATATCGGTGCGAAGGTTCGACTCACAATCTTGTCGGCGTCCATGATGCTCTGGAGACGGTGCGCAACAGTGAGCACCGTCACATCCTTCCCCAGTTCCTCCCGGAGTGACTTCTGAATGATTGCGTCCGTCTCATAGTCTATGCAGAGATCCGTCAGTAGAATCCGTCAGATACTCAGCAGTCCTATGCTCACCGATCGCAGATGTGGCTGCGCAATCATTCCGTCATTACAATCGAAACACATACAATAGGATGGCAACACACCTTCGTCCAGGATGAGCAGCTTGCTGCGCCGCACAATCGCCCGCGCCAGCGCGATGATCTGTCTCTGCCCAACCGAAAGGTTGCCTCCTCCACCAGCAATCTCAGAGTCTAGGTCGAGCCGTGCGCTGTCCCTGCCTTCAATGTGATCATCGCTAGAGCCCGCAATGACGCGTTCCTGCAGCGCGAACAGCCCCGCCGAGCGCAGCGCGTCGTTCAGCGTCACGTCGGAGTGCTCATCGTAGGGGTCCAGGTTCTGGCGGAGCGTGCCGCTGAGCAGATCGGGTACTTGAGGGATGATGGTGACGTTGGAGCGGAGCGCGTCGAGGTTGAGAGCGTCGGTGGCGAGGCCGTCGTAGAACACACTGCCTTCGGTGTAGATGGCGCGAAGGAGCGACAAGGTGAGCGAGCTCTGAGGAGGCACCTCAGTATCATACACGAGGTAAGCATTGCGAAGGCAGAGATCCTTACCTTGCCACTGCCCGTGCGTCCAACTGCATGGAGGCGCATGTCAGGCTGTCCCCTGCGACATCGGTGAAAACGTCAACTTACCGATACCGATGCGTTCGCCGGACTTGACTTGGAACGACAAGTCGTGTAAGACCTTCGGACCGTCAGGGGTGTACCTCGCTGAAAGGTTCTCGACTCGCAACTCCCCGCTTGCAGGCCAGTACGCAGGCGGCACACCAGACTTGGTGGGTTTCGGTTCTTGTTCTATCACCAAGTACTGCTGGATGCGCTCGAGGCTACATAAATCATGAGTGTGTGTCTCACTCGCTTCGCGATTTTTCTAACCTGTTAGCTGGAGGTAAAAAAAACGACATTAGATAGGCGCACTGATATCCAGATCGAAGGAAACTCGCCTGAGACTTGAAATTCGTTGAGGGCCAAGAACCAATAGAAGACACGTCGCGCAATTTCCGCTGCCATTTCACGTGAGTCACCACAGTCGCCGCTGATACGAGAGAACATACAAGCCATGGACAAAGAAAAGCCGCTGTTCGCGGCGCCGATGGAGGCGGAATAGGTCAAGTACGCAGCCAGAGCAGTCGTGAGGGCTGTCCCAAGGATGTTGACACGGATAGTAACCCAGCTGTGAGATGCATCAGAGACAGCACAGGTAGTCGTCTGAATGGCAGTACCGCGTGAGCGCATTGAACGGGAAGGCGGCTCGACTGTAATTGTCCATGCGCCTGTAAGACTCGAGTCTGAAAGACTCTTGGGCGCCGTAAGCGCGGATGGAGACTGCATCGCCGCCTTATCAACTACCTCTTCTAAGTACCATTGAATAGGAAGTGCGTACCGAGTCCCGCTATTGCTCCGCTGAAGTGTCCGAGCACGGGTGCTTGTGCGTTGCTCATTTCACGCTTGATGGGCAGCTCCGCGCGCATGTAGATCGTGCTGAACCAGCCGCCGACGGCGAATAAGAGCGCGGCTGGAAGGACGAACAAGGGGATGATGATCGTGACTGCGACCAGTTTGGAGAGCATGAAACCCGTGTGCTCGAGCAACTGATGGAATGCCATGAATATATTGTTGTCGACTGTGTCGGAGTGTCAATGAGAGGAGATCAAAAATAATGAATGCGGATGAAGCTATTACTTACTGGACTGAATGTCCGTCGTGCAGCGCGTAATGATGCGCGACGTGGGGGTCATGTCGAGCCATCTTGCGGAACTTCAGTTCTCAAAAATCTGCTGGCTCGTGATAGAATCACGCACCGCAGGGTAGTACCAAGTACCGAGGCAAGAAGTCTCTTGTGAACGATAGCTGAAGCTCTCAGGGAGCCGGTGGTGGCCCAGAACCAACCGACGGAGTAGAGGACAACTCCTACAACAACGAGTGCAACGTATACTGCAACGTAGCTGATGTAAAGTTCAGTAGGTGCGACCTTCTGTAGGAGAGAGAACTTACTATCCGACGTGAACTTCAGTTCTATTATGTTCCTCGTATTGTGACGCCCACATTCCCAGCTCCCATTCCTGGGATTAGTCGGAGATGAGCGCGAATGCTGTCATGACGTCGATAAAGCACACTTACGGCCATGTTCAGCATTGAATGCACAACAGTAAACGCGAGAGGGTAGAGCGTCCAGAACAGCCACAGGTGACTGGAGGTGTTCGCGAAGAATAGATTCACTGTGGTCATTGTTATCTCATCGTCGACGTGGGTAAAGAGGTGCGGAATGCTTACTAGCGCTCCAGGCCACGCTCCCCTCGCTGATCTCCTCTGCAATGGTCAGCTTCCCATCATCTTTAACAGACGGCTTCTCCTCAGTGACAGGATCATCGACCTCCTGCTCTGCCTTCGCGACTTCTGCTTTGAGCTCCTCCATCAGTTCCTTGTCTTCCTGGAGAGCCTTGTCGAGGGAACCTTGGCTTGCGATGCGCCCGCCACTCCCGAGCGCGACCACGAAATCGGCAACGGGGCGCGTAAGAGCGACGTTGTGGCTCTAAGTTGAGCTTGTCAGTGTGGATTTCAGGAGAGCGGCAGAAAGTACTTACGACGAGGACCACGGTGCGTCCGCGCACGAGATCGCCCATGAAACATTGATCGACGATCCAGCGCCCTGTCTGAACTCGAGAGCCGCGAGCACCTGAATAACGATGATCAGATACGCAAGAGACCGGAGACGGATGCATGCGTACATCATCCAGGAGCAAAATCTCCGCTTTCGAGTATACCGCTCGCGCGAGAGTGATCCGAGCTTTCTGACCTCCGCTACGGCATGAGAAGCTCGTCAGGTCACTACAGACGCATTCTAGTCATTCAATCACACGTACCTGAGTGTAATCCCCTTCTCTCCGACTTCCGTCTTGTCCCCCGCCGCGAAGAGCGTCAGATCGCGCTCGAGCGCGCACTGCTTGATCACTGACCACACCGTCAGAACAATATTGGCGCGCATGTAACAGTTCGGCACCCACCTTTGTTATATCTGACTTCGTCGAAAGGCGATCCAAAGAGGATGTTGTCCTGTCATCACGTCAGCACATGCTCCTGCTTCCCGGTCCACTTCCCATTAAGGGACGTACTCGGATTGTCTCATTTTGAATCCAACTCTCCTGTGCCGCGTACGCCACCCCACCTTCCCTCGGCAACCTCACACACGTCCCCAATCCCGGCTGCGACGGGCTCGCGTGCATCTCACCGAGGAGGGCCATGAGTAGCGAGGTTTTTCCTGACCCAGTGGGGCCGACGATGAGGTTCATCGCCCCACGCTTGAAGCAGAGCGGCTCGTCGATACGGAGAGCGAAGTGTCGGGCGTCCAGGGTAGTAGAGGACGTAGGATCGACTGGAGTCTGAGCGCCGCTGGCAGGTGTCGACGACGACCAGGTGAAGACGGTGTGTTCAATGCCAATGTCGATGGTGGTGTCGGAGGCGGTGAAGGCGTCTTCGCTTTGTACTTGGGGGTGCTCAAACTCATCGAGAAGTTCTGCCTGAGATCGGGGTCAGTTGCAGCGGCATCGTGCAAAGAAGCGCAAATATATACGGACCGTGTGCAGGAAATCGTTGATACGGTCAATTGAAACTTTGCCTACACAAGAATTAACGCCCGATTCTAGAAAGGGCGAAGAACGGACGAACCTCGTAGTACAGCTGGAATAGTGTTGAAAACAAACTGCATGCTCTGAATCATAAGGAACGCTAGTGAAAGTACGTCAGATCCCTACAAATCTGCATTGCTCAAACAACCCACCCGAGAGTGCGGGGAACAAGCGTGACGGAGTTAGCTCGCCCTTCTGAAGAATCGTCTGCAGTACATGATCAGCTCGCCGCTCGATTATTGAGAGTAAGATCATTCGCACGTAGCTGGTAAACGTGATAGCCATGGCGAACAGTGGAATCGTAAATCTGGTGAAATCTGTTAGGTCCACAAAAGACTTGAACGAAATACCGTCACAGAACTCACGTAGTTATATTGGCGTAAAGCTCCATCATCCGCGTCTTCCTGAGCTGGACGAGCTCCTCCTTCCGGCGTTCCGCGATCTGCTCAGTGGCGTGTGTCTCCCATCCGAAAAGCTTGATCATTCGCACAACACCAAGGACTGCATAGATATCTGTTCAGTCCGTAGACATAGTATGGCACTCGAAACCACGCACCCTCACTGATGAGCTGCACACGAGCGTCCATCTTCGCCATCTTTGCGCTTGATAAGAGCGCAAGAACGTGCTGAGATAAGTGGGTAGGGATAGCATCGCGAACATCGCTCCGAGTCCGACGAAGGTGCTGCAAAACAGTCCATCAAACACAGCGCGATCACTGGACGGCAATCAAGAACATACCTCCACCCCAGGATACGATAGACGAGGACTATAGAGACAATGATCTGTAGAGGCCATTTTACCACTGTACCGAAACCGTCAGTACTGTAGAGACGACGGGAAGAAGGAGATACTCACAGGTGTGCATCCAGTAGATTTCCCGAGCCGGATGTTTTCCAGATCGCTCGTGACGAGGTTGTTGAGACGTCCCCGAGGTTCCCCTTCCCGCTGTTCCCGTTGGGCGACGACGGGTCCTCGTGTCGCGAGAAGTCTCCGCCTTGACACGAACACGGAGAGCGTGCTGGAAAACGAGTTCAGTTAGGATTGCCTGCGTCATGATATGTTGTCGGTTCTGTGAAGTATGATCGAGGTCAGAGCATATCCGTATAGTCGTCGCAATTCACCTACCACGATCCAAAGATACCACTGGTCTGCGAGCGTGTAGAGAGAGGCGCAGACGAACATGAGGACGACCCACGTCCACGGCTGGTACTTGGAGTTTCCCCCGTTGGCCTCGAGCACGCTGAAACCCTTAGGTGTTAGTGAAGAGCAGTTGCAACAGCCTGTGGTCTCACCTGAGGAGATTTTGGAGAGCAACAGGGGTAGCTATCGGCAATATCCCCTGGAAATCCGGACATTAGTACTAATGCCAGTCATTGTACAACGAGACGTTACCCCAGCTATGGATAACAGCATGCAGACCACGAAGTCCTTGCCTTCAGTGCGCAAGTCAACACGCGGTACGACCAACAGAGAAAAATAACTCACGATAGAACCGGAGGAACCCCCAGAGTATATGGCTATCCTTACCCATCTTGAAAGGATCAACGTACTATATAATCTTCAGCGACCGCCCTCCAAGCATGATCTATGGAGAGACGAACCTGAAAGCTACGGTCCACCAATTCCTTGGCGGTATTGTCGGCGGACAACGCAGGGAGGTCGTCGAGGGACAAATGCGGAACTCGGGCCGCCTTCGCGACGGTGCTGTCGAGCCACGTGAACATCACATAAGCCAACAAAGAAGTTCGCTGCTGCTCGTTCGGATTTTCCTAAAGTAGATGCACTCAGCGCACAGCATAGCTCATGAGACGCGGCACTCACGATGCTCGGGTCGTAGCGGGGAATGACCAGTGGGATTACAATGCCGGCTTCGAACAGGAGGAAGAGCTTGATCCAGAGCACCGTGCCCTCTTTTGCGTCAGCAGGCAATGCTCCGCGAACGAACAGCGGGACGATGTTGCGATAGACGGATACTCCGAAGGAAAGCAATAGGACCGAGACTAGATGGGTGGCGAACGACGAACTATGTTTGGCAGAAAGAATGTCGCCCAAGGAAAGTGCCGAAGCGTAGATCTGAAACGACCGCGGTTAGCGTAAGTTATAACAAGCGTGTCGGAGTACTCACGTATAATGCACAGTATATGCCGTCGAGGAACTGAGCATGTGACGGATTGAAGTGCATGCCCGAAGACGACCATACGAGAGGCACGACTGATAGCGCGGCAAGCGCGACGCAGAAGACCATACGCGCCGTCTTCATGTAGAATCTGGTGTGCCCTCCGTTCTGTGCGACCACACGACTAAACGCGCTGAGATACTCTGGATGACCATCGCCAGCTGCATCTTCGTCCTCCGAGCGCTGAGTTAGAATGACGGGGCCTTTCGCAGAGCCAGTGAACTGCCGTTCGCAGATAAGTTGGATCACCAGCCCGAGAACAGATGCGCAGGCACCATAGAGAGGTACAGCACGCTCCTCGCTCCAGACGCTATATATAATGAGCGCGACGATAATGCACGCAAGTGAACAGAGTACATGCCACGGGAGAGTAACCATTTTGAGAACTTGCGTCAGGAACTAGGAAGCGGGAGAGCCTGACGGGCTTTAAGAGGTTGAATGGGCGTCTTCGCAGTGCAGTGCCACACCGGAAGACGTGAAGCAGCGAGGAATTGACGGGGCTATTTCGACGGAGGCGGTGTGCGCAGTCGAACGTCTTGTGTATGCGAGTCAGAGACGGGTGAGGGGGACGGACTGCGGGGCGGCCACGCTGTGGCTTCGTCTTATGTAGAACGGGGCACAATGACGCGTCCAAGGACGCGCAAGCACCAGTATCTTGGGGCTGACGCGTCGGGGGACGCGCGTCCATCGAGGAGGGCGAAGTCTTCGGTCCAGGAACGGCTTTGACGCGTAAGGGCGCATCGCGGGTGGTAGTCTAAGTGACAAAAATAGGCGTGTGGGTATCAGTCGATTTGCGGCGAGGCGTGCGCTACTATAAGGTACCTTGGCCGGGTTTGCGAATCAGCCTCTGGGAGTTACACTTGTCGCCGAGAGTCTTGAGAAAGCCCGAGTGTTACATAGTCGGCCAACATGGGTCAACAGCAACCGCGCAAGGTGTATCTTCGTGCGTTCCGGCTATCGGACCCAGTAGGAGAACGCTGGCTGTCGCTCAGCTATCAGAAGGGTACCACGCGACACAGCATTTCCGGAGAGTGCGGAAGGATTGCAGGCTGAATACCCGGTGGAACATCCCTCCCATCGGCTTGCCTGCCATGTTCCACCATATGCAGCGCCAAGTGACCCGGGTCGTCCGTGGAGAGCTCGTGAGGGGAAGGAAAGAGTCCATGGCCTGAGATAAGCGCTTGGCAATGGGTGACGCCATAATTTCAAATAGCCGCGATGGCTCTTCACCCGGCCCGAACTGGCCGGGGACACGCTATAGTAGCCGACTCCGACGACGGCGGAGTGGGCGGGGCTTTCAATCATAGAAGCCATAAGTATCAGTCTGCCCACGGCTTGTGGGTATTTGGGAAAAACGATTGGACTGGCGTGGAACAGGCAACTGTGCTCTACATGTCTCATTAATTAAAATCTGTACGATAGCAAAGTTGAACGAGGGGGAAGGTGTGTAACGAAAGGCGTGAGACGGGTCAGCGATCGCGCCGAGAGGCTAGCGTTTGGCATAGCGGCTGGCGTTCCGCAGCCGCTCGCCGTATTTCCAGAAGAGAAACGGACTGCACATAAATTCAAACGCGCACGAATCCTGGAGGCAGGAAAAGCACGCACGGAGGATTCCAACCACGATCGCCACGGCGGCAAGAACGGTGTCTCCCTTCCCGTACCCGAGAGAGCTGAACATGGCCGGCGCGAACAGCGGGAAGCCGAACCCGGCCAGAGAGCGGAAGAAGGTCGCCGCGGCGAGCGCTGTTGGCGGCGCGTTAGTCGCCAAACGACGCAGACATCGAAGAAACTGTAGCCTACCGGAAGCCGCATACAGCGTGAACGCGTCGATGAGGTATGTCTGGATCGTCTGTAAGTTGAGAACCATGCCCGCTCCGACGAGCGCGATGCCGATGTCAGGCGCGATCCAGGGGATGTCGGAGCGGGAAGTCCAGCCAGTGATGAGCAGCCCGATGGGAAGGAGGAATGTCCCGGGAACCATGCATGCTGCGAAACGTCCCTGTCAGAGGGGTCGAGCTCGGTCCCAAAGAACGGCACGCACGAAGTCGGAACTCGGGTTTTCCGACGCCGTCGTTGCGCTGGCAGAGATACTTGTAGACTCGGTCAATAGCGCGCGCGTTGACCTGAGCGGCAACAGCAAGGCCGATTCCAAAGGCGATGTAGTGCAGGCCGGAGATTCCGATAGGCTGCCGGTAAAGACCTTGAAAGATGGACGGGATAGTCGTGAGATACACTGGGAGGAAACAAGTCAATCAGGAGTATCAAACAAAGGATGCAGTGACTTACAGTACAGCGTCCCGTACAGCAGCGACATGTATGCAGCCATCACTTGAATGATTGGCTCTCGGAAGAACATGGCAAACGGTCGAAAGAGTGACTTGTTTACGAACGTTTTCCAACTGACCCAAAATGAGATACTACAAGCTTGGCTGAAAGACCCGCGTACCTTTTGTGAGGATCGTAGTAGGTAGTCTTGATCTCCTTGTGGCATCCGCCCTCGAGGTCGTTCTTCTTCCTTATGGCGGCCGCCTTCCTCTCCAGAAGAACCGGCGCGTACGCTGATGGACAATCAGAGCTCGCAACAGCTTGGCATGTAATAAAGTGGCGGAAGAACTCGCTTTCTTTGAGAAACCATAAACCCACTAACTGCACGGCGACACTAAAGATGGTGGGAGCCCAGAACTACTAGAATGAGCTGAGAAGGAGTGAGTGTCCCCGCAAAGAACTTACCACCCAGCGCCAGTCTCCCAGCTGAGCAATCCACGCTCCGCACAGGGGTCCAATGACGGGTCCAAGGATAGGCATGAGAGAGTAGAGGGAAACGGCTTGACCTCGCTGCTCCGCCGTCCAGACGTCACCAAGGACTCCACCGCCGATCTTGAAGCAGATTATCCACAACAGCTCGTGATGAGTGTCCACTTAACGCGATGGAAGTAAAGACTGCTTACCGTAAGAGTACCGCTACCACCCAACCCCGCCAGAAGACGGAAGACAAGCATCTCTCCAATGTTCTGGGCGAACGCGCACCCGAAGTTCCATGCTGAAGGTGCATGAAAAACCCGAAGTCACGCAAATAGCCAGAACTACGCGATCCCAGGCTCACCTAGATACCAGAAGTTCGCAGCTTGTAGCACCCGAGCACGTCCATATACCTCGCTCAACGGTCCCAGCAACAACGGTCCAAACACTAGTAGGACCATTTCAACTTCGAAAAGTGACGTAATAACGGGAGGCTCACCGTATCCAAGCACGAAGATCGATGTGAGCAGCGCCGACACTGACGAATTCGTCACCCCGAACTGGGCGGCGATGATGTCGCCTGCAGGCGCCATCATCGCGGACGACAGTGGGCTGAGGAGGGTGTAGGCGGAGACAACGACCGTGATGGCCCACTTCTTCCGGACAGGCCAGCTGCGAAGTAGTCGACGTTATGACAAGCGAAACTATGAGCGTAGTCTGAACGAGGACCTACTTTTTGGGGTTGGCAGGGTCCGTTGGTCCCTCCCAGTCAACGACATAGATGCCTTCGTCGTTGGAGGAGTCTGAGGAAGCATTTGTTTGCGGGGGGACTACTTTGTCATCGCGGTGCAAGGGGGATGGAGGCCGGGAGGTGGTTTTCTCGGTGTCAGCCATCATAGTGACTTGAAAGCGTTTCTACGGCGAGCCTGCAGGAAGGAGAGTGGGGGAAGTCCGAGGAGCATGACGACGCGATGCTGCCTTTAAGCCGTGGCGGGTGACGGTGAGTGCAATAGCTCCGTGTGTTCATTTCCACTGGGGACTTGCTGGGTCGGGGGGCAAGCACAGCGCGCTTGACGTGAACGCCGAACAAAACCGAAAGGCCGAAAGGCAGCTTCTGCCACCCATTCGCACGGTTCCAGTTCCTCACATAGGGGGCACTGATCGCGACAATCATTTCCTCCAGTCGGGGCCGAAGCTCCGAGTGGCTTGAATCTCGCAGAATGCGTTGCACTAGAGCCACTGGTAGCGAATTTGCAGTGCTGAGTGCGCCGGTCAAGCGTGGGTCAGATATTGGAATTTGCAATTACTTCAAACGTGGTAGAGATGGAGTCGAGCTCACCAGTTTCCGTTGGAACTTGGGATCCAGTGAACGAGGGCGTAACGGACGGACACCGAGCGCTGCCCATGTGGTCACGACTCACGACCAGCGAGGAACTGGAGAGACTCATCATCAATCTCATGTCAGGGAGAGCCATCTGCCCACGTGACACTTGAACTGTGCGCGCGCGGTGTCTGCCGTCCAATCCTGTCCAATCTCTGGCAACTCTCGACTTTCCAACTCTTGTTCTGCGAGCAGCCCACACCGTTCCCCACCTATGCCACCACCAACACCACACACACCTCTCCGAAGGCTCTCCCAAGGATCACTTTCTCGCCTTTCACGCTCAGCCACATACCCCGACGCCCCTCATGGACTCGGTTTTCTTGAACCCGCGCTCGCGGAGCTGATAGACGAAGCCGAAACCCTCCAGACCAACGTCGAAGGCCTCCGCGCCCTGGAGATTCGCTAGTGGTATTCAACGAGAGCTTCGCGAGCCTGCTGTACGTGATGAACATGCATGCCCTCACCACGGACTTTCCTCAAGTGAGTGCTCTTTCGGTAGAGTCTCTACACAACGCTGAGGGACAAAGTGAGGTTAGGCACCGAGCGACGCGTCGTTTGCCTTGGCATCCCGAAGAGCAGGTGAGAACATGAGTTTCTTGATGCCCTGATCGTCACTTGACACGCCTATAAGCGCAGAGGAAGATGCGCGCGCCGCCCTCGAAGCTATCCGAGCGGCTGAGGCGGCGGCCGCAGCTGCTCGGCGACCCCCCACACCAGAGAAGACTGTCACGACCCACGGATCTGCTGCAGACCGCACATCAACCACAGATGCGACGATGTCAACCCAGCCCGCCTCCGGGGACAGACCCAAGTCTATCTTGAAGAACAAAGGTCCCCGGAAGCTGACGGCGAAGGAGAAGCGCGAGCGCGGCTTAGAGCTGGAGAAGATCCTCGCTGCGCTGCCTTTGGAGTTCAGAGGCGACGACCCGAACTTGCGGAGGAACATCGAGCAGGTCATCGAGAAGTTTTTGGACAACCCGGGAGACGCGTTCAATAGTGAGTGCATACGCCCTTATGCTCCCTGCCTGTCGTTGAGCAAGCTCGTCGCAGTCACGGCGTTCGTCAAGCCGCCTGAACTCAACCAAGCAAAGGTGAATAAGTGCTTGATCGCGCTTGTCAATCGCAAGATTGTCATCAAGAAGAACAGCACGGTGGGTAGCCCTGCTCTTCAAAGTCGTCTTTTCTCATCTATGCGTCGTGTAGGGTGTTGTATTGTACCACTGGCAAGGCCCGCCTTCATGAGCGCTGTACTATCAACACCACCATTGTATCATTCGTCTGCATGGCAGCTTTACGATTGTGCTGCAACCTCTATTGGAAGTTTGTGGCTATGGCAGGGACTACAATGTGATTGATAGTGCGCCGCCCACTTCAATCTGACTGATAGCAACAGCTATCCGCCCTCGTTATCTCAGTCGCGTGAGTGATTTGGAACGGCATCCGGCATGTTGCCGATGACTTACAGTGACTTACTCCATGCTTATCTAGCTGCAGGGAGCGCGCGTGTTATCTGGTTACCGACTTGCTATCTGGAACGCGACTGGCGCCTTTCAAAGCGATCATAGAGGAAAACGGTTTACAAGTCGATTCAACTAATGTTCCGTTAAGGACAGCCTTCATTCCAACGAACGGCACGAGCTTTCCTTCCATGCGCCTTCTCCTCACGCGAGTCTTGGCAGGCACCGCGCCAGCTTAGCCCGCGGCTGCAGTAGGTCAGTTTTAACTCGTCATGTTCCAGCGGCAGCCATTGAAATCCATCTTCCAGCGCAGAGTTTGTCGATACGCGCCCGCGCCATGTGCCTCTCGACACGTGCCTACTGAATTGGGGATAGACTTTGACCCCGGGTTGCTCGCGTCCGATAGGCCTCCATGCGCAAAAGTATAAAGTGCACGCGGACTGGCCGCGGTCGCACACCTGTCTTCTGTCCAGGCTACGACCTCGGCACAAAGCCCCACCATCGGACGCGCGGCCGCTTCCGCTTCCGCTCTACGACAACGACGACGGCGACGACCACGATGAGCGATCTCAAGTCCTCTCACAGCGGAGCTCCTCGCTCAAGAGCGGCTCACGTCCCACATCCGTACGCGATGCTGAGCGCGCATCCCCGTCCGTACCGCAGGCCTCGACCCTACCATCGTTTGACCACGAGCGCGCGCTCGTGCTCAAGTTCGACATACGCATTCTTCCGATCCTCGCGGTTATGTACCTCGCGAACGCGCTCGACAAGGGCAACCTGGGAAACGCGAAGACGAACGGGCTCGAGGCCGACTTGCACTTCCACTCCAACGACTACAACATTATCCTTTCTGTCTTCTTCGTCCCTTTCGTGCTCTTCGCGGTGCCGGTCGCATTCGTCGGCAAGAAGTTCGGTTCAGCCCGCGTGCTCCCCGCGCTCATGTTCATCTTCGGCTCAATGACGCTCCTCAGCGCTGCCGTCAAGAACTTTGCGGGCATGTTTGCTGTGCGGTGGTTCCTTGGTGAGTGTACCTGTGCGCGCTCCATATCGTTTCAATCGCTGACGCTGCGTGCAGGAATGGCAGAGTCTGGCTTCTTCCCGCTCATCATCTACTACCTGACGACATTCTACCGACGCGGAGAGCTCGCGCGCCGTCTGGCGATCTTCTATGCCGCGTCGAATATCGCGAACGCCTTCTCCGGGCTGCTTGCGTTCGGCGTCTTCCGTAAGTAGCGCCCACCTTCATCGCGTGATACCCGGCTGAGGTGTTTACGGCGCGCCAGATATCAAGGACTCCAAGATCCCTGCCTGGCGTTATCTCTTCCTGATTGAAGGTGCTGCGACTGTCTTGTGTACGTTCGCGCCAGTCCACCTGGCGTCAACGATCGCTCATGCCTCTTGAAGTCTCGGTCTTCGCGTGGTTTTACCTCCCGAAGTCCGGTCAGAAGCGTGGTTCCTGACCGACGAGGAGCGCAAGATGGCCTTCCAGCGCATCCAGATGGACTCGTCCTCAATCGTCAACGAAGAGTTTGTGCTCAAGGACGCGCTTCAGATCTTCAAGATGCCCGCGACCTACGCCTGGCTTTTGATGAGATCTGCTCGGCGTCCCCATCCAGTCCGTCGGCCTCTTCCTCCCCCAGATTGTCGCCCGGCTCGGCTTCTCGTCCGTCAAGACGAACCTCTACACCGTCGCGCCCAACGTCGTCGGCGCCGTCTTCTCCTTCTCCTCGCCTTCTCCTCCGACTACGCGCGCATCCGCTTCCCGTTCATCGCCGCCGGCTTCCTACTCACCTTTATCGGCTTCATCGTCTACGCCACGATCGACGTCGAGCGCGAGCTCCACGTCGCCTACTTCGCGACGTTCATGATGACCTGGGGCACGAGCGCGCCGAGCGTCCTGCTCAGCACGTGGTACAACAACAACGTCGCGCACGAGGGCCGCCGCCTCGCGCTCACCTCCGTCGGCGTCCCGCTCGCGAACGTCATGGGCCTCGTCTCGTCCAACATCTTCCGGAACCGGGACGCGCCGCGGTACATCCCCGCGCTGATCGTCACCGCCGCGTTTGGCGCGGTGGGCGCGGCGGTCACGCTGTGCCTCGGGGCGTACATGGTGCTCGACAACCGGAGAATGGACGCGCGCGAGGGCGTGCGGCGGCGAGCGCTGGATGTGAGCACGGAGAAGCTGCGGGAGGGTCCGAAGAGCCCCGAGTTTAGGTGGTTCTTGTAGGACGACAGTGGTTGGGTGGAGGTAGACCAATATCTTGATACTCGTGAGGCATCTCCTCACGAATCGCTTCAGAATTCGAGTTCGTGCGCGTTCCCAGCGATGGACGTGTGGTGAGACAGAGCACCTGCATTGAACATTGACTACCACTAACGATCATACATGCCAGGCAAGGTCCACCGGAGCCCCTTTAATGTCGTAAACATGAGAACTATACTGTGTGTGTTTCGATCGGACGCCAACGTTCATCATGACCTCGTCCATGTACGCCTGGACGACCTCTTCTTCAAGAAAGTGATATTCCAGGCCGCGGAGGCGGAACACGCAAACTCTAGCACCACATTTCTCGCCGCGACCCCGTCGAGCTAGGGCACATCGAAATGGCCTTGGGAATCGAAGGTCCTGCCCGTCACCGTACGACTTCGATGGCCTCACCCAGCACATCGCAAACCCGATCGAAGAATACCGCCCCGCTGTCGCTCGCGCGCATCACCATCGACCCGTCCTCCGACAGCACCATCAGACTCGGCTCATGCCCGACCCTCTCCCGCAACGCATGCACGCGCCCGTCGCGCAGGTCCCAATACACCGCCCGCCCCAACGTAGGCACCCGCGCCTGGCCCACGTCAGGAACGCGACCGCCTTCGGGTCCACCGAGAGCCCACAGGGGATCGACAACCCGCTGATCTCGACCGGCCCGGAGACGGTCGCGCCAGTGACGGTGTCCACGACGCGGTACACCCTGTTGGCACGTCTTTGCCATCGTCGTCGTCGCCGTCGCGCGTGGGGAAGTCGGTGGACAGCGCGTGGCGGCCGTCGGGAGACAGGTGGACGACGCGGCGCCCGTCGAGCGCCAGCGACGCAACGGCGTAGTTGCCCCGGGCCGTGGAGTCGATGAAGAGCCTGCCGCCGTGGGCTGGTGGGAACCCGAGGACGTCGACCTCGCCGGGGTTTTTCGAAGGCCGTAGTGAGAAGGCGTAGGGTGGGCTGCTGTCGGGACCGCCGATGAGGTTGGTGAAGAGTGGCCGAGCTGTGCCAGTGGTCAAGTCCCAGAGGTAGAGGTAATCGGTGATAGCGCCGCCGCAGCGCGAGCGGTGGAGAGCGCGTTGGCCGTCTGGGGAGACGGAGAGGTTCGCTTCGTAGATTTTGTGGTCGTCTCTGCTGGGGAGCGGGGAAGGCATGGAGCGGATGAGGGTTAGGGTCACGGCATCCCAGACGTGCACCTCTCCCGATTTGTGAGCGACGGCGATTTGCGTGCTCTCTGGGATCCAAGCGATATCGAGTGCGTTCCCTGCGGAAGTTTTCAACTGTGCGGATCCCAGTTTCCGAGGTGCGGCGCCCGGGGTTGCGCAGTCGTCGGCAGAGGGTAAAGTGAAGGTTGTGAGGATGTCGTGGGTGTAGAACGCGAGGAGGGTGTCCGAAGGAGAGAACTTGGCACACGGGGAGACACGTCCCATAGGACTGAACATCCCATGGCAATACTGCTCTAGCACTGGTTCGCCAGTGGAGACGTCCCAGATCAATACCTCTTGAAGCAGCCTGGGGTGGTTACTGGAAGAACCACTCCAGCTAACTGCCCATCTTCCGTCGCGAGAAAACGCCATTTCATGAACATCCGTTGAGTGCCCATACGCTTCCGCAATGTACCATGCTGCGAAATGTAGGTATAAGTCCACGAAGACGAAGAGTAAAGCAAGAATTAAACGTACGAGCACGGTGTTCTACTCGCAACAGACCTCGGAGATGGAGCGCCGCGAAAGTTTGCTCCAATATTGTCGACCACCTCTCAGTGTGGTTCTTGAACGAATTTTGAACGACGCAGGTGATTCCGTTCTTACTGAGGGTGGGGTGCTCTTGCACCAGGCGTGTGAGTGTGGAAATGGCTTTTTTCTGTTCTTCATTGACTTCGCCTTGAAACCAGGTGAGATGTCTCCCATGAATCACGATATTGAGTGATTGTAACGACTGTGAGAACCCGGTTTTGTAATTCTGGAACTGGCGAAAGAAACGGCCGGTATATATGTCGTTGTCTCCCATATTCACCGTGATGGAGAGATGAGCGAGAGCAGGAAGAGCTATCAGATCCGGAGCTGTCCACGGGAAAATCTAGTCAGCCTCAGTTCTCCAAACTCTGAAGTTTACTTACCTATCTTGGAAGACACGAACAATAGACGACAGCTGAGAGTAACGTCCACCAATGTAGCTGCGCTGGTGCGAAGCAACTCCTTGTAGAAAGGGGCATATATATAAATCCCTGAACCCTATGGAAAGTCTGTCAATGACTTTGACTCGCCGGGTATCAAAACGCCCTTACCACGACGAGCTTGTGCAGGCGCACAGGATCAAGTTGTGGAGACGGGGGTAACGTCGAGTCGTCTTCCGTCGGATCTTCGTCTTCGTCTTCGTCTTCGGGGATCCACACGCCAGATAGGCTAAGCTCTTGGAGAGTAGGAATTCCTCGGAGCAGTCGCTCCAAGTGCGCATACGTGGGGAAGCTAAATCGCTTGAGGGAGAGCTTGGTGACGGTGCTGTACTGGGACAGGCTGTTGAGCATCGACAAGGGAAACAAGGCGTAACAATGGTTGGTGCAGGTAAAATCCCAGTGGTCGATGTACCGGAGGTAAGGTGGGAGGATGAGCAGAGCGTCAGATATGAACTCCTCTTCTGCTTTGTCCATCAGTAAAAAACGACATGTCACCGGAGTGCTCTGGAGCCTCCAGAGCAGTCGGAGCACGGTGAGACAAGTACCCTTTTATGGAGCCGCGAGAGCTTGGCCGGCGCCTCCCAGGCACTCCAGAGACACAGCCGCTTGCTCGGCGAGCACTCTGGAGTAGCCCCGAGTATCTTCTCCAGAGTACTCTGGAGCTCTCCTGAGCACACCTGAGCCGAGCCATTTCTAGGGCGAACACCCGGTACTCATGTAGCACACATGTATCGAGCTTAAAAACAAATAATCATTGAGAGACGACTACAACTCATACATATTGGCTAATACAACACAGACCAAAAGGAGCGTAGACGGTACAGGCCTATGTCTCTCCCGAACAATCGAAACTTACCTTGATGGGCACGATACACTGCACAATCTTCCATCCCATGCCCCACTCCTACTTCTCCGGCCCACTGCGAGGCGACGATTGACCCGAGACCGCCCTGTCTTCATCCGGCTCAAGAGCGCAATACGAACGGAACGGTGGGGTAAACTGTGTGCGTAATATCAGCAAACACTCACGTAGAGTGGTGAGACAGGACGTACCAAAGGACGAGGTGACGGTCTTGGACTCGTGTGAGCCGAGGACGGCGATGCGCCCGACGAGGTTCACCTTGAAGAACGTGCTGACGGGGCTGCCAAGAAGCCACAGTTAGCACTGATCCTGAGACGAGGTGCGGGGCGTGACGTGGACGGCTACGCACCTTGCCCTCCGGGTCCGCGGGTACTACCACAATGTCGCCAAATATGACCATCGAGCCCAGGCCACCGTTGGCCTCGCGAGTAGGGGCTTTTGGTACGCGATGCTTCTTGCCACTGACGATGATGCAGGCGTTCTGGCAGATGAACGAATCAAAGGCCTCCGCGGTGGACGCAGTGTACTGACCTGTGAATCGTGATGCGTTGCTGAACGATGTTCTGGAGGTCGTGGAGGATATGGTGCGTGTAGAAGGGTAGGCACGAGAGATGGGGTGCTGATGGAAGGGACAAGGGAGAGAGGGCTGCGAGGGATGGAGACGGACTGCGCGAGGTAGGGCTCTGGCGGGAGGCGACGACGTCAATGTATGGCGTACGTTACATACCGAGATGGCGTCAAGACTCAACACGACGCGGGTGCTGACGCGTCTTTCTGTTCATAGCGGGGAGGGTAAGCCGTCGTCCTTCCGTGTCCTGTTCTTAAGGAGTTTGGTTAGCAGGCAGGGCGCGCGAGCCCTCGTTGCACTTACATGACAACATCGGGAGGAGAGACGGGTAGAGACAGCGAGGAGGAAAGAATTGAAGACGACCGAGAGCCGCGCTGCTGGCAGTGGGCGGTGCCGCCCAGAGGTCTGTGCGTGGGAACAACCTTCCACAACCTGTTCTGGCGGACTTGTGTTCAAGCACTCAAGTCCCTGACCGTTTGATTCTCTTCCCTATATATGTAAGTACTGGCTGCGAAACTCGCCAACATTTTATTGGTCTCCAGTGGCAGCAACCCAGTTTTGTTGCCCCCTTGGCCACTCGCAAGATGTGTGCGCTCGACTGCGTTCGTCTTTCTCACGGCTACAGCCAGGACTCGGCCTTCCCCTGCCGCCCGCGCAACCACTTCAAGTGAGTGTCGCTAAAAACCACGCAACTGGCACGGTCTGAGCGGCTGTACTAGTCACCGGTTTTATTTCTCGTTAATATAACTACCAGAAATCCCGCGTTGTATCACGCCGGTGCGGGAAAGCATACGAGAGCGTATATACGAGTTTCGTGTGCTATACTCACGCGTTACCGCTTGTATCGGAGGATGATATCGAGGACTCTCATGCCACCACTGCAGCACGAGAGACCTCGAGTGATCCTGGCCGTGGCTCTCAAGACGTCGTTAGCAGTCACTGCTACTCTGGAGAGCTCCAGAGCACGCTTGCGCTACTCGAGAGACCTCGGCATCATTAGTCATCGCGCGAGGGCGCTCAAGCGCCCTCCCGGTCATCATTGGCGGCAAGGGAGTGATGCCGAGTCCGGGCCGGGGCTCTGGCGCACGGCGCTTTTTCCTGATGTCCACAGGGGTTGGAGAACGAGACCACGAGGATCCATGGGGACTATCGAGCCGGACGATGCGAACCAGAGGGCGGAGTTCGGAGGTGTTTTCGAGGGCTTTTTGGAGGGAGTGGAGCTGAGCGGGACTGGCTATGGTGAGTTTGCGCCAGAGGTGGAAGCGGGACCTCGGAAGCCAGGCGCTGCAAATGAGGGCGCAGGTGCGGAGGGTGTGGAAGTCGTCCCTAGCGTGGACTAGATCGATCACCTGCTCAGTAATCTCAGTCGGCATAACAGGCGAGGATAGAGTCTTCATCGCGACGGGCTACCAATGTTCGGGATCGAGTGCACGGCGGTGGACGAGCGCGATTCTAAGTCTCGAAGCGTAGCTCGCCGGTTGGACCACGTGATGGCGACGCAGACGCCTGTACAGGGTCACTTGTTCGAGTCGGGTCCGGCGCCCGACAAGTCGCACTGCTCGTTGCTTTTTGCCAGACACGACCACGCAGAACCGTTGTTGACCATTCTCGCGCAAGTCTTCCTCTCCAATTTGAAACAGGGCTATGCTATCCTTACGCTCTCCGGAAGACGACGAATATGGATGGGTTTTTTCTCGGGGAGGCCTCCTGATATTTTTGGGGCCTCGCAGAGCTGCACCAGTAAGCATGTTCTGGGCCGTCGTCCAAACATGAGGCTAGAAGACCGGCCGTATTCAATTCTATCCGCCCACGAACCCACACCTGGCCGCAACAAGGAGAGTCCGTCGAAAGAAAGTCCAGGCCGCGAGAGTATCTCGACAATTACTCTTCTTGTTCCCTAGGACCGAAACTCGCAATGACGCCTTCGCTAACGAAGGAGAGGACCGACGAGGCATACTTACGCCTGGTTCACTCTCTATTGCGGGTCTGTCCTTCCGTTAGCTGTGGTGTGTGTGTTTCGTATGACGTGCGATGTACTTATCTTGACTGGTCCTACCGCAAACGCGAATCACTCTTTCCGATGGGGATCTTTCCACAGGCGCGAAGAGGTGCGCAGGTGGGCGTGCATGTGCTCGCGCTTGCTGCAGCTGTGGCGCGAACACCTAAGTGTTGAACAAGTTTTATTCAGGCGAGTTTCTTCCAAGTTTCTTCGCTATTAATCCACTCCCTTACGTCATAGAGCGAAGCTGGTTTCCTCGCCACCGAACATCCGATTCTCGGGGATTCTCTCTGATACTAGCACTTCCTACTCACATCTCACGGGTTGAACACCCGACGGAATGCCGATTCAAGATTGCTAGTCGTGACTCGTCGCACTCATTTTTGGACCGCCACGTTTCTCGGGTGTCATAATTGATCATCTCTGTATCCATCATCAGCGGTGGCAGCGTATGGCTTGGACTTACAACACCACTGGCGAGCGGAGGGATAAAGTGAAATTAATTGTGAACGCATCCACGAGTCGAACTTCGAGCTCCGGTCCCCAGCACGTGACTAACGCGTCATTGGGCAGCTCCGAATCGGCGCACTGGCACCGACTCCTGTCTCCCCCCTTCTCCTTCGCCATCTACTCCGCTCGTCGTCTCAACCACTCCGATGATGTTCAGTGCCTGCTGGCAGGATATGTTCATCCCTCAGTCCCCACGATTCACCCCCATCGCGCGGGGCAAGTGCGTCGATATTCTCAAGTAGCACCATCCAGCCTGCTAGAAGAGGGAGGTGCGGCCTCCAGCGGACAAACCAGACTCACGGACGCTCGCGCCACCAAGCTTCTCCCGCGGACTGCGGCAGTGTGAGGTTATTGGCGACAGCGTCCATAGACTGAGCAGGTGAGCCTTGTCCGACGCCCAAAACTCCATTCCCCTGTTACCTCAAGCCGAGCCCCTTCTCCCCAAGCTCGCCAGCTCCGACTTCGCTTCCCGCATTTCGTGGCTTGCCGCCCAACACCCTTGGCCGCGCTTGACCGGTTCGATGCACAGATGGCGGTACGTGTTCTTTCAAACTCTAGGAGACACATACATCGTACCACCCCGCTAATACGAATACCAGATGGTGCTCAAGTACGTTCCTGAGCCTTTCCCCGCGGAATGACCGCGAGGCGAATAGAAGACGACGAAGATTAGAAGAGAGTGTGGTGAAAGCTCCACGACATAGGCATCGCTTTCCAGCCGATAGGACGTCGGGGCGGGGCAGATGCGGAACGTTTTCGATTGGATCGAGTCATCAAGAGCCCGTGGAAGCACCTACGGCGACGAACGCGAGCGGCGAGAGGTCGAGGCACCGAGCAGCGGATGTCGGAATCGAGGGGGAGAAGAAAAGGCTGCTGCACTGGCGCAGGGGCGCAGGACGGACCGTGTCACCTATCATGTCCCTCTGGAGATCTCTTTGTCTGCTACAGGTTTCAAGAAAAGAGACACAGGGACGCAAAGGGATCAGAGCAATGCGCAAGCACGCCGGCGCAGGACATAGACAGGCGCTTCTAGGTTGCCTTTTCGGGACCAAGTCGCGAGGAACCAAATAAACAAAGCCTGAAACGCGCGATTCCGGGCTCAGATGCAAACGGCTGTACATATGCAAGTTCTTCCGGTGGGTTCCAGTCCATATACGCTCGGGCCTTGTTCGTGTCTCTCGTTAGAAATTCAGAGACTAAAAATCTGTACCGGAAGACACGTCGGAACCTCGGAAGCGAAACTTGAACAGCCCAATCTCGCCTGCTCTAAGTCTTTGGCCGAGCCGCGGAGGTGGCGTGGACGCATGATTTCATATCTCCTTTGAGTCATTTGCAACACCACGTCCCGCCCACTGTAGATAAAAGCGTCGTGATCGATCGCTGACCACCGCCTCCTCCTCCTCCTCCTCCTCCTCCTCCTCCACTGATACCCTTCAGGTCGAAAACCCCCACGAACTTAGAATGGATATCGAGGCGTGAGCATTTGTGATTTTATATTGCAGTCCCAGGAACTGACAATCTGCGCCGATTCAGGTTTCGCAAGGCTGGATACCAGGCGATCGATCGCATTTGCGACTACTTCGAGTCGCTTCACAGCAGACCTGTCGTTGCCCAAGTTGATCCCGGATTCTTGATAGACGCACTTCCCGGTCTGTTCCCATACTGGCTGTAGTCTTGGCTTCGCCTGACTGGGCGCGTGCTGCAGAAAATGCACCTGAGGAGGGCGAGGACTTTTCGGCCATCGCGGACGACTTCCAGAAGCTCATCCTGCCCGGTATGCTCTCCGGATTGTCTGTGGTTTTGGTGTTGAACATGGCGCACGATAAACAGGAATAACGAACTGGCAGCACCCAAACTTCTTCGCCTTCTTCCCGACCGCGAACACCTTCGAGAGTGTCCTGGGCGATCTCTACTCCTCCAGCGTCTCGAACCCCGGCTTCAGCGTACGCTACTCGCACTCCTTTCCGCGATAGTCCTCGCTCATCTCGTTCGCCCGTACACCAGTGGCTCGCCAGCCCCGCCTGCACCGAGCTAGAGCAGGTCGTCATGGACTGGACCGCGCGACTCCTCGGGCTCAGCCCCCACTTCCTCTGCGCCTCGGGCACCGGCGGCGGCGCGATCCAGAACTCGGCCTCCGAGGCGTTCATCGTCGCCGCCGTCGCCGCGCGCGCGCGGTACATGCGCGAGAACCCGAACGCACGCATGGAAGAGCTCGTGCTCTACACCACGACGCAGACGCACTCGCTCGGCGCCAAGGCGGGGCTCGTCCTCGGCCTCGAGGTGCGCGACCTGCAGGTTCGTGCGGAGGACGGGTTCGCGCTGCGGGGTGCGATGGTGCGCGAGGCGGTGGAGGAGGACATCGCCCGGGGGAAGCGTCCGTTCTTGGTTGGTGAGTGCATTTCCATGACCTTTTGTTGACCCTGCTGAATCACGTAGTCGGGACCGTCGGGACCACGAACACGGGCGCGGTGGACCACGTCGACGAGATCGGGCAAGTCCGTGAGTGCGCCTGCGGTTCGCCATGCGCCGTAGATGCTGATCGTGCCGACCGCGTCCAGTGAAAGACTACCCTTCCATCTGGCTGCACGTCGACGCCGCGTGGGCCGGCATATGCTTCGTGTGCCCCGAGTACCGCGAGCAGGGCCAACTCGCTGCCATCAACGAGTACGCAAACTCGTTCTGCACCAACTTCCACAAGGTCCGCTACGCGCACTGTCCCGCCCGCCCTCGCTGACCGTACGCGCGCAGTGGGGCCTCGTCAACTTTGACGCAACCGCGCTCTGGGTCCGCCAACGCCACGACCTGATCGACGCGCTCGATGTCACGCCCGCGTTCCTGCGCACGAAGCAGTACGACGCCGGTCAGTCGCCCGCTCGCTCTCCAACCGCCACCACGCTCCAGAGCTGACGCGCGCGTGCGCTCCCTACCAGGCTCCGCGGTCGACTACCGCAACTGGCACCTCGGCCTCGGCCGCCGCTTCCGCTCGCTCAAGGTCTGGTTCGTCCTCCGCAGCTACGGCGTCGCCGGCTTCCGCGCGCACATCCGCAAGGTGCGCGTGCCCCCCTCTTCTCCTTCCTCCTTCCCCACGCTCACCCCGCACGCGCCAGGGCGTCGCGCTCAACGACCACTTCGTCGCGCTGGTCCGCGCCGCGCCCGAGTTCGAGTTCGCCGCCGCGCCCGTCCTCGCGCTGTCCGTCATCCGCCTCAAAGACCCCGCGGGGGCGTCCGCGGAGGCCGCGGACGCGCTGAACCGCGCGTTCGCCGCGCGCGTCGCCGCCGCGAACGGGCGGGTGTTCCTCACCCAGTCGACGCTCGCGGGGCGGACCGTGCTGCGCTTCGCGATCGGCGCCGAGCGGACCGAGGTCGCGCACATCGAGGGGGCGTTTGAGGTCATCAGGGGATGCGCGGCGGAGGCGCTGAAGGAGTTCGAGGCTGGCGGGGCGGAGGCGTGAGTCGGGTGTTGAAGTGAATAAGGTTTAGATCTAAGTGGCTACGAACGATTCCAGTTGTTTGTCTCGTCGCTTTCTCGCGCCGCCACGCGTGTCGTGGCTTCCGTGGGTCCGCGGTGCTTATGTGTTGCAGGGGCACGCTTGCGCTGGACAGGAGCGGCCAAGGTACGGTAAGGGGCCGGGTATGAACTCCCCAGCGATGAGGGCGAGTGAGGAATTAGTGGGATGAGTTGCGCGATGCGCTCCCAATGCGCCCCCCTCGTCCCGCAATGCGTCTCAACGTCTACCTTTCAATGCGCTCACAACGTGTGTACATGCAGCTCGTTTGTTTGCACTCGTTTATTGCACGACGGGCGGCGCAGAATACCTGGCTGGCGGAAATGCGAACGAAAATTGGTAGAAAGCATGCCTTTCGTCCAGCTGGGCGCCTATATTTCTGATAGGTCGATTGTTTAACAGTCAGCCACATTTCGTCCCGGTAGAAAGGTAAACTGTCCGCCCGCCTTTGTCTTTTACGCGATGTCGTGCAGACCGAGATCGCGCGAGTCGTGAGCTGCGTGAAGCGGGGACGCGCGTGCGCTGTGCGGGACATGCTCAATGCATGACGCGCACGCATCCCATTCGTGTGTCGTGTGTCGTGTGGACCGGGCCCGACGCGCGAGTCGTGAGTTACATAAGGTGGAGACGTGCGCGCGCGCCGTGCATCACGGGGCACCAGGACGTGCGGACAGTTTAACTTTCGACCGACACGAAATACGCACACACAAATAGTTAAATAATAGCCCTATCAGAAATATAGACGTCCACCCGGACGTGATGATAACGATGATGATGATGATGATGATTTCGTGCCAGAGCTCGTTAACTACACGCGTAATGCTAATTACATTCAGGACGTCCACTCGGACGAAAGGCATGCTTCTACCGCATTTCCGCCGCATTTCCTCCTAGCAGACATCCTGCATTGCCCGTCGTGTTGGTGCATGAAAGGGAGGAGCGCGAAGTCCGTCTAAGTCTATGTAGTTCTCATGTCATAACAGTCTGGACGATTCGTACAGCCCGGGCGCCGCCCGCCCGCTCCGGGCATACCACACTTTCACTCCTCTACGCCCGCGTCTTCTCGTTTCCTCCCCAACAGCTGCACCCGCGGGGAGCCGACGAGTCCCGCCCCAGCCATGACTACCGTGCCCGCGACGAGGAGGACCCCAGTGAAGACGATCAGGTTGTTGAAGTGAGACTGGTCCGTGGTCGTGAGCAGCGCGCCCGCGGTCGGCGTTCCCGCCAGAGACGCGATCGCGACGCCGATGTACGTCGCGCCTGCGCGGAGGTGAGCGTTTCGTCGTACGCGCGGGCGGCAGCAGACCTGAGCAAGCACTCACCGAGCCGTGCGCCGAACTTCTCGCGAGGGGAGATCGCGGCGATGTAGGTCGGCAGGAGCGAGACGAAGGCGCCTGGGGTGGGACGTTGGGGGTTCAGTGACTGTGCATGTGACGATGCAGGAGGAGATCGAACCTGAAAACAGGCCGTAAAGGGCCGCGAACGCGATGACGGAGCCGGCGCTGCGCGAGGGCAGCCACAGTCCGAGGGTGAGCACGCTGCAGATCGTTGCGGCTGGTACGAAGACCGGCAGACTGCAAAAGAGGTATCAACATCGAGAGCCCGTCGATAATACAGGCAATTTCACGTACGTTCCGAGCCTGTCCGCGATAAGTCCTGGTAGAATCCGCGAGACGATGTTCATCGCGTTCATGACGGCAAGGAGGTAGTGCGCGATGTGGGGCGCAACCTCACGGAAGTCGGCATAGATCTGGATGTAGAAGTACGGGACGAAGAACGCATAGAAAAGCCTGCAGCGGGATCAAAGGACGTCAGCGAGAACCTCGCACAATCCCCAGATTCTGTTCGGCAACCCGACAGCGCTATTTCGCCCGTCCCACCCTCGCTCAGTGGTGGCCACCGCCCCGGGCGCTTGTGGGTGGAACGCGACGGCGATGTCACCATATTTATGGCAGATAATAGCACTGCCTGAGAGCGCTTTCGGGCTGCTGAACAGGACCTCACAGCTACTACACTCACAAAAACGCGGCGATGTTCGCGAGCGCGTAGCGCGGATCGCGGAATCCGCCCAGGTCGATCGCGGTCCGGAACGACATGCGTCCGGAGAGCGGAAGCCGCGTCTTGATGGTGACGCATGAGATAGCGAGCAGGCCGAGCAATAGGAATGCGACGACGCGAACGGCCCAGGGGAAGCCCAGGGTAGGAATAAGGCGTTCCATGAGGATGGGCACGACCACACCCCCGGTCGCGCTCCCGCCGGTGGTGAGGCCAATCGCGAGCGCGCGTCGGCGGCGGAACCAGTGGCCAATTACGGCGAGCGCAGGGCTGAACCTGTGTGCATCGGAGGATGAGGATGTTTCCAGGATGGCGCGGAGATGAAAACGGACAGCAGAGAGATGCCGATCCCGAAAAGAACTCCATGGGAGAGGAAGACCTGGTAGAGCTGGTCTTTTTGGCACAGGGAGAGCATCATCAGTGAGAACACCGAGATGATGGTCCCAGCGGGGATGAGGTACTGAGAAGATGATGTCAGCGTTGTCATTTAGACACGCCGGGCAAGGGCGACTCCTTGCCTTGGTTCCATAGGCATCGAATGCCCTGCCTGCAAACGTCCCGAGGAAATAGAGAAGAAATATCTGGATGGACCCTATGAAAGAGATCGTGGACGGCGATGACGAAGGCAGCAAATCTGTCTCGTAGTATGCCTGGAATGTGCCCTGTGACTTGGTTAGTAAGACGCGGTCAGAGAGATTCCAGGGCCGCTCACGTATGCGTTCACCAATCCCGCCGATGCGAACAGCGACAGCGACGACCCCAGCACGACTAGCCACGCCCTCCAACCACCATCCGGGACGTCTTCGAGAGACGGCACGGCCGCGTGTGCTTCTGAGGAGGCGGTTGCCTCCTTCAGCTCCGATCCCAGAGCTTGGTGGGAAAGTGAGCTGTTACCGGACATACCTTGCTCTCAAGGTGGTGGTGGAGAGAACGATGGCGTCCATCACTTTGCGTTTGTCCGACCCCTGCGGCTCGGCCGTGCCCACGCCGCGCTCTCCGGACTGATTCGGCGCGCGAGCGCGTGCCGTTTTTGAAATGATGTCTTTTTATCCGCCTTGCACTGCACCCTGTTCGCCAGGCATGTCGCCGATATGTATCTCCGGAAAGGCGGGAGAAGAGAGAATCTCGCCAAAGGGTATCACCCGTATCAGTTCTATAGATGCGCAGGCATGTTCTACGCTCAAGTGCCTGTGCCGAAGCTCGGACTTTGCAAGCGCGAGCGCAGAATCGAAATCCACCGACGCGTCGCTCTCGACTGGGCAGGCGATGGTGCTCTCGTTGGAAATGTTGCTCTGAAATAGAAGGGCTTGCGGACGGATTTCAGGGGTGTGCTCGAGTATGTTAGCGGGCCGCGAGAGCCGATCTCGAGCCTTTACGCCAGAGGTGGGCAGATGGTGTAGACGCGCGCCTAGACGAGGAGTGGATGCATGTCCCCCTGCAGGCGTCGAGCTCGTCCGAGATTACCGGCTCTATAACCTTGCTGGGGATCCGAAGATAGTGTATGGCGATAAGACCGGGGACGTAGGCAGTCGGTCATAAATGGGATTGATCTTACGTAGAGTAAAAACTGTATTGCGAGAGTATGCTGGTGGAAGAGAAAGCGGCCGGCTGAGAACTGTGGTCACAATCGGCTGATGATTATTATTATTATTATCATCATCATTCTATCCCTAACAATCGGCTGATGAGCGGGGGAGCGAGCAGGCATCGCAGTGAGACGGGTTGGAGAAAGAACGACTGAGCGCTGAATCCATAATGCTAGGCGGGTTTCGAAAAAAGCATAGCCTGTATAAGCGGAGACTGAAACAGGAGATGCCGAGATCAGCAATGGGTCTGCTCACGCGCGCCCATCTCCTCACTCAACGTCGCCGCTTGTTTACGGCTGATCTCGACTACCAAATTTAGTCTCCGCCCGAATGTGCCATGTTGAATCACTGCTGAACTTTTTTGGAACCCGCCTAGCGTTATCCTCAGCCAGCCCACACGCCCCACACCGAATCTGTCGACCGTGTGCTGCTCCGCGTCTCCAGTGACTTCTGGGATCTGCCAGCTTTGTGTGCGCTCCGTGGGACCATCGATGAATAACAGCGTTCCTGTGGTCTTTGGGTTCTCCAGTATCCTCAAAAGGCCGCCCTCGAGGCATATGCATCGATGGGGCCGTGTGGAATGGAAGGCGAGAAGGAGGACGCAGCCTCGAACCCTAGTACCCGTCCGACATATAACCCGCGTTCGTCACGTGCAGCCCGCTAGTCCCCCCTCACCTGCCCTGCACAATGCCTCCCATCAACTACTCCAAATGGGACTCACTCGAGGTCTGCCCACACTTACTCCCATCCTCCTCACCTTCGCAGTCCTGACCCGTTTCGTGTAGCTCTCGGACGATTCGGACATTGAAGGCCACCCGAACATCGACAAACGGTCCCTCATAGAGTAGGGGTTTATGTTCACTTCCCAGCCTGCGCCAATCTGACAACTCTGTGTATGCAGATGGAAGCGAGACCGGATTCACAAGGAGCGCAAGGAGCGCAAGGAGAAGCTCGCCGAGAACAAGGCCGCCATCGCCCGCCATGCAGTACTCAGCAAACGTCTGGAGCGGATGGCCACCGATGTTCAAACCCATGGGTTTGAGTCATTCCTCGCTATTGCACACAAGCCCGCCACAGGAGACGCCTCCACCGTGTCAGGAAAAGACGACGAACTGCTCTCTTCCATTGTGCAGGAAGTTTTGGAGGTGGCCAAGAAGAAGCACGCCGAGAAGAGTGGCTGCGACCTTCGGGAGGTCGTCGTCGCCGGACTGAGGGCGCAACTTGTCAAGTCCAACAAGGAGATGGCGGAGCTGAAGAAAGAGGTGGACCAGGAAGAGGCGAAGCGGAGGAAGAAGATTACCTCTGAACAGATCCACGATGGATACGAGTCGCGGGTGAGCAGCTTTGGCCACTGTATGCGTCATCTTTCTCCCTTTCGTGTTGCACATCGGTCGGTCGGTGCCTTTTGTGTGTCGCCACGCATCTGCATCCCCACCTTGTGCGCATATAGTCTGCCAATACCCTTATAGACGTCGCACTTTCTAAGGCTTGTTGCCCTTCGAGGCCTCCTTATTGTCCCGATTTATCCGCTTCCAAGGCGTTGCGATGCTGCTGTGAATACATGGTCTAACTCTCGTCCAGTACATGCCTCCAATCCCCGACCCTCCTCCCCTCAGGAGCTCCAGAGCAACCAGGAAAGCCCCGAAAACTCCCGCAAGCCAATTCGAGACTCTCCATGCCGGAAGCCCTACACCGCTCCCAACTGGAATGCTCTCGGAAGTCACCGACAAGCCCGACCAGAAACCGTTCACCGCCGAGCTCACACCCTCGCTCAAAGAGTTCTGCCGTCTCCCCGTGCTCGACTTTGACAAGATATGGGAGTTCCTCCAGGCTCACCGGGACGTCTACGTCCCAGGAGCAGCCAACGCGCTGCTCGCCGCCGCGTTCGAGGCGCAGTGCCGGGGCGACACCGCGATCGCGTATCAGTGCACCCACCACAGCATTCTCCTGCGCTTCTGCGAGTCGCTCGGGAAGGACGGGCCTTCGGTGTTCTTCCGCAAGTGCGCGTCCCATCCGCTCTCCGCTCTCCGTCGCGCCGCTGACTCCCCCGCGCAGGTTGATCGCGGGCGACCGCGCGGCGCTCAACCTCCTGCAGAGCGACGTGCAGAACACGTACCAGTTCCTCGCCCAGCGCACGTCCGACTACCTCAACCGCCCCGCGAGCGACAACGAGCGGCTCGAGCTGTGCGCCGAGACGCCGGATACGCAGCCGACGTTCCACGTCCCGCGCGGGCCGCCACCAGAGCACATCGAGCTCACGGGTCCCGGCGCGGAGGAGGCGGACGTCGAGGCGTTCCGCGCGGAGCTGCAGGCGCAGTGGGAGATCTTCGACGGTTTCGAGAAGCCGCTCAAGGACGCGCTTCGCGCGGAGGACCTCGGCGCTGTCAACCGCGTGCTGGCGACGTACCCGATGCCGAAGGCGGAGGGGGTCGTGAAGGGGCTGGAGGAGGCGATGATCTTCTCCTTTGCGCCTTCACGCTCGGGGCGGATGTAGGCTGTGTGCTAAGATCAGACCCGCGGTGCGTCGAGTTTGAACTTGTACGAGTACGTCATTGTATGTTGGATTGCTCTCCGTGTCGGATGCTGTGAAATCGCTGTCTGTATCGCCGTTTGCCTTGTTGTAAGACCCTTCGCAGAGAATCATGTCCTCCTTCTTGCATTCTTCGTATGTGCATATCTAGCAGCTCCCGAAGTCCCTTGAAGCACGAACAAATCAATATGCAATCCAGACAACCCAGTTTTTGCACGATGTCTCATCCAATTCCCTTCCAATTCCAATATCGAACTTCCATTACTTCCTCCACAATCTGACGGCGTGGAGAACCTCTTCGCCACGCACCTCCTGGACTCTTTGGCCGCCAGGATTAGCCGAGTTTCAGAATTCGTCATCGTGAGCGGAAGTTGAACGTTTGAACGATGCTCCGCCGCGATACCTCGGTCCACGACCGCCCGAGCCGCGCGATAAGGACCCAGATTGCTCGCTCCCTTCCGTCAGCCTCCGCCCGGTCAACGGTCTGCCCACCGTTCTCTATCGACAGGTTCGTGCGCCACGCTGTTGCAAACCCGTCGCTCCGCAGTGAAACGGCCAGCGCGAGAGAGACACGAAGATAGTCATTCGAGGAGGTCATAATACCCATTAATACAGTCGTGCTTTTCGTCACTAAAAAGAGCCCGTCCCTTCGGGGCTGGCGCATCTACCTCGTACATCCCGCCCGTACCGCGCACACACCCGGGCTCAGGCCTCAGGTCATGAACACGTAGCGCGGGTCGTTGTCCCACACCTCCTCCTTCGCGCCCTGCGCCGGCTTCTCGCGCTCGAGGCCCATCTCGCGCACCTTCTCCGCGTTCTTGCGGTTCATGTGCGCGAGGCGCGTCCGGAGCGCGAACGCCGCGCAGAAGGACAAGAAGACGCATCTGCGGTTCCGGGGAGGGGGAGGGGAGGGGGGCGTTGTGTCAGCGCCACAGCACGAAGGCACGCGCGTGAGCGCGTGAGAGAGACGAGTTGACGCACCCGGCTGCGATCGCGTGGCCCTTCTGGAAGTTTTCCTTCGAGTCGAAGTAGATCTGCGGCGCGGCGCTGCAGAAGACCGAGAGCGCGTCAGCACGCGTGATAGCAGCGGCAGTCGCAGGCGGCACGTACATTGAAACGGTGTTCGAGATCGACACGATGAACGCGGTGCCCACGCCGCGCTTGCTCGTCGGCGAGAAGATGTTCGCCGCCCAGCTCATCACGAGCGGGAACAGGCTGAAGAGGCCGCCGACGACGAGGAATAGGGCAAAATACCGTCCGCCGATGTAGTTGCTCGCGTTACCCTTGGTGGCGAGCGCGGCGAGGATGATGTACCCGATCGTCGCGAGCCCGGTGGAGAGCATGATGTGGTAACCGCGGTCGCGCGTGCGGTCGGAGTGCATGGCTTGGAAGACGACCATGAACCAGCCAACGGCGTAGGGCGCGACTGTGAGGCCCTGAGAAGACAGGGAGTCGAAGCCGAGTTCCTTGATGAGCTGTAGCATGCGTTAGACGTGTTCGACGCGAAGCGATTTCGACTGAACACCTACTGTGGGGAGGAAGTAGGAGATGGTCGCGACGCCCATGTTGACTAAATGCGGTACTTAGCGGGATGCGTGCGTCCGAGAATGAAGCAGTACTCACAACTAGTGTAAACAACGACGAGCATCCACGAGTGTGGGTCATTGACGATCGCCTTGAAGCCTTCCCAGCCAGTCATACCGCCGTGGGATGTCGGCCGGTGATCGCGATTGAGACGCGCCTGCGCGATGGCGCGCTCGCGGGGCGAGAGGAAGGAGGAGGCAAAGGGGAAAGACGGGAGGAAGAACAGGAGTGCAACCGCCATGATGAGCGTTGGGATGGCCTCGATCTGACAAAGGCGACCTTGGTGCTTCAATCTCGTATAACCCGCGATGTGAACTTACGAGGAAGAGGAACTGCCACCTAATCGGCACGAGACTGGTTAAAAACATTCCGATTGGAGGCTGTAAGACGACTTACCCTTTCAAGAGCGGGGTGTGCGCGCGTACGAGGCCAAAGGCCAACAAGCCCTGTAAGTCCGTCGCGTGAATAAACCATGGCCATGAAGAGACTAAAGAGAACTCACACCGATAGCACCGGGAAGCGTTCCTGTCATACAGAGACTGGGAGATGGTTGGGGAGTGGATACGTTGTAGAGTGGCAAATACGTACCTAACGCGCAAAGCCAACTCGGACCTGGACCGATTGGTGCTTCAGAAACTCAACTTACACGGCTTCCTTAAACGGCTCACCGTTTGTACCAGAACGACAGATAGTAGATCATTCCTGCATAGTAGCCGGCTTCGCCGATGCCAAGAAGCACTCTGCACTCTGATTGAATACCACGCCTTGATCTGATTAAAGTGAGCAACTCACCGGAGAGCGAGCAAGGCACCATAGCCTTTAGCATACACAAATGAAAGAGACGAAAAGCCCCAGAACACCATGGACATGAAGAAGCTGAAAGTGCGGGGGTGGCAGTGTTAGTCTCCCGCATGCCGAGGAAAGCCAAGGTGGGAGAGATCGCCCACAATCGGTTCGCGCCTATGTGACGTTGAAGCACTGCGCGTGGCGAGTGGTTAAGAGAGGGGTCATATATATGCGAGCGGAACCAGACTCACCATTCGCGGGCATTTCAAGGAGGCCTGGGGAGAACCATATGGCTCAAAGAACGTTGATAGATGCGCAGAGAACTCACAGTAGCCAACATAGAAGATACTCAGCGCAACCGTCCATTTGCTGTTGCTCGTGACTCCGAAGTTCTCATTGAACTCGGTGATGACATGGGCGTTTCCGCTGATTGGGATCCGCTCAGGATTTGGGATAACGCGTGAGAATGACCGAACACTCACATATTCGTCCGGTCTGTGTGACCGATGCGCCGTTCGGACAATCTGAGATCGCCGTGACCACGACAGGCGAGAAGAGTACGCACCGAACTGATTGACTAATGACTGGGGTGAGCTAGGGCAGGTATGGAAGGGGGAACACACGTACAGACGTAGCTAAGAATCACAAGGGTAAGAACTCGCTTGTCGATCTTACGCCGGACGGCTTTCTGCGGGAAAGATGAGACGCGACTAGGATGAGACAAGAGACGAAACACACCTCCTCAGCCTCGGTAAAGTCCACAGTATCGGCGTCCTTGTTAACGGCTTCTGCCAAAACCGGGTCCGGACGGGCAAACAACCCGGACTTGACGGCGTCGGGGGAGAGTTGGGACTGGTGATAGGTGCCGTCGGCGAAGGCAGAGTCGCGGAGGACGGGGCCTTCTTCGACCTTCTCTACCGAGGGGCGTGTGGGTACGGTGTCGTCCATGGCGCGGGTGCGGAGGGAGGAGAGAGAAGGGCGTCGAGCACGAAGAGCCGTCGAGCGTCGGCGGCAAGAGTGCGGACGAGAAGGCTTCTTATATGCGCCGGTGTGTTTCTGCGTAGTGTTCGCCGGAGTACCGGCAGTGGATCGGGACCTGAAAGCTGATGGGTAATCAGGGTCAAGTGCTGGCTAGTGCTGGATGCGCAAGGTCAGATGGGCATGTTGGCTCTTGTTAGTTTTGCTTTAGCCTCTGCAGGGTCCGGGGGTGGGGGTGTGAGGGTTGAAACGTTGATGCGCGTGGGCGATCAGGGCAGCGGGGGCCATGGGGGGCAGGTAAGACCCAGGGTGAAACTCGCGCACTGGGCAGGAGACGGGAAAGAGGATGGTGAACGTTGAAGAGTTGCATACACTCGGCCACTGGCGCTCAGCTGATATTGGGGACGGCAACCCGGCCGCGGACGCCGGTCACGTGGAAGGCCCGGCTAAGGTGCTGTTCCGAACCTCGGCGCTCGGCGCTCAGCTGCCCGAGGCGCTCCAGACATGGACGGTTTGCGCTTCGCCTTGCGCCATCTTTGCGAACGGAGGATATGTTACGGAGCGTCTGGTCATGGTACTTATAAAACCAGCAGCTGGGCGTCAAAGGGATGTGGCGCTACCCGTGATTCCGTTCCGCCCTCTCCCGATCCTCTCCGGACATACCTCTTATAGTACTACCCCTCCTGAACAACCGCTCCACTACTCTTAGTACCCTCGGCCACTATGGCCTCCCTCTCCGCATCTCTCAGACGTGCTCCCACCTCAACCCTCAGGTCTTCTTCCACCACCACCCTCTCAGCCAGAGAAACACGGACGTACTTCTCCTCAGCCACAACAGGGAAGCCGCGCCTGGTCATTCTAGGTTCTGGATGGGGAGGTTATGAGGTGCTGCGGGCGGTGGACAAGAAGCGTTGGAGTAAGTCGTCAAGTTCGTGCCCTTATCCCCGCTTTCCTCACGACTTTAAGACGTGATTGTTGTGTCGCCGAACAACTACTTCAACTTTACCCCTCTCCTTGCGAGCTGTGCCGTCGGGACTCTCGAGTTCCGTGCTGCGATTGAGCCTGTGCGTTTGGTCGTCTGCGTTATGACGTCATTTGCTCATAGTCGGTGCAGGTTAGACGCTATACGCCTCAAGTGGTACGACTCTCTTTCTTGGAACGCGTCCGTCTTCGCTGAAACGACTTTGTACAGAGTGCTTACACCGCCTGGTGCGACTCCATCGGTGAGTCACTGTCTCTTCCGAGTGAACACCCGCATCCTCAACCCGCCCCCGGCGCTGTAAGACTTCAAGCACAAGAAGCTATTGTGCGTGAGTATATGCGTTTTTCCATCCCTCTTCCTCTCTCATCAGCCAACCAAGACTCCTGCGACGGCGCCAACCAAACTTGGTGAATCACATGCAAGCACGGACGTCAACGAGATCGTGACCAAAGTTTCCGCGAATTCCGACAAGTTCGAACTGACATACGACAAGCTTGTGATTGCGGTCGGAGCATACAACCAAAGTGAAGACCGCATTCCCTCTTTTTGCGCACACTTCGACTAATCCCTTTCATATCGTTTAGCTTTCAACGTTCCGGGAGTGAAAGAACATGCGTATTTCCTCAAGGATATCCGTGATGCGAGGCGAATCCGTTCTCGTGTCCTCGAATGTAAGTCCCTTGTCCTCACCAGCGGAAGGACATGCCTGGAAACGTTTCACCCGACCTGTGCCCACACGGGCACGGCTTTAGTGTTTGTGGGGGTGGCTCGACAGTATCGTGGCGGAGGCCAAGAAGTCTAGCATCACGTGGATGACACTGACCATGTGTTTTCGCCTCCAGGCTTTGAACAGGCAAACCAGCCCACCATCACCGACTCGGACCGGCGCAAGCTTCTTAACTTCTGCGTGATTGGTGGGGGTCCCACCGGAGTTGAATTCTCCGCGGAGCTGCACGACCTTATGCACACCGAGATGACGCAACACTATCCCGCTCTCGCGAAGATGGCGAAGATCAACCTTTACGACGTCGCCCCGAATATCCTCGGCGGGTTCGATGCAGGACTACAGGAGTACGATGTCGCCTTTTCAACGCGCGTGCTGGATACTGACTACCACGACGATTAGATATGCAGTGTCCAAGTTCAAGCGAGAAGGCATCAGGCTACTCACTCAACACCACGTAGAACGTATTGAAAAGGTGAGCGTTAGCTGCCGTCTATCATGCGAATATACTTCACTTCGATTCCGCGTGAAATTGATGGATCTTCGGATATCGTTCGCCGATCGTGCAGCTGTTGGGTGGTTAATCGCGTCGTGTTCGAGGGGCTGTTGTATGAAGTGGCTCCGCGGCTTCATTTCGCGCATGTCCCTGATGTTATCGTCTCCAGGACCGGATGTTCGTGACCGAGGAAGGTGAAGGTATGTCGCGTGGCTTTGTCACTTCCGCAACGGCTCTCCCACAGTCCTGTCACGCTTCGCATCCACTCAAGCAGCTGACTTGCCTCGTTTTACGATACAGTGAACTTTGGTATGCTCGTGTGGAGCACCGGCCTCGCACCGAACCCGCTCATAGAGTCAATCACGGAAGCGAAGAAGACAAATCGGTGAGTGCCTCAGTTCCCAGCCCCCCCGTCTTCCCCGCTCTTCTTCACGCCCGCGACACCCCGCACTGCGCTACTTTCCCCACACTACGCAATCCTCGGGCTTCGGCCACGGGGAGGGTCTCTGCGCGGGACACGGATCTCCGCACCTCGTTTCATGTCCGACCGTCCCACTTTTCGATCTCTGTGACGTGAACACCCTCGTACTCTATCCCCTTCCACGCTGAACTCTGACGTCGTCGTGTGCGGATCTGATGCTAACGTTCTTTCCTGCCGCATTCGCTCCTCGTCCGTGTTCCCGCCGCCAAACGTCTGTTGCCCCGCACTGCGGTCCACGATCGCCGCCGCCCGGCCCGACCCCATTCTGCACCCCTCCACCCTGCACCTCAACACTCCAACCACCCACCACCTCCTCCCCGCACCCCGCGCGCACGCAGGAGCCTGCTCACGACCCCGCACCTGAACGTCGTCATGCGCGCGCCAGGTGGCGGCGTCGGCGACCCCGACGCGGGCGTGGCCGATCCCGACGTATTCGCGATCGGGGATGCCGCCTCGGTCGCGCGCGACCCGCTCCCCGCGACGGCGCAGGTCGCGAACCAGCAGGCAGTCTACCTCACGCGGCGGCTCAACGCGCTCGTCGGCCGTCGGCCGCTCCTCCCGAACCTCTCCGCGCTCTTCCCCAAGGTCACGCCCCCGGCGTCCTCGAAGGAAGACGCAGACGAGGCGGCGCGCGACGCGGCGGACCCGCCGTTCGAATTCCGCAACGCGGGCAGCCTCGCGTACATTGGCGGGTGGGAGGCCGTCTTCGACCGCACGCGCGCGGCGAGCGGGCCCCGCGGGAAGGAGTCGGGCCGCCTCGCGTGGCTGCTGTGGAGGAGCGCGTACTTCACGCAGACGCTGAGCGTCAGGAACAAAATCCTCGTCCCGGTCTACTGGTCAGTGAGTTTCCTTAGCCTTGGAGATCTCATTTCGTTCCGAGTACGTGGTGGGCGTGTGCGTGCGTGCGGAGATGGGAGGTGCGTGCGCACGCGCGCCCCGAGACGTGCAACCCCGTCAATGTCTGCAGACTGCGGGCGCTGCGTCCCCGATGTCATGCGTGCGTTGCGGCGCACAGTCATCGGGGTCGCAGCGACGTCAGCGACTGGGTGCACGCGGGTATGTCTATGAAACCCATGACGTCGGCATCCAAATTTCCGTGCGTTGCATCGCACACCGCGAACAATCGCGATGGCCCCGCCCCCCGGTGCCGGGCTCCCGGTCTCCTCCCCGTCATGTCCTCTTGGCTCGCGCCTCGCGGCAATGACGTCGTCCCCACGGGACAGCGCGCGCCCACCACCCGTCCCGCACGCGCACGCACTCACCGCGCACGGGCGGTGCCGCCGCACGGCTATGTCGCGTCGAAGCGGTGGGTGGTTGTCCACAGGCGTCGCACGCGGACGGACCGGGGCGCCGATTCGCGTCGGAACTTTCATCTCCCGTTTCCCCGTCTCCCCGACGGCGGAGAACAATACCAGCGCAGCAGCTCGAGCGGGGCGTGAGCCTCGTGCATCACCCCTCTCGAAGAATGCGGCGTCTCAGATTCCAGACGTGCAACCGTCGGCGACGGTGTGCACGCACAAAAGCTGTCATCCCCGCGCGTCCGCGCGCTCCGCCCGTGATCCGCGCGGTGCACCCGTGGTGGCCCCGCAGCGTTGTTTTGTGTCCCGTCTCTCCTGTCCGCGGGTCACAGGGAGCGCAGCCACGCCGACACGCTCTGAGACGGCGACTCGTTGTGAACGCTTTCCGTGTATTATCATTTTCCGCCGCATCGCTGACCAGGCCTGCTTTCATCTGCACAGGTTCATCAATTGGATCTTTGGCCGTGACTTGAGCAGGTTCTGAGCGAATTACCGGTCGTAGCACCAGCCTCGTGGCGGGTCTCTCCGCCCCGCACAGGTCGCGAACCCCCTTTCGCGAGGGGCGAGTCCGGGAATTGCGGCCACGAGGCTGGGACTTGCAGGTGGATGGCACCCTGTAACGACTCGTTGGGGTGGACCATCGCCCACGCGCGTCCGCTGGAGCGACCACATAGCAGTGGAGAGGATCAGAGTTTTTCTGTGTCGCGAGCCTCGTGGCGGACGCATGGAGGGTGGAGTGTGGCCGAGGTACCATATCCGGGAAATTTAAATCAGCTAATGTCTTACATAGAAGCCCTCGGACCCTCGGGGGCGTGTATCCAACACCACCACTTAGACTTTTATTTCTAGAAGACGGGCGCAGCGCAGCGCGCGCGTGGGGTGCTCGCCGGCGGTGAAACACCGCGTATTCGACCACGCGCGAGGTCCGCTCAAACCGTTCTACGCTTTCTGTTTGCCTGACCAGTTTTCCAGCGCTGCGCGCGCATGCAAACAAGGCTATTCTCCAGCTCGGTCGATCCGATACGTGATTTTCCCGAAATTCTCGCTGCAGATTTGACGGCACCACCGCGGCGGCGCTAGGACGGTCGGTGAATCGGTGAATCTTACGCTTGTCGGACCCGACTTCGCGCGCGCACCGAGCGCGTCGTCCCTGGTGGTTCGTGGAGATCGCACTGAAGAGGCGAGCACCGAGCGCTGAGCGCTTCGACATACATATGTCGGGGCTGCGGAGCTCGAATATTCCGACAGGCACCGGGCCAGCGCGCGCAGATCCTCCGCTCGGGACTTGCTTCAAACCATCCACTCGACTCGGATTGCCGCGTTACACGAGCTGTGACCGCGCCGACGCGAGGTACGGGCGACACAAAGCAGAAGCGCGCAGCTGCATATGCATACGCAGCGGCCGCGATCACGAGGCGCGGCGGGATTAACTCGCAGTCTTCACATATACACCTGCAGACCCAAACTGCGCTCTATAAGCCTCTTCGCCCGCGATCGCCCGCGCCCACACGGCGCGCTCACACTTCCCGCAGTGACCAGCTCGACGCAGCGGCGATCGATGACGGTGGTCCATCACGCGGCGCGCAGCTTCGACAAAACTTCGAAGCCTGCGCCCGACGCCTTGGACGACCGACCGACGCCCGCGCGCCCACATTCACGGATGCTACAAGAAGCGCCGAGCTGCACCCGCCAGAACTGGCCTCAGGCCACAGGCCACAAGGAAGCTGCAGCGTAGATCCCGCGCGCGCGGACGGGCGCTCTCCAGCGATCCTTTGAGGACTGAATTCATCCTGGTAAATCCGACGATCCTCGTCGGCGCCGTCGGACGACGCGACTGAGAGGCAGCGACGGTCGCCGCTCGTTTGTCGCGTTCGCCGGGAAAGGCCGGACCGCGGTCGGGCCGTCACGCAGCCGCGGCCAGCCACGCTTTGTCCGGGCGCCCGTGACGCAACTGGCTTGCGAAAGCCACGACCTTTGAAATTTGAAGTTTGATGACGCCTCGCGCGGGCAAATTTCCTTCGCCGCAACACCGCGCACTGCGGCGCGCGGGAAGCTTGCATCGTCGACATGAAATCAGCTGCACCGGAGGAAGATACGAAGACATCGGGGATCCCACACGGGCGGGCCTTGTCGCCCTACCGCGTCGCTGAGGGCCCTGCAGCTGCTGGCCAGCGCACAAAGTTTTCGTGAGCGAGCTTCCCCTCGATCGATCACCGGCCTCGGATCCAACGACGGACTCAACGCGCGCTCGATGATCGAGGTGCCACCATCCAGGGCTCTGTCCGCACCGATCTTGGTCGAACGTCGAACTTTGCGCCTCTTTGAAAGCACACACGCACGGACCGCGGCAGCGCGGCAGACGCGTGCCACCCCGCGGGGAGGGGGGGGGGAGAAGTTTGCGCGCTGCGGCCTGCGTCGACCCCAGTGCTGCAGGGCACCGCGCGCGCGACCCTCGACTGCGACTACGCATGCGCACCCCCGGAAGGCAGAAGGCAGAAGGCAGACGGAGGCCCCCGTGCGAGCCCGATGCGACGCAAATAGCTAGGCCTCAGCCGTGCACGCATGTCCGCGTCCCTCTCCCAGCGCGCTCCGAGTCTGAAGATATGAAGCATTACGTCTTGTGGGGCGCCACGGCCTCTCGGGGTGCCCCTCGAGCCCCGTTCCAGAGTCTAGACCGCGGACGGCGGAGCAGGGCGGTGGGAGACGGGAGAAGGAGGGAGGGGGAACCAGGGGGGCCCAACGAGGGCTCCGGGCGTGCGTATGCGTGCGATAAGCTGCGGCTGCGTGCGTGGAGGGGCGTGCTGAGGGTTTGTGTGCAGAGCGCGTAGGTTCTGCGGGTTCCGAGGCGTTGTGCGGTGGGTCTCGTTCGTATGGTATGTGGCTTGCGCGCACGTCGGGTTTTCGCTGGTCCCGATCGCAGCGTTCAAAGCCCTGGAATGGTTGAGGACGATCAGGTCCGGCGTCGAGCGAATTCGAAAGCCAACTTCGCCCGAGAGCCCCCGCGGGTGAATGCTCGGAAGTCCGTCGTCTTACGTGTGGGTGGACGATGTGAGAGATGTTTCACGGTGTTTGTGATTCGTGGAGACGGGGCGTCGGTACATGTAGTTTGTTTGTTTGTTTGTTTATCTCCTGTTTAACGCCCTGGAGGGCCGAGCCCTATGGTAGGCGCTACGTACAGTAGTCTAACTAGCGGTAGAGGAAATGCGTATACGGGACGGATGACGTGTTGGCACGGGGGCCGGAGTAGCCAGAGGAATCTAGCCGTTGCACAATCGAAACGGGGTGAGTGGGTAACGAAGGGGGCAGTGAGTGCGGATGCTAGAGTGGGGTGAGTGCCGGAGGGTACCGTACATGACCTCCGCTCCGCCTGCCCGAGTTCGTCAACTTCCGCCGCGGCCTCTGAGCGCCGGGGGAGTGCCTACTCCGAGTCGTGTGTTCTGGCCTCTGGAGCGAGGTAGTCGCGGCCTCGCGGGTGAGAGTGGTGGGTGTGTGGGGAGGGGATGGGAGCGGGGTGAGAGGGGTGTCGACTTAGGCGGGTGCGGGAGTAGAGTGCGGGAAGGGGCGGGTGGGGGCGAGACGATCAGGACGGGTGCGCGGGACAGGCGGGATGAGTCTATCTAGTGTGGGGGTGTCAGGGTGGTATCGTACTATGTAGTCTGAGGTAGCGGGTGGGAGTAGTGCTCGTTTCGTGCGCCGCGCAGCTTGCTGAGTGGGGGTTCCTTCGACTCCGGTCGCCGGACGGCTCGCCCGCCACCTATTTACTTTCGCGTGCGTTGCCCAGGCGCCGCGGTACATGTAGTACGGGTGCGGAGCGCGGTGCGTCATCGTAATAGTAGGATAGTAGGTGCTGGGACGATAGCATATCGAATGCGTACAAGTACAGCGCGAGAACAAAGTGGAAGACATATGATACAGCCTTAATCGATAACGTGGGAGGGAGCCGGACGGGGACGATGGACGTGAACATGAACGTGAGCCGATATCGTAAGTGGGAGAGAACGGGGAGGAGATAAGTTATGCACCGAGAGAAGTCGAGACGCGCGTGCATGATAAGTGGACTGTGAAGACCAGAGATAGAAGAAGAGGACAACGACGATACAAGAGAGAGAAAAGAAAAAGAAAAAGACGGCCGAGCGCGGCCCTTTGTTCGTCGCTCGCCGCGACAGTCAATAATACACTGGGATCCGCTTCCGCTGCACAGGCACGCACCCGCGCGGGACGAAGCCGGCATCTGAGCGCCATCGCCAGTCGTCAGCGCCGCCGTCCCACGCGCGCGCACCGTAAGTGACCGACTCACCCGACGGCGTGCGCTTCACCCCGCTCCGCGCGCCCCCGGCCCCGCCCATCATGCTCAGGTTCGGGATGACGACCGGGACCGGCGTCGGGTACGGGCCGTACGGGCCCGTGACGAGCGGCGCTGTGGGCGCCGAGAGCGACGCGGGCGGGACAGGCACGGTCGTCGACGCGGGCGCGGAGTGGTGCTGCAGCGGGTGCGAGTGGTAGGCGTGGTGCCGCGTAGGTGCGGGCGCGGGTGCGGGTGCGGGCGCAGGCTCGGGGGTCTTGTGGAGCTCCTGCATCAAGCTCGCCTTGGCGCCGGCGAGGAAGCCCTCAACGAAGTTGATGTCGCGCCCGCGGAGGAGGTCGAGGATGTCGGGGCCGAAGCCTTCCAGCTCTTTGTAGATCAGAGTCCAGCCGTCATCTGCGTCCAGGTCGAGCGCAGCCTTGCGCGGGCTGGGTGACGGCGAGCGGCGCGCGCGGCGCGCCGAAGGGCTCGTGCTTGGTGGAGAGGACGACGGTGTGGACACGGCGGAGGACGAAGCAGAGGACGAGGGGGAAGAGCGCGGAGAGCGGTCGGAGGGGATCGGGACCGAGTTGAGCGGGGCGTCGAGCCCGACGTGCGCGACGTGCACGAATGATCCGGGGGAGGGCGCGGAGATCATGCTTGCAGAGAGTTTGCGTCCGCGCGAGGGCTTTCGCTCGTGCACAGGTGCGGGCTGGACTTGCTGGAGCGCAGGGTGGTTGAAGCGCGGCGAGGGGGGCTGGGGCTGGGCGATGGCAGCTGGCGAGAGGTCGCGCGCGGGCGGCTCGGGGAGAGGGCGCGGGAGGGGCGCAGACGCTGCAGCAGGCGGCGAAGCGGGGAGGGGCTTCGCTGCCGGTCGGCCGTCTGTGCTCTGCGCACGCGGGGCTGTGGAAGCGGGAGTCCAGGAGGGCGACGCGCAGGAGAAGGAAAATGAACGAACGTCAGCGTCTGCGGATTGTCCAAGAGCGCGAGTGCACGCACCAGCGAGCGTGATGCGGCTGGTGATACGAGTGCGGAACTTGTCCGCATCGAAGTCTTCGTCGAAGCGGAAGCCAAACATGCGCGACTGTGCAAATTCCATGAGATAAGAGGAAATGAGAGGTCGAGATGAAAATGAGACTCACAACACCAGAGAAGGTGTGGAAGAACGGCTTGTCCGTCTGGTAGTCGAGGTCGGATGGGATCTCGTGGAACCACACAATTCCTTTTCCTCCGTCCACATCTACGAGCCTGAACCAGTATTTTGGCTCAAACGGCTCGCCTGGGAGCCGATGAGGATCTGTGCGATCACGTCCGAAGACGAGCTGCCCGCGAAGACCAGTGAAGGACCAAGACTCTTGGGAGGTACCGAAGGGGCGTGGTAAACGCGCGCCGGTCCGACGGCGATGAGCTTGGCTTCGACAGGGAGGTAAGAGAGGATGGTCTGGCGTTCGTCGCCGACGAGGGAACAGATGGACGGAGTCGGGGACGAAGTTTCGGAGGACGAAGAGGGCGAGCTGGATGGTTGAGACATTATGTAAAGGTGTCGAGGGTGGGTGTTCGTCGAGGTCGTGAGGAGTAAGGGGCAAGTATGTGCGGCACAATGGGAAGAGAAGGAGAGGAGGAGGGAGGTAGGAAAGAGGCGGATTGGACGAGCGGGGGAGGGCGGACTCTGCAGCCGCCCTCAGAGGTTGATTTATACGAGCAGCGGCTCGGAGGAGGAGCCAGGCCACTGGGCGCCACTGGAGAAAGGAAGGCGCGAGGCGTGTACGCCTCGTGTTGCTTGTTGCGCTGCCGGGTGGAAGACGACGGTGTCGCCTCGTGCCCGGTGCGAGGAAGACATCCCGGGCGGTATGCTCCATCAACTATCACACGCCTCCTGTGACCCATTTCCGCCCGCCCGGCTGTGTGCCGGGGGTGTTGGGTTTCATCGGCCGGTCCGCAGCGATCTGGTGTGGCACAAACAAATCCGGTGGAGCGACCACGGCGGCAGTCATGAGGGGCTGGCGAGCGAACTCTCCGCTATCGGCGACTGCGACGATCCCCATGGTCAGCGTGGTGGTGACGACCATGCAGATAGCGCAGGGCTGACCTGGAGTGGCTTCAACAGTCAATTGACACACCGCGAAGAAGGCTAAGTTGCCGGGTATTGTGCGAGAGTTGGGCTGCCGCGTACGATCACAAGCCGCAGGAAACCTGTGGGCGCGATAGGGATTAGGACTGGTCTGGATCGCCATCGCCGTGAAGAGACGACCGCTTGTGAGCCTGCACTGCTCACGCATTGACCTTCCTTCGCCTCCCGATCACAGACGGACTATCGCGCGTGGCTGATGGAACAAACGAACTTGCCTGGGCCGCGCTGGAACGCCGCCAAAACATCCGCCACGAGGTGAAGACTTGACAAACAAAGAAGCTCTGCACGTGGGATGGCACCAGGATATCTGGGTACACCCAAGACGCCGATGAAACACGTACGTTTGTCCACAAACTTCGTCCCCATAACGGCTCATAGTCGGGATTGTGGCTGGAAAGAACGCGACTGGAGAAGATGTCTCAGGGCGTGCTGAGGATCGCCACGCGGTCGACGCGTTCCGGGAAAACACCGCCAAGGGTCAAGGCACACAGCTGTTCTTCTTTGGCGTCGTGGGGCGGGATGTACAGAGTCAGAGAGGAGATTGAAGACGGGATGAAGTGGAGAGAATACAGAGTAGGTATATGCGAAAGTAGCTTTCAAATTCCAGGCTGCGAGGCCAGTCGACGGCATCACGAGACCCTGAGAGACTGTGTTTTATAATCATCCGATAAGATAACGAGCCATCTTTCCGCTTATTAGGCGCGCAGCTCCTTCCGGCCACCTCCTCCGCGTGCGTGCTAGTGTCGGTCTTATTGACTTCAGGTGGTAGCGGCGCTATCCTCTGCACGCCATGGGAAGGAAGGTGAGGCTTTTTCTGTGTACTCAACCGGCGAGGCACTCATTAATTGTGTAGAAAGGACGAGGCGGTGCCAAAAGCAAAGGCGGCAATGGAGGACGGGGCAATGCCGAGTGGGCTCGCACCGATGTGATAGAGCGCGAAAATATGCGGAATGAACGCCTCGAGAAGTACTACAAGGCTCAAGCCATCCTACCTGAAGACGAGTATGATGCTATGTTCGAGACTATGCGCAACCCCTTGCCGACCACTTTTCGCGTCGCAGGGAGTCGACAGTGAGCTGTTCCGTCTTGGGTATGGAGAGCAACACTAACACCCTACATTATGGACTCCGTAAGGGCTGCGAAATTGCTGAATGAAACGATTAAAGACGTCCATGTTCCACACCTGGCGGGCATTGCGTTCGAAGGGGAGGCAGTGTCGCCACCGCAGCAGCTTCCATGGTTCGTCCACACGTCACATACGCCAGTCCACCCCGATTGCTTACATATATCATGTACGCGGGTAATGTCCACGTCTGCAGGTATCCGGATGGTCTAGCATGGCAGTTCAACGTCGCTAAAAAAGTCGTGAGGAAGTCTCCCGAGTTTAAAAAGTTCCACTCGTTCTTGGTGTTCGAGACGGAAGTCGTGAGTCATTTAGTGCTCAAAGGGAGTAGAACATTGCTCATAGGACGCAGGGTAACATTTCGCGACAAGAAGCAGTTAGCATGCTCCCACCTCTTTTCCTTGAAGTCGAACCTCATCACCGAGTAAGTGGAACCGGTCGGCGCTTGTCAAGGTGGTCTACGTGCTGAGTTCGGACACTCAAGAAACCTGAGTGTCCAAACTCAACTTTGTGGCCGTCATACTAGGTTGCATCCACCTCGCGAAAAGCGAGTACTGTGCAGGTGTTTTGTGTGGTACAGGCGGCTCGGAAGGAGCGCTCATGGCCTATGCCTTCGATGCGTATGTCCCCTGTGTATGTTTTCGCCTGGGAGCCAGTCAACGTAGTATCTACGGTTCCTCATGCATGCTCGTACCGCAACAGTGACCACCTGCTTCGATGCTGTCTTCTAGTCTCCCATTTAACGGCTGTCGCTCCGAATTCGCTTACCAGTAAATGCAGGTCATTGACATGTGCGCCGCTCCAGGATCCAAGGTACGTAATTCCCCACCTTTCCCCGCAATTTTCTGAACGTCTCGGACCGGTTCTTCAGACTGCGCAGCTCCTCGAGGCCCTGCACGCCAACGACACCGCCACCTCCTCCTCCTTGCCCAGTGGCCTGCTGATCGCCAACGACTCGGACTACAAGCGCACGCACCTCCTCATTCACCAGTCCGCGCGCTTACCGAGCCCTTCGCTGATGGTCACCAATCTCGACGCGTCCATCTTCCCCGCGATCAAGATCCCGTCAGAGCAAACGACGTTTGCGGAGGGTACGAAAAAGCGTGTGCAGAGCAAGCGGCAGTACCAACTCATGTTCGACCGCATCCTGTGTGATGTGCCGTGCTCGGGCGACGGCACGATGAGGAAGAACCCAGGTATCTGGAAACACTGGAGCCCGATGGACGGCAACGGGTTGCACAGGTGCGTTCCCTAGACGTGATATTGCTGGCCGCTGCACTGTGCTCATGTGCTTGTCGTCGTCATCGTCACCTCACCTCGCCTTCGGACGTCCGGTCGAATCTTCCGTACACCCCCAACGCGACGTCCCGACTGCTTCGGTCCGACAGTCTGCAGCTCCGGATCCTGCAGCGCGCGATGCGCATGCTGAAGAAAGGCGGCCGCCTAGTCTACTCGACCTGCTCGCTCAACCCGGTCGAGAACGAGGCCGTCGTCGCCGCCGCGCTCAAGTCCATCCCCGGTACGTCCGCCCGCCCGCCTACCGCCGGCTCGCTTAGCTCGCCCTTTACCTCATCCGTGCGCCGCATGTCCTCGCGCTGACCCTGTTTCTTGCTCCTTCCGGTCGTGCGCGATTTCGCGTCGGTCGCTTGCTCGCACATCACGCGCCCGACCGCGGTCTGGGCCTCATCGCAGGCTTCGAACTGGTGGACATGTCGGGGCACCTGCCCGGGCTCGTGTTCCGCCCAGGGCTCACCTCCTGGCGCCCGACCACCTCGCGCGAGATCAGCATGGACTTCGCGACGTTCGCCGAGTACGACGCCAGCCTCGACGACAAGGCGCGTGCGGCGAGCAAGATGCTCGAGTCGCACTGGCCCCCGAGCCCGGAAGAGGCGCGGACGCTCAGCCTGGAGCGGTGGTGCGTCCCCCCTTTGCCACCTGTCCCGTGTGAGGCACGGGTCGCGCTGACGCGGTCTCGGCCCAGTTTCCGGATATACCCGCATCTGCAGGACACCGGCGGGTTCTTCATTGCCGTTCTGCAGAAGACGCCGCCGGCGCGGCGCGCTCAGTCCACGGCCACTGAGGGACCCGCGAAGGAGCACTCGTGAGTCGAGGCCCCGGTCGCGCGCGCGCGTTAGGCATTCTAACAGCCTCTGCCGTGGACAGGGACGCGAAGCGCACGGCAGACGCGGTGGAGGGCCTCGACCGAGAGGAGATCAAGAAACCGAAGCTTGACTCCGGTAACGCGCAGGAGCCGACTGAAGACGCCGAGGAAGAGCTCCTGGAAGAGGCGATGGACGACCCCGACGCCACGCCCACAGCGGAGATGGAAGTCGACGCGCCCGAAGGGGAAGCGGCCGCGGCTGTGATGGACAAAGGCAAGGAGAAGGACCAGAAGATCCGCTTCAAGAAGGGCAAGACCGCGGAGGGCGCGGGCGCGCACTTCAAGGAGAACCCGTACACGTTCATCGCGCCCAACGACCCGATCGTCCAAGCGTGCATGTGCGTCCTCCTCTTCCTCTGGCCGGCCCCTCACTCACGTGCGCCCTCAGCGACAACTTCGACCTCGCTCCGAGCTTCCCGGCGGGGAACATGCTCGTGCGAAACCCGGCGGGCGACACCGTGCGCTCGCTGTACATGGTCAACGCGGTCGTCAAGTCTGTCATCGAGCACAACGACTTTGCGCGCATCCGGCTCATGACCGCGGGCACGAAGGTGTTCGGCAAGCAGGAAGGCACGGAGGCGAAGCGCGCGGCCGCCGCGGACACGCACTTCCGCGTGCTCGCGGAGGGCCTGCCCGTCGTGCTTCCGTTCGTCGGGCAGAAGGCGCAGATGACCGCCGACTTCGCCGCGATGAAGGTCATGATGGAGAGCTACTACCCGCTCACGACGGGCTTTGCCGAGCCCTTCCGGTCTGCGGTGGAGGCTAAGGGTGCGCGTGTGCCGTTCTCGGGCATGTGCGGACGTGCTGACCGTCCTCCACAGGCAATGGCAGCTACGTTGTCCGGTTCCAACCCGGACGCCTGGAGAGCGGTGCGACGTGAGTGGCCTCCCGAATCTCGCCTGTGCGTGCCACTAAACATCCCGATCTACAGCCTCGCGCACGAGCTTGTTTTGCCCATCTGGAAGTCGAACGTCTCAGTCACGCTCATGCTCGATAAGCGCGCCAAAAGGTACGTCCCGCCTCTCGCATGTTCGCGCATCTCTCGCTCAGTATGCCATTCGTCTCTGTGCGCTTGTTTCCACCGTGGCCTTGCTTCCGGGCATTCTTCTAGTGCGCTGAGCCTCAGGGTCTTCGGTGAGGACATCACGGCTGCCGCGCGTCAAGCGGCGGGGAAGAAGAAGGAGGGCGATGCTGAGGTTCAGGGCGAGGCCACCCCGGAAGACCCAGAGGCCTCGACCGAGCCCATGGCGCTCGGCGACGAGGATGCGGTCGGGGAAGACGACGACAACGTGGATGTTCCGGCGGAGGCGGAGGAAGGCGCAACGCGCTCCGAGTGAGTCTCGGCTCGTCCGTGTTGGTCGCGGGCACGAGGCGGGAAAGAGCGCTAGATGAAACATATGTGTGGTGTTTTGTAACAGGATATGGTCGGTGTGCATGTGTGCAGGGTTCGTGTAACACGTGGAGCGTGTATGAACGTTTGAACACTGGCACTACAAAGTTAGGCGGTCGCACACCACCGCCTTCTGGTCCACAAGTGGCCGTGGTGTCTCCAAACGCTGTGGAAGGCCGTTCTTCCTCACAAATGTTCAATAGACGTCTTCTCGGTCGGCTCTCAATGCTCAATATTGATTATCATCGGGGTCTGGAAATAGACTTAAGGGAACCAAGTCGGAGTGTGAAGAATGTAGTAGCGATGCCAGCTCCGCCATCTCTCCCTGAGAATAGGCCGCAGGCGCCGAATCGCTGGTTAGTCGTCCATCTTCTTGTGTCCTCCCTTGAAGCCTCGCAACTTGCTTGCCACCGCATCGCTGTCCATCAGAAATATGCGAAAACCCTCTCACATACCCCTGGAACTCATGGAACAAATACTCGATGAATTGGATGGCCAAGGCGATGGCCAGACTCTCCGAGTCTGCGCGCGCGTTTGCAGCGCGTGGCTCCCCAGGATCCGTCTCCACCTCTGGCGCAAAATCACTATCTTCCATCTAAAGCAGCTCACATTGATTCGTGCAGCTTTTGATGGTACCTCTGGACTTCCTCGGCTCGTGCAGGTTGTTCGACTGGAGCTCAGAGGCTTGAGCTTGGATCCAAACACGAACGACTTCCCCCACGCGGCGCCAATCATACTCCTGCCATATCTCGGCACTCACCTTGTATCTTGGGAGTTTAGATGGTTCCTTTGCTTTCCGCCTCGTGTCATAGCAAGCTTTCGACAGTACTCCTCGGTGACAAGAGTAGTCCTCGAAGGACACAGCCTGCAGACCCTTCCCACAGTGTTGCCAGTGTACAGGCTGCTCGGCGCGTTTCCTTCCCTAAGGCAACTCAGCTTGTCCGACGTGACGTTCAGGAGCAACGTGGCAGATTCATTTCTCCACTCCGCGCGGAATCAAGTACACAGCCCTCTGCAGACAGTAAAGGTACGTTGATATGCGAACCCACGTGCAGTGACAATAAGTTTCACCGCACATTGTACTCTGCGGTCCCGCAGATGGAATTCGAAGACCCTTCACCTCACTTCAACACCTTTTTAACATCCCACGCATCGAGTCTTGTGGATTTGACACTTGGATGTCCCTCATTTGGTGCCGAAGGTATTGATGACTGAAACTCCCTATCGTGGTGGAGCCTCATCGCTCACGGGTTACGGCCCCCTCCGCAGACTTGCATCTGATGGAATTTTCGTGCCTCGTGCGTCTCGCCGTACGAGTGACTGAGAGTTACATCAGGGCGTTTCGTGGTCCCTCCCTTCTTCGACTGGATGACTATATCAAAGTCGGACTCCCGCGATCGCTGCAGTCTCTGGATGTCGTCTTCGACAATGAAGTACTACCTTGGCTCAACGTGCAGAGACCTCGTCAAGATCAAGTCGCTGTCATCCTCAACTTCACACAGCTGGTACAAACCCACGCCACTCTGCAGACGAAAGGCATCACCTGCATAGTGGAGCGCTTGAAACAAAACCACAAGGATATGTGGACAGCGACGCTGACGCAGGTGTTCTCGTCTCTTCATAAACGAGGCCTGCTGCGAGTTTCGTTCGCTCATTCAGGTAAGCTCGGTTTTTACGATTCCCCTCTATTTGCTAGTTGATGAAATTTGTTTTTCCTTCTTAGCGCGACGAGGTGACGAGCGGGTTGGACATTTGGTTGGCGTTGACACCGCAGCTATCTCTGAAGACAGCCGATGGGCGGCGAGCGTTTCGGTCTCAACCGATGCAATGTATCCCGAAGTCCCCCGATGCCTTCGATCAGTGATCATCTGGGACATATGTCACGACGAGAAGCCCGCACTCGTACTGGAACAGTGGTTCTGGGACGATATGACCGATTACCCAGCGGCGCCTTTACTTGCCTTCGCTCCTTCCGGAAGTCAGCTCATGCACTGCCGCCAGTACGACGAGCACGTCAACGTGTATAGCCTATCACGCACTAGCGATCAAGCTCGAGGATCATCTCATGAGCAGGGGGAAATCAGCACTGGGCACTTCGGAAGCATCCTCAAGGTCGCGTGGACTCCGGACAGTGCCCAGATCGCCGTCCTGATGGACTCCGGGGACGTCCATCTCTGGGATGCGGCAACTCTGTCACACACCCGTGCCCTTCACGCTCCCTCTCTTCCGCCGAAGATCCCCGGCGCGGAGGGCCGGGCGAGTAGGCGTGAACGCGATATGGAATCGCTCTCCATCTCTCCGGACGGTCGCCATGTCCTATCCCACACTTCATATTTCCTGACGCCCTTCGACCAGTCCAAGTCCACCAACTTCCACGACCGCATCGTCACGTGGGACTTGACCACAGGGGACTGCCATCTTCACTACGACTCCCTCGGTCTCTACGTCGCTCACGACGGCGATCTCGTCATCAGTTGCGCCGTCTTGCGCCGCGGCGTCCGGAGTGGCGAGACCGACATTCTCGCATGCACGGCCGACGAGTACCTCTGGCTCGAGCCCCTCCCCAGCGCGAACGAGCAGCCAACCGCTGCACGGCGAATCCTTGCCGACTTCGGTGAAACGGTCGCCCTTTCCTCCGATGGAGCTCGCGCGCTCTGCCATGCGTACGAATGCAAAGACTCTTTCTATTCCACCTCGCACACCTACTCCATCGTGGACACCACAACCGGGGTGCGAGTATACGATCCCCTTCGTACCCGGATTCCGCTCCGTATCTTCGTCGGTGACGCCTTCTCGCGCTCACAGGGCATCGTTGTCTCAGTCGGTGGCAAGCGCGCGTCCGACGTTTGGTGGTTTTGGAGGTTCCAGGACGGCCGCCTGTACCGCATCCCGGCGCTTGAAGACATGTCTGGATACTCGGTGACGTTCACGGACGATGGCACGAGGCTCATGATTCATGACGATAAAGAAGGGGATGTCCGGTTTTACTTCGTCCGCGATCTGGTTGTGGAGGAAGCAGAGGGTTGGATCTGATGAGGGTGTATGACATTTCGATGTAGTTTAAAGCGTCTTCGAAAGCTCAAGCGAACGTTGCCTTCAAATCACGGCCTTCGTCCCAAATTCGCGTTACCGATGCTATGTAGTCCAGCTTCCGCTCGTTCACATCTCAGGTATCCCTAGCCACTTTTGACAGGTCAAAAGTTCGTCCTGAACACAGCGTGCATGAGTATCTTAACGTCATCTGACCTCGAACGCAACAAAAATACCTCATTGATGTGGAGTACGTCACGGACGTCCCACCGCACGCCCCGAGACTGCTTCACCGCGGCCTTCCTTATCCACTTCGCATCCCGGTCGTCGACGCGTCTTCCTCGACCATCGACACCTCTATCCTTGAACCGCTCGCACAACGTCTTCACGACGCCCTCCATGACGGCCGCGGCAGTGACGAGCGAAAGGGGGAAGCGCAACATTTCGGGGTCTGCGACGACGCGCATCAGCTCAGCATCCAGCTCGACGCAGCAGTCCACGTACCGAACAGGGCTCCCGCGATGACGATCCACGCCTCGTGCTGGACCTTTCTCCACCCGTCATCGAAGCCCATGAGCCGGCGAAGCGTCGGGAGTGCGGACCAGAGCTCTTCCATGAACGCAGCGGGAGTCGCGCTCCCCACGCAGTGATGGAGGGCGTCCAAGACGCTGCGCTGCGCGTGTTCGAACGCGTCGAAGTCGGTGCCGCGGTGCGCGAGCTGGAGGAACTCTTCGGCGAAGATGATCTCGAGAGGGAAAAGGACGTCGCGATGGAACTGGACGAGGCGCACAGTTAGCGTGGCGTTTAGAGGCGACCATGAGTGCCACAAACCTTGATGCTGATCGCGAGGCAGGCAAGCGCGACCTCCCACACGAGAGCTTCCGGTTCATCATCCTCGTCACACTCTTCCTCCTCGCCGGCGAAAGAGGCTTGCCCAGCTAGTCCCGAGGACTGCATGTACCGCAAGAACAGGTGGCCTGCATGGAAGCGAGTGTCCTCGGAAGTACACAGGAGGTCGTAGAGGTCTCCGGGAGAATAGGTCGTCCGACTTTCGTCGTCTTCTGGAGGCATGACCTAGGCGCATATAGTTAGCCAACGGCGGGGAGCGAAACGCGAAAGCAGAACACACCTCTAGAAACCAGGTCATGACGTCTTGAACGAGCGTTTCTTCGAGATGAAGGTCGATCTCGTCTTGCCATATGGACGCACGACGGACGTCGGCAGCAGAAGATACTGACTGAGAAGCGGACACCTCCTCATCCCCATCGTGCATTTCGTCTTCGTCGCTGTCCATCCAGAACCTCTCTTCTTCGTACTCTCGCTTCTTTGGCGCCTTTGACACCGAGTACAAGCCGTCTGCGATTCGTTGCTCTCGTTCCTTGTACAGGAGCCGGGCGATCCTTTGCTCAGAAGCTTCGTCGGCAGAGAGCGGAGCACGAGGAATCATCTCGAAGGAGGTGGGGCTACGATAGGGAGATTGGCGAGAGGACAGGAACGCGCGGGAGCTGATTTGAGAATAGTAGGTGCCGTGCCGACGGATGTAGGCGTAGTTGGGACGGTGGGTGCGTACGAGTCGTGGGGACAAAGGGCCTTCGTGACGTCTAGATGAAGCTTGGCGGAGCCGGACTTGATATCGATGCTTTGGATGACCTGTGCATTGATATGAAGAGGCGTTTCAATTTGGATGGAGCTCGAACTCACCTCCTTCAGGACATCCTCGACATCTAAAGAAGAAACGCCAGATTTCAGGGAGTCCGCGCGTCTCAGGCTTGCCGGGCGTAGAGCAGCGTGTAGTTTGAAAGCACCTGATAATGTTGAAGCGGGCTGTAATGTAGACACTCGATGTCGATGGTTCGAGCTCAGAGAGAGTTTCCGTCTCTTGGCCGCGGTGTTGTCGTCGTCGAGTTTTCGTTTGATGACTTGTGAGGTACGATATTGAACGCGCAAGTTGGCATGCCGTCCATGATCTTCAGTGACAGGGCTCGATTCGATAGTCAGAGGTTGAGAAAGTGGGCGCCGATCGGCTCTTCCAGCAGACACTTGATCGACCTGGCATAGCAGTAGAAGCGCATCTAACCTTTGCGCGAAAGAGGCTTGATCATCCGAGTGAAAAGGCTGGTTGGTGGAGACGTGATTCCTAGCGAGAGTTCGAGAATTAACAGTGCCGGCAACGTGTTCTAAGGGTTCTGGAGAAACGTCTGCTGCAGGGGTGGAAGGAGCCGGAGAAGACGTTGGAGGTGAAGAGACCGGGTTGGAGGAAGGTAACAGTGTGACTATATGCGCGCTGTCGGAATCGTCATCGTTCTCCAGATGAGCAATGGAATTTTCGCGACGAAAAAGCCGGCTTGAATGCTGTCGATTTTGTACAGTCCCGGCCGGTGAAGAGTATTGGGAGATCATGAAGGCGAATTGGTAAATTTGGGGCAACCGAATCGGCAAGAGGGACTGGAAAAGATGGGAAGGACGAGGGTGAGTACTCGATACTTGCCAGGCAGAGAAGTCTAAAGCCGTCTGCAGGGATGAAAACAGCGAGAGGATGGTAGAGACGGTGGATGAGAGGGACAAGCCAGCGTCTGAGGCTCGGGATGGCCAGCTCGGGTTGAGCTCGGGTGCAGATGATTCTCGAACCGCGATCGATGTGACAAGAACGTAGTAGCCATGCTTTCATTCCCTTTCGACCTCGTTGACAATTATACAACTCCGCTCGATGCACGACACACAACATGAAGGCCATCCCACCATCCTGGGTTTATTTTGTCGAAGGAGGGGTTTCGCGTTGATCCAGAGGGACGAACGCACCAAACAAATCCTCAACCGCCGCCTGCGCCCCTCCCACGTCCACGCCCTCTTCCTCGTCCCCGACCTCGACCACGGCCACCTTCTCCGCCAGCGTTGGAAGCAGTTACACCGTCCCCTGCAACTTCGGCCGTCGTCGTAGCAGCGTCGCCTGCTGGGGCAGCTCTCGCTAGGATCTTCGGGGGTGCTAGCCCTCCTTGCACCTCGCGCGACAGTATTGTAGGTTGCTGCCTCGACGGTCGTTCGCGTTTTTCCTTCTCCTTAGCGGGCATCTCCTCCTTCACCTTGGGAGTGGGAACCGCCTCCGCGCCAGCTTCTCCCGCTTCCTTGCTCTTCTCCTTCTCCTTGTCTTTCTCTCGGCGAGATTTGCGTTCGACTCCTGCGCCACTGAGAGCGGCCTCGAACTGGCGCGACGCAATACCAAGCACCGGACGCGATCGACGGGGAGCAGCAGGTGTTGCAGCCGCCGCCTCTGCTGTCGCCGGGGAAGACGGCCCAGCAGCGTTTGCTGTGGGAGCAGAAGCCGAAGACGAGGATGGTGCAGCGGTGGCCGTGGCCGAGGGTGGCGGACCCTTCTTCTCCTTCGGGGGCTTTGGAGGCTTCGCAATCGCGGTGGGCTGCTTTCCCTTCCCCTCCGCGCCCTTTCCTGCGCCCGCGTCCTTGCTTGACCCTGCCTGTGGCTGGACATGCGCCTGCGCCTTCCCCGCGGGTGCCTTCTTGCCAGGCTTTTTGCCCGCAGCGACCTCGGCTGTGGCGGCCTTGTCCTTGGCAGCCTTCTTCTTGTCGTCCTTCTTTCCGAGACCGCCAGAGTCCTTGTAATGCGCGTGGTTTCGCTGGATAGCGTCCTTGTCCCGTTGTGCGGATTTCTCGGCTTTGAGGGCCTCGAGAAGCGGGGTGGTCGTGGGCGCGGGCGCAGGCTGAGTCGAGGCGACTACGCGGGGCGATGAGGGGGATAAGCAGAGAGAAGTTAGCACGATACGTACTCAAAGTGTCCAAGGTGTCCATGTCGAACGGTTTGGACGCAGCCTCTTTGAGAGACTCCAAAAAGGATATGAAATCCTCGTCTAGCCAGACAGTCAGACGTGACTTTGAGAGGCCGAGCCGGATGTGCTCACCTTTCTCAATAGTCCCGCCCTACTGTCCGCCTTCTTCTTCTCATTTGGTACCTTCTGAAACGGCGCGAATTCCACGACCGCTACCGACTCGTTTCCTGTGTTCGAGCATTGGCTTGTGGGATACTCGCCGCGATAGAACGAGAGGCGCACCAGCCTTATCCCTGAAAATATGTCCATCGTACTCCTTGCTGAATGTCGCCAACGTCATCTCCTCCTTGAAAGCGATGTACGCCCTCGACGGATGTTCTCCTTATTCAGTCTGCCCCCGCGACGCGCCCCAAGTCAGTCTCCGCAATCACAGCTCTTTCGGAACACGCACCGCGTCTTGAACTTGCCCGGACAGTACGTCTTCCACGTCACCGTCTCCTCCGATACCCACTGCGCGACGCTCTGCCAGAAGATGTCCTCGGGCAGGTTCGGCGGCAGCCTGCGGACGACGGTCTTGAGGCGCTCCGTCTGCGATTTCTGGCCGCCGCCGGATCCCTTCGCTTTCTTCTCCTTGTCTTTGTCCTTGTTCTTCGTTCTCGCTTTCGCGACGTCGGGGGCGGACATGATGGAGCGGTGAGAAGGCGAAGAGCAGTGGTGTGTGATGGGAGCAGAGGACAAGGAGAGGAACAGCCTCAGACGCCAGTGGCCCAGATCTCGCCAATGCCTCCTGGGAGGTGCTCATATCGTGCTCGCTATAACTGCGTAACATTTCTTAGACTAGAGAATGTATGCTACATGCCGCACAGAGCATTCAAGACAAGGGTAAGGTAAACGCAAAACGCGGCCTAGCATAGATACAAAATAGGATTCAGTACGCGTATTCGTCTTCGGAGTCATCATCATACGGAGAGTAGCGAGAATCGCGCGCAGGCAGGGATCCATCGTCTCCGTACATCTCCCTGACAAAGAAACCGGTGAGCCACGATAACTAGTGAACCGCGGAAGCGACTCACCGTTCGCGCGCCGCTACTTCCGCAGCGAGACCCTACTCAATGCAGGACCGACCGTCAGCGGACGACGAGACTGGCACAGCAAAGCACTTACACGTAATCTTCGTCGACTTCGTCAACTTCGCCTTTACTAAGCTCGTCAGACAGAGCCTCGTCCTCATCTTCGTCCGAGAGAACGACAGGACCACGAGCAAGACGCCTCGGCCGCCGTCCTCCGAAGCCCACAAACTCGACATCGGACTGATCTTCGTCGTGTTGGTGTTCGCCTTCCCCTTCGTCCTCTTCTTCGTCGATATTGATGATATCCCGACGCTCGCGGTCACGCCGGCGCTCCTCGATCTCCCCGTCGTCGATGAAGCTGTCCTCATATCCTTCGTCCGCCGAATCGTTGTGCTCCCCGGTGTCCGAGTCTTCGGTGAGATCGATCTGGTCATCGCGAGCGAATGCACGTGGAGCGGGGTACGGGTCGGGACCGAACATGTGGCCGAAGAGGTCAAAGATTCCAGCATCGATGTTGAGCACAGGGCCGTCGTAGAGAACGCCGTCAACAAACTCGTCGACCTCGTCACCGTCGTCCAGGTCGTCGTCGTCGTCGTCGTCGTAATAGTCGTCTCCGAACACCTCTGGGACTTGACCGGGCGCCGCGTAGTCGCGGGCGCAGTGCGTGCATACCCCGTCTTCGATCTCGTGGTAGCAGTCCACACAGCGGTAGATGCCGCCGTCCTCATCGTCGCGAATGCCGACCAGGTCGCGGTAGTCGTTTGCACGTTCGTGGCGATGGGACTGGAAGATTGTCTTCCATGGGTCGGGATCCACTTCGCCTGCAGCCCTTTCTTCGGAGTCCGCAGGAAGGGTAACCAGGCCGCTCTTGACCAGAGTGGCAACCATGTCCTTGACTGCCCATACTTCGATCGGTGCTTCCGTGATGACAGTTCGACAGTGAGGGCATGTCTTCTTGCGTAGCCAGACAGGGGGCAGTTCGTCTGGATGAAAGTCCGGGGGAGGAGCTGTAAACCAATTCACTAGACAAGACTGACAAGCAGAATGGCCGCATGGAGAGAGCGCGAACGGCCGGTGCATGAGATCCAAGCAGATTTGACAGGACAGCGATTGTTGGAATGAGGTGACAATATTCTCATGGCGTTGGAGAAGCTGAGAGGGCGGGGGTAAACACGTATACACGATCCGGTAAGACGGGTACGCACCTTCGACTTTTGCTCGAGGGTCTGCTGCAGCACAGTATGTTTCTGACTCCCATCCTTGGTACCGTCGTCAGATATGGCCTTCGTCTTTCCCTTGTAAAGCTTTAATGGTGTCTGGAAAGAATTAGAGCACCAGATGCGTTAATATACTGTCGACGCACTGAGGGTTCAGCCTGAGGAGATGCCGTCCTGTCGCCTCCAGAAGTAAGGGTTTCTGAGGACGCCGTCGATGGACCTGCTGACGGCTGACGGATCTCTTCTGCGCATGAATTCGTGGAAAGCACTTGCAAGGAGCTGCCTGTTGCTTGCAGCTCGGGGAGAGGAGACGTGGGCGGTCTCCTGTGACGATCTTCGAAATACGCGGGGATGTGGCCACTTCAGAGACATCGCGAGACTGAACAACGGAAACCCTATGCTTCTTCTTGCGACGCCTCTTCTTGTCCCTAGAATCTCTCTGCTTCACCTTGTCGTCGTCTGCCTCGTCAGGACGCGTACGTTTGACCTCTGGCTCCTCAAGGTCCTCCGAGTCCGACAGGACACGCTTCTTTCCGTTGATAGTGGGTGAAGACGCAAAGGGGAGAGTTGGGCCGCAAGGTGGAGGTGATTCCATATCGTGTGCGATGAGAAACAGAGAACACGCAGCGGGTGCAGCGGTCAGAGAACAAGCGATGGAGGAGTGGCGGGACAGAGGCAAGACGCGCGACTCGGGATTCCGATGCGGCGGCTAAACGGAGTTTAAAATATGCCGATTAGATTAGATCGCGTGGACAAGGCGGCCCTCCGAGGAAGTTCAAACTTGTCTTGCTCTTGCACTTCTGGGACTCCCACTACGACCACCATCACCCCATCGCTGCGTTCTCCGCCTTGATGAGCAAATGCGGTCTCCGCGAGCCCTCGAGCGACCTTCGGAGCTTTCAAACCATGGCGCATACTTCGACCTCCCCACTCGTGTTCCTGGCTTTGCGATATCTCATCAACTGAGCATGCCAGCGCATAAGATCACAGATGGCTTCGGCTTCTTTGTTCCAGGTATGCAAACGCAAAGAGTTGACCCGTCAGACGCGGGCGACCTCAGCTGGAATCGTTTCGCATCTGCGCAACACAGCCCACGACATCGTTCAGTCTTCCCGCGCGACATCGCAAATACTCCAGCGTTCGTCCTACCTTCACCCCTACTTCCTGAATCCGGCGTCGCCTCCCCTTCTCTTCCTTTCGTTGCTCCTCAAGCTCCGGCCACAATCAAGCGACCACTGGCTACGCGCCGGGGAAAGAAGACGGCGACAAGACGACGCATAGCCAACCCTCAGCTGTTCTGGCTTGCGGCGTACTTCGCCTTCAACCTAGGGCTAACGTTGTACAACAAGGGTGTACTTGTACGCTTCCCATTTCCCTACACGCTCACTGCCATCCATGCGCTTTTTGGGGCTATTGGCGGGGCTATCTTCAAGCGACGAAGGTTGTACACCCCCGCTCGCCTGGATGTGAAGGCCCACGCGGTGCTTGTAGCATTCAGTGTTCTCTTCTCGGTCAATATCGCTGTGAGCAACATTTCCCTGCACATGGTGACTATTCCGGTGAGTTGTATGCGCCCACGAGCCCGTGTACGGGCCCTCATTCGTTCGTAGTTCCATCAAGTCGTGCGCGCCGCCACACCAGTCTTCACCATCTTGCTATCCACATGCATACGAGGCACCCCATTTAATGGCTCCAAATTGATCACTCTAATCCCGGTCATGTTGGGTGTGGCTCTCGCGTACGTCGCATTTCTCCTTTACACTTCTTCATCGCTCACGTCCTGTTGAAGTACCTACGGCGACTACTCCGCCACCACCACCGGCTTCCTCCTCACTCTTCTCGGCACGCTCCTCGCCGCCCTCAAAGCGATCTTCACCAACATCCTCCAAACCTCCTTCTCCCGGGCTTCCCTCCCAAAACTACACCCGCTCGACCTCCTCTCGCGCATGTCTCCGCTCGCCCTCGTCCAGTGCCTCGCCTGCGCCTACCTCTCCGGCGAGCTCGCGCGCATCCGCGCCCTCGCGATCACCCACGGCGCTGCATGGTTCACCCACGCCCTACTCGTCCTCGCGGGCAACGGCGCGCTAGCGCTGGGGCTCAACGTCGTCAGCTTCACCGCGAACGGGCGCGTGGGCGCACTGAGCATGGCCGTCGCGGCGAACGTCAAGCAGGTGCTCACCGTGCTCCTCGCGACGGCCGTGTTCGACGTGCGGGTCTCGGGCGTGAACGCGCTCGGGATCTCACTCGCGCTCGCGGGCGGCGCGTGGTACGCATGGGTGGAGTACTCGGAGAAGGAGCAGGACCGCACCAAGAAGGCGGAGGCGGCGGAGATGCATGCGAGAATGCGCTGGGTCCAATGACGACCTGGCGTTGGTGCTGTTTCGTGCACTTTGCAGGCGATCTCGTTGGGGCATATACTCGGACTGTTCTATACCCACGTCGGTTTTGTACTTTCTTACATCACTAACAAGCTCGCATAGAATCAAGGCTGTCCATCCACAACGTTTGGTGACGATATATGGACGCGCTCAGCGATGGCATGGGCCGGATATCTCTGCAATCTTAGCGTAGACGGACTCTAAGGCCGACCTGTTCTCTCTGTGTGTCATATCATAGCTTTCGCGTTCTGTAGGCCACTCGTATGTATCGTTTAGGGCATGACCCTCGAGTGAAACTGAACCAGTACGTAGACTTCGTTGGACGAAGCTTGAAACCAATCGAAGCTTAAGTAACCCCCTACGGAGTATTGGTTCACGATAGAATCCGGTTTGCAGTCGTCGACACATCTTTGTTATTGAGGTAATCATGATACCAGTCCCGGTCCCGGTCTGCACTCCATTACATGACTAGCACAATCCAGTCTGGAGACAAAAAGCATACATAAAAGAGCGAAAACATGTGTACATGGCGAAACAGCCCGGAAGGCCGTGAACAGGATACGCATAATCGACTATTGACATAGACATAGATGGCACAAATCGAATGTTCACAACAGGATGGCTTCGACGCTTCGGAGGTCAGAGGTCTTCCACATATTGCGCATTCTTGACAGGAGCTTGAGGGCAAGCAAATTATCATCATAGCAGGCAGAGCAAGAGATTTCCCTTTGCCCCATCCATACGATACGTGAATCACGCTGATCAGGCTCACACAGCTTCTGTGAGCCCGTACAATCACGCTTGCACACCAAATTGTCGCCGCTGGAAAGGGTCATTGATGTCAACGCCTAGTAGCGACACCTGCGAGGCGAATGACGCACTAGTTGCATGATCTGGTCGCGCTCTTTAGGTGGGAGCCCGTTGAGCTGTTCGGGGGTCAAGCTGAGCACCTGCATGAGCATATCCTGTATGCGTATAAGCCATCAGCATCGAACGGCTTGAGAGAGTGTCGACTACGTACCCTCTGTTGTTGACCAAGGTCGGGAGCAGCGGCGGGAGCAGCGGGCACTGGCGGGGGTGGTTGAGCATACATGTTCGGCGGAGGCTGCTGTGGGAGTTGTTGCGCGTGCACCGGTACAGGTGGAACCAGCGACGGCGGGGGCCGGTAGTAGCCCGCAGGGCCGGTGGGCGGAGGTGGCATCTGTGGGGACGGCTGCGCGTACATGTTGGGCGGGGGCATCTGGTGCTGTGCGGGCACAGGGGGAGGGATGCCGTACATGTTGGGTGGCGGAGCGTACGGGGCTGGAGTGGGGGCTTGAGGGGGGCGGGCGGAGGGACGACGGCCCCAGTAGCAGCGAGCATGCGCTAAGGAACTGATGAGCCGGGATGGGAGGTACAAGAATGGAAGGGACAAACATTTAGAATTGCTGGGTCGACGATTTTGTGGAGGAGCAGCGCCTGGAAGAGCGCATATCCGAGCTGGGGTTGCGAGGCGAGGAGGGCCCTTGCCTGCTCTGGGTGGGTGATAACGAAAGCCTGCATGCCGTTACTCAGGCCACGCGCAACATGTCCACTACAACACGACTCACCTTCATCTGCGCCAGGACCTCCAAAATCCGGCTCGGGTCTGTCGTCGCCAGCACATGACTGATCGCGTCCGAAGCGTTGGATCCGGGGGGTAGAGGGACGCCTTTGGGCAGGTTCGCGAGGAATGCGTTCGGGTCGTTGCTACGACTGTACCGGTCGTGGTCTCTCTCGCGGTCCCTCCGCTCACGCTCATGTCGCTCGCGCCACTGCGCACGAGTCTCACCGCCGTCCACAATCTCGCCGTGCACTGTTGTCTTGCCCTCTAGGAATGGGTCCGAGTCCGCAAGGTCGATTCGAAGGGGGCGACCGCCGACCTCATAGCCGTTGAGATTGCGCACTGCAGAGGATGCAGTTTCGTGGTCTTAACGATGCGCGGGGGAGGAGCGAATAATGATGAGGGACGGGGCGCGTCCATAGGCCAACTGGGACGTACCTGCGAACTCACAGAAGCCGTACCCTTTCGGCTTGCCAGTGTCACGGTCAAATACAAGTCTGCAGGAGGTACCTGGTTGGCACTTCTTATGACAGAATGATATTTCTTCTCACCTGAGTCCTACAACTTGACCAACACTCTTGAAGACGTCAATCAATTGCTCCTACCGCGGTGAACCCATCCGTTAGGTAAGTCTGAAAGTAACTCGACAGCATGGAACTCACTTCCGCCATGTTGTATGGCACATTTCCGACTAAAAATCGATAATCAGGCCTACGACACCAAGGCGAAGACGGGTAGGACGTACCGAATACCACTTTGCTCATCTTGAGTCGAGGGTGGTCTCAGCACACAGTATAGTTAAGAAACCACCAGCTCTCAACAAGCAGACACTGAAAGAGGTTGGACAGAAAACGATATGGGATATCGGGGAGTGCGTGACTTGCTTGTTCACTCTGGGTTCCGAGTACGTCAATAGTCTTCTGAGTCGGAACGCGAGAGGATGCGTGTTGGCGGCTGGTTATGAGATGCAGTTTCGCTTTGCTAGTGTCTTGCGGAGCTTTAATTTCGGGGCAAGCGCAACAGGCTGAAAGGCAAGACGGCAAGAGAGAAGGTGAAGAGGATGAAGAGGAGTGAGAGGAAACTCGTGCGAGCGTTGCGAACAGGTACAGTGTGTTGCACCGACAAGGCGCGCGTCTTCCCGATACATACATAACACTGCGGGCAGGTGCCCCATTACCCACGACGCGACAGCCTTGTCACAGCGTTGTTAGAGGTTTCCTTTGTCTTCACCGGCGCATAACTATTGCATGACGTGACAGTTAAACTTTTGTTTGCCTTTCGCATCGCTGCCCCACCTCCGGATAGTTTGCCTTGCACATGACTATCCCCTGACTATCCCCTCGACTGCTGCCCCACGTGACAGGTAGACTATCACTAGACTGCCGCTTCGCTACACCTTGACTATCCCCAAACAGATGATCATAGATCCTGATGGAACACCGGTTGTATATGTCACAACGGCTTATCAGGAGGTGCGGACAGAACTGTCCGGACCACGGACCAGTACTAGTTGTATGATATATGTACGAAGTTTATGATTAGCGATGAAAATGTATTGGTAGTAGACTACTACAAGGTGGTAATAATGGGGCTGCAGTAGCTCCGACGCCCCAGCGCGGGACGCACACAAAAGCAGGACCTGGGGATGAAGACGTACCAATCAAAGCTGGGCACACGCGCACGGACTCCGGAGTGGCTCAGCGCGACGTTGTAGGTGTCGTCCGCGGCGATCAGTGTGTGCAAGTGTGCGTGCAGCATGGTGAGGAGCACGGCGAGGGTGAGCGTCGGCGAAGGCGAGGGGGTGGGGTCGATGTAGAGGAACTAGGGGGGGTCCTAATGGAAGAGGCGGATCAAGGCCTAGGGACACAAGCGTGAGGGAGGAACCGGGGTCGTGACTCGTGGTGGGTGGTGGAGCCGTCGTGGGTGACAAGGGGACCTGGAAGGAGGAGGAGGAGGCGATAGAGGGGGCGCGGTGGGACACGGGGGTGTAGTATGTCGAGGGAGAGTGGGAGTAGAGGAGGAGCGTCTGCGAGCCAATTAATGTTCAATCGTGTGCGCAGACGGTGGCTCGTCACACGTGACTGACCCGCAACTGCAAGCGCCTAAACCGTTCACGCCTTTTCGCGGGTACTATAGTAGTACGGGTGCGGGTCAACCCAAAACGACCCGCAGGTTGACCTGGCAGTCGAGGTATAGTTAAACGGCAGTCCGCAGGCGGGGTGGGCGGTAGTTGAAGGATAGCGAAGCGGCAGTCTAGTGATAGTCTACCTGTCACGTGGGGCAGCAGTCAAGGGGATAGTCAGGGGATAGTCATGTGCAAGGCAAACTATCCGGAGGTGGGGCAGCGATGCGAAAGGCAAACAAAAGTTTAACTGTCACGTCATGCAATAGTTATGCGCCGGTGAAGACAAAGGAAACCTCTAACAACGCTGTGACAAGGCTGTCGCGTCGTGGGTAATGGGGCACCTGCCCGCAGTGTAAACTTCCTGCTTATCCATCTTCAAACGGGGCTTATCCATATTTATCCGTCTATAACCCGAGCCTCTTGCAAATATCGCACAACGCTTTTTCCTCCGTCGTAGGATCCCAAGTATGTACTCTTTGCTCTATTTTCTCGCGATATGATCTACCAACACAGTGCATCCACCATTCGCTCGTGGCAGGTGCTCAACCGTCAATATGCACTACACTATGCCGACACGCGCGAATCTGCTTGCTTTTCCCATGAAGTTGCCCGCTCGACGAGCATGAGCGGTATGGAGTCAATATGTGAAGATAAACTAAACATTAAAGCAATGGACTACTAAAGCAGTAAGCGTAGTGGGACACTCAGCTCTTGTCCTTCGCCTCTCGCTCTCGTGCCTCCTCGACGTAGGCTCGCATGAGTGTCACCACCTTTTTCAAGTTCAGACTGAACTTGGCCGACACCGGCACGACGTCCAACGTCTGCTCTGCAACGGCCTCTCCAGTCTCGTCCTTGACCGGGACGCGCATCTCCTCCGCAACGAATGCCTGGAGACGACGAAGCTTCTCCCGTGCTGCGTCGACGTCTTCAGGCGCGGCGCCGCTTCCTCCCAGGAGGTCGGCCTTGTTTGCAACGACGAGGCGCGCCATGGCGCTCATCCCAGGCTTGTACCGCTCGAGCTCCTCGCGGAGTATGCGCAGCTCGTCCCACGGGGCCTCTCCGGCAAGGTCGACCACATACGCCAGCGCATGAGAGCGTTCGATGGAGCGGAGGAACGAGTGCCCTAGTCCAACGTTCACCGATGCGTCCTCGATGAGACCCGGGTTGTCCGCGACGGTGAACCGGAAGACCTCCATGTCATCTTGGAGGGATTGGTCGCGATCGAGAGCGCGCTGTTGGTTACGCGTGAGCGCATCCGCCAGCGCGCCCGACTCCATGAGCTCCCGGTCGCGGGCCTCCTCAAGGCGCGTCTCGTCGTAGACCGCGCCCTCCGTCTCGCCCGTGAAGCCCCCGTCGTCTAAAACCCGTACGATGCCCACGACGGGGTTGAGGGTGGTGAAGGCGTACCCAGCAACTTCCGTCCGCGCGCGTCCGCCCGTGATTGCCCGCAGTAATGTGCTTTTCCCAGCGTTGGGGAACCCAACCAACCCGATGTCCGCAAGGAGCTTGAGCTCCAGAGCGAGGGAGATGCGTTCCCCCGGGGAACCTCTTGTTGCCCACTTCGGTGACCGCATCGTCGGAGAGAGGAAGGCTGGGTTGCCCAGCCCACCCACACCCCCACGAGCGACGAGGTGACCCAATGGCTCTGTTCTCCGATGTCCAAGAGGCGCGTTGGGGTCCTCTGCTTCGGCGGTCTCCTCCGGCTTGTCCAAGTCCAAGAAGACTGAATTCTTCATCTGGAGTCTCCGTACCAGCCGCTTTTCTCGCTCTTGTATGAACATCGCCCGCTCCGCCTGCTTGAAGTCGTCGCGTTGCGTGTTGTCATCGGCGAAGGCAGGGTAATGAACCCACCGACGGTCGCGCATCCGGTTCTTCCGCTCCTCCTCCGGGTACGCCAGGATCTCTGCGGCCTCCGCCTCGAATTCGTCCGGCTGTCGTCGAGGGTCGTCGCGTGGCAATTCGCGAACGATGGTACCCAGAGGGACTCTGATGATGACCGGAGCCCCGTTTCTCCCGTTTTGCCAGGTGCCTTGCCCATTGCCGCCATGAGGGCCCCGTACACGGGTTAATACGGAAGAAAGGCTGGTGAGATGAGGGGTTGGGATGATGTAGACGTCGCTACCCCGTCCGCCGTTGCCACCAGAAGGGGGGCCGTATGGCTTGTAAAGTTCGCGATGAAAGGCAACACAGCCATTTCCACCATTCCCTGCGCGGATGTGAACGATGGTGTGGTCTAGGAAGGACTGGCCCTACGTTTGGCAGAGCGTAAGTCAGCCAATGACATTGATGAGAGCGAGAACAGTGACAGACATTTTGTTTCCGTTTCCACTCCGTCCTTCTCCTCCTCTTCAGTTCATCTTCGTCATGTTGGCTGTCTCGTGCAGCAGACGAAGGACCTGCGGCCGGAATCGAGGTTGTAGAGTAACACCGTCCGGCGAAAGCGGTGACACTGTGTGCTCTAAGAGTCGGAAGAGACTTTGAGCAGAGCATCCAGTGTCAAGCCGGACAAGGCGATGCGCAAGGAGGGAGGAGGAACCAGAGACTCTGTTGGTCAGGCCGCTTGGCTTCGAGGTGACCTTGCTGGTCAACACGTGATCACAAACGCGCGGGAGCGAAAAGACCTGCCCTGAATCTCATATCGACGCGTCGCGCCCACCGTCGCGACTCTCCGCGTCTTTTCACCCTTCCCCTTCCCCTCCCAGCACTTGTTTGACGCGTCAAGATGTCTTCACCACCTAGGGACATACCGACATCTGATCTGGAGGATGTCGAAATGCAAGTAGACGACCCGAGGCTGAACCATCAATGCCGAATGCTCCCCCTCGTGCGCCTCTGTTTCTAGAGGGCACTCCGTCCGTAGCGGGGACGCCTCATCGGAATGCGGTCGCGCAGAGAGCCATGGGGATGAGTACTCCAAGAAGGCAGAAAACGCCTCTTTTCGCTCGTGAGTCCATACTCTGACCACCCTCAGACCGTATCTTGACGATCAACCCAGCCGGGACTTCATCCCCTCTCCCATTCCCGAGCTCCTCCCCAGTGAAGCGAACTCCTGCGCGGGCACGAAGACTGGACTCCGACGTTCCTGGCTCACGCGATTCGGAGCCTCTCGCCTTCCCTTCGTCAGTGCAATTCATTCGCAAGCGATTGCTGTTTGACACTTTCTCGATGTGATCCTCAGGACTCCGGCTTCTGCTGCAGCGACACCCAAGAATCGCCGTGGCGACATCCACTCCTCCTTCAGCTTCACCCCGAGCTCCCGCCGTTCCCGTGCGCCACGCGAAAGAAGACCTGCCCATGACGATTTACGGTCCGACGCGTCTCACCTCTCACTTCCCGCTTCATCCAATCTCAACCTCTCTATTCCTGCTGTTCCTTCCGACGACGAAGATGACAACGGCGAGATAAAGGCTATCTGGGGTACGAATGTCAACGTCGCGGAGACGATTCGAGTTTTCCGTGGGTTCCTGCGTGGGTTCAAGGTCAAATATCGCATTGCCTACGACCGCGAACGCGGAATCCGAACGCGTATCCTTTCTTCCCTGAAGAGGGAGAAGTGCTCCTGTACGAGGGGTACCTTCGTCGCATGCGCCAAACCGACCAGAATATCCTCAACCTCGACATAGACAACTTGCATCGTATCCCCAAGCCGCAAGCTCCAAGTGCTGTTGATCAAGTACCCCCAAGAAGTCGTGCCAATGATGGATCAAGTTCTCAAGGACCTGATGCTTGAGATGGCAGAGGATGATCACGAGGCGGGTATGGAAGGGATGCGCGGGAGTGCAGGAGAGGAGGAGATTACGAATATATACAACAGGGTTTACAACGTTCGTCCTTTCGGTGTTCCCCCGGTCAACATGCGCGACTTAAACCCAGCGGTACGTCGCAAGACTCGTGTCGGTTCTATCATCGTTCCTGACACCTTGCAGATACCGACAAACTCGTTTGTATCAAAGGTCTTGTTATCCGCGCAACCCCCGTCATTCCAGACATGAAGGTTGCCTTCTTCCGCTGCCTCGCATGCAACCATACCGTGCAGGTCGAGATCGAGCGCGGCAAGATCGACGAGCCAAGGCGCTGTCCACGCGACGTCTGCGGCACCCTCGGTTCCATGTCCCTCGTCCACAATCGCTGCGACTTCGCCGATCGTCAGGTCATCCGATTGCAAGAAACTCCCGATGCTGTCCCTGACGGCCAAACTCCCCATACAGTCTCCCTCAGCGTGTACGATGAGCTCGTGGACGTCTCCAAGCCCGGCGACCGCCTCGTCGTCACTGGTATCTTCCGCAGCATGGCAGTACGCGTCAACCCGCGCCAAAGGACTCTCAAAAGCCTCTTCCGGACCTTCATCGACGTCGTACATGTCCGTCTTGGCGCTGAAGATAGACTAGGCTTCGACCGGAGCACGCGTCAAGCCGGTGGTGACCGCATTCCTGGCGTTGGGGGCGTCGCAGGTGGGATCGACATGGACGACGACAACGAGAACGCGGTCGAGCGGCAGCAGCGAGCGTCGAAGCGAGAGGAGATGGAGACCAGATTACGTCTGCTCAGCCAGAGGGAAGACATCTACGAGCTGCTCGCGCGCTCGCTCGCCCCTTCTATCTACGCTCTTGAAGACGTCAAGAAGGGCATTCTCTTGCAGCTGTTCGGTGGTACGAATAAGAGCATTGCACGTGGGGTGGTGGTGGTGGCCCGAGGTATCGAGGCGACATCAACGTGCTGCTGGTCGGTGACCCTGGTGTCGCTAAATCTCAGATCCTTGGTGTACGCGGTTCTCTTTCATGCCCCATTCCTGCACTGACACCCCTTGGCTTTAGTATGTCCACAAGATCGCCCCTCGAGGAGTCTACACTTCCGGGAAGGGTTCTTCCGCCGTCGGTCTCACCGCCTACGTCACGCGTGATCCTGATTCGAAGCAGCTTGTCCTTGAGAGGTGAGTTATATGCGTCATTTAAGAGTGTGCTCGACTTCATATTTGATTATCAGTGGTGCTTTGGTGCTCAGTGACGGGGGTGTCTGTTGTATCGATGAATTCGACAAGATGTCAGACGCGACTCGTAGTGTGCTCCACGAAGTGATGGTTAGTTAATCTCTCTGCTTCTTCCTGTTTGCTCTGTGGCTTACACGCTACTGTAGGAACAACAAACCGTCTCTATCGCCAAAGCAGGCATTATCACAACCTTGAATGCTCGTACTTCTATCCTCGCCGCTGCGAACCCTATCGGCTCCAAGTACAACCCCAAGCAGACAGTGACACAGAACATCGATCTTCCGCCCACCCTCATCTCTCGTTTCGACCTCCTCTACCTGGTTCTCGACGACGCAGACGAGGCGCTTGATCGCCGGCTCGCACAGCATCTCGTTTCGCTGTATCTCGAAGATGCTCCAGAGACCACCCGTGGAGTGGAGCTCCTGGTACGCTTCCCCTACTCACGCCTCAACTCGATCGATGCTCATCAGCGCACCCCAGCCTCTCGAGGAGCTCTCCGCCTACATCTCCTACGCCCGCTCGCGCATCACCCCTACTATCACCGAGCCCGCAGGGGACGAGCTCGTCCGTTGCTACGTCACGCTCCGCAAGGCAGGCGAGGACCCGCGCTCGAGCGAGAAGCGGATCACCGCGACGACGCGGCAACTCGAGAGCATGATCCGCCTCTCAGAGGCGCACGCGCGCATGCGTTTCTCGCCGTTCGTCGAGCTCGACGACGTCAAGGAGGCGTTCCGACTCATGCGCGAGGCGATCAACACCTCCGCACGCGACCCGACCACGGGTGAAATCGACATGGGCCTGCTCGACACCGGCATCGGCCGCCAGCAGCGCAAGATGCGTGGTGACCTCCGCCGCGCCGTGCTCGCTCTCCTCGCTGCTGGTGCCGGCGCCGCGCGTGGCGTGCGCTGGGCGGAGGCGCTTGCGCAACTCGAGGCGCAGAGTAGCGTCAAGGTCCCGCCCTCGGACTTCCAGGAGGTCATCAGAGAGCTCGAGCAGGAGGGGCTGGTGAAGGTCACGGGTGAGCGCGACCGGCGGATGATCCTTCGGGTGGACGGCGTATAACAGTATGCTGGTATGGTATGTGTATATCTCTGTTGAAGTCTGTTCTGATGTATCCAGTATCTGTACTAGTTTTACGATTTGGCTCTCACAATGCTTTCATAGTGCTATCTACCTCCGATACTACTCGGTGCAGTGGCTCATCGTTCCGAGCCCGCAAACCATGATTCGGTGGCACTGGAAGCGAGGACATCTTCCACGCGTCCGAACAAAACCGTCGCGTTTGCTCACCCCAATCCTCTCATGCTCCGGGATGTCGATAAGAACGTCGTCAAGCTTTTGGATGGAATATTTGGAGCCGGACGACTACACGGCCAAACCACGACATTCTCCAAAGATCGCATGGCCGTCTTCGTCTTCAAAGGGATCAATGACGACCTCGCAAACTTCCACTGAGATGTATCGTGTATCCATGTCGTAGATGAGGGGGCACATTGGATGAGAGCGAGACTCTGGACAAGGATGAGGGGCAGGCCATCGCGCGCGGGATGGACGCCGGCGTGCTCCCACGTTCTTTCGGGCAGAGTTCGTGAATGCACACAAGCGCAAGGACGACAATGACGCGGGGAAGCCGATCCAAGATAATCATTCCATGGGTGATTACGCGTACAGAGACCAGCATCCAGCGTCATGGGCAGGCGAGCGACCGCGTCGGAAGCCCAAGCCGCTCACGCTTGCTGGTGGAGCGCCTTGGTCTGCACAAACGCGCACCGCTTCCCCTCGAGCTCGGGCTCGAGCTCCGTGGTGACCCCGCTGACGGTCGTGCTCTTGTCCGCGGGCTCGTTGAGCACGATCCGCATCGGGCTCGCGGCCGTGTACGGCGGCCACGCGGGCGAGCGCGCGAGCTTGTGCGCGCTCGGGTCCGCGGCGCGGACGAAGGAGAGCCAGTAGGCGATCAGCTCCGCGGCGAACGCGCGGTCCGCGTCCGTCTGGGGCTGGAACGTTGTCGAGCCGTTGAAACCGGTCGAGGTGCCGAGGAACATCATCCAGTTCTCGGACGAGTGGGTCGTCGCGGCGGCGCCGTTCACCGGCTGGTTGTAGCGGTACGTAAACGCCTTGTTCTTTTTCGCCGCGGCGCGGCCGACGATCTTCCGCTGCGGGTGCGATTAGGCGCGCGGAAGAGAGAGCGAGAGCGAGCGAGTGAGCAACGGGCGACGCGGGGAGGGGAAGGAGGGAGACGTACGCCGCAGATCACGTCCGATTCGCCAGTCGCGACTTGGAACTGCTGGGCGGCGGAGTTGAAGTCGCTCAGGGGATACTCCGGGAGGAACTCCTCGAGGTCCTGCTGGGTGAGCGCCGGGAAGTAGAACTTCAGCGCGGCGGTGATGTTGGTGCCACTCGACAAGGTCTCGTTGGCGCATGAGCTACGGAATATTATCAGTCCAGACGTGGTGGAGGATGTACTGCACTTCACTTACCCGGCCATGACGGGCACATCAGCAAGGTGGCCCTTCTCGAGCGAGACGGTAGGGTAGTCGATGAAGAGCTTCTTGTCGATGACGGGGTGGAAGGAATGGTAGTGTCCAGTGCTGCAACGGCTGTCTTAGACTAGAAAGCAGACTGAGCGATGAGCAACTCACAAGTTGTACATGACAAGATCCTGCGCACGGGACAGCGCACTGATGTCAGCAGAACGGAGACATGCCATCTTCTTTTCCACAGAGCCCGAGCCGCAACCCGCTTGCGTGGAGTAGTAATTGAACATATCCTTTCAGGTACAAGTCAGCATCGACAACAACATGAGCATACTGCCAGTGGACTTACCCTTTGCTGTTCGACTTGAGGGAGAGGCGTGCGGTAGATGCTCTGCAAGATCGCACCATGGAAGCGTGGCTTCTCATTCGCGACGAGGTGGAGCTCAATCGACGCGGCACCCGCACTCTGGCCGTCGATGGTGACCTTGTTCGGGTCGCCGCCGAACGCGTCGATGTGCTCGCTGACCCACTCGAGGGCCATGCTCTGGTCCTTGAAGCCGGCGTTGAGGTCGCCGAGCGACGGGTTCGTGAGCATCTCGGGCGCGGTAAGGAAGCCGATGGAGTTAAGGCGGTAGTACACCGACGCGATGACGACGTTCGGCGACTGGTGGATCCAGTGGTCGTACGGCCAGTTCGCGGGGTTTCCGTAGACGTAGCCTCCGCCGTGGATGTAGACCAGGACGGGCACTGCTCAGCATGACGTCATCAGCACCGTGCCGCGTGTCAACGGACAAGAGGGGCGTACAGTTGTCTCCCTTCTTCGCGCCGGCCGGAGCGTAGATGTTGAGCTTCAGGCAGTCCTCGCTCCCCGCACCTCCGGCATCACCAGCTACAGAACACGTGTGCTCAGCACATGCGCTCGCGTATCATAAGTGGGATACGTACCACCAGTGCTTCCTTGAACGCAGAACTCTGGGTTCTCGGTAAGGTCGATAATCTTGCCCGCCGACTCAGCGGTCACCCGAGATGTGTTGAGTGGGAGGGGGGCGCGGAAGCGAAGGTCGCCCACGGGGGGCTCGGCGTAGGGTACACCGAGGTACGCAACCGTGTCAGGGAACGACTGGTTGCCGCGGTACTTGGCGTAGCCCGTGTCGACAATGTTCTGTGCGGCGGCGAGGCTAGCGGCGAGCCCGACGAAGGGGAGCAAACGGGTTACGCTGGGGATCATGGCGGACGGAACGACACCAGAGAGATCTACAGGAAAGCAGAGTCGGAGGGGTCAGCGAGGCAAGACGCGTCGGCACTTGGGGATCACGACCCGGCGGTATTTGTACTGAGAGCGAGACGTATGGCAAGCCGGAGTGGACAGCTTCGAGCGCCCACCCTCATCAGCCCTTGCCACGTGGATTTCCTGATGGCACCTCTGACACTCCTCTCCAGCTGCAATACCATCTATCCACAATTTATATCGCCGTCTACATACTAGTCTTGGACGACCTTGCTCACATGTTCGCGGGACCCGTGTCTACCCGTGCATGCCCCGACCGTGCAAGCGCCTTATGGGAGACGCATCCAACCTCCTCGCGTCGCCTCCGCTCGCGCGACGCGCTGCCCTCCGCCTCCTCCACCGTGTCCCTGCCCTCCGCCTCATCCCGTGGATTTGCCTCGCATCGCCCACCACCACCTCCGCGTCGTCCCCAGGGCCCAGGGACACGCGTCTCCCGCTCCTCCTGTCTCGCCTGCGGCCCACAGCACGCCTCGTCCGCGCCTCGTCCGTCGTCCGTCCCCGCGGCATCGTTGCGCTCGCGCCCACAGCCGTTCTATCCCGCGACCCCAAATTCTGGTGGGTTTTCCTGCTTTCCTCACCCATCTGCTTCTCTCTCTGCTCCTCGCGTTACCCCTCCCCCGCGCTGGCAGCGCCCCCCCTCGCCATGGCCTCGCCCGCGTCGCCCAGGCGCCTTCCACCCGTCCGCGCGGTGCCCCTCAAGGCCTCACGGCTGCTCCGCGCCCTACGTCTCCGCTCGCTCGCTCGCTCCCCACACTCGAGACGACACGTCGTCCACAGCGGCACAAGCAACCCCGGCTGGCACCCTCCTGCCTCCACCTGGCCCTTCACCTCCGTATCCATGTCGCACACCTCGACCTCTGCCCCCTCCGCCTCCGCGTTGCCCACCTCCGCCCGCGCCGCGGCCTTGTCGCCCACCTCCGCGTCGTCCACTTCCGCGCGCGTCGCCCACCTCCTCACCGCCCACCGCCTCGCCCGCGCTGCGCTCCTCCGCGTCGACACCCACGGCATGCGGAGGACGTCTACCCGGACGTCCTCCCCCCGGAGATGGGATATTGGGGTCGCCATGAGTTACGGCGACCTCTTCCTTGTTCGGTGAGTACGCCCACCTGCCTCACCCCCCTCCGCTCTCCTACATGCCCAGCTCATTCGTGCGGGGACGTCCACATCGCCCGCCTGTGCCTGCCCCACCCTCCTCCGAAGCGTCTTCTGGCTCCGCGTCATCTCGACCCTCCGCGTCATCCTCCTCTGCACCGGCCTGCTGCGCCTCTGAGTCGCCCGGCTCCGCGTCGCCCACGTCCACGGCGCCCACCACCTCGTCGTCCGCCTCCGCACGCGTCACCCGCGTCCCCATCGCCTGCGTCCACCCGTGCCTCCTGCACCGGACTCCACCGCCTCGCCCACCTCCAGTTTCCCTCCGCTCGCCCATGCCCGGCGCACCACCCTCCACATCCGCGTCCGGGTCGGGCGCGAGCTTGCTCGTCGCGTCAGGCCATGGCCTCCCATCGTCCGCGTCGATGTCCGTGCTCGGGCTTGGGCTCCCGCATCCACGCCCCACCATGTTGCTCACCTCAGGCAGCCCTCCCCGCACCCCCCGCACACCCCCCTACAGCGCGCACTCAACACTCGCCCCCGGCTCCGCCCTGCAGACCCCCACGCGCGGCGGAGACCTGCACACCGCCTCGCCCGCCTCCATTCGGGTCGCCCTCCGCCTCCTCCGCCTCATCCCGGTCCTCCGCCTCGTCCTCCCCCGCGCTCCTCACCTCCCTGCACGCCCGCGCGTCGCTCTCGTCCACGCCGCCCTCCACCTCGTCCGTCTCCACCTCGTCATCCTCCGCACCGCCCTCCTTTGCGCCCACGTCGCCCTCCTTCACGCCTGTGCCGTCCCCTCCTTTGCACCCACACCGCCCTCGACCTGTTCCCCCGCCCGCTCGACTGCGCCGAGCCCGACGGCGTTCTCGCGTACTCCGGTAAGCACTCCTTCCTTTCCCTTCATCGCGCCCCCTCCTCCTGCTCAAACCGCCCATGCGCGCTCGCGATGCAGACCCCGCTCGATGGCACGCGCTCAACCTCCGCGCGTGTGCCTCCCTCACCACCCTCGGGCTCTGCCATCGGGATCAATTCCATCCCGGCACGAGCCATCGACTATGCCACCGACACGGGCTACACCGCGAGGCGAGCCGCATGGCACGCCCACACCTTGGGTGGGACGTCCCCGCAGCGGCGGCGGCGGCGGCTGCACGACACGCCCATGCGTGACGCGTCCAGTCCCCTGCGCTCAATGTGCCTCGTACAACGGTCCTTCGGCCATGCGTCACCTGTAAACTATGTTGTGTACTAATAGTCACTACTTATAATCTTTGTGTGATACTAGTACAGTACCCGCGGGTGACCCGTGGAGGGTCCGTACCCGGGTAGACCCTCGGGCTGAACCAGCGGACCCGCGTGGACCCTTACCCGCGCTCCACGGGTCACGGTATCTGCGGGTAAGGGTAAGGGTAGCCCTCGGACGACCCGAGGGTTACCCATGGTGATCCCTACACGGTGACCCAACACATCCCCTTCACTGCACCCGACATATTCACTTTGCTGCGCTCAACACATCTGTATCAACATGATCCACTCGTCCGTCTCGCTGGCGCGCTCAACACGTCCGTTTGGTCCCAGTCGATGCGCTCTGCGCCGGCGGCCGCGGAAATCCTTGGCCTCGAGACGCTCCGAACACTTCCTCTTGTCCTGCCAGCCTCGGAAAGTACTAAGGATTGAGGTAGAAGATGGCGGACGAGAAGACGATGATGACGTGTGAGAAACGGTTCAAATAAGGTGCAGTACGTGACTACCTAGGCTGCCAGTGAGGCAGAATACATACATCTAAGTAGCACCACAAAAAGCGCAATCACAGGACCGTGTATTGTACTGGGTATGAGTAGGATGAGTGCGGAAAAACCCTGCCGGCTTGCCAACAAGGAACTCGAGAACGTAAGCTTTGTTGAAGAATACCCCACTGATGCGGCCGGCAACAAAGTACTTCGGCTTTCTGATAACTCTGCCATTTCCGAGGATCTTGTACGGAGCTGGCCACCATGGCGTCACTTTGTGAGCCAACTGGCCTGCAAACATGATGAACACATGCCCAGCCAGGTACCTCATCATTGTTGGCTTGTCAGCTTCCAATTTTCAGAGATTTGTTGAATCACTCACTCGAAAACAGTGTCACCAAGCTGTGGAATTTGCATATGGCCTCCTACAAAAAATCCAACTGGGAATGTGACGGTGGGCCCGCCATCCCCACTGTCACAGTGCAAGCCGACATCGAGCTTCCAGACGACGGCTCGGTTGAGCCAGGGTCCGTTATCCTTGACCTGGAACCAACGACCGGCCTTGAACGCCTCCTTGTATGTCTCATAGCAAGCTGGGAAAGAGCCTTCGAAGAGCCCTGCCAGGAAGGCGGTGAGCTCAGCGGTGTTGTTGTACCACGTCAGCACTGAGATGTGCTTGCGACGGCCGGACGGAGTGTCGTCATTGACATGGGTGTCCGTACTGGGAGTGAGAGGCTGAGTGGACGATGAGGACGTCGATAAGTTTGAGATGAGGTTCGAGAATAAGCAGTGGTCTCACTCCTTTCGCCTTGCCGGTTTGCATCCAGCAATGACAGAAATGAAGATTCCCACCGTGACGATGATGATCTTCAGCTTCATTGCGATAATTATGCGGGAGAGCGGCACGAATCGGCTTCGGATGGCGTTTGCATGCGCCACCTTTGCGTTTCTTCCGTCGAGGACGTATGGCAGCTGCCAGATTTTGAGTTGCCGCAAGGAATTGCTCCTGCATACGCTCCTATGTTGTGTCAGGTCACAGTTCAACTGGATACATATTACACATAGACGTACCGGGATGCCGTCACTCCTAACGGTGACATTCGGGTCACGACAAGCCTCAAAGAGGTGCTGCGTGGTCCGATTAGTGTTCCCCAATTCAGAAATAGGCCTTGGGGCACGACTATATGTCTCCTCCTGACAAGAAGGCTTGTTTCAATCGGCAGGAATATGCGCACTGATGAACATACCTGTTCGCCCTGAAGGTGTTCACCGAAGTAAACACCTATGGTGGTACTGTCACTGTCGATGATGGTGGATGAACAGGGGGTGCGATCTTTTGGGAGGAAGGTGCGCTCCTTTCGAGTGGCCTGGGCTATGACCCTGTTGGATTCCTTCCCAAGAGTCACCCAAGATTTGTCCAGTTGATAAATAGGGGCCGTGTCTCGGACTAGTTCGGCGTGGCGCTTGCCGCGGGCGTGGGCACGCTCGAGCAGCTTCTCCATGCTGCGAGGTCGGCTTGGTACCTTTTCTTTCAAAAGATCTTCTGGAGGTATCACGGGGATGACGTGCAATTGACCAGCAGGTATCTGGTGTGGGGGAGAGCGATTGGTACAATGCCAGGACAGTGTGAAGGTGCTTCACCTCAGACTTGACCTCGTCAGTCAGTTCCTGTGGGTCGGGCTCAACTTGCCTAAGCTCCAAGGTGCTTTCGAGCTATCCAAGATTGTTTAACTTGGCATACAAGAGAGCAGGGACACGGGACGCACCACCTCATCCTTACACACGTCACCTGTCGCCTCTTCAGCGGCTCTCCGAGCTTTGTTGGCTGCGATCTTGTGACGCTTCTTCTTGCTCTTGGTATTCTGATCAGAGAACTTCTGCTTTTTCAGAGCTCGATTTGACAGCTGTTCCATGTGTGTTGGAGGAGGTGGATAGGATGATGAGTGTCAGTGTAAAGGACGCCAGTGTGCAACGCACACCACCCACTGCCGGGACCCTCAATGACGTAACTAGTCGGCGTGCAAAAGGGGTTCCGGTATGAAGGAATAGTACACATGTATCGACGTTATATTCTGTAGACTACTACATCATGTTACATACGCACGTCCTGTTCGGATGTGCAGAAAAGAGTCCGGGTGGCTCAACTGTATTGTCCGTGTGTGAGTGGCGACGAATTGAAGTCGTGGACATACGGACAGCGTGGAGACTGCAGGAACCAAGGTCGGTGATCAAACACGCATGCTCAGACCCATGAGGTAGTCGCGGTGAGCGAGCGCACTGGGGCTTCACCCGGGAAAAGAACGAGCTCCATGGCCGACGAGTGCACCCAGCTACGTCAAACTTCGGAGACGATGTTGGTCAGCAACAGGGAGGTTGCCATCTGGGAATACCAGATATCAGCATTTGTTCGGCAGCCCAAGAAACGGGGGCGGGAGAAGGAGAGGGAGGAGGCATTGGAGAACAAGTGGACACCCAAGCGACACTTGATGAAGCGTCCGGGCGTGCCCTTCCGACTTCGGGACGCGTGATGGGTCGTGATGGTACGAGGGGGTCTGAGACGCACCGGCTCATCACGTTGTACAGTGCGAGCATGGACTCCCTGCCCTCCTGCGTCGGGGAGTCTGATACGCCACACAATCTCTGCTTCTCCTCCGTCTCGACTCACCTCCGTAGTAGTTGGAGTCTGCACGTCCCCACGCCCGCCCCATGACGCCCTTCTCGTCGATAAGTGCACACGCACTTTTGCTGTTCAGGGGCGAGAAGCGGATGACGTTGGCCGCACTGACACTGGGACGACCTGCTTGAGGTAGAGCATGCGCGAGGTCTCCTTCGTGGCCTTGACGGACGCCATAGCCGAGTCGCCGACGAGGGCCTCCGGGAGGCACGCCTTGCGGATCGTGGTGCGCCAGTTCGCCGAGCCTTTCGCGAAGATCGCGCAGAGTACGGGTGTTGTGCCCTGTTCGCCTTCACGTTGTTGTTCGCGAACGCGATCGCGCTGTGCATGTTCCCCCGTCAACGCCCCGCACGCGTAGGAAACGACCGATCGCACTCACATGTCCTTGTCGTTGGTCACGTACACCCCGGGGTCGTCCTCGGCGTCCGCGCCGCTGCTGCTCGCAGCCTGGTTAGAGTCGAAGTCGAAGAAGTCGAAGAAGCTGGAGGGCTTGGTCGGCTTCGCGAGCTGGCCCTGCTAGGCCCAGAATGCCGTGGTGTCGCTGTTCGTGCCGTGCCAGCCGATGGTCTCCTGGCTGTCGGCGCGCTTGAAGAGGTTCTTGAGTTCAGAGCACGGCTCCTCCCGCTTGCCGCTGCCCTTGAACTTGTTGGCCGTGCATGTCTTATGGCTGACGGTGGAGCGTGCGAGGAGTGAAGACAGTATACAACGAGAAGGAATAGTGGCAAAGTGAGGGAGAGGACGAGGGTGAGCAAGGCAGAAGAGGATGACGGAGGTTCGACGTTGAACGTTAACGTCTAACTCCGAGCCTTCGCCTGAGAGCGGGAATGGCTTACCTAATCTCGCGCCCTTCATATTCGTGTGTGCGCGACACGTCTTTCTCAACACGTCCCGCGACTTCCACCTGCCCGCTTCCTGGAGTCTTTGGCCAGCTTCGGTGTACGTACAGACCCGCACAATCCCAAGGCGGTCCAGCACTGCGGGGATTGGGCGACTGGGTAGGGCGGGAGGGAGTCCAGAGCGTGTTTCCCCCTTCCCTTTCCCCTCCTCACTTCCCCATCTGCTGCTCTTTGTCTCTCCTTGGCACCCACGACCACCACAATACTAAAACGACGCATTATCTTCGGTGAGCTCTCAGTTTCGTTTCTGCATGCGTCCCCCATCTCGACCGTGTCCTCAGCCGCGTCCTCAACCTCGACCTCGATGGCGTCCCCAATCCCGACGGCGTCCTCGCGTCCTCGTCCTCGACCTCGCGTCCTCGACCTCGACCTCGCGACCTCGACCTCGACCTCGACGGCGTCCTCGCGTCCTCGACCTCGACCTCGTCCTCGCGTCCTCGATGCCGTGCAGGTGACCGGCATACAGCGACGAGGTCGTGATGACGAGGCTGCGCGGTTCGAGGACACGCATATGTTGCCGGCGGGCCTCCAGCGGGTGACGAAGAAGCTCGACAGTACCGCCGCCTAGTACGCGCTTGCCTCCTTCATGCTCCGCCGCTCAGCACTCACCATTTCTTCTCCCAGCATGACGGCGAGCATCGACCACGCGCTCGACGAAATCGCGCGCGCTGCTGCCTTCCCGCCGCCGTCGGGCTGGTCCCAGGTGCTTTCCCTCGCTGCAGCGAGCCCCAAGGCTGCCGCGCGCGCGTTCTTCCGGCCACATGCGGACGGCCTCGCGAGTGTCCGGTCCGAGATCGAGCGCGTCCGAAGAGGGATTCCGCAGCTCTACTACGCGCTGCATCTCGTCTGCGACCTTGGCGAGCAGGACCAGGAGGAACTCAGCGGACGGGCTTTTTGGGGCCTGCGCGAGTGGGATGCCGTCGCGCGGCTGAAAAAGCTGGACGCGTACTGCGAGCTCGGGCAGAACCGGTCGAGGGCCGCGGAGTGGATGCTGGCGGGGCTTGAGGAGGAGGCGGAGGACCGGCTTGGGGTCGACCTCGACCTTGCGTCGTCGTCCTCGACGGCCCCCTCGCGTCTTCGACGGCATCCTCGACCTCGACGGCATCCCCAATCCCGACCGCGTCCTCTCGTCTTTGACCGCTTCCTCGGCCTCGACCTCGCGTTCTCGACCGCGTTCAACCTCGACTGCGTCCTCCCGTTCTCCCTGGCCGCGTCCCGGACTTCGCCGACGTCCTCAACCTGAACCTCAGCCTCGGCCTCTCCACCTCAACTGCGTCCACACCCTCGCCCTTGACCCCACCGGCGTTGACCTCGACCTCGACCTCGACCTTAACCACGTCTTCGCATCCCCGACCACATCCTCGCATCCCCCGACCTCATCCTAGTCCCCGACTGCGAGTCCTTGCATCCTCGTCCTCGACCCGGGCCCCACCAGTGACCTTGACCTCGACCTCGACCTCGCCGTCGTGCTCACTGGCGTCCTCATGAACTCGATCTAGACCTCGCCCGCGACTTCCGAGGACAACACGTGTGACGGAGACATGTTCTCCACGCACACGACAACAGCGACATTTGTCACCTTCACACACGTATGTGTTTGTGCATTCGTTCTGTAATGGTACTGATATCGCACACCACTGCTTTACAGGACACATTCATCCGTGTCTGCCTTACGTTCATGCTCCGACAGGTCATATGTATTTGTTCAATGCGTCCAGATCAGTTCCTCATGCTGACCTCTGCTTTCTTAGATCATGCAGCTGGCATCACGCCCCAGGAGAACTCAGAGAATGAATTGTTAGTCACGCCCTTCATGGGCGCCTATTTCCCGAGGCTCCACCTTGAATGTAATCTCTAGATCTTGTTTGTTGTATGTAGGCTGCTCAGGATCAACTTGTTTACACCATTTCTCTGCTTTTGAAACCACCACACTTGACCACATATTCACGTGTGACCCATGTACAGTTGATCTTGGGAGCTTCAGCCTCGTCCTTGATGAAGCTGAAGTGGGCGCTTGATTGAAAATACCTTCTCATTCGTCTCTACCATACCATCTACTCTCACTTTGCATATCCCTGCCATGGAAAACCGTACAAAAGGAGACAATGACGACACTATCACAGAGGTGTCAAGGAGAAGCAACCAGCACAAGCCCATGCGTAAGTCCATCACTATTTTCGCTCACCGTACGGCGTAGAAATTGACGACGTCGAAAAGCTCCTGATCATATTCTGAAGACCCTAATAACCAAGTACTACAATCTGGGTTTCAATGATAAGAAAATCCACGACTACTTGGTGAAGGAGATCGATGTGGAGAAATACGGTGTCCCTGGGTACGTTGCATACATGCGGTATATTTTGATCATTGCCTGATATCTCTGCGGCAGGCAGAAGACAATCGCCCGACGACGCAAGGAGTGGGAACTTCTCTCGGTCAGAAAGCAAGGCCATACCATGGAGAGCATTCACGAGAACGTGCAGGCACTGAAGCAACGCTTTCCCGGCATGGGCGCACAGAGTTTGAAGGACTCTTTACGTGTATGGGAAGGTCTCCAGGTCCCTCGGTGCGTGTATCTGTCATTGAATGTGGTTTGTTGTCTCCTTACAGATATTCTAGAACCCTCCTTCGAGACTATCTAAAGACGACGGAGCCTGAAGCTGTGGCTGCCAGGCGTTATCGAGGGAAGTTCAAACGGTACCGGTTCTGGTGCGTTGGTGTCAATGATTTCTGGAGTTTCGATCAACACGACAAGTGGGGACCTCGCTTCGGACTGTGGCTACATGTTTGCATCGAGCCCATGTCAGGGAAGATCCTATGGCTCAAGATCTGGTGGACAAATAGTAATCCTCGTCTCATTGCAAGTTATTACCTGGAAGCTGCGCGCGCCCTCAAAGGTACAGTTGCCTCTTGCTGGCATGCTAGTGAGCAAAGATATACGATTAAATGACATCTATATAGGCGTACCTCTCGTTACTCAGAGTGATCCCGGCTCGGAGAACTACGGCATCGCTCATGCTCATACATTCATTCGGCACCGACTCGACCCCTCGCTTGAAGGCACACTCCAGCACCGATGGATGCGAAACAAGATGAACATAAAGCCTGAGATAGCTTGGTCGCAGTTGCGTAGTAACTGGGCCCCCGGGTTCGAGGCCCTGCTCCAATCTGGCGTAGACCAGGGACTGTATGACCCCAGTGATTCTCTGCAAAGGTACGTAAACTAGTTCTCAGTGATACGATCATGTCTGCTTAAGGGCTATCAGTCTCGTATTTCGTTGGCTAGTGATCCCCTGGCTCCAGCGGGAGCTCGACTTGTACCGATTCAGGACCAATAGTACCCAGCGTCGAGCCAAAAAGACGAAGGTTCTTCCTCGTGGTATTCCTGATCTCATCTTTGAAAACCCGACGATGTTCTCCACTTGCGACTTCAAGGTAAGTGCCTGTGATAGATGTGTTTATGTGCGGAATTGTTGACAAATAAATGGATATCAGGTCGGTGTCCCAGCAGAGCTCTTCGATGAAGCCGAGCGAAACTGGGCTCCAAGAGACCATGTCGTATTCCAGCTAGTCCCTCCAGGGTTTCAGCTTCATGTGTCACGCATCTACTCAGCACTCGGAGAACCGGACGTATCATATCAGACCTTTTGGGTTGTCTACCGAGACATTCTAACGGGTTTTTACACACTCGCCGATCACACTGCTCATGAATACCAGATGTTACTTCAAGACATCTCGGAATCTACGCAGGCTGAAAAAGAGGCGGCAGAAGAGCGTTTACAGAAACCGGAGGGTTTGCACCCTGTGGCTCAAGGTGCGCCAGTGATCGGTCAGTTACCCCATGGCGTACGTCAGATACCCTTGGCCGAATTGCAGGGGGATATTAGTGGTGATACTGGTATAGAAGACGGTGGGGCCGTTGGGATGGAGCACGACGACGAGCATTATTTTGTATTTTCATCAGATGAAGAGGAGCTAGACGAAAATGATCCAGGGATGTTTTAAGACATGCAGTCAATCTCCTCATATCCGGGTGTGTCAGTTTGTTGTGGGATCAGCTCACTTATCCATGCCTCATCAACCATCCTCTCGAGCGCGTGCACTTACCCTCATCAGCGTTAGCGAGTCGCCAACCTGTCGGGGCCCACCCTCACTCCCGTGTGCTCGTGTCCGCAACCGTAACGCGATTGTGTGATCTACTCGGAGGGCATTCTAAGGACCCCTGCCTGGAGCAATGCGACATGTTGACGAGCCCATCTGCCCTCTCGCGCACTCCGCCGCAAGAGCACACTTCTATGAACCCGGCACGACCTAACGACAAACCAGCCGGCCGAATCCCTGTGGGCCAATTAACACACCAACGAACAATAAAACAACAGTTTCAGTGTATTAAACCAAATGTAGTAGAACCATGAAGGGGCGAGGTATAAAGACGACATAGGTATCAGAAGTGCTCACAACCATGCGGGAGCATGAGAGCACTATACTTCAAACCTGCGCGTCACAGAATCGCATGAGAATGACCATAGGAGAGATAGTAAGGACACCGAGATTTGCACTACTGCGGGGCACCTAGAGTAATGGTCTGCTGTAAGCATCTGCTATGAAGTAACGTGCCCAGATGACTCGAGAAGCTCACCGTTACCAAGGAACATGAGAGCCTGTGCAGCACTCTCTTCAGCCGTGTTAGGAACAGGTGGATTAACTGATGCGTCGCCCTCAAATGACGGAAGCTTCTTCCACCCCAGCTCGAAGTACTTGCAGAACTTGTGGCAGACGTGCTTGGATTGGAACTCATCAACAGCCTTCCTGAGGTTTCCCCGACCGAATGAGCGAACTGATCTGTGGTTATACTAAGCATCAATAATAACATCATTTAAAAGTTCATATTATGCGCACTCTGTAGTCATGATTTGTGGATCAGACAGCAGAGTACGACCACCTATACCGGGAGTAAATTCAGCTAAAGAAATTACATCAAAGGGAACATGAGACTTACCTTGAAAGTCAGAGACAAAAGTTCGGCCCTCAGTGGCAAGGTACTGCACATGCTGGCAAAAGGAGAGGAAGTATGCGATGTGTATAAGCTCTGGATCATTGTGAATCTTGGGAGAGTTGACTCGAGGCGTGGGGGAGTCGTTGTTGATGTACTTGACCCAAGGTTTCTCGTTGATGCGTTCCTCAAGGAGGAAAACACGGCGAGAGAGCTTGTTTTCTTGCTCGTTGGGAACTACTTCCATGGCCAGTGCGACATAGACGTAGCGAAGTGAAGGGATGTCCAGCCCAGAGTTGGCGGGTGGGGGACGAGACCTGATAAAGTCATACACCTCTCCCATGAGAGCGTTAGCCCACCGCGCGCAGAGAATCTCCATCGTCAGATCAGAGATCTGCTTGTCAGATGCCTCTGGTTGCAGAGACCGAGAGTCAACGAAGACCTGCTTGATGACCACGGCTGCTGAAGGTACATCCGGGAATGGAGGAGGACTGCAATTGCCGAAGTGCGCCATTTTTGAGGCACCGATCATAGGCCTCTGGCCCGAGGAGTATGTGAGATGGCATTGCTGCATCACCACTCCTGAGCTCCACATAGCATTATCTCCGTTGGCATCTAAAGTGTTACATGTCAGATCTAATAAAGATGATGTAGCGGTAAATACTCACTCTTCACTAGCTCAGCAAATGACACATATGGACACACTTGCACTTGAACATTGAAGACGACGGAATCCACTAATGAAGGAATAAGATGCCAAGACCGACAATGAAAAAGGAAAATGACCTACACATCGCAACTGTGGTAGGCTTAGAAGGAGGACCTTGAAGTCCAAGAGCACGCGTAATTTCGGCAGCTGAGGGGAAATACTGGGAAGCCGTTGCCAACGGGAGATTGGTATCCGCCAGGCCGCCGGTCGAAGCTTCAACAGTTTGAGCACAACGGCTTCGCTTGGATACATGGGAGACAGAACGAATGGGAGATACATCCGGGGACACATCCGGGGACACAACCGGCTATATGACCAAAATTGCAAATTAGATCACATATGTCATATTATATTCAAGGTGTCAACGCACCCTTTTGGCACCACGCGGTTGAGAACTTGGCTCCAAGTTGAGCGCGCTGTCCGCTTTAGTCTTCTTACGGACAACTTCTGCTTGAGACTTGATCAGAGATAGAGGATAGCAGAGTTAGGAAATAAGTAACTGTCAAACAATAACTGGACACTCACCTTCTTATTGTGGTCGAAATGAATAGACATTGATCTAGTCGCATCGGAGATGTTCACCAAAGCGTCAGATGAAATCCTACTAGAGGCTCCATCCAACTGGGGCCCATATAGCTCTTCTGCCTGAGTGCGTATTATAAGAGAGTGAACTCACATGCAGGTATGCAGGACTCACCGATTCCTGGGTCTCCAAATGAGCAATATGCCTTGAAGCAGCTCGAAACACCTCTAAAGGGACTTCGAGCAAAATATCAACGGCAGGGGCGCTCTTCAGCTTGAGCTTGCCAGAAGAAGTTTGGCTGTGTGTGTACTTGAGCAACACATTGATGTCAGGGACAAGAGGTGTGATCTCCCCCCATGTTTTGAACCTGATCTTGAACTCGTCAATGCCGGGATAGGGATAGTTACGCGACCACTTCTTCCACGGGGCGAAGAGAGTGACAAAAGAGAGTTTCTTCAGAGGTCGTGCACCAATGTCCACCGGCACATGGTCAAGAGCCTCGAGAACGTTCTATGCAGAAGTGCATGTCAGGTCATGTAGCTCTGACTGATATTTTGCTCGACGTACCCCAACCTGCGTGTGCTTCGACTTCCCAACCTCCAACGTAACCATAACCATCTTGATTGTAACTGCTCCGAAGCCTGACAAGTGACTCCCTGGAGCGTAGGCACGGCTGGCCATATGGACTTTGAGGCTCTCATACATCTTGTGAGCATTTGAGTAGCCGATCTGGTCAGAGACGCCCTGCTGTCGTTGGGACATCATAGCAGTAACAATGTTATCAAGACCGCGGTAAGGAGAATTGAGGTCGGAGGGATCTGCAGTGCAATGAGAATGAGTATGACCGAATGGCAAAGATGACTCTCACAGCTGCCAGAGACACGAGGCACAGTAATGATTGAGGGCGCGCGGCGAGGCACCGCCGCAGGAGGTGGCATAACGGGTGCTGGTGGCACAAAGCGTGTCGAACGCGTTGGAATAGGGACAACAGCGCGCGATGTCGGAGCTATACAACTCATAATATAAGGCCAAGACAGGGAATTCAATGCGATATAACATACCACCTCGTTGAGATGCTGCGACAATCTTGCCAATTTCTGCAGGGGTTTCTGCACGGTGCGGTGGGAGCTGTGTTGATTCTAGCCGCAATGTGATGAGAGTTACATCTGGACATTCAAACCTATGCACTTGAACTCACCAGACTGAGACAGACGAGTGCGAGTGCGAGACTTGGTGATGTACACCTGTATACAGGCGGGACAGAGCAGGTGTCCGCTCTTGTCAGGATGCCTTGAGTTGCAATATTTGAGTTGTGTGGAGGGTGTCTTGCACACATAGCATTCTTGGGACTGCTGAGAAGTGAAGTCAAAGCCCTCAGCAAGCAGCGCCGCTTCTTCCGGGTCCGGATCAGCCATGAGGGAGATAAGATAAGCAGGTATCAAAGGAGTGGCTGGAATGAGTGTAGAGCAAAATGTAGAGTGGAAGGAGACTTTGGCAGGTGCATGTGAAGCCCAGTCTTTATGTAAGGGCAGCGAACTCTCTAGAACGTCTCAGAACTAGTGGGCATTGGTTGATGGTAGATTCTATTTCAAGCAGCATATCAGTGCCGCCAGTCGTGATACACGTGACATGAAAGATGTCTTAAAACAGTGACCGGGGGCCTCACCCCGGCATGGGCTGCCGAGGCCTGAAGCGCTGATGAGGGTGGGCGCTCGAAGCTGTCCACTCCGGCTTGCCATAGAGACGCACCGGCCCTTAGACGAATGTTTCGGCCGGCGATGATCTGGTGGACAATCGCACCGACAAGAAGCGAGAGACCTGGTGCAGCAGATGATGGGTCACATGAGCAGTACTACGGCAGAGGTGCAGCAGTCACCGGATCAGAACTGACCTGCGAGGCACCGTGACTGTCTGATGCGTCGCGGCTTCGTCATTCTGGCAGAGTAGATTAGAAGGGCGGGTGGCTGGCTGCGCCGCTGCGACGCTAGCAGGGCGGGGGAATATTGAGAAGGTTGTGGGGGAAGGAGGTCAGGGGGACATCGCGAATGACCGCACCATTTTTGGACCCGGGCCGGCCATGTGTGGGGCTGCTGTGACTGGACGCGCAAAACTATCACGCGAATGTGATGCCACGCGTTGGGTCACGCGCGGATAAATCGCGGAAAAATAGTCTCGCCTCTACCAAAGGCTCGTTTCGAGCGCATTTAGCTAAATGAAACGGCCATAGCTCAGCGATAGAACAGGGCAAGCCAGGGCGAACTCACCATGCTACCATGCGGAAGTCATGTCTTGCAGGGAAGCGCGTCCGCCGTCATCCCAACAGAACTCCTTTGGAGTTCTCGTCGACTAAAACCAGCTTTGCTCCTTTGAGTACTCGGATCTTTTGGTCCCCATTTCGCCCACGATAGGACCAGGAGTGTAGCGCCGTTCGGATGCTCTGAGAGTATTGCCTATTGTGATACATCTTGAAGTGGTCGATGGCGAGGAACGCGACACGAGTGTTGGCCAGCAGAGTAGAGCGATTTTCAGGGGCTGGGGCTGATGCCGAGGACGCCGTCTGGACTTTGTGTGAACCGAAGCACGAGTATTCCACGGTGGAATTCGTAGAGGACGCAGCTGATGCGGTGTGAAATGAAAGGGAAATGGGCCCGAAGTTCCCGGCATCGCTGAGACTCCGTAAGAAACTCCAGAAAGCGACCAAAGCGGCACGTGTCCACAGGACTGTGTTGCTGTTATGAGGTTGCACTGGTACCGGAAGAACTTCGGAAGGATCCTGAGGAGTGAGAGAAAGTGACTTCGGCTCCTCCATTGTGTCATCCAGAATGTTGGCATTGGTAGCGTCGTCCCATGGTAGCTGGCCGCGAACAGGTACGATCCAGCCTACTCTGGAGTATGGGCTCGCGATGCTCTCTATGCAGCCCTCAAGTGTGTGAGGTGGAATAGGGCTGTACGGATAACAGGGCAATGGAACGTCAGAGAAGTACGAAAGGTACTCGTCCGCGAAGTGCTGCTGAGAATGTAGGAAGTGTGGCTATATGCGCAGTAAGAGTGTTGTTGTGCTCATAGATGAGATAAGGCGTACCATAGGTATGACATATCTCAATGAAGACTGGACGAAACGTGCACGTTTGGTAGACGGAGGGGCAACGGAGGGGCGTTCTGGACTGAGGGGTCGTTTGACAGAGTGATGGACGGAATCCACATCTGATTCAGTGTCGGAAACAGAGAACGCTCCGTGAAGAAATTGGTCTAGCTGTTCCAGACTCCAAGAATCGTCTTCCGAGGGATCAATGGTGGCAGAAGCATCCCACTTTCGCGTCTGGGTAAGTTGGGGCTCCTCCACAAGCAGGCCGTCGGGCGGAGGAAGGTTCCAGAGGTATATGTTAGTCCCTATGTCTTGCGTCGCGAGCATTTGATAAATAGACGCGACATTGATCCATAGATAAGTACTCACTAAAAACGGACAGGTCCAGTGGGCGAGGATTGTGCCATCGGACGTCTTCGGTAGTGTAGATCACTAGCTTCGATGCATTTTCCAGAAGCTCGTGAGGTATTTCGTCTCTTTTACACGCCAGATAGTGCACGGTGAGATCCATGTCAGTTGTACTCGAGCTCGGCGAGGTGAAGGGGTTCGACATGCATATGCCACACAGCACGCCGGGAGTTGCATCGTGGTCACGTGTATGTATTTTAGCCTCAATATATCATGACGCCATCCGGATTCCGCATCCAAACTTTGCTCGTTCTCTCGAACCTCCATCCGCGTTCCTCCTCTCGTGCTCCTCAACGCTCTGTGAAGATCTGCGTTCCCCTCACCTCCCTCGGAACAACCGTACGCTCCCGTGGCATCAAAACGACGAAGAACACAGGACACGTTCTTCTCCGATATCGCGGGAACCCGACGGCCCATCCACATGCGCGCCCCTTCACGGAATAGAAGGTCTTCTACACATGTGGTTGGTGTCACGTTGCTCCCTCATGCAAAAGGTGGTCGTTCTAGCCTTCGGCCTCGGGCTGGACTTAAGGCGGTATGGCGGTAGAGGGCCGATAGACAGTGGAGCCCTCTCCATGTTCTTCGCTCTTCCATTCTCATTGTCTGCTGGAGTCGCTCTCGCGGGCGTGGCGTATGCGCAAACCCCTCCAACACCTTTCCTAACGTTTGGCCGGGTCAGCCGGAGAGCCCGTACGGTCCGGAATGGCAAGATTGTACGTTTCCGTACTATCTGATACGGTCACGTATGTGCGTACCAATCACCGACGACGTAGATTTTGGAGTCCAATATCCGCTCCCTGGCCTGGATGGCATCAATATCCCTCGGAGCTTTGCCGGAAGCATCTCAGTAAATCGCGCCGGACATCCCAACGACACCTTGTTCTTTTGGGGCTTTGAGAAGCAGGGCGGAAACGGGACGTTGACGGCGGGGGCGGGTGAGCTCAGTACCGAACCATGGATACTATGGCTTCAGGGAGGGTGAGCTTTCATTTCTCGTGCGTTCGTTTCCCCGATGTCAACGAAATGCACAGGCCAGGGTCGTCCGGCATGTTGGGATTGTCAACCGAGGTGCGTGCATTGCATATATGACCTACGACCGACCTCACCGTATCAGTTAGAACGGACCGATACATGTCCTAGCAAATGGAACATGGGTTACAAACCCGTTTAGCTGGAATACCCTAGCGGATACCATCTGGATTGACCAACCTGTTGGTACGCTCGAGACTCGTTTACACGATCGTATCTCAGACTGACAGTCAGGGCCGCAGGCACGGGATTTTCGACGGCTGATAATGAAGGATACAGTGAGCATATACTCTCTTCTTTCAGAGCAATCTGTAACGGTTACCCAGTTGCGGATGAGGACCAGATGGGCGAAGATTTCGTGAGTCGCTGTGCCATTTCAGACGCAGCCTTTTAACCGTCCTCGTTAGATCCAATTCTTGTCCAATCTAGTGGCTGTTTTCCCAAGCCTTTCCACTCGCCCTCTGTATCTCACTGGCGAAAGTTATGCTGGAACCTACATCGTCAGTGATTTCCACTCGCCACCTGATGCTTCGTACTGATATGTTCTTGTAGCCTTACATCATGAAGCATCTGGTTCAGCAAGACTCGCCGCCGGTGAATCTTCATAAGGCGGCTATCGGCGATGGTTCCTTAGGGTCTTTCGCCACGATCAGACATCTTCCCGTCGTGAGTCTTGTACTTACTTCCGAAGATCGAGGTCACGCTCAATCGAGGTCCAGCTGAACATTATCGAAACGTATCCCGCTTTGATAGGCTACGATCATGATGTGTTCAACTACTTCAAGGAGCAGTGAGTATCTTACTCTTCGTGTGATTGTTCCCCGCTCATCGCCCGACAGGCATCACCTTTGTGGTTTCGACCTCAACCTGACGTATCCCCAGCTTTCCGGAACATTCCCGACACTCAGTCTCCCGTTGGGACAACGTGCACAGCTTGCGGGTGGAACCCAGAACACCAAACGATCCGCCGCTTCATGGCAGCACGAGATCGAGGTGGAGTACGTGGCACGCGCACAAGGAAGCCCACACATGAAGCGTTCCGACTACCGCGAGCATAGAGCGCAGAAGAGAGAGCATTGGAAGCGTGACCTCTCAGGGCGCGTCAACGGCACGCTCGACCCGTGGTACGCGTGTGACCTTTTCGATGAGATGCGCGACTACGCCGTCAACTTCACATACCCATGGTGTAAGTGCCGTTGCCCACTGGTTCGAGTGCATCTAGCCGAGACACGTCCATTACAGCGAACGGTGGCTTTGATGTCTATGACATACCTGATGCCACAAATCCAGAGCCCTCCCTTGATGCATCGCCCTTCTTGAACTCCCCTGCTGTCCGCGCTGCGCTCCATGCTCCCACATCCAAGAACTGGACGAGCAGCTTCAACTATCCATTCGGCTCCGTGTACAACAAGTCGATCGGGAACGAGCATGGTGACCCTTCCGTCGAGCCCGTCGCCTTCCTCTCCGACCTCTTCGCCAACGCCACCGCGCGCAACATCTCCCTCGTCTTCTACTCGGGCAACGACGACGCCCAAGTCCAGCACCACGGTACCGAGGTCGTCATCCAGAACATCACCTGGGCCGGCCCATCCACCGTCTCCGGCGAGCGCCCCCTGCCGACCCAAGGCTTCTCGCGACGCCCCGCGACGCCGTGGACGGGCGATGACGGCGCGCCCGCGGGGCTCGTGCACCAGGAGCGCGGGCTCACGTACGTCCTCTTCGCCGGGGCGGGCCACCTCGTCCCGCAGTGGCGACCCGCGCAGGCACTCGTCTTCCTGCGTGAGTTTGTGCTCGGCGCGAACGCGACCGGGACGCTCCTCGCGAATGGCACCGTCGTCGGCGGCGAGTCATCGGAGCTCGCGGACGCGGTCATGCCGGGCGGCCTCGAGGTCTTCTTCGGGAGCGGGACGACGGCGGGGACGTCGACGGTGCCGAGTGCGACGGCGGCGGCATGGGAGGTGTTCGTGCGCACGGCGACGGCGACGACGTTTGGGGGTACGGTGTCGGCGACGAGCGGGACGGGCGCGGCGAGCGCGTCCGATGGTGGGGCGGCTCCTACTGGGGGTGCGAATGCAGCGGTGGCGGCGATAGTTGGAGTGGCTGTTATAGTCGGTACGACGTTGTTTGTCTTTTAGCGGGATCAACCCCTTTCCGTCTCAGAGGACGACCTGAGGAGTTCGTCCACCTCCACTTTGTCGCTTTCGTCTTCGAAAATGGTAAACGTGTAAATTGCTTCGAAGCAATTGCACGGCTCGAGAGTCGAAATCAAGACATTCGACTCGGCGCCAAGTGGGCAAGATCACATGGTCAAGCGCCCGTTTCGAATCCAGGCGCCGCCCACTTTTACACTTGCTCCACAACACGACGATTCCCTCCTTTCAAGTCTACTGCTGATCCGCTGTTACGTTTCGGTCATCTTTTCGCTGTATTCTTGCCGTGCGCGAGGAGATGACCCAATTGCAAAGAAGCTCGCACGCTCATGTTCCTCTCGATCTGCAAAACATGAAGGTTCTGGCATCAATATTCGGGGTGAAGTGAGTGCTTCCTGCGATCTCTGCGCTACCCTGCAACTGGCTCTGGCTTCTACTCGGGGTACAAAAATATGAAGTTTCTGGATGTCTTCCTAACGTGGGACGGTACGTTTCCTCCTCTCTGATGCAATTGTCCTCCTATGTGGACCGCGGGTTCGGAAAAACGACCAGGTGCTCCTGCACATGTTGTTGATGAAAGCATGGGGGGAAACGCGTTTTCTGTGTTTACTGGAACTGGAATGTGCACTGCGAGTGGATCCGAAGCGGGGAGGCGGTGAGTCGGCCGCATAGACGACGCTGGTGCGGATCGTCGCCGCTGTCGATCGGGCCGGTTTTTCTTCTGCAGGACATGCAACTTTGAATCTCTATTCGTATTCCGTCGCTCCGGACATACCATTGGTCAATGGCGCCGAGCGGGACCATCATGTGGACGCGGGGCGTCGGAGTCGGAGACCGCTGTTGAGTCCAGTTCGTCTTCAAGCTGGACGTCCTCGGTGCGATGGAAGGACACCACCCCGCAACAACCCGCGCTTCCTACGACCGACCCGTCGTCGGTGAACGCGACCAGATGAGACATGTGAGTGTCCAGGCGGCGCATGCGGTCGTCTTGCGTGCCCCAGTACCACCAGTGTGCAGTGGGTTTCTGGTCGTGGGGTGGCCGTAACCACCAGTGCATGTGTCTCGGGTCGCGGAGTTGCGGACGCAGAGGGATGAACGTGGCGGTGGTGGAGAGCGCGGTGTCGCACGAAGGATGCATCTCCCAAGTGGCGCGACGGTACGTTTTCAGTGGTCGTCTGTGGACTCCCGTGGCAGTGTCCACGACACGGAGAGTGGGTTGAGTGAGCGAGTCCGGTACGTCTGAATCTTCGAGCAGGGCTCGGGCGCCGTCGGAGGAGAGGGCTATCACCGGTGAGCCTGCGAATATCTACGAGCAGTGATGTCCACTGACAGCATCGTTGGTGGTTCCGGAGATCAAGAGCCTGTTGGAGAATGTGAGACCAAGGACGCTGTAATCGTTGTCCTCCGGATTACTACGTAGTGCGACGCTGCGTAAGGCGTCATGGAGGAGGTGCGAGCTGTGGAGTTGGGCGAAATGAGGACGAAAGGTTTCGGTGTCCAAATCCCAAACGATGGTGAAGTCGTGATACTAAAGTTGGTCCCGCACGAGGCCAGTTTCATTGAGAATGTGAATGGGAATGTGGCGGCCCTTCGGGGACACCGATATGGCTCCTTGGAAAATGTGTGATAACGTTTTGGTGGGAAATGGGATTGCAGGTAGTTTGAGTCTGCGGATGAGCTTTGCAGTGTCGGGCTCGAAGATGTGGACGTCCCCTCTACCCGTCAGGACAATGACGTGTGTTTCGTCGGGAGACCATATAGCTTTGAGAATGCCCCCGTAACTCTCCGAGTTGCCGCTTGCCAATATCTCAGGATGGCCGTCATGATGGGGCGAGTTAGGTAGCTTGAATATGTCTAGCTGACCCGCGGGGGCGTGCATCAAACGGGAGCCCGATGGAGCGAAGGAGAGCGTTGGCCCGCATCCGACAGTGTATGAATAGTGGTCTTCAGATTTGAGGATTGGGTACCAATGCTCCATCATCGGATATCCAGAGTGAACGTCCCAGATGATCACCGATCCGAAGAAGCCGCTTCGCCTCAGGCTGGGAGCTTCGCTGGCCGCCCACTTGCCGTCAGAGGAAATGGTTAGCTGGCGAATGGGGCATGCGTGCCCATACGATCGATTGTGGTGGGAAGCTGCATGCGTGCCACATCGTCATCAGTACATCGATGATGAGACGGAAGAAGGGCGATGGAAAGTCACTAACGAGGGTATTCGAACAGAATTCGTAGTAGTCCCTGCTCATATAACGATTGAAAGACCTGTTCGAATACTAGTGCTCTCCATCTGTCCACGTGGTTTTTCATTACGTCTTCTACTACGCAGGTAATCCCATTCACCCTGAGAGCCTCGTGATGGCGCACGAGTTGGGTGAAAATGGAACTTATTTTCGCGGAACTTGATGATGGTACTTGCTTGGTGCTGAGCCAATGTAGGGCAGACGGTTTAAACAGCAATTTCATGGAGCGCAGGGATGGTGGAAGCTTTGGTCCAGCAAACACGATTTTCAGAAGAGGCATCGTCCTCTGTAAAATTGAGGCGTCGTCTAACTCCAGCCTCACGGTAAGATGTACGAGTACCGAAAAGTCTGTCAAGCTGATTTCTAGACGCAGCATTGGTTACTCCGTCCTGAATCGGAAGCGTTTCTTGAATAACACGGACCTCCAACCAGAGCAACTCGGGCATCCAGAGTGAGATGTACGAGTGTACCTGCGTTGCTTGTGAGCAATCCTCTTAGCTCAGGCGCCAGTAGGTAGCCCAACCCGGCGGGTGCAAGCTGCGAGAGGGGCATTAAACATCGAGCAGTACCTCGTGGTCCATCATGTAGAATCTCACCGTGATCCTTTTCAGCCGATTACGCATCCGGTTCAGTGTCGTGGTAAAGTCCGACCGCAGTATAGTCACGAGAGGGTATCGATGAGGTGAAGCTCTTCGAGACCGGGAAACCCGCAGGCCAGGCGTGCGACGTCCAAGGTGGAAATGAGCCGACCGCAGGCGTCGACAACGAGCCTCTTGGTCTCGGCGTAGCTTCTGAGGGAACCTAGGAGGTTTCTTCCTCGGTCCCCGCCGATAACGAGTTCTCCGGAGAACTCCCAGGTGTTGATATGGGCGAGATACGGCAGGAGGACAGCGGGAGCGGCGTGGGGATACTGCCCATAATTTCCTTCGAGTCGGACGGTGCTTACGAGCGAGCGCAGGACGGGTGTGCGCTCAAGCGCGGCGCGGATGGAGTCCAGCGAGTGGAGGCTTGAGATCGTTACGCGTTGCCAGATCAAGAAGCGGCACCTCGGGAGCCAAGCGTTGCAGACCCGTGCGCAGATTGGAAGGGCCCACAGGTGGCCCTGGGCTTGTAGTTGGTCCAGTACGTTCTCCGTTACGTCGATAGGCAGGGGCGGGGGTTCCATCGGGGGAGCTGAGTGCGATCGCGCAGGGACCCTGGTGGATGAGGGGCAAGTTGAGGCCCTGAGAAAAGTGCAGCCTGCGCCGATAAGCGCGGACTGGAGAGCGATTGTTATCAAACGCGAGTGTTTACTTCCAGAAGCCCCATCTTCAACGAGCAAGACTGATAGCGGTGGGAACAAGCGCATATAAGTACATAAGAAAACGTACCCACACCTTGCAACGCTATAGCGCCGCCTTCTCCTTCCGCGCCTCCTCCTCGCTCACCAGCCGCCCCTCGAGCTTCTCCACAACCTCCTTTGCAATCTTGCGCACCCCGTCCGGATCGCGGCCGATCAGCGAGACGTACACACCCTTCTGCAAGAGCGGGTACGAGCCGACGCGGACGCCCTCCGCCTTCGTCTGCGCCTGGAGCTCGGTGAGGTAAGGCGCGATCGACGACTCGGGCATCCTGTGCAATGCCGGCGTCAGCGAGCGCGAGCGCGGGACGAAGTGCAAGCGCACGCACGTAGTGAAGATCTGCTGCCGGAACGGCCGCTCGCTCGGCGGCGGGAGCGGCAGGAGCGCGGTGAGGCCGGCGAGCATGCGCTCGAACAGCTTCGGGATGCCCGGGAAGACGCACAGCTTGCCCTCGAGGCGCACCACCGGCTACAGGTGTGACCGTCCGCGTTAGCCAGACACGAGCGACGCCGCGCGAAGAAGGGGACGCACCACCCAGACGTCCGGGGCGATGTAGAGCACCTCGGCGCGCGCGGGGAAGAGCGCCATGCGCTCGCGCGCGATGCGCTGCTCCGCCGTCTGCTGCGAGAGGTCCGCGCGGGCCTTGATCATCTCCGTCATTCGCCGGAGCGTCTCCTGGTGGTGCTCGAGCGGCTGGTCGAACGCGGCGGCGAGCGAGGCGTAGGTGATGTCTGTCCGTGCGTGCACCAAGTTCAGCGGGTGCCGGGACGAGACGGGGAGAGGCGCACCGTCATGCGTGGGGCCGATGCCTCCGGAGGTGATCACGAAGTCGTACTTGCTCACGAGCCGGCGTGCGGCTTCGACGCTGCAGCAGAGACTTGTCGTGAGGGTGTGAATTCGGCTGAAAGTGTAAATAAACGCACATATCCTCTTCCTCGTCGGGAATGACCTCTATCCGCTTCCTGACGTCATTGGGCGGGGCGAGGGCGGGGGCTGGAAATCACGACCTGCATCGTGCGACACGGGTAGGAAGAGGCACTCACAGGTCGATCCCGTGCTCGAAGCAGAACCGCGCGAAGTGGTTCGAGTTCCGGTCCAGCGTCTTGCCGTTCAGGATCTCGTCGCTGGGGAGCACCAAGGAGGAAACGAATGGTCAGCATAGCTCGCGTGCAGGGGGAATCCCAACGACGTTCGCACATCCACTGAGCGTTCAAACGTTCACATCCGCGCGGATATCCATGCGTTGGAAGACACGGCCCGCAGTGTCCAGAGACGTGGTCCACCGCCCAAACGCTAGAGACTGACGCAGAGAACGAGAGCTCACCCGATCATGAGCGCCGCCGCCGTCTTGATGTACCTGCCCTCCCCAAGCGGGTTCGGCGGCACGGGGGAGACGGCAAAGTTCCACTGCGGCACCGGCAGCTGGTGGTCCTGCGACTGAGGGACGGGCGCGGAGGTCGCCATCGTGCGCCGCAAGAACTTGAAGGCGGGGGTGCGTGTCGGACTTGAGTGGCTGCGTCGACTCGGGAGCGTGCTCGAGCTCGTTATACCGTGCGGCGCGAGCGCACGGAAGGCCGGGCTCGGGATACTATGGCTTGGGCTCGGTGATGTGCCGGAGAGCGGCCGCGGAGCTGGCGCGAAAGAGCGGGTTGGGGGATGAGAGGGGCGTGCGAGACGTGCCAGCCGGACGGGAGGATAGTGGGATAAGAGCGACATGGGCGCGGAGCAAGTCAGCCCCGAGGCCTACTTCCGGGATTCCGCGCTCCGCGGTGCGGCGCGGGAGATCAGTCCCTAGACACAGGCCGGTGGCTTTCGTGTGGTCGTATACTTACCTTCATATACCTACGCGCTGCGCTCTGTACGAGTACGGGGTTCGACACCGTGAGGTTGAATTCGGGACTGGGAATTTAGAGGACTAACCTCTCAAGAATCGGAATGTGCAGGTTCTGAAATCCTATCCACACAACAAAACAAAAGAATCGTCCTGCGCTTTTATGCATTAAGGGGGAATCGAACCCCCGGCGGGTCGATGGCAACGACCCAGGTTACCACTACCCCATTAATGCGATGCCTGAGAAGCTTTGTTGGCTTATATATAGGTTTCCAGAAAAATCCGGCTTCTTGCATGTGTTGTAACGCTCATATCCAAAGGAAACACGGTGCGCGCACTGATGGTACAAGAGGTATCGCTTGAAAGTCTATCGCCTGATGACGGAAAAACAACGGTAAAAGCTAAGCTAAACAAGGGGAGGACGCGGGCTCCGGGAGAGGAACGGTGTGTCAGTACTGCGGCTGGGGCAGACCAAACAAAGGGGCGGGTAGGCAGATATGAAGGGTGGCGCGGAGTGCGGCTGAGCGGCAGCCGCGAGTTGGGGGTGGGGGGATAAAGCGTGATCCGAAGCGAGCCGGGTCCATTATCTGACGACGGAGTTGCACGCTGGGCAGGGGAGGGTGGGTGTGGGTGTCCTGATGTGTGCGTGGAGGCGGTGTGTATGGAACGAGGCTGGTTGAGGTTTGGAACATGGAAAAGCCGGGGACAGGGGCACGTGCGGAGTTGAAGAGAAATGCGCGAAAGCGCGAGTCGAAAGAGCATAGAGGGGCCGGTGCATAGATTTTACGCGGGTATACACAGGGACTCGCACGGCGTAGCGCATGAGCCTCGTAGGAGAGGGACCCGCCCCGAGTGCCGTGCCCGCCTCTGCGGGGACGAAAACCGAATACAAGGGATGTAGAGGAGGGGAGGGGGACGTGTCGGGTCCTAGGATAATTTTCGGTGTAAGATGCTCACCACGAAAGCGCCACCACCAGCGCGAGCACGACCGCCATCGAAACCGAGACAGTCGTACGGCTCGCAGCCGACGTGTTGTTGGGCGCGGACGTGTTGGCGGAGTTGGAGGAAGAATCCGTAGACGACGTAAGCGTTGTGGACACGCGGATCGACGTGGTAATGCTGAGCCGAGTGCCCACACTGGTCGGTGTGTTGCTGGAGGGCGGAACGGAAAGAACAGTCTTGCTCTCCGACGCCACGGACGACGGAGAAGTGAGCCCGGACGGTCCGACAACCGAACTGCTGCTCGATGTAGCCGCGGCGGAGCTTGAGCTTGAACTTGATGCGCTTGTAGAGCTCGATCCGGTGCTTGTAGATGTAGATGCAGTCGCCGACGCCGACGCCGACGAAGACCGCGTAATGCTGGCGGATGTGGAGGTAGACACCGACGACGTGGTGCTTGCCGATACTGAGGTGGACGACGAGAAAGGAATCACGGAGGTGTCACTCGCGATCGGGCTACTGAAGGAGCCCTTCATGCCGTTGATGCTGCAATGACGTGGGTCAGTACCTATGTTTTGCTGCATCCGTTTCCATGCGTGTAACCACCAGTGACTTCAGGTCTCGCACAGGAGCGGAGACTCAACGCCAACGTGAAGGCCACAACAACGGGGGAACAACAGAAAGGTGGTGACACGTAATGCTGAGCAAAAGACACTCACGTAAACATCGTCGAGAACTGGTGGTAGGTGACACCGTTGACAGGGTTCACGGAGGTGAAGTTGATGTAGCTGGCATATTGGTCAGATGGAACCGTCTCAATGCTCAGAGCACGGCCAACACATACTATCCCACAGAGTCCGGGCCAGAGTTCGGGTCAGGCTAACGGAGGTGTAAGACCGCGATATCCTTCCGTTCCTCCCAAAGAGTACACACCGTGAAATCAAGGGAGTGCTGCGACGATACATCCACCGGCTCAATCTGCTGGATGAGCCTCTGCGCAAGCGGAAAGCAAGACATCAAATTCAGTTCTGGTGTGTTTGCATAGTAGGGGAGAAGGCTGCGCACCATGTTCCCGTTGTAGAGCGCGACATAGCACGGCCCAATGACGGGGATCAGGGGCTGTACACCGTCGTCGACCCAGTTCACCGTGCAAGTCTTGCCTCCGGTGCACGTTGTGTCCGGAAGCGGAGATGTGAGCTGTAGGACCAATTCATCAGGACGGAGCGCGGACACAACGGAGGGATAAACACGTACGTAGAGGTCGGCCCGGGCCAAGAGCGCAAAGACGGCCTGGATGAGCAGAAAGGATAACACGTTGCAGAGCATCTTGAAGGACGAGGAGGAGATGGGGAGTTGGATATATGCTTGCGGGTGGGATCCAAAACCGAAAGAGAAGCAGGAACGGATGCTCGAAGGTCACCGGGAGTGAAAGAGCGCAAAGGGCGAGGAAGGAGCGTGGAGATTATAGAGACAGGCTTGCGGAGCCGGACGGGCGCGGAGAGGGTGAGGGGCGCCGCGCGGGAAAGTGGAGGCGAGAGTCAGGAGCGGGGACGAGAAATGGGCCGCAGCGATGGTCAACAACGCCCATCTGCCGGAACCAGATCCCGGAGTCGTCATGCAAACACGATCACGTGCACCCATCCCCAAGTTTTGTCAACGATCGCTCTTCGATCGCCTGGTCTCCGTCTCTGCCCTTGTGTTTCGCAGTCATGGCGCGCCTCCGTCGCTATCCTTTTGCGAGTGGCCCATTGGTACTTGGAGACCGCCATCTTCAAGCCCGGACTTCAAGTATGTTAGCAAGGCGCTCTCGTTCAGAGCTTTGGGTCGATGATGAGATGTACGCTGCAGGTGTGATATCCGTTCTTTACTTCTTTCAGCGTTTGCTGTATTTATTCTGTATCGCCTTTATCCAGTTCACTGTGAGCTGCGGGGTTCTGTTGCAGCTGTCAATCACAATACGCTCTGTAGGTGGATATCTATATCTGGACAGGTAAGATCTGTCCAACCCTCGACGACGTGGTAGTTGAATTCTCACCTCTCTTCGGCACATACAGGCCATCGCCTAGAACATGGACAAGCCTGCTCACTCGGCGTCTCACTGTTCTTTCCCCTGTAGGAAGCGTGTTGACGATCCAATAGCAAACGACTCCTATGCTGCACGTGAACTAATATAACCCAAAGCTCAGCCACGCTGCGTGCTAGATGAGCGTAGCAAGACACGTTGGCTTCTAGCACAAGGCGTCCGTTGCGACGTCTGCGAGCAGCGAGATGTCTTCCGTGACTCCAAAACCACCATACTTATACTTCGATGGCGTATATCGGCATCTTTTATGAATATCTGCATACCTCCGCAGTTTCAGGAATAGCGCGATCTCTCGGTAAGCCTGCTTCACTGACACTGCAATGCATCCCACACTTGGGCTGTTGCAGGATATCCCGGGAATAGACTTGCGCACCATAAGAATACGCGACTTTCCTTCACGACTAGCATCGATCCTACACTGAGATGTTGAAACCTCTCAAGTCACATTCAGCGCCCTCTCCTGCCTTCTGGCCTCGGTCACGGTTACCGCTCTCAAGTGCGGCCGACCTCCTCGCCAATGTCGCCACCATCGTTGAGGCGGTGAGAGACGGGGTCAGTACCACTGGAGGTTTACCAGTTCTTGGGGGCTCCTCTCCATTGTGTTGGGAATCGCAAGGGCCATTGAAGTACGTCCCGCTGCCCTTCTCCCAAGCGCAGTCAGACGCTGAAGTTTGCCCTCCCGCAGCAAACGAGCGGCATACAAGAAGAATCAGTTTTGCTCGTACAGCGTGCCGCCGATCTCGTAAAGCATGTTCAGAGCATCATTGGAAACGACCTTTTTCCTGTCAGCGAAGACATGAGCGTCAATATCTCCCGTCTCGAGATGTACGTTATCTTACACCGACGCGTGCCACGTCCTCCCGCTCACAGCTGCGATCTGGTGTAGAGCACTGCGCTGGGTCGAACATGTGATTGGGAAGGAGATAAGACGCGGCCGCTTGGATCGGTTTCTGCATCGCGCATCCATCAGCACGACATTGAAGAAGTGCATGGTCCATTTGGACGACGCGTGGCGCTCATTTGACGTGCGTGCCCATATCAAACTCATCAGGGTATTTCGCTGAATTCGCAACAGACCGCGACGATGCTATTGCTGGCACGTCAATTGGCAGTCATTGAACGTCAGCACGCTTCGTGTGTCAATAATTCCAAGGTTCGCCTATCGGTGACTGTGGAGGTCATATCGTGCTGATCCGTGCGTAGTTCGAGTATCTTCAGTGGTCCATCCTGGATATGTACGAACGGCGGGCACGTACACTGCCAAGGCAAGTTGTGTGAAGGAGACGAATTTAGTGGTAATTGCGCGGCAAAAATTCATTTCGCACCATACATCGATGGGCATATGAACAAGTTCTGATGCATTTTGTCGTTGTCACACACCTCCAAAACTGATGTATGCTAGCACGAGTACAGTAAACTGCGGATGTATTGTCCAGACCGGTAAGTTTCCCCTACCTCACGCGTCGAGCTGTTAGGCTGACCTCGAAATAGGCATGGCTCGATTTCTCAGATTTTAGGATGCCACATCGCTAGACAGACCTTTCTACGTCCGATTGAATCTGGTATGCTACCGATGGAGTAGATTGGATATCATCACTACGTGCCTTTTTGACACGTAGCCACGCGATCTCTGACAGAGGATTTAGCGACGACAGACCCGTAGTCTGGATTATGAAGTGGATACAACATGTGCGTGTAGCCTATTTCAACTGTACTTCATATGAGAGACTTACTGTGCGAAACAGTTCCTTGACTTCGAGGTATATTTTTCCTGTACTCGTTTCAGGTCTATTCTCATAGCACCCGTGCGTACAGAATGCGCTGGAGGTTTGCAAAAGGGCGGACAGAGATACCCATCTGCAATGCAAGTCTAATCACAATGATCCAGCCCAACAGCGATGTTCATATTTTTATAGCCCAGAAAGGCCGTCACCATGATCACGACGGTGCCTCGCATCTGCGGGCTCAACGGCCAGGGTAGACTCGTTATCGAAGCCTCAGATCTTTGTGGCTCAACTTGGCGTGTATACATCAATGTCTCAGCCGCATCTACAGCGACGTGAGTACCTAGGCTTCCTATCGATGGTTCTGTCAAGCCAACCCAGGACGTCCTTCAGACCCATGGGATTCCTTTTATCCAGCCTTGTACGTGACGGCGGCCCCTCGGACGCTTGTTTGCGTAGCTGATCTGCTTCGTTTATTTTCTAGCATCTTTCTGGACCAGTCCTCTTGCTCCCGGGGTCGCCGTCAAGGCGAGGAACGCACTGGCCCGCAATCCAAATATCTCGCTCGAGGACGCTTCTCTAGACGGACTTACAATGCAGTCACCTATGGGTATCTGTGGAAGTCACCACAAATCGACGCCAAGCTTGGGCGATTACGGCTATTTGGAAGATGGCGGCGACGGCTCGAACAGACGCTTCGTGCGTCTCGGTCACGTAGATGACATCGTCGATGCTCATGTTGCGGGGAACACATGCGGACGTTTTCATCCACGGGAGATGCATGCGCACAGATGTGCGAGGAATGCTCGTGGTCCAGCTCCGTCGAAAGGTGAGCCTGCGTTCGGCGTGCCCCAGCATTCGCCCGTCAATGTACTGAGCATCTAACGGTACATAGCTATCACTTCGACAGCCATGGCAGATTGGAGGCGCATCACGCGTGCAACGAGTGACCATGGCCCGCCGCGTGCCGAGCACGACCTTGTTGGATATATTTTGGAATCATGCGAAGCGTGTGTGCAAACCCACGACATTTCCATCACTCAACTTATCATCCGTAAGTGCCGCACATATTCTCTTCACTTGAGCCTAACACAGGGCCATTTATCGAGTCCACGACTTCCGTTATGACGCCACCGTCGATTGGACGAAATGGCGGTCCTTTGATTCATGACACCGTGAACGAGGAACCCGTTGACCGGGGTACGTTGTCGGTCATAATCCAGTGGCGGGTTTTATTCGAAATGCAGAGACACCTTTCGATCTGTGGTTCCATCAGCTTCCACCAGATCACTGTGGTGCACCTGTCGACCCTTGGGGGTATTGGTCGCTCGGATCGGATCCCAGTGGGAAGCCAAGGTCGCCATATACACGAATACTGAAAATCTGAGGGACGCTGTTGCTGTACAGTGAGTCGCGCGATATTCATGGTCCCTCTGCACGATGCTCAGTTCCGAAACTCAGACAGCGCGTGTATTACTACCAAATGTCTCCATTTGAAGCACGGATGGTGGACATGTTTCACATGCTTCGCCAAGATGTGGATATGGCGGATCCGGCCTGAACAGGCTATGGAGTTTGGCTCATATCCGACTTTGAGTAGCTCATATCTGAAGGCTTTGACTCATATCCGACTTTGTATATTACACTTACGCCTGTGCATAATGATTACGCGCTGGGTACTTCTGTCGGTGGGCTATCCGCAGACAGGATGCGCAGACATGAGCGCCGTGTGGTCTTGTTGGGGCAAAGGACAAGTTGGGGGACGCGGTAAACGTGGGGCAAGCACTCAGAGACGCGTGCGACGCGTGACGTGGGGCGCGTCAGTCGAGCGTCTGCGAACGTGTCCCCGACCGAGGACGCACGCCACGTGTGTTGCCCCAGCCACACTCGCTTTTCCTCCCTCCACCATGTTCTCTGAAGAGCTCAAGACCCTACGGCGACTCGGCTTCCGTCATGTGCGCTGCTCCAAGACTCCCCGCGCGCCGTGCACTGACGCTGCGCCGGTATCCAGGTCCTCCTCCAGATCCTCAACTTCGTCTCCGTCCTCGCCTCGGGCTTGATGATCTGGAAAGGGCTCGGGCTCGTCACGAACACAGAGAGCCCTATCGTCGTCGTTCTTAGGTGCGTTCCTTAGCTCTAACTGGTGCGCACGTGGGGGCGCCATCTGTTTTAGAGCAGCACTCTCATGCGTTCGTCCTTGCGGCCGCAGTGGCTCGATGGAGCCTGCATTCTACCGCGGTGACCTCCTCTTCCTCACCAACCCTTCAGACCAGCTGTATAAGACGGGCGACATCACTGTTTACAAGATTCCGGGCGCAGACATCCCGATTGTCCATCGCGTGCTGGAGACACATGATCTGGTTTCAGCACACAAAGGGTGCGCCAATCTCTTCTTGTCTTTCTGCGCATCCTCCTCCCCCCTTGCGACCCTTCGAAATTGCCTCTTCGTCCTTTTCCCCTGTGTTGGTCTTGTGGCATCTCGTTACTGTGACTGACTGTGGTGTGCGTGGTGTAGACTCGTGGCGGCAAGTCCCCTCGCGCAACGGCAGCTACTTCTCACAAAGGGCGACAACAACCACATCGACGACTTGGAACTTTACCAAGGTCTGGAGTGGCTAGAGAGGAAACACATCGTTGGGAAGGTTCGAGGGTGAGTTGTACGCGCTTCGGTCATCGGCCAGCTGCTCAACTCCCTCATCGTGCAGGTTCCTGCCGTATGTCGGTTATGTGACCATTGCCATGGTAAGTCCAGCGACCGACCATGCCATCCCTGTGTATGCTGACATTGGCGTCCTGTTTAGAATGACTTCCCACAGCTCAAATACGCGTTGCTGGGCGGGCTCGGTCTACTAGCGCTCGTCCAGAGGGAGTAGACAAGCACCTGTATTGTACATTAATTTATCGGAGGTTTTCGATTTGATCCTGTGTGTCAGGTCTCCCTCTCTGCGCAGCCCGTTGAAAAGCTTGCCAGGCAGTCGTGGACACGCTAGGAATACAGGCTTGTGACGACTCCGCAGGACATTGAGCGAAGAACGTTCGATGCAGCGCTCTCCCTTCGGCCGAACGTGCATCGAAGTGCTCCTCAGGAGCTGTAAAGTTGCCTATTCGTTATCTGTAGTCCCGTGTCGAGCCCCAACGGGTTTGAGATGGCTGCATGCGCCTGAGTAGCAGCTGGTAGACGTGATAGGTCTTCCCCAGCCAGGCCATCAGTATTGCTTTCGAAGTCCAGACGAGGTCAAGATCTTCACCAGCATCATACCTCGGCCACATCCTTCGAAGACCCCTTGGTGATCGGATATTCCATAGACACCATCCACCATAGCAGAATCGGGGCATTCACCAATAACAGGTGTCTGTCTTCGCCCTCTCAAAATACCAACTCTACGACGTAGGTGACGGAGTACGGGGCGGAGAAACAGGGGGTTGAAAGTCGTCAGTGGCGAAGAGGGTGGCTCGAGCGAGGGTAATGACGGGGAGATGCGGCGGCGAAAGGGGGAACGGTGCGAAAGAGAAGGGGGCCAGTGGGAGTGCGGGGTGGCGGAGCGCGAGCGCGAGCGAACGAGCGCGGATCTTGGGCGACGGGCGGCGCGCGCGAGGACGAGGCGCGACTGTGCGTTGAGGACGTCGATGCGGACGGATGGGCGCGGTGTCCGGTCGAACTGCGGCGCGGCGAGGGACATACCGGATGGCGACTTGGAGGATACGGAGGGTGGCGGCGCTGGGGAGCCGGAATCTGAGGTGCGCGTTTTCGTACAGCGTATGCGCGGGCGTAGTTGGATGGATGCGATAGGCAGGGGAGACGAGGGGGAAAACGCCAGAGAAAGGATGAAAGGCGTACTCGAACAAACGGACGAGCCTGTTTGTTTGTTTGTTTATCTCCTGTTTAACGCCCTGGAGGGCCGAGCCCTATGGTAGGCGCTACGTACAGTAGTCTAACTAGCGGTAGAGGAAATGCGTATGACGAGCCTGTCTCCACGCGGGCTGTCTACGGCGGCTCCTGCCTGCCTCTCTCAACTCAGATCTTGACGTCCGGGCTGGGCGCTGAACGCGAGCAGCTTCTGCGAGACAGGATGGGAGACGTCACATGCATCGCGCGCGAATGATCTTGGCAGTAGGGTGAGGTGCGAGGAGGACGGCGGGAGGTGGAGTGCAACGGCGCACTGGAGAGGCGGGGCGATGCTCGTGGACGGAAACCGTTGACGGACGTCGAACGCGACGCGTGACTGCTGTCTGGGCGCGGAGGCTATTGCAGCAGCAGCAGGGGTGCGGATCGCGGCGCGGAGGGACCTGCAATATTTGGTGTAGCGTGTGGGGAGACGGTGGAGCTGCGCGGACGCGAACTGAACGGGGTAAGGTCGTCAATGCGCGGACAGAGGCTCCAGAACGGCAGGGTGCGGCGCAGCAGTGAACGCGAGCGGAAAGACGCCGCTGAAGATGCGGGAACTTGAACGAGAGCGCGACGGATGGGGCTTGTGGGCAAGACGATGGCACGTGTGAGCAGGGAGCGGTTGGGCCTGGTGCCAGGCGGCTGGTGCGGAGATCGTCTGAGGTGTTGTCGGCAGCGTGGGACACGGCGCGGGGACGGAAAAAGAGTGGATGTCGGAGGAGGTGGATGAGGGAGAAGCGCGAGGAACGGCACGGAGGGCATGCCAAGCATCCAGTGAAGGAGCTGCAGGAGGGAGGGAAAGCGGATGGTGGTGCTCGCGTACCGATTTGAGAACCCTCGCGGTGGACTCCCAGGGGTCGTGTAGCGCTGCGCCGGCGGTGTGCGAGTGGGTGACCGGTGAGGCCTGTGAGGCCTCAGCACAGGATACCTCGATGCGGCAGGCGACCCACCTACCCCGCTGCGTTTGCAGCAACCCCGCGACGAACGCGCCAGTCAGCCTGGACGACGTTGAATGAGACGGTTGGCATGGGACAGGAGGTATAGGTCGCTGGGGAGTATAAAGGGACCCAGTGGTGCTCCAGAGCATCCTCACCTCTCTTCCCTTCTAGGCTCATATTCTTCCTTCGAACCCAACCTCAACCACTCGATAAGCAACAATGCCTTCTTCCAAGACCGCCACGCTCGGCTTTGGAGAGACCACTGTGACGATTGGACGCATTGGGGTGAGTAACCGCAATTTTCATAACCCTCCCAGGCCAACGCTCACCCTACACCCTTCATGACAGCACGGTCTGATGAACATGAGGTGCGCACAGGATACCACGGCACTCTCAAGTTGTTGGCTGATTATCTCCCCTTTCCATCCAGCACCCGCGACCCGTCCGACGTTCTTCCCGATGAGACCGCCTTCGCTGCGATCAAGATGGGAATCGACGCCTTGCCCGAGGGAGCGCAAATGCACCTCAATACCGGTTCGTCTCTCTCCGCAACGTTGTCCTCACCACTGAAGCTCCCACCCTTTCATCTAGGCGAATTCTACGGCAATGGTTTCAGCATCGCCAACCTCGAGCTCGTCGCTCGCTTCTTCGCCAAGTACCCTGAGTACGCCCCCCGCTCCTTCCTCTCCGTCAAGGGCGGCATGCTTCCCAACTCGGTCAAGGCCGACGGCTCGTGCGTGTTGCCTTTTATTTCAACTTCTGCAACAGCAAGCCGACTGACTTCACGCGCAGCCCCGAGAACCTGCGTCGCAGCGTGACGACGATCGCGGCGACGCTCGCGCCCGGCGGAAAGAAGATGGACCTGTTCCAGATGGCGCGCGTGCCAACGAACGTGCCGTTCGATGAAGCGTTCGGAACCGTAGTCGCGCTCAAGGCCGAGGGCTACTTCACGCACATCGGCATGTCCGAGTGCAGCGCCGCGACGCTGCGCAAGGCCCACGCCGTACGTCCAATCGCTCCGGGATGCGGCTCGGGGTCGGAGTGCTGACGGCGTCGCCGGGAACCGCAGATCCACCCGGTCTCGGTCGTCGAAATCGAGGTCAGCGCGTGGTCGTACGAGGAAGAGACGAAGAAGGTGATCGCCGCCGCGCAAGAGCTCGGGATCGTGATCGCCGCGTACTCGTACGTCCCCTCCGCTTCTCTCGCCACCCTGTGAGGCTGAAAAACGCGCCGACGACACAGTCCACTCGGCCGCGGCCTGCTCTCCGGCACGATCAAGAGTGTCGACGACATCCCCGGTACGTCTCTCCTCGCGTACACATACAACGTTTCACCCCGCTGACGGACCCGGCAGCCGGAGACTACCGCCGGAAGCTGACGCGCTTCCAGGAGGAGGCCTTCGCGCACAACGCGGAGATCGCGGAGGCCTTCGGCGCGGTCGCGGTGCGCAAGGGCGTCACCGCGTCGCAGCTCGCGCTCGCGTGGGTGCTCAACCTCGGGCCACACATGGTGCCCATCCCCGGAACTTCGTGCGTGTTCTTTTCGAGCGGAACGTTGAGCGAATGGATCGGCTGACGACGGACACAGGTCGGCGTCGCGCCACCTCGAGAACATTGCGGCAGCGGACGTCGAGCTGACCGGTGAGGACCTCGCGGAGATCAGCAAGGTGCTCGAGAAGGGCGTCAAGGGGAGTCGCATCATGGACGGTGTGCCGGCCGAGAAGCTCCGCCTGTGGGCGTGATATGCTCGCGGGGGCTAGAAACACGGATGAAGTGCTGGACGATGGAGAGCGGTATTTCGAGTGTCGTCTCTTTCTCGTAGCTGCCGTTACCAACTTGTACTTGCGTGGGAAAGAACCTTGTAGACACCGAACTCAATTAGATGATTCCCCAATGCGAAGGCGCCGCGCAAAGGGCGGCGAACCTTGTTTCCATTAAATTATCATGCTGACAATTCCCGCCTGCTGCTACTTCTCAGGTGTCGCCGGCCATGTCTCCAGCCGCGCTGCTCGAGATGACTCTGAAACCCATTATATCGCCATAAACACACAATCTTCTACTCATCAATCCTTCCCTCACTTCAGCTTAGCGAACCCAACGGAGTTCTGAGCGAACGAAAACGCGGTGTACACGTTCTTCATGAAGCTGTTGGAGGGAGCCCCAAACTCAACACCCGAAGGAATTCCTGTCAGACGACGTCGACAACGCACCTGTCCCCCAGAAGCCACACGTTCGCGCCCAGCCCAAAGTCCTGGCCCGCGAGCGCGCCCACCCACGCACCACGTCGACCCGGCCCTCGTCACTCCCAGGTTGAAGTTGTTTTTCGAGACCGCCCACGCCTTCCCGGTGGGGCCCCAGCTGAACGCCACGCTCGGCGCGCGCGCGCACGGGTACTGGTAGAGCCCGTTCGCGGCGTCGAAGACCTTCGCTCCCGGGACGGCAGCGTAGAACGCCTTGACGGCGGCCGGGGGGCCGTACATGATCGTCGTGCCCGAGTCGATGACGGTCTGGAAGCCGGAGGCGACGCGCGCGCCGTTCGCGAACGCGCTCGCGCCAGTGATCTGCCAGAAGCCGAGGGACGAGGGCGAGACGGGGTGGTACTCGAGCGCGCCGGTGTAGAGCGCGGAGTTGGTGCCGCCGAGGTAGAGCTCGGAGCCGGTCGTGGCGAGCTTGAAGCCGAAGACGTTCTGCTTGGCGGTGCCCTGGGAGAACGCGGTGTTGAAGAACGGTTTCTGGCGGGAGCGGAGTCAGGAGCGACTGGGGACGAGTCAGTCGCTGGCGCTCACATGCTTAAGATTGGACAGCTGCGGGAAGGCAAGACCCATGAGGCCGTCGACGACGTCACTTGTGAACTCAGACGACTCCGTGGTGACAGCGGAGAAGTACTGGCCGGTCGCCTTAATGCCGCCTACGGTCACTGTGCGGAGGCGTTAGCACTTTTCGTTGGGATGCGTGGTGCACGCTGACCGGTGTCGGTGTAAATGGGGCCGGACGCAGAGGAGCCGTCGCCGTACCCGATCTCGAAGGTGCCGCTCTTCTTCGAGCTTGTGGAGGATCTTGCGGGGTTGTACTTCTTGTGGGAACCGCAGGAGGTGCATGCAGAAGACGGAACCCAGAGGTCCGACGAGCCGGTGTCGAAATCGATTAGGAACGTGGTCGGGGCGTACCTATGGCAACCTTTCCCGCCCACTGAACGTCGTGGTCCTCGTCCGTGAGAGGAACGCCGGCGCGTTTGAGGGGATGGGGAGCGACTTTGGATCTGGGATCGACTCGACGCCATCGGGAAGGTGACCAGTGTTCGCCTTGATGTTGATCAGGTTCCTGCGGTACTTGCTGGGGTGTGATACATTGGATGAACGAAAAAGCAGGGGTGTAGAGAATGCATACTTTGCGATCCTTGCGCCGTGCTTGACGGCCATCGCATGGTCGAAGACACCGTGGGGAGTGGTGAGCGAGCCACGCTTGTGGAGAGGGATGTTCACGCCGAGAGGGCGGGCCTCGGGAATAGGAGTGGCTTGAGAGAGTAGAGCGAGGGAAGAGCGGGGAGAATGGCGTTGAAAAACATGAATGGTACAGCGACGAGCAGCGAATGGGAGGGCAGAGGGCGGAAATGACCGTGCCCGCTGTTTCGAAACAGCGCGGGCGGGCCTTATACGGCCGGAAGGCTGCGGGGAAGGCGAGCTGATTCGAGGCGAGCATTGGGGACATGGATAGATGCGCATCGAGATCGGACATGTCGGGAACTAGCGCCACTAGGCAAGTCCGCCACAACAACCGCGTGGTGAGGTAGTGATACAACATTCTGGCCGGTTATGAGCTAGAGAATACTTGCGCTACTATCGTCTACTCGAGGGGCTCAACGGCTGTTTTCAGCGGTAGAAGGAGGAGCGAGCGTGAGTTTGCCATTCAGCTTTAAACACAGCACAGCTCACCTGGCACAGCAGCGATCATGTATGACAGGGCGCAAGTAGCCATATCGAATGCGCGTACGGACGATGTCGCAGAACATAGAAGCCTCCGTGTGAGCATCTAGGCCCTGACGGGACTGCCGGTAAGTGCTTACATTGAGTGACAGGCACAATATCAGTCCCGTTCTAACTTCTGACAGCCTGCATGAAGGCCTGGTTAAAATACTGAGGGGCTGGCCTCCGGAGTCGGGTTTGACGGAGTGGGACTGTGATCCAAATTATCGCATGAGTCGAAATGCGAAGGGATTGAAAACCACGCAAAGGAGACTCCAGGAGACGAGTGTGAGCTCAACACAACGACAGTTGCATTGAAGTTGAAGGCGCCACTGAGACGCCAACGTAAGCAGGCCATAAACAGTAGACGCCGGTGCCACGGTAAGCATGTCACGTGAAAAGTCTTGTGATGAAGTGTTTGTCCGAATTACCAATTCAGCCGAAGTTGGACTCGAGCGCTCCAACACCCATCAGACCTTGACCCTATACCACCACCACCTGCTTAGACGCCCGCTGCGAGGACCGTGACCCACGAGCAGATTCTCTTCCCATCCCACCCCTCTTCCCCTCCCAAGGGTCAAGATGCCCCCGGACCGCACCCAAGACGTCCCAGGAAGCAGCAGGCCAAGTCCGCTCGACCGCGACCGCCCACGGTCGCGCGCCGGCTCCGCCACGTCACAGAGCCCGAGCCCCCAGCGGCGCGCTCTGTCTCTCCCTCCCGGTCGTGACACCTGAACTGTCGACAGACGACACGACAACCCACCCGACGACAACATGGAACAGGACGGAATGTCGCTCGACATGGGCGACGACGATGACACCATCAGGGTCCCCATACCCAACTCCGACCGCAACCTCGGCATGGACACCGACAGCCAAGGCCCGCCACCAAGCCCCGCACCTGGCCCCGACTACGTCGTGCGCTCACGAGCGCTCTGCATCGATGCAAGAGATGAATGGGCGACACTAGTCCCCACCATGGGTGACTCAATAGCCGACATAACGAACCTCTTCCAGACTGCAGCTGAAGAGCTATGCCAACACCGGGACGCACCAAACTATCTCGCATCAATATACAACCCGGTCGCCAACGCAGTGTCCCAACTCAACAGGGCCCTGTACGACCTATTCACCGTGGAACTCGGGCTCGACATGAGACACATCCCGATGGCCCTCAAGCCGGGACCGTGCGCGAAGCAGCACCCACCCACACCTGCCCCGCCCATGGAGGACTGGGAGAATGACTCGATGGAGTTCGACCCAGAGTCAGACTACGACATGGACCGAGGCGACGGATCGCGCGGCGGTACGTCTGCCTCCATCACGCCCCTCTCGTCCCGAGCGTCGTCTCGCACGGGCATGCACGCTAAGCCGCACACCCACGACTCCGAGGACCTCGAAGACGGTTGGGTCAAGACGGACAACACCAAGAACAAGAAGAAGTACAAGGGCAAAGGCAAGGCGAAGGCCCCACCCACGCCGGGACCCGAAGTGAACCGCGAGGTGCCGCGCAAGCGCGGCCGCTCTGACACCACCACCACGAATGCCACGACCGACTACTCGCGCGGCCGCAGCGCGCACCAGTCGGGCCCGGACCCCGACACAGTGATGCGACTCCTGCAGCGCTACCCCAACATGCCATTTGACCAACTGTGCGACCTCTCCGACGCCATGGCTGGCCCATCTGGCCAGGGCACCCACACGAACAGTGCGCACGATGCGCCACAGGAACTCTGGCGGCACACAACACGCCCACCCACACCCGCTCGGCCTGCGCAGCGCGCGCAGACACCCATCGAGCGTGCCCAATCGAAGCGGAGGCGCGTGAAAGCGCCCCAAGGTGCGTCGCGCCGCCTGTACGCGAGGTTCACACATCCGCCACCAGCCGAACGGCGAGTAGGGTCGCTTGCCGCGATTGAGGCCATCAACAATGCTCTCCGCGCGGCGCCCAACGCTGTGCTGCAAGACACCCGGGCCACCGGTATGGAGTGGACTGGGAATGGACAAATGTACGTCCAGTTCTATCGCCCTCCACCGGAGGGTGTAGACACCATCCTTCGCGACCTCATTGTCGCCAACCAGTGGGGCGGGGATCCCATGGACCGGACCTCGGTGACGGTGGAGCGCTTCCGCTACACCTCCCAGCTCTGCTTCCGTGGGGTCCCCTGCATCAACCTGGACGGCTCCCCTGCCAACGCCGCCACGACCGCTGCAATCGCGCTGCGAAACTCGCCCGAGTGGCAGCCCCACCTCCCTCTGCGCAGGGCAAACTTCATGCCCCCTCGCCAAGGAGCCTCGACCTCGACGCTCATCGTCGAAATCACTGACACATCCTCGCGCTCACACCAGCGGGACCTGGAAGGCACGCAAGTTCCGTTTGCCAACGGTATGCGCGCAGCGCAAGTACTCGACGACCGCCGGCAGGTACCACACTGCGGGCTGTGCCAGCGCTGGGGGCACCCACGCGTTCGGTGCACGGCTCCGTCGGCAGTGTGTGAACACTGCGGTGGAGACCACGACATCCGTCACCACTGCGCAATCGCGGTGTGTTGTCGTGGATCCGGCAATGCGGTGTGCCCGCACCCCCCGAAGTGCGTCAACTGTGGCCAGTCGCACCGCGCCAACGCGCGCGAGTGCCCGTACTACGTGCACCGGAACGACTTCGGATGGCACGAGAACAATCGACCGGCACGTGCCCGCCACGGAGCCCCCCAGCAGACCGCCAATGCGGCGTCCGGCAACGGCACGCACGCAAGTGGCCCATCGGTGCGTTTTGCGCCACGTGTTGAGGTCATCCCCATTGACTGGCATACGTCCCCCATGCAGCAGCAGCAGCGCGTGCGGAGCGCGAAGAGCAGCAGCAGCAGGACGCAGGGAGGGCAGGACGAGAGGCAGTACCGTGATCGACGTGGTGACGACGCGGGGGCCCCCGGAGGCTTGGGACTGACCGGGTGGGAGTGATGATGCGCCCACTACGTATTGTATCGCACAACGTGAATCACACACCCGCGCAAACGCACTTTGTGCTGGAGAGCCTGGTCGGAGAGTGTGACATCCTGTTGAGCACAGGTGATTTCCCTGGTGCATCCGTTGCGATAGCCTATCGGCAGCTACGGATGCATCTGGACGGATCTGGCGATCCGCGCCCGTGGAGACGCGCCTCGGTGGGCGGCAAGGACGCGTGGCTGTGATGCACGCCACGCGTCCCTCCCACCGTCCTTGCTCTCCTCCCCGCCTCCTCTTCCTCCTCCTGCTCCGCCTCCACCGTCCAAGCAGACGATAGCGACTATACAGTCGTCCTTCGTCTGCTATTGGACTCCGGTGTCACCTGGTGACACCGTTCAACTCCCCTCATCCTCCTCCCTCGACCTCAACCTCAACCTCCATGCCGTCCTTCGCCCACTTTGCCGGCCGCGTCCACACAGGTCCACACCGCACGAGGACGTCCATCCGGACGTCCTCAGCATGGAGATTAGAATTAGGGGGTCGCGGCGATGTACCGCGGCCCTTGTTTTGGTGAGTCCCCCGCTCCGCCCTCCTGCACTCCCAATGCCCACCTCTCCTCTCCGGCTTCGCCCATCCGGCCTGCCGCCAGCCTTGACCTCCGTGTCCACCTCGCCCACCTCGCCGCTGCCCTCCTCCCCGTTGCCCACCTCCGCGCTGCTCTCCGCCCACCTTCGCGCTGCCCGCCTGCGCCCGCACACCCTCCTCCGCCTCCCGCACCTCCATGTCGCCCTCCTCCGCGTCTCGCCCGCCTCCACGCGGCCCTCCTCCTCAACGCGCGTCGCCCACCTCCGCGTCATCGCCCACCTCCATGTCGCCCGCGTCCGCGTCCGCGCCGCCTCCCGCCACCCGCATCTATGCGCCTCGCTAGGCTTCCCCCTCCTTCGCCTCGTCCCGGCCCCCCGCGTCCGCGCCCCTCCTCCTCCTCCGCGTCCTCCTCTTCCGCGTTGCCCGCCTCCTCCGGCTCGTCCACTTCCGCCCGCGCTGCCCTCCTCTGCCTCCGCCGACGTCACCTCCTCCGCCGGCGTCGCCTCCCCCGCCGGCGTCGTCTCCTCCGCTCGCGTCGCCCGCCCTTGTTGCTCTGCGCCTCCTCCCCCTTCGCACCGCACACCCCCGCTCGCGTCGCCCACCACCTACTCCGCCTCGTCCCAGCCCTCCGCGTCCCTCTCCTCCGCATCGCTTGCCTTCGCGTCGCCCGCCTCCGCGTCTCCCGCGTTCACGTCGCCCACGTCCTCCGCCTTGTCCCGAGGGGCATGGTATTACTTACTAGCACACTTATGTAGTAGTTTACTAATAAATATATTTTTATCACTAATCATATACAAGATGTGGTGTGAAGCAAAGAGGGAGGCGAGCTCACTGTCGGAGACAGCGAGCTCGGGTGGCGGCGCCTGAGGCGCCGGTGTCCGGACATCTGGGTGCGACACTGTCCCAAGGGTGCGCGAGCGCGCTTGGGGAAGGCGGTGTCGAGCGCAACCGGGCCGGCCGGCACCAGATGCATCCGCACCTGCTGATAGGCTGTCACAATGGATGCATCTGGCGAATCACTACTGTAGTCCTGTTGGTACAGGAGCCCTACTACGGGCCGATAAAGACAGTGGCGTCAAGCACAGACCCGGCAGGCGATGTGCTGACTGGCACGCAGGTACATGCAGCGTGGCAGCTTATTGAAACAAGTGAGTCTGCACGCGTGTGTGTGTATGTGAACAAGGAGCTGGGCGACCTCCGCCCCCAAGTATGCTCGCATATCGTGGCGCACCGGGACATCATCCTGGTGTCCCTCCGCATTGACAGGCAAGTGCACTACGTGATGAACGTCTACAATGACGAGCACTGCACAGCCCTGTCGTGGCTTCAGGATCATGCAGAACAGATCCCGCCGCTAGACCTCGTCGCTGGGGACTTCAACCTGCACTCAACACAGTGGGAGCCCGATGCACCGCACGAGAGCGCGCGCGCGGAGGAGCTGACAGGCCTGATGGCTGGGTGGGGCCTGTGCCTCGCAAACGCGAATGGCGCGCCAACACACCGCCCGCACAACACCGCGCTACGCAGCACAACACTGGACCTACTATGGGCCCCGGTGGATCGTGTGACGCGGGGAGAAGTCCAGGTCAGGATTGACCTGGAAGGCCGCAGCCTATCTGACCACGCACTCCTATGCGCGAGTTTTCCGGTGGGATGGTGGGAGAAGACCCTGCCAAAGAACATTAAACGGGGTTCGAAGGAGGAGAAGACCTTCATTGGTGACCTACGTGACGAAGTCGCGACAGTGCCTGCGCACACAGCCACGGTTGAGGAGCTCCAGCACACGTGCGACGGGATCCTGGCAGCCGTCCAGAGGGTGTGGGAGGAGCACGCAGTGCATCCAAAGATATCGTCGCGCTCCAAGCAATGGTGGAATGCCGAGTGCACGGCAACACGGGATGCGTTTCAAGCCACGCGCACGGACGAGAACCGCGCGGCGTTTAAGCGCGCCACCAAGGCCGCGAAGAACAAGTATTTTGATGACCGCATAGCGGATGCATGTGAGAAGGGCAAACGTGTCTGGGACGTGGTCGCATGGACCAAGCCAAGATCACTGCCCATGTACAAGTCTCTGGTGCACAACGGGAGGCCACTCGTGGAACCGGAGGAGTTCTGGGAGGCAGTAGATGCCACCTACAACTCCGCGGAGAGCAGACAGGTTGACGCAACCTTCCTGGACAACATGCCGCAGCAGGCTACACGCGATTGGCCACCGTTTGCGCTGCAGGAGCTGCGCGACGCGATAACAAAGGTATCAGGGCAATCCGCACCCGGAGAGGACCACCTCCGATGGCCGTACATCGCGGCACTGGTGAAACACGAGCAGTGCGCACAGCTGCTGCTCAGTGTCTTCAATGCGTGCATCGACCTCGCATACTGGCCAGCCCAGTTCAAGGAGGCAGTGTCAGTGATTATCCCGAAGCCGAAAAAGGATGACTACTCGCGCCTGAAGTCATACAGGCCGATCGTCCTGCTCAGCTGCCTCGGGAAGCTATGCGAAAAGATGATCACAGCGCGATTGCACTACGAAGGACAGCGCTGGGGCGCCTTCCACCCGGCGCAGTTCGGTGGAACCAAACAACACTCCACGGTGGATGCGGGACTGCTGCTAGTGCACCGCATCAGGCAGGGGTGGAGACGCGGACTCGACACGTCTGTGATAGCGTTCGATGTCGCACAGTTCTACCCATCCGTGAATCATGGAATGCTGCTTGGCATCCTACGGAAACAGGGGTTCAGCCCACGGCTGACAGGCTTCCTTGCTCACTATCTGAGCGGGCGACAGAACAGGTACAGATGGGACACCATGACGTCACCGCTGTTCAATGCGCGCGAGGTCGGGGTGGTACAGGGCTCGGCAATGTCCCCTCCCCTAGCAAACCTATATATTGCCCCAGTGGTACACCGGCTGTGCCCGGTCAACAGTGATCTCGGGGGTGGATACCCAACCCTCCAGTTCTTTGTAGATGACGGCCTGTGGGCTGTCACATCAAGCTCACTGCAGGCAAATGCAGCGATGTTAGTGGACCTCTACAAAACAACTGTAGTGGAATTCCGACGGGTCCATCAGGAAAACCCCAAAATGCGAATTAGCACTAACAGCGTGAAATTAGTCCTAATGACTCATCTAATCGGGCTAACAGAATTGGGGGATCTAGTCACAACTAATGCGTGATAGTTGGGTACTAGCAGTGCAGTCAATCATCTATTCTCAATAATTCTAGCAGCTCTCTCACTAATTGGCGTAATTCACTGGTATCTGATCTCCCACGTCACTAATTTGAACGTCACACAGATATATTGCAGCTAATTAGAGTAACATTGAAAGGACAACATAGGGGGCCATATGGACGACACCGTAGGCGCAACACACGAGCAGAACGGGCAACACGGGTGAGGTGGGCAATGTGGGGGCGACGGGGGCGGGGTGATGCAAGCAGGGGATGGAGTGGGTGACGCGGACACGGGCGACACGAGCCGGGCGAGGGCAAAGTGGATGACGCGCGGGCAATGAGATGTGAACAACGCGTGGGCGAGACAACGAGACGAGGGTGAACGCAAGCGTGGTGAGCGACATGCGGGCAGACAAGGGCGACGTGGTGACGCGAGGGCGAGACGGACGACGCAGGGTGAGATGTGGACGATGTGGGGACGACACAGACGTTGATGCAGGGCAGCGCAGGAGATACGGGTGACGTGGCGACGACACGTGGGCAACGCGGGTGTGGTGGGTGAGGAGAGCGACACGGGGGCGAACGCGGACAACGCGGGGGCGACGAGAGCGCAGTGGGTGATGGGTGAGGCAGATGAAGTTGGTGATACAGGCGACGCAAGGGCGAGACAAGGGCGACATAGGCTAGAGCAAGACGGGAAAAAGGAGGTGGGTGACTCCTGCGGCGAACGAGACAGAGACGGAATGAATACTCACCGAGAAAGACGGGCTGAGCGTCAGGCTGAACGTCGGCGTCACGGGCGGGAGCTTGCTTCCCGCTTATGCCGGCGCGACAGCGCTTGAATACACGTATCCTGTGAGTCCTCAGTCCTGGCTCGTAATCGACGGGATGAATATTGATAGGGGAGGTCTGTGCGTCGTGCCGCCGGTGACGCGGGCGAGGGGGGCGAGGTGGAAAAGCAGGTGAGAGGGCGAGGCGAACAAGGTGGGTGATGTGGGCGACACGGGAGATGCGGGCGCCGTAGGCAAGGTCGAGATGGGCGAGGTGAGTGATGCGGGCAAGGGCGAGACGGGCGAGACGGGCGAGAGCGAGACGGGCAAGACGGGCAAGACGGGCAAGACAAGGAGCAGGAGGCAAGGACGATGAGGGCGACGTGCCAGGCGCCAAACGCTGGAGTCCACGCGACGCGCGTCGATTCCCACGCGTCTGGAGCTGCCAGCACGTCCTTCCCTCCGTCCTCTCCACAGCTGGAACCTCGTCCTCCCCGTCCTCCACATCCAGGCCCCCTTTGTCCCCCAGGCCGTATTCTGCGCCCTTCGCCTCAACCTCCTGACCTCACAATGCGCGAGGATGTCTGTGGCTAGGCCCTGTCTCGGTGAGTCCCCCTCCATCTGCCTGTGCTTCCTGCCTTGCCCACCACCTCCCCAGGCCCCGCCCGAACCATCAACCCCGTCCCCACAACGAGCACGTCCCAACAGACATGCTCGGGATGCTCGTCCACCAATGTGGCCGTGGTGTGCCGGCATTGCCACCCGCCCGCCGCAACGCCGCTCGCCCACGCTTTCTCCGTGTGCAACCCTCGTGCACGGTCTCCTCATCTCGAGTAGGCCACGAAGGAGACGGAGGCCTGCGCCATGGCGGTCACGCGTGTGAAGGCTCGCATCCTCGGACAACAGGGTGTATGTGGAGGAGGGCATGCCCTCAGCACTCGGAGGTAAGCATTTCGTGTCGCCTGCCTTGAGCTCGCTGGCTCACGCGCACTCTCGCCCATGTCGCCTGCCTCGTCCCCATCACCCACTTTGCCCGCGTTGCGCATGTCTCTCCCACGCCGGCCACATCTCCCACGTCGCGCACGTTGCGCGTCTCATCCACCACGCCCACCTTGCCTGCTTCACCCGCGTCTTTCCCGTCTCGCCCTCATGCACCTCACCATTTCCTCGCGTCACCCATCTTCCCCGTCTCAAGCCCACATCACCTACCTCGCCAGCCTCGCACCGCGTCACCCATTCCATACACGTCTCGCGCCCGCGTTGCCACGTCGCCTGCGTTTACCTGTGGGTCGCCTACGTCTCGCCCCTGCGTCAACGTCTGCGTCAACGTCTACGTCAACGACCCCGCCAGCCCTGCGTTGACCTCTGCCTGCGTCAATGTCTGCGTCTCTCACGTCTCGCCCTGCGTTGCTCAACGCCTCGCCCGTATCGCTGTAGCATAGCATGTGTATCTTTACGTTCAAATAGATTTGATTGAACTCTCCAACTGTGTGACTACCCGTGTGCTTATTGTCTCTAAAGTCCGTCTAATTGCGTGTCTAAGGGTGATAATCACCCCTAACGTCTGCCCAATGTGTGTCTAATTCCCCACTACATGCCCAAATACCCGGAGTAACGCATGGCTAATTGTCGAGCTATTCTGTCTAAAGGTTCGAATTCGCAGGGGACCGATCTAATTAGACACTAATCGATAATCCGCACTAATGGCTGATAATCAACTAAATTAGTGCCATTAGTGCGAATTCGCACTTTGGGGTTTTCCTGATGTCGGACTAGTGGTAGAGCACGAGAAGACAGAAGCGTGCCACTTTTCGCACAAACCAGCCCGAAACGACCCAGTGCTGGACCTGGGAGAGGCGCCATTCACAGGCAATACACCTCTCAAACCGGTAGAGGTGCTGCGGCACCTCGGATTCTACCTGGACCGACGGTTGACGTTCCGTCAACATGTGCGATACTATGGGTCCCGTGCTGCGAGCACAGCACAGTCCATGCTCATGCTCGGGAATTCAGTGAAGGGCTTGCAGCCAAAACAACGGCGCACACTATACGTGATGTGCATGCTCCCCTGATGACATACGGCTGCCAGCTCTGGTACCGCAAGTCCGGGTGAAGACGCACCTCAAATTTCTCCGGAAGGCTCAGAATGCGGCCATCCGGTGGATCACGGGAGCATTCCGAACGTCACCGATCGGCGGCATGGAGGTACTGGCTGGGCTACCACCGGTCCGGCTTCACATTGAGAAGCTCGTCCGCCGCGGCGGGATACGAGTCAATACACTCGCGCAGTCGCACCCCCTAGTGGCAGCGATGCCCGAGCCGTGGACAACCAACGACATGGCGGCGGCAGTGGCGTTCCCACTGGGGGAGAGAGCCCCGCAGGCGGAAACGTCCCCGCTACGAGTCATAGAGGAGATTGGGCAAACGTGCACGGAGCGGGCCAACCCGCTTCATCAGGAGGCGCGACCAGGAGCGCGCCTGGTGGACACCCACGGCGAACGCCTCACGTGGAATCTGGAGCACCCAAAGAAGGACTCCGATGCGCTTGAGGAGTGGGTGGAAAAGGAACTGACCCCCCGGCTGCGGGAGGCCATGAGTGACAGCCGCGCCGTGGTAGTGTTCTGCGACGGCGCGGTTTACCCCAAGCCCAAGTGTCGGTCTGGCGCTGCATTCCGCGCGTACCGGTCGAACAGGCTCCTCGTCAGTAAGGGCCGCGCGTGCGGACGCGCGGTGTCGTATGACGCGGAAATGATAGCAGGGGGTATGGGTATTGCGTTCGCCACCAAGCAGGTGTGCGAGACAATCCACATAGTAGCAGACAATGAGTCCGCGCTCAAGACCTTGCTGGATCCGACCCGACCGCACGGGCAACAGCTGGTCTCAGTGATCGCGTGCACCAACGCGCGCGAGTGGCTGGACAGGGATGCACGGCGACGCATCATCTTCCATTGGTGCCCATCGCACGTCGGGATCAAGTGGAACGAGGCGGTCGATGCGGACGCGAAAGCGGCTGCAAACTTGCCTCCAGAGCGCGAGCAATGCTCGGCGGCGTTCGCGCGCCATCTGTTGGCAGTACGGCTGAAGTCGGAGTGGCGGGAACAGTACCGCAACTCACGCCCATATGCGGGCCACGACTTTCTGCGATTGCGGGTGTTCGACCCGCCAAAACACACGACCAGCGCTGCGCTCGGGCTACAGTAGTGATTCGCCAGATGCATCCATTGTGACAGCCTATCAGCAGGTGCGGATGCATCTGGTGCCGGCCGGCCCGGTTGCGCTCGACACCGCCTTCCCCAAGCGCGCTCGCGCACCCTTGGGACAGTGTCGCACCCAGATGTCCGGACACCGGCGCCTCAGGCGCCGCCACCCGAGCTCGCTGTCTCCGACAGTGAGCTCGCCTCCCTCTTTGCTTCACACCACATCTTGTATATGATTAGTGATAAAAATATATTTATTAGTAAACTACTACATAAGTGTGCTAGTAAGTAATACCATGCCCTCGGGACAAGGCGGAGGACGTGGGCGACGTGAACGCGGGAGACGCGGAGGCGGGCGACGCGAAGGCAAGCGATGCGGAGGAGAGGGACGCGGAGGGCTGGGACGAGGCGGAGTAGGTGGTGGGCGACGCGAGCGGGGGTGTGCGGTGCGAAGGGGGAGGAGGCGCAGAGCAACAAGGGCGGGCGACGCGAGCGGAGGAGACGACGCCGGCGGGGGAGGCGACGCCGGCGGAGGAGGTGACGTCGGCGGAGGCAGAGGAGGGCAGCGCGGGCGGAAGTGGACGAGCCGGAGGAGGCGGGCAACGCGGAAGAGGAGGACGCGGAGGAGGAGGAGGGGCGCGGACGCGGGGGGCCGGGACGAGGCGAAGGAGGGGGAAGCCTAGCGAGGCGCATAGATGCGGGTGGCGGGAGGCGGCGCGGACGCGGACGCGGGCGACATGGAGGTGGGCGATGACGCGGAGGTGGGCGACGCGCGTTGAGGAGGAGGGCCGCGTGGAGGCGGGCGAGACGCGGAGGAGGGCGACATGGAGGTGCGGGAGGCGGAGGAGGGTGTGCGGGCGCAGGCGGGCAGCGCGAAGGTGGGCGGAGAGCAGCGCGGAGGTGGGCAACGGGGAGGAGGGCAGCGGCGAGGTGGGCGAGGTGGACACGGAGGTCAAGGCTGGCGGCAGGCCGGATGGGCGAAGCCGGAGAGGAGAGGTGGGCATTGGGAGTGCAGGAGGGCGGAGCGGGGACTCACCAAAACAAGGGCCGCGGTACATCGCCGCGACCCCCTAATTCTAATCTCCATGCTGAGGACGTCCGGATGGACGTCCTCGTGCGGTGTGGACCTGTGTGGACGCGGCCGGCAAAGTGGGCGAAGGACGGCATGGAGGTTGAGGTTGAGGTCGAGGGAGGAGGATGAGGGGAGTTGAACGGTGTCACCAGGTGACACCGGAGTCCAATAGCAGACGAAGGACGACTGTATAGTCGCTATCGTCTGCTTGGACGGTGGAGGCGGAGCAGGAGGAGGAAGAGGAGGCGGGGAGGAGAGCAAGGACGGTGGGAGGGACGCGTGGCGTGCATCACAGCCACGCGTCCTTGCCGCCCACCGAGGCGCGTCTCCACGGGCGCGGATCGCCAGATCCGTCCAGATGCATCCGTAGCTGCCGATAGGCTATCGCAACGGATGCACCAGGGAAATCACCTGTGCTCGCTCGGGGCGCACGGACACTCGCCTGCAGCGATGTCCCGGTTCTGCCGCGCGGTGCTCAACCATGCACCCATCGGATCCTTCCGAACACGATTCTTCAAGGGCGAACCTACAGAATGCCCAAGATGCCATGTGCTGCAAAGCCGCAGCCATGTGCTGCTCGAGTGCACGAGGTACGAGCGCTGGTGGCGCTGCGGGGGCGAGTTCGACTTCTTGCAGCGCCTCGAGGCGTACCAAGACCTCAACGCATTCATCACCGAGAACGATGGCGCGTTCACGTTTGCGGACGCGCCGTCCTAAAAAAGGGGGTGCGTGAAAACATACGCACTAAACAGAGAAGACGAGCGGGTAAAGCAAAACGTGCGCACGACGTGGAAAGACCGCACAGCGGCACAAGCGACAAGCACCCATAAACAAGGGTGCGATCAGCCCTTAGATGCAGGCCCACAGGCTGAGAACACTCGCCCACCCATGTAAAGAGCCGCACCTGTACTCCGTACGCGGGATATAAATGCTTGATATTAAAAAAAAAAAAAAAAAAAAAAAGAGCGCTCCAACACCTTCATCCCCAGACATTTACCCCACCTCAGGCCTACTGTCACGGAGCCATGTCAGAAGACGTGTGAGTTGGAGGAAATGCACGTTTGCTATGACTAGAGGCGCTGATGTCTGAGTGGCTTCTAGGGATCGGCTCGTCTGGGCGGAATAACAAACCGCGCTACGCGATGACTTCTAGGTTGGCTTCTTTGGTCTATGTCCTTCTACGGCGTGATCAGCAGAGCGTACATTTTTTGCGTTTTGCATGGTCAGCGCACACTCCGGTCACCGGAGCGAAGAAGATCCCCGTGGGACGCTGGCGTAGCTGGGCGCCGAGCGCGAGTACTTATCCAAGGTGCACCCACGTTGGAGGCATCGCTGAGAATCACCACCATGAATACCCCCCTCGTAGTGCTCGCCTTTGCGGTACCAGTCCTCTTGTACATCAGGTCTCTTGTGCGCTGGCAGACTCGCTCGAGTCGCGCGGGCTCCCACTGCCACCTGGTCCCCGCAGCCTTCCTCTCCTCGGCAACGTTGTCGGCATGCCTAAAGGGAAGCCATGGGTAGTATACCGAGACCTCTGCGCCAGCTACGGTGCGTAATCCTCGTACCGGAAAGGAATAGTCTGATCTCACGGAGACCACACAGGACCTGTCGTCCACCTCAATATCCTTGGACAATCGATCGTCGTTCTCGGAGACCCCCGTACGATCTCCGAGCTGCTCGAGAAGCGCTCCGCGCACTCCTCGGACCGGAAGCAGACGCCTCTCGTTGACTTGTGCGTCTCCGTACTACTCTGCGCATATCACCTGCGAAAACCCTCCCTCGTAGGATCGGCGCGTCGTGGAACTTCACCTGGATGGCGTACGGCACGCGCTGGCGGCGTCACCGCCGCGCGTTTTGGCAGTACTTCAATCAGAACGCCGTGCAATCGGCGCACGATACCCAGCGAGACGCCGCGCGGAGGTTCTTAGGCGCTGTGCTCGACGAGCCCGCGCGTGTGGAGGATCACGTGAAGTTGTACGTCTATTTGTGCCGCCCCCTCCGCACTCGCTCGTGGGGGCTGATACCGGGATTAGCACGTTCGCGGCGACAGTGCTAAAGGTGCTGTATGGGATCGAGGTCGAAGCGGGCGATCCGGACGGGTACGTCGCCGCGGTGGGCGCCGCCCTTGAAGGCGTCTCGCAGGGCATGGTCCCGGGCAGGTTTGCGGTCGAGTACTTGCCGTTCCTGAAGACGGCGCCAGCGTGGGTCCCTGGGTCGGGTGAACAACGCATGTTCAAGAAGTGGCAGGCGGCAGGAGACGTGTTGAAGCAGAAGCCGTTTGGGTTTGTGAAACGTGAGATGGTAAGTTCCTTCTTGGACGTCAGGGAAACCCCCAACTCCTAATTAGGACTATTTAGCACTAATTAGACCAATAGTCAGGAATAGTTGATTAGGTCTATTTAGAAGTCCCAAAAACTAATCTAGTCAAATAGACAGGGATAGTCATAGGTGTAGGCAAGCATTAGTTCATACATCTAGACATAGTAGGGCAGCTCATAAATAGTTCAGATTAGCGGACCAATATCAGGGACAGTCACACAGATAGAGAGGTAATGAGAACGAAATATATTGGCAATGACGACTAGACTACACAAAGTATTGTACAAGACAACCAGCTATTTACAGAGATCAGTGCGCACACGGGGAAGGCAGACGAGGCGGGCGAGGGGTAGACGGGCAGGATGGGAACAACGTGGGTGACGCGTGAATGGCGCATGCGAGGTAGACATGCAGCCAACATGGGAACGACGTGAGCGACTGGGCAGCCGACAAGACGTGGACGTGGGCGAGGTGGGTGGACGAAGAGGACGGGGGCGTGAGCCAAGTGGGTGGGGCGGGCAAGGTAGACGAATGACATCGGGGACTTGGGTGACGTGGGCGAGGCAGACGACGTGAGCGAGGTAAGAACGAAATAGGCAAGCGTCGCACGCCGCGTTCCTCCAGTCCCTCGGCGCGACGCACATCGTCGACCACGCACTCCCATCCCCGAGCTCCTCGCCGCGGTCTCCGCCGCCGCTTCGAGCGCGCCGGTGTCCTTCGCGTACGTCGCGATCAGGATGGAGGACACGCAGCGGCTCGCATACGCCGTGCTCGGCGACCGCGGCGGCTTCGTCTCGGTGATGCCGCGCGCGGGGCCCGAGGTCCTCGCGCCAGTGCAGAGGGAGGGCGACGGGAAGCCCGTCGCGCGGCCGTTCGCAAGCTTCCAGATGCCGCCGAATCAGGCACTGGGCGTCGGGGTGGACAAGCGGCTAACGGGGTGGCTCGCAGATGGGACAGTGAAGCCGAACTGGGGCGAGTGGACGAGAAGTCAGCACGTAGAAGAAGCGGAAAGAAAGTTAGAATGGCGGAGGGACGCACAGCGGGTGGGCCAGGAGCTGGGGACAGTAGAGCTGGCCGCCGGAGTAGGAGGAGCACGCGGACGAGGAGGTCGCGCCGACGACGGAGTACGCGCCAGGTGTCGAGCACTGCGAGCAGCTGCCCGCGCTTACGTGGTCGGAGTAAAAGCCGGAGCAGCTGTGAGTACACACGCACAGAGCACGGTCCATCGAAAAGAACGTACCAAGAGCAGCAGGCGGACGCACCCTCCAACGAGAACTGCCCCGCAGGGCAATCCTCGCACCGAGCCGCGCCGTCGCCTGGCTGGGATTACAGGTGGGTGTATCGACAACGCAGGAGCCCGAGTCGTAGTGGGCAAGCGGGCGATATACGAGACAGCGACAACGGCTGCACAGCATGGCCGCACCGGTGGAACGAGCTTCGTTGGGACGTGCTCGTGGTGGGGACAGGGTTCATGGTGCGGCCAGGGCCTGGCAAGGTGGTGGGCAAGATGGGGAGCGCAAGAGGGCAGAACGAGGGACTCACCAAGACAGCTCGTCGCGGCGGGCAAGGGGCGTGCTCGCGTGCTCCTCGAAGATGTTGCATCAGGACGAAAAGACGCGGAGGACAGGGAGGACGGGGAGAACGGGGAGGACGGGGAGAACAGGGAGGACGGGGAGAACGGGGAGGACAGAGAGGGTGCCAGCACAGACACGCTAGTAGCAGGCGCTGCCTCTGGAGGCGTGGGAATCAACGCGTGTCGCGTGCACTCCCGCCCTTGGCACTGCCAGCAGCGTCCTCGTCGTCCCCTTGACGTTGCCCTCGATCCCCTCCACCTGACTCCCGTCCTCGCCGCCCCGACGCCAACCCTTGCCCCGTCTTCTCCGATGCCGCGTACCGAGCCCAACTGCAGGGAGCACGACGTGCACTGACCCCTCTGCTCGAACTGCCCGCATCGCCATGTCGCCCACTTCGTCCGTCTCGCCTGCCTGGCCCGTCTCACCCGCCTCGTCCATCTCGTCTGTGTCGCCCACCTCGCTCGCGTTACCCCAGATCTCGCCTGTCTTGCACTGTCTTGCACCCGCGATCTCGCTCATGCCACCCACGTCCGTCGCCACCTCCGCGACGCCCGCATCTTGCCCCTCTGAGCCTACGTCTCGCACCTCGACCGCGTCCCCTGCGTTGACCGCGCGATTGCATCCCCTGTGTCACCCACCTCGCCCGCCTCGCCCGGCTTGTGCATCTGGCCCATCTTGCCCACCTCGCTCGTCTTGCCCTCGCCCGCCTCGCCCACACCCCGCCGTGTTGCCCCTTCGCCCTCGCCTGCCCTACTCACATCGCGCTTACCTGCGTTTGTCAATCCCGCCTCTCGCTCGTTGCTCGTCCCGCTCTCCTTGCTCGTCCCGCTCTCCTTGCCCGTCCCATCCGCCTCGCCCATCTCGCCCGCGTCGCACTCCCGTCTCGCGTCATCTATTTCACCCACTTCATCCTCGTCGCCTGCGTCTCACCCCTGCGTCGACATGTCACCCACGTCTCGCTCCTGTGTGACTGCGCGACCCGCCTCGTCTGCCCACGTTGTCTGCGTCCACGTCGCCCTCGCCCCCACCCACGTCGTGTTGTGTGTGTCCGTGCCGCCCTCCTTGTCTGTGTCGCCTCCCTTGCCCGCGTCTGCGCCCGCGTCCACGACCCGCCTCGCCCGCGTCTGCATCATCCATGACGCTTACCTCACCAACCTCGCTCTTGCCTGTGTCACCCGTCTCGCCCGAGTGGATGTGTTTAGTGTCTTTGTTCGTAGTCTACTGTGTACCTTGTAGTGTAATGAACACATATTTGCTTCTCCTTCACGTTTTTGTGATCTATTGATTGTGTTGGTAGTTCTGTGGGTCTCCGGAGATGCAGTAGTTAGTCACTGGTTAGACCCTGTGCTAGGTGTGTGCATTCCGACTAGACAGCAGTGTCCAGTGATAGGTGAAGTAATAGTTGCAGATAGATATATTATATGAGAAGCTCAAGCACTAGTATCCCTTTAGTACCTGTTAGAAGGGTCAAAACTCAGTAGTCCCATTAGTGAAGCGATAGCACTAATATTATACTTGATAGTACTAATTAGGATTTTGGGGTTTTCCTGATGGAGTCTTGGTGTACTACGCCACGCTCATCCGTGAGTTTGGAATAGGCGCGGGAGGAGGTCCGAACCTCTATTATTGGTCAGATGGTGCAAAAGATGGACGGAGAGAAGAACGGGTCGGTTGATTTGGGGGAAGAAGAGGACATCATTCAGAATATCGGAGCAGTGGCGTTTGAAGGTGAGCGAGGCGGAAGCGTGCGTTGTCCTTAGGGTATTCACAAGCTACACCCCACTTACAGGAGGAGCGGACACGGTGTGTGCTTTCGTCGTTACTTCCCACCACCCTCGTGCCGAGAAACGACTCCCCAGAGCTTCTCCACGATCCTCGGCATTCTCACCGCGCTCGCCCTCAACCCGGGGGTCGTTGCCAAAGCACACGCTGAACTCGATGCGGTAGTCGGTGCTTCTCGGTTCCCCGATTTCTCGGACCGGGTGGCTCTCGTGTACGTATCCGCGATAGTCCTCGAAGGTTTGCGATGGCACAATGTTGCGCCTCTTGGCGCACCGCACTACACGATGACAGACGATGAGCTGGACGGATTGTTCATCCCCGCCGGGACAATCGTCATAGCAAACACTTGGTATGCGTTTTAGAGCTATTTAGTCTCAGGCGAATGTGCTCACCATTTCTGTAGGGCTTGTCTGCACGATCCTGAGGCGTACCCCGACCCGGAACAATTCCGACCGGAGCGATTTATTAGCGACGGACAGCTGGACAAGAGCGTACGTGACCCCACGGCGTTTGCGTTCGGCTACGGGAGAAGGTCTGGCCGCGCTCTGCCCTCTTGTCAGCATATGCGCTGAACCGGTGATCGTACAGGATCTGTCCTGGGCGGCACTTCGCGGTCGACTCGATATTCATCAACATAGCATCCATTCTGCACGTCTTCGACGTCACTCCCCCGGTTGACGATAATGGAAGGCCGGTCAACGTTGTGTATGAGGCAACGGAGGGGATCATATCGTGCGCAGTTTTTCCCCCTCGACCTGTTCCGGACAGGATCGCTCATGCGAACATATAGCTATCCTGTAGACAGCCGATGCACCATCAAGCCCAGATCTGCCCAGGCCGAACGTCTCATACGATCACAGAACACGAAGGCGGAAGTATGATAGCCTAAGTAGCATCGTTTTCAGCTGATGTGCAGTTTTGTACGAGTGATGCCACTGGTGATCCGTCTCTCTCTTCGTCGCATCAAGGTTGGATCGCGTAAGCACTACTTCGAGCGCCCCATCAGGGAGAGGCCCTGCCATTCCAGGGGAGTTCCTAATATCCTGCGCGCGATGATCAGGCCTCAGGCTTGTCCACCACACCTGCTTCATCCCCAATAACACCGTGGGTTCCTTTACCAGCTTGATCAAGAACGCATAGCTCGCGCTCTCGTCCACGCAAATCGCCGTTGGCTTCGCTGGATGGTACGACCTTTGGATTGGGGAGTCAATGTAATTGAATTCGGCGTCTATAAAGTCCCTTCTTACACAAGTAGAGGTTGATGACGGGAGTGACGAGAATGAGACGACACCGTAAACATCGCTCTCCGGTTTACGTACCCCGTGTCCTCCCAGTGATGCACACCCTTCATCCGTGCTTCCGTCCCCCGTGAGCATCTCACGCCCACAAGCGGAGCTTCTCGGCCGGCACACCGTCCATGATGCGGCTCCGCCCTTCTCGAGCACCTTGCTGATCTCCGCAAGGTCCTCGGCGCTCAGCTCGACGTCCGCCGCAGCGATGTTCTCGAGGTGGCGCGTCGCCGACCTACGTCCGTTGTCAGTCGACCCGTCCGCTCAACGTTCCGCTCAAAAAAACACGCACGAAGTTCCGGGGATGGGCACCATGTGCGGCCCGAGGCAGAGCACCCACGCGAGCGCGAGCTGCGACGCGGTGACGTCCTTGCGCACGGCAACCGCGCCGAAGGCCTCCGCGATCTCGGCGTTGTGCGCGAAGGCCTCCTCCTGGAAGCGTGTCAGCTTCCGACGGTAGTCTCCGGCTGCCGGGTCCGTCAGCTGGGTGAGACGGCTGTATATTTGCGCGAGGAGAGACGTACCGGGGATGTCGTCGAGGCTCTTGATCGTGCCGGAGAGCAGGCCGCGGCGATCACGATCCCGAGCTCTTGCGCGGCGGCGATCACCTTCTTCGTCTCCTCCTCGTACGACCACGCACTGACTCGATCTCTACGACCGAGATCGGGTGAATCTGCTGTCTCCACCAGTCACGTCGTCAGCACTCCGACCCCGAGCCGCATCCCGGAGCACGTGGACGTAAGGCGTGGGCCTTGCGCAGCGTCGCGGCGCTGCACTCGGACATGCCGATGCGCGTGAAGTAGCACGGTTCCGAACGCTTCCTCGAACGTCACGTTTGTGGGCACGCGCGCCATCTGGAACAGGTCCATCTTCTTTCCGCCGGGCGCGAGCGTCGCCGCGATCGTCGTCACGCTGCGACTCAGGTTCTCAGGGCTGCGTGTGAGTTCAGTTGGCTCGATGTTGAACGTCGGACGGGTCGCGGGTGCTGGATGGAAAGGGGAGATAATCAGCCAACAACTTGAGAGTGCCGTGGTGGTCTGTGCGCACCTCATGTTCATCAGACCGTGCTGAAGGGTGTAGGGTGAGCGTTGGGCGGACCTGGTCGGAGGGTTATGAAAATTGCGGTTACTCACCCCAATGCGCCCAATCGTCACAGTGGTCTCGCCAAAGCCGAGCATGGCGGTCTTGGAAGCAGGCATTGGTGCTTATCGAGTAGTTGAGGTTGGGTTCGAAGGAAGAATTGAGCTTGGAGGGGAAGAGAGGTGAGGATGAGGCTCTGGAGCACCGCTGGGTCCCTTTATACTCCCCAGCGACCTATACCTCCCGTCCCATCCCAACCGCCTCGTTCGACGTCGTCCAGGCTGACTGAGAGACATGGCGCGTCGTCGCGGGGTTTCCGCAAACGCAGCGGGGTAGGTGGGTCGCCTGCAGGCTCCTACCCAGCCGACCTACAGCGTTCCCGTTCCCAATCCAAGAGCGGAACACGTGTTTAATATGTGTAGGAGGGGCTGTGTGCGGACGGGCGAGCCAAACCAGGAGATAGGGACGAGGACAAGGGCGGGTGGCAGTAGGTGACATTGGAAGGGGAGGGCGCTACAAGATTGATATGATGCGGGCTACTGAAAATGGATATGTCGGAAACCGCTGATGGGATATGTTACGCAGAGACATGCCTAATATATTCTTGAACGCGGGAAGGGAACGCTGTAGGACGGCTGGGGTCATTGGCCAGACGCCCGACTGCCGACGTTCCCACAGCCAGATCAGAAACTCGACATGAACGCGGAATATCCAACAAATGCTCGGCGCCTCGATGTCGCATAGCGTTCGGGTAAAAGGGACGCCGTGGCCGGGTCATGAGTGGTCACGCGCACTCTCTGAGGGTCACATAAGGCGTGCAGACTTCCAGCAAAAGTCGTGTAGAACATCTGGCACACCCGGGGTAGAGGGCGACGTGTTAGTCGGGGACTCGAGTCTGCATAGCACATCTATCTTATACCAGAAACACTCTGCACCAACTACTATGGATGATCCCACTTGCTTGCCTGAGATCCCCCTTGAACGACTTCTGGAAGCACTGCAACAGCGCATTCAAGATCCATTTGTCATCCCGCAGGTGCTCCGTTGGGCGTTGATGCTGGTCAGCACTCAATGCAAGGGAGAGCTCGTTGGGCTCACCTCGAAGGACTTCGGACTCCATTTCGACGCCAAAAGTGCAACAGAGGTTGAAAGGGTAGAACCAAGAAGACTTCGACATTAAGAAATTTGCGAAGAAGACTCAGGATATTGCACCTACCTGCTGGGCTCTCCAAAACACGGTACTCATCGCTGACGACAGCCTCGTTGTGTGCCGAGAGCGCTGGCGGGAACGAAAGGCTGCGGAGAAGCGTGCAAAGGTGCGAGCTTCGTCCGGGAGGGGCAATGCCAGCTGCGCAGTGTCGACGAGGAGTCTCCTGCGGAGAATCACCAGCCCCGAAATGAAAGTTTCACACCATGTACACATACGACAACTTCAACATTGGGATCAAGCACACGATCCTGACAGTCAAGATGGCCTTTTACACCTGACATTTGACACGCTTATCTCTTGGAGGAGACTGGGCTTGCACGTTTGAGTTGCCCCCACGATGAGTCGATGACGCGCGTCCTACGGCGTCTTTTTTGGATGTGACTATCTGGCGCGCACATATCCCTTTACCCGAACGCTATGCGACATCGAGGCGCCGAGCATTTGTTGGATATTCCGCGTTCATGTCGAGTTTCTGATCTGGCTGTGGGAACGTCGGCAGTCGGGCGTCTGGCCAATGACCCCAGCCGTCCTACAGCGTTCCCTTCCCGCGTTCAAGAATATATTAGGCATGTCTCTGCGTAACATATCCCATCAGCGGTTTCCGACATATCCATTTTCAGTAGCCCGCATCATATCAATCTTGTAGCGCCCTCCCCTTCCAATGTCACCTACTGCCACCCGCCCTTGTCCTCCTCACCAGCCCCTGTTCTCCCCATCTCATAGTTCCCGACGTACACGTATTGAACACGCGCCCCGCTCTCGGATTGGGAACGGGAACGCTGTAGGTCGGCTGGGTAGGAGCCTGCGTCTATCCCATCTACACCCTTTGCGAATCCGCACCGAGGACAGGCAGCAGACTACATGCGCCCGCATCTGGTCTGGAACAAAGTCCAGGTGCTCTGCCGGTCCGCCTCTCCTCATCCGCGACCGATCCCCATTCGCCACGTCCTCGCTCGAGCCTGAGTTGGACTCAATGCGCGTGCTCAAGCTCGCTTTCGAGCGCCGCATCCATGTACCAGACCGTTGTCGCACCGCGCCGCGCGGAACGCACGGCTCACAGACGCCACGTTCTCAGTGGGCTTTCGGCGGCCGTCGCGCCCTCGAACACAGTTCTCAACGGGGCGCATTCACCCTGCTGCGACCACCCTGTTGACCTCCCCCAGGCGTCGCTGCACGCGCCGGCCTTCGTCTTGCGCTCCACGCCGCTGCCCCAGCCCCCCTCCCGCAGTCCTCTGTCTGCAGACACGTACGTCCGTCGTTCGTCTTCTCTGTTGCGCTCTGTCGCCCACCCCGTCGCCCATCGCCTTTCAGGCCACGTCGTCTTGCTCCCCTCCCAGGCCCGGCTCTTATATCCTGCTTCACGCGCCCATGACGGCGCGTTCACGTCCGGCGCTCGCACTCGGCGCTCGGTCTTCCTCCACGACCCTGCACCAAGTTCCGCCGCCCGCCGCCCGCCGCGTACCCACATGCCCAGAGTGCTCCAGAACGGTCGTTGCTCTGTTCGTCTGCACGCCGAAGTGCAAAATCCCGCCCCACCCCCGGTTCAGCAGCTCGACATTGCCCGCCGAGTCCACATTGCGGAACGACCACTCACGCCCTCTCTCGTCCCCATCTCAATCCCTTCCCATCGTCCCTGGGTGCTCACCCATTACCTGTCTGTCGATCCAGTCTGTGCTCTCACCCCGCCGGACCATTTCCAACCGCTTCGAGGTGAGCACAGCACCCGGCACCAGATACTGTACCATTTCGACCCAAAGTTCATCGAAAAAGTTCACGGCCCTCCGTGACCGCGGACGCCCAAGTTCATCCTGTTCATAGCCCTCTTCCTCCACCAAAAACGCGACGAGCGCCCATGAAGCGCCCATGACCTTCCGTGGCGAAAATGTTCATGACCCTTCGTGGCGCGTAATATGAACTTTGGATCGAAATGGTACATTATCTTTGTTCACGTAACTTCCTCCTGCCTCGCTACAGCTCCCACACACGCCAATTAGCCACCCGTGATGCCAACACACCCGCCCCGCTCTCCGCGCACACGGTAAGTTTAGCAGACTGTATGCACACACATCTGGTCTCGAAGAAAGACCAGTTGCTCTGCTGGTCCGCACTTCCTCGTCAGCGAGCAACATAGCCCCGTTCGCCACGTCATCCCGACCATGCGCGCGAGCCCAAGTCGACCCTGGATATCCACGCTAATGCATATTCAAACCACGTTTCAGTTCTTGAACCTCGCGCAGACGAGCCGTACACGACGCCAGGCTCCATCCGTTTCAGGAGCTGCAAAGACCGAATGGGCTACTTTTGCGCGGCGCGAATGCGCTCAAACCTTGATCTGAACACCTCCGCTCGCGGCCCCGACCACCGCCGCTGTCCGCCATCGATCCAGACCCGACCCTGTCTCCCGAGCTGCCTGTGCAGCGTAACGAACGTCTCCCACGACTGCGCAAAGACTTTGTGGTGCGGCTTCAGACGTCTCTCTCATTGCGGTTCATCTCACCTTGCTCGCCCAGCAGATCAACTTCGCGCGTGCTCGAGCCGACCAGCGCATACATGTACTACACCGCAGAACGAAGATCTCATAGAGGACGATTGAACGGAGGCCCCGGCTGGCGTATGCCATCCCGACCTTGAGCGCGAGCAGTGTCGGTACGAGATCCACCAGAGTGCGTACTGTTCAAGCTCTAGAATCCAGCTTCGACGAGCCGTGTACGACGCCAGGCACATGCTTCATCCGTCCTCCCCCCGTAACATTCTCCGGGAGATGGCTTGAGGCTGCAGTCTCGGGAGCCGCCAGCACCGAATAGCCCCCGCGCCGACCGCCATCGACATGCGGCCCTCGGACAACGGAACATGTCATGGCATCACACCAAGGTCCTGACTGACCCGACCTGACCCGACCCTGTCTCCTGAGCTACCGGTGGCCCGCGACAACGCGTCTTCCGTGGTGTTTCGTGGCAAGTAGGGCTTCAGTCGGAGTCTCGCGCATAGTACTCAAGTCTCGTTTGAGCAGCGCATACATGTACCAGACAATCGTCATACCGCGCGGCGCCGGACCGAGAGCTCACGGAGGACAGCTGGATGGAGGCTCTGGGCGGTGTGAATATGAGTATGAAATCTTATTTTGACGAGGTGTAGCTCTCGTTTTCGACTTTCATGTGCGATTTCATTGCATCTGACCGCTTTTCCGCACTGACTTGCCCCAAACCAGCACCTCGTCACGCCCCCTCACCAGGCGCATGACGGACTCGTACGAATGTGTACGACACCGTGAACGATCGTCGTCACGTCTGTACTCTCATTGCCTGAACCCGCCCCTGAGGGCGCTCCCCACCACTTTCCGCCATGATGACGGCACACCCGTGCTTGATCCTCACCGCAAACGCAGCGTTCAAACTTTGACGGAGATCTTGGCACTTTTACGTTTCGCCTAACAGTGGGATTTCATTGCATTTTCGCACGTTTCGCGGTACTGACACCTCCGTGGCAGTGAAACCTCATGCCCATTAGGCTCGGATGTGCACTCACGGACCGCGGTACCGGCCACGACGCTTTCGCCGCCTCCATCGTCGTTGTTGTGTGCCCGGCACTCCAAGGGCTCCCGGAAGAAGGTGTCGTCCGCATAGCGGGCACGGACGCGTGTCGTCGCGATACCGAGCGCAACAAGCTTGCTTTCCGACCAGATGTGTGAGTTCATGGCATGCTGCCACGTCGTCGCGCGGGCCGCACGCGACGACCGCCGTCTCTGAAGCACGTCAGAAGACGCTTTGTCTCTGTCGCTGTGAGTGCCCTATCATCGCGCGTACGAGGCAAGTAATTGCTTGCTGATGCACCCCGGTTGTACGATCGCGTACCGCAACTGTACCAGCAATGCATATCTCGAACACAGTCGCATGCCCGTCTCGGTCGTGGGAGCGTGTGAGAGCGACGCAGAGCGCAAGTCACGCAATCGGTTCATATCGAGTGTGTCTCGTCTCGCTGCCGCCAGCGCTGCGCTCGCCGCTCGAACGGGCCCGTCGTCGACACGGACTATTGCAGCCAGCTACTCTCGCACTAGAAATCCCTCGCCGCCGCCGGTGCAGCACGGACCCCGCGTGCAGGATTCCAAATTCTGGCGGAACCACGCTGACGCCAAACGAACAGGGCAGCGCGCGTGCAGGGCCGTGCCGCCGTCCGACTCGTCTGCGACTGGATTGGCCGCGGCTTCCCGACTCCGTCCACCCTAAGAGCGCAGCCCGACGCCACGGCTCCGGTCGTGTGCGTTTGACTGTCGACGTGCCGGGTGTGTATTTACTCGTGATGTGCTCCTCCGTGCATGCTATGATCAAATGGACTGTTTCAGGAACTCTACGGTGCGCTCGTACAGCAAAGGCCACGACGCCCGTAGCTCACACATGCGGCTCGCCTCATCCTGTAGCATGGACACCGCCGCGTCGGAGCACTACCAGCGTCCGTTCGCGCACGGCGACCATCGTCTCTGAAACGTGTGCGGCGACAGTTTCTCGCTGCCGCTGTCTTTGTGCCAAGTGGCCCATCAAGACGCGTACCAGGCCAATGATTTCTGACTCTTGCTGATGAGCTCCGGTCCGTGCATGGATTGTGGAGTCGTGGGCCTCAGGGATACACCACCCTGTGATTCAAACGCATGAGGTGGGCGTGCGGGGGCGCCACCGACTGTGCACCCGTCTGCGTGAGAACGCCTGGAGGATGCGTCCGCTGCGCGCAAATGGGTTCTAGGTACGCGCACAAGCCGGTTGGTACCGGGTCGTACCTCGGGCGGGACGTCGATTTGCCCGTACGGCGCTCCGTCGAGCAAGTGATGGATTGTTGATGAAGTAGATCGGGCGGGCTGTGCATCGCCCAGGCGCGCCGCGACAAATTTGAAGCATGGCGCCAGGACGGACGCGCGTTGCGAGCGCAAGGGTTAGACGCATGGCATGGTTAATGAACCAGACGATGCGCTCACCCGTGCACCCGCCTCTGCGCCCCCGTCCAATCACTCCTCCCTGCTGGTACGTATTCCGGATACGATGAGCCCAGCGCGTTACTGACATGGAACAGGCTCACCTCACGATGTCCAACAAGCGACGCAAGACGGCCGGCGGTCCCGTAACCTACGCCAGACGCCAGTTCCAGGTGCGTGCGTGGCTGAGAGCGGCGTTGAACGACGGCCTCGGTGAGCAGATCCCTTGGTGCCCACATGCTTGTGTGTTGAAGCGACGTACTGCAGTGAAAGAATCGAAGATGCCCGGGGCCACGATGCGCTACACGGTGGACGACTTCTTGAAGCACATATTCAAGCGATGCCACTTGGTGCTTGAGGGGTGGCCACCGGACATCGTGTTCTGCAACCTGAGCGACGTCGGGGGCGGTCGGAACCTCGGACGTCTGAGGCACGCGTGGGTGCAGGGCGAGCTGCGCTTCGTGCCCGTCACGGACGAGCACAGGGCGGCAGCGGAGGCCGATCCGCTGTCTGTGGTGCCCGGCCGTCTGAACCGCGGATTCCGGAATCGTGCGGAGCGGAGCGACGTCGGAGAGAGGCACTACCGGCCAGTGACGGGAGCCGGGTACCTTCCGCGGCCGTCGCCGTCGCGGGCGGTGGTGACGCCGGAGATGGAGGCAGAGGTGGACGCGGAGGTGCACCGGGCGATGTGCTCAAAGCGGAAGCGGTGGCAGAGCCACGGGAATGAGTTGTCGGACGATCCGATTGACGAGTTAACGTCGGACGAGGAGGGGGAGCTGACGCCGGTAGTGGCGGCACGTTCGATGGAAAGTACTTGGCGGCGTCCGCAGTGGACGGTGGCTGCAAAGCGTCGGCGGCTGGACTTGCAGCTTAGCGGGTTGAACTAGAACATGCAGACTGTGTTAGCGTAGAGCAAACGTAATACGCGCGGGTGTTTGGTGCGGTAGTCATCATGGAAGGGCGCTTGCTGCAAAAGGTCCAAACCAGGCACTCGTCTCCGACGCAGCGCTCACTGTGACTTGCTGTGAGAGTCTCGGGTAAGGCCTGATTGTTTCAGGCGACCGTCGCCCAAGTACAACAGCACACGTACGGTCTCGCCCCAGGCTCCCCTCCGCATCCGAGTCTCCATGCAGGCTCGCCTTCTACCTCCATCGCCGTGTCTTTCCCTCCTCTCTTCCCCTGTCGACCTATGTTTGCCATCCCGCTTCGTCATCACCTGGTACGCAAGGTTGCCTTGAGCCTTGAGGGGACGTGTTTGTCGTGCAGTCAATCCATCGAGGCACGGACGCATCGACCAGACGGAGACACACCTGGAAGCGCGACCACGCGCTCTGGTCGCACACATGCACCTGGTACGTGTTCCGGTTCAAGACGTTCCGGTACGAGCAGCGATGCTGAGACACGATGGCGTGTGCTTCTGGTAGTCGTCTTTCTACAGCTTCTGGCGGTGCCGCGATCAGCACGCGAGACGCCCGGTACGAACCGTGATGACAGCCTCTGCGTGCACACACGCCCCAGTTCCTTTTTGGGACGAATAGCGCACTTGGAAGATTTACGGAGGCCCCCCCCCCTCCGTAGATTTCTGAGCGGCTAGAGATTTACGGACCTCCCTGCGACGTCGGAGTTCCAATCTGACACCCCGACCACTGCGGATCTGTCAGGCACGCGTCGATTTAGGGCTCTCTGCGCCCTAAATCGTCCGTAAATTCTTATGGATGTCTTTCCACTTACCGGCAGTCCCGTCAGGGCCTAGATGCTCGCACGGAGGCTTTTATGTTCTGCGACATCGTCCGTACGCGCATTCGATATGGCTACTTGCGCCCTGTCATACATGATCGCTGCTGTGCCAGGTGAGCTGTGCTGTGTTTAAAGCTGAATGGCAAACTCACGCTCGCTCCTCCTTCTACCGCTGAAAACAGCCGTCGAGCCCCTCGAGTAGACGATAGTAGCGCAAGTATTCTCTAGCTCATAACCGGCCAGAATGTTGTATCACTACCTCACCACGCGGTTGTTGTGGCGGACTTGCCTAGTGGCGCTAGTTCCCGACATGTCCGATCTCGATGCGCATCTATCCATGTCCCCAATGCTCGCCTCGAATCAGCTCGCCTTCCCCGCAGCCTTCCGGCCGTATAAGGCCCGCCCGCGCTGTTTCGAAACAGCGGGCACGGTCATTTCCGCCCTCTGCTCTCCCACTCGCTGCTCGTCGCTGTACCATTCATGTTTTTCAACGCCATTCTCCCCGCTCTTTCCCTCACTCTGCTCTCTCAAGCCACTCCTGTTCCCGAGGCCCGCCCTCTCGGCGTGAACATCCCTCTCCACAAGCGTGGCTCGCTCACCACTCCCCACGGTGTCTTCGACCATGCGATGGCCGTCAAGCATGGCGCAAGGATCGCAAAGTATGCATTCTCTACACCCCTGCTTTTTCGTTCATTCAATGTATCTACACCCCAGCAAGTACCGCAGGAACCTGATCAACATCAAGGCGAACACTGGTCACCTTCCCGACGGCGTCGAGTCGATCCCAGATTCCAAAGTCGCTGCCCATCCCCTCAAACGCGCCGGCGTTCCTCTCACGGACGAGGACCATGACGTTCAGTGGGCGGGAAAGGTCGCCATAGGCACGCCCTCGACCACGTTCCTAATCGATTTCGACACCGGCTCGTCGGACCTCTGGGTTCCGTCTTCTACATGCACCTCCTGCGGTTCCCACAAGAAGTACAACCCCGCAAGATCCTCCACAAGCTCGAAGAAGAGCGGCACCTTCGAGATCGGGTACGGCGATGGCTCCTCTGCGTCCGGCCCCATTTACACCGACACCGGTCAGCGTGCACCACGCATCCCAACGAAAAGTGCTAACGCCTCCGCACAGTGACCGTAGGCGGCATTAAGGCGACCGGCCAGTACTTCTCCGCTGTCACCACGGAGTCGTCTGAGTTCACAAGTGACGTCGTCGACGGCCTCATGGGTCTTGCCTTCCCGCAGCTGTCCAATCTTAAGCATGTGAGCGCCAGCGACTGACTCGTCCCCGGTCGCTCCTGACTCCGCTCCCGCCAGAAACCGTTCTTCAACACCGCGTTCTCCCAGGGCACCGCCAAGCAGAACGTCTTCGGCTTCAAGCTCGCCACGACCGGCTCCGAGCTCTACCTCGGCGGCACCAACTCCGCGCTCTACACCGGCGCGCTCGAGTACCACCCCGTCTCGCCCTCGTCCCTCGGCTTCTGGCAGATCACTGGCGCGAGCGCGTTCGCGAACGGCGCCCGCGTCGCCTCCGGCTTCCAGACCGTCATCGACTCGGGCACGACGATCATGTACGGGCCCCCGGCCGCCGTCAAGGCGTTCTACGCCGCCGTCCCGGGAGCGAAGGTCTTCGACGCCGCGAACGGGCTCTACCAGTACCCGTGCGCGCGCGCGCCGAGCGTGGCGTTCAGCTGGGGCCCCACCGGGAAGGCGTGGGCGGTCTCGAAAAACAACTTCAGCCTGGGAGTGACGAGGGCCGGGTCGACGTGGTGCGTGGGCGCGCTCGCGGGCCAGGACTTTGGGCTGGGCTCGAACGTGTGGCTTCTGGGCGACAGGTGCGTTGTCGACGTCGTCTGACAGGAATTCCTTCGGGTGTTGAGTTTGGGGCTCCCTCCAACAGCTTCATGAAGAACGTGTACACCGCGTTTTCGTTCGCTCGGAACTCCGTCGGGTTCGCTAAGCTTAAGTGAGGGAGGGATTGACGATTGGAGGATGGTGCGTTTATAGCGATTCAATAGGTTTTAGAGTGTCTACAAATTTTCTTCTTACGCGAGTACGAGTTCATGACGACTGTTGCGAGAATGAGACGACACTCGAAACATCGCTCTCCGTCGTCTTCTTCCGATTACCCCGTGTCCTCCCGGTGATCCACGCAATTCATCCGTACTTCCAGCCCCCCGCGAGCATCTCACGCCCACAAGCGGAGCTTCTCGGCCGGCACACCGTCCATGATGCGGCTCCCCTTGACGCCCTTCTCGAGAACCTTTCTGATCTCCGCGAGGTCCTCACCGGTCAGTTCGACGTCCGCCGCAGCGATGTTCCCGAGGTGGCGCGTCGCCGACCTACGTCCGTCGGTCGTCAGTCGACCCATTCGCTCAACGTTCCGCTCGAAAAGAACACGCACGAAGTTCCGTGGATGGGCACCATGTGCGGCCCGAGGCAGAGCACCCACGCGAGCGCGAGCTGCGACGCGGTGACGCCCTTGCGCACGGCGACCGCGCCGAAGGCCTCCGCGATCTCGGCGTTGTGCGCGAAGGCCTCCTCCTGGAAGCGCGTAAGCTTCCGGCGGTAGTCTCCGGCTACCGAGTTCGTAGGCGTCAACGGGGTGAGACAGCTACATGTGTGCGCGAGGAGACATACCGGGGATATCGTCGAGACTCTTGATCGTGCCGGAGAGCAGGCCGCGGCCGAGCGGACTGTGTCATCGGCGCGTTTTTCGGCCACACAGGGTGAGGAGAGACGCGGATGGGACATACGAGTACGATCCCGAGCTCTTGCGCGGCGGCGATCACCTTCTTCGTCTCGTCCTCGTACGACCACGCGCTGACCTCGATCTCGACGACCGAGACCGGGTGGATCTGCGGTCCCCGGCGACGTCGTCAGCACTCCGACCCCGAGCCGCATCCCGAAGCAAGTGGACGTACGGCGTGGGCCTTGCGCAGCGTCCCGGCGCTGCACTCGGACATGCCGATGTGCGTGAAGTAGCCCTCGGTCTTGAGCGCGACCAGGGTTCCGAACGCTTCCTCGAACGACACGTTTGTCGGCACGCGCGCCATCTGGAACAGGTCCATCTTCTTTCCGCCGGGCGCGAGCGTCGTCGTCGCGCTGCGACGCAGGTTCTCGGGGCTGCGTGTGAAGTCAGTCGGCTTGCTGTTGCAGAAGTTGAAATAAAAGGCAACACGCACGAGCCGTCGGCCTTGACCGAGTTGGGAAGCATGCCGCCCTTGACGGAGAGGAAGGAGCGGGGGGCGTACTCAGGGTACTTGGCGAAGAAGCGAGCGACGAGCTCGAGGTTGGCGATGCCGAAGCCATTGCCGTAGAATTCGCCTAGATGAAAGGGCGAGAGCTTCAGTAATGAAGACAACATTGGGGAGAGAGACGAACCGGTATTGAGGTGCATCTGGGCTCCCTCAGGCAAGGCGCCGATTCCGGCCTTGATCGCAGCGAAGGCGGTCTCGTCGGGAAGAATATCAGATGGGTCGCGGATGCTGGGTAGAAAGGGAAGAGAATCAGCCAACAACTTGAGAGTGCCGTGGTGGTCGTGCACACCTCATGTTCATCAGACCGTGCTGAAGGGTGTAGGGTGAGCGTTGGGCGGACCTGGGAGGGTTGTGGAATTTGCGGTTACTCACCCCAATGCGCCCAATCGTCACAGTGGTCTCTCCAAAGCCGAGCGTGGCGGTCTTGGAAGCAGGCATTGTTGCTTATCGAGTAGTTGAGGTTGGGTTCGAAGGAAGAATATGAACTTAGAGGGGAAGAGAGGTGAGGATGCTCTGGAGCACCACTGGGTCCCTTTATACTCCCCAGCGACCTATACCTCCCGTCCCATCTCAACCGTCTCATTCGACGAAGCGTGTAAGACGTTGGCTAAGGCGACCGTAACGGTTTCCCGCCAGCTCGTCCGTGCCAGCTCATGGCCTTGACGTGTTCGTCGCGGGCTTTCTGCGGGCGCAGCGGGGAATGTGGGTCCCGCTGCAGATGCGTTATAAGTGGGTCAAGCATGAAAGGCGGTGGAGAATGCGAAAGCACCGGTCGGACTCACGACAGATCGTAAAGACGCCGATCGAATACGCGACCGGAGCATGACGCGAAAGGGGCGGAGCTAAGCGGCGTTTGGACCGTGGCTGTCGGAGAACAAAAGTCGCGATACTCCGCGCAACCGTATCTGATAATGCAAAGGATGGTTCGTAAGTCCTCTGCGCTAATCAATAGTCCCATAGATGACCCAGGCTCGTACCTAGTAGCTTGATCGGTCTGTTCGAGTTGAGTGTCCCAGCGGCGGACGCCGAGTAGTGAGCGCGTTCCGCGGCGGCGCTGGGCAGTCTGGGGCCCAGTAAGCGCCCTATAACCCGCAATTTGACGCCATCCGCGACTCTCTTTCAGACCATTCCTCGCTCCATCCAGCAGTCTGCTCAGATTCATCTGCATGGGTCTGTATACTGCACCAGCCGAAATAATTGACTCCATCATCGATGCACTCGGTCGCCAGCTCGACATCCAAAGCCTCACAGCCTGCGCCTGTGTGGGCCCTCGATGGCTCCCCCGGGCTCGTTTTTACATCTGGAAAGAAGTGCATATATCCAGCCAGGACGCGCTGACTTCTATCTGTGACTCTCTCGAACGTTTTCCAGATCTCCGCCCACTAGTGCACGCCGTCTACGTCCATCAACCTCGACCTACCAGCCAAATGCACTACGACATGGAGTTTGATGCAGAAGGCCAGGATATAGACGTTCCGCAGTTTCACCCACACGTTCTCGCGGCTCCCTGTCTCCTCCTTCCCTACCTCCCACACATTCAGTCCTGGGGTCTCGATCTTCCCTTTACCAAAGCCGACTTCGACAATGTTTTTCTTGCTTCCCTCCAGTCCTACGTCTCAGTGAAGAAGCTCGTACTACACGGGCTCAGGTTCCTTTCTACTCCATTCCTATGCCAGCTCTCAAATGCATTTCCCTCTCTTGTTGAGCTTGTCTGGGAAGATTTCCATGGCTCGAACCCCGATCCGGACCCCTTCGATAACAATCCTCCGCGAATAAGCAAGCTGGAAAGACTGCGAGTAAGTGTAATTTCCACTTCTTCTGTTGTGTATGTGTCTCTCAACCGACCCAAACAGGTCGGAGGGTCCTTGATCAGCAAGACTGGGTCTCTACTTCGTTATCACTCTACGACGCTTGTGGACCTAACTGTTGGAAGCGGCACGTGGCCTTACCATCGTGAGGGTGGCTCCCAGTCTCGCATCGTTGTTTTACAGCTCACCAACATGCGTTTACACAGACTTCGATTGGGCTCAGATGAGCGCTCTACGAAAGATCAGCTTCATCGTCGACGTGTTTCCATTGGCTAGCGACATCTGCTTTTATCCGCTCAATAGGATGTTACGACAGGGAACGCCTCCATCACTGCGCACCTTGAATATCCTATGCTTGAGGAACTACTACACTCAAGTGGCTGCAGATCACGTCGATGAGCAAAGATGGCCACACCTTGCGGGGTTCATTGGGCTCGTACAGAAGCACAAGACGCTGGGGACCTTGGGGATCACATGCACGGTCGAAGATGCGAAGCAAAACCACATCGCGGGATGGACAACGTGTCTTGGGCGCACTTTCGTCCGCCTACGCGAGCTCGGTCTGCTCCGCATCGTCTTTGTGAGCACATGTACGTGCTACGTTGTTGACTCCATGCATTAGCATACTCATTTATCCCGTTATAGCCCCACGCACGGAAACTTGGTACGGCCACAGTCTCTTCACACGGAAATTGGCGGTAGCTCGAGACGGAAATCTCGCGGTAAGTTCCTCCTACAGCGAAGTGCTGCTGCCCACCCATCTATACACAAACGTGGAGAACATGATCATCTGGGACGTGGCATCCGCCAAACCCCTGATCGAACGCTGGTACACCCCATCCGTTGATCGACAAAATCTCTTCAAGGCTTGCTTCTCATCGTCGAGTCGTCGCCTTGCATACGTCACCGACAGTGGGGTGGATATTTTCTCGATAGAAGTCACGGAGGGTGGATATCGACGTGCAGTAGCCGTTGGTTCTATAGACCTCGAAATGCCTTCCGGACACACGGCCATCGATGCGGCATGCGCTTGGCTTCCGGACGACTCACAGCTCATCGTCGCCTCCAATTCCATCAAGGTCTGGGACACCCGTACATTGACATGCACTCGGGTTATATCCCCGGATACGGCTGCCGTTATTTCCCCCTCGAAGTTCACCCAGGATCGCTTCTCGGCCGGTATATCGATCTCCAATGACGGGAAATACCTTTTGTATCAAGTTCACCGCATCGATTACGACTTGAATGCCCGGACGAGATATGCAGAGACCGTGTCGACGGTCGACCTCGTCACAGGGTCCTTCGCTCGTCTCTTCACCGATATTCCCGCGGCACCCCCTCCGTCCGGCGCCCAGACTCTTTCCACCAACCACCCGGCCGTCCCCAGGACGCCCGCGACGTTCGCCGGCCCCGAGGTGCTCATGGTCCACGGCCCGCAGCTCCTCGCCACCCGCATCCACCCCCGGGCCCGCCCGCGACCCACCCGACCCGCGCGCTCCTCTCCGCTCTCCACCAGAGCCCCGGCATCGGCCGCCCGGTCCGACGCCTGCTCTCGCGCGACGGCGCGCGGCTGCTCGAGATCGACGTCGCGTCCTCGCACGCGCGCCTCGCCGTGCGCGACCTCCGCGCGGGGGGCGCCGTCGTGGCCGCTGTGGAGCTGGGCCGGGAGGCGGCGGGGACGGTGGTGGAGGCGTCGCCGGACCTGCGCGCCGTCGCCGTCGCGCAGCCAGAGGCGGGCGGGTGGGGGCGGATGGCGGTGTGGTGCGTGGACGAGGGTGGGGGTGCGATGCACTGGGTGCGCGGGCGCGACGGGAGGCGCGCGTGGGGGAGCGCGGCGTTCTCGGAGGACGGGGAGGTGGTCGCGTTTGGGTGGGGGGACGGGACGGTGTCGGTCCATCGCGTGCGGGCGCTCGTGACCGGTGCGGGTGTGTAGAGGGGGCGGACGAGGTGCTGGATTTTGGTGTTATGGTGTGTCCCGCCTGTCTGATTATGAGCTTCCAGTGCCGCTGATTACTGTACGTGGCTTATAGTCCCGCATCCACCTTCCCTCTTCCGCACGCGATTGCCTCAGGCTTCCTCGCCACCCTCTCTCACCCTCTCCCTGCCTGTACTGCGAGCCAACAAGGATGGCACTCGTATCCCACCGTCTTTACTCGACCACACCACCTGTATTCCGCCTAACCGACTTCCTCCCGTCCGCGTCCGCTCGACGACGCCCGCGACCATAACACTTGGCGCGTGCAGGGAATATTGTGGTGGATGACCCGACCCGTCAGGCCACAGTATACGTGGATGCAGCAGAGCCGACACAATTAGAGGACGCGTATGGATGGAATTAAGCGATGTTTTGCCACATACGGCTGCCGAACGGTCGGGCTTTAAATACTCACATGGAGTCCGCAGGCTCGCACACAAAGATACCGGCCGTGATTTGTCCATGAAGGCCACCACTCAAGCTTGCAAGAACCGGTCCATGGGAGGATAGCATATAATTCGTGCATACAGTTGGTTTAACAAAGATGGGCCCCTCGCGCCCGTAAATCAAGCATACAGCCTGTTCGAGCAGAGCTACGCGTGCGGGTCCGTTCGCCTGCAGACGCGCCTCGGCAACGTATGTTCCGGGTTTCCGACAGCGCGTACATACCCGACAAGAGACGCTGCAGGCGAAACGCGCCCCTGTTGCACGGCTAGCCGAGGGGCACATCGTTATGAAAACAGCGGTAATTGGACGGCGATAGCCTGATATACACGAGACCGTACAAGCAGTGGGACTGCACCTACGCCCGATCATGGAGTGCGAATGTGAGTTACAAAAGATGCTTGAAAAGAGAGCCTCTTCGCAGTAACTTTGTGGTCCACGATCCCATTGCTCGCGCCTGCGGAGCTTGAACCTGGCAGCTGATCAGAAGCGGAACTCGAGCTTCGGAGCTCCGCCCGTAGGTAGCTACAACTCCATTCCCGGGCGCAGTGCTCCAGCGTTATCAGGGCTCCGGACCCGGCCGGCGAGGTGTCTTTGTCTTGCCGCTGCCATCGGGCCGTGCGGTAGTATAGACTGGGTATCTAAGCGCCCACCTTCGCAGGGTCTGCGTTCCAGTCAGGCTTTTTGCTCGCCGTCAACGCGCCTGCTCTTGCATCCGCATCACATGCGACGCACTAGAGACTAGCGTATCGGAAGTTCGGAACAACGGTAGGGAGGCCCCGCGGTGCGTGCGCTGCAAGCTGCTGCCCCCGTTTGATGGCCGGAGCCCACATCGCGGTGCGCACCGCGCGTAGAGCCTGTGGATCTGCGCTCTGATGCGCTCTGCAGAATCGGGAAGGGCGAAGGAGAGCCCGGCCATCATACGCCCGTGACGGCCGCGGTGTGGTCTGCGTTCCGGCCGCAGAAGAAGAAGCTGGCGTGGCGCCATCACGGTGGGCGGCGTGGGAGGGTGGTGGTGTCCACCGTCTTGTTGGGGAAAGTTCGAGACTAGCGAGCGGCTGCCAGAAGCTTGGGACGAACAAAAGGCGCAGAAGAGGATCTGTTGCGGAATGGGCGGGACTGGAGTCGGGGTCCTGGTGGGATGCGTTAGGACGCCGGTGTCCGGGCTCGATGCTCTAGGATGCTCTGGGCCGCGGAGACCAATCGATCAAGAGCGCGCTCCGAATGTCCAGGGGTAAGTATCGAGTCGTGGGATCGGACACACGTACCGTGCGCGTACGACATACACGAAGCATTTGGTTGGACGGCACCCAGGCCCGGGAAGGGTGGTCGGCCGCCGTTGTACGTCCTGCGGTCCTGATGGGAGAGCGAATTGGGAGGGACGATGAGTCGCTTTTCCCGGTTTGTGTGAGGCTGTGGATCTGTTACGAGAGCTTGGTCGGCTTTACAGTTCGGCGATCCACAGGCGCGAGGGTCCAGTCAGGAAACGAAGCAAATGCCGGCTGAACGACATCTCCTCGGTCGCCTCGTGCAAGGGATCCCAAGCGTCTCACGTGGGGGTCCGTGCGCTGAGAGGCACGACGAAGAGGTTCGACGAAGATCGTCATTGTCCCAGCCAAGGCACCGCAGTGTTACCGACCGGCAATACATTCCCACCGCATTGATCGCCGGGCGGACGGGCGCTTCAGCCTGCCCAGCTTTTCAATTTTGGCTCTGTGCGCGCAACCTACGTGGTAAGTCGAGTGGATCACGTTGGAGAGGACCCCGACGTGCATCGGAGACGCGTTTGAGACGCACAGGGCAGATGGAAGGCTGGGATCACGCAGACAAGACGCTTGATGGGATGATATCCGATGCTTTGAGGAGCAAGACGGGCATCCCGGGGCTCGCGCGTCTTGTCAGGCGTCAGCCCGTCAGCCGTTGCCACCTCTGCCCTGCCCGCGGCTGCTTCCCTTCCCTCCCTCGCGTTGCGCAGGGTCCCTCCCCGCGGGGGAAGTGAGGGGAAGCGACGCTCACACCCTAGCCCATTGTGGAACTCTTCTGGACCGCGCAAGCCCCCAGCTGCCCGCTGGCGCGTGAAAGCGGAATGAACGTCTGAGCGAGTTATTTATACATACGCCATCTACGCTATGAAATACAGCGCAGACCGCAGCGCGCGAGCGACCTGAGATTTGAATGGGCGCGCCCGTCGCGCGGCTCGCCTGGAGCCTCAGCTTGACAGCGCGATCGCACTAGAGTCGTGCTCGATGGTATGTACAGCTCCCGCGGCCGCGCTAGCCCTCCGGGGGCAAGACGCCTCGTCATCCACCGTGCGTGGCGGGCCGTCGAGCCCTGCGCGCCTACAGCGGTTCCGGGGTCCGGCCCTCGCGCGACCTCAGCGCGCATCCTGAACCACGCCTGGATGACCTTCTCTTTTGTTGGGGCGGGAGGGCGTATATGCCTCGCTTAAAGGATGTCCGCGAACGTGCAGCGGGGGGGACCGTCGAGGGGGCATCAGGCTGAAGTTCGAGGTGCCTCGGGCGCCTGTGCAATGTGCGCGATTGCATTCTTAGCAGCAGGGTCCTTCGGTCATCTCGCTGACGGCGACGGCGACGGGACCTGATTGAAGACGCGCATGTGCCGGCGGCACCAGGCCCGCGGCCCCTCCTTCCGTTCTCCTGGGCACATGGGCGAGTTACCGTGGATTCGCCGTGGTGTCGACCGCCTTCTCTTCGCTCTCCATGGTGGGGTTTGACGGTGAGGGTGGGCGCGTCGCCGACCACCCGGACAGCAAGGCGTTACCTGCGCCGCCGGCGACATATCTGCTAACCGCGAAGAATAGTGGATTGGCAGGCGTGTGGAGGAGGAGCGGCGCAGCCGTATGTCAGCCAACGGGCCTAGCGGTGCTTCGTACTAGTGCAAGACGGGCGGCCTCTGCAGCTGGCAGACAGTGACGGCCGTGTGTAGTGCGTGGTGAGCGCCGGGCCTTGTACACGGAAGAGCCAGCGATAAGGGGTGCGTCCGCAGGCCTGCTTCGCCGTTCTGGGAAGGAACACATCGCACGGCCCAAGCGCAGTGACGTCCTGCGATGATGCCAGCCCGGTCCAGAGCTTGGCGGACGGGGCGTGTGTATCACGCGGCGGGGTGTACATACGACCGTTCTCCCGCGTGGACCTGTGTGTCCTGGAAGAAGACGCGAGACGGGCACCCAGTCCTCCATCCCAGGGAGAGCATACACGAGGACACGTCACCGGTCAAAGCCTATCGGGCGCAGGAGGAGTATGATTGCTGAAAGCGGCGCACTGTGCTCCGTACTCTGCGCAGACGACAAAAATGCGACAAAAATGCGGACGACAATTTGACGGACTGGCAAAGCGGAATGGAACACGCACTCGATGTCAAAGTAGCCACTGCGACCTGCAGGGGGTGGTGGCTGATAGCCGCATGGCGAACTCGGCAAGGACGTTCACGTTCGACAAGACGGATTCGTCGATGGGCGAGGTTCTCCCGAGAGCCTCTGGGCATGCGGCGGACAGCCAGGTGCATGAATGGGATCGCCATGTATGTACCAGGCGGCGGCAACGTTGCAGCGGTGCAGTGCTCCCACTGCGTTGTTGCTTCCTCGTGTCCTGCCACCAGGGCTCGCGGGAGGGGGCGAGTTCGGGGTGGTGATGCTTCCAGATTCCTGGCAGAGAGACGACGAGGCCTCCATTGTACGTTGCAAGAGTGTTGAGCGTTTAACGTTGAAACTTCGGTGGCCCTCCTCTTCCCGGCGAACCTCTTCCCGGAAGTGAGGAGATGGCGATAAGTAAGGTCGTCGACGCCGTTGTTGCGGGCAGCTGCCAAAATCGCTTGGGGGACGCTGATTGCGCGTTGCCTTACACGGTCGTGTCTACGCACGCTCCCTCGTCCCTGCGGCGGCTGACCTTGCGCATATATTGGCGCGCGCGGGACGGCTCAGCTGGTCGTGTGTGAGCGCGGGCGTGTCTTCAGATGCCGTGCGTGCCCACGCCAGGCTAGAGTCGACAAAGGCCTATCCGACGGCGCCAGTACTGAGTATGCGCATGGGTGCGAGCGTGCTGGACGTTCGACCGCTCGAGCGAGGGCGGGGCAGGGTGGGTGGCGGTGAGCCGGTTCATTTTGCTGGAGGCGGCAGACGGGCGGGTTGCCGGTGGGTGCCCGGGGGCCTGATCTGGAAGAAGCAAGATCGGCTGGCAGTGGCTGCCCGGCGCGTCTCTCTTCCCGCGCCCATCCTCTCTCTCCTCCTCCTCCCACCACCTTCACGGCTCGCTTCCCCCGCGCCGTCGCTCCTCTTCTTCTCGTCAGTTCCTTACGCTTCGCGCTTTCCGCTTGGACGCGCCTCGTGCGGAGGTCTTCGACAGGATGGAACATTCGCCTAGCCTCGACCCCGAGCTGCTCACCCCCATTCACTCGCCAGTCGCCCACATGCACTTCCCCTCCTCCTCCTCCGCCCCCACCATGTCCGCTCACCACGCCGAGTCCTCCACCTCCAACGGCTCCTCCGGCCAACCCAAGTTCTCAAACGGACCGTGCGTATCCGGTCCCTCTCACCTCAGTTGCGCTATAATCCTCCCTCCAGACATATCCGTTCTCGCATCACTGTCGTCTGCGCGGAGGTGAGTGTATGCTCTTCTGTTCCTTTCCCCCTCCCATTGTCATCTCCGTCCCTCGGACCACAAAGCGATAACATACCCGCGGCCGAATAGCGCCCAGACGCTTTTGGCTCAGCCGGACATCCACCCTCCTCCCTTTCGTTATTCTTTCCCCCTTCCCCCGCGGTCTGTTAACCGGCTCTTTTCAGTGCAAACGCCTGAAGCTCAAGTGCGACCGTCGGACCCCATGCAGCTCGTGCATTAAGCGCGACACCGTTCAACGATGCGTCTACTCCCAGGCTGCGGCCGAGAAAGTGTACGTTCGTTCCTACCTCGTCCTTTCTCTCGCACGCTTCATATCTCGCATAGCGACGTCCAATCCCTCCATAACCGCATTCTCGAGATCGAGCGCGTGCTTGCCCAAATGCAAGCCGCCGGCCCCTCTCCCTCAGCTTCCGCCGCGCTCGCCTGCATCCCTGCGCTCAAGCAGACTGCGAACGCGGTGGCCGGTCCGAGCAGAGCCGGCCCTTCCACTGTCCCTCCCACACTCATGGCCGGCCTGCCATGCAACGACCGCGCCCTTCTCGCCCAAGGCGCGTCGGGGAGTTCCGTGGTCATCAGCCTCGACGACGTCGTCAGTCTTTGGCTCAGCGAGTATGAGGCCGAAATCATCGAAGGCAAGTCCTCAGATCCCCGGCCTGGTTCAAGTCGGTCATCGACGTCCTCGACTACCGTGAAGCTCGAGCCCACATCCGTTCTATCCCCCCTCCCTCAGTCTCCTTCGCCCCCGGCGCAGGTTCACATCTACCAGCCGGCGGCCTGAACTCGCTACAACCCCCCGCGCCCTTCGAAGCGTTTCTTCCGCCTCCTTCAGCAGGTCCTACTGCGCTCCCACAAGTCACCGCCGCGCTGGTCGCCTACCTGCCCGCGGACTCCGCGCGCTCCCGGTTCCTCAAGGCGTTCCGCGAGACGATGCTCCTCCACCCGTCGTTCAATGTGCCCCACTTCGAGCAGCGCATCGCCGCCGTCTTCAGCTGGGCGGAGACGGGCGAGAGCGCGGGCACCGCGACGCCCGCCTACGGGGCGCGACCCATGTCGAAGCAGGAGCTCGCGCGCGACATCTTCCTCTCGTCTGCGAAGCCCGGGGCGGGGGCCAGGTCCGGGTCGCAGCAACGGCGTCGCTGGGCCATCGTCACCGAAACCGACGCTCAGCTTTTTCTCCGCCGCGGCGGCCGCGTTCGCGTTGGGGGCGCTCGTGGCGCGCGACGAGGATCCAGAGGCGGACCGTGCAGAGCCCCTCACGCCGCTGACGCCGGGAGAGAGCGCGGGCACGCCGGCGACGTTGTTCGCGCTGTCGGAGCAGGCGCTGCAGTTCTTCGAGAAGACGTCGGCGTACGACCTCGACTCGATTATCGCGATGATCCTGCAGGTGCTGTACATGCTCCACGAAGGCCAGATGAGCGTCGCGCAGAGCGTTTTCCCTTGGTGAGTTGTCTCGGTGAACGTATGTCGGTGTCGGCCGTTTTTGACTGGGCTATAGGTTGGCAAGATGGTCAATGTGCGAGAATGATGGGGCTGGGAATGGACCCCGACGAGTTCGCTGGGACGTACAGCCTGTTTGAGGCGGAGACCGGAGGAGGATATGGTGGGAGTGTACTACTATGACCTGTGAGTCGTCTTGCTCTTTTTCTGCGCTGGCGGGTCCTCATACCCACTCCAAGCTTCGTGGCCGACAGCATGGGCCATCCTCCCCTCATCGCCGACAACACGCATACAACGCATATTCCCGCCGACGTCGACGAAGATAGGTTCACCCCGTCCTCAACATCCCTACCCATACCAGAGAACTCCGACAAAGACTCGACGTCGGAGTACTTTGCGCTCAAGTGCAAGCTCGCGCAGCTGGTCAAGTCGGTCAAGAAGCAGACATTCCGCGATCCACTGATGACCCCTCAGCCGAGTCAGAACCTCCCATCGACCAAGCCGCGAACTTCGAGGCCGACGTCGAGGCGTTCCTCAACGACCTTCCTCCGACCTGGCGTTTCGAGCCCGTTGCGGACATCACGGCACCCGTCGCTCCTCTCCCCGTCGGCGCGTCGCCCTTCCGTCTCGCGCAAAAGTGCGAGCTCGCGATCCTCGCCCACCGGCTCGTCCTCAAGACCTACCTTCCCTTCCTCAAGACTGCGCGCCCCGGCGCGGCCCACCAGGCGGTCTACGGCGCGATCGGTGCCGCACACAACGTCATCGGGGCGGCGCGGCCCTCCACGCCGTGTGGGCGGCACCCGGCCCGCCGTGTTCGACTTCTACGACTTCGGGCGGACGGTGTTCGACGCGGCCGTCGTGTGCGCGCACGCGGTGTCCAGGAGCCGCACAGCCTCATCGCGGGCGAGGGCGTGAAGGACGTCGCGTGCGCGTTCGCGATCCTCCAGGACATCGGGACGTACGCCGGGGCGTCGAGGGCGTCGGCGCCGGGGTAGAGCGCGCGGCTGGGCGCGACGCGGCGGTCAAGGTCGTCGAGCTCATGAAGCGCCGCGCGGAGGCTGCCCGCGGGATGACGGGCAGCCCTGTACCGTTGCGCTCACGGCGGGCGCGAAGCGCAAGCACGCGGAGATCGAGGAGGACTCGTCGGGCCGCGGCGGGCGCAGACGACCTTCCAGCTGCCTTTCGTGGGCGCGGCGGTGAGCTCGGCCCGCGGGGACCCTCCGCGCTCGAAACCCAGGACAGGTGCACCGGACGGCGGCGCGGCGGCCCGAGGCGAAGAAGCACGCGAAGGACCGGGACACGGAGAAGAGCGCTGGGTCAGTGCGAAGGACAAGGACGGGGCGGGAAGGACAAGGACAACAAGACGAGCGGCGCGGGCAAGTACCTCAACGGGCCGCTGCGCGTGCGGCCAATGTCGGGCCAACCCGCGCCACGGCGGCAGCGCACGGCGAGCGTGTCGACGACCACGGGCTCCGGCACGGGGCGTCAACGCCGCGCGCGCCGCAGCTGGCTCCCCGGGGAGCGCGTCCGCGAACGGGTCGGTGCCGCCATCGCCGATGGGCAAGCAGGGCCAGTTCGAGGCGTATCCCGCGCCGGCCGACGGATCCAAGCGCGGTCGCAGAGCCAGCAGCCGTCGCCGCATGCGCAGACCCATCCGCCACCACCTCCCTCCCGCCCACGCCGCAACAGGAGGAGTACTCGCTCCAGTACAACGGAGCTCCCCCGACACGCCGATGTACGAGTCGCCGCCGACGTTCGACCCCGCGCACGGGCCGCAGCAGCAGTCGTCGCCGTCCTACCCTCCTCAGCCCACGCCTCAACAGCTTCAAGCCAGGCACAGGCGTCGCAGCAGCCTAGCCCGCGTCGGTGACGTTCCCGCCGGGGGCGCCGCCCGCGCAGAACCCGGGACCGGGCCAGTTCTACATGCCGTACGGGAACGAGTTCGAGGGCCAGACGATCAGCCTCGGGATGCTCGAGGAGCCGCCGCATCAGCACCCGCCGCAGTTCATGCACCCCCGCCTCCTCCACACCCGTCGCAGGCACAGGCGCAGGCGCAGGACATGAAGCACGGCGCGGTGCACTACGCGCCGTACCCGCCCCCCAGTATGCGCCCCACCACACCCGCACGCGATGGGGAACGGGCACCACGTGCAGATGCTCCCACACCCGCACCCGCACCCGCAGCACCAGCCGCAGATGGTCGCCGGGGGCTGGTCTACGGCGCCGCCCGGGGACCCGTCGGGCGACGTGTGGTCGGAGTACAAGTATTACGGCTGAGGCGGATCGCGTCGTATTTATTCCTTATGTTGCTCATCTACACGTCCTAGCTCCCGTCTCTCGATGCCCCTCTACTCCCCGCGACGCGCCACGACACCCCACACGCCTCCCGATCTAGTGCGATTTCTTGGTGTTCCGTGCCCCTTCCCGCTCGGTTCGGACGCTCTCGTGCGCCGACTGCTTGACGCTCAAAACGTGCTGCCCCGGCCTCCCGCGCATTCCTATCCCCTCCCCTCCCCCCGCAACCACATCGTAGGCTACGGATCCCGCTTTTCGCGCACCCTCCCTCCCTCCATCTGCCCCTTTCCCGCATTCGCCTTCACCTTCGTTCTTCCTCTTGTGTTCTTGTACTGTAACGAGTCTCCCTGCCCTGCCGCGCCCCGGCCGCCTTTACACGCCCGGCCCGCGCGCGTTACACACATGCGCATTGCTTTCGTGCTCCGTCCCTCTACTCTACCTCTCTACCTCTCTCGCTCTCTCTTCGGTCTGGATGTACATGCTCGCACCCTCCCCTCCTTCTGTGTCTCCGTGCCCCGGTCTCACTCTGTCTCTCTGTCTCTCTCACTCGCTTTGTCCCGCTCGTCCTGTGTATCCTTATGGCCGATACCACGCGACGTTTCTCGATCGGGTTTTCAATAGACACCCTTGCGCGCCGTCGCTTAATACGGTTCATGGCGTCGCCGTTTGTGCGTTCTCGAGTGAGTGCTCGTGAGTACGGGGGTGATGGGGCTCGTCGACGCGCGCTCGGAGTCGAAGGCAGCTCTTTTCACCACGTGCACGTGCACCGCCGCGCGTTCTCGGGACAGGAAAACGCAAGGAAAATCCTTCGCCAGTGAATTTTTCGACGCCTTTTTGAATGCGAGGAAAGGCGACTGATCACGGGTGGTAACAAAACGACAGACCCCTCGGCTTCCTGCAGATACGCGACGGAGCTCGAAAAAAAGCGACGCTTGCGCGGCTGGGCTCCAAAAAATACGCACGAGCGGGAGCGCCTATCGGGGACCCTGGCTGCCAAGCGTCGCTTTATTCGAGCTCCGCCCTGTATCTGCGGGAAGCCGAGGGGCCTATCGTTTGTTACCAGCTGGAAATGGTACATATTTGGTGCATCATCGGAATGCTCCCTTCGAAAGCCGTGTTTTACTGGTCTTTTCCCGCCTTTTTTGCTCGCCCATGAAATCGACGCCGGAAATTTCACTTGCGAGTGACTTTTTCCGCGCCTTTTCATGCGCCAAAAACTCGGTGGTGCACATCGTGTTTGAGCGGCTGCGTTCACTGAGGTCCGAACGCTCTCGAATGCAACCACCACGAGCCTAACCTGCCCGCTCTATCTCCCAGTATGTACACCACGCCGGGGCCGCACACGCCGAAGCGCAGTTCTTTGGTTTGGGGCGACAGTGTTCCCGCGCTGCTGATGGGTGCTAAAAGTGGATCCTGTCGCTGCTGTCCGCTTTGTCTCGCTTTTGCCGCGGCCCGCGGTGTGGACATGTGCCCGGTCCCGTACGCCAATAACGTCGATATGCATGGCCGTCTGATGTGGCAGCACGTCCGCTCGCGACGTTCGGACCACGCTCTGGGGCGCATGATCGGTCGTCTTGATGCAGAACATCCGAGCTTTAGCAGATCTGGGACGCAGGGCTCGCCGCCGGGCCGCGGTGGAATGGGGCTCACGCAGGACGCGACGAATGGGGGAAACGGACCCGAGAGGGACGGGGGGCACGGTGGTCCGGGAGAGAGGAGGGTTGTCGCCAGAGGCGGCGAGAACCTCGGAGTCTGTGCGCAGTACTTTTGGCAGAGTTGTTCCGCCCAATCTTACTAGCACTGCTCGAGCTGGAGGCGGATGTGATATGTTTAGTGTTCTATTTTTAGAGACGGCGGGCCGCCACCCGGGCCGTGGGTGAGTGGAGCACGGGCGGCGGGCGGGACGGCGGCTGATGCCATCATGCGTCTGGTTCACCTTCTCCGTCGACCGCCACCGTCTTGGGTCGCTGTCCTCTCGGGGTCGAGGCAGGTGAGCGCAGGGCTCCAGCGTCCTCATCCGCCCTCATGCGCTGCAACAGATTTTTGGCGGATGGCTGACGTACGGGCCCGCATTTTCCAGTGCCGCGTCGCTCATCCCAGCTCTTGTTGCACAAGAGCACGAGATTCGATGCCTTTATCAGTGCCTCAAGGCGAGAGGGTGGTGTTGCTCACCCTCTGCAGATCACAGGGCACGCACCATCTTGCGGTATTTTTTCCCGTCCACTCATTGAGCGTGAAGTGGTCCGGCGTTCACACCGTCCAACGCGCGTGACGGAAAACAGCGCGCGGAACCGACCTGCTGGCGACCACTTGGAGCTCGTATTGCAAGGGCGTAAGCTCGGGCGATCGACTGGTGTCGCTCGCGCAAACTGCACATTCACCACAGCGGGCCGCCTCTGTACCCGCCCGAGTGGCAACATTCAAATCATTGTCACATCCGCCCTACGGACCAGGTTTATAGATCATCCCCCTTCCGTGGCCTAACCCGATCTCGATGTTCATCTTCCGGAGCAACGCCATCAATAACCTCGCACCCTACCGACGTTCTCACTCCACGGCAGACGGCCTCTCGCGCGCCGCCTGGCCCGCTCTTCCCGTCGTGCCCTGACCCCGTCGCGGCCCAGCATGGCCCAGGGCGCCCTCACTGCCAGGGAGCGTCGCATGCGCGCATACCAGCGGAGTGGCTACGCACTAGCGTCGCGCACACATGATCCACACCATCCCCTTCCCGCCCGTCGTTCTGCACCTGCCCGCGCTCTGTTTCTCCGAGCCCGACGCGCACCTCCAGAGTCGTATAAACGCGCCATGCGTCTCGCCCATCGTCCTCCAGCTTCACCGTCTCCCACCACCGGAATCTGCTCCCCAACCTCGCTACCATGGCCGCACTCCTCCGTCTCGTCGCCCTCCTCGCGCTCGCCCACACCCTCGCCGCCTCCCCGGCCCCCGCGGCCGAGCCCAGGTCGAGCGACTGCACCGGCACGATCTCCTCCCTCAACGACGTCGCCGCCGCGGTCAAGTGCACGACCGTGACCATCAACGCGTTCACCGTCCCCGCCGGCGAGACCTTCAGCCTCTCGCTCCTCTCGGGCACGAAGGTCACGATGAGTGCGTGCCCCTTCCTTCCCTCCTCTGCCGCCCCCTCTCAGCCGCAGTACCGTGTCCGGGCGCATCTGCGACGGCACGGGCCCGCGCCGCTCGGTCGCGCGTCGCGCGTACGCATTTAGCGTTCGCGGACGCGGAGAAAGGGGGGCCGCGGATGCAGTGGCGGTGCAATTTATAGCGGTGCTGACGTCCAAGGTGCCCCACCCCCCTCAATCGCCGACTTCGCGTCGCACACGCGTGCTATTGCCTCCGCGCGCGTCGTGCCGAACCCGCGCATCCACGCGCGCCGTGCTGCGCTCGTGCGTGGACGCAGACGGCGATGTCACTTTCGCGGTGAAAAACTGGGCTGGCCCTCTCTTCCAGATCAGGTGTGTGCGCGGTGGTCGGTGCGGTCGACGTGCGAGCACGAACTGATGCGTTGTGCCTTGTGTTTAGCGGCACTAGCATCACTTGTGAGCTCACCCTGTGTGCGGAAGGGTGTGTCAGTGCTCACGGAAATTTTCTGACCAGTCAACGGCAACGGCCACACCTTCAACGGTAACGGCGCCTCGTACTGGGTGGGTGTGCTCCCAATCGGTGAGTGTAGAAGGTGACTGCTAACCACATCACATAACAGGATGGCCAGGGCGTCAACGGTGGTGTCACCAAGCCCGACCCCATGATGAAGTGCGCATGCTCCTCGCCGTGTACTACTGGTGCGTTATGTGCTAATACCTCTACAGGATCAAGATTTCCGGCACGTTCACCGTACGTTGCGCGCCACCATTGCGTCCGGCACATGCTGACTTTCGCCACAGAACACCAAGGTGCTCAACTCGCCCGCGCGCGTCTACAGCGTCTCGAACCCCGCGACGCTCGTGATGTCCAAGCTCACCATCGACAACTGTACGTCCCCACTCCGCGCACCCCCAGGTGACGACCTCGCGCGCTCACACGTTTGTCCGTCCGCACAGCCGCGGGCGACGCCGCGAACTCCGCGTCCGGCGGCAAGGCCGCGGGCCACAACACGGACGGGTTCGACGTGAGCACGACGGACCTGACGATCGAAGACAGCACGGTGCACAACCAGGACGACTGCCTCGCGATCAACAAGGGCAGCAACATCATCTTCCAGCGGAACTCCTGCACCGGCGGCCACGGCATCTCCATCGGCTCGATCGACTCGGACGTCACCGTGTCCGGCATCCAGATCCTGAGCAACACCATCACCAACAAGTGCGTTCCCTTTTCCGCCCACGGACGATGTCTGACCTGACCCTCCTGCAGCGACCAGGCGCTCCGCATCAAGACGAAGGCGGCGGCGTCGGGCTCGACGGTGTCCGGCATCACCTACTCCGGCAACACCGCGACGGGCATGCGCGAGTTCGGCGTCCTCATCGACCAGGTCCGCGCTCTCCCATCTCCCCTCTCGTCTCAGCCCCGCTCACCGTGACCCCGCGCGCGCAGAGCTACCCCTCGACCCTCGGCACCCCCGGCACTGGCGTCAAGCTCACGGTGCGTCCCGCGCGCCCCCAACGTCTGGACCTCCAGTGCTGACCCGGGCCTCACGCACTCGCGCACACAGGGCGTGAACTTCGTCGGCAGCACGAACTCGATCTCCGTCAACAGCGGCGCGAAGCGCGTGGCCGTCAACTGCGGCTCCGGCGCGTGCACCGGCAGCTGGAACTGGTCCGCGCTCAAGGTCTCCGGCGGCTCCGCCGGCACGATCAACTACTCGGGCATCCAGAACTACTCGCAGTGAGCGCGTGGGGGGAATCGTCGCCCGAGTCTTTGCATTGGTGCGGATGGTTTTGGCTTTGGCTGATGAAGGTTCTCGGTTTGGCTTGTATACTAGCTAGTGATCATACCCTGGCTCCCGCTGCGTCTGTTCAAAAAATCCTATGAAGTACGACGTATTTGCGCTCAATGCAGGCTTGCAGGGCAACTGTTGGTATTATGTGCGTGCGGTAGAAAGCAGCAGATTAAGTTCGTTGTACGTGAAGTGTGATGCTCGCTGATATGTACAGCGAGCAAAAACAATGGAACACTGGGAGAAATGCATTAAGGGGGAATCGAACCCCCGGCGGGTCGATGGCAACGACCCAGGTTACCACTACCCCATTAATGCTATGACAAAGGAGGCTGCATTACATAATATGGGGTGGCAGACGTCCGGCTTGACAGGGCAGACGCGGGGCAGATTTCTTTTCGCTCGTCCTCCGCCCATCCCGTTGCCCCTCGCCGCCACCAACGACACCCGCCCAGCGCATTTGATCTGGTCCCCTTCGTGTACGTACAGGTGCTCATCAATGAGCAGGATGTCTCCGCAACCACGTCCACGCCATTGACATGCCCCTGGTCATGGCGCGCCCTTTCCAATTCCTCGCGTTTCGTGTCTCCGCAGCCTCGACACGCGCACGCGGCAACCTCGGCGCTGCTACTTGTGCGCTGCCATCCAATGCACGGATCAAGGTCTTGGCGGTGGTGGTGCCAGCCTCCAAGCTCACTCGGGCCTGCCCCGGACGACACCAGTTCTCGTGTCTACGATCACGTCTGCCGACATCCTCCCCCACATCCGCCAAGCCCGCTCCCTCCATCCCTCATTTCAAAACTCGGCGCGCGGGTAGCGCTGCCCACCTTTTGCCCCACCCCCTCTTTTCGCTCTCTTGTCCATCGCCCCGTACTCGGAGGCCCTGTCTGTCCTTTCCCCACCCCCTTCCTTCCACTTTAACCGGGCTCTCTCGAAATGCGCGGCACCGTTGCCATCGTCCTGGCCTCCACGGCGCTCAGCGCGAGCGCTTTTACGAGCTACGCCAACGATTTCATCGACCCCAAGATCATCCTCTCCAACGGGCTCAGCAACCTCACCATCGAGGCGCAGGAGACCATCGTCGAGTGGGCGGAAGATCTTGCCGCAGCCGGGCCATGGAGTGGGTGCCTCGTCCTCCGTGCTTCTTTCCCGCGCTCATCGTGCTGCTCCACCCCGACGCCCTTCCTTAACGTTATCTGCGTCCTCCCCCCTGATCCGCCTCGGGGCGTGAGAGCAGATGTTACGAGCAAGCCGTTCACCCCGCCGTCGGGCACGAAAAAAGACTACATGAGCTTTGCACCCTAGTGAGTCACCGTTTGAGCGCGCTGCATGCGTACGGCCTTCCGTGGACGCTCACCCCGACCTACCCGATCTAGCTGGTGGCCAGACTGTTCTAGCGTTGGGAACACCACGGCACTCACTCAGAACGAGGGTACGTTCTTTGTTCAGTTGTCTCTCGCGCGTACACCCACCTCCTTCCCGTCCGCGCAGTCTGGACGACTTGCCCATACGTCGTGCGCGATGGCAAGTTCAACCCCGACGCCCGCGAGGTGAACGACATCGGCAACTTCGAAAGCATGGCCAACGCCGTCTTCTACAACGCCCTCGCGTGGGCGACCAACGGCACCACGACCTACGCCGAATCCGCCGCGCGCTTCATAAACACCTGGTTCCTCGACGCGGACACCGGCATGAACCCCAACCTCAACTACAGCCAGATGCAGCGCGGGCCCACCGGACAGAAGGGAACCCACACTGGAATCTTGTACGTCTTGCCCCCCGTTCGCCCCGTCCTTTGTCGCCGCGCTCCCCCTCGCCCGCATATACCGCGCATGGAACATCTCATGCTCTCATGGCGTGCTTTGCCAAGACTTTTGTCGCGAGCGCCCCTGCTGTTGCGAGCGACCGCTCGTCGACGGCTAGGGCGCTTATCTGTCCGGTCCAACCACCATGCCCACATCCGTGATGCATCGGCTCCCGGGTGCTGTGGGCTGTGTCCCGTTTACGGTCTTCCATGTCCGTCCCAAAGCCCTTGGAGCTCGCTAACTGAGGATTTCTCCAACAGGGACCTCAAGTGCATGGCAAAGGTTGTGTCCGCAGTGCTCCTCATGCGAGAAGGCAAGGCGGCTGCATGGACCACCGAACTCGACACCGGGCTGAACTCTTGGACGACCGAGTACATTGGGTGGCTTACCTCGGCTGGCATCGCGCTTGAGGAGAAGGCTGCGCCCAAGTGAGCGCCTCGTGCTTCTTGTGTGATGTCATGGGGCTGACTTGATGCAGCAACCACGGCACTTTCTACTACAACCAGCTTGCTGCCCTTCAGGTCCTCGTTGGTGACAATGACGGCGCAAAGGCTACTGTGACGGACTACTTTACCACTAAGTACCTTGACCAGATCGCTGCGAACGGCGACCAGGTACGTCCTTCAGGGCGTTCATCTTGTTTGTTTGATAGGTATTGACCGACATGTTGCCTCCAACTAGCCGCTTGAAACTGCGCGCACACGCCCTTACCACTACCGTGCTTACAACCTCGCCGCCATGATTGTATGTGCCAGCCTTCTCTCACACCTGGCACCTGTTGATCCATTCCATGCATCCCGCTTGTCGCCGCTTCCCCGCATTTCGATTCCCTAGACTAACGCCAAGATCGGAGATTACGTCGGCTACTCGGCGTGGAACCTGACGACCCACAAGGGCTCGACGATCCAAACCGCACTCGACTACGCGATGACGCTCGGGCCCGGCACCGAAGTCGCGTCGGAGCTGTACCCGAACATCGTCGCCGTCGGCGCGACGTACGGCGACGCCAAAGGCACGTACGCCAATTTCATGCTCACCAAGGCCGGCGACGGGTACGTCGCGGACGCGCAGTTCCTCTGGAACCAGCCGTTCTCGGACTCCGGCCTCGTCAAGGCCCCCACATCGGCATCCCTGGAGCCAGTGCGCAACATAGGCGGAGCCGGCGGTGTGCGCCCAGGGCTGCTCGGCGCGACCGTCGCGGGGTTCGGCGTCGTGGCCGTGCTTGTGCTCGGGGCGTGACCGTGCGTCGTCCCCGTCTGCTGTGGCCGGTTTCCCGTCTGGATTGGGTTGAATTGGATCGTTCGCACATTGAGTACACCATTGACGGTCATCTTGCATATTTATCGCTCCGGCGGGCGCACCGCTCGCGTCCACATCGCTATACTCATCCGAACCCCGATACCATACCAGCGTATACTATATGTCTGCTCCATTTGCGCGTGGTCGTCCTAAGCGCGATCGTGCCGCGTGTGTAGATCTAGTTCATATCTTGTTAGATTCGACCTTGACGTGACCTCAGCGAGGCACGGTACAGGGTACAATAAATGTACGCAATACTACTGCTGCTGTCCGTTGTTCTTTGTTGTCGAAGAAAGCACTTGCCGCATCCAGTCGAACACGAAGATCCCTGTGACCTCGCTCACACACGCGGCCGACTCCTTCATCCAAACCAAAGTACGCACTACTTAGTGCTAGGGGTTTATCGGAGGTGCAAAGCGTAACGGTAGTGCAATTTTGTGCTCGTCCCCGTCCCCCCTAGCCTATGAAATAAATATTGGGAACGTCAGACTACACTTTCAAGACGAATCAAAGGACATTCAGGGAGGGATGAGGAAGCGTCGTCCGCCAAGCCCAGAATTGGGGTGGACGCGTGCGTACACCGCTCTACGCCTTCTCACCATCGCGCATCCCTGGTATCACTCTCCTCGCCGCAACAACCACCCGCGGCGCCCCCCTCGCCCCCCACCGCCGCCCCAGCGCGCGCGCGCCCGCATACGCCCCCACCGCGACGGCGAACCCCATCAGCATCCCGACGTCGCCCGTCCCGCGCGCGGCGACCGGGCCCGTCCACCACACCTGCTGCATCCCGAGCACGCTCGCGCCCACGGCGGCGGCGAGCGCGAGCAGCGCGGGCCACGGCGGCGGGAGCGACGGGTGCGCCGGGGAGTCCCACGCGTCACGCGCGGGGTACGCGGCGTACGTGCGCCGGAAGAGAATGTGCTCGGTGAGCGCGGCGGCGAGGAAGGGCGCGAGCCAGTATCCGATGAGCGCTTCCAGAAGCACGTGCGTGAGGACGAACGAAAGGATGGGGAGGGGAAGGGCGGCGTACCAAGGATATCGACGAACGTCTCGTAGAAGCTCCGTGCGCCGACGATCGCGACCGGGATAAGCCTGCGGGGGTAAGGGCCGCTTCGGGGTCAGCATCGGCTCCCAGCGTCCTCGTAGTGCGAACACTTACACGGCTGTTGATGCGATGGCGACGACGCCGCGCGGCAGGCGCGCGAACGCGCGGTGTACAGTCATGAAGCTCATGCAGACGGTATACATCGTCGGCGCGCACGCGCTCGGGGCTGTCAAGCTGAGCAGCACGAGCAGGAACTTCCCGAAGCGGCCCGTCGGCGCGAGGACGGCGGCCACGAGCCCACCGACGTCGTTGCCGTCCCCGAGTCCCGCGGACCACGCAGGTACCACGGTTGCGCCCGCGGCGAAGGCCGCGCCTAGCATGTGCGCGGGAACCTGCATACGCGAGTTATAGAGGATTAAAAAGATGAGGATGTAGGTACGCACGGAGGATATCAAGAAGCCTAAGTAGGTATACCAGAATATGCGCCACGCGGACGCATTCTTGTCGTGGTACACGCCATAATCGGGCGTCAGTGTTGACCAACTGACCACGGTGACCGCGAGGGAGGCACCAGAGGTCATGATCGCGGCGGCGGAAGCAGGTCCGGCGGGATTTATGAGAGGCGCGCTCATTAGTTGGTGGCCACCAACGATGAGCATGACGATGAAGGCGATGACGTTGGGGATCCATATGAGGAGTTCGTACCTAAGAGGAAGAGTATTGGCTGAGCCGACTAAACGAGCTGATGAGTACATACCAGTGGAGAACCTGGCAACCACAGAATGTGATCTGCATTTTCTTCAATTAGACATTTTCGATATCATCGAGAAGTGCATGCATACAATGAGGGAAATTAACGCGATGATCACGATGCCCAAAGTAGCATCCAGATGTGGTGAGGCCTCAGCAAGTGTCTGTCCACCAACGATGGTGTTGATCACCAGATAGCCTTGCATCGAAAGAACGTTGAGGATACTGGGGATGACTGCGCCGTAATATCTAGAGACATTGTGTTTGAACAATCACGGAGGCCAGATTCCAGAACCAAACATACCCCCACGAGAATCTTGCAGCAACCATGGATCGTGTGCCCAGCTTGGGCCCAAAAATCGCGCTATTCACGACAGTGAGAGGTAGCAATACCAGAGATATGGTTGAGAGCGGAGCTCACAAGAACGACGGAAAGGCACAGGAACTGTGAGACATCATCATCAACAACAATCCTGCGCTGCTTACGAAGGACTCACATGAGATCGACAAAGAGGATGAGGTAGAAAGAATCCCGGATGCCCAGACCGTAAAACGCAGGTCCAACAGTCCCCGCGCTGAGTCTAGACGAGCATGCAGCATGCAATAATATAAGTCCGAGTCAAGATTTCGCAAGAAAAGAGGCCACGCACGTGAGGATATTCGCATTCGCCGAGAACCACACGAAGAAGAACTGATACAACCTCTTATCTGTCCGCTGCGAGTCTGGTATTGGCTCGATCCTGAACCCGCGTCGTGCGTCGTGATTAGCTCATCTTTCCACGTGATAGTAGAAAGCCGCGACCCACCCTTCCATCTCGAGCCCCAACGCAGCGAGCCGCCGCGTCGCGTGCTGTGTCCACCGTCCGACCCGTGTCCGCGCCTCCCGCACCGCGTTGCCCTCCTCTATGATCAACACACCCGCTGATGCCTTCTCCGCCTTTTCTGCATCCCCGGCGTGAGAGATATGGACGTCAGGGAGGGGGAAATGGTCTTTGGACTTGGTGGAGGATTTGCTCGAAGAGGATCCCTTCTCGGCGGCGGAGTCGATAGCAGTGAAGAGCAGCATCTATGGCGGCTGTGTTGGTCGATGTATGCGGCCAAGAGAGTAAGAAGTGATGCTCGCTCGGGTCGCAGAGGTGTATTCTGTGTACTCTCTGAAGAGAGGGGGGGCTGGGCGTAGTGGAGGTTGTATCTGAACGTCGAACGTCGAACGACGGTGCGCATGGGGTAGTCTTCACCGCGCGTGAGAGAAGCGGAGGCCTGGGATCGGGAACGAGAGTGAGCGTGAGGCGCGAAAAGAAGAATCTCGAGAACTTACAATGCGATAAAGGTCAGCCTTCACTTTCAAGGACGTCGATGTTGCAGCAGCGCCGAAGACGCTTTGTCGAGACAACCATCAATCCGTTGTGCATCTCTTGAGGACATTCGAAAAGCTGCGACATCCGCGAACGGCTCATGGCTTTCGTCAGTCGGATGTGCGATCTCTGAGGCTGGTCGCCGTCGAAACTCCGACTCCGCGTCGCTGGGTTTTGCATGGGAAGAACCAAAAGGGCGAGGCCGGGCCATGGCGCTGGTACGTGGACTTAAGCTCGCCAAAACCGGATGGGGAAAGTTCAGATAACGCGTGGCGTGGTGGAGAGAAAGGCGACCGTGGTGTTTTAGGGCGCGCATATGGATGCTAAGACTGCCTAGACTCGGCACGGGGCTCTAGGGGACCTGCCGAGCCTTGGAGGAAGACCGAAGGATGGAGAGACTTTTCTTGACGCTGTGACTGGGGTCCAACTCCTGGATGTATGCGACGCGCCCCCGTGCTTGGCTTCCTAGAATAGAAAGGGGGACATTTCGATACGATCCACGATCTGAGAACGCAAGAGAACATGGAGTCATGTTGAAAAGGTTGTCGTGGTGCAGGGGCAACCGGCGGCGCTAGACCCGCGACAAGCGCTACCCAAGCGAGCGCGCGTCCCACGCCCGTTTTTCACTGACTTGGTACGCTCAGTGCTCTTCGATTTCGTAGCGTGCCACGATCATTTCATGCCCGGGCATTTTCTCCATCGGATGTCCAAGCCACAGTTAATAACTTGCAGTATGACATAGCGCCGACCTCCCACGAGATTCCAGGTATGTACAACATCCTCGTCACTGGAGAGACACCGACTCATTCTTCCACCAAAACGCAGCCACCTCCCCATCTGCTTAGAACGCAGTGTTAGAAGACGTCAGGAACCCCACGCGCCCCACGCATCTCGCATTGGCTGGACGACACGCCCGTCGAGCGACCTGGAGCCATTCCGCCCGCCTCCATGCCTCCGTCGATCGTGACCGGCGCTGACGGTGACTACAATGGCGCCCGCGTCCCCGACTTCGCGCCTAGGTGAGGCGTACGGAGGCGCGGGCGAGATGGATTTCCAGAAGTGCTGCCAGCGTAGCCCAGCTCGTAGTCAGGAAGAAAAGAGCGTGTGACCGCTCCAGTTCAATGAGAGTCGCTTCCGCGCGAACCTTTTGGCGCTTGATGCAACACGTGCACTGCAATCCCAGATCTAATGGGTTGCGTGCGCTCTCGTCTCTTGAGTCTTGACCACGTCTTCGATCTCCAAGTATGAGAGGCGGAAGCGAGCATGATGTGAGTACCAAACATCCTTCCTATGTTTTCTGAACACAGTTACATAGTCATTTCTTTCGTCTCCCGTCACTTCGACTGTCACTACCTGGCACCGAGCTCATGGCTCCGTCGCCTCCCAGGCGCGGAATGTCTGCTATTGGTGGCTTCAAAACCGTGCTATCAAAATACAGCAGGCCCCTACTCCCGGTCCCCACCGTGCCCAGTGCTTACCACTAGGGCAAGGGCAAAACCTGTCACACGACACGAAAGCGGCCCACAGCATTAGCAGGTGCATGTATGCGCGTGGTCCCCCGGACCGGTGAGTGCTGATCACACTTCAAGTTGAGGTTTATATATGATGCTGTGCGGATGCACGATGCGCTGACGCGTCGCTCGATCCATGACTGCAGGTCAACTGATGCACCGCACCACACAGCATGGCCCGACCTTCACCTCGTCGAGATTCACCGGGCGCAGGCCCCGAAGAAGAGCACCATTACGCCAAAGAGACTCTCGTCGCCCGCACCGCACGATCGAAGAACGTTCGCGTGATCGACGAACCACAGAACGCGCGAAGGCGAGATGAACCGCCAAGGCACACACAGACCGGCCTCCCCGCCGGCCTCGGGGACGCAAGGCGATCAAATGACCATTAGCCGTTCAAGGCGTGGCATTACGCTTCCTTCTTCTTCCGGCTGTCCAGCATCGAGGAAGAGCGCAGGCGTGCCTTCGACGACGTCATCAAATAGGACCTCGCGTCTCGGACCGGGAAAGCGGCACGCGAGAGGCCGGGCCTCGCGCGCGCGGTGCTGTGTCGCGACGGCGCGCTGCCGGCATAACCACCAACGTTTCCGCACGCCGGGCAAGCACCGTACGCACCCGCTGCGCGCATTCCCCCACTCCGCATTTTCGCGCTCTCCTCTCTCTCACGCGGCTAGTTCTCCCGGCGTCTGCGCTGGCAACGTTCGTCGTTCATCTTTCCACGGCGGACTCAAGTTGCCAACCCCTCGTGTATCTTGGCGTTCGTTCGGACTCTCGGGCCCGGTACCAGGGCTCGCCAAGTCCGGATACGTCGAAGTTGGCGCCAGGTGAGCCGCCAACTAGTGTCCACTGCGCAAACGCATGTAAAATGAACTCTTTCCCACTCTGGCAGCACACTCGGTTCCCGGCATTCGCGATTTTCACGCCCTGCCTGTGCGTTTTATTTCGGGCCGACGAGATGGGTACGAGTCTCTCATCGGGTATGAATGGTGGGATAATCTTTCGACTGGCGCCCTGACGAGGCCGCCGACGGTCCTCGACAGTGCACGCACCACTTGCAATGGCAACAATGGAATGCCGTTGTGCTCCGTTTGCGTACTCCTCTACGGGACCTCTCCTAGGCCGGCCACAGCGCTCGTGCGTAGAATACGCGACATGTCCCCGCTCGCACCACCGCGGCGTCCCAAGGTGCGCTTCGAATTCGCGGAGATGCGCGACCCTGAGCTCATTTTGCCACATCTCAGGCGAGTCACCACGTCTCTTCCGTTCACCTCGCCCACGCACGCCGCCGCGCTAGGAACTTGGGAACCCGGCCGGTCGGCGTCAAGGCCCTAGCCCCGCGTGTCACCCATCGTCGCCCAGTCGCTCGCCTTCGAATGGATGCTCGCAGCGCCCGGACGGCGTCAGCTGTCGCCCCTCCCCCCCCCGTTATCGCGTCTTACGAAGGCTGATAGAAGATCCGGAGGCGCGGGGCCAAAAGCGTCACGGCGGGACTCACAGCCGCCACCCTCCCGCCCGCGAAGTTGCAAACATTCCTCGCGCTGCGCCCGGGGACCGGCCACCAAAGCTATAACACGTTCGTCGCCCACGTCTTGTCGCGGTGGCCTTCGCGAGGGATGTGGGCGTGGGGGCGACGGCGGGGAGCGACTCGGAGCCTGGTGCGTGCTCTTTTGGCATTGTTTCACGAAGACGCCGCGCCGCGGCGGCTCCGCGCGCTGGATGAGGCGGGTGGCCTCTCAAGTTCTCAGGAGCGATGTCCCACGTTTGTGGTGCAGCGCCGGAGCCCGGAGTCGGGGAGGGAGCGGAAGTGCGTCTGCCGTTCCGTGCGCCTTTCGTACCCACACAGCATGTGAGCGAGGGCGCACAGACGAGGAAGGCTGTGTGCACGACCCTGGCGTTGGCGGCTCTGACGAAACGTGAGCGATGGATGGGCACACGACCGGGCGCAGGTCAGGGGCGGCGCCCGGGGCGACGAACGAGGGCGGGGGTCGCGTCGCGTGCCCCGCCCGCGTCCGCTCGCCGTTGCACGCGCCGCGGGGGTCGTGCGGGACGGGGCGATAACGGGCTCGGGCAGCGGGCGCGGAGAACATATGCCTGCCGGATCGGGCAGGCCGCGGGGAGGGCGCTGCACGTGCGCCGGGGAGCCAATCGCGGGGGGCGGGGATGGTCGTGCGACGCGCACGTTTCTGAGGCACACGACCATTTGCCCCGCCCGGCGTCCTCGCTCGCGCAGGCCGCGATATAAGCCATGATCGTCGCGCCTTCGCGACCCACCCTCGCCCGCTCTGTCGTGTGCCCCGCCCCGCCCCCGCCATGTCCGCACCCCCCGACGCGCCCATCGTCTACGCCGCGAGCGTGAACCCCCCGCGCCGCGCCAAACGGCAGCGCACCGGCTCCGTCGGAGACACGCCCTCCTCCCCCACCGCCCCCACCACCGCCCGCCGTGTCTCCAACCCATCGCGGCAGCCGATCCTCCCCAAGCAGCCCACGGGCGGGTACGCAGTGCCGTCCCCGACTCCGACGACGCATCCGACGCGGAGGACGACTACGACCCCGGCCGCGACGCCGCCCCTGCTCCCAAGCGCCGCGGCCGCAAGCCTGGGACCATGTCGCGCTCCGCCCGCGAGAGCCTCGCAAGCTCAACCATTCCCGCATCGAGAAGGCTCGTCGCACGAAGATCAACGAGACCCTCTCTGCCCTCAGCACCCTGTCGGAGAGCGCGATCAGGTCGTCGGTGGCTCCGACGGCGTTGTGGCCCCACCGCCTGCCCCGGTGGAGGACAAAGGGAAGAAGGGCAAGGGCAAAGTGGAGGGCGGGAGCGAGAAGGAGTTCAAGCTCGACGTGCTCGTCAAGACCGTCGAATACATGCAAGACCTCGTCGCGCGCGTCCAGGCGCTCGAAGCCGTCGTCCAGGGCTGCGGCTCCTGCCGCCGTGCTGCCGCCTCGATCCCCTCTCCCCCTGGCTCCAACGTCGACGCCGACGTGCAGATGCACCCAGCGCGCTCGGTCCCGTTGTCGCCGAAGCGCAGGCGCGAGGGGCGCGAGGACGACGCGCTCGAGGGCATCCAGCGCGACGCCCGCCGTCTGCGCCTCGGGCACCCCACCCACCCCCACGGCCGCGAGGAAGACGACTCCTACGGAGGCGACGACGAGCACCCGTCCCCGACGCCGCTCACCGCGCCCTCCGCCCCCGCCTCCACATCCGCCCCCACCCCCACCTCCTCGCGCGCGAGCGACCGCTCGACCGCCTCCCCGCGCCTCCCGCCCATCGCGTCGTGGCTCCCGCACCCGTACGTCGACCCGAGCAGCCTCATGTCCGGCCCATCGCCGACCCGCGGCCCCTCCCCCAGCGGCGCCCCCTCCGCCCGCGCGCCGGCGAACGTGCAGCTCCCGAGCCCCCCGCCGTCGGGCCGCTTCCGGCCGACGATCACGCTCGCGAACATGCCCGCGCTCGCGCTCCCCGCGCCCGCGCGCCCCGTCCAGCGGGAGCGCGCGGCGAGCACAACCTCGCACTCGCAGCGGCCGCCATCGCACCAGCCGCACCAACACCAGCAGCAGCAGCAGCAGCAGCAGCGCAAGTCAATCTCGATGTCCCCGGTAGTCTCGCCGACGTGGACGCCGGAGGACGAGTCCGCGGCGTCGCTGCTGCTCCAGATCGGCTCGAAGCCGCGGAGCGCGTCGACGAGCTCGACGGGCTCGATGGCGCTCCCTATGGTGCGCGACGACTGGAGGGAGGAGCGGGGGTTCGCGGCACCGCGCGAGGTGGTGACCCCGAGCGCGTTGCTTGGGATGAGGGATTGAGTTGGGGCGATGCGAGGTATGTGAAGGTCTCGTGTCGACGGGTCGTGGACTCTCGAAGATATGTACCCCTGCCGCAGACTGCAGTACTTGAAGCTTTCGTCGTGTATGATAATCACCTCCTTCGGTATGGTCGCTTACAGGTAACATTATGCACTTGTCACCGGTTCGTTGTCTTTATTCTCTGGTTTCCTCGTTATGTATATGGACAAATTAGAACTGGGATGGACAGAACTGGTGATCTGAATCGAAAGAACGAGCATTGTACATAAGTGACCAGAACGTCATCAGACGAAGGCACTCGTGCACAAGTGGCTACAAGTGGCTGGTCTACTTTTGAGGCGTGCTCGGGTTGACGTTGAACCTTCAAGCTTCGACTCGGTTATCGCCTCAGCGTCGGACACAATTGCTCAGCGGCATGGTTCATGTGAGTCGCGGTCCTCCTCGTGGGTCGTATCCCACTTCTAGAGTCATCACTGGCAGCTTGAGGTCGTTTACTACGCTCTGTTTCCCCGCGCCGGCTGCCTGAGCCCGGCCCCAGTCAATGCACGCGTAGCGGCGTAATCATGTCGTCCCTTGCAGATCATCCCCGCCTCCAGGTCCCAGTCCTCAGGCCTCAGGCCTCAGGGCCTCACTAGCGCCTCACACAAGGCAAGGCACGACCGCCTGTGCCTTGGCTCTGCCACCCAAGTGGCGCTGCTGTGGTCAGACTAATGCGCGGATGGCGGTGCGTCTTGTCCTCCTTCCGGACTCTCGTTTGCCACGGGCGACGTTTTCCGGCGTGTTCCCACTCAACCCGTCCTTCGCCGTACGTGTTCCACTCCGGCACCGAAGAAGCCACCTATCGAGTCACCGGGTGGCAAACGCTGAGAACGAAACCCGCCCCACACGTCGCGGTGCACACGAAGCATGATGAACGAACGTTGGCTCGAGACCGAGTGACAGCGATCGTGCATTGAAGAGTGTAAGCGAAGGTCCGACTGCGTGTTCTAGTGCTAGTCTACGCCATGGCCGTACAGGTACATCGTGAAGAGGTCGTGTAGCGGTCGTCGTCGATCATAAGCGTCCGGCGGAGGCGCAGCAGGGCTCGCACGAGGCGAAGGGCACGACGCACCAACGGCCTTCAAAAACATAAGGCGGTGGGGAGACAGCAGAAGCAGAAGGGGGTTTACGGAGGCGGCGGGACCAGGTGGGAGGGTCGGAGAACACACGATCCTGTCCAACTCATTCATTCGTGGAGCACGATCTGAAATTCGGAGAGAGCGGAAAGCACAGCGAGACCGAGGGAGATACGTAGCCATAACGCAAAAGAGGTAGATGCACCGTAAGTGATGAGCTAGCGCTAGTGTGATGCGGAGCACGAGCACGCTAGCAAAGCAAGTTGTCCGACGCAGTCACAGGAAAGATGACAGAAGGCTGTGACGCGATCGCTGGCTCTGGGGCCCGAATCTCCTTAGAGGAGCATCGCCGAGAAGACGGTCGCGGCGACGCCGGCCGCAACCGAGAGCGCAGAAATAGGGAGCGACGACATCGCACCATTCTTACCGGCGGCAGCCGCGGATGCCGACGACGACGACGACGACTTGGTCGAGGTCGCGATCTTGGAACCAGTCGTCGACGCAGAAGCGGCGGTGGAGGCGCCGGCGGCACCGGTGGTCGAGCCGATGCCTGCGGAGCCGGCGCTGGAAACCAGCGCACCGACGGTGCTGTTGAACGTGCCAGTCATACCGGTAAGGCTAATGATGTTGCCGTCAATCAACATGCTCTGGCCGAAAACTGTGCAGAGTACATACGTAAACTTCGACGAGAACGACTGCTGCATGTAAGGGGCGTTGGTGGTCGACGTGAGGTTGAGCGAGTCGAAGCGGACAAAGCTAAGCGCACAAGGTTCAGTAAACAGGCGCCAAATTTGAACGGAGGCCATGCCACTCACTAGTACTGGCCGTTGGAGCCCATGGAGGCATCGGGGGTGAAGACAATCGAGCTGGTGGTCGCGACATCGACGCTGGGGGTGATCGACTGAAGGAGGACCTAAAAACAAGACGTGTCAGGTTCGGATCAGGCACTATCGCCGCGCATGCCTGCATCACGCCGCGCTGTACATCGGGTTTGACAAGGACAGGTTTCTCGTTCCCTTCGAAGAGCGCAGTCCCAAGACATCACAACGAGCAAGCCTACGTCGCAGTAAGACGCAGGCAGCCATCCCAGGCTCCGTAGTATGATGTCCCGCGGCCACGGTCAATAGACCCCAGGAGAGTTTTCTTGACGGAAACCATGCCTGCCACCATTCCTCAAACCAGAAAAGGTTGTTGATGCTCACCTGCGACGAGGAGGAGCCGACGTAGATGCCAACGCTGGCAGAGCCCCAGGAAGCGAGGGCAGGGTTGGTGCCGTCGTCATTCCACTGAATGGTCTGCTGGGTCCCAGCAGCCCACGAGGTAGCAGCGACGGGCGCGGTGATCTGTCCAGCATATATTAGCGCAGTTTCTTCGGACATACACAGGGCAACTCACGTAGATGGTCGCGAGCGAAGGGACGGCCGCGGCGGCGAGGACGAGGAAGGAAGCAGCACGCATTGTGATTGATTAGTAGAGGTTTTGTGGAGAGCGTCGAAGGAGCGGGTGGGTTAGAGAGTGGAAGGTGCGCTTAAAAGCAGCGGGGGACGGGAGGCCTGGCGGAGGGCGGGAGAGCTGAGGAGAGAGTCAAGACGATGTCGAGGACGAGTCGGTGGCCTGACGACCGATTTTGTACAGTTTCCGGCGGAGTTTCAATTCACCCGTGCCTGGGCCATTCCATCGACCCCGACTCCGAGCAAGCGCGTTCGCCGATCGCAATTTCTGGCGGCGGTGACGGGCGGTCGCTCGCCGTCCTGGCTCGTCCCGCAGCGTGCGCGCGGCCAGAGAGGCCGTGCGACAGGCACCATGGTTCTGCACGCCGCCCACCTCGCAACACGAGCTGCGCTCACAAACCGAGTGTATTAGAACGACCACGACAAATCGACGGAGAGACAACCCATCTGAACGAAAGACACATGGCCCGGAGCCGCGCCACCATGCCGCAGCCAAGAATACTTGCTCGCATACTCCGCCCTGGGCCGTTCGCCAGTGAATCAGGACACTAGCCGCCGCAGCGCACGCCCAATCGAGCGCGCCGTCAAGCGGCGCTTGCCTGCCGCCGCGCCAGATCCATTCGCACTGCGCGCGGGACCATCCGCGTCTAGGGCCGCGGCGCTCCTGCCCGTCGTCGCCGTCGCCGCCGCCGCCGTGTCTCGGCGGTCGGCCATCGTCGCGAGGAGCGCGATAGCGATCTCCTCCTCGAACGCCCATCGTCCGGTCCCCCGACTCGTCGAGTGGCGCCGAGGATTGCGCGCCTCAGGAGCTGCGGCCCAGTCAATGATGCTGGGGCGCGACACGGACAGCCGTTTCCGGAGGTCGAGAATCTTGAACGCTTTCCGAAGGTCGCACACCACACTCCTTCGGCGGAGCGGCGGCGGCGCTCCACATCCTGCGGCGTCTTGATCGCCCAGAATGTTCGGAGAGGTCGGACAGCTGAGGGATTCGAGCCGAAGAGAGGAGAGATCGCACACGAAATTGACGGTTGGCCCAGAGGATACGGAGTTGATACAGCTGAAGTTTGATGGAGACATGTAACCGGCGAGACAGGGGGTATAAGAGATGGATTGTGACGACGGGAAGCTAGGAATGGTCGGAAGAATGGCCAACGTCCATTCGGGGAAGGACGGAAGGGAGGACTCCATGTCGGCATCAGCATGCGCTTGGGTGCCACAAATGTCGATATTCGATGAGTCTTCTTCTGAAGGATGTAGGCGATTAATAGCCTCCCCTTCCCCGTTACTGGTAGCGTATGGAATGTGGACCATGTCGTCACCACAGCTGGTCGCGTCTAGCCGACTGTCTTCGCTATCTTCACCACTGTATGCGCGCAAGTCTAAACGAACGTCATCTTCGACTTCTGGTACGAACTCCACGGTGAATGGAGGGTACGCCTGTGCCGCAATGTCGTCCCACAGGTCTTGTAGAGGATAGAGAAAGGGATGTTCCTTCGCCGCAGATCCATGCAGTCGTTCATCTGGGTCTCGAGCCAACAACTGAACCAAGCATCAGCAAAGTCCACAGACTAGACGAAGTGGCAAACGCACCGCTTCAGTGAAGTCGTCGAATTCCAGACAATGCGCCTCTTCCTCCCGCCTCCACGCGCGCTCGCTCGACGCGTCTTGCTCCAGCCGAGCGTCGCCCAGGGCAAGCTCGCGCAGCATCACGCCAAGACTGTAAAAGTCGACGCGCTCGTCGTACACGAGCACACTCCGGTCGGCCGCCCCCGGGGGTGCGTCCAGGATCTCGGGGGCCGCGTACCGCCTGGTGAAGGACAGTTGGTCGTTCGCGCTTAGCAGGATGGGCCTGAATTTGCACTCCGGGTCCGTGTAACGAGAACTCCCCCAGGCTGCGTTGCTCGAGAAGTCGATGCTCTGGCTCTGGGCGACGGTGTGGGAAGACGGCGCGAGGTCGCATCTGGGCATAAAGTGTGCAGAGCCGAAGTCGGTGATGACAGCGTGCCCGTCTGCGGAGACGAGGATGTTCGCAGGTTTGATGTCCTGGTGGACGATGCCGAGAGAGTGGAGGAACAGTAGTCCAAGAATGAGCTCGGCGGCGAGGAGATGCATAGGAGAGACGCCGTCGTCATAGAGTGTTGTAACCGCGCAACTGGAAGGAAACGCTGCAGGCAAGGAGACGGAGTTCGAAAGAGGGACAGCGCCGTCAAGGGGCACTGGGATTCGCAATTGCTGCTTAAAAGCAGAATGGCTCAGAGCCCCCATATGGCGTTCCTGTACGCAGAGCGTCCCTGTCAATGAAAGGCTTCGGGGAACATGTTGTGTGCACTCTCACCAGAACGATGAATATATGCGCCTTTGTTTGGAAGGTATCGTAAAATGTTTGGAGAAAAGTGGACCCGTTGCAGAGGGAAGTACCACCAGCGAGCATACGCAGGACGCGGATCTCAGACCTGACCTCGTGTGCGTCGTCTCTAGACATCCCCTTCTTGTTGAGGACCTTGACTGCCACATATGCCGAAGGGATCCCAAGAGCAGACATGTCTGCGAGCATGACCTTCCCGTAGCCGCCGCGGCCCAGAGTGCCGTGGAATCTGAGCGTGGACAAGGGATCGGGGGCTGAGCAAAATGGTCGACCGCCAGATTGCGAAGTAATCGGATACGAGACATGGGCTGGCGTACAGTCGGAAAAGACCTCCGGCAAGCCAGATAGATTGTTTTCGACTCCGTGTCTTGAAGGGGCCGGAGATGATCTGAGTGGTGCAGGGGCGTCCGATCCGTCTCGCCAAGAACAGTCAGGGAATCCGAAGGAGCTGAAGATGTAGCTAGAAGTATCCCCATGGGAGAAGTTTGCCGTCTGCAAGGACTGAGGATATTGAGGAGAGATGAACGATGGGGGACAAGGCCAGTGATCTCGGAGACAGTCCAGGCCGTCCGATCGGGAGTCGGTAAGGGAGAGAAAGTCTGAAGACCGCGCTAGTAGGATAGGAAGAGATCCTTGAGAGGATACAGCTGGCTGCGGCGCTTTCGACGACCGCTCTGCCCGAACGGGCTCGTTTGATCGAGTTTCCATGCGCGCTTGTCCGGGGATTCCCAAGTCCAATTTACGCGAGTACCAGACGAAGACCACCGAAGGAGGGTAGATAATCTGACAAGGCAGTCCTTCAGCCAGGAAAGAGGTGCCTGAGACAAGGAGATGCGAGTGCCACTAGAGGCGAAACCACCGAGATGAAGACGAAGAGAAAGGTTGTGCAGGGCCGTCGGCGTTCAAACCCAGTTTCCAAGTCGGGAGATTACATAATCCTTCCGTTTGGGCCAGCGCTAAGCGACGCGTGCCACAGGTTGTGCTGAACTTGCCCCACTCGTCCCTCAACTCTTCTCACTCTCTTCCGTTTTACCAAACCCTGCTTCTTGCGATGTCTACCGGGCCGTCGACCTCCAAAGCCGCCGAAACCCTTCAAAATGTGGCTCAAGCCGCCGACGAGTTCGTCGACAACATGAACCCCGGCACGGAAGACGACGCCGGAGAACAGGAGGCTGAAGGAGACGAGAACACGATGGAAGCTCGGAAGAAGAAGCTCGAGGAGCTGAGGAAGCGCATGGTGTGTCCTTTATATCCATTGTGACTTCAGCCACACATCCTCACCCGGTTATCCGAGCAGAGGTCGTCCGCACAGGCCAACCGAGCCTCCGTAGTTGAGGAGTCAGCGAAGGCGAGGATCACCGCCCGCGAAGCAGCGCGGATGGAGAGGCAACGCAAGCTTGCGGAGACGTTGAGGCAGAAGGCGGACGCGGAGGATCGTGGGGAGGACGTTGAACGGCAGAAGAATTGGGAGTACACCATCGAGGAGAACGATGAGTGGGAGAAGAAACAGGCGCGGAAGGCAAGGAGAGCAGACTTCTCGTTTAACGGTGAGTACCGCTCTGGAACCTCAGTCTGGCCCGACATGTACGAGAGACGTGTTCCTCATCTTCCGCATAGACGACGCCGATGCTGCGCGACGGAGATACAAGAAGGACCTTGACCACATCAAACCCGACCTGGAGAGCTACAACCGGCAAAAAGAGGTTGCACTTGGGTTGGCTCCAGGGACGCTTTCAAAACCTGGCGCTGCTAGCGGGTCGTCTGCCGTGACCAAATTCGACCCGTCCGGCGGGGCATTACAGGTATGCATCTCATGTTTATGCTATCTTCCTGTTCTGAGCTCATTGTCATGTACCAGGCTGCGCCCACGAGCTTGCAGCAACAGCTAGCAGCAGAGAATTTGTACCGTGATGCGAACAGCTTACTGTATGCGGACAATAAGCCCAGTGAAGACGCTATTGATCGAGTCATTGGCAAGATCAACAAGGAGTACGTCTTTTCACCGGTCGTTGTGATGCCGAGAGCTCATCTGGCCCTACAGCGTTGACAAGAAGAGCAAGTTCTCACGTAAGCGTCACAATGAGGATGAGGGCGACATCACGTATATCAACGAACGGAATCGTGTGTTCAACAAGAAGGTAAGGAGCACCGTCATGTCTACAGACACGAGAAACATTATTGACTTAACTTCCCTACGACAGATCGCTCGATACTATGACAAGTACACCACTGAGATCCGTGCTAGCTTCGAGCGCGGGACCGCTCTTTAGCATGAGTATGCTATATCTCAGATGTTGTCATCTGTACCGGACATCGGATGTACTCGTAGATGCTTTTGTATTCTAATTTATTGTACGTGAGCAAGTAATCGATGTTGTCGCAAGCCCAAAACGATCACGTGCCTCTTGTTGAACGCGACATTGTGCGGGACAGTGAGCGCGTATATCTTTGTCTTTGTCCTCAGCCACATACATCCCCCCTCTACTCGACAACTGTCCAGTGCTACCACAATTTATCCATATCACGCTACCTGTTCCCCCCTCTCTGCATGCGCAAGACAGCCCACAAGGATGCTTCCGGCAATGAGTCCGCTCGCCTCTTGGAAACGAAGGTATGTCTATCCTCGAGTCTGTGAATGCATGACGCACTCCTCGCACATACATCCCCTGATGCATTTTTCAGATGAACAACCTCCGTTGGGCCAATAACGATCTCAACAAGCAAGTCTTCGCCGCCATCCAACGCGGTCATCGCCTCGCGGGCAAGCTCGGCTACCGAGACCTAGAAGAGGCCGAAGCCGCCTTGGCAACCCAGCTCCCCGAGGCGCAGCAGAGCCAGCTCGAAGAGTTATCTCAGCTTCCTTCGGACGAGCTCGCCGAACATGTACAGGCGTTGCAGGCCGAACTCCTAAGCCATGTCCAGCTGAGCAAGGCGACACTTGAAGCCCTCGGAGATGCCTTGAAGGCGCTCATGGACCTACGCGCGGAGAACGAGAGGTTGGTTCAGACGCTGGATGCCGAGAGGAGGGAAAGGAGAGCCAGTCGTAGTGAGGATGAGGTAAACTTTGGTCCATCCACCACGTCCACGGAGAACCCCGCGTCGCTCGCGTACGCTCGGGCAGAGCTCGCTGCTCTGCAAGACAAGTACGCTTGTCTTTTACGGGCCAAGGAAGCTGCGGAAAAGAAACATGCAGAGGACTACAAGCGGTGGAAAGAGTTCAAGCAATGGCTTTTCGACGAGAAGATGAAGATCCTGGAACGCCCCTCCAAGCGCAGGAAGTTCAGTCACGGAGAAGATGATGAAGGCGATGGCAAGACAAATGCAGGCCCTTCCCGTTCTAAGGTCCGGTCCCCTCGTTCGGCCAAGATCCTAAAAGGAGTTGGCAACGTAAAGCGGAAGCTAGCCCTTGATGGGGTCCCTTTATCGGACATCGACTCGCTGCCTCCTGGTGAGCTTCGCATGTCTTACAGGTATACACAGTCTGATCGAGTGTTCCGTTCGCAGCATCTATACCTCCTGCCCCCTGGCCAACCGTATTGACGTCCCGAGACCTGAACACGGTCCCCTCAAACACTGCCATTATGCTAGCCTCGCCGGAGATCAGGACCGTCATCATGGTGCCTCCGCTCGAGGCCTCGGAAAGTGTTGAGAGTATATGCGACAATCCCGTGCTCGGGTCGTCGCAAACTGAACCAGATCTTGAGCGTAGGTTGAATGCACATCTCATTGCTATATGCACGCTCAATCGCCCCTCTCAGCGGTGTCTTTCCTCTATCCATCCTTGCAAGAGATCGCCCGCAGATCATTGACCATCCCTCGCAAACGTTCCCGTCTCGACGCCTTCGATCAAGAGCCATCAGACACCGAGCTCGAGTCTCAAGGTGAGAACCGTCCACTTCAAGTGGATTGACGTATCTCACGGCCTCGTGTTATTTACAGCGCCAAGTTTCCTTCTCCCGTCACAAATTGTACCCATCACACCTGCGCAAATGGCAGATGCGACACCCAGGCCTGACGCACCGCCATTACCTGCGGCTCAGCTGATGACGCCTGAGACGCTCCCTCGCCTTCAAGGCCCTGGGAGGCGTGTCAGCAAGGCTCCCGGTCAGGCCGCCCTTGTCATCTCCTCGCCGTCGTCATCGTCCGACCCTCCAAGCACGCCTACATCGCGTCGTTCGAAGAAAGCGAAAGAGCGTGCTGTAGAGAACGACGAGAACGCGGCCACATCTCCTGAATCACATCCAGGTCCTTCCGGCAGCAAGAACCGTCCTGCGGATTATTCGGCGTACAAAGGGCGTGGTCGTTACGCCGCCTTGAACAAGTGCGTTTTATTCTCACACCGTGTCCTTCCTTTGCTTACTGCGTGCTTAGGGCGGATAAGGAGACGATCAATGCGAAGTTCGAAATCGATCCCGCGCGGAACAACGGCGTCGGGTACCAGTTCGACGAGGTAGTGCGCGACAAGGAGCGTCGCAGGCAGATGCACGGGCACGACTGCGAGTGTTGCCGCGATGTACGTCTTCCCATGCTTCTTGCGCTCCCTGCTGATCTGGGTTGGCAACTCTTAGTATTACGCGGCTCTCAAGCCTCCTCCCCCGCGTCTGCAAGCCCCAATGTGGCGATCTCCGTCGTCGTCGCCCGTCAAGCCCGTGGCAGAGGCTAGCACGCACAAGCAGACGGTGTCGCGACATCGCGCGACATGGGCGCGCGCGAAGACGCCGCCCGGGTACTGGAACATCGGCTTCCCGGACACGCAGGAGGTCGCAGCGCTGAACGCCGAGGCAAACCGCATGCATGCGGAGAAGCGCGCGGCCGTGGCGGACGAAGCTGAGTAAGTCTGCGTTCTTCCTTCAAGATGTGTCCGTGCATAACTGACGAGCGTTGTGGCAGACGGGGTGGCAAGTATCGGAAACGAGGTTAGAGGACGGGGGACTGCTTTGGTTTATGCTCGCTCCTATCGTTATGCTTCATCATGCTCTATGCACGCTTACAGCTCTATATTGCATCATCTATCGCGCCACATATCTGCGGGCGAAGTTCGGAAGAAGGGCCGGTGTGGGAGAGTCGTTGGACGTAAACGACGCGTCCTTGGCTCGAGCTCTCCTGTCGCTCATCCCCGCGGTCCTCCGAACGATGCAAGGCTCATCCGATGTGGGTTCGCGATACATTCCGGCCAAAACCCGCGAACCCATCATCGACGTACTCGAAGAGCCGTAGGACTTCAAAGCAATCGCCAGGTGCATCCGCGTCTGCTGGGATTCACTACCTACATCTCTGGCGCGAAGTCCACATCACCAGCTACTCCCGTCAACAGGCACTGCCACTCGCTCGGACGCAACCCAGAGGTTCGAACGCTAGTCCATGCCGTATATGCCATTCCCCAGATGTGGGAGTGCTTCTCCGCAGCCCCCGCGTGGCGCCGCACGGGAAGCAGTTCGCTGCGGCACTACCCCCCTCACGGACACCTCATCCTATGCTTGGTTTCCAAAGGGGACGCGGCCCATTGGTTACTCGCCCTGGAGGCTTTCAATACCAGCTTTCAGAGGACGGCTCTCGCATCATCGCCTTTGAGGGATGGGAACGCACTGTCTTCGGTGCGGTTATGGGTGCCATAGTGTCCAGATTTTCGCGCACCACATCCGACGATCGGTTTGCTTTTTCAACGGATTGCAAGATGGCGCCGCTCCACAATATCTAGACACTCGAGGATGGAATCCTGGAGCGTAGACGCCAACGTGAAGCTAGGTCTCAGCAGGGGAATACAGTGGTGACCAAGATCTCGAGATATTCCACGGCGATCGCATCTGCATGGGACAACGGACGGTCTCATTCCATGGTATCGAGGAGCTACTTTCAATCAAAGCGGTAGATACGTTCGTAGGTGGCGTTGGATTCCTCCATAAGACGAGGTCGAGAGGGCATGTTCACTTGACATCGATGACAACGCAGCGCCGTGATGGTTTTGGGGATGTTGTACAAGCGAGTTCGCGGAAGATGGAGAACATGTCGATCGATTGGGTGCAAGATATCTAGATAGCACCCTATGTACGCAGCCACGCCGTCTTTGCCAGCTTTTTCTGCTTCTTCTGTTCCCTGAACCGCTCCTTCGCCCCTAGAATCAGTACGCTACAAAGAACGGTTACCACTGCCCCGACGGGAGAGACTCACCAGGTCCTTCTTGGCGGCCCTTCCGCTTCTTGCTTTCCTCCTCCTGCGCCTCCTCGAGCTTGCGCTGCTCGACCTCCCGCTCCCACGCGTTCACGTCGAAGTAGAACTCGTTCATCCGCTTCGCGCGCTCGTACTCGGACAGGTGCGTCGGGTCCCGCCCGTCCGGGCGCGTGAACGCCCCCGTGCGGGCGTTGAACTTGGCCGTGTATGTACCCGCCCCAGGCGCCGCGCCCGCCGCGGCGAGGGACGGATCGAGGTGGGCGAGTGCGGAATCGATGCCCTGCGCGGCTGCGGCCGCGTAGACGTCGTAGCCGCCTGCAGCCCCAGCCGACGACGACGACGACGACGACGACGCACCCTCGGTCTCGGCGGTGTCTTGCGCCCCGGTCGCGGCAGACGGCCCCGCCTCCGCGGAGGGCTGGAGCGGGTTCGTCCAGGTGGTCTCGTGCGTCACCGAGTTGTAGAAGTAGTACGCATTGTGGGCCGGCGACCAGACTGCCTGCCAGTCCTGGGGCGACGGGGTGGTAGAGGTTGAGGAGGACGCTGATTCGTGAACATCAGCAGGAGTGGCGGCGGAGGCCGCGTCCTCGGCGCCGGGCGCATGCGTTTCAGGCAAGTCCGTAGGGTGACCTGGAGAGCAGGTTCCGATTCTTCGTGCCCAGATGGCGAGCGGGGTGCGGGGGACGTGGGAGCAAGAACGGGGGACGGTGGACGGGACATGGAAGGCGGGGAGCAAGGCGCTTCGAAGCCGCCACAGACCTTGCCATCGTCTTGCCCACCACCTTGCCATCGACCCCGCCCGTGCGTCGTGCTTCTCACAGCGACGACAGACTCTGCCGAATGCCGCGCTCAGATCCTTGAAGAGTAACCCCGCCCGGAACTGATAGCCATGCACAGGTGCGCACGACCACCGCGGCTCCGGCGCAAGACGCTGACCCCGCTCGCTGCTGCAGACGACGGCGGTACCCCATATACCAGCGTTCACAGCCCGATTGCCTCGACGACGTCGTCCGACATGGCCTCTCCAGACCGCCCGGGCCACATCCTACTGCCCCCGCCACTCCGCTCGGCGATGGAGAGCAAGCCAGGCCCAACAGTACCGACCCGCTCGTCGCCACGCAGGGCTGCACGCACGATGTTTCCTTTGACACACTCTAAACCCCGCAGGCGAGCATGTTCTCCTACCCACTCCCCGTGTAGAGTGAGGGCTACGCCCGTACACGGAGAGCGGGACACAGGCGCTGGAGTAGTGCCCCCACGGCCTCATCCAGGACGGCGACGAACTCGTCGTCTTCCGCGGCATCGACCCGGACGACTTCGGTGCGTCCAGCTTCAGCCCCACTCTCGTTATTGCATCTGCCGCAGCGGACAAGGACTACGACCTGTACCGCGACGACGCGCGCGAGCTCGTACACTCCATCCAGGAGAAGTGCGTCGAGTACGACCCGGAACGGAAGCTCTCCATCATCGTCGAGTACATCGCCTGCAAGGTCACCTGGACCATCCACCGGCATATCGCGCTCTACCGTCCCGACTCGCTCATCGTCGGCACCCACGGCCAGCGGAGCGTCGTGTCCGCCTGGGCGGCGCGTTTGGGGCTTTGTGTTCTCGCCAACAATATTGAATGCTGTTGTGCCTAGTGTTTTCGTGGTCGATCACTTGGAATGGGGCGGATGTTTCACTGGGGAAATTTGCGGAAGTCACTGGCAGCACATTCCTCGCAGACCAAAAGCATGTATACCGCATCGCAAAAAAGGTTACACACTCAAAATGGCCAACGCCGGGGTCGAACCGACGACCTTGGCGTTATTAGCACCACGCTCTAACCAACTGAGCTAGTCGGCCGTTATCCTACCGTGTTAAATTTATGTTTATATATCAGTTGTGCCTTGCAATCATTCTGTTGAGGTATGCCTGCCTAGAGGGGTTTATGGGGATTCGTGCTTGTGTAAATGTTGAGAACACGATATGTGTGTAGAGTATCAGTCCCTGTTGAAACCCCGACATTTTCAGGAGCAGAGAAGGGGTTTGACGCAGCGTATCAATCCTACAGACAGACCCTACCTGTTTGTTTTATTCCCGTTTTACGCCCTCGAGGACCAAGCCCTATGGTGACCCGTGTCGCGTTAAAGACGTTCCGACGCCCACCGTCGCTCGACATTCCGTCCACGGCGGGCCATCTTTTCCAGCGCCGCCCTAACATGGGGCACGAGCTCCGTGTAGGGCATCCGGTGCAGCTCCGGGCTGATCTTGCACACGTACGTCCAGCCTGCACGGCGCACGCGTGAGCGCGCAGCATGCAGAGAACACGCAGAGAGCGACGCACCAGCCAAGACCCATCGGTGCCTCGCGCGCTCCTCGTCTAAGATCAGACGCGGCCCGTCGTCGGTCCCGTTTATGACGTCCGCCCCGCGCGTGACGACGAGCGCGCACGCGGTCTTGAGCCGGCGGAGGGCGTCCCGCTGGTAGAACCGGACGCCGAGCAGCTTGTGCACGGTGGACGCGAGCGGCATGTGGACCACGCTGGGGTCGTCCGCGTCCTCGCGCAGGGTGTTCGGGCTGATGAGGTGGGACGGGGGCGGTTTGTAGAGGAGGCCGGTGGGGATGGCTCTCATCATGAACGCGGGGGTTGTGAAGGATGGGAAGTCCGCCACGATGCGGTCGCCGTTCGGATGTCGCAAGAGGGGATGAGAGGGGTCGCACACCGACGAGGGTTTAGGCAGCGTACGATCGAAGGCCCATCTCCCAAGCTCTCCGGGGCTTCTCCTTCTGAACTGCGGGATATGCTCAAAGGATGCGCAGAAAGTGAGTGGAGAGGACAGGACGTACGCTCACAGAGAGCCTGGCTGGAGGCAGGTTCGCGAGTTCAGTAAGCCTCATCGTCATTGCCACAAGCCTTGTTGTTCTCCGGGTAGGGCATTGCCGGCGAGGACAATTCTTTGAGGTCCAGGCAAGCTGGAGGGTGGATGCAAGACAAGGTGTGACATGACGAACTTGCGCCTGTGTTAGTGTGTGACATTACTTGTTGATATAGTGACACATGTCACAAACGCATGCAAGTTTCCTTCGAATTCGTTCATCATCAGCTAATCGTACGTATTCACCCATCCAGCAACGTACCATGACAGACATGCGTATTCATCTACCTCACCACCACGCAATATATGATTGTCCAAATATTGGGCACATGGCAGGCATATCGTACATACAGTGAGCCCGTTTGCTACTATCGTGGTCGGACCAAGGTCGGACTCAGCACACGTCGTACGACGGCCCGTAGCACGGGTGTGGGCGACATGTCCCCAAACCGTTTAGGTTCTTCGGTGATTGTCTGAGACACATAGTAAGAGTTCACGAAAGTTCCTCTTTCTGACGACGAGCACAGGGTCGATGAGGAATCAGAGACAGGAGTCAGGACGGTGGAGAGCTCGGAGGATCGCCCTGAGAAAGTCGCCGAGCTCACAAAGACTTGAAGTTACTGGCAGACCTGTTATTACGGAAGATCTCAGAACTGAGCGGTGCAGTACGATGAACCAAGCATGCCAACCTATTACTAAGCGTCCCGATTGCAGTCTTCATACACCAGCGTCCTGCCTCCCTCGAGGCTGGTGATCTGCTGTATTCCACGGATGAGGGCGGCCTGGATCCTCCTTTGTCGTTCGCGTGCTTGATATGGATGTCAAAGGTGGTTCCGTAGTCGATGCTTTCTGCCCGCATTTTGAACTGCACGGCGCGATTGGCGCCCATGGACTCGGGCGACAAATGGTTCCTCATCAACCATACGCTGCCGTCGGGGCCAGATCAACCCGGGGCCGAGCGGACGGGTTCTGAAGCTCCCATAGAGGAGCTGCGTCGTCGTCCAGTCGCTCTCGCAAAGTCGTGACAATCTGATCGATGGCTTCTTTAGATTGAGACATGCTTCACGGACAGAATGGTGAATCAGCTCTGGTTCGCATTCAAAAAGCGTAGCACTACTTGAGCTGTACGAACAATGGACGAAGTTGCGACAGGAGGTGAAGGAGGAGTTGACGCCGGTGGTACACGATGCTGAAGCGCTGACCGTCTGACTCTACGGATCGCGATAGGCTAAACCCGGGCTGAAAGGACTCGGATTTCTTCCCTTAATAAGTACCCAGTCACCCCAGAAGGTCAGAAGCATTCAACTGCACCACGGGTCGCACGACGTCAGATAACTCTAACCATTGTACCTAGCGCGAGGAGCACGAAGACCGTAGTGGTCACGAGAAGCCCACTAGACAAGTATATATTACCTAAAAGCGTTGCCCGAATTTCCTGCATTCGGACTAGGCACCGGACCGCAAGCAGACCCAGCGCGCCGTCCGTGCACTCGGCCTACAACTGCACGCACCTGGGCACCCTCGACACTTGATCTCATCCCCTTTGATCCAGCGCACGTACCACCGTATCGGCCACGGCTGCCTTTTGTCCTCAAACGCACGATGGCAGAACTGTTGATCGAGTCGTCATATCCTCCGCAACGGCCGTCACAATGAAAAACTCACTGCCAGAAACGTATCACAGTCTTGTCCGAAGCAGTACATGTCGAACGCGTACGGGTCAAGTGGTGGTTCGTCTTCTACCATAAACCGAGTGAAGGGGATCTTGATACGACCCTGCTTGCCAGGTCCGAGAGGGAGCATTCGGGAACGTTCGAAGTCGATAATGTACGGTCGATGGCGCACGATGTCTTTCACAGGCTCGTCACCACGTGCCCACATGACGTTTTCATGGCAGAAGTCCTGTAGTTAAGGTCGATATTAGCCGCCATGACTGTGTGCGCTGCCGTACGGTCACATACGCAATGTGCAATCTTTGAGAATGCAGGTACTGAATTGCCTGTGGTCACTCGATGGCAACGATCAGCAGTAGTACTCGTCTGAACACCAACACTGCGTACCTCCAGAACTTGATCGAGACTGGTGAGACTTCTGCTCCATGACATGAACCTTGGAGAGAGTTCAAACTGGTCTCTTAGATATGGCAGCAAAATGAATGGGGGATCGTGATCGTCGACAATGTCGCAGGGAAGGGTATATCTGCTCGACGCGGGGTCTTCTTGCAGTCGACGGTAGATAGCAGCCTCGTTACGGTGGAAGTCCCGCATGAGCCCCAACGGATGGCACATGGGAGATTTCGCCACCCAAATTGGATGAATTTCTCTGCGTGAGACGTATAGCTTCCTCTGCAGGTGCTCGTAAGCCTTCCGAAGCGGTTGGGTGACACATCACAGTACCCACAGGGCGATAATCGTTCATATAAAACGTGATGCCTCGTGAAGTTATCGCTGGGTGTGTTGATAACCATACCGGAAGAATTTCGTCGAAGTCGTTCTCTTCAGAGTTCATAAAGGTGAGATCTTGTCGTGCACTGTGCCACCGAGTAACCACCACTGGTTGCAAGGACCGCGTGTGTCGAGGGAAAGGGACCAAGTTTGACAGGCGCCGGCGTAGTTCGTGCAAGCGCCTCAATATCACACAGGTCACCTGTGACAAGTCACTCGCGTGTTCAAGACGTCTCGACCCAATCTCGACCACCTGGTCAGGCTGCTCGGAAACCAATTGGCACGAAGGAAAAAAAAACTTGGGGTATCATCCATATTGCAGCATGCATCTTCGTACACGTTCAAATCCTCGTCGAGCACAGAAACAAACAGATAGCACGATAGCACTCCTCCTTCAACTCTTCGTCGCCCTCGCCCGCGTCGCCCTCGCCCGCGTCGCCGGCATCGGGATGCCCGACCCTGCGGCAGCATCAGCACTCGCCTTGCCCGCAGCCTTCGTCGCCCGCGTCGTCTTCCCCGCCTTAGCTTTCGCAGCACCCTTGGGAGGTTCCTCCGCATCGTCGTTCGACTCCGGGGTGTTCTCCTTGTCCTCAGGGACTTCAGCCTCCACCGCTGGCGCCGTTGCCGCCGCCCTTCCGCGTGTAGGCCCACGCGGGAGCTTCGACGCCGCAGCCGCGGTCCCGCGCTTGGCTCGTGCCCCGCGGGCAGCGGCTGCAGAGCCTTCGCCTTGGCTCTGGCTGCTCGGGACCCCCTCTTCCTCCGGCTCCTGCTTGACCTTGCTCCGCGTCCCGCGCTTCACCGTCTTCGCCGCCGGGAGCGAGTCCAGCGGGTCCTCGTCCGAGCCGTCGTGCACCGCGGCCTCGACTTCGATCGGCTTCGCGCGCGTTCCGCGCCTGGCGGGCGCGGTGGTGGTGGTAGGGGTCTTCGCACGGGTCTTCCGCGCGGGCTTGGACGGCGGCTCGACGATGTCCTCGGACTGGGAGGCGGCCGAGGAGTCTGTCGCTTGGCGGGTGCGCCGTCCGCGCGTGGGGGCGGCGGTGGCCTCCTCCTCCTCGTCCGTCTTGGGCTCGATCGGGCGGGCTCTGCAGCCTTGGCGCGGGTGGGGCGCGGGATCTGCTGGTTGTGGGTCAGTTGCGCTGCATACAACGAGCGTGCGGGAGAAAACGTACCCCTCCGACGGTGCCGTCGGCGGTGCGCGCCCTGGTCCTGCGAGTGTCGCGGGCGTCGTCGGACTCGTCCGGCACATGCGACGGCGCGCGCGTCGCCTTTGCCGGGGCGGACTGCGGCACCGGGGTGCGTCGGGTCGTCCGCCTGGGAGCAGGGGTCTTCTTCGGCCGACTGCTGCGCGCAGGAAGCTCCGCGACGACCTCCTCCTTCTCCCCTCTTCCTCCTCCTCCTGTTCGTGTGCCTCTTCCTGGGTTTCAGGCTCGGGTTGAGGCGGAGACTGAGCGCGGTAATCCACCGGGGTCGCCATCATGTCCTGCAGGCCCTCCATCCGCGGCGTCTCCGCCGATGGCACCCGCTGCGTGCGGAACATCTCGCGCACGCCCGTCATCGCAGGTGTACCCGCCGTCGCCGCAGGGCGGGCGAAGACGTGCCGCAGGTCGCCCATGTGCGGGGTGCTCGGGCCCGCTGCTGTCCTCCTGCTCTTCCTCTGCGTCGTCGGCCTCGGCCTCGGCGTCCTCCTCCTCGATGAGGATCCGCGACGGGCGGTGGGTGCCGGCGTGGTTCGGCGCGAGGAGAGAGAAGCCGCCGTCGCGCTTGCGCGGGCTCAGGCTCAGGCTCTGCCTGCCGAGGCTCTGGCGCTGCTTCACGCCCTCGACCATCTGCTTCATGCGCGCGAGGAGCACGGCGGTGTCCTCTTTCTCTTCGTCTTTGGTCGACGAGGACGGTTTGGGTGCTGTGGGTGCGGGGGACTCGTCCGAGGCGGCACTTGGTGCGTGCGAGCCTGGGGCGGAGTCAGCCGCCGCTGCGAAGTTGGGCGAGGGGAGCGGGGCGAGAGAGGGGAAGAGCGTGCGGCGCGAGCCGGGCGTTTGGCCCTTGAAAAAGTGGTCTGGGGTAGCAAGCGCGGAGCGTCTGCGGGCACGGATAGCCTGCGGAACGAGGTTCAGTACGAGGCGAGTTTCAGACCGCAGAGGGAGGCGTACCTCGCGTTCCTCGTCGGTAACTTTCTCCTTTGTGGGAGACTTGGGCACATGGAGGGAGGACGAAGCCGTGCTCGACTTGCTCTCGTTGTCCTCTTCTTTGACAGTGACAGGTATTTGTATCTCGTTGACCTTCCATGGGGTGATGACGCGAACCCGGCGTGGTCCGGAGTCGGCGGCGGCGCCCGGGCCAAGGGAGAGGCGGGGATGTTGGGAGTTCCTTGGGATCTGGGGCGACATGAATCGGCCCAAGGGTCGACGGGTTCCTCATTCTCATCTTCGTGCACTTCCTCGTCAGCGTAGTCGTCCCCATGCTCGTCTTGCTCGTTAAATTCTTCGTCTTCATCCATCTCCATGTCCTCTTCCACGTCTTCAGGATAGTCTTGCAAGCCATCTCCTCAAGCACGGGCTCTTCTTCCTCTCCTTGGGCTGCTTCCATGAGAACGACGCCAGCCGCAACAGAAGCGAGACTCACCTCACGGAAAGACCCCTGAACGCCCACCCCAGCCATCCCTGACCATATCCAAACTCTTCCGCCAGCTGCTCGGCTGCGGCTGGCCATTGGGCCCATCGAGCTCTTGGATCTCATCGTCGCCCTCCTCCGCAATCGCCGCAATAACGTCCTCGACCTCCTCCGCCTCCATCTCCTCCTGCATCTGCGCCTCGCGCTGGTACGCCACGCGCTGCGCCGAGCGCACGAGCACCGCGCGGTGCAGCGACGGCCGCGGCCGGCGCACCGGCGTCGCGGGCGGGTGCTGCAGCACCACGGGTGGCAGCGGCAGCGGAAGACTCGACCGCTCCTCCTCCTCTTCCTCGACCTCGTCGAGGATCACGAGGTCCCGGTCCTCCTCGACGACGCGCGGGGTGTCGCTGTGGACGAGGACGATGTCCTCCGCCGCCCCGCGCGCGAACGGCGTGCGCAGCGGCGACTGCAGCACCCGCAGGTTCTCCAGCGGGTCGTGGCTCGGGCGCGGGGTGAACACGTGCGCGCTCGCGATCATCGAGAGGCGGAGGGCGCGGCGCGGGCCCGCGGGCGTGGCGGGGAGCGGGGCGCCGCCGCGCGTGGGGGTGTCGACGCGCGCGGGGCGGAGGTGCTTCGGGGGGTAGAGGAAGCGGAAGCGCTTCCGGTGGACCTCGAGCACGGCGTGGTTCGGGAGCGGGACGGTCGTCGGGCCCGGGGCGGTGGCTGCGGCGGGGAAGAGCGGCTCGTCGTCGAGGAGGACGCCGTTCGTGCCGAGGACGACGAGGAAGGCCTTGCGGTCGATGAAGGTGATCTTGGCGTGGAGGGAGGAGACGGCGGGGTAGTAAAGGCGGAGGGAGCAGGACTGGTCGCGGCCGATGGTGATTTCTTCGTCGTCGATAGGGTAGGCGGTGACGACGGAGTCTTGCGCACCGCTGCGAAGGAGGCAGAGGGCGCCGAGGCGTCCCATATCGCTGGCGTCCATGTCTCGCGTCGGTCGGCGTTGATCGAGTTCGTGGTCAGAGGAGAGTAGCTCGGACTCGAAGAAGCAACTTGAACATCGGCCAAACGCGCTCTCTGTGTCCACGTGATCGTGACTGAAGCATCACAACACTGAATATATTGTGTATTAATTAAGGGACGTTGTCGGCCGACTAGCTCAGTTGGTTAGAGCGTGGTGCTAATAACGCCAAGGTCGTCGGTTCGACCCCGGCGTTGGCCAGTCTTTATGGGGCAGGCTATTTTTTATCTCTGAAAGAGGATCCTCGTGAGTCGTGACTGGTAGATGATGCTCTGCAAGAGGCTTCTAGCTGTCGCACGATTGCATCCTCCTTGACCTCGTACCACCACCATCCCCACAGCGTCTATCCCCTCCCCCCGGACGTTCCACCTATCCCTCAGTACGATGTCGCCCTACCCGAAGAAAGGTAAGGGCAAAAAGAAAGCCACCACCCCGGTCGACAACCACACGACCTGGGAGGACGAAGACGGTGAAGTCTACGGCGCCACCTCCACTGACATTGCCGCCGCGCTCGTCGACGAGCGGCAGCTCTCCACCCTCCTCCGCTACCTGGTCCGCACCATCATTCGTGTTGGTGGGTACACCGGGCCCTACGTCGACGCGGCCGCGGCCGACTACGACTCCCACCTCGCCTCCGTTGGGTCCAAGCACTCCAACGGAGCCTTCAACGCCCTCACCACAACGTACACCACGCTGTGCGACGTGGTCTCCGAAGCCATGCGCGAGACCATCTGCTACACCCGGGAGCGCGCCGCCGTGGCGGCCACCCCCACCTCCCCCCCTGTCTCCGGTGAGGCCATGGACACCACCCCGGTCGACAACCCCTCCCCCACGCCCCTCCCCGCCCCTCCCCTCCAGGCGGCGCCTCCGGCCCTCCCCCCGCCTGCCCCCGCCCTCGAGGCTGCCCCCGTGGTCGCCCCCGTGCCCCCCGTTCACACGCCTGCTGCGTCCACCGGCGTCGCGGCCCTTCCAGCCAGGCCCTTCGGGGCCCCGACCCAGCCTGCCCCCGGCCCTGCGGCCCCGGCCAGCGTCCCCGCGCCCACATGGGCAACGGTTGCACGCGCCGGCGCCAAGAGGAAGGGGAAGGGGGTAACCGGCGCGGCCCGCAAGGGTTCCGTCGCGCGCCCCGCGGCAGCCGCCGCTCCCGCGGCCCCTGCCCCGCCCCCCGCCACCGCTCCCGTCGCCCCGGCCAAGGCCGCGCCGACGGCGCTCCAGAACACGCTGGCTGCGCTCCGCCGCCGCCGCCCAGCCAGGTCTGCCCGGCTGGTCTACCTCCACGCCGCCCACGACCTCACCCACGCCCCCGTGTGGTCGAGCGACGCCAAGGCCCTCGAGGTCCTCCGCCGGGCCGTCGACTTCAAGATCGACCGCCTCTCCTCCAACCCCGCGCGCACGCGGTGGACGGTCGTCCCCGCGATCTGCCCCCGTGACGCCCCCATGTCGTGGGACGCCCAGGCCTCCGCCCTCGCGGACGCCCTCGGCCGCCTCCTCAACAACCCCCTGCGCGCCTCCCGGTACGTCAACCGGGTGTCGGTGCTGTACCACCATGTCGAGTGCTCCGCGCTCGACGACGCCGGCGTCCCCGTCGCCCTCTCCCCCTTCGACGTCCTCCGGGACGCCGTTCACCGCTCTGGTGACACCGCGTGGTCCGACGGCTGCGCGACGCTCCCCGACACCACCACCTCCGTCCGCTGGGGCCCCCACGCCGCGGACGCCACCACCGCCACGCTCTTCGTCGACGTCGTTGACGACGAGGACTACAAGACGCTGCGCGCCCTCAACGGGTCGCGGCTTCTCTTCGACATCGGCCCGCGCGCGTGCACCCTCGCGCGCGTGCCCGACTGCCCCATCCAGTGCTCGAACTGCCAGCAGTTCGGGCACGCGGCCGTCCGTTGCCGTGCGCCCCCGGCGTGCGGTTTCTGCGCCGGCCCGCACCACACCCACCACCATGAGGCGCTCGCAAAGCGCCCGGGCCCCACCGTCCACGTGGCGAAATGCGTGGTGTGCGCGGGAGCGCACCCCTCGTACTCCCCCACTTGCCCCCGCCGCCGGCCGAAGAACGGCGCGCGGGCGGCTCAGACCTCGCCCCCCAAGCCGCCCGCCTCAAAAGCGTGAGCGGCTTGCGAAGTACGGGGTGCCTTCCGACCTCCTGACGGGTGCAACAGCGGACGGGCCGCGACCGATCGAAGGGGGCCGCCGGGATCTATCGGATAACCAAGGAGGGGCACTCAGGTACGGGGGCCAAGAAGCGCACGAACTTTTTTCTCGGCGGACTTTGGTTTCGGAACACGCGCGCTCGCATCAGGGGGTGCCGGGCGCCTTCGGCCCGAGGGTTGAAGTCCGCAACTGCCTACGAGCGCGGTCCCGTGCCCACGCGGGCGTCAAACGAACGCGGGATAGTACCTTAGTCGTGTAGTTACATGTGCACCCTTTGTGACACACGGGGATAGGTTGAGAATAATAATAATAATAATAGCTGTCGCACGATTGGCGATATGTCATGTTATGGAAGTTTATGACATGCGAGAGGCTCCTCATATAGCGCCATTGTTTGTGAACGGTTTAGCAAGAGGAGTCACGTCCTTTGTGATGGTCGCGCGAAGAGCAGAGGCGCGAGAACGAAAAGGATGCGAGACTGAGGCTATCTATAGTATTGTAGACAGGAGTTGCGGAAGGCCTGGAATCACCGAACCAGTCATGGGCATGGATGATGGCATAAGTAATACAGTGGAGATGATGAATGAGACGAGTCGAGAATGCGAGTCGAGAGCCGAGACCGTATACAGTGACTGGGGTGTCGTGAACAGCAGAAAACAAGAAACATACAGTGATATGTGAACGCGATAGCGGAATAGTGGACCATGGCTGACAGGCCCACAACATCCTTGATGAGAAGCCTCATGAACTCATCGGCAGTAGTCCATCCAACAACAGCCCTCCCACCACACACTGCTCATCTCCGCAGGTGGGCACTGGAGACCCTGAGCAGCGTGCGCATCGGCGCGGGATCTGACTCTAACCCTCATATATCCACCTCTTTGTTCCTCCAGATCCTCGAGCGGCGATCGTCGTGCGGTCGATGGCCATGGCGACCGGTGTTTAGACTTCGTCGGACGCTCGCACGCGACCGAAGGGCCGCATTGTGCGGGGTACGTCCGTGGAACGTCTCGTCCGAAACGTCTGCCCAAAACCGGCGCGAAGGCCGCGCGCACGCCGAGGGGCGCGGGGCCGCGGAGCTGCCACGCGCGCCGGCTGCTTTGTCGTTGCGTGTTCGCGCGGGGCGCACAATGCGATTGTCTAAAAAAGTCTGGAGCCGATTTGATTGTGGGTGGACGGCGGGGTGTGCATAATAGTACGACAACGGCGAAGCGAAACGAGACGAGGGGACCAGTAGGGATACAGTGGGGGTGCCGAGAACGGGGTTCGAAGTAATACACGGGGGGTATGCAAGATGGCGGGGGCGGTATGCGCGGGGCCTTGGGACGGATGCATGTACTAGGCTAAGATAGAGCGGGGTGTACACTAGGGGAAGGCAAGCATATGTGAGGTCCGGGAAGTGGTATGGGGGTGATGCAGCGGAAACGAAGACCCTTTTCAGACAGACGAGCGGAGAGTGAGACCGAGAGAGAGGAGAGGGTGAGAAACAAGGCAGAGGCGGAAAGAGAGTAGCGAACAGAGGGAGCAGCCCAGCGACGCGCAGCGTCACCGAGCCGCGTCTCCCTAGAACCTTGCAGCGCGAGCCTCACGCCTTGTTCTCCATGACCTTGGTCATCGCCGCGAGCACGACCTCCCACGCGAGGTCCATCACGCCCCAGAGCTCATCGTCGAACACGCCGAGCGCGCACACGTTCTGCCAGAGCCCGTTGACGACCTTGATGTGCGCCATGAGGCTCGCCATCGCGGCCTGGCTCGAGCCCCCGCGCTGGAACGCGGCGCCGGCGAGCGAGTGCGCGAGGCGGACGAGCCGGTCGGACGTGAACTGGCCGACGTACGCGCGCTCGCCCGCGGCGCTCGAGGGCCCGCTCGCGGCGAGGGTCGGGAGCGCGCCGGCGAGCGCGGGCAGGAGCGCGGCGAGGAGGGTGTCCGGGCGGAGGGTGTGCAGGTACGCGTGCAGGAGCGCGAACGTCTCCGGGCTCGGGACGGTGAGCGGCACGATGGGGAGCGTGAGCCCGGCGCGGCGCGGGGCATGCGGGTGCGAGCGGGGGAGGGGTGGGAGGAGGGCGCAGTGGGCGGCCATGACGAGCGCGGAGGCGGGGTAGAGCGGGACGGTGGCGGAGGCGGGGAGGGAGGCGCGGTCGCGAAGGAGGCGGCGGTGGGCGTGGACGCGGAGGACGCGCGGGAGGAGAGGATGGCGAAGATGAGGGTCGGGAAGGCGAGCGCGTCGGGGGCCTGGGCGGTGGGGCGCATGGGCGCGTCCAGCGCGGGCGGAAGGTGTGCGCAGGGGAGCGCGGAGGGGATCGTCAGGAGCGAACGCGCGAGGATCATGCTGAGGAAAGACAGTCAGCGTTTGGGTGCGCGGGCGCAGAGGAAAAGACTACTCGCTTGCTTTGCTGGCGAGTATTTTCTTGACGTAGTCGAGTGGTACGCCGGCGAGACCCTTGTCGAGACGGGCGAGGGCGTCACGGGAGGGCTCGGAGAAGGCGGGGCGAGCGAGGAGGCGGGGGATGTTCAGCTTCTGCTCGACGGGGTACGCGTGGTGGGCCGAGGAGAGGTTGAGGGGCTCCGGGGCACGGCGGGACGCGACGTGGAACATGGCGGCGAGATGGGATGGACTTGGGGGCGGGGCGGGCTGGATATTAAAGGCGGATGGGTCCTAGCTAGACGTGGGACAATAGGATATGTGGGCGCGAGGTGATCGACACGGGGTGCGCGTGAGGGTGCGTTGCGTTGGTCGTCTGAGGCGAGCTGGTGGTTTCCTGCACTCGCCGCGGCGCTCTTATACATTGCGCACACCGAGGCCGTCGACGGTCCCCGTTCGAGCACAAGGCTCGCAGCGCAGGCCCAGCACATGGCGGACCGGATAAGAGGACGGCCAGATCGGGCTGCTCGTTTGTGATCACACACGTGGCGCCCGCGGACCCCGGCGCTTGCCCCAATTGGGTATGTTTGTCGCGCCGCCCGCGAGATCGCTCCCTCGACGCTCGCCGTCGCGCTCCCCGCCGCGGTGTGTCTTGTTCTCCTCGCCCAGACTGGCTCCCCCGGCGACATCGCGCGCTATCCCCGGCACTATCCTCAATCCCAGCCTGTCTTTGTCCCTCGCGTGCGCGACGCGTCTGACCCCTCCCCTCGCACGCGTCTGATCATCAGCGACCCCGCCAGCCACGCCCCCTCCAGCCGCGTTCTCGCGACAAACAAGTCCAGATCCGGCAGCGACGGATGTGGGTGGTCATCACGCCTTCTAGCCGACACGTTCTCTTGACTGGTCGTGACATCGATAGCCGCCCGCGGCGGATCCGCAGGCGAGCGCGTCCTGCCATCCAGCCTCTGGCTCTGTGTTGCTATGTTCGACACTCTCCGCGGTCCCGCCTTCCCTCCTACGACACCAATCTCCAAGCCCGCTGCTTCGATATGTCAAGACGTGTGTTGGGGCACACACAGCCTGCAGCATCATTCCTTCCTCGGCCACAATCTCACACTCCCATATGACGTTGCAGGGCAGGACGCCACGGGAAGACTCTATTCGTGCTGCTCACGCTCGGTATGGCAGGATAGCGTGGAAACCGCCGTCTCCGCCAGAGCAGCCCCAGAGAGTCGGAGCAGCGGCTATCGTCCGAGGACAAGGGCGCTCCACCGTCCGTCCGTCCTCCTCTCTATCGTCTGTGCTTCACTGAATGGGCGTACACGGTTCAGATACGCTGCGCTGCCCGCAGAATCACCCCCGCTGCGGGTGGACCACAAAGCTGCCATCCGTCAGAGTCTGAACCGCACTACAGTCCGCAAAGGGCTTCGACCCGCCCCCCTCCGCCCCCTCCGCCGCCATTCCTCACACACCGCCCTCCCACAGCCCAGCAGGAGCCCCCAAGACAAAAACGCGAACCTCGCCGTGGGGAAGGTGCCTCACGCCTGCCGCCTGTGCCGTGCGGCCCCCAGGCCCCGCGACGCACGAGACGGTCGCCGCCGGCTCCAGTTGTGGGTGCGTCTGTGGGTCCACCCCCGTGCGGCCGTGCGTCAGCCGCTCGCCTATCATCCTCGCCGCCCTACTAGCCCCTCCGTGCCATAGGCACCCGCCTCCGCGCGGGCGGGCGGCGAGACCGCGACGGTGCCTATCACGCCGTCGCGGGCCACGCCCCCCATCGCGTCCCATCGGACCCCCGCGCGCGGGGGCCCAAGACGACTCGTGGCTGATCGTCGACCACGGGCGAAGATGGCGGGTGCTCGCGTGCAGTCGACGTGCGCCGTGCCTAGCCGCCCCGGCCGTGCCAGTGGGCTTCGCAGCAGTGGCAGATTTCCTGCACTCCGTCGCACCGCCGCTCCGACGCCCCGCCGACCCCCTCTGCAGGCACCGCTCCCGGGTGGTGTCCACACCAGGCCAAGCCTTCTGTCGGGGCTTCGGGAGAACAGCGCGGACCGAGCAGGGTCACCGCACCTCGTCGGGGCGCCTGATCGCCCGTCGATTGACGCGATGGAGGGGGTACGGGCCAGGAGCCAGGCGCGAGGGCAGGGGCATTCCGCAGCGGGTGCAGTTCCGGGACGGTCCGCCGGAGGAACGCGGTGTTCCTGCGCGGCCTCAAGGTCGGGGACTGTCTATGGGCCACGAAGATCCCAGCACTCAGCACTGGGATCACCGCGGCCCGGGCGGACGGCCAGGCGTTCACGTCCACAGGGCAGGTAAGAGCCTCCGTCTTCTCTCTCGCTCTCAGCCGGTCGTCCGACTCATTGTCGCTCACAGCCGACCTGACCCGAAGTAGCGAGTGACTCGAAGACGCGCTTTGTTCAGTCGCAATCTCCCGACGTGCCAGAGCAAGGTTGGACACGGTTCGCGAAGCGGAGTCATTGTTCGTCGAAAGAGGCAGCCGTGGTACGTACATGGACACACAAGCCGGGTCTACTGGCGTTGTGTCTCACGTCTCACGTGCCCTTCTTCAGACGTACAGATTTGTCACATGTCGTGGGACTGGGCGGAATAGGACTTTGAGCGGTCCAGTCGGCGAGTCAGAAGAGGGTATGATCGCGCACCGAAAGCGCTTTCGTGGGGGCGGCGATCCTCCCGCTGCGTCCCGCGCTTCAGACCCCCTCCAGCGGCTGTGAAAGTTTGGGTTCTCAGGCCGAAGCCCGCGAGCCCATCACGCAGCCTTGTCCCAGTGCGTCCCACCTTGTTCTACGCTCGTCCGTAAGTGCCCTGCTCTCCGGCAGAGTTCGCGACACGTCTGAATCTGATGCTACAACGCCCTCGGTTTCACTGCAGACCCTTCTCTTACGCGACTGTTACCATTCCAGCCTGCAACGGGCACTTTGCACGCGGCGTGTTGTTGTTCGAGCGCCGAAGGGTGCTCATGCAGTCAGGTATTGTTCCAAGACTCCAACGATCACCCCATCACTGAACGTTACGCAGCTGCCTGCGACGGTTTACCAGTCTTTAGAAAATCCTGTCGCAGAAGAGGCTGGAAACGTCGCATCGCTTTCGCCGCCCCTCGCCTTCTTTGATGCTGCTCACCTGATCTATCTTCCATCGAGAGCTCTGGACGCGGACGCCGTGCGTTCACTGCCCAGCCCACGCGAGTCGACTCGGCGACGACCAGTACACGCCGCAGTCCCCGCGGGTACAGACACCACAGCCCGCTACGATCTGTGGACAGAACTCACAGGGTCGCCTGCTCCGTCGCGGGACCGCGACGCAGCCATTGCCACCGTCATTGCCCACAGAACCATCCGTGCAAACGTCAAGGAAGCATGATGGCGACACCGCCCCGCCGAGCGCCGAGCGGTCGTCTGGCCAGCTCCCACCTTTTGATCGCTTTCCTCCCGTCCTCCACCTCCAAGTCGCTCCCAACATGCCGCCGCTACCGCTACCGCTACGCAACGCCCCTAGAATCCAAAAGACGGCACGCGGAGGGGCAGACGACGTCCTCGCGAACGCGATCGCGGTGCTCGAGGCGATCAAAGACGGAGCGAGCGCAGTAGGGGGCGTACCGTTCGTCAGCGGCGTCGTCGTTGCGGTGCTGGGGATCGCCAGGGCCGTCGAGGTGTGTCTGTCTGTCATAGGAATCTACAGACCTTCGCGCTGACCGAACCTACCACGAACGCGATCGTGCGCTCGCAGCAAGTGAGCGGCACGAGGGAGGAGTTCGTCCAAGTCGCCGTGCGCGCCGCGGCTCTCACGGAACACGTCCAGAGGACCGTGGGAGCGGAGGGCCGGGAGCTGCGCGTCGATCTGGTCAGGAGCCTGTCGCGCTTGCACCAGTGAGCACCGCGCCATGCTTCTTCTCGCCGCGCTTCTCAGTCTGACGACCCTGCTTCCGCTGTAGGACCATGGCCGCGATCAGACGTGTAGTGGAAGTCGAGTTGCAGCGTGGACGCATCGACCGGTTCGTCCGTCGAGCGTCCATGGCGACGACGCTCAAGAAATGTGTCCGTGATCTCGACGACGCCTGGCATGCTTTTGATGTGCTTCTTTTTGTCCATGTCCGAGGACCGTCCCACTGACCTCTATACAGACAGCAACGATGCTCGGTGTTGAGCTAAAACTGGGAGAAATCAGCGGACGCATCGAGACGCTGAACCTACGCCATCGTGAACTACAGGTGTGTCCGTTGACCATTCGTGTCGCCAGTGATTGTTCTGACCCGTACTCAATAGCTCCCGCTTTTGTTTTGGGACAACGTCCAAATTGACGGGCTGCGTAGACGGTACCGGATTTGCGACTCGCACGAAGGGACGAGTATTGGGGCCGCCTCAATATCGCGTTGTACTTGTGCGAACAATATCGCGCAGGCGCGCGTCCTGCAAGGTGAGCTACAATGAGCTTTTGTTCCCATCGAGGCAGCCTTTGATGCGAACTGTTGGCAGAAGACTATGGTACCCTTGTCCGGTACCACCCCGATCGGTAAACGTCTTCGATCCTTTTATATCTACATGCATACTGAATCGGACATGCAATAGTCACGGCTTGCACCCGCGCCTCGCTCAAAACTCGGTGTAGCGCATCCGTCCCTGGAGCGACCGTTTTATGTCTTGGAGACCGGTGAGCAGTGGTCCAAGCATCTACATATCGCGCTCATGCTCATTCATTCTAGCTGCTATATCTCCGCTCGCGGACTTCAAAGCGATGACCCCGTCGTGTGGGTGTCAAGGTGGTTCCAACACGTGAGACACCTCTCCATTGATGCCTCATCTAAGATGATCTGACGCGCGCGCGACAGCTGTTAGACTTCGCGGTGCGCAGCGGCGGTATCGTCATCACGAGGACTGTGTGCTAAACGGCGTCTACAGAGCGTGCGAGAATTCGCTGCGAACAAGGCCGACGTTCCGCTGTTTGATGTACGACCATTCATCCCCGCTCCATTACCTCCCTCTGTGCTTATTTCTGTTACGATTCCCTTTAGCTTCGTCAAGGACAGGTCCATCGACACGAGCGATGTCTACCATCCATCGGGCTGAATCCTGAAGGACGGCTGTTCCTCGACGTCTCCGACATCTGTCACTCCCACATGGACTGTTTCCGCCAGTCCATCAGCCGGATGTACAGCGAAGTGAGTTGGCGCAACTGAAGCATTGATCTCGTATGTTGACCACCACCGTGTGCATCGCAACAGGCTCGTGATCTTCCCGCTTCAGAAGATGGTGCGTCATTCGAGAAGCGTCAGCTTTGTCGTCTTGCTTACGCCCAATACTAACGTCATTGTAGAGAGCCTTTGGTTCACATCGCTTCCCACTGGCCTCGCCGAAGAGGCGATCCGCGTCGTGTGCTCAAATGCCGACGCCTCCGCCCGGGGCGCCTGTCTGGACAGGGTGGTCGAGTCGGACTTGGGGTCTGTGCTATCCACAGCGCGCCTCGAGTGTGCCGGCGACGCGAGGCTCGGGGATTACGGCTACCTCAAAAGATGCATCGATGACGGGGAGCGTTTCGTACGCCTCGGTCACATCAGCGACCTCTTCGAAGAAGACGTCCTCGCGACTTGCGACCGCTCGACGATCTCTCCGGGGAACGTGTGGAGTCTCCCCGAGCGCCGGCCTTGGTCGAAGGGCGAGGTGGAGAGGTAAGAGACACCCACAGGCTCTGGTCACTGGGTATGGCTGACGTTTTATTTCAGTCACGAATTTCCTCGTTGTTTGGACGACGATGAAGGTCCGCGGGGCTACCGTGTGCTCAGCGTCGATCGCGCCATCGACCCCAGGTTCTGCCGTGCTTTCGTGTGGAAACATGCACCTCGCGTTTCCCGACAGCATGGTATACTCATCACACAGATTTTACTCGGTGAGTGTGACACGAGACGCGAGAATCATATGCTCATGTAACTGCACCGATCAGTGGACCAGGTCAACCACTGCGCCGTCTTCAGCGATGCCCATCTCATACAGACGGGCCGACGTGACGAGCGAAACTCCCATAGTTACTCCAGCGAGGACACGAGGGAGTCGGCGAATACCGATACGGCAAAGCAATCACGAAGCCTCTGGTTTCACCAGCTCCCACTCGACCAGGATGTGCAACCTCCAGACCCGTGGGGCTACTGGTCCGAGGACTCACAACCTGCTCCGCCGGACTCGTCGGCCCACCCGAACTCTCCAGCACACTGCAGGGGATGTGTCACGTACGCCGGTGAGCCGTTCCCCTCCACATCTCGCACTACTTGGCGCTGACTGTCTGCTAGACCGTTCGCCTACGTCTCCAGACTTCTGCCCTTCGAAGCCGAGCTGGTCAAGATGGTCAACCTGCTGCGCGACATAACGCCCACCGCCACAGAAGCGATAGAGCCCCGTTGTCGGGATATGAGCCTCGGTGTTCCCTCCGCTATCGACACGTCGTATAGTAACGATGCTCACTGCGTAAGTATGGTATCCCCGTCTCGAAACCCCTACGCTGGCATGTCTGACTAGACGCATGTAATCATTACACCCCGTCTCGTTCAGTGACAATTCAACGCTCCCCCCCCTGCTCGTAGGTAACCACTCACCTCCCGCATACTCGAGCGCGAAACACCTCGCAGTGCATCTTGTACTGCTTCAGCCAGTGCCCGCGCGTGGGCACACGCACGGCCCCCGTCGGGGAAAGGTATGCTTCGGCTCAAATAAAGGATTGAGTGCGGTCAAATTATAAACTGCTGTAGCTCGTTTGCGGGCGTCCATTGGGCGATACCACTGCCACGCCGACACTGTGCATGTAGACGACACTCGACCGACGTTCCATAGTGGCCTTCAGAAGGATCCAGCGGCGGATCTTGTGGTGGCGGAATCACAGTTACTGACTCAGTAGTTAGTGTTGATTGCTTGTAGCCTGTCGACTGGGCCCGCGGGTACCAGTATATTCAGAGCGAAGTCATGTATTATGTGACACTGGTACGTGACTGATGATATAGCGTGACACTCGATTAAATGCTGGTGACTGAGAGCCCTCGTAACATGCGTGCGTGGTCGCACGTAGCTCCATATTCTGTCTGAGAGCCTATTTCTTCCCCGCGAAGGCTCTGCGGCCGCCGGCCGCGCGGGCCTCCTCGAGCCTCTGTCCGCGCGCGCCGCGGGAGGACACCACTGTATGTGGCCAGGCAGCGTCTATTCTCTTGGTCACGGTGCATCACACCACGACCTCTCGGCGCGCGGGCGCTCCGGGGCCGCGCCAGCGTTGCCAATTTCCGAGTCGATCGGAGGGGTGAAGCGCACTTCTGTACTAAATGTACTTGAACATCTTCGTGGTAGGGCTGCGGCGTACACACCATCCTGCCACTCGTTCTCCTTCGGAGCTCGCGATAAGGATGCAAAATGTTCGTACCGAACACTCGCTTTCAGCCTTCAGCTCGTACTCGACTGACGCCTCATCTCCAAGTGTTTTCACCGGCTGGTTCTCCAATATCGAGGGGCAGTGCGATATCGCCGGTGACAGCTGCTGCAGGTTGATGATGAAAAAACGAGACTTCAGAACCTTTACACGAACATCCGCACTTTGGCCGCATTGAAGTTCAATCATATCAGAGGAAGCCGTCGTCTGTCAACTCGAAACGAGGATTCCGGACATGCGGACCGCTGATATCGCATCATTGAGATCGTTCTGGCCATACCTATACTAACATTGTCATGTTCAAGCCCGGAGTTCCGAGGTAGACCAGCGGCTCCATCCTCGGGCCCGTTGTCTTTCGAGCCCCAGTATAAAGCGACACTACATTCCCTTCCATGGATCCCAGGCTCTACTACCGTCATGTCTTTCTCAGGAGACATCTCTTCAATTATTGCTCAGATCCTCACCGGGTATGTGGCCTTCACGCAGGGCCGCTTCGAAAGATCGCATAGCTGAGCGACATCGTTTCAGTCAGGCCCACCTTTACAGCCAAGTGGCTGTCGCGGGTAAGTCTAAGTGAACCAGTGTCTCTTGTGCTAGGATTGATTGCAACATCCTCCTCAAGTATTAGTGGTCTATGAATATGCAACAACTCTTTCTATGGAGGTCCAGCTCTACTGGGAATTCAAACACCCCACCAGCGCGATGGCGCTGTTCCTCGCCAATCGGTACCTGTCTCTGGGATATTTTGTATTCCTGGGAGTCGTGACGTTCTGCAACCCACAGACTGAGCAGGTGGGTGATGCGTGGTTGTGGAAATACCGCTGCCAGATTTTACCTCACCTCACAGGGGTAGGGAATCGTCGATTGTCGTCAGACCGCGCACGTCTAACTGAATTATGGAAGCGCTTTGGCACTGTCATACACTCAGTACACCTTCGTTCTGGCTCTATACATCGTCTGGGCTTGTGAGTACCTCAAATTGTGTCTTCGGATAGCTCTCAACAGTCGACTTCCACCCCCCAGGCTTCTCTGGACTGCGGGTCCTCGCAGTCAGTCGGAGCAGAGTAAAAGCTGCTCTGACGTGCTTGGTTGCCGCGATCCCAGTTGTAGTCAATGCGGTATGTGTCGTGACGCTCGGGTACCAGGCTGAGCTCTGATTTCGTGCCAAGTATGATATCTCATTCCTGGCGGGTGCTTTCGTCCCTGGCGTGGGATGGGAATCCACATTAAACGAATCCGAGACTGCAATCCAAAGGTAGGCATCTGGGATTATCGGACGCACAAAACTGCAGCTGAATCGTGGGTGTGATGGGATCCAGATGTTCGTAAGACACACATGTCCGACTGCCGTGACACCATGCACCGACGAGCCTGCTCATTGTCCCCGGGGGCGGACAGTGACGATCATCTCCAGAGGCGCTCTCATCGCGGCGGACTCCGCGGTCGTCTGCGCCACCTGGTACACGCTCTGGCACTCTCGGAAGAACGCCGCGGCTCTCAACACCAACGTGCCCACGCTCTCCCACATTCTCCTGCGCGACGGTGAGCGTCTCAACCACTTTCCCCCCCTCCCGCTGCCGCTGAGCTCACCGCCGGGCATGTCATGACACCGTCCCATGGCAGGCACGGTCTACTTCATGTCAGTAGTGCGCTTGTGAACAGTCCGCGGCGCGGGCGCCAGCTCACCGCGGCAATACCACCCGCCTCACAGCTCGCTCGCACTCCTGAACGCGCTCCATCTCATCTTCACCCTGATCCCGGTGCGTGAGCGCGGGGCGATGCCCGTACCACGTGCTGATGCCCGGTGCGCATCGCAGCTCACCCAGACCGGTGGAACGAGTCTCATCGTGGTGTTCTCGGACCCGTGAGTGCTCCTCTTTGTGGGAGATGCGGGACACCTGAGGATGGTCTCGTCCGCTGCAGTCTCACGGCCATCCTCGTATCTCGGTTTCTACTCAACCTCCAAGCCGCGAACCGGGGGTTGTCCGGGATCGGGTCGACCGTGCAGGGCTCTCAGTTGGGCTCAGTGGTCTTCGAGCGCGTGGTCGAATGCATGGGAGGGCTTGTCGAGTTCGCAGGCGAAGAGGAACTCGATGACGACAACCAACAAGCGGAGAGCCCTGAGGCGGAGGCGGAGGCGGAGGCGTAGCACATAAATGGAAAGAAGTCATGGGCAGGATCTGATATTGTACGTATGTAGCAAGACAGTCAGGAAAAAGACTAGAAACACACGTCCAGGCGAGACAATAACGTTGCAGATACACATGGCGAACACCGCCGATGCTTAGCTAGCAGTGGCGCCCAGCACCCAGCGGTAGCAACCAGGAAGAAGATACGCAGTAGTAATTAGTCCGACATCGTCCAGGGAGCACCGCACCCAAGGCTGGGTGCGCCCTCGCCGATCCATCACGTCGTTCTCGTTCTCGCATCCATCCACCACCCGCAGCACGTTCAGTACGCAGGGGGGTGCGCCGACGACGCCGCCGGCTTGCTCGGCCCTTCATCAAAGTCCGCGAACGGGTCGTCGTACTTGGTCGTCTCCGATGCGTCGTCGTGGTCCTTCATATCCCGGTCCTTGTCCGCGCCCACGCCCATGCCCGCGCCGTAGCCCATCTCGGTCGGGGGCGGGCCCGGGGGCGGCGCGTACTGCGGCTGCCCGTACGGCGGGTACGGCGGGGCGTCGTAGCGCGCGTTGGGGTCGTACGGCGCGTTCCAGTGCGCGGGCTGCGGGCCGGAGGTGACCATGGGCCCACGCTGGACGTTCGCGGGCGAGGTCGGGTCGAGGACCTGGTGGTAGTACGCGAAGGTGATCATGGTGAAGAAGATGGAGAAGACTGGTGGGGAGTGAGGGTCAAACGGCGGTGAGGGCGCGCAGGAATGTGGAATGACGTACAGATCTCAAAGATGAGAGAGATGATCTCGTTGAATGAGTCTTTGTTCCACGCGTCGGTGCAGACTGGGGAGGCACGAAGGTGAAAGACGGGTGAGAGGATAGACGGGAACACACGCACAAGCCTGAGCTTCTGCCGCGTTGAGCGTCTCGTGTACGCGAGGGCCCCAGATGCCGAACCTCTGCAGGACGATGAGCCGGAAAGCGGGGATGCATGCGTGCAGCACGTACGAAAGTGACGCCCTTCCCTTGCACAACGTCCGTGCACTCGGAGATAAGATCGTTCTACCAAACCATCGAGCGTGAGTTCAACTCTATGCGAGCTACCCAGAACCTACGCACCTTGTAGATGAAGTGAATGATGACGCGGAAGAAGGACGCGCCGACCGTCAGGATCGCCGCCAGAATGGACATCATCGCATACAGGCGGACCAACGGTATCCGTTGCTATATCCGCCGCACGCAGTGAGCCATTTTGCACGCACCACATCCGCGGAGGCACGCAAGTGAGCACTCACCGTGACTGCAGCCATCAGACCAAAGACTTCTATAGCGCAGACGGTGACATAGATCACGCCCAGCGCGATGTCAAACACCGCGAACTTCGGCCAGCCATCTAATGGAATATCAGTGGGCGTGTTCCCAGAGCGCCGAGCGCCGGCGGGAGATGGAAACGCACTCTGCTTGTCGGCGTTGATGTCATTGAACGCCGGAATCTGCGGCACGACGCGCAAGATGTCAGTCCTCAAGTTTCCCAGAGTGGCACCACCCGCGCGCGCAGCACGGTGCACTCACAGCTCTGGGAAGCGTTGCACAACGGTCAACGCGAGGACGATGAGGGAGAGAAGTGAGGGACGTACAAGATCAGAGCCCAGATCGCGGTCAAACTCCCAACTATGTACCGCGGCGCGAGGACGAGTGTGAGGACCACTTCGCGGCCGGAAAGAAGCAGGGAGATAAAGAGACTTACGGATTATGACGACGGGTCTCAGACTGCTCTTGTACACTCGGGTGACCATCCGGTAGGTCGGGGGCTGCTCGCCCGCTGCAGAGGACAAAGACGACTGAGAGGACAAGATAGAAGGGCGGCGGAGGCGAACGTACGTCGTGAAGGGGGAAGTCGTGTAGGATTCATGGTAGGTGGTCGTCCAGAGTAGATCGGAAATCGAGGGATGGCGCGACGAAATGAAGAAAAGAGGCAGAGGTGATGCGCAGCGAGGAGCGGACGGAGGGGATGTATAATGGGGGCGGGAAAAAGGATCGCGCAAAGGGCGGTGAGCGGCGCCCGTCCGAGGCTGTTGGTCGTGGGGGAGGAGAATAAGCTTGAAATGCCCGCGCCCGGCTCGGAGACCGACCACTGCCTGTTTCCGATGTCATATCGGGATCCGCCATCGCTCCGCGCAGCCCGAACTGCCCTCTCTCTCTCTCTCTCTCTCTCTCTCTCTCTCCAGACTCCAGCGAGACCAAGGCAAAATGGACACTCAGGGGATTGAACCCTGGACCTCACGCAGATGACCTGGAAGATGCATGCGAAGCGTGCGCGCTACCACTGTGCCAAGTGCCCATGACATCACAGAAAGTAATTATGCATATCAATGTCTATTTTTGGCAGGAGCGAACCTTGAAGCTTCGAGCTTCAAATTCAAATCCCCTACCTTTCACCATCGCAGTGACCAGACCTAGGCAAGGAGTTCAGCGCTCAGTGCCCATTACAGAACGTTGGTATGCGCGTATATCTCGACGTCTTTGTCGGCGACCGGAATGCGCACGCCCTTACCCAAGCTGCATACGATGCCACCGTTGCCCTGCTAGCCAAGAACGCCGCAATTTACGGCCTGCCTTCCCGTCCTCCCGAACTGTCCGAGGAGCAACGAGACATACTCAAGGAGCTCGATGTACATGCCACTTTTACTTCCCCCAAAAACCCTCCACTGAAGCTCGGCCTCCACGCGTCGCCCGGCAACTCTCCAACTCGTCGGTAGAGCTCTCTGGAGATGCGGTTCACGCCACCGCCGCCGCTCTGCGTGGGAAGGATGATCTTCGGGCTCGACGACGCACCTGGCCTTTCCAAGACGACTTCCAACTTTGCTGCTCTCTGCACGGGCGAAAAGGGACCGTGCAAGAACGCCCCCAACAAGAAGCTGCACTATCTCGACTGTCCGATCCACCGCATTGTCAAAGGCTTCGTCGCGCAAGGTGGAGATATCACGCGCGGGGATGGCAGTGGGGGAGAGGTCTGTAGACCCCACGCTCTCAATGCTCACGCTCAGCTGACCTTTGTCGTCCGTTCGTCACCGCTGCAGTCCATTTACGGCGGCAAGTTTAACGACGACAAGGCGGGCCTAAAGAAGAAACCGGCTCGGGGGGCTCTCGCGATGGCGAACTCGGGGAAAAACACGAACTCGTCGCAATTCTTCATCGTGCTCACGGATGACGAGACCAAGATTAGCAAGATGGCGGGGAAGTATGTCGTGTTCGGCTTCCTGGTCGATGGCTGGGAGGTCCTGGACCGCCTCGACGCCGTCGGCGGCGGACCTGACGGAAATCCGAGCGAAGCAGTGTGGATAGGAGGGTGCGGAAAGTTATAAAGCAATTGATGTGGTATGTCTACCGAAGCCTCACCTGGCATATGACCAGCTCACGCCTGCATTCTCCAGACACATGTAATATACAGTGCCTGTGCCCAGGTTCATTACGACCGTCTATCGTGCGTCTGGGTGTGGCCCGTCCGCGACAGCGTGTGCTGCATTGTGCTGCATTCTAGTTTCTATTGGACAGTTGAGCCGGGCCCTGGGTCTGGTTCGTTCGCAGTAGGTTGCCGAGGTCCACGGACCTGACATCCCGTGTTCCGACTGTCTGCGCAAAGGCTCCAGTCGCTTGGAATGACAACTCTATCTCCCTCCAGATGCAAAAGCTAATGACGTCCTCGCACGCAACACCAATGCGCACCGCGCGAACAGGCACGACGTCTGGTCAGTGCCCATCCCAAGGCCCGTCCCTCCGGTATCCGGTGTCTAACCTAGCGCGCACGCCCCAGACATATAAGACGCTCCACGCATCGTCCATCTACCCTGCATCGACTCCTCGAGCAACATTGTTCTGCAGTCATGGTCTCTGCTTCTGGTCTCCTCGGGGTCGTGCTGCTCGCTCGGCACGGCGATCGTCTCGAGTTCTTCCAGGATCCTCTCACCTACAATCCGGCTTTGACGTTCTTGACTCCTCTTGGGAGCGTCAGTCTCCCAAGAATTTGCTGACTGCCCCAACATCGCACTCACCCACCGCTCTTCTCCCTCTAGGTGCAAGAGCAGCAGCTCGGCTCATTCCTACGATCCACCTACCTCGACCCCGCATCCCCAACGTTCATCGAGGGCATCATCACCGACGTTGCCAACATCACTCAGCTCGAAGTCCGCGCCGATGCGGCCGGGGAAGGCTCCGTCATATTGAACTCGGTGCAGGGGCTGTTGCAGGGCTTGTTCCCACCCACGAAGGACAACAACATCACCCTCGCGAACGGGACGACGGTTGTGGCCCCGCTTGGAGGATATCAGTACATTCCCGGTACGCCTAGGATGCCCCTCTGTCCAGGTTGTGGACCGTTCTCACCGTCATGTTGGTGATAGTGGAGAGCGTGGAGCCCAACCTCGACATCTCCTTGAATAGCTTTACGTCTTGCCCGGTATGTGGTGTGTGGACCGCCTGAAGGAGTACAGTATGCTTACAGAGCGCGTTCAGAACTTCGACAAACACATCCTCGAGTTCTACAATTCCGCGCCCTTCTTGAAAGAAGCTCAGGTCGCAGCTCCGTTCTTGCAGGAGCTGCAGCCCTTCCTCGGGAACAGGTCAACCAACTTCACGAACATGGTGCGTCTTTGCTGTCGTACGTACATGCTCTGCGGCTCAAACCAATTTATGTCCTACAGTTCAACGTAAGCACCCACAACCTCACCCACTACGCACGCGCACCGTGCTGAGCGCGTTCCAGATCTTCGACTTCGTCAACGTCCAATCCATCCACAACGCCACCTTCCTCAAATCGATCCCGCCCAACTTCCCCAAGCAAGCCTACGCCTTCGCCAACTTCCACGAGAACGGCGTCTTCACCGACGCCGTGTCCAACGGGATCGGCAACAGTGCGTAGTCCCGCCTCCCATCGCCGTCCTCTGCTTCTCTCTGACCCGTGCACACACTCTTAACCCCGAACTCGGCAGTCGCGATGCGGACGATCCTCCCCTCCGTCTTCTCCGCGCTGCAGCAGATGGCGACCGGCAGCGGCCCGCTCAAGCTCTTCCTCAGCGAGATCAGCTACAAGCCGTTCATCTCCCTCTTCAACCTCACCGGCGCCGCCGTCGCGGACCCGGGCATCGCGGGCATCGGTGCGTTCCCCCGCTCGTCTTTCCACTCCTTTCCGTTCCCGTTTCCGTTCCGACCGCGGTGCTGAACGACCATGTGGACGCGCGGGCAGTTGACTACGCGTCCGTCGTCGCGCTCGAACTCCGCGCCGGCGCCGGCGGCCCGACGGTCTCGATGCGGTTCAAGAACGGCACCACGGACGGCGCGCTGCACGACCTCCAGCTCTTCGGCGCCGACTCGGTCACGCTCGACCAGTTCGTGGCGGCCCTCGCGGTGAGTGCGGCCTCCGTGAGACTCAGAGAGATGCGGGGGGCGCTGACGTCCACGCGCTCGACAGCCTTCCGCGGTGAACAGCACGCAGGAGTGGTGCACGGCGTGCAACCAGACGAGCTTGCGGGGGTGTGCGGTCTTCCAATAGGCGAGCGGCGAAGCGATGAGGCACTGAGAAGGGACTTCGAAAAGCTACATTCTATACGACTATGTAGTACATACAAGGGGATTGCAGTGGTTTTACATCCTGTTGCAGCAACAGACGCACGACGTTCTCGTCATCCTCAGTAGTAATCTCCGGAGAGCATCTCGGTGGGGTGCATCATGCCACTGAACGTAGGCTGGCCCTTCGGCGCCTTGACGATCAAGTCTGCCTGTTGCCTGCACGTGGTGACAACATGGTGCTCAGCGAAGACGCATCAGAAGGGCACGATGAAAACGTACAGTCGCATGCGGAGGAGCAGCTTTCGGTTCGTCGCCTGCATCTCCCGTCCGGACTTGATGGCTTTCGCAAAGAGCGCCGCGCGCTGGTCCGTCTCCTTCGCTCGCAAGATCTACCCTCAAAAGTCAGCCGCCTCTCACTGCCCCACGGAGCACCCGCACGCACCTTGTTCTGCCGGTCGACCCGTCCCTTGATCTCGCCCGACTGGATGAGGCTCACGACCTGACGCTCCAGATCCTCGACCGTCCATCCAAACGCGACGCTCATGCGCTCGAGCCGGATGGACGCGAAGGGCTGGAAGTACTGGACGAGGGCCTTGCTGCGGATGAGGTTGGCGAGCGCGGGGACGTGTGCGCAGAGGTGGACGTCGGCGTAGTGGCGGGTCGAGTAGCGCTCGAGGAGGTCCAGCATCGTCTTGAACCGGTTGGTGAGGTAGGCCTCGATCAGCTCGCGGACGTACGGCTCCTGCTCGATGTAGAGCCCGAAGTTGTCGTTGTCGAGGATCTGGGCGCGGATCGCGCCGCGTGTGAAGGTCGCGAGCGCGCACATGGTCGCGTAGATCGCGAGGTCGCCTGGGGCGATGAGCTGTGCTCACGAGGTCAGTCGTGGCGGGCAAACGGGTGTGGGGTACTGGGAGAGAGAGGCGTACCTTGCCAAACCACTCCTCCATGGATTTCGGCGTGCCGACCTTGAGGAAGGTGAGCGCTGCCTTGTCGTAGTTCCCCTGCCCGAGACACGAGATCGCAGTGGCGACCTCGAGCTTGCTCGAGACTTTGCTCCGCTCCGCCTTCCGCTGCTCCTTGTTCGCCTGGGCGGACCCCGCGGGAGCCTCCGGTCCCGCGGTCACTTTGAGGCTCGTGACAGAGTCGAGCGCCGCTTCCGCCTTGAAGACGTACGTGCCAATGTGCGAGTAACTCCGTTGCTCCATCAGGAGCTGCGAGGGGAGTGGGTACGCGGCGAAAGTGAGGGGTTGACGGACATACCTCGAGGACAGACATGCACATGTCGAGAACGTGCTGACTCGTGGTGCAAAACTCGCGTGACTTGGTATAATGCTTGAGCGATGCCGCCTGGTCTCCTGTCGAGCGGAAGAAATCCCCGAGATCGCGGTGCGCCATCTTTGGAGGGGGCATGAAGGAACATCTCTGAAGCGCATAGACAAAAACGCACCCGGATGCTCTCTTTGATCATGTTGCTCGTGTAAGTTTTGAGCTCTACCTCGAGCTTTGTCCGCTCCGCCTGGTTCTTCGAGTTCGTTTCCTCTATCCACTTCGTGTCCATAGCCACAATAGAAGATGCCTCAGGCAGCCCCTCTTCTTGTCGCTTTGACATCTCCGTCGCAGCACGCTCGTAAGCATTGAATGCACTCTTGTACAAGCCGGTGTCGCGACCCTTGAGAGCCTCTTTGGTTGCGAGCGGTAGTGCCTGTGGCGCGAGCTCGGGGCATACATTCATGACGTGTACGAGCCTGTCAACGTACGACTTCCCTGAGCAGAACATCAGGCGATGAACATCACAAGCGAGACGCAATCGGCGCACCTGAGTAGCCGCTAATATACGCTTCTGGATCGAACGGGTGACTTTCATCTACAGGGATGGAAAGCGGCCGCTTCGGAATGACGGCAGGCAGAGTCTGGATCTGGGCCACATCATCCTCATAAGTGTCGATATCCATGGTGCGTGCGGGAGAGAAACGATGGATTGGAGAGGGGCGGTGGGGAAGGGTGGCGGTCAACCTGGGACGCCGGAGGCTGCACGCACCGCACGTGGGGAGCATACACTCGGGAAAGCGCAGCTTGGCGGGACGCCCGATAGTCGCCGAGACCGATCGTCCTCGGCGACTGCGATCTGCTTATATATGTACCACGACGAGCTCATGTGCCAGTGAGCCCACCAACGCAACCTCTGCTTCACGTCCTCCTTCTTGCTTCCTTCTTCACGCCTGTATCTGCCATTCTCTCTTTCTGTTATGGCGCGCAGCCCAGTGCGCTACACCCCTCTTGTATCCTTGCAAGACCTCCCTCCGCCTCCACGACTTGGTCCTGTGGACGATGAACCGGAGCTCACGAACGGAGAACCCATCAAACGAAAGCGGTGGTATCACTACCTCCCACTATGTCGTACGCCCACCCTCCTGCGACCCCTTGTCCCCGATCCAACGGAGTCCTCCCCGCCTGCAGTTGCCATTCTCATGATAATTGGCCCCCACCCGTCACTATTCATGGTCTTCATCAACTATCACTACCGCATACATAACAGTCTCTCGCGTGTTTTCGTCCACGTTTTCGTCCTCTACGCCCTCACCTTCCTCGCCTTCTCGTCGCTCATTGTGGTCATTGCGAGAGACCCCGGACCGGTTACCGACAAGAGCCAGGGTGAAAGTGGGGGCGCAGACGACAGCGGCGACGAGGGCGAGAGCTTCCTGGAGGCGTTGCTCGCTCCGTCCGAAGGCGAGGCAGCGCATGCGCCAGGCAGGTGGTGTAAGAAATGTGACGCGCCAAGCCCGAGCGTGCGCACCACTGTGGCACATGCGGACGGTGTGTGTTAAAGATGGGTATGTGCTCAAATCCTTTTCTAGCGCTGTAATATGAACCAACACCCTTCCACTTAGACCACCATTGCATCTGGCTCGGCCATAAGTGCATCGTGAGTGTCTTGGTTTGTACTGAGTCCTAGATCTGACAAAGACTCCCACAGGGGCACCGAACGTATGCGTCATTTATACACTTTCTGTGCTGCGCTACGTTGCTTGCAGCCTACGCCGCTTGCTTATGCTCCTCTGTGGTGTGGTGGTCGTTCAATCACTCGGCGTCCATCGTGCGTTGTTCTCTCCATCTCAACATTAATGTATGCGAACCTAATGCGTTCTGCTCAGGATGAGATGACGCCGGTGCACGCCATGTTTGTTGCGTTCTATGGAATCGTAATCACGATGGTCATCGGCTCCTTCTGCGTCTGGCACCTTTATCTTGCATCGTCAGTAGCGCATCGTCATTCCTCGAGCGACAGTGCTGATCAATGACCAAACAACAGTACGAACCAAACGACCGTGGAATGCCTTTCGCCTTTCCTGTTACTCCGCGAACTTCCTCCTCTTACAGAGAGCCCAGAGGTCCTCAGACTGTCGAACCCACCACTCGAGCACGAACTTTCCTTTGAACAGCGTATGATCGTTCGCGATGCGCATCGCCGTGTGCACATCTACGATCTCGGCTTCAGGAAGAATTGGGCGCAAGTTTTCGGCTGGTCGCGACCGTGGGGATGGGTATACCGGCTTCTCATGGGAGGTGGATGGTGCGTAATCCTTTCACGAGCTGAATACCGTTTCCTCAATGCTCATTATTCACGACGCAGTGTGGGTGACGGAAAGTCGTTCCCGCGGCATCCTCGCGCAGAGCAGAACCTCACGAGGCTCGCGTCCAACCTCGCTAGCGCAGATAAGAACCGGTGATTGGCCTCATCACGAGTATGACCTTCTTGGTTCTATACCCCCACATCACGACACATATACCTCAGAGCTTCCGAGCAGGTCGATGGACTACATGGACAGCGCGTGTTTACTGGATATTGCTATTTCGTGCGAGATTTAGTGTGAACGTACATGTATACATAGAATAATACACTGGACATCTACGAATGTTGGACGTCAATAGCCGCCCTGGCATCGTGTGGTATTGATCGTGGTGCACTGTCAGGTAAGTTGCCTTCAGTAGCATACTTTCGAGTTTTAGCTCTCCTGAGTGATGGTCCTTGCCCCAACACATCTTTGCTCCCGAACCTCATGTGTATTTTGTTACCTCACTTCACTGATCAAGAGACTTCGAAGAGACAGAAAGTGATTGATTATCTCACTAATAGGTTCAAACAACAACAAAGACTTTATGATGTAGGGCACTTGGCACAGTGGTAGCGCGCACGCTTCGCATTCACTTTCCAAGTCATTTGCGTGAGGTCCAGGGTTCAATCCCCTGAGTGTCCATTTTGCACTCCATACCTTGACACCGCAGGAAGTACATTGAGATCGAGCCAATTACTGCTTTCTCTGGTCTATGAGGAAAACAAGAACATGTAAGATATACAGTTGACAGCGTCCTCCAGTACTGAAAGCCATCAGTCACGCTCCGAGACCGCAAACCCTCGCCCTCCGCAGCTCGTCGGTCCCGACCACTGCGCGACTACGTCGAGAAGATGCCGATGATCTTGAACGCCGGCATGTTCCGGTCGTCCTCCTCGCCGAGTAGCTGGCATTCGACGTAGTGCGGTCCGCTCTGGACGTGATGGTCGATGAAGCGAAGCCTGCGCATCAAGCAAACCAGAAGGTCAACACCGCACCAGCGGAACAGTGAGAACAGAGGGAAGGCACTCACGTTGGCGTCGCCTCGCCGACGTCGGCCGCGTTCTCGATGACGACCGCCCCCGGGAAATTGTCGTCCACCCAGCACTCGACCGCGCTGCCCAGCCCGACCTTCTCCTTCGGCTCGCGCACGTAGTAGACCGCGACGTCGCCCGCGCCGGCGAGGATGTTCACCCGGAGCTTGCTCGTCGGCAGACTCGAATAGAAGTAGTGCGAGTGCGACGTGGTCTCGGCCGAGCCCGGCGGGGGGTGGAACGCGGCCCAGCCCGAGCCGGAGAACATCGAGAGCGGGAGCGGGTTCACGAGGTCGTTCGCGGACACGCAGTACGGCGCGACCTCGCGGAGCGGGTGCGCCTCGAGGTCCGACGGCCGCTGGTTGATGCGCACGGGGGGCACGCGCAGGCGCGGGTCCTGGCTCGGGGTGCGCGCGGACGCGCCCTCGGCGACGGGGACGGGGAGGACGCCGGCGGCGGCGCGGTCGCCCTGTTCGTGCTCGGGGCAGCGGCGCCCGCCGCGCCTTTGCGTTGTGCGACGCCACCGAAGAGGCCGCGCGCGTCGGTGGGCTGCTTGGCTTGGCCGTCGGGGTAGACGGCGGAGGCTGGTGAAGGGAGGGCTTCGGCTGAGTGACCCATGATGGCTGCCCATGTGGTGCAGATCTGGGACTGGAAGTAGGAGACGAGGACGTCGGAGAGGATTTCGTGTCCTAAGGAGTTGGCGAGAATGGGGTCTGTGAAGTACTGGCTGATGGATTTGGCGTTTTGCATGTACTTCGGGTACAAAACGGGCTTGATGCTGAAATGGGTAAGCGATCACTTCGCCAGTCGCATACAAAACTGACGAACCTGACATGAGGCACGTCGTAGAATTGAGCAACAAGACTGTGCCAGTGATCGGCACCGGCAAAACCTCTTGTCTGGGCAACTTGTGGACCGAAGTGCCCGAGAATTAAGACCGCGGGAGTGTCTGGCCGAAGGAGAATCGAACGAATGAGAAGCTCGAACTCGTCCATTGACGTGTCGGAGCTGAGATGGCTTCATGTCAACAGTGCACAGCGGTTGAGATAAGATGAGAGCGTACTTCGCGTCGTCCACGTCCAACTCAACGACCACTAGGTCTGTGATGTCTGGTATGTGATGGGCGTTGCAGAAACCGAAGTATGATGAACTTGTTCTCCGCATAGCGCCGTTAGTGAGTTCAGTTGCTGGGTGAGGGAAGACACCGTTCCACCAGTTGAAGAATCTTGATGGCCAGCATGTCGGTGATAAGGGGTCGTCGCCAGCACCGTGGCAGGCAGAGACTGGAAAAAGGTTAGCATCAAATTCTTCGTATACGGAGCGATAACTGGACGCGAGAAACGATACGAATGCTTCTCCACCACACAACCCAGCTCTGCAGCGCTTGCAAAGCATTCGACGGAACCACGCGAATGGAACCGCACGGAGTGGACGCAACACGGCGAAGCTCACCGCGAATCCGGGATCGAGGATATGCGTGATGTGAACGCTGCAAGACCGACAAGGTTTCGGCACGGACATAAGACGTTCAGTAGAACGGCTGGAGATGCCACGATACGGAGGAACTCGTGCCAAACGGAGTAGGCTCTGGGACACAAACAGCACTCGCGTGTGGGCCCTTCGCACTAAGTCCTCGGACCGGTGCATGCAGCATGCTCAGGCACGGCAGTTCGCCCGCAGACACCAACGAGATTACGCCAGCGCAGTACGCGGTGACGTGCAGACGCAGGAGCGCTCCGACGGCCATGGAGCGGCGAGGGCAGCGAGATGGGTGTGGTGGAGGGAGGAGAACTCACCAGAGCCACCGACCACGCTGATAGTGACGGGGAGGCCCGCGAGGGCCTTGTTGATGACGCGCTGTATGCGCGCGCCGCTTCCCAGATGGAAGCGAGTGGTGGAGAGCACGACTGGATCGTAGCGGGATGCAAGCTCATCTCCTGGACCGAGAGCAGGGCAGAAGGGGAAAGGGTTCGTGGCATCCTCGGAGACGTTGAGGTAGTTCTTGGGCTTGAGGTCGGTGCGGAGGATGTGGTGGCGGGGATTTGTGGAGTCAGAGGGGAGGACAGAGCGGGTGAAGAAGATGAGAGCGACGAAAACAAGGAGGATGATCCAGATGCGATTGGTGACCCCGAAGCTCTTCTGCTGGAGGCGGGTCGGCTTTTCCGGGTCGGAGGCCATGAAGTTGGGAGAGGGGGGATAGAGATGTGGGCGACGCCCTTGCCTACTCGCCGCTGCATGGCGGACACTGGCGCGGGGTGTGACGGGGCGTGAAAAGAGTGTGGGGGCCGAGGACGAGGCAGCGGGGACGGGCTCAGCGGAGAGCAGGCGAGACACGCCGGTGGCTGCGTCTAAATCCAGCATTATGGGCGTCTCTGCTGCCACTTCAGTGATCTCCTCCTGCTCTCTCCCGACGCGTCTCTATACCCTCTAGGCTACTCCCTTCTAATCCCCCTACTGGCCCTCTGTCGTCACCGGCTCTTCACGCCCAAAACACCCCGCCGCCAGCGCGTCGTCCTGGTATCGCGCGCATTCTCGCCGGACGCGGAGTCGGAGCTAACGCGCGCTGTCCAGCCCTCTAAACAGGCTCCTGCCATCTGTACGTCGTCTCTGCCTTCCCAGCGGTGTCAGTCCGCTCACATCTCTACTTCCACCATGCGCTATCGTCTCGTCAAGATTGACCCGTTCGTTACGATGCAGCCCAAGCCCAAACACCCTCTGAGACGTATACCGACATGGCTTGCGCTCACACTAGGGGTTATCATTGGCCTTTCTGTGTCCAAGATGTTTACGTCGGTGAGTGTGCTCCCTGTATGTGCGGTGTGAGCTTTGTGGGGTGGGAGGTTGAGTGGTCAATGAAGTAGAGGAAAAGCGGTGTCTCACACTTCCCTCATTTGTGCAGGAACGAGCATCAGTATGGCGAGGTGGCTCTGCGCCCGTCCTTCCGTCCTCTCGCTCGCCAACGCGACAACCCATGACGCTTCCCACCCTGCCGCAACGAAGAAGAATCCTTGACCTCCTCAGCCACCTTTCCCCTCACTACACGAAGGAATGCACACGGCCTGCGCAAGGCATGTACAAGGAGCAAGCCGAGCAGCGATACGCGTCCCTCATCGGCCATCAGTCGCCGTCAATATCCTCCTGGATGGACGCCTGGGACTCGGCAGTAACGTCGATGGGGACTATGTGCCGTCGTCTCGGCATTTTGGGCCCGACTCGCACAAGTACTTTTTCGCCATCAACCTCTACAACTCGTTCGACGTCATCCCCGACCTCTTTGCGACCCTCTTCCGCGTCGCGGCGGTGCTGGGATACCACAATGTGTACGTCTCCATCTACGAGAACGGTTCGTCGGACCAGACCAAGGCCCTCCTCCGGATATTCGACGCGCTCTGCCGCTCCGCTGGTCTCCGAGTGACCATCCGCACCTCGATGCGCACCCGCGGAGCATTCAACCACCGCATCGAATACCTCGCCGAGGTCCGCAACGCCGCGTTCGTGCCGCTCCACGAGCTCAGGGATGCGCAGAACGAGTACTTCGACACCATCATCTTCATGAACGACATCCTCCCCTGCGTCGACGACCTGCTCGAGCTCATCTTCCAGTCGCGGCTCAACAACGCAGGCATCACATGCGCGGCCGACTACATGTTCCACGAGGACCTCGGCTCCCCCGTCTTCTACGACAACTGGGTCGCACGCGACATCAACGGCACCGCGCTCGAAAACGCCCCTTCGAGTCCATATTCCAGCACGGGCCCTCCCAGGAGCGCTTCATGCAGCACCTCCCCGTCCAGGTGCAGTCGTGCTGGAACGGCATCGCGATCCTCGACCCCGCGCCGTTCTACTACCCGCCGCACGTCCGCTTCCGGATGGCGCGCATCACGGAGAACGAGTGTTCGGCGAGCGAGTGCTCGCTCATCTGCAACGACTACTGGGAGTCCGGGTACGGGCGCATCCTGATGGTGCCCCGGGTGAAGCTCGCGTACGACAACGTGCGTGCCCCCGTCCTCCTTTTTTTCCGCGTCTGGCGGTGCTCACCCGCCGGGGTTTCGCGCAGCGCGTGTACAACATCATCCACCCCGACCGCCGGAACCTGACCGCGATCCGCGGCTACGTCCGCCTCGGCGGGCTCCCGGACAACCCCCGCACGGACCCGCAGGACCGCGCGTGGTTCGGCCCCCACGACCGGCTGTTCACCGAGGAGGAGACGGTCCCGTTCGAGTTCAAGCCCGGGCCGTCGCACGGTGCGTCCCTCTCCCCCCCTCCCTCCGTCGCTCCCTTCGTGCAGCGGGCGATGTCGCTGACGCCTCTTCGACAGTGTGGTGCTGGGGCTGGGACGGCGCCGGCGACCTCGACGGCCCGGACGTGGACCCGATCTGGGAGCGCATGCCGAACAAGTCGACGCGGCCCGACGCGGTCAAGGTCCGCCACGACCGCAGCCTGCTCTACGTCTAACGTCGGGGATTCGTGGGTCGGGGGTCGGGACGGCACAGGCTACACGGGAGGGGTGCAGGGACGGCGGTGTTCAGTGTATTGGCTGTATCTATCGCGCCGGGTACGTGCATACGTCCGAACACACTGTAGCTTAAGCTCTGCGGCACGCCGGAGGGGCGGACCCGAAGGGGGGTGTGGGGGTGGAGTCTGGACGACTCGCCCATAGAACGCACTGTAAATATACTGCACGCATCGTTATTACTAGTTAGCTATCGTAGACCTCTCCACACATGCTTTCTACCGGACGATTCTGACACAAACTGACAATGCATTCCTGAAAGTACGTCGTCCAGGAAGTAGGATTGTGGACAATGGTGTGGCATGACGCTGCCGGGAGCATGATGGGCACAATACGAGGCTCAAGCGCTCATCAGTGTCCTCAGGGCTAGGACAATAACCCCCAGTGAGGGTCGCTCCCGTCTACATACGTCTACATGCGTCCCAGCGCCACTCACATATGTAGACGTATCTAGACGTCCAGGACGGTCGGAGGACGTATTCTAAATCCGTCTAGAAACGTCTGTTCAGATCTAGACGTATTAAATCTGTCTGTATGCGTCTCTATACGTCCACATATGTCTGATTATGTGTTTGGTACTGTACACGGGAAGCTCCCCACCGCCATCGGCTCGTTCCACCCGCCCTCACCCCCCGTCGCCTTGCGCCCCGTCGTCCGCTCCCCTCTCACGCCTCGTGCGCTGCGCCCCGTGCCCCACGCCTTCGTCGTCCAAGCCCCGCTCAGCGTCGTCCACACTCTGGGGCCTGCACCGTGACGCTCGTCGCCAACCCAGCTCACTGCCTGCGCACGCACCTGCTCTTCGCCACCGCGCGTGCCAGTCGTTCGCCTACACTCACCCTTACCCACTGTGTATGCAGTCTTCCCAAGCGAGCCCGTGCATATATACCTGGCTGTTGTCCCAATGGGCGTGAGATTGATTGGCGAGAACAATGAGGCAACACACCAAGGAGACATCTGCGACGCCCTGTAACGTCCTTGCTCCCGCTAATCACGCCGCTCTGGCTGCAGAGCAATCTAGTTGCAGAGGGGAGGTCGTTGATCGTGAGTGGCCTGAATGCACGATCAGCTACGATCGCCTTCCCTATGTCGCCGCGCTGCGGACGCACCTGGGAATGCCCTTGGGGTCGACGATGAAGAACCCACGCCCCACAGACGCCGCCTGAGGGCGATGCCCTCGTCCTCGATGAGGACTCGGTAGTCGCGCCGCGCACCACGCGCGAGATGGACATGTTGCAGTCCGCGATGAACGGGAGCTTGAGGTCCGGGCCTAAACTGCCCTGCGTGCGTGGGGACGTCGCCCGGGCAAAGCGCGAGTGCTGCGAGTTGGTCGAGGCCGCTGTGGACGTGGCAGGGCTAGCATGAGCGGCTACGGAACCGGACTCGGTGGAAGGGGAGGGGGACGGAGTGGGAGGTGAGAAGAACGGACTAAGGAGGACAGTGTTGGTAGTACGGGGAGGCATCCATATGAAAATCCGTTAGCGACAGCGACACGCGCCACACAGACAGAGGGACGCGACACACCACTGGCCAAGGTAGTCTGAGAGGACGACCTCTTGGAGAAGCCGTCGACGACGGCACTCACCTTGAACGCGAGCACGGGCTTCTGCACAGTGGCGACCATCGTTGCGTGTGGTTCGCAGGAGAGGGGAATATGCACCGTGGATGGCAGAAGGGTGTGAGCGATGGCATTCGTCAAGGAATGGTGGGTATATGCGCACCTTCAACCACCCAGCTTGCATTCTGAACGACAAAAAACATACCGGTGCTCCTTCCAAGACGACCAGGGTGGTGTGCTACGCACTCTCTTGCATGCCTCCAAGACGAAATCCACGTCGCGCATGTCAACAAAGAAGGGCGTGCAGAGCTGCGTTCTTAGATAGCAAAGGATGAAATAGACGAACGGGAGAGGGAGAGGTGGAGGTGGTGGAGCGGACGAAAGAGGGCAAGACGCGCGTCGCGCCAGGCGTCAGAAAGTCGCGACGTCATCGGAGGCATTCCGTGGTTCACGTGATGAGAGCGAAACTCGTTTTTCAAGAGAAACAGCGGCAAAGCCAGTGAGAGAAGTCTTGAACAGAAAAATTGCGTAGTGAGACAAATATAGCGACGTGCTCTGTTTTTGCGCGGACACGCGCTGACAGCAGATACTGCTCAGCAGGATTCTCACGTCATCTCCGGCGCCTGAGAGGAACTGATCGTCTGAAGACGTCCCAGAACGTTTTTCATCATATCTAGACGTCTCCAGACGGGAGCTGTCCTCACTGGGTTAATAACCACTATGAACGGCCCCATAGCTCCAAAAAGAGAACAATGGCGAGTGAGCCTGAACATGAGCGTGCGATATATCCGGCACACTCGACGCACACGCTGGAATACAAGGATGCGTTTTGGTTGGTTCACATAGCATATGGCAGTATGTATGTAGGGGCGCGCGGGGCATGGCGGGGCATAATACAGCAGACGGACCTCCCTCTCCCCTCGAAGCGCCATGAAGCTTGAGGAGAGACATCACAGACAGAGCGACGGCGGACAAACAGCAGTGTATTTACTCCGCGTCGACAAGAACGGTCTCGAGACCCTGCCGAGCGAATCGTGTGAGACGCCATACGAGGCGAAGTCGATGTTATCACACACCTTGAACGAGTCTACGGGCACCCAGCTCGCGTAGGTAAAGAGCTTCTCCTTCGCGTTTTCCTCGTCGTTACGCTTGCCTGCATGGGTCAATACCGCCAATAAGTCCTCGCCGCACCCGCACGGAGGGCAGATAAAAAGGACGCACGCTCAAGCTTTACGCGTATCCGGTGGGGGACGGACTTGATGCCCTTGGCCCAGAGGGCCTGGTTGAGCTTGGGGTCGAGGCGGACGTCGGTGGTTCCCATAGCCTTCTGCGCAAACTCGACGACGGACTTGACGGCCCAGGGAGCACGCTTCTTGAAGGAGCGGCCGTGGACGCGCTTGTGGAGGTGGACGGTGTATTCGCGGGTCACGACATCCTGGAGGGCGGAGCGCGTCTTGCCGCTCTGTTGTACGATGCGCAAGGGAGAGGAGCGAAGAGACCGGTGTGCAGTTTCGGATGGCGGAGAAATGGTGCATGGAGAGGGGGTGCAAGGGAATGGGGGAAAAGGTGAGGCTATGTTTGGGTGATTACAGCGACAAGTCGCACCTTTTTGGTGGTCTTGGAGGCGGGGGCCTGGAGCGAAGGTCAGCACGGCACGCAACGCAAGGAGGGCGACGGACCATGTCTTGAGGATGTCGGGGTCGGTGAGCTTGAGCGTCGGGAGATGTGCGCGCCTGCGAGCCACGATCCGGGTCCTTTGGTGTTGTTTGCCTACGGTGGCGGGAGAGAATAAGGTTGGGTGGCTGGAGGTGCTTGCCAGTTCTTGGCAGGCGCCGGACCAGCGCGCACGTGGTGTGATGGGACCTGGGTGGTTCAACTTGTTGCCGAGAACGGGAGCCGTTGTTTGTGCGCCTGGGGACGCCAAACAGCGCCGGTGCCCAGGATGGGAATCCCTTTCGGCTGTGGCTTCGCCTTTGTGCTCTCCCTGGTCGGCTTTTGTCCTGAGCTTCGTAATGTGCGCGTGGAGGACCTCGTCGCGCCCCGGCCGCATCGTCCGCGGACGCACTAGGTGCGCGGCGGGATTCGCATCAACGCGTACCGACTTCGAACCATCGGGGCGTGTCCTCCTTTTCGGCGCACTCTTTGTCTCGCTCCCAGGTCCCGAAATCTCACCCCCTGCCCGCCCGTGCTTATAAGGACCCCGCGCCTCGCTCAGTCTCCTCAGCAACTCCTTGAGTTACTTCCTCCGCCTTCCTCCGCCTCCTCCATCTCCTCCGCCTCGCGCATCCTTCCTTCCTCCCCCTCACACTCCCTCACTCTCACCATGCGCTTCTTCGCTGTTCTCGCTTTCGTCGCCGCCGCGTCCGCCGTCTCCATGCGCGCGCCCCTCACTCGTCGTCAGAGCTTCCCTGGTGCGTACTTCTTCACCCACTTGTCGTGTCTGCAGCTAATGTTGGCGCAGACTGCTCCACCGCCTGCCTCACGGGCGCCGACTTTGGGACCTGTGACCCTCTCGACGATGGCTGTCTCTGCAACAGCTCGTCCTTCGTCAACTCTGTCACCACCTGCATCGAGACCGCGTGCACCGGCAGTGACCTTGAGAACGCCGAGGCCGCCGCCCGCCAGCTTTGCCTCGCTGTCGTACGTCTCTTCGTTCGTTCGTTCTGCCTCTCGCGATCCTCATTCCGGCCTTGCGCATAGGGGGTGACCCTCACCTCTTCGTCCTCGACGGCCTCCTCGGCCACCTCGACGGCCACCTCGCCGGCCGGTTCGACTACGAAATCCTCGAGCGGTTCGACCACCGGGTCCGTCACCTCGACCTCGAGTTCGACCTCGAGTTCGGGGACCCCGACGCCTACCAACAACGCTGCCGGTACGCGTGGTGTCAATGCGCTCGCCGCCCTCGCAGCCGTCGGGGTTGCCGCCATCGCGTTCTAGACTGCCTTTCCGATGGCCGCCCGCGGTTCCCAAGTCATAGACGTCTCGCACGCGCGCCCGGTGCAAGCGTCGGGCCGCCCCCACGTTCCCTCCGAACCCTGGCTCACGCTAAACTTATACCATACCTACTTAACATGGCCCCCGTCACCCGCATCATGTCCCGCTTCGCATTCGCATTCGCACCATCCGCAGATATCCCCATCGTACAGTACTCGTACGCCCCTCGTAGTGTTTAGCTTGGCCTGGTTCGCCGTCCCGCGCTATACCTCTGTGTGCATTTCTCATGGTCTCACGTAGGAATGTCCGTCTCATTTGTTTTCTGGGTGTTGGCTCCAATGCAATAGGTTTCGTTCTGGCTCAGATGTGCACATGCATGGCTTGTCAACGTGTTGGAGACCGCGCTGTTTGGTTGGTGGACGGGCTGAGGCCAGTCGGCCGATTGAGATTGTCCGCCGGAAAGTTCTGAAGAGCGCCCGACAGCGCCATGGGCACCAAATTAGTTGACCGAAAAGTCCAAGGTTTGTTCCTGCCCCCTGCGACGACATATTGCACCGCTGTCCGGTGAGCCTGGGCCTGAAGCTTTGAAGCGTGGTCGAACCGTGAGTGCTTAAACTCATTTGTTAGATACGCAGGCTCAGTCCATACAGACTCCAGAGGCTAGATCACGCGAAGACTTTATGCAGCCGGACAACTCGCACATCAGAATCAGCTCATCCTATGGTGGGGCCTGGACCCTGGTGGGGCGCGATGGCGTTACAACTTACGACTTCTGCCCGGAGCTTCAGAGAGCTTCAGCTGTTGCGACGCGCGACGCGGATCGAGCGGCTTCTCGGGACGTACAGGTGAATTCCACTCTGAGTATATATGTTCTAGTTCACCGCCAGATTGCAATACTTGAAGTGACTCATCGCTAGAGACTAGAGTCTCCTGAACTTGGCAGGGGTGCTTTGCATGCACCACGCCCAGTCCAAACGAGTGGTCTGCTTCCTTAGACTCTCGCGCGCGCTGTGCCGGGTTTCTAGCTTCTTCAGGCTTCCTTGTCGACCATACAGTTCGAGGGCATCACCTCAAGCGCCGTGCAGAGATTAAGCAAGTAAGCAACTCGCCGAGCTCCGCTCCAACCTATCCTAACTGTTCACAACAGTCTCGCATCAATCCTCACTTAGAGAGGCTTTGGCAACACGGTCGGTGTTGCAAAACGTTCCGAGGGCCCTGCGCTGAAACCTTGAGCCATAAGAATCCCGAACTCCAGGCACTCGCGCACACGCATCAACTTGCGTATCTCAGGCTCATGGGATCTCGAGCGTGTCGCCATAGACACGTACGCTCCCCTGTCCACATCGTCCACTTGGATTCTTGCAGCTAGCTGCTGGAGCGCTCCTTCTCGTGGGCTACCTCCGCGATTGGCGGGCCCCGGGCCCGCCCGCGTGCTCGCAGTGTGGACATCAGGTTCCTCCAGGTCCGACCAGGGCGTTTCCCTTGGTTAGAAGCATCTTCAGCTTCCCGACATCCAGGTCTCGGGCCACCCTACAGACGATGCGCGGCAATTATGGTACGTACTCAGTGACGTCTCCTAGATTGAAACTCACTTCTGTCACTCATCACTAGGTTGCGCTTTAAAGTGGGCTCTGACGCTGACGCAGAGGATGACTCCGCGACCATGCATTGTACCCGGATCCGTTCGCATCCTGTCGATGCGCTTCGCCTGCGGCGGGCTCATAGATAGCTCCATATCGAATCCAGTCCAGGTTTCGGAGGCATGTCACACAGCGCCTTCCTAAGCGCTGCTTCGGTGAGATGTTAATTCTGACGGAACCTCTCCATCCAGAAAGCAGACCTGAGCACCTGACAACGGGGCGTCGTAGTCTGTGAGTGCTAGAGGCAATTGAGCGGCGAAAGAAGTGCTCATTTTTACCTTAGCAGAGCACAACGAACTCGAACTCTAACGAGGAGTCCTGCCGCGCTGCGGGTGCTCGGGTGATGTACACGGAGCTTTATGGCTTCTCCCGCTGCTTCTCGATACAGACGTGGGAACTTCAAGCGCCTGCTGGTCCTAGTAGTAACGACACAGAGATGTCAAACCAACCTCGCATCCCTGCAGTGGCGATGGTCAAGCCAAATACCATTAGGCTCCATTCGCATCGCGTAGCACCCGCGGTGAGCAACTTGTTTGTAGAAGAATTCCCCTGACAGACTTTCTACTTCCCCTTTTTTAAGTTTCGGCATCAGTATCACGCGACGGACAGGATTCTCATTTCAGCGCTCACCATGGATATATTCAAACCAAAGTTCAAACTCACTATGCTGTGGAAACGGCTGCAGGACAGGAGGAAGCACGGATGAACAGATTGGCTGGACGGCCAAGCCTAGTAAGGGTCCTCCATGATGCACGGTATTGTAACATATAAGCGGTGACCTCTCCCAGGTAGCTGACTGTTATCCCAGGACTTGCCTTCCGCCATGGCTACTGCCGCCACGATCTCGATCCCGACGTGGGCCCTCATCTTTGCGAGCATCGCATCCACTCTGTACCTTCGCGCCGCGTCACGATGGCGAACTCGTACTCGTGGGCTCCCGTCTCCTCCCGGGCCCAGGGGACTTCCGTTCATCGGTAACATGCTTGAATTTCCGAGGGCGAGGCTACACTTCAAGTTTAATGAACTCAGTGCTGTTTACGGTAAAAAATCCCAACGATTTCCTCGGTTTGTCTCACACTGATCCAATATAGGGGACGTGGTGTATTTCTCGGGTCTCGGACAGTCCATCCTCGTCCTCGGAAGTTTAGCCTCCGCCTCCGACTATTTGAACAAGCACTCGGTGAATACCTCGTCTCGACCCCAGACGCCGATGACAGAGCTGTGAGTGATCTGCGCGGCTATCCCAGGTGTGTAACGAACTGCCACTGAATTCGGATACAGGGCAGGACAGAGCTCCAATTTCGGGCTGTTGCCGTACGGCCCTGAATGGCGGTCCTACATGCGCGCAATTGGAAATCACTTCAATCGCGAGGCATGCCTCGCGTACCGCGATTGCCAGCGCAGTCTCGCGCATATTTTCCTTGACAGACTCCTTCATGAGCGGTCTGAGCTCAAGGAGCACATCCGCTTGCGAGTCATATCTATTCTTGCTCCGCCTATTCCTCCACTGACTCGACTTCGCATTGTCCCTGCAGCAACTTCGCGGGGTCATTCTGAAGATTCTTTATGGCATCAACGTTGCGGAGGACGGCGACGAGTATGTGGCGTCGCCGAGGGGGCCACAAGCGCGATCAACGAGGCTATCGCGCCCGGCAAGTGGGTCGTCGAGTTTCTCCCTTGGCTCCAGTATCTTCCGGCGTGGGTTCCCGGCATGCGAGCACAGAAAGATCGTTGGGCGAAGTGGCAAGTGGACAGCGCCCATGCGCGTGACTTTCCGTACGCGTTTTCCGTGGAGCGACTTGTGAGTAGTTATCCTCTCTGATCACTTCAGTGCTGACCCGATGTCTTGTCGTGACAGGACGAAGAAGACGTCCAGCGTTCAATAATCGGCAGGCTTATCGCCGAGCGCGAGCGCGCCGTTTCAGAGCATGATGAGCTCCCCGGAGCACGACTGGTCTCTCAAAACCAAGATCTGCCAAAGAATTTGGCTGCGGTGGTTTTTGAAGGTGCGCTCGTCCTGAGCTTATGCATAACAATCCTCCAGTAACATCAACGCGTTCGCTTTTTCAGCGGGATCAGACACAGTAAGCTAGTATGCCGACCCATCACACCGTTTTCCGAACTCCTTTGCGCAGAGCTACTCCATGGTGCAATCCCTCTTCTTGGCCCTCTCGCTGTACCCCGAGGTAGTTTCCAAGGCCCACACGGAACTTGACGCTGTCGTGGGCAGTGGACGTCTCCCCAACTTCAACGACGAAGCCTCCCTCGTGTACGTGCAAGCGATCCTCATGGAACTTCTCCGATGGCACGCCGGCGTACCGCTTGGGATCGCGCATGCGACAACTGCAGACGAGGAATGGCGTGGGTGGTTCATTCCGGCGGGCACAGTCATCCTGCCCAATCAGTGGTACGTTCCACTCGCCTGAAGCACATGCGTGCTGATTCTGGTCGTAGGGCGATGTCGCTGGACTCGTCGGTGTACGCGGACCCGTCGTCTTTCCGACCAGAACGCTTCATCACAGACGGGCACATCGACAAGTCTGTCTTGGATCCTCTTAACTTCGTATTTGGGTTTGGAAGAAGGTGCGCCGCAACGCACTGGTGCGGACCACTGGATACTCAAGCTCCCTACTATGTACAGGAGTTGTCCAGGGAAGTACATGGCGCTCAATGGCCTCTTCATCAACATCGCTTCGATCCTCCACGTGCTTGATATCACACCACCCCTAGATGAGCGAGGGGACGTCATCAAAATTAAGCCGACGTACACAGAAGGATTTCTGGCGTGAGTCTGCGGTCCTTGGAGTCGTGCCGTTCGTGCGTTCGCGCTGAGATGCTTGTTGCAGGTACCCTGAGGACATTCGGTGCACGATCAAAGTACGGTCGCCAGAGCATGAGCGACTGATACATGAGCATGCGGAGATTGCTCGAGCTGCGAGAGGCCTCTGAAAATTGGAAATTGCCAATTGAAGAGTACCCAACAGTTTCGATCCCGGGGCGCTGTAAAACATATCGATACCTGCCTGGATGCAAATGACAGTGTTAGTCGAGAGCGTTCACGTCGGGAATGGGCCGAGCCTCGCTGCGGGCCAATGCTCGATAGCACCTGTTCAACGAGAGGAATAGCCTTGTCCCTGGCCTACGCCATCATTTACTTGCTCTTCCATCCACATTGACCGCTCAAAGCGCCAGCCACTTCACACACTGTTGCCCCTATTGACATCGTGCTCTTTCATGGCGGCCACAACAGCGGGACTGAGCGCTATTCGCGTGGTAGTTAGGCACGAGAGAACCGGGCAAGTCATTCATGTACGCTTGACCTGTTCCTGCTCCTCCATTCCACGCATACTGACTCGACCGTCGGGAGCATAGATTGCGCGGATCGGACGCGATCGAGGCACGCCCGCGACCCCGCAGTGACCAGCACCAGGAGTCCTTGTCGGAGAACTAGTGTTCCGACGGCAACATATGGCGTGGGAGCTTACATGGCTCATCTCTACACGAGCGTTGACGCGGACGGGGCATTCGATGGGTGCGGGGGCTTGGCGCGAGCAGAAATGATAGACCTCCTCCATAAAGTCTGACGCCTTCAGGCAAGCTTCAGGCCGACGGATTTCTAGATCTAGAACTTCATAATCAGTAATCTGACAGATTTGTTCCAACTAACCGCGGTTCTTCCATGGATTATGGGTGAACGCGACGGCCACCGAAGATGTGGTTGAGACGCAGGCCTGGCACGCAAGCCGCTGCGGGCAGTGGCAGGTTCACGGGCCGGCGAAACCCGAGCGCGCAAGTCGCTGAGCTCTTCGCGTGCTGGACGAGCGAGCCTGGACTCCGAATCTTCTCCTGGAACGCCATCCTCAGTCTACGTCTATTCAATCGTCGCCCATCTTTGACCCATGAGGATGCTCCATCGTACCGCCTCGCAAAGAGGGGACAGGCTACATTCATGAGGGCATCGCAAAGGTCATGAGTATAGCCTTACAAACCCGGGGATCCCATTCCGATTCGGATGAAGGAGCGTTCGTTTGCCAGCAAGAACGGAACGAAGACCCGCGCGACGCGTCATAAGGAAGGTGCGCTTTGTACGACAGGCTGTGAAAGAGCGGAGGAGAGTACGTCCAACCACAAGCACCTCGCCTGTACGGTGCTTGCGCGAGGAAAGTGCGCCAGATCGTATCGAGGTACCCACCATACGACGTGTCTCGACAGCACACCGTGTCCGCCGCGCCGCCGCGACGCTTAGCACTCTGTGCGGCATCCAGGAGGCGGGGCAGACGTACCAGACGTACCCTTCAAGCATATCCGACGCGCTGAACGGTCGTCCTGCACGAAGTTTGCAACCGGGACGTAGGCCTCCGCGACCATCGCATGAGTAGGATGACAGTGGGACATGGCCTGGGCATTTAGATTCAAGTCTCACACCTCCCAATGCACGCACACCGAAACGCGCAGTCCACAGATACCCCGTTCCCCGCGTCCTTTCCTCGGTTGTTGTGGAGGGAGCCCTCGCTCGCTCATGGTGAGAAGAATTGGCGATAATGGGCACATGCGGAAGCAGGGCATGCGTGCAGGAATGAGCATGAGCGTGACCTAGACGGGTGAGTGTCCTCGGTATGTTCTTGCGCCCTTCGTCCCCCCAATTTTACCTCCGTCTGCACCTGGTATGTTCTACGTCATACAATCAATCTCCCTCCCAAAAATGTGCATGTGCAAGCACGTTTCCTTACTACCCCCGCATCGAAGCGACCGAAGAACAAGGACCTAAGAACCTTGAGCTTGCTCAGCTCCACGGGGTGGGCCCTTGGTCGCCATTTTGCCCTATCCGATACAGGTGATCCGTGACAAATTTAGAGGCGAAAAGCTTGGTTACAGGTCAGGAGGGGTGAAAGATACCGCGGCCCCAGCCGTTGTGTTTCTTATATACGTAGCTGGCTTACTGGACTCATGCAGATACCCTCGTTATGACATCCGTGTCAACCATCTCTTCCCTTTGCGCCCTGGTATTACTTGGTGGAGTGTACTACTATGTCGTGCGCTCAAGGCGAAGTCTCCCTCTTCCTCCCGGACCCAAGGCTTTCCCCTTGATTGGCAATATCTTGAGCTTCCCGCCTGCGAAGTCATGGATAGGGCTGCAAGAACTCAGCCTCGAATATGGTAGGCCTTCAATACCTCGTCTTAAGTGTTCGCTCATTCTAACTTCGAATCAAAGGGGAAGTCATGTACTTCGGAGGGCTCGGGAAGTCTTTCCTCGTTCTCGGGAGCGTTGAAGTCATGTCCGAGTTCTTGGAGAAGCGATCGGGGACAACTTCTTCTCGCAGTGCAACGCCGCTAATCGAACTGTGAGTGTTTCGAGACCGTCTCTTGGGCCAAGCGGACACTCAATGTCTCCTGGGTTAACACAGTACTGGATCTGACTTCAACTTCGGCTTCATGCCCTACGGCCAGCGGTGGCGTGCTCATCGTCGTGCGTTCTGGAACTACATGCACCGCGATGCGTGCCGGGCCTATCAAGACATACAACGAGGTGCCGCACACTTATGCCTCGACAAGATTCTCTCTGATCCCGCAAACCTGCGCAAGCATCTCAAATTGTGCGTGTTCCTCTTCGAGCCATGAAGTTTACCGCCATTATGGTACTAACGTACCGGGTAGCAACTTCTCCGCCTCCGCGCTGAAGGCAATATACGGCATCGACATCGACGAGAAGGAGGACGTGTACGAAAAGGTGATGCACGATACGACCGCCGCGGTTTCTCAAGGCCTAGTCCCGGGGAAATGGCTGGTCGAGTATCTCCCTGTTCTCAGGCACGTTCCAACGTGGTTCCCCGGGGCGCGGTCGCAGAGGATTTGGGCGAAATGGCAAGCGTACAGTCTCCTGGCACGGAACCTGCCTTATGACTACGCCCTCTCCGCGATGGCGAGCGTTCACATCACCACATGCCCGATCTTGCAGCTGATTGAGATCTTATAGGATCGCCCGAGCGTCCAAGATTCCATTGTTGGTCGATTACTCGCAAACAGTCCCGTCGGGCCCCCTGGAGCAGATGTTGGCGCGGCGCAAGGAGACGACATCATCAAGAACGTCGCCGCAGTAGGTTACGAAGGTTAGCAACGCGATTGTATATCACGCCAGACGTGGTTCCACTAACTCTTACTACCCAGCCGGATCAGACACAGTACATTCTCTGCTTCACGCACCAAATGTTGACAGCACTCATTACCGCATGGCAGGTCTACTCGACGTTGCTCGGGACGATGCTCGCGCTCTCGCTCAACCATGAAGTAGTCGTCAAAGCGCATGCCGAGCTCGACGCCGTCGTGGGCGCCGCTCGCATGCCGGACTTTGACGACGAGAGCTCGCTGGTGTACATCAAAGCGATCGTCATGGAAGCACTCCGCTGGCACAACGTCACCTCGGTTGGAGTCCCGCACGCTACCACCGAGGACCAGCAATGGCGCGGTTGGTTCATACCTTCCGGGACTGTCGTCATTGCGAACCAGTGGTATGCTGAGTAGCTTTTTCCTCGATTCGAACACTCACAAAACTCTTAGGGCATGCATGCACGATGCGTCGATCTATCCTGATCCGTTCGCCTTCCGGCCGGGGCGCTTCATCCGGAATGGGCGCATAGACGAGACGCTTCTCAGCCCTTTTCAAGTCGTCTTCGGGTTCGGAAGAAGGTACGTTGACTTCTATTCCCCTTCCTCGACCTCACTCATCCGATTCCGGGTGGCATCGCTGTAGAATCTGCCCCGGTCGATATTTCGGCCTGAACGGACTCTTCATCACCGTAGCATCCATCCTACATGTCTTCGATATCACGGCTCCCGTGGACGAACGTGGGCAGCCTTTCAAGATTGAACCCACTTTCACAGACGGCTTTTTATCGTGAGTTGCAAGAGCTCACCCACAGTTCTCTCTGACGGTTTTCTGCAGATACCCCGAAGACTCCCGCTGCACTGTCTTGCCTCGTTCTCCGGAGCACGAGAAGATGATCCGGAGCCACGCGGAAGCGTACAGAGCGGCGAGAAGCCAGAGCTGAATTCTAACTTATGCGCATTCTGCGCATTGTCTGCCGTCCTAATGAAACACCAGACTTGCTACAGCAGAGCCCGAGTGTCAAGGGTCGGCACAGCGGTACATCCGCGCCAACATCTGTCGAGAGCGCCGCGCCGCGCTGGATGAGGGTGTTCCCGGCTCACTTCTCTCGTCAGTCGCTTCCACGTTCAGCGCTTCAGCACCTCGCCCGGCTTCGAGCACGACGCGATGCATAAAGGAAGTAGGCGAACTGTATATTCTCAGGACGCCATCATGTAGCACACCTCATTATAAAGTAACTCTACTCTAGAACTAGTCGTTGACCGGGGACTGATGCTCATCAACTTCACGCGTGCATTTGAACTCGAGCGGCCGCGGCGTTGGCGCGTATCAACGCCTCCGCCTCTGCGGACCGTGGCTTGATCGTGCACCGACTGTCTTCAAGGTAACTAGAGGCGCACCGTGAGCGAACATAATGCTAGGGTGGACCACAAGTACGCACGATAGGAACCCGTCGGACATCGTGGGTGTGATGTGGATCGGCCGTCCGTTCTCGTCCACGGCGGGCGAGAGGTCGAAAACGTGGAGCACGGAGGCGATGTTGATGAACAGCGCAGCGAGCGCGAAGTGCCGCCCGGGGCATATTCTAGCGCACGAGAGGGGTCAGCGGTGCGGTGCGGCGTCCCGACAAGCACGCACCTTCTCCCGTAGCCGAACGAGAACGTGGTCGGATCGCGGATGCTGACGTCGAGCTTCCCGTCCTTGATGAAGCGTTCAGGGCGGAAGGCTTCTGGGTCCGGGAAGACTTCCGGATCGTGCATGCATGCCCTGCGCGTTTGTTTATTGAGCACGCTAGGGCGGGGATGTAAGGTTTGGCATGGAACGTACCAGGTGTTTGGGATCACGATGGTGCCTGCTGGGATGAAGTAGCCGTGTAGCTCGTCGTCTTCAGTGGTCTGGTGAGGCACGGCAAGAGGCACGACGTTGTGCCAGCGCAGGGCTTCCATCACGATGGCGCTAACATAAACCAAAGACTCCTGGTCGCTATAGTCGGGAAGCCGGCCGGGGCCAACGACGGCGTCGAGTTCATTCTGCGCTTTCTTCTTCACGTCAGGGTTGAGCGCAAGCGCAAGGAACGCAGCTTGAAGGGTCGCCCACGTCTGCGAGCGCAGTGAGTAAAATCCGGATAAGCATGAGCACACCATTACTCACGGTGTCGGCACCGGCTGCGTGCACAGTTGAGTCTCAATGAGGTGATGGAATCGCCAGCACACTATGACATACCTTCGAACGCGACAGCCCCGACGTTCTTGATCACCTCGGTTTCGTCTTGAGGTTTCTTCTCCGTTTGGTCGCATTCAGTGAGAAGCTGGCCGACGATCGAGTCCCGGACTTCTTCCTTGTCCTGGTGATGGGGTCGACGTCAACCACGTGGCACAGTCATTGAGAAGGTACCGCGCGCTCACCATCCTACTCTTGACGAAGTCGAGAGGCAGGTTCTTCGCGCGGTCCCGCGCCGCCCGCCACTTGGCAAAGAGCTTCTGCCAACCTTGACCCGGGAACCACGACGGGAGGTATTGCAGCGCTGGAATGTTTTCCACGAGGAACTTCCCTGGAACCAGGCCCTGAGCGACCGCTTCCATTGCGCTTTCGGCGAGCGCGACGAATTGGTCATTTTCCTCCTCGGCCTGATATCCATAGATCACCCTGAGGACGGTGGCAGCAAAGGTGCTGCAGATGACACGTTAGCATGAGCTAATAAGAATAACGACGCGTGTGTGCGGATGCGTACTACCGGATATGCTCGACGACCTCTTTAGGGTCGTCGAGAAGCAGCTCTAAAAACTTGTGCGTGATGACACGCTGGATTGGTTGGTAACTGATGCTTGCATCACGGTGGAAGAACTGCCAGAACGCCTTGCGGTGACGGCGCCAGTACTGCCCGTATTGCATGAACGCGAAGCTCGAGTAGATCCCGGTGCTGATCGATAAGTGGGCAGGTGTGCTACAAGTGACGTGAATACAGACTCACAGTTCGATCAGCGGGGACTGCTTCCGTCCGGAAGTGTTCGAGGAACGCTTCTCCAGGTACTCGAAGATGACGTCCGCGCTTCCGAGGACAACGATGGACTGTCCGAAGACACGAAAGTGCACGATTCTCCCTATACCCCGAGAGCGTTAGTGAGGCTCAACGCGAGATACACAGACAAAGGAGTACCGTAAGTGGAGCAAACATCGCGGAATGCGACCCACGGCTTGACGGTCGGAGTGTTGAGCAGGTTGCCCACCACGGGAAGCGGCGAAGGGCCCGGGGGCAAAGGCCGGCCTTTAGTACGTGCCCGCCAATCAGCGAGGGAGCGGAGGTAGACAACGACTATGCATGCGATGCTGAGCAGAAGCGACGCAGAGAGTGGGGAGAGATGTGAAGTTGACATGGGTGGACAGGGCAGGGCGATGTCTGCGCACTCTGGAAGGAGTCGACAGTCGATTAAATATGAGCTCGGGGTTGTGGCGCGGACGATCATGTATACGCACCATGTAGGCCGTCGCGCACGATGCAGACCAGAACAATGCCATGAGGCGCCGGAAATGAGACGCGCCCTACACGCCGGGGTCTAATTTCGCCAGGTCGATAGCGCAGAGACTGAAGGTTGGGGCTTCTGGGTTGTGCGTCGACGTAATCGTACTACGCGCTGCCCATCAATTCTATCGCTGAGTAGCTTCTCTTTTGGTCATGAGGGACACCCTGGCATGCGCCTACTGCCATGATTGACACGTTGGCGGACGCTGGAAGCGAAACGTCCCCTCGAGCGTTATCATCGCTTCAATGTCGTAGGGGCAGAACTGTGGGTGGCCCGTGAGCTAGGAAGCACACGAGGCAGGGCAAGAAGAGCCACGTCGAATACACGTACTTCGGAAATACTTGGAGCCTCAAAAAAGCGACCTGGTGAGAATCCTCGAGGGATTGCACAACAGTAGTAGTTATTTGTTCCAGGGAAATCAGATCACCTGCACTGAATGGAAGAAAAACGCGCTAGAATCCGGGTCTAAGAGACACAGGGTCATGGCTTTGAACCCAAGGGGTACCTCTCGGTCTAACGAAACTGCTCAGCGGTTGTGGTCAAGTCCAAGAATCAAAGCCGCAGCGCGCCCGCTGATTGTCGACATGAGCGCTGGCACTTTCCGGTCCGATCTACCCCGAGTACTCGGAGTGACATAAGTGACGGTCACAGAGTGCACGGGAAAGCGCGCGCGTCGAGCGCGTCGCTGTCCAGCGTCCTCATCTTCCTCCACCTTCCCCACCCAGCTAGACTGTACCACCATGGTGTGCAGTCACCCTACCGCTTTGACGCCCCAAACTGACTAGAATTCCGTTTGTAGGCTCGTAATGAGGAAAAAGCGCAGTCTATGCTCTATCGTTTCCGCGAGGCCCAGGCCGCCGAGCTTGGGCTGGGAACGCGAAGCGACCGTCGACCACGCATGGCCAGTGCATGCAAGAGCCTGCGCGAGTGCGAGCGGTGGAGGGGTGAGATCTTGCGAGAGATAAGCCGAAAGGTGTCGAAAATACAAGACGGTGCGTGCTCCCTCGGTCTCTACGTTCCACGCGTGCCCTCATCTCTCGTCCCATGCTCTCAGCTGGCCTTACGGACTATGAGGTGCGCGACCTTAATGACGAGATCAACCGCCTCCTGCGCGAAAAGCGCCACTGGGAAAACCAGATCGTTGCACTCGGCGGCGCGAACTACCGCCGAAACGTCGCGATGTTGGACGACGACGGGAAAGAGGTGCCAGGAACGAAGGGGTACAAGTACTTCGGTCGGGCGAAGGAACTCCCCGGTGTAAAAGAGCTTTTCGTGAGCAAGAAGACAGAAGAGGACGAGGAGAACAAGGTCCACAACTACTACAAGAAGTTCACGAACCAGGGGCCCGCATATTTCGGCGATCTGGACGAGGCGGAAGGGGAGCTTCTGAAGTTCGAAATGCACACTGAGGAAGAAGGTACGTTTTTCAGTCCCTGGATGCGCCCTCTTTTGCTCTGCCCTTTCGTCTCCCCACCCAACACGTCTCTGACTCCTTTGACAGAGTGGGAAGATGCCTTCAATCATCTTCGTACCGTTCTTGGTCTATCGCCAGAGGGCCCTGTCCCCCCAATTCCCCGCCCGGTGAAACAAACCTCCGCCCTCTCCGTCACGGATGCAAGTCACGCAGGGCTGCCGGACCCGAAGCGCAAAGCCCCCGACGAAGACGGAGATGTCGAGATGTCCACAGACGCGCCCTCGTCAGAGATTGCAAAACGCGCAAAGAAGGAGGGCGCGCCACCAACACTTGCCTCGACAGACGCCCCATCGGACGACACGATGCTCGCGCATGCTCAGCGGACAGCAGCCTACATCCCTATCCTTTCACCGGAAGTCCTGATGCCGCCGACGCTACCGACACGAGAGGAGATGGAGAAGTTCTTGTTGGAGTTGCGGAAGAAGGCGTTGGTGGAAGAGTACTTCGGGAACGACCCTCAGTGAGCTCGTTTGTATTCCCCACCCGGTGCGCCGGTGCTCCCCCTCGGCCGTTGTTACTCTTGCCTTGCATGTTTGTACTGTACTTTTACTATTCGGGGATAGAGGGTTAGCAGGACCATTGTTGCCCACACCTTCGCCCTGCTTCGCGTTCAATTCACGAGCCTCGGAGTATCCACAAGCAAGATTACCAACCTTCGCGTGCAATAAGTTCTTCCTTACCTCATTGTTGAACGCTGAAGTTGAACTGGGACATCCAGGTCGTACATATCGACAGTGCGCCGTATTGCTGGTGAGCTGCCAGCGCTGGTGCAAGGGTGTGCATGTACTGACCGATCTGCTTCGTTAGCGTCCTTTCAGGCATAGCGCCAAAGTTCGGACGGCCTCGCAGCCGAGGGTTCTGAGGACTGCGTTTGCAAATGCCTCCGCAGCGCTCGCTTCTTCTCCATACCCGCACCACCACACGACACACCAGAGCCCCTGTGGGCCTTGGCCCTGCCTTTTGTCGCTACCGCTTGCAGGGTCTTGTCCGGTGCTTGCTTCCACGGTTTATCTTATCCACCAGGCCCTCCGGGCTTTCCCCTTGTAGGCAGCATCATTAACTTCCCTGCTTCCAAGCCCTAGAGTGCGTTCCAAAAGCTCGGTGACGTCTACGGTGACGTCGGACGAATGTCCAGCACTTCCCTCACTGACAAGACAAGCTCTGCAAAAGACGTGCTGCGCTTCAGACTGCCAGGCCAGTCCATCCTCGTCCTCGACAGCGCCGACGCCATCTTTGATTATTTCGACAAAAGATTCGTCAACACCTCCGACCTCACGCAGTCGAATCGTAAGTCTCGGCTCACTATCGCGGGGGACACAGGCCCGACTTTTGACAGTTGTGGCCAGCACTTCAGCACCGCCTTGATGCCACATGGACCCCGCTGGCGCGCGCATAGGCCAGCTACTTCCACCGAGACGCGTCCCTCGTGTATTGGCTCACGCAACGCGCCGTCACCTACATCTTCCTACAGCGGTTGCTGGACAACCTATCACGGCTGAGCGATCACCTTCCATGGTTGGTGTCCCATTCTGCGCAAAGCTCGTTAGAACTCACGCCATTGCTGACAGTACCTTCGCTGGCTCCGATATCCACATCGTGTACGGCATCGATACGTCCGGGCTTTCGAGATCTCCGTCCAATCGTCCTCGGGGCTGGTCCCTGGCTCATCGTGGTGAGGTTTCCACATTTCTTGCGACATGCGCCCATTTGGTTCCCTGGCGCGACTTGCGAAGTGGCAGTCCGACAACGAGATCGCCTTGGAGCTCAGGTGGTACGTTCGTTTCGACGACCTGCGTCAACGTTAGGGGCTGACGATGATGAACTTCAGGATCCACTACTCCAAGTACAACGCTCTATGGTCGGAAAGCTCCTGCTATCTCCCCTACGGTCGAGTCACCTGTGGATGTTATATCCAACAGGCGAGTCGTCGCTTTCGAAGGTAAGTACTTCTATTTATCACTCCTCCTCTGGCGCCTGTCGCTGACGATGGGTCGCTCTCGCTGGCGCTGACAATGTACAGTGTACATGCAAGCGTGGCACACCTAGTACACACCCGTCCGGGGGCGGTATCTGTCCAGGGCGCTCCTTCGCACAAGCGGGCCTATCCATCAACATCGCCTCTGCTCTGCACGTGTTCGATGTCTCCGCCAGTCGATCAAGACGGCCGGCCCGTCGATGTCGTGCTGGACATGACGCCCGGACATTTGTCGTACGTAGTCTCCTTACTAGAGCACGCATTCGATGGCTGACGATGCTACGTCACCTAGGCACCCCGAGGACTATCGTTGCACTGCCAACGCTCGTTCTCCACAGTACGCAACTTTGATATGTACTTACTCCCGCAGAGATCGCGCGTGCGAACAATGATGTACTGTTGTGACCTGGTGATCCGATTTCGGACCGGTCTATTGGGAGGACAGTCTAATTTGACAGGAAGCATAGAACAGGTGCCATTTCTGCTGTCACCTTTAGCGAGGCCAGGTGTATATATCATACTGCTCTGCGGATATTCTATGTTGATACAGCCACGACCTGCGATGCTCTCGCCACTGAGCGTGATATCCGCTCTATCCGCTGTTGTTCTAGTCGTCTGGTTCCAGTCGCAGATCGCATGGAGAACGCGTACTCGAGGCCGACCACTTCCCCCAGGACCTCACGGGCTACCCGTGATTGGCAACCTCTTCAACTCGCCCACGAAGAGATTATGGATCGCTTATGAAGAGCTTAGCGCAAGATACGGTGCGTTTCCTCACAACATCACTGATTTGTTGAACCTAACATCCTAACTCCAGGTGACATCTTTCATTTCCGCACCTTTGGCCAGTCCACGGTAGTGCTCGCGAGTCCGGATGTCATCAACGAATTCCTCGACAAGCGTTCGATCGAAACATCGGACCGCAGGCAGACTGCGCTCATGAAATTGTACGACATGGGTGGCGGAACCTGTATCATCCAGTACGCCACACTGACCTCTGTTGCTACAGGCTCGGACTCGACATCAGCATGTCGTTCATGCGGTACGGCGCACGATGGCGACTATATCGCCGCACGTTTGCGCCGCGCTTCCATCCGGATAAGCTCGTACAGCACCAGCCCAAGCAGCTTGCGACTGCGTACTCGTTTCTCAGACGTCTGCTGGACACCCCGGCTGAGCTTGACGAGCACATCAGATAGTGAGTATGATCCACCTACGCTTCGTGCATCAATCCATCCGTGTTCTAAGCTGTTGTCTTGGCCGTCACAGCACATTCGCTGCGACTGTGCTGAAGGTGCTTTACGGCATAGACCCCGAAGAGAAGGACGACCCCCTCATTGCCGCCGTCGAGAGTACCATGGAGGGCATCGGACAAGGCCTGGTCCCTGGAAAGTTTATGGTGGAGCACATCCCCGTCCTGCGACACGTCCCGGCGTGGTTCCCGGGGGCAGGTTGGCAGAACGCGTTCCGCGAGTGGCGCGCCGCGCGGGACGTAATGACCAATACTCCGTTCGAGCGCAGTATGGCGGCTTTCGTGAGTTTCACAGCTCTCGATGAGACTAACGAGCATCGAACTGACCTGGTTTCCGGCGATCAAAGGACACTCCGCCAGTACGCGATTCGTTTGTTGGCCAGGTTATCGGCACACCCGTCAAGCCGGGGGATGAGAAGATAGAAGACATCGTAAGGAACGTGGCCTCGATCGCGTTTGAGGGTGAGCTTTTGTGAGATGCAATATGATGTCACCTTGTTGACGACTCTGAACTCCCTTCAGCTGGCACGGATACGGTGCGTCGCTTTGCCTCAGATCAATTGGTGCTGCTTCATTTGTCGCTCATTATTCCGTCTCTCAGACCTTGTCCGCCTTTCAAGCCGCGTTCCTAGCGCTCTCCCTTGCCCCTGATGTGGTCAAGAAGGCACACACAGAGCTTGACGCAGTCGTCGGTCCCAACCGCCTGCCGAACTTTGGCGACCGCGACGCGCTGGTGTACGTGAACGCGATCGCCCTCGAGGCACTCCGATGGCACACCGTCGTTCCCATCGGAGTGCCGCATTGTACGATCGCGGACACGGAGCTTCGCGGGTACTTCATTCCCGCCGGGACCGCCGTAATTGCGAACATATGGTGTGTGCTCTTCGCTATGCCGGCTCTTCATAAACTGACATTTAGCAGGTCTTGCATGCACGACCCCGACGTTTTCCGGATCCTTATGTTTTTCGGCCGGAGAGGTTCATCAGAGAAGGGAAGCTCGATGTGGGCGATCGCGATCCACGGCATTCGTGTTTGGTTTCGGTAGACGGTGAGCTCGTGCGGGCCAGGCATCTGTGCGCGCATCCATTCTGATCGCGAAGTATCCCTCTGTTGTCAGGATATGCCCCGGCCGTCACTTCGCGCAGGCTGGGCTTTTCTTGAACTTTGCATGTGTGCTACATGTGTTCGATATCTCGCCCCCTGTGGACGAGCACGGAAACGAGATCAAAATCGAGCCGGCGGTGACTGACGGCTTTCTCTCGTGAGTGCAAACACAGCTTTAGAGAGCGATCACTTACGTCGTCTTCCGCTTTGTGCCTCTAGCTATCCGGAAGACTCTCGCTGTACCATCAAAGTGCGTTCACCAGCCGCCGAGGCTCTGATTCTCGAACACACGGGGTGCCATGGGCGCAGTTAACGTTCCAATGACGGATCCTTGGAGTTCATTCGCGGGCGATTCTGGTCATAATGTACATGGTAGAAAATCCCGCTTCATCTTTCGTCACCCTCGCATAGCTCGTGCAGCCTCTGCGTTCTCACGAATGAGTCTCTCGTGTGCTGGCGAGCGGGCTTTTATGGTGCAGCGGGTATCTTCTGGGTAGCTAAACCGTAGCCAAGATTTGACGCTCAGCATTCGTCCAGCGAGCACTGTCGAGTAGCACACACCTGAAGAACCCATCCGAAAACTTTGCTTCGACCTTGATAGCCTTACCATTCTCGTCGAGCGGAGGCGTTATGTTGAACACATGCATGATGGACGCCACATTAATAAATAGTGCGGCACGCGCGAGATGCCGCCCGGGGCAGATTCTATAGAGGTGTACGTTTCTCTCATAAGCATACGCGAAGAAATTGTATCAGAGTGCAGCGCACCTTCGCCCGAAGCCGAAGACTACATCTGTAGGGTCGGGTACAGATGTGTCGATCTGTCCGTCCTTGATGAAGCGCTCCGGCTTGAACATGAACGGTTCGGGGTAGACGTTAGGGTCGTGCATGCACGCCCTGCGGGGCCCGGTGCAGCTTCAGTTGCGCTTCGCAAAACCGACGATACCGGTTGCTTACCAAGCATTCGGTATCACGAGCGTATCCGCGGGAATGAACCATCCGCGCCAAATATCGTCGGCGACCGTGGCGTGCGGGACGCCGAGCGGTGTGACGTTGTGCCATCTGAGCGACTCCAAGATGAAAGCGCGGACGTAGAGCAGCGGCTCCGCGTCGTCGAAGTCTGGCATGCGCCGAGGTCCGACGACGGCGTCGAGTTCGGCGTGGGCTTTGGCCATGATGTCGGGGTGCAGCGACAGAGCGAGGAAGACAGCTTGCAACGTCGAACCGATCTGGAGAGCCGGTATCAACGTCGTTCGCAGAGTGTCACTCAAGCCACGCGCCAAGGCGCGGTTCTTACCGTATCGGCCCCGGCTACAGTCACGAGTGGAGGGAGTCAGTGCAAGGCTGCTGGACGCGCCACTGCCAGGATTTTTCGTACCTTCGAATGCAACCGCCCCGACGTTCTTCGCGACCTCTATCTTGTCATCTGCATCAAGCCGACCGAATTGGTCTCCGGCATACTGCTCCTCGCGTTCCACAAGCAATCGATTAACGACAGACTGCTGCACCTCTGGGCGGTTCTGTTGAGGTTGGTTAGACAAGGAACTACTTCCTTGCCACCAGACGTCCACAAAACAAGACTCACCCGCTCCGCAACGAGGAAGGAATAAGGCAGGTTCACCAGACGGGCGGAGGCAGCCTGCCACTTCGCCCAGCGCTCGTGCTGAGTGCGCATGCCCGGGACCCACGCGGGAACGTGCCTCAGGGCAGGTACATATTCTACCACCCATCTTCCAGGTATCAAGGTGTCTAGGACCGCCTCGAGGGCGCTCTCGTCGTGGCGACGTACTGATCGTCCTTCTCTTGTGCCTCGATGCCGTACATGATCTTCAGAACCGTTGCGGCAAAGTTGCTAGGACAGTGTGAAATGAAGTCAGACCATGAGACTGGTACAACCACAGATCTTACAATCGGATGTGCCTGCAGAGCTCTCCAGGGTCAGACAGAACCTGGTCCAGGAAGATGTGGGCGGCGTTACGTTGGATGTCGCGGTAGGCAACGGCGGCGTCACGGTGCATGTAGTTCCAGAATGCTCGTCGGTGATCCTCCAGTGATGGCCGTACGGTAAGAGCCCCATGTTGAATCCTTGGCCAGACCTGTAGGTCCCACCGTTAGCAATGACGTACTTTTGCATCAGACAAAAGGGGACTCAAAGATGGATCATGTGGCTTTGGAGGCGAGAAGACGTGTTCGCGGACTGCTTGTCAAGGAACTCGCTTAAGACTTCTGTGTTCCCAAGCACAAGTATGGATTTTCCAAGCCCCCTGTAGTACACTGCATCTCCTGCGCGGTGTCGGTTTCATCGATAACATGACGAAGACGAAGCTTACCGTACACCTCACTGACTTCACGGAACTTTATCCAAGGCTTAACCGTGGGGAGACTGAGTATGTTGCCTATAAGCAGCATTGAGGGAGGTCCTGGAGGAGATGGAAGACCCCGAGAGCGAGCGCGCCATCTTGCTGCAGTGCGTAGATAGACCGCAAAGAGGGTCGCCGCTGCGACAAGGAGAGCCCAGGGGGGGATCGAGGGAATCGACATGGTCCAGGCCAATGTACTCAATGTCGACACCGACAATATATCTTTGCGCGTACGGGAGTGGGAAACCGAAGCCCACCATACATGCGTAATCTGGGAGCCGGTTCCGTAAGCCAATGATAATACCTCTGTAATTGGTTGGATTCTCGCAGGGCTGTCAGGTAGAAGCGTCACCGCACGGGCAGACTTGAATGCCGCAGCCCGAGGAAAAGCCTGCGTGCGATCACGAGGCACTGTATTACAGCCGCTATTACATTGATACACCTGTTCAATAAAAATCGTACACTGGGGAGTTCGCACGGAGTCACAACTTGACTTGACAGTTGCGATGCTCACCCGAGAGTTAGTTGGCGTCGTAGCGACCCCTTCGCGCGAGAAGTGATGTCCAAAGTCTGGTTTGAATTTGGAACCTCTGTGTGTGGCTTCCGACGAACAGGCTATCATTATGATAATGGCTGTAAACGTCCAGTAGAACAAGCGGGTTGCACACTTGCATTGCCTACTGAGTATCGGTGACGCGAATTGCAAGCTCCTCCAGGAAGCCAGATTCTTCCCGGGTCGTCTAAGAAAACCAGATGCAATCGAAGGCTTGCGCATGATTGAGTGTTGTGTCGGAGAACCGGATCTCTTGGGTGCCCCTGCATGGCGGTCCGGTTGGTAAGTTCAAACTTCACTGAACAGTTCTGGCACGAGTTTGGGCGTCGTTTTGGATATTTTATTAGCCTATGGTGTATAGTAATAATATGAGAACAAGGGCGTTTGGCGCAGTGGTAGCGCGTATGCTTTGCATCCGACGGTATAATCGTCAGTGCCTGCATAAGGTCAAGGGTTCAAGCCCCTTAACGTCCAGTCATTTTGTCGAGGGACCGAAACTAATGCGCGAAGTGTCATTGATTTCCATCCAGAGGCACGGCTTCCGTGAACAACGGGATTTTCACCGGGCGCTTTTCCTCGAATTCTTCACGAATTCACAATTAAGGCTATGAAAGTTATAGTACAGGATATAACACATGTCCGGCAAAACCAACATCTACTCCTTCGCCTCCAACGCTGCAACGATGGCATATGCTGCCGCTGCTGCTGCACCGCCGACACAAAGGGTCGATATCGCACCCCAGACATAATCCCCGAAGCCCGCACCCGCACCCGTAATGCGCGCCTTGACGGCACCGAAGATGAGGAGGATTATACCGGTGACGACCGAAGAGTATATGAGCGCGATGTGCGCGACGGGCTCGAAGAAGTAGGGCAGGAGGGGATGAGGCCACCGGCGAGGTAGCCGAGGCCGATCGTCAGCGCGGAGGCGTACATCCGGAGCGTGGTCACGTCCTCGAGGCCCTCGCCGAACTTGAGGAGGAAGGCGGTGAGCCCGACGTCGCCCGCCCAGCGCAGCGCGCCGCCGTCCTCGGCGAGGGTGACGTCGGACGAGGTGCTGGCGCGCGGTTTGTGCGCGGGGCTCGAGCCCGCGTGCGCGTGCGCGCCGTCGGCGCCGTGCGTGCTGAACTCGACGTCGCGGAGGCACGCGCGACCTGGCGCGAGATCTTCTCGTCGACGCCGACAGGACCGAGCACGGCGTGGACCTCGCGCTCCATCTCGCCGTCGCAGGAGCGGACGACGCGCGCGGCGGTGACGCGCTTCAGGTAGCGGTAGTGGTCGCGCTCGGCTTGAGTGGCGAGAAGCCGCCGATGCCCATGGAGATGGCACCGGCGATGAGCTCGGCGATGCCGCCGAGGATGACGAGCTTGGACTCGCCGAGGGAGGAGAGGCCGGCGGTGAGCGCGAAGGGGACGGTGAGGCCGTCGGAGAGGCCGATCACGCTGTAGGGGGCGAATGTCGTCAGCACCGGGCCGTGGTTCACGCGGCCACTCCTCGGGCGACGCGATTGGACGAGCTGCGCGGAGGATCTGCCCAAATGACGATCGACTCCCGTTTGGCGGAGAGCAAGAGCAGCATTTTGTGGCGACAACCGCAGAGCCCATCCCCTAAAACGCGGCAGACGTGTATGCACCAAGTCTTAAAGAAGGACTTCGGCGGTGCGAAGCTGAACGTGTGGGATACGTGCACGGGAAGAAAGAGACTCACACATCGCGGACAACATCTGGGTCAATGAGTGTGCGCTCGTCGTCTCCCTTCAGCTCTTTGCAGCATACTCCCGACCGCACCGGCTCGTGTCGGTCGCATTTCGCGGGTAGAGGGGCGACTTCAGGACCTTCAGCGTTGTTGATTGACCAAACGGGTGGCTTGTTTCCGGGGACGTGTTCCGAGCTGCCGCGTCGGGGAAGAGGAACGGATGGCGCCGAGGAAGAGGAGGACTCGGGCATGACTGGCGGGACGGGTAGTACGTGAGGGGTCGCCAGGAACGTCGCGGGGGAAGGAGAGAGAGGTGGGAGAGGGAGAAGATGCCGGAAGCCGCTCCCAAGCTTGAATTATGGATCCGGGTCGACTTCACACCCTGACGTAATCCTCCTTCCCATTGGCCCCGCCGAGCAGCCACCGACGCTCTCCCGCTGCTCCAGCTTGGCTCCGGCACCTTTGTGGCGACAATCCTGAAAATCATGTACGGCATCACCGTGAAGGAGCACAACGGTGAGTATGTTGAAACGGCCGATGACTGTTACCAGACCGTAGCAGAGAGTCTCCTACTGAGAGAATGGTGGTACCCGCGCTGACTCTGAGACACGTCCCCGTGAATACCGGGTATGCACGCCCAACACGAGCGGTGGACGAAGTGGCGGACTGCCTCGGCGCGTATGCTGAGCATAACATACGCTCATCTCGTCGACCAGTGGGTATGCCGATATTCTGTCTGATCGAGTCTGTCGTAACTCGGCTGCTCGTTGAACGCGAGGAGGAGATTGCGACAGGAGCATACGGTCAGCTTGATGCAGAACGGGGTTGCATATCAAGGTATAAAACGCTCTGATGACGCTATCTACTTGTACATCAGCCGGGTACGATACGCTGAGATTCCTCAATTAAGTCTGTGAACACTGACCCAGTTATTCAGTCCGACTCAACGCGGCTGCGATCCGTCTTTTTGGCTCCTTCGCTTAACCCCGACGCTATGGCCGAAGCCCACGCTGGGGCCGCTTCCCTTCAACTCTGATGAGCATCTCCGGACGGAACAGATGCGGTTCCGGGAGCCGTCGGGGTGGTGCGCTGTTGACTGTGAGTCCAATTGCGAGGGCGGTGTGCCATTGGAGTGCCTCTAGGATGATGGCATTCATGTACACCACTAAGTGTCTCACTGGTCGTCACAGTTCGGCGGTCGGTTGGGTCAGCTTCTATGACCTGATATTATTGGAAGGCTTCCTTGAACCGACATCGCACAGTCTGCACTATTGTGCAAACAATTGGAATTCCAGTCCTCTCATGTAGAAAACCTTTCTGGCCGAACACTTCAGCAGCTAGACCACGTAGTATTGAAGCACGGGATGCCGCTGATTTATGCACTACCGATGCAATGCTGCTAGCCATGTGCGATCATGCTCACATCAATTCTAGAGCATCACGAAACTTGCGGTCGGACGATCCCGCACGGTCACGGGGACGGACGCAGATCAGAGTGTGACCTAACGGCACCAGGCGTGATCATGCAGACTGCCTTAGAGCGACAAATGATCATACATTCGACGGAGAGACGCGTTGAGGTCTAATGCCGTCGAGAGGACAGACAATGATCGCGCAGACAGGCTTATGGTCGACCATGGTCTGACGGCAGGGGTGTAATTGTCAACCATGGTCTGATGACACAGGCGTGACGGTCAGCCATGTCCGGCCCGGCAGCAGTCGTCCGACCGAGCGAGACCTGACACAGACTGAAAGATGACGATGCGCGACCTTTTGGAGATCTGCAGTTGACCGTGCACCGACCGCGGAAGCAAAGCAAACACCTGCAGGGAAAAAGGCAGGCGATGAGCTCGTCTGCTTCATTGTATGAGACAACTTGTGTCTCGTCGCTTTGTACTAAGTAGTTCGGAGTTGTGCGCTTGATGTGCGCGGCCATGCGGGCCTCATATGCAAACTTCCCCCATACACTCTTCCACTGTCTGTGTCCCTGTCACTGGATAAACACTATAGATGTTCATAGATAGCACTAGAACTATTAAGAACATGCTGGACGAGGTCATATGGCTGCGCGGGTCTTTGGCACAACGCACGTCTAACCCACGTGACCGTGGCCCTGGGCGTTTCAAAAATGCCAAAGCGCGAACTTCCTCATGTCTTCCTCTCCCTTCCACCAGTACCACCATCTCCCACACTCGCGTGATCAGCTCCAACACAGCTCGCTGTATAGCCCAGCCCGTATCCTCGTGACTTGCCCTGCCGAGTCTACTCGCTCACTATGATCAGGCTCCCCGTTGAATGCTTCCAGGGACCCGACACCCCGCCAATGCTAAACAGAGCACTTCTGAAGCCTTGGTACGTGATAATGCATCATTTTATGCGCATATATCCACTCCCTCGACCGCAGGTCACGCGGTCTAAGCCCAAAATCAAGCAGGAGTCGCCCGTTATTGTCATATTGACTCCGACCTGTTGCTGCTGATGCTCTGTAAGTATCTGCCTGCTATATGCGCACTCAATTTACACCCGCATGTATGCATTTCCTTCTAGCACAAAATTTCCGACACTCACAGATTCTCCAGAAGCCCCTGTCGGGTAACAGTGGGTTTTACTGTGTACGAATTCCTTCTGTATTTGACCCGAGGCGAATTACGACAGGACCCCGCAAGCTCACGGTATGTACAGCACTTTATTGCCCCTTTCCTCGTCTAACGTCCATGCAACAATGTGCAGGCCCACGGGGGACGCGGCGTGTGAACGGCGCAACGAACCCGATCTTGCGCGTGAAGGGCCTGGTCGACTCCGTCCTGACGTTTGAAATCGAGATGTCCTGGATGAGCGAAGACGGGTGCGTCCATCTCTCTCTTCCGTCTCATGCGATATGTGCCGACCACTTTCCCCCACCCCCATTGTTGTCGATGCGGCGGACTACTGATGCGGCGGACTACTCGCTCTCCAAGGGCAACCTCAACGTCGCGCTGCAGGCGACGACTATTAGCTGCTCTTCATCGACTCCGCGTACGGCATCCTGTACAGCACGTCCTCCACTCCCATCTCATTGCATTTCTCCGGTAGCTGGTCGTCATGGTGGATCTTATCATATGCCGCAGGTATTCGTGCGTCTCTGTTCAATGTTGTCGTTGTGATGTATGTTGTGTCGTCAGACGTCATTGTAATATACACTCTAGTTAATGGTACAATAATAATTCTGTCTCTCCAATTTATGTCGTTTGAATGGCTCCATATGTATGCTCAAGCTGTCCATACCGTGTGCTCGGTCCGATCAGTGTCGACCAAATGGCTGTGGCCGTTCGACCGAGCATGACCAGAAGCTCCGCGAAGTCTGACCATGCTCGACCATACTGCCCTGCCTGTCAGCTCATAGACGGCCCGGGACCCCCGTGAAGTAGACCTGGCGGGATCAAACCAGCCTTGCAATAAGACCATCCGCGATCCCTCTCCCACTGACCACTGATCATACTTGCTCATGCTCGATGATATTTGGTCGTTATTCGTCACAAGAAGGCCGGGCAGACAACTGATGATCTCGCAGACTTATTTCGATCTCGCATGCTCCGCTTATGATCCTCTCACCGCCATTTTCGTGATGAGGTTGTGAAGATCAGAAAGGATCATGGAGAGAACATGATCCTCGCATTATAATAAACTGTGTCACTGGGCACTTGGCACAGTGGTAGCGCGCACGCTTCGCATGCGTGAGGTCCAGAGTTCAATCCTCTGAGTGTCCATGTTTTTGGCAACCAGCATCAACTTGTCCACAGTGCATGCGACTAAACGAAAATGCATATGCGGTCAGAAGGTATGTTCGTCTACGTTATCATTTATGATGCTGGTGGTGGCGCATGGAGACAACAGTTCCTTCCATGTGTAAATGCGGCTCGGTTCTGCCAGGTTCTGCCCCGGCGCTCTCTTCCAGCTGCGCGGCTGCATGTTGGTGGGACGCCGACATCCTTCGCGAGGGTCCCGTGGTGTGGAATATACGGTCCCCCTTGGCGGACGTCCGGTATGAAAACGGTCACGCTCCATGCCGTCTCCCGAAGGCGACGGGCGACGGCACCGAGTACTATTGAGCACCAGGCCTCGCGAGCGTCGGTCGCTTCGAGCTACTAAGTTGTCGCGTCGTCGAGCACTGCACGGTGGCGAGCGTAGGTACGCAGTCTAGCCCTCCATTTTGGCGGCCGCCGAGGAGAAGTAAGGACGGATGTTGGCGCAAGCTAGGAGTTGGGACGTCTGTCCTCGTTCAACTTCGACGTCCGTACGATTTATTCCATCCACACCCGTAGTGTTGCTGACCCGCCGGCCCGTCCCTCCGCCTGCGAGAGATAACGTCCGAGGATGGTTGCTTGGCGATCAAAGGAGTACATATGTACCTGCTCCATTCCCTCGGGCGCCGGGGACAGGGTTCCGAAACCCAGGTTCGCCTTGGCCACCTCGGACGTTGATCGGAAAACACCGCTAATTTCTTGCATCCCCATCGGCCCCGTCCAACGGAAACGAAGAATTCGATCAACATCTTCGCACACTACATCACGTGCCGTGGCGGCGAGGGCCTCGCGCTTTGCTCCCTGGGCCAATGCGCCGACATGATGAATCCTTCATTCGTCGCAAGCCCCCTCGAAAGTGTGACGGAGCATTCCTTCCATGGAACGACGACGCGCAGCCGTTTCCCGTCGCCCGTCGCCCGTCTCCGAGGGGTATTTGTATTACACTCCCAGCGACGCGTGCCGACGAGATCGTCGACCTGATCCCAGTGCTGCGCAGCCCGACTTGGTCTGTGACGTGCTTGCCGACAATCTGACGGTACGTACGCGTGCACTCCTGATTCGATCTCGGGCGACTGGTTGCCAGTGCTTTGCTCTGGCCTTCGAGCTGACGGCCTCCGTGCACTCCGCAGCTCCTCTGCAAGGCACAGGCGTCGCGGGAGGAATCCCTGCTCTGGGATAGGATGTGATGAGAGAACTTGCATGGGTTCGTGTCCTTGTTTGAGCGTATCAGAGAGCTAAGGACGCACACGGAAAGACTACATGTCAGATGCCAACTGCTCCTGCCCACAGGCTGGGTGTCGAACGTGACAATACGCAACGTCCGCATGGCCCACACCCTTCCTGATCCTGCAGAACACCTTGGGACATCCGTACGTCCCGCCACGATCGAGGAGGCGACATGCTGACTTGCCATGCGTTCCTGAACACCGCACTAGCCTCCCCGACGGTGATACATCCGCGTACGCAGCGGCGAAGCACCGTCGAGGCTGTTATTCACCGAACTCACATTCGAGAACGTCACCAGGACGGCAGAGACGGCGAGCCGTGCGTCGCGCTTCCTTTGCTGCAGCGGGGCCCGCACCCTGCGGTCTGTTCAATGGCGTACAAGCGCTGATGACATCGGTGATCGGCATTCGATGCAACATTGCAGTGGCTGATTTTGCGTGCGGCGCCGCGGCGCCGTGCACGGACATCGCGTCCGCCGACGTGGGGCTCGCGGTGCCGGGATGGGGAGACAGTGGTGTAGGACGGGGCTGTCGGGCGGAGGAGAGGCCATTGGTTGCCATTCATACTGGCTTCTGACTGCGACCGGTTATATATGGCGCACGATCGCCATCGCGGCTGTCACGAATGTGCGTCGAACGGCTTGCGGCGTGTGAGGCGGCTCGAGGGAGATTGGACATGGAAACAGACGGGAAGGCAAGGGGCGAGAAAGATACTAGTGATTCTCCGGCGTCCTTGGGCGAGAACAGTTTGGATTAAATCAAAGATCTGATCACGGCCGCAGCAACGCGACGAGGTGGTGGCAGGCCTGGGTGCCGGGTGCCGACTGGCTCGAGGTGTGAGAGGTGTGCGACTCGAGGGCCGTCGGACGTCTTGGTTGTGCACGGAGGACGTCAGGAGGAACATGCGAGAGATGGAGGGAGGACAGACAGGCGTCCAGGGACAACCGGACTGATACCGCGGGGAGACCAGGGCTGCCTCGCCCCGGGTTGCGACGGCAACAGGCCGGGGCTCGCACAGGCGCTGGGCACAGGCGGGCGGCGCGCGCGAATCACAAAACAAGCTTGCCCCCCGACCACGACGTGCTCGCACTCCCTTTCTTCCTTCTTCCCCAGCCCCGTCCTTGTCCTTCGCTCAGGCCGGCCCTCTTTCTGCGCAGGACGTCGACTTCGCCCTTGACCTGACCCGACCGACACACGCCGCCAGGCTACCCTATGCCCTTTAACTCGCGGCGTCGTTCAGCAGACATGGACTTCTCCGACGGCAAGATTCCCTCTATCGAGCAGCACCCCGACATCGTCATCAACGGAAACCAGCCTGGCCACCTCCAGCGCAACAAGACCGAGCGCCGCCGCCTCCAGGGTCTCCAGCGTACCAACTCCAATGTCTCCGTCCCCGTCGGCCCCTACGTGCCCCGCACGGCGATGGAGAAGTTCAACCACTGGATGATCAACGAGGGTGGCCGCCGTCTCTTCCTCTACGCCTTCTTCCTCCTCCACGCCCTCGTCATCGCCTTCGGTTTCATGCACTACCAGATCAAGGACAACTCCGTCGGCGCGCGTGCTACGTTCGGCATCACCTTCCGTGAGTCTCTTCCTTACCCTCCTCCCAGCGCCGCGCCTTAAGCTTGTCTATGCGTCTCCCAGCGGTGGCTCGTACCGCTGCGCTCGTGCTCCACGTCGACGTCGCCTTCATCCTGCTTCCGATTTGCCGCAACTTCATCTCGGTCGTACGCAAGACCCCCCTCGGCTCGTTCATCCCCTTCGACAAGAACATCACCTTCCACAAGGCCGTCGCTTGGTCCATCGTCACCTTCTCCATCATCCACATCATGGCTCACATGGTTAACTTCCTGGAGCTTGTCATGGTCGACCCCGACGCGAAGACGCTTGCCCAGAAGCTCTTCGCCTTCGTCGCAGCCAACTTTATCACCGGCCCCGGAGCCACGGGCTGGATCATGACCGCCGCGCTCGGCATCATGGTCTGGTTCGCGATCGAGAAGCGTCGCCGTGCCCACTTCGAGTGGTTCTGGTACTCGCACCACCTCTTCATCGTCTTCTTCATCAACTGGCAGCTCCACGGTATGTTCTGCATGATCAAGCCCGACCGCCCGCCGTACTGCTCGTTCAACACCATTGGTGTCTTCTGGGTGAGTCCCCGCTTGAGCCCTTTTCCCGCGAATTTGTTCTGATGCGGTTTCGCCCCGCCTCGCCCATCAGCGCTACTGGCTCGTTGGCGGTGTGATCTGGATCTACGAGCGCATCCTTCGTGAGGTTCGCTCGCGCCACCGCACCTACATCTCCAAGGTCATCCAGCACCCGTCGAACGTCCTCGAGGTTCAGATCAAGAAGGAGAAGACGACCACCCAGGCCGGCCAGTACATCTTCCTGTGCTGCCCCGAGATCTCCTACTTCCAGTGGCACCCCTTCACTCTCACGAGGTAAGGTTAAAACTCTAGATGTTGTCGAAACGTGGGCTGACCTTGGCACAGCGCCCCCGAGGAGGACTACATCTCGGTCCATATCCGTGTCGTTGGTGACTTCACCGCTGCTCTTGCGAAGGCCGTCGGCTCGGACATCCGTCTGGGCAAGAGTGAGAAGGGCAAGGGCGGCGATGTCGGAGGCCGTGTTGTCGGCACGGCTGGGAACGGGCCTGTGAACGTGTCCTCCCCCGTGTCATGGTCGACGGTCCGTTCGGTTCGGCTTCGGAGGACTTCCTCGACTACGAGACCGTCCTGCTCGTCGGTGCCGGTATCGGTGTCACGCCGTTCGCGTCCATCCTGAAGTCGATCTGGTACCGGATGAACAACTTCAACACCTCGAAGCCGACGCGCCTCTCGAAGGTGTACTTCACCTGGGTCATCCGTGACTTCGGCTCCGCGGAGTGGTTCCACTCGCTCCTGCACGCGATCGAGGAGCAGGACACGCAGAACCGGATCGAGATCAACATCTACCTGACCGCGAGGATCAAGGAGGAGGACATGAACAACATCATCGTCCAGGACGTCGGCGCCGAGAAGGACGCCATCACCTCCCTCCGCGCCCCGACCCACTTTGGTCGGCCGAACTGGGACCGCGTATTCTCGTCCATCGCCGAGAAGCACCCCGAGACTGATGTCGGCGTCTTCTTCTGCGGTCCCTCCGTCCTCTCCCGCCAGCTCCACCTCATGTCCAACAAGTACTCGTCGCCCAAGGGCACAAAGTTCTTCTTCGGCAAGGGTGCGTCTCCTTTCTCGTTCTCCTCCCCGTCTGCGCGCAGCGTGGCAGCCCTCGCCGCCGCCGCCGCCGCCGCCGCCGCGTCCTGCTCTGCTTCGACCCCGCTCTCGTTCCTGTCGATGTCCCGCGTGCTGACGCTTCCCTCCCTTCTCCTACAGAGAACTTCTAAACACCGCGCGTCAGGCACAGGCGGTGCGCGCCCCATCGCGGGGTCGCCCTCGAAGAAGTCGGACTGTACGCTGTCGACGTCGCTGCTCGTCTCTCCCGTCCGTTCCTCTGTTCTGTTCTCCCCTCCTACCTCAGTGTCGTCGGTCGTCGGCTCGCCTGCGCCAGTCGTTTGCACGCGTCCTTTCGTTTTGCTGCGCCCCACCCTCAGCGCTTAGGCCCAACGTACTGCTTATTGTTCTATATACTGCGCGCGCGTCCGCTCCGTGCGGCGGGGCGTGCGCTTGGGAGTCCATGGAAGCGAGAGTGTGCGACCAGCGCAGCGGCGTGCGTGTGCTGTTCGGCGTCGAGAGCTGCAGCGTTCATGTCGGTGCCCGCGCGCGCGTCTGCCTCCGATGAGCCCAACGGGCGCCGGTCAGGGTACTCGCGGGGGCGTGGGCGGGTCGGGGTCGAGATTTGGTGAGATGAAGCCCGGCGCGCACTCTTTGAGAGCCCGAAGGCCGGGCCCGAGCCCGCGCGGCGCCCATCTTAAAGCTCGGGCGGGCTCGCTGCTCGTGCAGGGCGCGCGCCCTGGGCTTTTCATTATGTTCGTATGGAGAAGGCCAGGGAAGCGGAAGGCCCTCTCCGCTCGAACCTTGGACGGCAGCTCGCGCGGACAATCTGCGTTCGGCGCCAAGATCAGATGCGCGGGCCCAGCTGGAGACGGGGAAGCACGCGTGCGGTGGGGTGAGTTTCTCAGGTTATGTCGGTGGGTTCGGAGCTGGGGGGCGCTCAGTCGGAGTCGGGACTGGCTATGTATGGTTCAAGGGAGCAGTGTTCCGGGTGGGGTCGCTAGTGATCGACGGTCCGACTCGGGCTGCGCGCTCGCGACGAAGGCGAGCTCCAGTCTTCGTAGGCTGTGACATAGCTGCTACATCGAGCTCTGGTACCGGCGTCCTTCGAGGCCCCCGCTCTAGACCCACCCGCACGTCGCCGAAGCTCAAGCACCGTGCTTGTCCCAACGCGTACGCGAGCTGGCCGCGCGGGCTCGGAATAGTGGATTCCGATTGCTCGAGCCCAGGGTCTCGCCATCGACCCACCCTGAATCTGCGTTGACGTCGATGAGAGGCCCAAGCGACCCGAAGGCACGCCGCCGGCCCGGGCCGCCGCGGCCGGTGATGTTCGCAAGGCTCTGGAGTCTGGAGGCTGCCAGAACCCAGCTGTGGTGGGCACACACCGCCCTGGGGCCTGAGTCCGTGCCCGCGCGCACGTCCTCCGTACGTACGCCTCTGCCGCCCCCCCAGTTCGCCGGGGCACGCCGACCGCCCCCAGGTGCAGCCCGATCCGGGTGCGTCTGTGTGTGGGCCGCGGTGACGTCGCGTGCCCGCGTCGGTCCGCATCACACGCATGCGCACGTTCTCAGGAGGGCAGGACGGCATCTGGCAGCTGCAGCTGCTTAGATCCTCGGGGCGCACGCGTCGGTACTCGGAGCGCGGGCGGGCGGTCGCCTCGGAGATGCGGACGCGGGGGCTCCTTGGGTCCCGAGTACTCACCTTGGCGGCCCTGCGCAGCCGGGTGCCGGGGCGTGCGGCGCAGGAATGCCCGGGGGTGCGCGGAGCGTACGTCTGGAGCCGTGCGCGCCGTGATGAGCCTGTGGTCTTGGGACTTGAGCTTGGGGGCTCACGAGTTCTGGAGGAAGGCCCGCTAGAAAGTGGGCCCAAGCATACGCGCCCCGCCGAGAAGAAGAGTTCTGCAGGACACACACAGGCCTATCAGACGTTCGCCTTGCGGTGCGGTGCGGTGCGGTGCGGTGCGTGCGGCACCTGGGACGACCACACCGCCGCGCCCGCGCATCCACCGCCCACCGCCACTCGCGCGCTGAGCGCCGAGTGTCGACCCCAATACGCCACAGACGCAATGAACGAGAGCGGAGCGCGCGGGGACGTCGCCGCGGGACGGAACGCGGGGGTGCTTCTCGCTACCATCGGGCGCAAGGCGCACGAAAATCCTTGCTCGACGGCGGAAGAAGACTCGCCGCGGGGCGGGCGGAAGCGACGAAGCGCGAGCGTATGTGAAGATCTGAGCGCCGCCTCCAGCCGCACTCGACGCCGGAGGCATCCCTGTCGCGCCGGCGGTGCGTACAGAGATATGTGTAACTGACACGGGCACGGACTCGCGTCGTGCGGCGCGCGTCGATGTCGGCTCCCCGGTGGTGATGCGATCGAGTCGCGGCGGGCGCGGGCCAGAGCACCGGACGTGTCCCAGTCCGCGGAGTCCGTGTGCGGGCGAGGCTGGCGTTGAAGCTTTGAAGAGGTGTGGACAGAGGCTTTGGGTGGGACGGGTATGTGGCGATAACGCAACCTCGATCGACAGGACGCAGACACGCTGCCGGCGAATAGCCTTGTGTCGGGTAGAGTTGACAGGAGTATGGAGGTGAACAGGCCCGTACCCCTCGAAGCCTGGGCCGGAACGTCCGCCGGGGCGAACGTGTGAGAGCGGGGTTTCTCCTTGAAGAAAGAATACGCCCCGCGGCGTAGCTGGAGGTGTCGGGTCGTCGGCAGTCGAGAGGGTCATGCGCATGGTGCACGCGCTCTACCGGGCGCAACGGCGGCTAGACCAGCTGAGAGGAAACAGTGAGATATCTAGGCGGCAGTGTCATCGATATCTATGCTTCCCCATCCGTGGCTGTAAACTGGGAGATCCGAGGAGAACGCGACGTGATCTTACTGGGAGAAGGCGGTCTACAGCATTCCTTCATGACTCCCCCGAAGTCTCTCGGGCATGCAGCAGCCAGTTGACACTTGATGGAAAGACGTCAGTCCTGGAGATGCTTGTAAACTTCGCGGCGGCACATTGTCCCAGGACGCACCGTGAGGGATCAAAGGAAGAAGGGACGTCCCAGGTCTTCGCCGGCTATTGTATCGAACAGGAAGACACCGTGGCCAATGCCGGAGCCGTCCCACGGTCATGTCGAGAACCGTAGCATGAATACTGAAGCATGAGCTAAAGTCGCGAATCGCCCTCTTCGGCGAGCTTCTTCGTTCTCGAGCACGGGGCACTCGCGTTTCAGCAGTCTGGCTGTCTGCTCTGAGAACCCCGTGCGGATCAACTTGAAGGTGATCACTGGTGGAGCAGAGCATGCCAGATAGGACTCACCACGGCGGGCGACATGTTCAGGAGCGGGTTCGCGGCGCCTGACGCTGGTAGGAAGCCAGGAAGACGGCCGAAGTAGAGGCATACTAGGCATCCCTGCTGCCCCCTGCTGCTTCTCGGGTCAGATGAGGTGTGGATCTCAGCCCGGGGGGGACAGGGCTCCTGAGTGGTGCTTCTGTTCGTCTTCTCCGCGCCATGCAGCCGGTGAACAAAGCGACGAGCGAGGGAGGTATGTAGAGACCGGGACGGGGGCGCAAACTGCAAACTCCGAGCGTGGGCGGCCGTACTAGAGGCAGGTGGGACCCTGGTAGTTGATGGGTGGCGACAATCAATGGGCGTCGTCCGCACCGGAGATGAAAGGAGACGGGCGAGCGGCGGTGCGAGAGGACGGTCCCATGCGGCCCTCTTGGTCTCGCGCAAAGCAGCGATCATGCATCATCCACAATGCACATGGCTAGCAGGCCACGGGCGCCTGTACGATGCGAGTCGGCAAGTGGCGGTTCCGCTTGCTTTCTGCACTCGACTGCCACCGCAACTACCGCGGACAATGGGCTCGCACTCGCGCAGTGAAAGTAGCCGAAGCTGGTAAGTCTCCGCGCCCCGCCGCTCGCAAAACGCCGTTCACGCCGTAGGGGAGGAGGACAGGCGCGATGGGTGGGCGATCATCGACGAGCCTGGCGGGGAAGCGGACGGGGGCTGGGACGAACGTCCACCGCGCTCGCTCTATACCCTGGCAGGCTACAGAATCCACCAGTCATCGTGCATCGATCGCCCTAGCCCCAAAGGCAAACGCACCCCGTCTACGCGCCCAGTTCCCAGTTCCGTACATGCACGGCAAGCAGGGCCCGCCCGCGCGACACGCAGGGCCGGCGCGCCCGTCCATTTTCCGGCCCGATATCCGTCTGTGGGCGCGCGGCCCAGCGCGCACGTCTCCGTCCCCGCGTCCGAACGCGCACGCACTGACGAACGACGGGCCACATGCCGCGTCTTCCCCGCCTGGCCATGCTATGGTGCGCGCGCGGTGCGCTCCCAAAGGCGTGGGCCGCGGGGCGGTCGCCGGAGACGTCAAGAGGCGGGGCGACGACAGCGCAGAGCGCGGGGGGGGGACAAAGCTCGTCGCCGGGCTGGAAAGAGCAGGCGTGCCCGGCGGACGGGCGCGGCCGGCCCTGATCCGCGGGCCCCGCGGACGCCCCCCGTCGCGCCGTTCGTGCTCGCGCGCGGGCAGCATGCGCAGGCATATAATAGACCTCCCGTCGGGGAGGCCTGCCCCGCCCCGCCCGCCGCCGCACCCAGCGATCTCCCCGCCCTTCCTTCCACCAGCCTACCCGGACCCGAGATGGTCTCCTTCCGCCGCCTCGTCGATCTCTCAGGTACCGTGTTCCCCCCGCCCCGCCGCCACCCCGCACGGTGCGCTGACGCGTTGTGGCACACACCTGCCCGCCGCTCCACGCTTTCCAGAGGACGAGCTCGATGCGGTCGTCCAAGTGCTCCTCGCCGCGTTCAAGGACGGTGTGTGGCCCTGCTTTTCGTCGCTAGATCCGCCAGCTGACCGCCAATCGCCCGCGCTTCTGCAGACGTCGGCATGTCCTCCCTGAGCGGCAACTCCACTCGCGTGCTCGCCGACATCTGCAGACGAACCGTGCGCGCATGCTCCAAAGTCGGCGAGGTCCACGTTGGCCTCGTCGACGGGCGGATACAGAGCGTGGTGGCCTGGACAGCACCCGGGCAGGACTGGCAGTGCTAGTAGGTTTTCCTCTCTGCCCAACCTTCACTTGTTCCGTCGCAGATCCGTGCGGATTTGGCGAATGTGACAACCATCAGATGACGTTCGTGCGGATCGCTTACGCGTCTTCCCCCGCAGCCAGCAAGCCGACTTCATGGCCAACCTCTCGTCCTATCTGAATGAATGGTATATGTACCATGTACGCGTGCGGAAGCCCGGATCCAATAGCGACGTATCTGACATCCCATTCCACCCTACCACAGTACCAACCTACGTACGAAGACCTATATGCGACCGCCTTCTCCGCCGGAGAGCGCACCCGCCGCGATGCGCTCTACCTCAACTTCCTCGCCGTACATCCAGACCACCAGCACCGCCGAATTGGCAAACAGCTACTGAGCTTCGCCTGCAAGCAGGTGCGTCCCTGGGGCCTTGCTTCTCATCGAGGGCCTCGCCCGGCTCGCCCCTTACTTCTCCACTCCCACCCGACTCCTCGCTTACGTCTTGGATCCAGGCCGACGCGACCGCGAAACGCATGGTCGTCGACGTCAAGAGCCCATTTCTCGTAAGCACCCAGATTTCCCCCCACGCGCTCGCCGCCGGCACTGACCCTTCCCTCTCTTCCTTTCTTCCTTCTCTCCCCTTTCCCCCTTCTCGTCCCTTTGTCGCATGCTCTCCACTGCTGCCATCCGCTTCTCGCGTCCTCGGCACACCCGCGCTCCCACAGGTCTCCTGGTTCCGAAAATCCGGCTTCATCCACCGGGCGGTCAAGAACTTCAGCTCGCGCGACTCCGCCGGCTTCCCGCTCTGGTGCATGGTCCGCGAGCCCGAGGGCAAACGCTGACCGCCGTCGCGCGCTGGCTCCGCGGCGTCCGAGCCCGCGCGACGCACGCGACCCGCCACCGTCTCCGCCTTACGTTACTTAAAGCTGCTCTGCCTCCCGCCCTCGTCCGCATCGCTCTCCGTCGTGTCCCGCACAGCCCGCAAACGGCGTGCGTCTTGAATGTGTACCGTACTAGTTAAGATTGGATAAGCTCGCGCGTACTGTAGTACGCACATGCCCGGACCGGTCGCTCGCATCGAGCACGAGCACGAGCACGCACACGAGTACAGATGCGACGCGCGCTCGCTACTAATGGCATCGCCCCACGCACACTCTATACGTCTTAAGCATGCGCGCCCCCGTCCACGCCGCGCCGCGCCCCTCCAGCGCCGCACGCCAGTCGCGGTCGCACTCGGGGCCGCGCCATAACAACCACCCGCGCGCGTGACATAACCAGAGCCCCACACACGCACGCACGCACGCACCCCGCGGCGCAGTCTAGGTCGACCGCGGGCCGCGGGGATCGGGCGGCGTCGCATCGCAGCGTCGCTACCACTCGGTCCTCGGTATCCAGCGACACAGCAGCGCGCGCGAGCACGAGGCTCGAGCACTGCGGTCACCGCCGACCACGCCTATGCCTATGCCTATCGTCCTACTCACCGGTGTTCGAGCGGTGATCCTCGGGCTCGGACACCGGCGGCGACGTCCGCGCGCGGCCCTGCATCGACGCTAGCCGCAAGGCGGAGGCAGATCCCGGTCGCACGCTCCGCACCCGCGTCCCCGGCGGGAGCAGCTCGACCCGTGCGCCGTCCGTCGTCCGAAGCCCCCGCGCGAATCGCCTGCAGTGGCCGCACAATCGGCGCCGGTCGTCCATCGGGATGCGCCTGGCGACTCATCGTCGGAGGACGCGTCGCGATCCGACGAGATGAGCGGGCTGAGCATTCGAAAGGAGAAGGGAGGGGGATCCGAGTCGACGGGACGCGCGCATGTATGAGCGCGGTGGGACCCGGGGCTGGTGGAACTGGGTGGCGCGCGCGCCGTCCCGCGTACCGCTTCGCCGCGGTCGACGGTTGTCTTTGTGCGCGCGCTCGGGGACAGTATAGAACGCAGCGCGCGCCGGGCCCCTGGAGGAACGGAATGCCGCCGGGCAGGTGAGGGGCGCGTTCCGGTCCTGGGTTTGGTCCTGCCAGATATGTGTGGTCAGATTGGCTGGGTTTGCGTGTTCCGGAGCGCTTCGAGAGGGGCGCGGGGGTGCATCTCGTGCGGGAAGCGTGTTGCTGCTACCCCCGTGCACTTCGTCGGGGAATAGGCTCTGAGACGGCTCAGCGGGATGCACGGCGTCTTCGGTCGTTTATGTGCATCCGAACTTTTGTCGTGGTCGATGACGTGCAGTGGCGGTGCGATTGCACGGGTATGTGTGCGTTTCTGGGAAGAAGCAAGTGGATTAGCATGAGAAGAAGCTTTAGTTGAAAGGCGGATCACTCTGATCGCAATGGGAACTCGAGAGAGACATACGCAGACGAGAACGTCGGTTCACCCCAGGCTTTCGCAGACATTTCTGATTCCGTGCGGGCGCAACATTGCTGAATGTAGGGTTTTCCGGTTCAGCTGAGGCCGAAAGAAGGCCGGCACCACCTATACCATTTCAGGACTTCGGCGATCTAGCCCGACCCTCGGCTCTCACCTCATCTCGCCGCTTCTCCCGCGTTCAGCTGTGGGCGGCGCTCCGAGGATCAAGACCGGGCAGCCGCCGAGGAGAACTTGGGGATGAAAGTGCGAAGGGCAAGTTAAAGGCCGGGCGGGGAGGCTGTCCGCCTGCGTCGGCATGCCCCGCACAGAGTTGTGGATTTTTGATCACTCACGGGGAGCTATTAGGCTGCGATGGGTGGCTTCCGAGGGTTAGAGGTGAGGGCGGTTTGCGCCGTGCACATTGAATTGCGCCTCATGGTCGGGCCATGGCCCCGAGAGCTGCGATAGAAGCGGCGAACCTGTGAGGTAGCTGGGATGGCTCACGGGCGGCGGCCGCCGAGGAGAGGGAAAGGAAGCAGGAGACGAGCGTCCGAAGCGATCGATTGGTTTTGTGGGCACCTTCGTCTTCCAAGTGTGGCGATGAGACGTGGTTATCGCCTTAGGATGACCGAAAGCAGCTAGAGGAGCACTATGTCCCATACTGACCTGGCGCGGCGAGTAGTTGCGGATCCCGTCTTCCCGTGTAAGTATCTTAGGGGCAACACAGATAGCCTGCACGAAGTTTCAAGATTATCTGTTCTCTGAGAAGAGCTGGATGATGGCGGAATATCCTAGCATCATTTCGTTGAGATCTAAGGAGTAAGGCGACCTTCATCATAGTCGACTCGCCATACCAGCTCTCCGATGCTGAAATAAACGTGCCGTTAGTCCAAAGCGGCGCGAAACGAGCAGCTACCCAATACATTAGTGTGTATTATGACGACGCAAACTCCATGGGGCTTGATACATCCGAGCCCGTCGCGGCTGCTGCGCGGCATCTATGCTGGGAAAAACAACACCCATGTCAACGTCGCTGAATTCCTACGCACCTCGGTTAGCGCAGCTCCTCCAGGATCTCGAAAAGTACATATGACAGAGCAACTCACAGTGCAGTCCGTTCTTCCGCGGGCGTGCTCCGGAGGCCCGTTCGCCTCGGAAATCGTGCTTTCCACCGCCGAGCGTTCGGCGTCCTGATTGGACATACGAACCACCCTATCGTGCGCCCTGGAACGTGCGACGATTCACCCCCGTGAAGTTGAACTTGAATGCCGGTAGGCGCCGGCATGCCGAGCGGTGCATAGTTATCACATCGCGCGCCGCTTGGCACGGCGATCGTGGCAACAACAGGGAGAGTGGTGCGATGTGGATGCGTGACGCCTCTGAGGACTGAAGAAGCGGGAAAGGACAAAACAGGATCCGAAGAGCGCGCTCACCGGGATAGGAGTACGGACTACGACGCGCACAGCAGTGCGATCTTCGATGGTCTCACGCAAAGTGCCTTCGTTCGCGGTGCCGTTTTTGTAAGATCTGGCCCAGCGGGGGGCCAGAAGAGACTATAGTCTGTGAGACATGCAGGGGCATCGCGATGCATCTTCGGTCGCATTCGTAGGGAAAGATACGAGAGCTAGGCTCCCAACATTTCCGTCGTGCGCTCGCGTGCCCAACGTCAAACGCAATGCCATCAGTGGGTCCCACGCGGTGCCGGCGGCCGGACGCACCTCATTCTGGGCCTGTGCCGACATGTAGCACCCGGGCCAAGACACCGCTCACGGCATTGTCGCAAACAGCTGTGCAGGGCGATCGCTGGTTTCGTCACCGCACTCGACGTACGACATCGGCAAGAACCGGTGGGTGAGACAAGAGTCGGACTCGGAGCGCGGAACGGGCGAGTTGATGTGTCCCGAGCATTGTGCGTTTGGAAGGGGAGGCGGCGCTTTAGGCGTGATCGCTCCATGCGGCGAGTCGTTTGGGACCCCGTATGCGTGGTTGGGGTTTTTCCTGGGAAAGAACGAAGTCAGGTATCGCATTAGGAAACGTTTCTGTGCACTCACTCGTTTCAGTCGGGAACCTGACTCGACTCGAAGTAGAACGAAGACGGACCCTGTCATTCGGGCACAGACACTGACGTGAAATAAGGGTAGAACTCTTCAAGTGGGATAGCCCCACCGTGCAGGCGACTATCAAAATCATATGAGAAGAGGTTTACCAGATCTCCGTGGTAGTACGGCATCCGCACGGAAGGCCTCGGAACCCGAGCGCCCGAGCCGAGACGATCACGACGGATGCTCTAGTTGCGGCTGTTACGAAGGCCACAGACGAGGATCTCGCGACCTAGATGTATCGCGCGCTAGCCGTCAGATGGTGCGAAACGAGTAAGGCCGTTTAAATCGAATAACTCACGTTGGCTCGGGGAATACACGACGCCGGTGCTTGTATTGAGTCCACCTGCGGCTCAGTGGAGCTGGACGGCTCGAGTATGTCGGGAAACACGAGGACGGAGACATGGCTGCGGGCACGGGGTTGAATGTCGCCGTCTAATGTCGGAGCGGCGTGCGTGAAGATCAGGATCAGAGGTAAGTGCATGTGGACGGACGAAGGTACTCACACGGGGCAGGACAGTCCTAGACACAAAGGGCGATGCAGCTTCTACAAGATGCTGCGGGAAGACGTGCTGCCGATCGCGAATTCAACCAACGATTGTCACTACCCGCAGCTCAAGTGGCTAGTGACTACCCATATGACGGGGAAACTCACAAACGATGATTCAGATGGGATACCCCCCCGAGTCTGGTGCATGTAGGGGAATAATTCAGTGTGCTTCACAAGTCGGATCAGCATCTTTGAATGCACGCACTATTCTGACAGAGCCATGTAAATATCTCCAGTGTACAGTGGGTATGAATTGTTGATGGCACCCCCCAAGTCTATCTCAGTTGTAGTCGCGAGGCCTCGGCCATTTTACTAGGCAATTGGAATTTGGGTGAATGTCATGGCGAATTGCCTAGACTAAGAGGCGTCAGCGCTGCTAGTGTTCGGCGACACGTCAAACCCCACCTGGCACGTTTTGCCACCGGACCCGTGGCTGAAACTCGACATGCGGTGCGCCTACTTCTGGCACCTTGTTCTCAGCGCGAAAGTGCCGAGTATGCTCCAGCGGGAAGTAGCACTCAAAAAAGGCTGGCGAGGAGTTGAACAACCGTCGAGCCGGTGGAAGTTGAAACGTGAACCCGAAAGCGCCCAACGCGAGCAGGGGCGGGCCGCGAATTGCAACTCCGCAGGCCGACAGTGGCGCACTGCGTTTCGGATCGCGTCCTGCTCTGAGCAACTTCTATCCCGCGCACGCCCACCGCCATCCGGCTGAGAAATCCAAAAGGCGCCATGTGTTAGAGGTATGCCGACCAGGACTGCGCCCCTCACTTGCGCCTAATGTTCTCTCACCGGATGCCAGCGTGGCATCCGCAGGACTCCGACGTGCTCGGAGACTCTGCGACTTCAAGCCGGCACGAGACAGCGAAATGTGGCAAGTGGAGTTTCTGAGGAGACTCAAGAGAACACACCGTGCTGTACGCGGACGACAGTCAGATGTCCTCGACGTTCCGCTAGCCACACCTCCCCCCGCGGCGCCCGTCTCGCCCGCCTCGTTCTCCCCCCGCTGCCCGCGGAGTCTGGACAAATCTGGCAGGAGAACAAGGACGCACCCGAATGCGCGCACGCCCCGCACGCCCCGACGACACATCGCGCGTCCCCGGGTCCGCCGCCGCGGGTCGGCGGCGCCCCGAGCCCCCCACGCACGCTGCTCGAGTCGCGGCGCATTGCACGCCTCGAGGCGCCCCCTTTCCAACCAACCCGACCCGAACCCGGCGGGGGCGCTCCCTGGCGATGCAGCGAGGCGGACGCGAATCTGATCGAACGCGCGCCTCGCGGGGGGTTCTTGACGTCCCGCAGGATCTGTCGGACGCCGCGCGGGGTCGAGGAAGCGGCGGGCCAGGTCCGGGAGGCCAGGACGAGGGGGGAACGTGGAGGGGTGCACCGCCCCTGGGGCACGTGCGGGAGGCGTGCGGGAGCGTTGGTGGGTGCCACTGGGCACGTAGCACCGCGGTACGACGCACATCCAGCGTGGGGTTATCCGCTCCCCCTCGTCTTGCTCTGCAGCAACTCGACAACAGCACTGGGTCGCACGGGTTCGATGTCGACACTCCACCACCCGCGCGGGCGTGCGCTGCGCGCTGCTTCTCCCGACGCGGTCGGCCATTTCATTTGTTCGCGCGTTCACGCGCCGGCCTCCGGAGGACACTCGCACCGCTCGCGTTCCGTCGGTGCTTACAGGCGGCGGCGGCGCGCGGTGACCGACCCGACCCGTCTCTCAGGCTTCCTCGCCCGGGGTGCCCGTGCGCCTGTACTGGGGGCTCCACCGCGACCCTGCACGTTCTCAATCCGGTCTGCTTCCGCTGGAGGTGTCGTCCGCAGGGTGGTCGAGGCGTTGCCTCGACGCTCGACGCTCCGCGCGACGGTGCAGCAATAATAGCGAGGGCCGCTCGCGGTGCCGCCCCGCCGCCCCGTCGAGCGGGCGAGTGGGGGCGTGCAGATTGCGCGTGCGCAGGCCGGGGTGGCACTCCGACTCCAGTCGTCGAAGCCATTCCGATCCGGGTGGCCTCGGAGGGTTCCTGTCCTGCCGGCTCGACTCGGGCTGCCAGTCGCGTTCGCGCACCGGGCCAGCCTGAGCCTCGCCGTTGCAGCCAGTCGTGCGTTGATGTCATGCGCGGTGGCTCGCCCAGGTCCTTGGTCAGTGCGTCATACGCATCACTTGGAGGAGCACGATGACGTCGCCTCGCCCGAGTTCGAGGTGCTGCAGCGGACTAGCGCGACCGGAATCGCGGCCGGGTCCGGCCCTCCCGTTCCTGCGATGCGATTCACAAAACACCTGCTGACCGACTTGCACACAGGACCCATATGCGCGCTCGCTCTCCATATGTGTGCATCGTACGAATCACCTCCCGGGGTACCGATCCCGGGGGCCATCACCCAGACACCCGCCGTTTGAATGGCCTGCGCGCCGCACATCAAAATCACTTCTCCGTCGCCCCCGCCGCCCGCCGTCACCGGCAGCGATCACGCCCCGCCCCCGGCCGCCCCCGGGGCCAGGGACGACGCGCTCAGCGAACTTTGCAGCGCGGGCGTGCACGGCGGCGGGCGCGCTAGCGGTGTACGGTCGCGCCCGGCACCACGGTCTGCGCGCGGGGCCAGTAGTCGCCTTGTGCCCCGGCATCGCGCAGGAGCAGGGCCGCCCGCTTCGCGAGAGAACCCGCCGCGAATCGCCAGAGAGGGACGTGGGGACACGCCCAGTTCGGAGACGGGATCCAGAGCTCGTGGCTATTCGCCGCCGCGGAGGCACTGGCCAGTGACGGGGCGCAGGTCGCGGGGGGGCGCAGCGCCAGCGCCCCCACGAGCGCGATCGCGCCGCCCCAGCCGCACGTCGCCGCGCGGCGCAGGATTGACGACCCGTGGCTGCCCCCGCTGAACAGCGCAAGCCTCTCGCCCGAAGCGACGCGCGCGCGGGCGGCGTGGCCCCAGAAGCCCTCGCCCGCGACTCCGACGAAGTCGACAGAGTTCGAACGTTCGCGCGTTCGCGCGGCCGCTTTGGACTCTTCGACCATTCTCGAGGCGGGAGGGCCGTTACGCGACCCGGGGAGCGCCCGCCGCGCGCCGCCAGATCGCGCGCGATGCGCCGCGGCGCACCCTAGATCGCCGCGTTTGTTTTTCCGGGGCCAAACATCACGTACTGCTAGATAGAGTAAGTACTTGCGGCTGCAACTGGGGTCGGGAGAGGGCGCGAGGCACCGTCGTGCGTCGTCCGATCGTATGGGGGTTAAGGGAAACTTCAGGGTCAGAGTGGGCAGATCGCGCGCGGGGCACGAGGGGGCGCGCGTAGGACACCGAGAGGCCGAGCGAGCGAGCAGGAAGGAGGAAGTTCGAAGACGAGGTGCGTGCGCCTCCGGGGATCTGGGGGGACGCCCGGGGGCGCCACGAGCGGCGGAAGCGTGGGCCGGAGACGAGCCGCGAGGCTGGACTCGTGCATGGTGCGCGGTGCGCGGTGCAATGCATGCAGAAGCAGCGAGCGGTTTGGTGGCGCTCGACCGGGAGCTTCGGGCGTGACCCTGGCGCGGTTGACAAACGGCGAGCGGGAAGGGGGAGAGTTGGTTGCTTGTTTGCACTCAGTTCCCGCGCGCAGTGCGGGCCAGGCCGGCTCGAATGCTGATAGCGTGCAGAGAAGAAAGACGGAGCTGCGCCGAGTTGACGCAGGGATGTATTTAAAGCGAATGTGGACGTGTGAAGAGGATGAGAACATTGGCCAAGCTTGAAGCTGGGCGCAGGAAGCGGGGACCAAGGTTGGGGACGATCGTCTTAGCGCGGTGTGTGGATTCCTCTGTGGGCCGGCAAGGACTAGCGTGGCCAGGGGCACGGGGCGGAGCCGCGGCTGGCGGTGGAGCGAGGAAAGGCGTTTTGCCTGGCTGGGAGAGGCACCTGCTCGACGGAGGGTGCGGCCGCTATGGAGACCAGGCGGGGGTCGCACGGTCCAGATTGGGACCGGGCCCGTCCGCGTCGAAAGGGTGCTGTACAGGCGGCGACGCGATGCGCTGCGCTGGAGTTGGAATTTTGGGCGCGGGCGCGCGAGGGAGGTAGAGAGGGCGATGGAGGAGAGATACGCGGAGTGCGAATGGCGGGTGAATGCGAGCGCGGACCAGGCTCCGACCCTGCATCAACCCCGCCTCCCGCTTTTGTTCCCAGCTGGCGCACACCCTGCACGGGCACAACTGTGCCGCCACCGAAGAGGATGTTCGTGTGCCTCTCAGCGTGGCTCAGGCTGCCGAGGAGTCGCGAGGGGCAGGAGCTGGGCGCAGAGGACTGAATGAATGCGAATATTCGTTTGATGACCTTCGCGGCCGCCGCTCGGCCAGCGTCCCCCGGCGAATATCTACCCTCGGCAACTCGCTTTTGGACGTCGTCTCCCCGCACAATCCCCTCCGCGCGCCTGCCTCGCCGTGGATCGCGTCGAATCGACCCGGGGAACAGACGCCCTCTCCGCCCGACCCGCGCCCGCCTCCCGCCGGGTGGGCCTCGCGCCGCGGTGCCGGCGCTCGAGCGTGCACGGGAGCGAGATATAAGCATCCTGGTCTGCCGTCCTGTTTCCAGCCCCGATCGCCTTCGTTCCCCTGCCCTTACGTTACCTCTACCGTACATCCCCCTCGCGCATGACGCCCTCCACTTCTCCACCTGCCTCCCAGCGCGCCGCCTCCGCCAGCCCCCCGCCCCAGGACCGCCCCGAGCGATCCCGCAACGCCAAAGGTCCGTCTCTCCTCTCCTTATCTTATCCGCCACCGACCCCGCCTTCGCGCACAGCCCAAGCCCGCCACCGCGCGAAGCGGAAGGCGTACATCGAACAGGTCCGCGCTCCCCCACCCCCCGCCCGATCGCGCTGACCCCCCGCGCGCCCAGCTCGAGCAGACGGTGACGAAGCTCCAGTCCGTCCTCGCGCTCTCGCCCGAGCAGGTCGCCGCGATCCCCCCGCCGCTGATCCGCATCCGCGAGCTCGAGCAGGAGAACGAGCTCCTCCGGCGCGAGGTCGACGAGCTCCGCCGCCAGCTCGACGTCAAGGGCGGCCCCGCCGGCGCGCTCCGCAACGGCGCCGCCGCCCAGGACGCGTTCCGCCGCGACGCCTACACCCCCGCACTCCCCGACGACCGCCACTTTGACGGCGTGGGCGTCGGCGTGAAGCGCCGCCGCACCGCGGACACGATATACGTGAGTACTCGCGCTCTTTCTATCCGTTTTCGAGCTCGCGGAAGATGTGGGAGCGGTGTGGCAGTGGGGGAGAGGAGAGGGTTCGCGTGGGTCCGAGGCACGGGGTCCGGGCGCCGCTGACTGAATTGCGCACACCTCCCACCCACACAGACGTCCTCGGCCCACAACGGCACGACGCACAGCCCGCCCCCGCCGCTCTCCATCCCGTCGATCACGGGCCAGTACTCGCCCAACAGCCCGCCGCAGAGCGCGGGGTACGGCGGCGCGCACCAGTCCCAGTCCGCTGCGGCGGTGAACAACGGGTACGGCGGCGGCGGCGGCGCGCGCGGGCTCGCGGGCTACGCGTACTCGAACGGCGTCGCGCCCGCGTACGCGCCGAACGGGCTCCCGCCCGCGACGCCGACGTCCTCCGCGACCTCCAGCCCGTCTTTCTCGGCGAGTGTTCATTCCGTCTCCGTCTCGGCCGCCGCCGGCGCTGCTGCTGCCCTGCAGCAGTCGCAGGCGTGTGCGTATTGAGGGCTCGGGATCCTAGTGACCATCCGTTTTTTTCTTTCCCCCCCCTCTTCCCCGCCCTCCGCCCCTCCCGCTTCTCCTTCGCTGCCGTACGCTGCCGTTGCGCCGTACAGCCGTCGGACTACGCGTCGAGCCAGACCCTCCACACGCACGCGCACCACCAGCGGGCGCTCGCGACTTCGTACGGGCACAACGCGCTCCCCTCGTTCTCCCACCAGCCGTCGCAGTACGAGCTCGTCAAGCTCGAGGACGAGCAGCACTACACGGTGAGCCCCCCTCCCTCCCGCTCCGCGTCGCCGACGCGAGACCGACGAGTCTGTCCAAGGCTGACTACGGCCCGTTTGGCACCTCCCTTGACCGCACGGCGGACGCGGACCCGTTCGACGCGCTCCCAGCACTCGAGCCAGCACCACGCTTCCTCCGCGCCTAACGGCTACTCGGCCGCGATCCACACCGGGCACGCCCCGCCGCAGTCCGCCGTCGGCCACTGGCCGTACTCGTCCGAGCGGTGACCGCGACGGCCTCGACACGAAAACGCGGCGCCGGCCCCCCCGCCCCAGGACCGCGCCGGACGCCCACCCCACCACGCTACCGCCTGCCGCGCCCGCCGTCGGCCCCACCCTTCACTTCGCAACCGCCCACGCCCCGGACGGATGGACGGACAGACGCCGCCCTGCCTCCCTGCCTCCCTCCCGCCCGTACCCGTATTATGGTTCTCCCGCTCGTCTCTGCTCGTCGTCCCCGCTTGTATCGTTGGCCGTCTCCCATACCCCACCCGTGCTCGTGTCCGTGCTCGCTCGCTCGCATCGCTGTCGTGCTGTCATCCTCTCTGCATACACTCCACCCCCACCCCTCACCCTCACCCCCTCGCATCCCCACACTTCCATGACGCCCGTACCTTACGCCCCGCCCCGCCCCGCCGTCCGCCGTCCCGCTCCCGCAGTATAATGACCCGCGCGGTCGCCCCCCGCGGAGACCTGTATCATACCCTGTAGATGCCGTCGCTCCCCTCGCTCCTCTCTCTATATTCGCTCTCTCTCTGTCTTTGGATCTGGATCTGGGTCTCGGTGTTATCCCACTCTCTACGCGACATGTACATGCTGTAGGAATCCAAGCGCATCTATACAAGTTCCTCCTCTGCTCCACTAGCCCGTTCGACGGCTACAGACATCACCCACCCCTTAGCGCCATCCACTCATCCCGGGGGAGGGGGGCGGGAGATGAGGAACACACACAGCAGACGCCGACTGATCAGTCGCGCCCCCTCCCTCCGTCCTCCGCCTCGGTCCGAGCGTGTCTTCGCGGACTTTTTGTTTCCTTCCCCTTCTGCGGCCGCATCAGCCATCACGCCTTCCCCCCCTCCCACCCCTCAGCCTCCAGGTGCGCCATCAACGATCCACGGTCCGCCATCAGCGCAACCCACGCACGCCGCGCGTCCCGACTCAACCCCACTTGGGCAGGTCCCTGGTCCGGGGTGCGCGCGCGGGGATCAGCGGTGCCGAGTGCCCAGGGCAGAACTCCTCGTCCCGTATACGTATCGTATTGGCAGTTACGCCGTACGGGGCCGCCGCTGTCGCGCGGGGTTCGAGCGTCCGCGTCAGCGTCCAACTTGCCCCCCGGGCCCAATGCCAAGCAGCCTCCGCCACCGTCAGCGGTGGTGGCCCTAGTGGTGATCGAGATCCGGAACGCGCGATCCATCCGCGAAGCTCGTCCGGCAACGTAAGGGCTTACGGCGAGCGACGTCGCGCCGCGCCTCCCGAGCCCCCTTGCGCCGCTGAGTGTTCGGCGTTCGTCGCATCACGTACGCAGCTACGAGACTCCGACGCGAGCTTGCATCGTGAGCGTGGCCGGGGCCGTATGTTAGTGCTGTCCTGTGCAGCCGCTTCGGCGTCCGAGCGCAGGGCGGCCACATGCGCACTGCGCGGGCCGCTCGAGAGTCCAGTGCGGAAAGCATTTAAAAGACCCCGCGCGGAACGTTTGGGTTTGGATTCGAGCCGGCTGTGCGTGCGTGCTGGGCTCGGCGCACTGTCCGCGCCTTCTCGGACCGCCCGGCGTCTGCTCCCGAGAGGGGCGCGTGGCCTCGGCCATGGAGACTCGACTGGGAGAAATGGGCGCGTGACTCGCTCGCGCGGGTGCGGGCTTCGCTCTTGCTTCGCTCTAGCAGGATCTGATTAATGTCAGCTGCCGCTCGCGGGAGTGGAGAGGGCGGTGGGTGGAACCTCTGCGGCATTGGAAGGGCGGTCACGCGCTCCCGCCGGCGAGCGACCGTGCATCCCTCGAGCAGCAGGCTCGTTTTCCCTCGGCGTGCAGCACCGAGCCGCCCTGAACGTGAACAGTGGAGCCAGCCGGAGATGCGAGGAAAAAATTGGGGCTCCCACGCACGGGCTGCGGCCCCGCGCAGAGCCAGCGCATTTCGAATACCAGCCCGCCGGGCATCGCGACTGGTGCTCGCGGTGCTCTGGAGCCAGGAGGGGATGGCAGCTCGCCGCACTGTATCCAGGCCCCGCCGCGCGCCCGCGAGCGCTCCTGGCACTAGTCGTCATGGATCAGCTGGCTGCTGCCCGCGTCGCAGATCCCACGTCCCGCCGCCGCAGATGTCCACGGTCCGGGGGGGACGGCCGGCGACGCCCGAGACGCGGCGGACCTGTCCAGCTCGTACGCGTGTCGACGCTCTCAGACCGAGACGGACGATTTTGACGAGCGGTACGTGAGCGCAGTCAAATTCGCGCCGGCGAGCGGGGTCTTCCCCGCCCCGCCGCGCTGGCGCGGGCGACGAAGACGACGCCGTAAGCCCTGCTGGCCGCGCTCGCAGGACTCCCCCGGGAAGAGCACCCACAACCGCCCTCGAGTCGAGCACGCGGCGCACGGGCCCTGCTCTGCGGCCCGACTCGTCCGGTGTGAGGCTCCCTGTGGCGCGCCGCCTCGGCTCACGGGGCCCACTCTGGCCCACTGTGCACCAGGTTCGAGTGCGCGAGAAGCAGGCACTCGGCGGCTCCTGATGCCCGCTGCTCGTGCGTGCGAGAACAGAGGATGGGGTGCCCTTCGCGCGAGCTGAGGGGGGAGGTTAGAGCTGGTTAGACCTCCCGTCGGGAGCCCGCGCACGCGGCCCGTGCGGTTCGGCGGCGGCACGACTCTGCGCGGCGGAGAGCGATCGCGAACTGGGTCCGCGAACCTTGGCGGGCGACGGGCGGAGGAGGGGGATGTACAGAGATCTGGGGACATTTGTTGCTAGGCCGCGCGGGCGGCGTGCCTGGGAGCGCGTCCGCCCCGAGCGAGGGGGCGGAGGGAGCTGGGGTGCGCCGCGCGCCATAAGCGTATATCCCGTCCTCCGCGGCCCTGAGCGACCGCGCCGCCGGAAGCGCAGGAGATGCGGCACGCGATCGCGCCCACCCCCGTTTCAAACCCAGCGGCGCGCGCGCATTTCGAGCCCCGCGGGCCCTGCGCTAGGCCCGTCCCGGTCGGCATTGCTGAGGCTCATTGATCCCGAGCTCCGAGTCTTTGGCCTTCGCCACGGCGCGCGCACACGCTGCCAGCCCGGCATGGCTGCGTGCTGAGTGCTGAGTACATACCTACTGCAGCTGAGCGCGGCTGGCTGGGTCGCAGGCGAAGCCCAAGCTCAAGGTTTCCCTCCACACGCGCGCGCATCAGCTTCTTCGTCGAGCGGCGGGGGATCGCGAACGCGGCGGCTTCGCCGCGCGCCAACGCTGCCGCCGGCGCCCTGCGCAGGTCCTGTGGCCTGCTCAGGGTGCACGCGCTTTCGACCGCTCAGGCCCCGCCGGAGCGTGCGCGGTGTGGAGAGCTCGGATGACAAGTGGCGACGCAAATCCGGGCCCCGTCAGCCCTACCGCAGCCATCTGAGGCTGAGCGTGGCACTTGATCACCTCTGAGCTCGCTACGCCCCGCAGGGCGGGCAACAAAAGAGCACCAAATAGAAGCTCAACTGGTAGCAGACGAAGTTCGCACTTCGCGGCGTCTGCGCCCTGCCTGCGTGAACGTTCCCACTATCTCGTCTTCGTCCCATGCCGTACAGCGCGGGGGTTCGAGTCCGGGCGAGTCCGCCGCCTCTTTTGCCTCTCCCTGCGCGGCACCTCGATGTGATTGCCGGCTGACAGCCGCGGACGGCAGCAGTAGGGGCACCGCGCCCGCGGCCCAAGAAGTCGAGAGTCGAGAGACGAGCGTGCATCGCCCACGCCTGCCAGCGCGAGACGCTCGAGAGACAAGGTTGCCACTTGTTGGGTGTTGCGCACGATGGTGCGACTGCTGCGACGAGCTGGCGTCCAGCCTCGCTCTCCCCGTTGTGTCGGTACCCTCCGACGAGCGTCGGAGTGAAGCCTAGGAATTGGCTGGACGCGAAGACATGGATCGCAGCGGCGCGGGCCCTGGCGGTGGCAGTCCTCGGTCCTCGCCCCCACGCTAGCTGAAGGAGGCGCCGATCTGCACAACACTCATCGTCGAGCTCGTACGTATTCGAAGTCGTGGCCGAATATCGGCGCGCCTTCATGGGTGCGTACCACATATGCTCCAGATATCGCACCCACGCCCCGCGGAGAGCGGCTTCGCCGCTAGCGTGTCCTCGAGGGCAGACGGCAGATGCCGCGGCCAGCAGCCTCGCAGAGCAGCACGCGCTCGTCTCCAGAACGATGAGAGAATGTACGCACCGTGCGGCCGGCGGAGAGGATCTTCGCGTTCATGAATCATGAATCAGTCCCCTGGATCCCTGCCCAGCGCGTGCTCCGATCGCGACCCACAGCGACACAATTGTCCTCCCACTTCCGGCGGCAGCCCCCCAGCCGACGTCCCCCGCCCACACACGCCCGCGTGCGCGTCGAAGCCAGATAAGCCGTCCGCCCGCAACGCGACGTCACCTGAACCACCCAGACCCAGACCCAGGCCCACCCGCCCCTTCACCCCTCGCCCCCTGCCACATGTTCGCGGCGCGCTTGTAACTTAGGCCGGCGCTCGAGCGGTATCGCCGTCTGCCGCGCGGCACCGCGCTTCGCGCCGCTGTAGGTCCACCCTCGAAGCCCTGCGTCCGTATCGACGGCGGCACGCGAGCGCCCGCTTCTCGTTCTCCAGAGCGGCAGCACAGTCCTCGGTGGCGTGCCGAAGCGAGTCCAGACGGAGGCTCACGACCGTGCGACACCCGCGCTCCGCGGTGCGGTGAGGATCGCGCTGGAACGAGCAGAGCGGTCAGAAGAGCGATTTAGGAACGCACGCGAACGCGCGACAGGGCCGATTCGAGACTTTGTCGAGGTCGCTCGGTGATAGGCGACGGGGCGCGGTGGGGTTCAAAACGCGAGACGCTCCCGCTCGCGCAGGCTGTGCACACAGTGCGCATGCCTGCGCCGCTGATCGTCTCCATTCAGCGTGGTCGTGTGAGGGTGCAAAGAGAGGGTGCGCGAGGCGCGCGGTGGAGCCACCCGGAGGTCGGCGTTGAGTAGCGCCGTACGTACAGGGTTGGGCGTGGTACATGCGCGAGGCTTCTAGTACGAGCACTCGTTTCGCGCAGTGGATGGATAGATGGATGGATGTCCGAGCTAGTGCGCGGCGGGCAAAAAAAACTGGTCAAAGCCCGTGTTTGTAGCGGTTCGTCGTGTTCCAGAGAGTGGAGCGAGTCGGAAGCGTTCCTGAGCGGAGTGGTCAGCCAGTGGCCCACAAAGGCAACAGCGAACGGCACGAACCACAGCCCGCCAGGCGAGCGCGGCGCATCGACTCAGACAAGGTGGTTGGACTGGCGGGCCGCAGTGGCATGCCCAAATAAGGGCATTGTGGTCGGCCGATGCGCCAAGCGAGCACGACGACAATGGGCAAGCGAGTGGCGGCCCACAAGCACATTGTGCCCCGCGTTGCGCCCGTTGTCGACAAGGCGAGCGCGCCGCCGCTCGCCCTCCCCACCTCCCTTCCCCGACCCCCCACCATGACCGTCGCGCTCGCGCCACCGCCGCCCACGTCCGCCGCCGCCGCCACGAAGACCATCGCCCGCGCCCCCCGCGCCCACGCTCAGCGCACGAGCTCCCTCACCCTCTCGCCCTCGCGCGTGCCCGTGCCCGTGCGCACGCCGTCGACGCCCCCGCGCAAGTCCCCCCTACGCGCGTCGGCCTCGCTCGACGACCTCCTCCCGAGCCCCACCACCACCCCGCCCCGCCGGGCGCACGACGTCGTTCGCACAGAGCCAGAGCCCGCCGTCGCCCGCCCCGCTCCCGGCCCCGTTCCCGCTGCAGCGGGCGGCGCAGCAAGCGCTCAGCGGCGCCGCCGGTGGTCACGCCGCTGCACTGCGCGCCGGGCGCAGAGGCGCTCGTCGCGATCCTGGCGAGCGCGAGGACGGGGCGGCGGGAGCTGAGGCCTGGGGAGGGCGCCGCCGCGCTCGACCGGGCGCTGGCCGGGGGCACGTCCCGGCCGCGCGCGGAGGCGAGCTGGCTCCATGGTCTGGGGTGGATGAGCGCGGAGGCGAGCCGCCGGCGGGAGGACGAAGGGAGGGAGGCGAGCGAGGCGAGCGAGCGGCGCCGGCGCGAGGACGACTGTCGGCGGCTGTGGGCGACGATCGGGGCGGGGATGGGGTTGGAGATGGGGGTGGGCGTGCGGTTTGGGGAGGACCGTGAGTGTCGGGACGGTCACGGTGCCGTCTTCCATCTTTCCTGCCGCGGAGAGTGTGTGCTGACGCCGGGCGGTTCGGGTGTGTCGCCACGCTCGCGGTTGGGGTGTGCAGAGTCTGGATACAGGGGGACGACGCGGCGCGCCACGGTCATCACACCGCAGATGCTAGAGGAAGCGTTGGAACGGACAGAGACGACGTACTTGGCATGGGAGGTGGCCGAGCGCGCTGTCGACGCAAGGTGCGCAGTTGCGGTGGATGCTTCGAGCAGTCCTGGCACTGAACCCACCGCACAGCGACGGGAAACGCAGCCTGGAGAAGATTCTGGCCGACATCATGGAGCGCTTCGTACGTGGCCTAGCGCATTTGTGCATGCACCGTACTCACCGGAGTGCAGCTCGTGGCGCTGGGCGTGGAGCTGCTCGAGGCGGCGGAGGGACTGCACTTCTCGTTCGTCGACCCCCGCAACAGCGGCGACGTAGACAAGATGGTGGCGCAGGCGCTTCGGCTCTCTAAACTCTTCGCGGGTCGGGGATACGGCGTCGACCGCGTCGTGATCACGGTGAGCGGGGCTCCCGGGCGCCGGGCACGAAGCGGTCTGTCCTGAACAAGCAAGGGGCTAACGCACCCCGATCTCGCAGGTTCCCGCGACGGACGCGGGGCTCGAGGCGAGCACCGTGCTCGCGCGCGTGCACGGCGTCCGCACCAGCCTTTGCTTCGCGTCGGGGCCCGCGCACGCCGCGCGGTGTGCGAGCGCCGGGGCGTCTTTCGTTGTGTTCTCCTACAGATTGGTGAGCTCCCCCGTGGGCCGTCTTCTGCGCCGCGCGGCGGGTGCACGCACCTTCTCTGACGTCCACGCCCACGGTGCGCCAGCTATCCGAAGCCTATGTGCGGCGGTGGGACTGGATGCGCTCGCGCTGGGCGCCCACGGAGCCGCCCGTCGCCCACAGCGTGGAGGAGGCGATCGCGGCGAGCGCGGACCTGTTCCGCGCGCACCGCGTCGCAGCGAAGATCGTGCTCGCGGACCTGTGCGACGTGCCCGAGGTGAGTGCATGCACGCTCTCCGCCCCACCCACCCCCGGGCCGTCCCTTTCTCCTTTCCGCATATAGCAAGCGCGAGCCTCACCTTTCCTCCCCCGCCGACAGCTGAGCGCCGCGCAGCGCCTGCAGGCCGTCGACGCCGTCGTCCTCGATCTCAATCCGGCAGGGGGCAGCTCGCGGGCGAAACCGATGCCGGGGGTGCCGAAGGCGATGGACGAGGGCGCAGCGGCCGCTGGCGCTGGTCCATCGACCGCGCGATCTTCTCTTCCTGGGCCTCCTGGCCGCCAGGCGCGGACGCCCGCCGCCGGTGGCTTTTCGCCGGCGATGTCCGCAGCGGAGCGCTCCGTAGCTGGGGCAACGCTCCAGGCGGGCCTTGTCGCGGCGGCTGGACACATGCAGCGGGCAGAGTCAGCGCTGCGCGAGTACCTGCTCGTCAAGGCGGAGATCGCTCACATGGATCCGGACGACGGGCTCGCGGCGGAGTATTTGGAGGACGTGAGCACGCAGTCGGAGATCTGCAGGCTGCAGCAGGAGGGCTACGAATTCGAGCGCTTCCCACCGTGCAGGAGCGGGCACATTGGATTCCGGGTGGCTTGCAGTCGCTGGGACGATCCAGAGTGGTGGTAGAGGAAGGCCTTCCCTTGGAGAAGCGATGGCGAGGTTAGGACGGGCGGAGAAGGCGCGTTGTCCTCGGGATGCTCGGGTTCGTGCCGCTCGCTGTCTGGTATCAATTGTAATGCTGTTCGAACGAGATGAAGCGATCCCATTATTCGTATGTACGACTCGGTGCAATCATGACCGGAACGACCTGTGCCATAGAATTCGCCAATCAGCTCGCGAGCGGGCGGGTGACCTGGGGTATCAGGGCCAGCCCCGACGAGAAGCCGGAAGTCGCGAACCACGACCTACATACCTCGGATGTGATTTGCCAGAGGCCACGAGCATCCACCCAGGGCGCGCTCCAAGGCACTAGTCCAGGGTCAGCCGCAGACCGGGGCAACGATGGGTGTGCAGGCTCACTGAGGATGGTAAGACTCATCAAGCGCGAACGTGCTCACCACGCCGTCCTGACGACACTGCCGACAGTGCTTCCGCTGGCGGCACAGTCTTCACGAGCGGCTGCACGCATCCGCCGCTAAGCAGACGCGCCCTGCGAGAGGTCAATGGAGGCTGGCTGGCAGGCCAGATGGCTCCGAAAGCAGAACGGAGCGCTGAGCTGAAAACGCCGAAGGTGCGCACCAAACTTGCCCACGCGGCGGAGGAGAGGTGTTGATGCAGATGCCCTCCCTTTCCGCGCCCAACCTAGGACACCAAGGGGGATATCAGTTCCTCCGCACCTTCCGATGAACCTCTCCTGGCGTGCAACGCAGTGCGGGCGGTCGCAGAGTCCAGAACATACGACTCAGAGAGGAATGCACGGTCCAAAGATCATGGGCGAGGAGCGTCTCGCGCGGGGGCGTGGCCATGGCATGGGAAGCCCGAGGCCGACACCGCTGGGGCGATGCCTCGAGCTGGGAGGACAACATACTGGACCAGGGCAAGAGCACCAGGATCCCTGAGCTACCCCGGCGTCCAGCAGAGCCCCAGAGAGCGGGTGGGCGGGCTCATTCACAACCCGTGCGGCAGAGGCAGAGCCTGAACCCAAATCCAAGGCGAGAACATCCTGCACGCGTGCAGTCGGCTAGCAGACGAACGGGCAGCGCGGTGAGCAGCCTAGACAAAACGAGACAGTCGACACTCGCACCCCTGGGCCCACTCCTTCTACGGGTTACTGATTCGAGCTGCGCGAGCTGGGACGTGCGGACCGTACCAAAGTCACAGCCTCGCGTAACGCGGGAGACGATCAGGACGACGTCAGAGGACGCGTGATGGGGGCGGGGGAGGTGGTCGTTGAGGTCAGAGAGACGAAGTGCCTCAACACGACAACATGCATGCCGTATCGCAAACGCGCGACGGCCTTACGTACCCCTACAGCCCCCGAGCCAGGCCGCAGGGTCTCTTCGACGCTGCAGATGACGCGCACATTGAGTCGGATGTATGTGCGGAGGACGGTGGGCAAAGAGCAAGAGTCGTGGAGGAAAGAGAGCGCGTCATCGCGCATGCGTCGCCACAGTCGCGACTGGGACCGCGCGTCTTTGCCCTGTGTCCTCACCATCACCACCCTTGCACTCTGTCCGCCATGCCGGCGCGCAAGACGAAGCAAGTGGACCCTTCTGCTCGTCTTCCACCTGCTGAAGCGGCAGAACCGAAGCCGTTCTTCCCCTTCGCTCGGTACACCAGCGTCGTCGGCGTCCACACCTCCCTGCTCGCGTTCAGCGCGCTCCTGCTTCCGAGCACAACCCTTCAACCATCCTCTCGAGATGGGACTTCACAGGGGCCTCGCGTGACGCGAAACCACCTCGGGACATCATGCAATCCCTTACGGAGAACCCGGTGCGTACGGTTGCGTGGCTTTGCGTTGGCGCGGCCCTCCTTCAGAGCTGGTGGGCGTCCTGGTTGCATACGTGGGCCACGGAGGACAAACTGCGTAAACTGGAGCCCGTGAAGGATATCCAGGCCAAGCTGGAGCGCAAAGCGGCCTCGCAATGGGATCCAGAACGCATACAGGTACGTGTACTCGCTCTCCCCAGCATGCACTGTGTTTCATCAACGCATACATTCTGTGCAGGCGTATGGGCGCGCGGCGGCGACCACCTTCGCGGGCTCAATCGCGTTCTACATCGTCACCATCCTGTTCGGTGCGCCCATCCTCAGGTGAGCTTCCTGTCACGCACTCGGATCCCCCAGGCCTCCCGCCTGCCGCGCTCGAGCTCACGCCAAAGCTCGCAGCCACCCGCTCCAAACCTACACGATGAGCCTCCTCCTCTCCATCCTCGCCATCCTCCCTCCCGCCTACGCCCTCGGGCCCCCTCCTTCTCCACGGACAGCCCCGCGCTCGTGTCGCGCCTCACCTGGGTCCGCCTCTTCGCCGAGCTCTCGTGCGTGTGCCCGTCTCTCGCCCGCTTCGTCGCGCGCTCTAACCCCAGCTCTTCTCCCGCGTGCCCGCGCTCCCCCCTTCGCTCCCACCCGTAACCCTCGCTCTCAGCCCGCGCACGCCCGTGGAGCGCGCGCTCGTGTACCCCGCCGTCGGCGCGGTCATGGGCTGCTGGGCGGGCGCGATCCCCATCGGCCTCGACTGGGAGCGGCCGTGGCAGGTGCGTCCGTCTTCTGCGTGCTTCGCCGCGTATCGCCGTCTCGCTCACCTTCGTTTCACTTGGGGGGGCTCGCAGGCCTGGCCGCTCCCGCCCACTTTCGGCGCCGTCGGCGGGTACATCGCAGGTTCGCTCGCCGCGCTCGCCGTCAGCGGGACGCTCGAGCTCGCCCAAGCCGGTCTCTCCGCCGCGCCTGAGACTGCGCCAGCGACGAAGAAGAAGCCCAAAAAGGCGTAAAGTCGTCGCTTCCGTTGCACGTCTAGTTCTACATACATCTCGATGTAGTGTCTTCTCATCTAACTTATACCATCAAAATATTCCCTCGCGGCCCCAATAGTGGTGTCAGATTGGAGTGCGGCCTCTGTACACGGGCCGGCAGAGCACGTGCCCTCATCACCCGCCAGCTGACCCCTCCTAGAACAGTGCGCGCAGGTCGCCGAGCGAGCTCGTCACGTAGTCCGGCACGGTGGACGACGCGTTCGGGCCCGTGATCTCGCTCTCCTTCGTGATCCCTAGAGGGGCGTGTCAGCCTCCCACCGCATGCGGGACGAATGAATAACGGAGCTCAGGCGACGTACCGGTGAGCACGAGCAGCGTCGCGAGCCCGCCCGCCTTCCCGAACTCGATGTCCGTGTTCAGCCGGTCGCCGACCATGATCGTCCGCTTCGGGTCGAAGTCGTGCCTGCGCAACGCACACCGTCAGTCTCTCTCTCCCCCCACCGCTCCCCCTGAAGAGCCCCACGACGCACTTGGCTCTGATGCAGTCGAGCATGACCTGCTTCGGCTTCCCGATCGCGAGCGGGTCCGCGCCCAGGGCGAAGCGCAGCGGCGCGGAGACCGCGCCGGCCCCGGGGAGGAGCCCCTCCGCGGACGGGTACGTGCTGTCCTCGTTCGTCGCGAGGAAGGCGACGCCGGGGCGCTGGAGGTACGTGAACGCCTTCGAGAGCTTCGTGTAGTTCACGTTCGTGTCCAGCCCGCAGAGCACGGCGCCGACCGCGGGGTCCGGCGTCCAGTCCGCGAGCGAGAACCCGCCGAGGACGTTGTCCGCCGGGTCCTGTGCGGCCGGGGTCAGCGGGTGGGCGCGAGCAGACGAGAGACGAGAGACGAGGCTCGCACGCACCGAGCCGCCGACGCACTGGATGCCCTCCCCGCGGAGCTCCTCCTCGAGCCCGGGCATGCCGATCACGTACACCTTCTTGTCCTTGGGCATCTTCATCACCGAGGAGATGTACACCGCGGACGCGTACGCCGATCCGTAGATCTCGTCCTGCCCGCCGCCGCCGCCGCCGCGCGCGCCTTCAGCCCCGAGCATGCATGCGCGCGCAGAGGGAGCGCGGGACGTACGACGTGCGCCTCGACGCCGAGGACGTCGAACTTCTTCTTGTAGTTCGGGCGCGACTTGGTCGCGTTGTTCGTCACGAAGATCACCGCCTTGTCTGTGCTCCGGGCGGGTGCGTGGGGGACCCAAGAGTCAGCCTCAGTCCAGGTAGACGCAAGCCGGGCAAGCGGTAGGACGCACTCTGTTTCCGGAGCATCTGCAGCACCTCGACGACACCCTCGATGGGGCGGTCGCCCTGCCAGAGCACGCCGTCGCAGTCAAAGAGCCAGGTGTCGTACTTGTCCAGCAAGTCGGCGTAGTGTTCGCGCGTGCTCAGGCGGGCCGCCATGTCTAGTTTGGTGGATATAAGGCGGCTGGTAACTTCTAGATCAAGAGTTAAAGGAGGTCCCAGTCTACGTCTATGGTCGAGGCGAGGGGGGTATTGCAGTCGAGGCTCTAGGCAAGTGGGGGTCGTGGTGAGAGTTGTGGTACCGTCGGAAGGAGACCGTCACTCGTCGGACGCCTCGGACCGACGACCAATCCCCGCTCTCCACTCTCCAATTATTGGTCGACGCCGTAGCGTGCAACACCGACCGCAGCACGCAGCACTGGCACGACAACGTATGCAGTCACTTATGACCGGACACCCTGGCTGCCATAGATCGATGGCGTTCAGTGCAGCATTGGCGAGGATGGCACGTCGCTAACCCATCTCACGATAAATTCACACAGCGGCAGACAGGCAGAGTACCGCATACCGACCTCATCGGTCATCTTTTGTTTGCAACGATAAGCAGTACAAATGCATGGTGGAGAGCTGGCAGAGATGGCATGGCGTCGTGGTGCAAGGGTGGGATGGGGACGCGGAGGCAGCCCGTCTGCCTCCCGGTGGGTCGTAAGATAGAAGAATACAGAGTCGTACAGAGGTCCGCAAACCGGCTACTTGCGGCCACCCTGCTCCTGGGACTTGATAACCTTCTTTACGATCTTTGCCTCCTCAACGAGGAACGCGCGCAGGATGCTGAAATACAGATATGAAAACAGGATGACAGGGGCGTCGACTGAGTGAACGTACCGCGACTTGACACAGTCTCCGCATCGTGAACCACCGTACGCGCGGCGGACCGTCTTCTGCGTCTTCGAAATCGTCGCGTACTGGCGCGGACGGAGAGCAGGGACCTAGAGCACGTACTCAGGTTTAAACGAGAGAGTAAAACTTTAGAACAGACAAACGTACACCGGGAAGGGCAATACCGCAGTCACCGCACTTGGGCGCAGTGCCAAGCTTTTTGAGATGGTGGTAGACAAGCTTGCCACCCGGGGTCTTGACCACCCGACGACGGTTGGAGGTAGTGTTGTAGGGAGTGCGCTTGCGGAGGGTGACGCGTTGGGCCATTGCTAGGGGTAGAATAAGCAAGCGTTCAAACTGACCGGCGACCTCCAACCCATCCGTCCGACAGCCCTGGGCCATCTCCACCACAACCGTATCCTCTGCCCTCATCTCATCCCAGCCCAGCCAACACGAGATAGCCTGCGAGCGCCGTAGAACATGGAATCAGAGAACTCACTCTTGAGGGCTGCAAGGAGGGTGCCTGGAAGATGGGCGTGAATGGAGATTCAGAGGACGAGCAGCAGGACGGTATACCTTGAGCTTGATCTTGCTGTGGGCTGCCGTTGTCGCGTATATTCGCCTTCAAGGGAGCGCGCGGTGGCTGAGAGGAACTGTACAGTACCCGGCAGCCGCCGAGGCGCCTGATGACATTTGGCGCCTGTTCCTTTGAGCGCTACGATTGCCTCCACCTACTACAACTCCGTCCAGCGACTACAGAGATGCAAGGCTAGTCCTAGTCAGCGCTCAGCACGCAGCCTCGCACCTCACGATATTATGCGACGTTTCCTATTACTTTCGCAATGTCCACGGGTGCCATACGACCTCCGGTGTGGTCGGGTGCACAGTAATCTCTACGACCTTCGAAGGCCGCCGAAGACACTCCGTTTCTCGTTCTACGCCTCTTTTTTTCCGCCGACGAATTTGTTTCCTACCACGCTGACCATCTACGACGAAACCCACAGGACGGGAAAAGGCTGCGAACACTAGCGCGACGCAGCTCGGAAGGCAGCTTCTGCGCACCACGGCGCACCCATCTGACCGCCGACTGCTCCGAGGTCGCGATCCCGCCCCCTCGCGGCGTTTGGGCGTGGCACACCACGCGCACCGGTTAGGCAGCCCGCGCGACGACCCACGGCGCGCCCGCTCTAAAAACAAACGGAAGTCTCGCGAAGGACCGTCGCTCGAGGCCTGCTGCACCGCTGTATGACGTCGCAGCCCAGGTGGGACGGTTGCTTCGACGCAGCGCGGGCCTTCGCCGCCGGCTGTCTACGCACCTGCACGCGCGCTGGGCGCTGGGGAGCCGCAGCATCGTGCTGGCCAGGCTGTCCGGCTGTGATCGGAGGCTGAGCGCGCGGCGACTTTGCTGGTCGGCGGAGCCGCCGTCCGGTCTCTTGGTGAGGGCATGACACTGGCATAAGGACGCCCGTGCGGTGGGAGTGCCCATGGCGCCACAGGCGCGCTGATCAGCTTCTCCAGAGCTTCTCGACAGCCGGGCGGTCGCATGGTGCTGGGGTACGGCTTTTGGGTGTACGAAGTACGGGTCGAATGCGCGCGGGTCAAGCCAGGGGCATAGATTGAAGCTCAGCCTGAGGCGGACAGTGTACACCTGTTCGATTCGGACGGAGTGAATGATTGGTGCGATACTTGAGTACTCACCGCGGAGACCTTCGCCAATGGTCACTGGCGCAGTTAATGGGAGTTAAGTGTCCTGCACAGGCGAAGGTGAGCCGTTTGAGAGGCAAAAATGGCAGCCTGAGCTGTGATCTGCCAATCCATTGCGAACCGAACCGAGCGACCTAGGCAAGGTTCGCTGAGGAAGCCTGATAACGCCTCGCACTCGATGGACCCTGGAGAGCACGGAGTCAGGACATCTTCAGAGATGCACCTGACCCGAGACAATCAAGATGGACGTAAGGGGAAAACTAAATACCTCCCGCGACACTGTGTGCCGGTCCGCGGTTCCTCGGGCACGCGCTACATACCCGCGAAAAGAGCCACTGCGAGGTCATGGGTGCAATGAGGCTGAATAGACCCTGGGCCCCAGGGTCCGGATGACGGATGACGACATGACAGAATACAACAGGACGAGCGACACAGGGAACAGCTCGGAGGTGCCGCTCAGTGCTCGCGGTCGAACCGCTTGTAGGAGTGCTTCTCGTATTCCTTTGTTTTGGTCTTCGCCTTTTTCGAACTAGACATCTGATTAGTGTCTCCGCGGGACAGGCAATAAAGACACCGGACGTACAGCTGAAGGGCGTGAGGCTCGACGAGCGCGCGATGTTGCATGCTAACGAAACGATCCCTGAAAAGGTTACCTTCCGGCTGCCGGCGAGCGTGAGCGTCCAGACGCGACCGCAGTCTCCACGCCGGACATACCTTCAGTCCACGCAAGCTCTCGCTAAGCTCTTCACCGAGCTGAACGTCGATGGGGCCATTGGGGACGACGTGTTTGCCGACCTTCTTCCCGGCCAGACCCTGCTTGAGCTTCTCCTGCATATCTGACTGGCGTTGTTCACGGAGCCGTTCTCGTGCCGCCAAGTCTCGCGCGATCGTTTTCCGGAATGCTTTCGCAGAATCCACAGAGGCGAGCAAGCGCTTGCGCGCCGCCTTTTCCGCCAGCAGCCGTTTCTGCAAGACCCTGTCAACGACGAGAAAACACACAATGTCCTGCGAGGACTCACCTCCGCACGCAGTTTCTCTGCCTTTTTCCTCTGCTGCTTCGTCTTGCGCTCCGGCATCTTCTTTGCGGGAAGGGCCTCCTGCGGGCCATCCGCCTCATCCGCCTCATCCACCACTTCCGCGACCTTCATCCCCGACGCGACGCCCTGCACCGTCCCGACCGTCGCCTCTCCCGCAGCGACCCAGCGTGCCTGCTCCATCGTCGCCTTGAAGTTCTCCAGCTTCTCCACGCCCTTCAGCTTCTCCTCTTCCGCCTCGTGCGCCGTCCGGAGCAGCTCCTGATGCGCCGTGACCGGCGGGTTGTACGACGTGCCCTCGTGCGGCGCCGGCACCGCCGGCACCGCGATGTGCGCACGCAGCGGGTCCGTCTGCGGAGCCTACGCGCACAACCTCGCTGAGCACAACGCCCTTGTCAAAGGCCACAGGAAGACGGTGCACGCACCTTGACTTGACGGAGACCGCCCCTGGGGCCGCCCCCGCCCAGACGTCGTACGAGCCCGCGTGGCTGGCGGCCTCGCTGAGCTCGAGCAGCGCGCTGCCCTCGCCGAGCTGGTCCGGGTCGACGAACGACCCGAGGGCCCGCGCCGGAGCCGCTTGCCGACGCGGAGCAGCCGGGTCTTGTCGTCGTGCGAGAGCGCGGGCTTGCGCTTGGTCCCTGCGCCGCCGCCCGCGCGCGAGAGCACGGCGGGGACGGCGGAGCGCTGCGCGAGGATTTTGGTCGAGGTGAGCACGCGCTCGGAGAACTTGGGGAGCGTCTTCCGGACTGCGTTTGCGAGTTGGGGCGAGGGGGAGGGGGGTTCAGGAAGGTGTGGAGGGAGCGGAGGAGGAGAGAGGAGAGGAGGGAGACGCACCGCGGTTGTCGCCGGTCACATCGATGTGGAAGAGCTCGCCGTCTTTCTTCTTCTGCAACGCAGCCCTACGAGAAGTGCCGAGTGGGTGAGTGGAGGTGGAGACGCATGAGGCGGCGCGCGTCGTACCCAGACAAGCGTTCTTCTGTGCGGAGCTCCTCAAGGCCCTCTTCCACTTCGTCCAGGTCGACATTTTTCCTCCAGGCACGCTTCCCTTTTCGACTGCTTTGAGAGCGTTGAGACGGGGCGCCGATAGAGGAGGAAGTCATTTTAAGCATAGAAACCTGGGATGGACCGGGTGTGGATGTGGAAGTTTTCGCCATGGCGTACAACGCCAAAGCTGGTCAATGGGAGATGGAGAGAACGCACTCAGCGTATTTGCAATACATACTTTACAGCTGTCTTAACATATGATGATACATAAGCATTAATGGGGTAGTGGTAACCTGGGTCGTTGCCATCGACCCGCCGGGGGTTCGATTCCCCCTTAATGCATAATCAGATATACACCTACGTTTTGGGGGTTCGTCGCCTGCCCATGGTTATGGCTGCAAGTTTTGGTTTTCTTCGCTAAAAACAACTCTACTTCCCGCATCCATCAGTCCTCAACTTCCAACAGACTGCTGGTGCACTCCCAGTGGTCCCCCCACTGCTCAAATGGTACTGCAAGAGTCACTACAAAGCTGACAACACAAGAAGAGTTGGTATTTTCCTGGTGCGAATATTTACAGCACTCCTATCATGGTGAGTCGACCTCTCGTCCCAACCCAAAACAATTCCTTCCAGGAGTCATGTCTCCTAACATGTGACTTCCGAAACCATACTTGCTAAATCCGTGTATAGCACCAATACTACTCACACGATGGACTTGCATGACACCACCTTCGCTCCGCCACTCTCGTCGTCGCGGCGTGCTCCAGTATGAGGTTAGCCTCCGGAGACATCGAGGCGACGCGGCAGCGCGAGGCTTCCGGGCATCTGTCTTGATGCGCCCATCAGTGCGTCCATATTACTATGTGTGTGGCCAGAACGACATTCAGTACATATCCCAGCTGCACTGTCTCACACGGACGATATTGTCGTAACGTCGTAAACGGTTTCGAGCTTCTCGCACCGGGGTTCGCCCCAACGAACTCTGGCGTCGGACGTGCCGGACCCGCGGCGAAGCCGGCGGCGGCGTCTGCGACTTCTTGAGGCCCATGAAGGTCGGGTTGGCACAGGATAGGAAGTACTCGTTCTACCACTACTAGGGGAAAACACCTGTCCTCACCGACCCGGCCAGCACGTGCTGCAGCGGCGTTCGTGCGAATCAGCTCTGCGAACGATTCGGACCGAGGAGTGATGGTGCAGCTGTATTCCTCTGGGTACCTGGAGCCACAGGTTCAGGTGCGTTCGGTCAGCGAATAGAAGGATAAAACTCACGACAAGACGCCCCCGGTAAAGCGCGGCTCTGTCTCACCGCTTCCCATTCGCATCTAGCGGGCCGGAGATGTCGAAGACGTGGAGCACGGAGGCGATGTTGATGAAGAGGCCTGCGCGGCGAAGTGTCTCCCCGCCAAACTCTGATAAAGGCCGGCCGTTTCTTAAAGGTGTATAAAGGGGAGTGGAAACAATCGCGACTTACCTCCTTCCGTACCCGAAGACGAACACCAAGGGGTCGACGAGGGCGTGTCTATAGCGCCGTCCTTGATGAAGCGTTCCGGGCAGAACTCGCGCGGGTTGGGAAACATCTGGGGATCGTTCATGCATGCCCTGCTCGAGGTCAGTACACATGAGCGAGCTTCGAGGCGAAGTGGATCGCGCACCAGACGTTCGGCTGAATGAGGGTTCCGGCTGGGATGAACCAGCCTCGCCAGGTGTCGTCGTTCGTCGTTCCGTGCGCCACGCCCAGTGGGAGGACGTTGTGCCAACGCATGATCTCCATGATGACCGCCTTGACGTACACCAGAGAGGGTTCGTCGTCGAAGGCGGGCAGTCGGTGGGGCCCTACTACGACGTCGAGTTCTTCTTGTGCTTTCTTGACGACCTCCGGATACAGCGAAAGCGCGAGAAAGCCGCCATGCAGTGAGAGAAGGTCTGTGCGGTGTTAAGCAGAGCGCAAAGAGATCCCGGATAAAACTCACAGTGTCCGCGCCCGCTTCAAACGCGAGTGCACTTGTATTCTTTAGTATCTCTTCGTCCTGCGCGGAGACATCGCCCGCACGCGTGAGGGAATTGATGTGTCGTCCAACCATGGACTCATTCACATCCTTCCGATGGTTCTTCATGGGCACACGATAGTGAGCCTCGCCTGAAGCACAATATCGATACGAGAAGACGCACCATTTCGTTGCGTGCATACTCGTACGGCATGGTTATAGCGCTGTGGTTTTCTTCGCGCCACTGAGCGAGCTGCCTCTGCCATCCTGTTCCTGGAAGCCATGACGGCAGGTGGCGAAGGAAAGGGAAGTATTGAACCATGAATTTCCCGGGGACCAGGCCGTCGACGATCGAGACTATGGCAGTCCGCATTGCGTCCGAGTACTTGTCGCTGGCGTCGGATGTATAGTCGATGCCGTACGCGACGTGAATGACTGATCCTGCGAAGGCACTGGGGGATATCACGTCAGCGGAATCGCATGTCCCTACATAGATGCTCTTACTATCGAATGTGCTGCTCGAGAAGCAACGGCGAAGCGAGCAGCTTCTCCAAGAATATATGGGCGACCGCGCGTTGAGTCTGTTGATACGACCTGGCGGCGTCTCGGTGGAAATACTGCCAGAAGACTCGGCGATGGTCACGCCATCGCTGGCCGTACCGCATCAGTCCGAGGTTGTGGCCGTTTCCCGTGCTGGACAAGGCATCAGTCCGGCTGTTACAGCGAGCATTATCTGATCAGGAAGCGCGTACAGCTCGACCATCAGGCTCTGTGCGCGGTCTGCCGTGTTCGCAGTGTGTTTGTCGAGGTATTCTGAGATTGCGGCTGCGCTGTTGAGCACGATAACAGATTGACCGAGCGCTCGAAAGTGTATTACATCCCCTGGGGAGCACAAAAGACCATGAGTGATGTGCTCTCGCCGCGTCTCGGAGGAAGACTTACCGTGCACCAAGCCCAGCTGTTGATAGGCTATCCACGGCCAGCTCATTGGGAGATCGAACACGTTGCCCAGTATGGGAAGTCCCTTCGGTCCAGGCGGAAGCGGAAGGCCGCGGGAGCGAGAGTACCATCGCGCCGCAGAGATAGCATAACTCACACCAGCGATGCACAGAACCGCGCCCGACCAGTTAAGCAGGGAGATACCGGGCTGGCTCATTCTGAGCTGCGACGCCGTGGTTGGTGCAGAATCAAAGTCTTCTGAGAACCCGATTGACAGAGGCTATATAACGTGCAGACATGCCGCGTTTACTCCGAGGTGTGGCAGGTCTGCTGATGCCATGCTGGACTCCGTGAGAGCGACAGGGTGTTTCCTACCATGTTGTCAGTTCCAATACATTCGAGGGAGTCGCCAGACCTCACCGAGGTTTAGAGAAGTAGGCACTCGTCGGCTTCGAGGAAAGCAAGCGACGTTTAATCTGCATGTTCACAGTCCAACCAGACCGCTGGCGTCGGCGTCTCCGGAACACGGCGGACTCCGGGATCACAGGCGCCGCTGACGTCACAGGCGTTGACAACGCTGGGCTCCCCCAACTTTCAAGGCTTCACCGGCGTGGACGTCGTCCCAGCGGGCTCGCGCGCACATGCACAGCGCTCGGACCACCGTCGCTACTCTCCATTCCCACACGGTGTAGCTCCGCTGGAGCACACATATGTCGCCCGCGCAAGCCGGCAGGTTTGTCGGCGAGATCATACATAGTGATCTAGTATCCGAGCTCGTCGTCATCCTCGCCTTCCCCCTCTTCCGCCTTTGCGCCCACCACCGCAATCACTGTATCGGAAAACCGACAAACGCATGTTGGTCTCTCCCTCTGTCGCTCCCAACCCCCCACTCCTCCGTCCACTCGGCGATCGACGGCCCCCGCGCTGCGCGCTCGCGCTCGCCGCTGTACGCCTGTCCATGGCAATGGGATACACGTCTCGGGGAGCAAAAACGGCGAACGCGTGAAGTCACTGGAAGCCGTGCTAATGTACATGACGCGATGTCGGGTTTTCAACCGCCTCGAGTGCGGCCCGCGCTGCAGCGGCGTTCGCGCGAATGAGCTCTGCGTGCGAATCGGATCGAGGGGTGATCGTGCACCGGTAGTCCTCCGGGTACCTGGCGTCCCAGTGTCAACCGGTCGTTGCGTACGAGAACGCAGTGAGAGGGAAACGTACGACAGTAAGCCATCGGTGAAGCGCGGCTGGATCTTGATAGGCTCACCCCGATCGTCCAGAGGGGCTGAAAGGTCGAAGCCGTGAAGAAGAGAAGCAACGGTGATGAAAATTGCTGAGCGAGCGAAATGACGTCCGGGGCATATCCTGGAAAGAGTGATAGTAGGTATCGAGCTTGAAGCTCGCACAAAAAAGAACTCATACCTCCTCCCAAAACCGAAAATGAACACGGTGGGGTCGACGAGAGTCGTATCTATCTCGCCGTCTTTAATGAAGCGCTCAGGCCGGAATTCGAGGGGCTGGGAACATATGTGGATCGTGCATACATGCCCTACGAGTTTACCCCGTCAGTTTGTAGCGAAAAAAAGAGTCCAAGAAGCACAAGAAGTACCAAATATTGGGCAGGACGAGTGTTCCTCCCGGGATAAACCAGTCGCCCCACACGTCATCCTTCATCGTACCATGAGGTATACCAAAGGGGGCGACATTGTACCAGCGCATGATCTCCATGATGATAGCCTTGACGTACAAGAGAGAGGCTTCGTCGTCGAAATCCGGAAGGCGACTGGTTCCGACCACCGTGTCGAGCTCTTCCTGGCTTTCTTACGACTTCTGGGTGAAGGGATAGTGCTAGGAAAGCACCTTTCAGCATAGAAAGCGTCTGCGAACCATTTAGAAACATCGTCACGAACACATACAGGCTGTACTCACAGTATCGGCACCCGCTGGAGCATTAACCAACTGATTAAGCTTCGTGATCATCGTTGAGACGCGTGGAACATCATGCTCACCTTCGAATGCAAGGGCCTTGCGTGCTTGAGCACCTCTTCGTCGTCATGAGAGATACCCCCAGCCCGGTCAAGTTGAGCGATATGTTGTCCGACCATGGACTCTTGCACACTCCTCTGACGATGCTGGCCCACGCCGAACAGTAGTCAGCATCTCATTCAAAGTATAAGAATGGCTGACAGGAAGGCGTACCATTTCAGCTTGCGCATACTCATACGGCATCTCAATGGCTTTGCGGTTGTCCTCACGCCATTGGGCGAGAAGCTTTTGAAAGCCCGCGCCCGGGAACCATGACGGCACATACGGAGGAATTGGAATATTGAACCATGAACCGGCCGGGAACCAGGCCCTCTGTGGCAGAGACGATCGCGGTACTCATTGCCTCAGAGTACTTGTCGCCGGCGTCGGATGTATAGTCGATACCGTAGGTTACATGAAGTATCGACCCAGCGAAGGCACTGAAGAGATCTGACATCAGCGAGATCATTCACACTGAGACTCATCCACCTACTATCTGATGTGTTTTTCGAGCTTCGAGGGTGAGGTAAGAAGCTTCTCCAGGAAGATATGCGCGACCGCGCGTTGGGTGGGTTGTTGCGCGCGAGCAGCGTCGCCGCGGAAGTACTGCCAGAGCACCCGGCGGTGGTCCCTCCATCGCTGGCCGTACCGCATGAAGCCGAGGTTGTGACCGTTTCCGGTGCTGATTAACGGAGTGTCTCAGCGGAGAGAAGGATCAAAGAAAGCATGCACTTAGAACGTACAGCTCCACCATCAGAACGAAGCTCTGCGCGCGATCCGAGGTGTTTGCGGAGTTCTTATCGAGGTACTCGGAGATAGCAGTCGCACTGTTGAGCACGACAATGGACTGCCCTAGCACTCGGAAGTACTGTACGTCTCCTGTGCAAGAGATGAGTGATTGATAATTAGGAACCGCGTCGACGCCCGAGAACTGAAGGTATAGTAGTACATACCGTACTCCGCGCTCAGCTCCTGGAATTTGATCCACGAAAAAGCCGTCGGGAAGTTGAACACATTCCCCAGTAACGGAAGCCCCAGAGGGCCGGGAGGTAAAAGAAGTCCGCGAGAGCGAGCGCGCCATTGCAGCGCTAAGGACGCGCAGCCTGCCACAACAGCAATACACAGAGCGGCGCCCGAGACGTTGAGGAGGGAGATGCTGCTCTGGATCATTGATTGATGATGGCGCTGTAGAAAGACGATAGATGGGCGCACTGAGAGAAGTGAGGGGAAGTGGGAATCAAGTGTGTGCATATGCTGCATCCTGTGAATACACCCGTCAATCTCGTGCCGCTGTGCGACCGTCGGCTCCGAGCCCTGCGAGTCGGCACGATTGGCGGTAAAATTGACGGTCTCGTGAGGGCCAGGAAGCGCACAATTACTGTGAAGCTCTATAAAAATCATGTAGAACACGCACAAGTTGCAAGGTGGAGCCCGATGATAGGGTTGAAGAGGGCATACAGTTGTCCTCGCTCCGGACGTCACGGAAGAAGCTCGAGAGGAGACCTTTCCCGATGTGTACATGGAAGAACCGTCACCGGGAAATCCAACGCACCGCCGCCTCATTGCTCAGCAATGACGCGCCATGCAGTATGCACGTCCCGTGGTCTGAGCAGGGGTACATCGTCCCATTCTCACTGCGTACTACAGTCAAACCCCTCATAGTGCATACCCCTCGGAAGGCCCCGAGGTATGCGTTATGTGGGGTATGCAGTATGAGAGAAGCGCTCATCGTGGGAGACCCATTGACGCCCTTCTGCAGCGCGCCTTTGGCGGCTGGCGCGCGCATTGATCCTCACACGCGCATTCTCGCGCGCACATTCCTCCCGTTTGTTATCTGACCTCGCCCCCCCTACATAGACTAAATACGAGTAAAGTAATCAGTGACTGCGAGATGTTTTTCCCACCTTGAAGAGAAGCTTGAAGGGCCGTTCGGCGCTCTTTCACCTGCTTCTCGAGGACAGCACTTAAGACCAGATTAGAGGAAGGCGAGAGGGATACATTGCGGAGGCAGGCAAAGGTGGCCGGGGTGTGATCAAGTCGTGCGTGAGCCCCGGTCAGTCCCGATGGTTCGTGTGGCTATTCCAGGCTGCTAGAAGGGCACATGGGAAGGTTATCCCACATTTGGGCGGCATGCAAGGCATACATGCGAGGCGCTAATGCTGATTATATATGGCAGGTATGCGTTATGGACCCCCCGGCCGAGGTATGCAGTATGCGGTATGCGGGGGGTATGCGTTATGCCCCTATACCAACTCGGGAAGAGGCCAAAGGTATGCACTATGTGGGGGTATGCACTATGATAGGTATGCGCTATGAGGGTTTGACTGTAGCGAGAAGGGTGCCCAGACTGTGCACTTGTGTTAGGCGACACGCACCGACATACCGCCCCGCAACCTGGCAGGCTAGCCCCTCTGCATCCGACTATTACGTAAGGACCTCACAGAACCGCAGAAGCAGATTGCAATACAGACAACAAGATATGGAATTGAAGCTCACGTAATTCGAGGGCAAAGTCGTCAACTGCTTCGGGGAGCGCGCGCCGCCGCAGCGTGCGCTCGAACGAGCTCCGCGTAAGACTCGGACCGAGGGGTGATCGTGCACCTATAGTCCTCCGGGTATCTACAGCCCGGGAGTTAGCACCTTGGTAAATGCGGGAGGACGAAAAGAAATTTACGACAGGGCTCCGTCAGTGAAGCGCGGCTCGATCTTGATAGGCTCGCCGCGTTCGTCAAGCGGCGCCGACAAGTCGAAGACATGGAGGAGAGACGCGAGAGTGATGAAGAGTCCTGCGCGTGCAAAGTGCCTCCCGACACAGACCCTGGACGATGTCAGGACGAAGCGATTTCAGGCAGCTCAGAGGGATCCTACATACCTCCTTCCATACCCAAACATGAACACCGTCGGGTCGACGAGGGTCGTGTCGATGGCATCACCTTTGATGAATCGTTCTGGGCGGAACTCCAAGGGCTCGGGGAACATCTGCGGGTCGTGCATACAAGCCCTGCAAGTATCTCGATCAGCTCCCGGACAAGTGAAAAGAACATTGAGATGCAGGAGGCGTACCAGACGTTAGGCAGGATGAGTGTGCCTCCGGGGATGAACCAGCCACGCCACTCGTCGTCGTCGATCGTACCATGAGCAGCGCCGAGGGGGAGCACGTTGTACCAGCGCGCTACCTCCATGATGACCGCCTTGACGTACAAGAGAGAAGGCTCGTCGTCGAAATCCGGGAGGCGATTCGGTCCCACTACGGTATCTAGTTCTTCTTGTGCTCTCTTGATGACTTCCGGGTGGAGAGAAAGCGCCAATAAAGCGCCTTTTACGGTGGACAGGGTCTGTGTAGTAGTGAGGAACGACACCGCGAACGAAGGTAGGGCTGTACTCACAGTGTCTGCACCCGCTGAAACAGAAATTCGTCGCGATGAGCTACATGCGTATGCTGATATTACGGGACATGTGACGCCCACCTTCAAACGCGATAGCACTCGCGTTCTTGAGCAGTTCCTCATCCTGCGGCGAGACTCCCCCAGTTCGGATGAGATGTGCGATATGCTGTCCGACCATGGAATCTTGCACGTCCTTGTCACAATGCTTGATCGCAACAGTCAGTCTCTGTCTCGAAACAATAGTACGAGTTGACCAAAAAGACGCACCATCTCAACGCACGCATACTCGTACGGCATCGTGATGGCCTTGTGGTTGTCCCCGCGCCATTGGGCGAACTGTTTTTGAAACCCACCGCCCGGGAACCATGACGGTACATAACGGAGGAATGGAAAGTACTGAACCATGAACCGGCCGGGCACCAGGCCCTCCGAGACAGAGACGATCGCGGTACTCATTGCCTCAGAGTATTTGTCGCCGACGTCGGATGTGTAGTCGATACCGTAGGTCACATGAAGTGCCGATCCAGCGAAGGCACTGAAGAGATCTGACGTCAGCGATATCATTCACACTGAGACTCTGCCACCTACTATCTGATGTGTTTTTCGAGCTTCGAGGGTGAGGTAAGAAGCTTCTCCAGGAAGATGTGCGCGACCGCGCGTTGGGTAGGTTGTTGCGCGCGAGCGGCATCACTGCGAAAGTACTGCCAGAGAACCCGGCGGTGATCTCTCCATCGTTGGCCATACGGCATGAGGCCGACATTATGGGTGTTTCCCGTGCTGTGTAGCGGGGCGTTTCAGTTACGAACGAGAGCGCCCAACTCAGGATGAGACGCGCACAGCTCTACCATCAAGGTAATGCTCCGTGCGCGGTCCGATGTATTCACGGTGTTCTTATCGAGGTATTCTGCGATTGCGGTTGCGTTGTTGAGCACCAGGATAGACTGTCCCAAGACCCGGAAGTATAGGACGTCCCCTGCGACGCGGATCGGGGACAGATGTTGGTACTATTACACTCGGTGGTCGATTGACGACGCACCGTACTCTGCACCCAGCCTCTGGAACTCGACCCATGCCCATGTCGTCGGAAAGTTGAATATGTTCCCTATCAATGGGAGCCCTTTGGGGCCGGGAGGAAAAGGAAGGCCGTGGGAGCGGGCACGCCATCGCAAGGAGAGAGACGCATAGCCTACTCCGACAACGCACAGCACCGCGCCCGAAATGCTGAGGAGGGAGATGCCTTTGTCGATCATGGCTGGCTGGCGACGCTGGACGAGTGCACGGAGGGAAGAACATCCTGTGAGACTGATGCAGAGATAATATATGCGTACCCACTGCGTCGGTCTCCGTCCACGTGAATGCAGCATTGAATGGACTCCGGAGCAGACGACGTAACATATGTCAGCGAATGGCAGAGAAGCGAGACACCTGCCATGGTCGCTTTGATAAAAGGTTGGCCGTGGCATCTAGGTATCCTGTTGCCGGGTCTCAGATTTACCCTTCGCGCTATGGTGCAGCGGACTGTGGTGCAGCCAAGTTGATGTCATGCAATGTCGCTGTAAAGCCAGTGGGTATCCGGTGCGGAAAGTCGGCACCAAGGATTCCTAGTCGAAACGTTCCGCAATACCGACCTAACCAAGCCCTCGCGCGTGATCGAACGCGGCGATAAGCCGTGATGAATGTACGCCGCGAGCGCACTAGGCGCGGCGGAAACAGATCGCGCGACCAGTCTATCCAACGGCTTCTGGGGTCCGTTGTAGTGCACGAGGATGGAGTGGTGGAGCGAACGCAAGCAGCGAAGGCGCCGGGATAGCGCAGGAAGAATACTTCTCATTTTTGACAGACTGAGGATGTTAGGGCACCCAAACGGTTGAAGATATGTACATCCTGAACCACGCCGCCATCAGCAATGGCAACGCCTACAATGGCATACGTACTCACCTAGCTCTCAAGCGCAACAACACAGTCGCACATTGAACGAGGAGGCCAAAGCCGGGGGTGAAAAGGCGACGGTGCGGCAGTCGAGGGTTGACGATGACGCCAGCATACGACGATGAAAGGGGGCTTGCGCACACCGAAGCCGACACTCGCGATGGGGATACGCATTCCATGGTCGCCGACCAGGACAGCGTCGGAAGAGACAGGCGGACCCTCGAACTCAAAGTAAGGTTGACCTCGAAGCCGAACTCCGGGCTGGGGACGAGACCAAGGCTAAGGACGTTTTGATGCCGAGGTTCGCGCTCCCGCGTCGTTGCGTACCACATGGCGATCTTGGACGCTGATGACGACTGAGTTCTCGACCTAGTGAGCCGTGCACTTCCGCATATCGCGACGGTCGGTGTCGACAGTCGACGTCTGTGTTGATGAACCGCCCGGAGCCCGCGCTCCCTGTCGAGCAATGGAAGCCGAACGTAGTCCACATGGGCATACAAACACGCCAGACACCCGGGCCCCTTAGCCCTGTGACCGAACTCGTTCGCAAAATGCTGTGAGGCTCGAGGAGATTACTGAACCGTCCTTGTTTTTGCTCCCGATTATCCTACTTGCGGAGATGAGCTTTGAGCGCGAGACAGCCGGCTGATGTATGACAAGCCCTAACTCGCAGAAGACGGTCCCGCATCAGGAATTAACGAAAACAGAGACTGACGGAAGATGGTGATGGGGGCGAGAACGAGAACTTACTGGAGAAGGAGGCGAGAACTTGAAAAGTGGGCGGGAGGGGCAGCCCGCGAAGGGGGCGCCGTACGCCCGCGCAGTAAGCACTGTGTAGCAGATTAGGCAGATGCAATAGGGGAATTAGCGTATTGCACACAGATGATGACTATACAACACACCAGTGCCCAAGCCCCATCACACCCTGTCGTTGCCGCATTGAGCCCCCTCCCAGAACCCGTAGTGTCCACGTTTCCTTCGTCGGTAGATCGGCCAGGTTGTTCTTGTGTGGCTGCTCCTTCCCGACGGCGTTATAGAAACCGCCTCGTTGCTCTATATTTGCCGCGGCTGAAAGGCTTGAAGATAACGCCTAGGGGAATGTCGTGGGCTGCGTTGGTAGCAGGCAAGGCGTCCGAAACAAGGATAGGGACCGTATTGGAGACGAAGCGAGCCCACATACAGGACGATGGTCCAGAGGCGAAAGGAGGCGGATAAAAGCTGCAAGTTGGAGGTGATGGTGAAATAGAGGAAGCCGAAAGAACATGTGGAGAGGAGGACTCCGGAGGAGGTCGTGAACGCAAACGGGTGTAAAGTTCCAGGCACACCCGCGGTCGCGTCGCGTCAGCGATCCCACGTGACCGTGAAATCTTGTGCGCGGGACTCGACGAAATTTAGACGCTTATTAACAAGCTCACCATTAAGTGCACAACTTTGCGCATGAATAAGTATATATCAGTCTCAGTCTGTGGCCCTTCAAACCCCCGAGAGTAAACTAGCAAGTAACGAGCGCTGAGGAGCATATAGGAAAAGTTGTATTGATGAAAACGTACTGCGAAAGCTACACTGAAATGCATACATAACTGGTACATAACACGCACGGTCCACGTAACATCGACTGCGGAGAGCGTTGGACTGACGATGCCCGAGCAATTAGGCCTCAGGCTTGGCATATAGAGCAGGTAACAGTAAACCACCATCAATGGTGCATGAGTACTAGCAACGGCAGGGGTGAAAGGAGTGGAAGTAATGGTGAAAAGGATGGCGGGAGTGGCGGCGACGGCGAGGGAGGCCGCGGAGGCGACAACGAGGGTGTTACGACGTCGAGCACAGAGTGACAGCAAAAGCGCCAGACACACTGGCGGAAACCTTGACCAGCCGCTATGACCTTCTGAAGACTGGTCTTCACCGACAACCTTGATTCATTTCAGAAGTTCCTTGAACCCATCTGGAACCGTGTACACGATGTGAATGTCCACCACGTCCTCCGTAACCAGCTGTTTCCATCCAATCGGCATCATTATTATTATTATTATTATTTTCAGGCCATCCCGCCGGTTCACATAGTGGCTACGTAAGTACCGTAGCGACGGAGACCCAGCGCTAGGTCAGTATCCCGCGTTCGTTTGACGCCCGCGTGGGCACGGGACCGCGCCCGAAGGCAGATGCGGAACTTCGACGTCATCAGGCCGCGGGCGCCTGGCACCCCCTGTGGCGAGCGCGCGTTTGTCCGAAACAAGAGTCCACCGAGAAAATGTCCGTGCGCTTCTTGGCCGCCACGCTTACCCCGCTCGGGTTACTCATACTAGAACCGGCCTCATCAGGCGCCGGAGGCTGCATCTCACGTTCCGGGGGGCTCGCGCTTGGGACCAGGTCACGCGCCCGTTGGGGCGCGCTCCTTGGGCGTGCGAGGTTTGGGCGCCCGCGCGTCGTTCTTCGGCCGACGCCGGGGGCAGGTGGGGGAGTAGGCGGGATGCGCGCCTGCGCAAACCATGCACTTCGCCACATGGACGGTGGGACCCGGGCGCTTGGCGAGCGCCTCGTGGTGGTGGGTGTGGTGCGACCCGGCACAGAAGCCGCACGCGGGGGCCGCGCGGCACCGGACGGCCGCGTGCCCGAACTGTTGGCAGTTCGAGCACTGGAGGGGGCGGTCGGGCACGCGCGCGAGGGTGCACGCGCGCGGGCCGATGTCGAACAGAAGCCGCGACCCGTTAAGGGCGCGCAGCGTCTTGAAGTCCTCATCGTCGATGACGTCGACGAAGAGGGTGGCGGTGGTGGCGTCCGCGGCGTGGGGGCCCCAGCGGACGGAGGTGGTGGTGTCGGGGAGCGCCGCGCGGCCGTCGGACCATGCGGTGTCACCGGAGCGGTGCACAGCGTCCCGGAGGACGTCGAGGGGGAGAGGGCGACGGGGGCGCCGGCGTCGTCGAGTGCGGAGCACTCGACATGGTGGTAGAGCACCGATACCCGGTTGACGTACCGGGAGGCGCGCAGGGGGTTGCAGAGGAGGCGGCCGAGGGCGTCCGCGAGGGCGGAGGCCTGGGCGTCCCACGTCATGGGGGCGTCACGGGGGCAGATCGCGGGGACGACCGTCCACCGCGTGCGCGCGGGGTTGGAGGAGAGGCGGTCGATTTTGAAATCGACGGCCCGGCGGAGGACCTCGAGGGCCTTGGCGTCGCTCGACCACACGGGGGCGTGGGTGAGGTCGTGGGCGGCGTGGAGGTAGACCAGCCGGGCGGACCCGGCTGGGCGGCGGCGGCGAAGCGCGGCCAACGTGTTTTGAAGCGCCGTCGGCGCGGCCTTGGCCGGGGCGACGGGGGCGGTGGCGGGGGCGGGGCAGGGGCCGTGGGAGCGGCGGCTGCCGCGGGGCGCGCGACGAAACCCTTGCGGGCCGCGCCGGTCACCCCCTTCCCCTTCCTCTTGGCGCCGGCGCGTGCAACCGTTGCCCATGTGGGCGCGGGGACGCTGGCCGGGGCCGCAGGGCCGGGGGCAGGTTGGGTCGGGGCCCCGAAGGGCCTGGCTGGAAGGGCCGCGACGCCAGTAGGCACAGCGGGCGTGGGAGCGGGGGGCACGGGGTTGGCCACGGGGGCAGCCTCGAGGACGGGGGCAGGCGGGGGGGAGGCCGGAGGCGCCGCCTGGAGGGGAGGGGCGGGGAGGGGCGCAGTCGGGGGGAGCTCGACGGGGGCGACGTCCATGGCGTCGGCCGCAGCCGGAGGGGGAGGGGGGCGGCCGCGCGGGCAACCTGCTCACGGTAGTGGGCCGTGATGTTGGCGTAGTCCATGGCCAGCACACACTGTGTGGTGTTCTGGCCCCAGAACTGGGCGAGGGCGTCGCCGGACTGGCCGGGCGCCTTGTTGAAGAGGTTGGAGGCCTCCGCGAAGTTGGACTCGTTGATGGGGCCAAGCCGGAGCGCGACCCCAAACAGGTGGAGGAGGAGCTCTCGCACCGTGGGCGTGGCAGGAGCTGCAGGGGGAGGGGGGCAGGAGCAGGAGTAGGGGCGGGGCCGGGGTCCGGCTCTTGCGGCGGCGGGAGGGGCGTACGGTGAAGAGCTCGTCTTCGCTGTCGTCCAGGCGCCGTCGGGGTTGCCGCCGGCGAGGATGGTGGAGGAGGCCGTGAGGGCCTGTTGGAGGCGCGTTGGTAGTCGCCTTCGGCCTCCCAGGCCATGTCGTCGGCCGGGGGAGGTGCTTTCTTCTTGCCCTTCTTCGAGGAGGGCGACATCGTACAGGGGTAGGGTGGGGAGTGGTGGTAGCGCTGGAGGAGATGGTGGTGGTACGAGGTCAAGGAGGATGTCCAATCGGCATCAACCGAAGCCGCTCGCCGTGCGCACTCTCCTCGGCGCCCGTCGGGGGGCCGACCGCAGCGAAAGAGGCCATGACTCGTCCGAATGAGCTGAAATGTTTCAGGAACGCTGCGCGCCTCTCCATCCACGCGTTGTGCTCCTTGCGTTCCGCTGTGAAAGCCCAACCGCGTGGGGGTGCTTTTGATGAGTGGACGAGGTAGAAGCCGAAAACGAGTCGCATAAAGCCCTGAGCGACGGCCAGGTAAACGGTGGTTTCGATCATATGTCGTAAAACGGGATGAAAGGCACGTCAACTCTACTCACATCGTATGTTATATTTCCAAGCTCAGTGCGTCCCCATGCAATCGGTTCCGACTCGGTATAATAGACCAAGATTCGAGAGAGAAGACGCGGCTTTGCGCTCGGCGATTGGAGAGAAGTTGCTGCCATCTTTGTCATTGCACCGGGGGAGGAGGAAAGTATGCGGGAGGATCTCCAGCGAGCTTGGTGGGTGCGGGTCCGCTGAGCCCGAGGTGGATGTGCCTGTAATATCATGTTCCCGATTCTCTGGTACGCAGTTGCACGGTCTTGTAAGTTGTCGCTTCAGAAGATACCTCATCGATGTTCTTACCTCTCGAGTCCATGATGTGGAGCTGAGTCAGGGATAGTGAAGCTGGGGAAGCCTGGAGCTCTACCGCTGAAAGGTGAGATATATGTGAGCAATAAGGTTCCAGGCCAGATGTCCATGACTTCATGCGCTGCTCATAGGATCCCGCAGGGCCCCACCGAGGCGCGCCACTCGAATTCCACACGCCTCGAGCAGCACGCGTCTAGTTGTAAATGTGTAGCTAGTCGACTCTTCACTCATACTGCGTGATGTGCCCCTGGATTGCACAGGCACGACGCGCATCAGCGTCGCAGTTGGCCCCCTCGTCGGGACTGCGGGCGCTACGTGCCACGGTGAACCAAGGACATTACAACAGCCGCTGCGCTGTGCGACTCACCACCGAGGTCACAGCACGTACGTACTGGCTTTTTCGGCTATACGTACGGCCGATGTATTCAACCAATGTGTGTTACATACAGACTAATGCACAGAGCATACACCTTGGTTTTTTCACTCCTGAGCAGAGTGATACTCCTCAGAGCTAACGCTATCTCCATCACTCACATCGCTGAACCGCACCGCGTCGTCGGCCTCACCAAGCCCTCGGGCACGATTGAGCTCCGCGACCACCAAGCCCTCGAACGGGCGGAGGATTGAGTACTCGAGTGGTTGCCTGGGAAGTGCCGCGACGCACGAACCGACCTCACTGCGTCAGCAAGCCACACGCACACGCTCAGATGATGCGTACATGACCTCGGGCGTCACCCCGTCCACTTCGACGTCCGGCACGAGCACGCCCGAGGTGGTCGGGGACGGATCGCGCGACCAGAACCCCCACGGCTTCTGTGGTTCACCATTCTGCCCGAGTGGAGATTGGTGGAATACAAACGGCGATGGAGAAGAGCCTGGTGGAATGCATCAGCTAGACTGCTCTGTGAGAGCTCCTATCGAGAGGCGCTCACTTGGGGTTGGTGGTGCGGATGCCGACTTGCGAACTAGTCTCGCGCGATATGACCCTTGGTGCACTGAAAAACGCCGGTCATCGCGACGGTGAACATTTCCCGAACATCAGAAGGACGTTCGTCACTCACCGATGATAAGCTGGTTGATTGGAACATTGTGCTGTTGCGCAGCGATGACGCATAGTCCCAGAAGAACGCGCGGCATGCGGAGACGTCGAGGATGCGCTGGATGTATACCGTGTTGTGGGCCGCGTCCTCCCCTTGCGCGAACGCGCTGCAGTCATGACTGCGTGAAGTGATGTCAGCGCAACTGCGCACCGCTTGAATGCGTCAGGCCACGTACCTCAACGCGCCGTCTCCCGCGTCCGGCCACGAGACCGTCTCGTACGGGGTATGCGTGCCCGCGCGCGTCCCGTAGCAACGCCTGGTAAGCACGGGAACCTCCATTCCTAACAGCTCGTTGATGTGGCCCAACGATATGAACCTCCTCGCCTCGTTGGTTCCAGGTGAGGGTTCGGTGAGTTGGCCGTACTCCCCGACACGCGCATCGAGCGTTGCGGGAAGTACCGCAAGTGACCAGAAACATGCGAGCTGGGACTGAATGAATGCGTCAACATATGAAGCGACGTTTGCGCCTGCGCGGAGACCCGCGAGCAAGTCAGAGGCAGGGCCAGTGGGGAAGGAGATGCCCCAACCGCCGCCTGTGTGGATGTTAATATCGACTCAGAGCTCATTGGGACAACATGGGAGACAGTACCATCGGTCTTGTAGGCAAATTGGTTTATCTAGGGAGGAAACACCGTTCAAATGTGCTTTCAGGGCTTATAATGATGGCCACTTACTTCGCAATAACTCCGGTTCAAACACCGCCGGAAGCAATCAGAGTTGGCATTGACGATATCGGGAGCATGGATGATGAGACGACCGAAATCATTGAGACCCGCGGTTGGTAAACATTGCTTATGGGTGTGTGCTCTCCCTTTGACGAGCTAGGCGGGGCGGACACGTCAGTAACGGTGCGACAGCGTCAATACTAGTGTGAGCGTGATCATGGCACGTACGCTATGAATATAGAAGTCTTTTGAGGCGGCCGCAAAAGCGAACGCGAGCTACGCCACGTCGTGTTAGTCGCGCGCAGCTTGAGCGGATACTGCGGACACATCCCTACCTGATAATCCACGAGCTGGCTTCTTATTAGATACTATGGTGCAATTGGGAAGACAAAACGAACATGTTTAAGCCAGTTCATGACATACGTCCTCGGGCTTTGGGAAGTGAAGTCATGCATGAGAGGTATATATCCTCATCAATATGGGTCAGGCCAGAAGATAGAGTACCGAAAATACGAATGCGTACCTTCTTCCACATAAAAGACGCTGTCCAGGGACGGGTGCGATCGCCCCAGGATCTGAGCCAATCCGCGCTGGAGACCCTGTCTATTATATGCGGGTCAGAAGCGAGCATGGGGCGGCGACAAGAACGACGTACACGTTCGCATTGTAGAGCGCCAGCGAGTTGAAATCGAACTGACGGGTTGAGCACGCATGAGGCAATTTACGAGGGATCAGAATCATGCAAACTCACTTTTGGCTGAGAAGGGCGACGGACGACGGTGCGCACGATGACGTCTCTTCCGTCTAACTTTCCGTCCCACTCTTCGCCTTCGCAAACGTTCACTACCGTATAAGTTCCGCGGACGCGGCCCCATACCACCTGATCGTAATACAAGAACCGCATCTGCAAGGCGCGTAAGCGACCATCCGAGAACGCACGACGCCGCAACAGATGCACCTTAGTTTCTGGATCGCGGTTGGGGTCTGTTCGAAGTCGTAGATCAATCTTCACAACCCCCTTGTTGGTAGAGATGGTGCATGCAGACTGTAGACGTGCGTGAGCGATAAAATGGACGATACGGAGGTGCACACGTACATCGAAAGAGCGCCACGCATCGTCAAGCTGGCGCCCGCATTCGGTGGCAATCGCGTCCATCGACGCCCTTCGGAGGTATCTGACAAAGAAGTGATGTTCCAACGCCGTGCGGACTTTCTCCTTGATAGACGCAACGGTGCTGTACCATCATCTGGTCAGATCATAAACAAGAACTCAGAAAACGCTTACGCTTCCAGCTGCTTTAGACTCTGTTCAAGCTCCTCACTTATCGCAGTCGTGTCCTCCCCAATATGCTTCCGAACATGTTCCACGAGCTCTCCCCCTCGCTTCGCAACTTGAACAAAGTTGTCTTTCGTCCCATTGACAGCCTGGTGGGAAAGCGTCAACGTCGGAGACAGTGCAGGAATAAAAAAGATGGACCTCGACGCTCTTAGCGATGCTCAGCACCCCGCCGATGATCGTTACTAGATAAGGAACACCGTTGGCGACCGTCACCGCGTCCTTCGCGATCTCGAGTCCGGTGATGGTGTGAGCAAGCGCATCTTCGGTCTTCATGCCTCTGAACCATCGTACAAACCGAATTCGAGCGAGGATGGAGTTACGCGGAGGGGGACCGGGCATGGGCAGGTCCAGAGTGGAGTTCGAGGAGCTGGAGGTGGATGCCCATACCTCCAACGAGGCATGACAGTGTATGTATGCGAGGCAAGAGACTGCGCAAATTTTCATGTTTCTCTACCCTTCACCCTGTGTATTTGGGTTAGCTACGGGAAGAGTGAGAGTCGAACTCTGAACCGCACCGCAGCGTGCTCCCGTTCTTCTGGACTTCGAAGGTGACGGTCGTCGTCAAGGTAAGTGCGCGGATCCCCGAAAGGAGACTATTGGTGGTAGAGGCGAAAGCTGAAGCGATTCGTTTTTGAAGAGGCCGTACGAATTGGCCGGTCGAAGAAAGCGAAGACTTGCCAAGGCGGTGAAGCGTGCTTCGCGTGGGTAAGACGTCGGCGAGAATACGTCACCGAAGGTGCGGAGAGGCTGGGAATTAGGGTGTGGACGCCATGAGGGGTCAGCGGAAACCTTGTACACCCTGTGCGATAGCCCGAGTTCTTTGTGCTGCATGAAGTCGCGTCCATGGAAGTATTTGCACAGCGACAAGCAAGCGGGACTTAGACACGAGCGAAGTCGGAGGTGGCGCCTAATCCAGAGGCGCGTCGCTGGCGTCTGATCAGTCCCCACGCCTCGGAGCTTTTGAAGCGCCCGCAAGCTATCGACTTAGACACAACTTTGCATTTCTGAGATTGCGAGTGTTCGACTCATCTAAACACACAATGGGCGCTACGCTCGAGGCACGCGGACACTCGGCAACCACAATGGCGCGGTTCTGCCGCGCCATACTCAAGTATCCAACCACTCGCCTATAGGTTCGAACTTCGAGGACCCGGTGGAGTGACAAGAGGTTTTTCACAGCCGAGTGCCCCCACTATCGGAGGTAGCATCGACGGGGTGAAATTGAGCCTCCACTTGTGCTGTTACTTCAACGCATTCCTAGACAAGAACGCTAGCGCACTCACGTTCACGGACGCCCCGCAGTGAGGCCGATACCGTCCGAGTCATCGACTTCTTCGTTCTCTCACTGCCCGTCCGTGCGAGCTACGGATTACGTTCCTTGTCAAGTCCGTGCTCCACGCGGAGTTCTTCTCGTGCGAAATTAGAGCGGGAAATCTCGAGGAGACATCGAAGACTTGTAGCAGTGAAGCGATATCGTGATGGCGCCGCCGCCGCCGTGCTCGCCCCGCATTCGTTTCAAGGCACCTGTCTGTACTACAATCAGTCGATTCAAGGGTATGCTAATACATGGCACGCCGTGTCGGCGAAGTCGTCAGATTCCCCTCGCAGCCCGTACAGCCGCGGCGTTCGTTCGTATGAGCGCCGCATGGGCAGAGGATCGAGGAGTGATCGTGCATCTGCAATCTTCAGGATACCTGCAAACAAACACGACTCAGTTCCAATGAGACGTGTACGAAGTGGAAAGCGCATACGAGAACAAGCCGTCGGTGAATCGTGGTTCGATCTTAATTGGTTTTCCCTGCTCGTCTAGCGGAGCAGAAACGTCGAAGACATGCAGAATGGACGCAATGGTGATGAAGAGACCGGCGCGTGCGAAGTGACGTCCGGCGCAGATCCTAGGAGAAATTGACGCTCACTAAACAACTTCGGTGGATAATACTCACCTCCTCCCGTAACCGAATACGAATGTCGTGGGGTCGAGGACGGTCGTGTCTATGACACCGTCTTTGATGAACCGTTCTGGACGGAATTCGTGCGGGTCAGGAAACAGTTGGGGATCGTGCATACATGCCCTGTGTGAGGCCACTGAGTACCCACGAACAACCAGTGATATGACCTCGCAAGCGTACCAAACGTTAGGCTGAATGATCGTCCTGCGGGGATGAACCAGCCTCTCCATACGTCGTCGTTCGTTGTGGCATGCGCGACGCCAATCGATAGGACGTTGTGCCAACGCAGGAGCTCCATGATGACCGCACGGAGGTACAGAAGTGAGGGTTCGTCGTCGAACTCCGGGAGGCGATGGGGTCCAACCACCGTGTCAAGTTCTTCCTGGGCTTTCTTGACGACTTCCGGAGAGGGAAAGTGCAAGAAGCCCCCTTGCAACGTGAAAACGTCTGTGTGATGTCAATTGGAAACTGATCGCCACGTGTCGTACTCACAGTATCCATGCCCGCTGTAGTAATATCAGCTCTGTATTCCCAAGAGGCGCGACAACATGCTCGAACCTTCAAACGCGATGGCACTGGTTCCCTTGAGGATCTCCTCGTCTCGAGCGGGCATCTCGCCATTGCGCGAGCGAGAGGCGATGTGCCGTCCAAGCATCGACTCTTTCACGTCCGTTTGGCGATCCTTTAGATACGAGATAATAAGAACCATGGAGTACGAGCGATAGAAGCAACGTACCATATTGGCGCGTGAGTACTCGTACGGCATCGTCAGCGCTTGGTAGTTGTCCGCACGCCATTGAGCGAGAAGCTCTTGCCAACCCATCCCGGGAAGCCACGACGGTGCATAGCGCAGAAAAGGGAGATACTGGACCATGAACCTGCCAGGAATCATTCCCTCAACGACGGAGACAAGTGCGGTCTCCATCGCCGCCGCGTACTTGTCCCCTGCGTCATCAGAAGCATAATCGATGCCGTACACGAAGTGAAGGACAGAAGCTGTGAACGCCCTGGTGGGGTGCGTGAGTGAGATCATTATCCAATCACATTTTCGCTCACTTTCGAGTGTGGGTTTTGAACTCTGACGGCGAGGTGAGGAGCTTGTCCAAGAGGAGGTGAGTGACGGCGCGTTGGGTTGAATGATGAGCCCGGACTGAGTCCCGGTGAAAGTACTGCCAGAACACTCGACGGTGGTCTCGCCATCGCTGTCCGTATGGCATGAAGCCGAAATTGTGAGTGTTTCCTGTGCTGGATGAGGATGAATGTCAGCCATAGTATGGATATGTCGTTTGTGCACAGCTCACAGCTCCACCATCAGGTCGACGCTGCGCGCTCGATCTGCAGTGTTCGCGGAGTTCTTTTCCAAGAGCTCTGTGACCGCGGCTGCGCTGTTGAGCACGATTATGGACTCTCCTAGGACCCTAAAATGCAATACATCTCCTGTGCAACAGCGCACTCCAAGGTGACTGAATGACTCGGCAGGTACAGGCGTTTCAACGTACCGTATTCCGCGCCTAGCCTCTGAAACTCGTGCCATGTCTGGCGCGTCGGGAAGTCGAGGACATTCCCGACCAAAGGGAGCCCTTTGGGACCAGGCGGGAACGGAAGAAGACAAGACCGAGAACGCCGTCGAAGAGTGGATAGCGCATATCCAACCAAAGAGATGCACAGAACCCAAAGAGCCACACTGATGAGGGAGGGAGTGGCGGGGCCCATTCCTTGCTATCACGGGTAGAGGTAGAACGGATGGACTCGAGAGCGCGGAGTTCAGGGAAGTCAGGCCAAGGCTGTCTTATAACGCGTGCACCAGCTGCATTGGAATCAGCCGCGCGATGGGTTGTCGGAAGGTGTCTGACGTATGTGGGAGAAACGCAACGTTTGGTGCTTGCCATATTTGTCAGCTGCAGCAGGCCCGGCGGCCAGAGGTCCAGAGTTGGCCCGCACGCCACTTCTCGTGGCACCTACCTAAACAATTCGGGTAGTGAGACTACGTACCTCAGTGAGCGCTGTCCTCAGAATGCGATAGTGCCTTGCAGGTGACCAGTACTTGCTGTCATCCGAAGTGGGGTCAGAAAAGCCTTCCCCGCTGTTCCCCAGCACCGAAGTCTCCTAGCTCGGATGAGTTCCGCGTAAGACTCGGACCGAGGAGTATAGTCTTCCGGGTATCTACAGCAATGGAGTTAGCACCTTGGTGAATGCGAGAAAACGCGAGGAAATTTACGACATGGCTCCATCAGTGAAGCGGCGCGACTCGAGAGACACTAGACCCGGAGGAGGAATAAACACAACACGAAAGGGTATTGAAGTCCGGCGACGCTCGCGACAAGGAAATGCACTCCATGGTCGGAGGACAGCGTCAGGAGGGACAGGTCGGAAGGTTGACCTCGAAGCCGAACGCCGGGCTGAGGATGTTTCGAAACCGATCATGGCAAACTTTGACGTTGGTGATGACTGAGTCTTAGGATTAGGGAGCCTTTCTCTTCCCGTCTCGCAACGCTCGGAGTCGAAGATGAACCACTCGCTGAGAAATGGAGGCCGGACATAGTCAACACGAGGATACTAACACGCCAGACATGTTTGCAAATAGTATGAGACTCGAGGAAACCACTAACCCGTGCTCAATTTGCCTCCTGATAACCCTGTCCCCACGACACTAAAACCGCGCTCCCACCACAAGAACCCCATGTGGCGGAGACGCCGCGGACAGGGAGGGATGCACATTGCAGGGACTTGAAAGTGGGTAAAAGGTCGCGTTGTCGCCATTGAGCTGACTGCCTCCGATCTCCAAGGGCTTTCGTCGACAATTTAACAGGTATGGCCCGCAGGAGGGGGCAGTACGCCCCGGTGTGCTTGCTTAAGAGGTGGAGAGGAGGAAACGGGCGCCGAGTTCCAGTCACGTCAGCGAGCACACGTGACCGCAAAATCTTGCGCTCGTCGGGCCGGGCCGGCCCCAGGTCTTGCGCCGGTTTCAGAGTCATCCTCGAGCGTTGAGCACGCGACGCATCGAGCTATCGCGGCCAAAAACACCATGATCGTATTCCATGGAAAGATACTCCTTGGAGCTTGTCGGCGAGGGGACTGAGAATGTGAGAAGCCGCCGCTGGCCACCGCCGGCGTCTGTGCAAAGGGCTGGGAGCCTGCGCCGCCTTGGCGGCGGCACTGACATCACTTGACTTCCTCCACTCGTCCAGCAATTCGATATCATCCTTTGAACGCGCATACATACCCTTCTTCCGTATACCCGTCATGAGAAGTCCAAGTAATACACGCAAGCGACTCGGGGGGGTGTAGAAGACCACCCAATATCACATCTGGATGAGTTTCGGACTCTAATACATGCACTAGGGCTTGACGCCAGGCTACTGACGACATCAGCGCTGGTGGAGAGAGCACGGGAATGGTGTGTGCATCTAATTGAGAGGCGAGATGGTGTGCAAGGCACGCCCTTCTGTCTCTCACTTAGCTGACCGGCAATGGAGCTTCCGGTTTCCACCATCCTTGTCTGCGCTCTAATTGCAACCATTCTAGCATCCCTTGCCAGTGCAATCATACAGCGGCGAAAGCGTTCCGAAGCCTTACATACCCTCCCGGCCCCACAAGGTTACCCCTCGTCGGAAATCTCCTCAATGCCCCCGCCAGGAAACCCTGGATAGCATACAGAGACCTCAGCACGGTTCACGGTACGCATCCACCTTGAGCGCGTCGTTGTTTTCTCCTCAATGTGGTCCTTGTAGGCGATGTGCTCTACCTCGAAATCCTCGGACATCCTCTCATTGTCTTGGGGAGCACGACAGCAATTTCCGACCTCCTTGAGAAGCGCTCTTCCACAACCGCAGACCGCATTCAGGATGTCATGGTAGAGCTGTGAGTGGCCTTGTCATCTATCCTCGCTACATCCACCCGGTTACATGGAGGTCAGATCAGGCGCAAACATCAACATGACGTTTATGCCCTACGGCCCGTGGTGGAGACGCCACCGCCGCGCTTTGCCCCGTATTTCGATCGCGACACAAGCTTGGAGTACCGTTCGGTTCAGGAAACGGCTGCGCACGTCTTCCTCGACAAAGTTTTGACGAACCCCGGCAACCTGAAGGCCCACATTCGCTAGTAAGCGCATCCTTTGTTCTTGTCCTGCCAGCTACACTCCTGCTTACTGTTGATCGCAGTACCGTCGTCGGCTCCATCATGAAGGTTACATACGGCCTGGACGCTCAGGAGGAAGGAGATCCGTACATGGCTCTGGTCGAATCGTCGATGGAAGGCATTGGTCAGGGCTGGTCCGGGTAAGTTCTCGTATCGTTGTTCCCCATCCTCCGCCACCTTCCTACATGGCTTCCCGGGATCAAATGCGCTGTTCAAAAAGTGGCAGACGGCTGCACAGGCCTAAAAATCTGCCATTCGCGAGAATGAAAGCGAGCTGTGAGGCTCCAGTCTTCCTCCGCCCTGCGTTTGTTCATGAACGCTGTGACCGGCACAGTATCGTCCGTCCGTCCGCGATTCCGTCGTGCTCGCTGCTTTCAACCAGCGCAGACACTTCGGAGCACCGCCAGACGAAGAAGAGGTCATCAAGAACGTCGGAGCTGTCGCGTTGGAAGGTGAGCCTCCAGTCACGGCTTACCACCTTGTCTCACCAATTCCACGCCATCCAGGAGGGTCAGAAACAGTGAGAAACCAGCTCAGCTTCCCATCTCCCATTGACCTCCCAATCACAGACCTTCGGCTCCCTCCTCGGCGGGCTCATCGCCCTCTCCCTGCACCCCGCCGCGCTCCGCGCCGCCCAGGCGAGCTCGACGCCGTAGTCGGCCCCTCCCGCCTCCCTCCTTCGCCGACAAAGACGCGCTTGTCTACGTCCAAGCCGTCGTGCTCGAGAGCCTCCGCTACCACAACATCGCCCCGCTCGGCGCGCCGCACCGCACGACCGCGGACGACGTCTTCCGCGGCCACTTCATCCCCAAAGGCACCGTCGTCCTCGCGAACGTGTGGTGCGTCCCTTCCCCTTCCCCTCCCCCTCTTCGGGTCAGGCGTCGCTCAACGGCCGATCCTTCGGCGGCAGGGCATGCATGCACGACCCCGCCGTGTTCCCCGACCCCGACGTCTTCAACCCGGCGCGCTTCGTCCGCAACGGCGCGCTCGACCCCGGCCCCTGCGACCCCGCGAGCCTCGCGTTCGGATTCGGGCGGAGGTCCGTGTTTCCTCCTTGCTTCAGCTTCAGCGGCCCCTCATTGTCGACGACCCGCCGACCCGCAGAGCCTGCCCGGGGAGCCACTATGCGATGGACGCGCTCTTCATCAACCTCGCGTCGTTCATGCACGTCTTCGACATCGGGCCGCCGTCGACGCCGCCGGACGGCCGGTCGACGTCAAGCGCGGCCAGACGGACGGGTTGCTCTCGTGCGTGTCTTCCGCATGTGCCTCGGTTCTTCTCGTGCTCATGAGAGAGTAGATACCCTGAAGACTGCCGTTGTAGGATCACGCCGCGCTCCGAGGATGCAGAAGGGCTTATTCGAGCATATGCGAGCGCCGCGCGGACGGCGAGAGATGCTGAAAGCGCGAGCTAGAGGCTACTTGCAGTTATTCTGTACACCATGCACCACCAGGGAGCATTTCATGACTGTACATCGAGCAGAGTGCATCTATCATCAGGCGCAGAGCAATGCCTGAGATGGCCTCAAGATATGACACATGAAGATAGCGCTGAGAGTGAAACTCCAGACACTCCGCACTCGGCAGTAGTGATAGGCAATAAATGTGTTTTCATATGAACTAGTCTACGGAGACATCATGCAAACGCGGCCTCAGGCGATCCCGGAAGTTCCGAGAATGCGTAGTCCTCGCCCTTTACAAACGCACGCGTGCACTGAGCCATCGTCACAGACCTGTCACATAGTGTGTTAGCATCGAAGCTCCAAAGCTTAACAACGAACAAGCACTTACGCTCGTGAGATGGGGTCGGTCTGGTAGAAGTTGTCGATGGCTTCTTGAAGACCTCGCCAGTGACCTTGGCGCCGGCGGTGCCCGCAGCGAGCCTTAAGGCCAGCGAGCGCGACGTCGACAGAGGTCGGCTCGGTAGTGTCGTACCGGACGAGTGAGGGGGAGATCTCCCACATGCGATCCCGGAGCGAGAGGACATCGTCGTAGGGCAGCGGCGAGCCGACGATCTCAGAGAGAGCACTGCGAAAGGGCAACACATAAGCGCGGGACGAGGGCTTCGGAGCACGGGCAAACTCACCGGATGATCTTCCAGTCCTCGCGGGAAGCGCCAGGTGGAGGCACGGCAGCACGGCCCAGTTGTGAACGGCCTTCGGTGTTCACCCACGTGGTGCCCTTCTCTGTGTAAGCAGAGCCAGGGAGGACGACATCGGCGTACTGAGCACCGAGGTCACCGTGGTGGCCTGGTACACGACGAAGGCCCCTCAGGATATCCTTGGGGTCGACCTCGTCGGCGTTAAGGAGGTAGACGAACTTCGGCTTCGTGGCGCAGCCTTCTTCGAGGCGACAAGCCGATGTCGTACGCCGCAGGACGAGAAGCAGCCTGCGCAGATCTCGTCAACATAGACTCACGCATTACGACACGAAGAGGTAACCCACCCGCTGCAAAACGCTGAAGCCGTTCCACTCAGGAGTGACGAGCTTATCCTTGTTCGCGTCAACAAACTTGGCGAGCGCGTTGTACACCGCCGCACCATCCGCATGCTCGACGAGCGAGGAGCCGACGATGATGAGCGGCCGCTTGGCAGCCTTGAACTTCTTCGCAAACTCGCTCTTGCCAGCGACGAAGTCAGCGACCGCCTTCGCATCGTTGCCAAGGTAGTCGTAGCCGTACGTGGTGTCGACGCGCTCGCCGATCATGCCCACCTCAAGCGTGGTGTGCAGCCAGCTCTTGCGGATACGCGAGTTCAGAACCGCCGCCTCGTGCCTGGGGTTGGTGCCCACGAGGAGAATGGCGTCGGCCTGCTCGACACCGGGGATGGTTGAGTTGAAAAGGTAGTTGGAGCGGACGTCAACCGCGTGGATGGGTGCGGCGTGGCCGTTGACGCCGTCGAGGGCAGTGTTATCCGAGCCGAGGCGGTTGACAAGGTCCTTGAGGGTAACGAGCGACTCAGCGTCCGCAAAGTGGCCAGCAATCGCCTTGATCTCATCGCCCTTCGCGCCGGACTTCGCAAGGCCCTCGGCGATGGTGGCGAGAGCATCCTCCCACGACGTGGTGACGAAGCGGTCACCTTGCTTGACCAGGGGAACAGTCAAACGCTGGAAGCGCAGGCCGTCGTACGCATAGCGAGTCTTGTCATTGATCCACTCCTCGTTGACATCGTCGTTGGGGCGGGGTTGGACGCGCATGACAACAACACCCCGGGAGTCGATACGAATGTTCGAGCCCACGGCATCCATGACGTCGACAGAGTCCGTGGACTTGAGTTCCCACTGACGTGCGTGGAACGCGTACGGCTTGCTCGTAAGAGCGCCGACGGGGCAGAGGTCGACCACGTTGCCAGAGAGCTCCGAGTTCATGGTCTTCGCGATATACGTTCCAATCTGCATGTCGTTGCCACGACCAGTCGTGCCCAACTCCTCCACACCGGCGACCTCGTTGGAAAACCGAACACACCGCGTGCACTGAATACACGGTTCATCGACGTCTTGACAAGAGGCCCGAGATCCTTGTCCTCCACAGCACGCTTGCCGGCAATCTCGTGGAAGCGACTCCGGTCGGAGCCATAACGCATAGACTGGTCTTGAAGGTCGCACTCACCACCCTGGTCCAAATGGGACAGTCGAGTGGATGGTTTGAGAGAAGAAACTCCATGACGCCCTCACTATACGTTGGTCAGCACTGGTATGGACTCGAAGACAGATGTACATACCGAGCTCGTGGACGAGTGGGCTGTTTGTCCAGACCTTTGCACCAGGCATGGCGGGCATGGCGCTAAGACACCTTTAGGTGGGCACGAATTTGGGTTGGACGCGAGGACATACCATGACGCGACGGGTTTTGGTGACCGTTCTACCTCAACCAAACACATACTATATGCGCCTTCAGCATATGCCTCCTCGTACAGCCATCGGACTTACCGACAGTTACCGGCAATAGCCAGTCGGTCATGGTAACAAAATCTTGCCCGACGTCAGTGACGAGGCGACGCGTGAAATGACAGGCGCACATACCTTGGTATTGTTGCCCCGCAGCCTCGCAAGCCTGAATCAAAGCAGAGCCTAGAAGGCGGTTTAGAAGGGAGAACGAACATATGACGAGTATATGTGGGAACTCACCCTGGGGCACGGTCACCTCCTTCCCGTCGACAGTAAGAGTAATGTCCGCCTGGCGCGCCGAAGTCGAGGCAAACGTCCTGCGGCCTGCAAAACGCGACGAAGAGGCCCCACGTAAACGCTGGAGTCCAAACGAGACGGGGACGACATACCTGGGCGCGTCGACGACGGTGATGCAGCGACTTTTGCGAGCACACCCGCCGACGAGGGCCGGGAGGCTGACGACACGAGCCTCAGCATGGCTTCCGCCGAGCAGAGAGGAGGAAGAGGGGTCAGAGAAGAGAGCGCACGTCGGCGGGAAGCTCACGACGAGGAGAGGGTAGAAGACGACGCGCTCGCCGCCCAGCGCAATGGCCAGACTCCGGCTTTCGCCGAGCGAAACCGCGCGCCCCCATTGGGCGGCGCCTGGAAAGCGTCTGTGCGGAGCGCCCAGTCTGTCGACTGCAGCACGTGATGCGAGCAATGGTCTCCTCTCAGACCCCGAAGGGGCGAAGGACGCTCTGAACGGTCCGACGTTCAGCCGCGACGGGATCGGCGCACAGACACAAATAGAAGAGGACACGCATAATACAGTGCTACTAATACAACAGTATGCAGCAATAACAAGCCAAGGAAAGCGAGGATATACGACTACGCAAAGCAAGCAACGCAAGAGTCCAGCACCACTCAACACAGCACGTAGGGCAGCCAGCTGGCCTACGGGACAAACACGACCATCAGCACGTTCACCACCAGCTTCTCCATCTCCCCCGTCGACGACACGAACGGCACTCGCTCGCGCGAGATCACGCCCGGGAAGGTGACGTGGTCCGAGAGCAGCAGGATGTCCGCGGCCGCGAGCGGGATGCCCCCGCTCTTGACTACCTTCAGCCGCAGATCGTCCGTCTCATCCTCCCCGGGTTCCGACGCCGACGAGCTAAACGGCCCCCGTATCGGCGGCGGCAAGTGCGACCCGGAGAGGGAGCCCCGTCCGACCGACGCTGTCGGGCTGTCCGCGTTCTCATGCGTCATCTCTACTGTCTGGCCCACGGGCCAGATATACCCGCCCGCGGTCCAGCGCAGCTCCGGCGTGAGCTTGTACATCTTGAGCGCGTGGTACAGTATCGAGTCGCCGCCCTTGAGCTACACGTTTTCCGTCAGTACGTGTCGCTTGGTCTCGGCACGCCCAGGCTAGACAGTACTCACGCTGGGCACCAACGACTCCGCGACGACCTCTCCCGGGTTGACGCCGTAGTCGGCAGTGAGGTAGAACGCAATCTTGCGCCCACGAGACGCGTTGAGCACCGGGGAGAGCATGTCCAAGAACTGGTCGCTCGGCGTGATGAGCGGGTCGGGCTGGATCCCCGCCGTGCCGAAGCTCTTGAGGTGGACGGCGTAGGCGAGCGTGATGCGCGCGCCCGCGCGCACCGGCTGCACCTCGTACTCGCAGCCGGCAATGAGCGCGGTCCACTCGAGGTCCGCGCCCTTGCCGCCGCGCCCGTAAAACTTCTCCTCGCGCCCCTCCGTGCTGCGCACGAGCAGCGACCCGCCGCGGAACTTGACGGGGAGCGTGACGAGGATCGTCGCGACGCGGCTGTCGGGCGCGCGCGCCTGGACGACGAGCCCGTTTCCCTTCGGCCAGATCTCGAGCTTGTCGCGCACGACGGTGAGGAAGTGGCCGACGGGGAGCGAGTGGAAGAGCGAGTTGCGGACGGCGTCGAGGATGGGGTGGTTCGCAAGCTCGAGCGTCGCGGTGAGCGGGAGCGTGGGCGGGAAGTAGAGCGACTCGTTCTCGGCGTATCCGTCTGCCGTCGGATGCGACAGACACGAGGCGATGAGCATGTCCAGCGCAGGGGGCATGTCCACATCAACGTCGATCGGGAAGTCGAGCGAGTAGTTGATCCCAGCCTGCACGCGGGCGCGGCGGTCAGGAACCCTTCACATTACGCCCTGTGCAACGCGACGAGCACGCACCTTTGTTCGGAAGAAGAGCGCGAGCTGCGCGGGGTCCATGGGCACGCGTCCAGAGACCGCGAAAGGTCTTGATTTTGAGCTCATAATCCCTGCTAACGCCGCGCGGTAGTCCGTCTGTTTGTCGTACTCGGGGTCGGAGCCTCGTCTCCTCGGTTTTGCGGAAGGGTGGGGCAGCTTCATCGACGCGCTGTGTTCAACCTCGAATTCGGAGAGACTCTGCGTGCGGGGAACAGGGAGGTCGGGATATCGACTCGGGGCGGGCGGGGAGGAAATGGAGGAGAGAGTAGATAGTGCTGCGAGCGGGATGGCGACATTAGGCGGGGACCTGTAGTCGGCCCGTGAGAGCTGCTTTGTGCGATCCAGGGTTGCGTTCATTCGTGGGGGAGTGTGTGAGGACGCGCGATTTGGATGCCAGACAACGCAAGCAAGCAGGAGCGGCGCAGAGGCGTACGGCGGCGCAACGACAATGGATGAAGGAGGGAACGGGCGGCGGACTCCAGGCGGCCGGGGCGTATATCAGGGAGGGACGCGCCTGGGGGACTTGCCGGGCGGTCTTATGACGACAATCCGCAGACAGCACCGGAACAGGCGCGATCGCATCGACGGCCACGCCCATCCTGCGTGTTTTCTCCGATGGGACATCATCCTTCGCGCACCCCCGCACGCAGGGCGAGGGAGCTCAGACGCGATCGCGAATCCCAGCGCGCGTCGCGCATTGCACACGATAGCTCGTCGATAGCGCCGCCCGCGATGCGCGAGGGCTGTTTCAAGCCAAACGGGTGGCATGCCAGGCGTGGCCCGGGGATCGAGGGTCGGATGCCCTGGCCCGCACGACCGGCGCCACTCCTGGACGAGCATGTCGGCGGGCACACAGCGGGAGTACGTCCGCAGACCGCATCCACCCTGCCACTCCGACCCGCTCCCAGCCCCAGACCGCAGCGGCTTCGAAAGGTGCGCGCGGGCGTTCGACCGCCCCAGGGGCCAGATCGTGAACTCGCGCGCCACGCTCCGGGAAGCCTTCGCGCGAGGCCCACGAGGCGGCGGCGTGTTGCGCGGAAGATCGTTGCGGACGGAATCCGCTCCCATGCCGCACCCGTCATTGGCCCCGCGAGTCCCGCCGGTTCGCAGCTTCTCGTCCCGGGGATATGCCATTTGGTGCGCGCCCGACCTTCCCATCCCAAGACGGGCCACGGCCACAGGAGATCCCGTTCTGGGCGGACGGTGGCGACAAGCGTGCCCCGCAGGCGGAGACAGAACTAAGCCTTCGCGCACCCAAAGTCCGTGCGACGTCCGACATCAAGCGGCGCACCCAGTCAAGGGTGATCCACTGAGTGGGCACATGACGCGGCGCGAGGGGGGCAGGTGAGGCACTGTGAGGTACCGATGTCGTGAGTGGTGGAGGAGAAGGAGAGACAGGGCGCTTGATGTCTCGAGGCGCGTTGTTGTTCTCCCTAAACCGCAGGGGAGGCCCGAAAGTTGAGCGTGCCGCCTGAGTATCGCCGGTACTTGAGCCGTTCTTCCGCCTCGAGCATAGTCGACGGAGAACGCGGAGGAGGGAATCGTCACGCTATGCCTTCATCGCAGTCGGATAGCGTGCCGAAAGCCCATAGTCTCCTGGCAAGGATAAGTCAATGTCAGCCTCGCTGGAAGATAGGACGTAAAACTAGTGGCATCGCGGTCGTGCTGGAAGGGGCTCCGAGCAGGTTGCCTTTGGTAATGGAAGCCCAGACAGCAGAATATTGAGCTCCAAGGCGCGCTCCGGGGGCCAAGATCCGAGGGGGTCGAGAGCATGAAGGACTGCATGGCCGTCGGGGAACAGAAGGGATCAAACCCACATCCAACCTCTGTGGTGCTGCATATACCTCCTGCGTCATTGGGCTGGAGTTAGTGCCTAGGCATAGATGGCCTAGGTCGCGACAGGGATGGATCGACCAGCGGCGATTTGGTAGTTCTGATACCTCTGAGCTCAGAAATGACCAGGTGATGCTCTGCGATCGAACAAAGGTACAAGCGATTCGACGGAGGAGACGATAAGGTACGGGGCATGGGCTTGACGTCGAAGCGGCGAGGTGCAAGGATCGATGTGCTCAACAAAAAACGCGACGCGCGACGCGTTGCCCACCGAAATCACGTGCTGGTCAACACCTCGCAGCCTGCCTGACGAGGACGTCGACGTTCATATCAGGGGGACGCAGGTGCCAGATCCTTCAACGATGATCCTTCAATACAGCGCATGCTTTGTGCGTCTTCTTGCGCGCCAAACCTTCGTTCGGTGGCAACATTGCGTTCAGATCATCCTCTATGAGACGATCTGCGGGGCCCTGTTCACACCCAGACCGCGGCCACACCGGGAGGAGCGGGCGTGTGGATGAGCATTACAGAAGCGCAGTGTATTTACGACCACACCGCGCTATCGATGTGGTAATAAGGGTGGGTCCGGTACTATTACAGTCCTACGATAGCTCTAAGATGTGACCCGTGTCCCCAATCAGCACAGCTGTGAAGGTGGAGTCAGCACCAGGCCGAGGAAAGCGTGTTATAGACAAGTGAAAGGGGCGACAAGAAGGCAGGGAAGAGGTGGGGGAGGTGGAAAGGGCAAGGGTTGATGAGAAAGGAGAACTCACACAAAGAGAAGATGAGCAGCTGCAATAACAGAAGCAGAAGCATAGCGCATCGTGTGGTTCATAGACTGAAGCTCATAGCATCGCGGTCCTCTGACCACAGTCGGGCGTACTCCAAGCACAGCCGGTACACGTACGCTGTGGGGATGAAAGCTGAGTCAGCCGCGAACCAGCGCACGAGGCCCTCAAGAAGAGGGCTCTTCCCGAACGAAGGACGAGGGACGAACCCTCCATATCGACGCGTCGACCCATCGTGCGTTTCCACTGCTTCCCAGCACGTGCGATCCTCCGCAGTCTTCGGTCGCCGTCGACCGCTTTACGTTGCTCTGGCGGGAGGTGGAGCGCGGTTGCGTTCGCCACCTCGAGCGCCGCCTCCGTAGCACCCGAGAAGAACGCGTGGATGTTGTAGATCTCGGCGTACGACTGGGACAGTGGGATATAGTGCAGCCTGAAAGCACGCCGCATGGATCAGGATCCAAGTGGAGCCGAAGGTACGGGAGAGAACATGACGTACCACGGCTGTATCCAGTCTGAGAAAAACTCCCGGTAGACGGTGGCCTTGAGAACAGCACTGTCCGACTCCAGGAAGGAGAAGAACCTCCCAGAGTAGCTCATCCCATCGAGATCCACCACGTACTTGTGCTGCCAGTGATCTCCGAGGCTTGCACCGCTCGCGTCGACACGGTGCGTGCGGATGAGCTCGTCGAAACCCCCAACAAAATTCTCCGCGCCAACAACCTTAAGGAAAGCGACGTCCATGATCTTCTCGTTGAGCACCGAGGCAGGCACATCGGCATAGACGTAATGTGTTGACCCTGGCGGATCAGCGAACACGACGGTGCGGTTTGTAGACGACTGGTCACTTGCAAGGCGCACGAACCTTTGGTTTCGGGGTGGATATGAGGGCATGCACGGAGATCCGGGACGAACAGGAACGCACCTGTGACGCTGATGCTGCGCAGCAAAGCCAGGTGGGGAGCTGCCCCCGCCTGTTGAGGCGCCCCGCCAAAAGATTTTATCGCTCTTGTCCTCCCATGCGGCCTCCATCCCATCGACATCTTTGAGCTCTAGTTGCACGGGGTCCCAGCCGTACGTGTATCGCCGCGTCTGAGCATAGTAGTAGTGGCTCGGTATCCGGATGTCCCCGTAGCCAGGTGCCTTAGCTGGCGAAAAGACAGGGAAGAGGGCGGCGATGGTTCGCCAGTCGGAGAAAAAGTGGCCCTGCATGTAATGCGCCCATGGGTTGTCGCAGAAGGGGTATTGGCCTACCACACCGCTGTCGAAAACGAACTCCTGATTCCGTGCGACGAGGTTACTCGTTTTGGTGGTAGAAAGAGCGCGATAGGAGCTGAATAGTCGGCGCGCAGCAGTACCTGGGGTGCATGTTCGACGGAACGCTTCCCACACATTTCCCTGTCCGTGCCAGTCGGGAAGGAGACCGCCGTCGAACTCGGCGCGAACAGCCTCTGAATTGATGTGAGCTTCGGTCTCAACATATGCACTACAGGACGCACCGGTGTTGAGTTGTTCTGTGAAGTTTGACGGTTGTCGCAGCTCATAGGGGAGTAGAATACGGCCTTCCGACATGGCGTTGACAGGGAAGTCCATGTCAGGAAGCTGTGCTCATAAATTAGCGACTGAATCGTGAGACTGGTGACGACTTATTATGCCATGAGGGGATAGCACGAGGTCGTTCAGTCTCCATGCCTGTGTCCTCGTGTCATCACGGGATAATAAGATTAACAGTGCGAGGACAGCGCGATGACGGACGAGCCCTGCATATGCGTCTATGCTATCTGACAAGACGATCTACCAACGTAGGTCGTTGCCATAAGCTCGACGAGCACGGCGAGGCTGCGTTGCCAATAGTCGACGTCATGCATTCATGCAGTGGCTTCAAAACACCCGGTCCAGTCCACAGAACCCTTGTGCTTCTCTCCATGGACGGCAAGAACTCACCTTGTCAATGAAAGCTCCTAGAATGGACAGAAACCCGCTCGCACGCGCACTCACGTGCGGGCTGTCGTGCCCCTCCACCACGTTCACCGCTGACCCTTGGCCGTCTCGCACGCGTACGAGGTCGACTGAAGGCAAGTGACCAGCCTGCAAGAGCTGAGCGCGAGAACCGGACGAAGAAGTCAACATTGACTCACCAGAACCGCCCTCCACTGTAGCTGCTCGCCCGTGATGTTCCAAAACGGAGCGAGGTCCTCGTTGATGTTGTCATAGTCGTCAATCATGAGAACGCTGTTGTTCTTCGCGAATCGCCACCAGTCGTCGAACCCGCGCGGCGGTTTCCTGCCGTACCGCCGCTGGTATTCTTTTATTGCGGCCTCTAGAGTCGTGCTTTGCCGTTGCAAGAGGTTGCGGTATTTGTTCTCGGCCTCGAGCATAAGGTTCGGGATTGGATGCTCCTTGATTGTTGGTCGCGCGTTCCAAATGCCAAGATAGCGAGAAGTAGCAGAGACGAGGGCGGTGTCGGAAAAGCTGACCGCGTTCTGCCTGTGCGCGGCCCAGAGACCTCCTTGCATGAAGACGATAACAAGAGCAGTGACGAAGAGGAGGCCCTTCCGCTGCACCGAGAGGCCTTCGAACATGGCGGCGGCGTCGGTGGAAGAAGATAGAGGATAGTTGGGGAGGCCTAGCGCCTTCCTGGCGCGACGCAGTGTGACGCAAAAGAGTGGACAGGTTAGGGAGGCAGAGGGAGGAAGAGGGGGCGAAGCAGCATGCGCGCAGGTCAAACCGTCGAAGTCCAGCGCGGCATCGGCGCTCGCTTTCTGCAGCCAGCGCCTCCAGCCGGGATGGCCCGTTAGCGCCGGTCGGCAGTGACGGGCGCCCCAGAGGCCGCACCGGCGCGAGGGTGCTCGACTGCGGCGGTCGCAGCGGAGCTCGGGGACTCCTCCTCTCTCTTCGACCACCATGAGCTCTGCTGCTCACCCTGCTCCCACAGCTGGCTCTGGCCCCAGTTCTTCCCGCACCACCCAGTACCGTCCTGCTACCATCGCCGAGCTAGCCAATCAAGCACAAGAATACGACTTCGACGAGAGCCTCGGCCTTAAGCACTGGCTTCGGAGCGCGGAGAAGGCAAGACGAAGTGCGGAACGCCTGGTTCATGAGCAGCAGTATGAAGCTGCGTTCATCGAGTATGCGAAAGCTGCTACGATCGTACTCGAGAGACTCCCCAAACATCGGGAGTACGGACAGCTTCTCAGTGCTGATCAGAGACAAAATCTGGGCATGGTGAGTCCTCTCAGGTCGCATATATGCGGAACAGTATCGCTCCGCCGAAGCTGCATTGTGGACTTCATAACATCTTGGATGCTCGTCTGAGCTCCCGTGCCTTTCATGCACGAACAATCTGAGTCTCAGACTGCAGGCTAACATGCGTTACAGAACGGACAAGACATCCTTGACAGTCTGAGCCAACTCAAACCTATCCTCGTCGACCGGTACGAAAAATGGCAGGCCAGCGAACGATCAAGTCCTCCATCGAGCACCCCACCCTCACGGGATCCGAATCTAAGTCGCGCGGAAGAGCGGGCTCGCGATGCGCGGGAGGCCGCCCGTATGGAAGAGGCCTGGAAGCAGGAAGACCTGTCGCGCCGGCAGGCCGAGGACCGAGAGCGGCTCGCGCGGGAGGAAGCGGCGTGGCGACAGTCTCAGGAGGCCCGGCGGAGAGAGGAGCCGGATCGTGCGGGGCAGACGGAGAAGCAGTGGCGGGAAGAGGAGAACAGAAGGTACGCAGCGGAGGAGGCAAAGCGGGAGGAACGTGCAAGACAGAAGGGCGCAGAAGACAAACGCCGTCACGAGCAGGAGGGCATCCTCCGGCGACAGCAGGAGGCGGATTCCGCTGCGCGCTCGGCAAGGCGAGACTACATGCGCACGACACCGTCTCCGGTCGGGCCCCCCAGCGGGAGTGCTGCGCCGCCGATGCGCATGCCAGAGCCGGACTCGGCCATGCGTTCTGCGGGACGAGGAGCATATGGCCCGCAGCCATCGCAGCCCTCGGCACCGTATGAGTCGTCGTCGAAGCACCCGGACGATTCCTTTGCAGACTGGTCGCGTCTCCGAATATCTGACCAACCAACAAAGAAGCAGGTCTCTGCGTACGTTTCCATTTTCTCTTATGCAATTTTGGTCTGACTCCCGGCGCAGCGCAGCGCACCCACCTCCTCTCACTACAACTTCTCCTCCTCCGCCGGATCTGGGACCGATCAAGTACCCCACTTTGATGTCCCAGCACCAGCTGAAGCAAGGCTACGTCCCGTCCCTCCAATCCATGTTTTCTCCCACCACCCCCTCCCATGCTCCCGACTCGTCCCTCCTTTTCGACCCCAAACCCTCCGGGTCCAGCAATGGCCTGTACGGCAACATCCTCCCAACTCCCTCCGCGCCCCCAGCCCCCGTCATACCCCCGTATCCCACGCACATGCCTGTTCCAGAATCACACCGACCTCTCTCAATGCCCCAACCGACATCCTCCCAGCACTCGAACACGTTCTCGCAGTCCAGCCATCGCGGGCCATCTCCTGGCGGTGCTCGGCCCGCCACCTACAACCCTTCACGTCCGAGTGGCTCGTACACACCATCTTCCGCTCCGCCACCCCCTCCCTCGTCCTCCGCTTTGCCCCACCATGCTCCACGAATCGTGGCCGGGTCATCGAAGGACGCGGCGGTACAGGAGCTGCGAACTGTCCGGCTGCCGCGCGAGTGCCTCGACAAGTTCTTGTCGATCGCGCGCGTCAACACGCTGCAGAACCGGGAGACGTGTGGGCTGCTGCTGGGGAAGGACAAGGGCTCGAAGTACGTGGTGACAACGCTACTCATCCCGAAGCAGCACTCGACAAGTGACACGTGCATGATGGACGAGGAGGAGCTTGTGCTGCAGTTCACCGAGGACCGGCATCTCATCACACTGGGATGGGTGAGCGGTCATTTTACCTTTCAACATCCGCGTTTAGCTGAAGTGATGTCGAACTTGTCAGATACACACACATCCCACGCAGTCCTGTGAGTAGCCGATCCAATGACCTCTCCCGTCTACGATTCTCAAACGCTCTCTTCCAGGCTTCATGTCGTCTGTTGATCTCCACACCCACTCTGGTTTCCAGCGTATGCTCCCCGAGTCATTTGCTGTCGTGTGTGCCCCATCTTCTACGCCTCGGTGAGTATTTTGAACCCGTCGCGTACTCACTGCCAAATCATGTATCCTTTGTGTGCCTTTTCTGCTTCCCACTCGCACGCCTGTGCTGATATGCACATTTCGCTCTACAGGTTCGGCATCTTCCGCCTCACTGACCCTGCTGGCCTGCAAACCATCCTCGGGTGCCACGCGAAGGAGGCCTTCCACCCACACCCCGATGTCCCAATCTACACTGTGAGTGCATCTATACATCTCTTTCCGTGTCTCACTGATCCCGCGATGCGTGTAGGATTGCGATGACTCCCACGTCCAGATGAAGGACATGCCGCTTGAGATTGTCGATCTACGGTAATAACCATTGTGTAATAACCTGCCTTCCTCTCGCATGCGCTCCCACCCACGTATATATACGCATCCTATGTTCCTACATCTTTACCCAACTTCTTTCCGCCTCTTGTCTTCATCTGTATGTTCGTCTGTTCCTCCAGGGTCTCCCCACTCTGTTGTATGCTCCCACTGGGCATTGTCTTGCATCATGTTTTCCCCACGCACCCCATTGCTATCAATACATCTCTATCCTCTTCCTCACACTTGAGATGAAATATCGTTGTCTTCTAACAATGGCGCGTCACTTCAAGCATTTCTTCATGGCCCCTCAGTACACACGATCACGAACGTCCCTCCTAAGCCATTAACGTGTGCTAGTCGCACATTAGACAAGCATCTTGTTTGAGCATCGAAGGTGAGCGTGCATCTCGACGATTCTCGTGATGGATCCTCACCCCTCTCTCTTCAAAGAGCAACTCTACAGAACCGGCCAGTTATTTGAAATGGCGTGGCGGCACTAGAGGGTGCTGGTGAGACAGGACGCAGGGATAGTACTGCCGAGGCGATCGTGGCCGGTGTTCGCTGCGAATGCCGTGCATACGCACGCGCCCGGTGTCTTGTTTGCTGGACGATATTTTTTCACCTGATGTGCCGCTCTCCGCACAGAGACAGGAACAGATCACCCTCGGTAACCGCTGAGCTCCTTCACGCCGCCCAATTGCGGGTTTCGCAGACATCTGGATATGCATGAGAACGTTCCGTCGTCCGAAGACTGGGGGGACCGGCGAGGTGGACTTGAAACATTGATGCATGGCTTTCGTCAGTCAAAGAGTTCGGCACAGGAGCCTGGGTTCCGCACCCAGACACGTTCGGACGAGTGTCGTCGTACATGACATACAGCATCCCGTTCGCAGCAACGATTGTGACACAACCCGATGAAGCTCTGAAGCCTATCAGCATCCGTCAGATGAGCCGAGACACGCACACCAAACATTGTGACCCACGTATAGCATAGTAACGTCAGCTACCCCACATCCTCAGCCCTGCAATATCAAGCGCCTATGGCTTGAGACAGCCCGAGCTCGAGCTCGACGCGGGTGTTGTCGCCCCACCCGCTCGCTGCGTGCAGTTGCTCCTCAAGTCCCAAGACGTGTGCGCCCCTCCGAGTCTGGATCGCGGAACGCGATGTGGCTGAGGGTCGCGATTGTAAAGTCGGCATCGTGCGCGAGGTGCCTTGGGTGGCGACCTGGCGGAGGTTGAGGAGGACGCGCGTGCACAGCGAAGCGTGCACCGCGCGGAGCGGCCTGTGGAACTCGAGGTGAGTGACGCGGCTCCGTGCACGACGCAAATAACACAAGCTCACATCTGCACGACGAGCGGAGGGCGGGCTGTTGGGGGAGCGGTCGGGTCAGCGGGACGGTTTGATGCAGGGTGGACGAGAGCGCCTTACGCTAGCCATAGTCGTCACCGCCAGATTAATGATGGAAGGATTACATGATGACGTAGTATATAGAGCCTAACACCTCGTGAGCGGATGCGTGCAGCCGAAGTCGAGACACTCACTGTTCCGATACATGGTCTTGACGAGCGGGGACCGGTGTGAGCGCGGCACAGACATGGTAGAGTCTGTTTGCGTGCTCGGTCCACCCCAGCGGAACAGCCGGCGGAACGGGCCCTCTCTATCTATGGCGGTCTGCCACTGTCGAAAGAATGTCAACAAGACGATGACTGCGGGAAGAAGCGACGTAAGCATGGCTATCAAAGGATCACAGTGCAGATGACGCTTCCCGGTTTCAGAGATCAAGAGGCAGGTGTAGATCACCCAGCCCGAATCGATATCGTCCACACTCGGCATGCATCCGGTAATTTTGATAATGTCGTCACCAGGATCTGGTCTCGTTAAAGATATCAGGGTAGGACAGTGTAAGACACGAGAGGTGCTCCTTACAGGGGAGGGGGAAGAGAAATTTAATGGATGTCACAGCAGTTGGGACCTGAGCATCGTCAGCACATACACACCAAACCCAGCTACGTAACTCACGACCGTGAGGACAACGAGAGCGCACATGAGAGCGATGACATAGGGCTGGAAGTTGTAAAGAGCGAGCGTCCGTGCTATCAGAATGACTGTGCAGGTAGTCAGTGAGACCTAGAAAGCAAAGGTATCGACGAAACGAGAACGTACGTTCCGAGGCAAAGGACCCGGTGGCGTAAGAGACTGGCACACAAATGAGTGAGTCGGGTTGATCGGCATGAAGTCCTTTTGCTCACATGCCAAGACTTGAAACTCGGTTGTGCACAACTATGACGCACTGAGAAGAAAATTAAGTAGATAGTATGGATCGTAGACATACCCTGTGATTACCAACGTTGCTCAGAGAACCTGCATAGAGATCGTTGAGAATAAGACACTGAGCCAAGGGCATGATTGACGTCAACCTACTTGCAAGCGCTAATGTCGTGTCCACCACAGGCGAATAACGATTATAAAGGTAGAGGACCTTCATGAAACTTATGCGGGAAGGCCAAATGTAGGTGATCTGCCGGTCAAGAATGCATTCAATGAGATGGAATTGCCGGACACTCCATGTCTGTCAAAGAGCTCACCTCTTCCTCCATCTTCACGCATATCTCTGCCCACTACACATGATAGGCACTTGTCGGAATTCATGATCAAATCACGCCCAATCGGGACTCACAGTCCATGTAGCGGCCACAACTAGCGTCCGAGATCCAATGAGCTTCTCACTTGGTCGTCCTTCGCGCGATCGCCGATGAGCTCACGTACCAATGGCATACTGTTGTCGAACAGAGGCACCGTTGGTCTCACAATAGAGGTTACGGCCGCAACTTGCTCACCTTGACCAACTTCAAATCCGCCAACTGATCGCCGCCCGCCTCCGCAATCTCCTTCAAGGCCGACATGACCGCCTTCCTCTAAAAAGCCTCGCCTCCGCCTTCCCGCCTGGAACCGAGCAACCTTGGAGGAGTACCAGACCACGCAGAAAGCTAGCGCAGCACGAAGGGCAGCGGATCGGGGGCGGGAGAGTGGAAACGGGTGCGGGGGGAAGCACACGCGGTAAAGCCTCCCCGTGCCCGCGTTTTGTAGACGCACCGTCGCATCGATGACGGCAGCGTGCCGCCCAACGACGACCGCTTAAGTGGGAACCGGGGCGGAACCCGACGTGATCCTCGGAGTTGCGCTGCTATACGTATAATGATGAAGCATCATGCATACGGGGCACCGTCATGGGCCGGCTCAGGGCGTTCGGATTACAGCTGAATACAAAGGTCTAGCGCGACGGATGGTCAGAGTCGGCCCAGTGGAGATTTTGGACAGAATTCGAAGAATTCGTAGTACTGACCAAGTAACGTAATGGCTGGGGCACCGAAGCTGGAGGCGGGCGTCATCCAGTAGAGTTGCCTCCGCCACGCTCCAGCAGCCGCGCTGTAAAGTCGGCATGCGCGGGCACAACGCAGGTTTCGTTTGGCGGGCGGCGAGCGCGGAAGTGTCAGGAAAATCTTGCGACCGTCGCAAATGAGGTGTTGTAGGTGATCAAGCTCCAGGAGTGTTCGTAGCGGCGCCCGCAGGCACAGCGAATCCAGAAGGGAAGAAGATGCACGCATCATCGGGATTTGTGAAAAGCTGTGGGAGTGACGGCAACTGTGAAATGTGGTGGAGAATGTCGAGGAATTGCGATTGGGGATTGCGTGGCGTTGAGTAATTTCCCACGTGACCGGCGCTCCTAGCCCGCGTGAGTTCGACCCCCGATACGTCCCGGACGACTTTGCTTCTCCTCGACGCCATGCAGTATGTATTCATTGTCTCGCACAGCAGTGTTACACCCGTCTTTCTAATTTTAATGCCCTCCCACGACCCCCGGGTGAGTGCAAATGATTTCGACTGGCTGACAAATCGAGTTTGAAATGCCAGCGAACTCCGCCGTTGGTATATCCGTCCCCTCTCCTCCTGCTGACAAGCACTCTAGATCATACCGGTGGGTGAGAACGAAACCCCTACAATATATCCGTTACATGCGAAATCGTGTACAAATGAACTAGCTGGTCGTGACGTGCACCTGCCGGGGGCGACAGGCACCGTAGTGTAAGCGTAAGTATGTACATATACGAATGCCAGTCGGCACCGTTCCTCGCCCGCTGCAGGCCCGAAGGGGGGCGACGCCAGTGCCACAAGACCTATGGAGTCGCCGTATCGTACAGTACCGGCACCGAGCGCGGCCCGCGGGCGTGCCGCGCTTCAGGTCCCGGGAAGGAAGGGGACGGGAAACGAGCTCCTACGCCTTCTCGTCCGTCGCCGCGCTGGACGCGCTGTCCTGCGCGCCGCGTTCCCCACACATCATCGCGCGCTTCTCTTCCCGCAGCCGCGCGCTCTCCTTGATCCCGAACCCGCGCTTGAACACCATCTGGACCTCCTCGAGGCTCAAACCTGCGGTCTCGGGGAAGCACGCCCAGCAGAACGCGCACCCCAAGGCGCAGATGCCGGCGTAGAGGCCGAACGTGCCCGCGGGGGTGATGGCGTCCATGAGGGAGAGGTACGTCGAGCCGATGAGCAGGTTCCCCGCCCAGTTCGTGGACGTGCAGAGCGAGGTGCCGAGCCCGCGCACCTCCAGCGCGAAGAGCTCGCCCTGCTGCCAGGGGACGTTCCCGAGCCCGGTCGCGTAGGAGGCGACGTAGAGGATCATGGAGAGGAGGACGACTGCGGACCAGGCTTGAGAGTATTGCGTGCCCGCGATGAGCTCGCTGCCAGTCTTGAGCGTGAGGACTGCGTGAGACAAGGTCAGTGGGTGATCCAGCGGAGAGGGAAGAGACGCACAGTGGAAGGCAATGGCGGCGAGGGCGAGCGAGAAGACCATGCCGGGTGCGGAGAAGAGCATGATGCGGCGGCGGCCGATAATATCGATGTACTTGAGCGCGAACAGCGTGAAGATGAAGTTCGTGCCGAGATGATGAGGCCGACCGCAATAGGCTGGTCGAAGCCGACTTCCTGGAAGAGCGTGGCGGAGTAGTACATGAGGGTGTTGAAGCCAGACAGCTGCTGGAAAGCCTGGAGACCGCATCCGACAACTGGAGAGGAGATGACGTCAACCGAATGTAAGGCTGGACATGTAGAAACTACGCACTGAGGGCACGACGGTTGGCGGGGTTCATGAGGAGGATCTTGACGCGCTGGAGGAACGTGGTCGACTTCGTGATCTCTACGGACTGCTTCACGCGGCGATGAGAGTGTTAACCTTGAGGTCGATCTGCTCCGGGGTCGCGTAGGCGTAGATCTCGTCATAATCGCGCGGGCGTCGGTGTAATTGTTCCGGAGGATCATTATACGCGCTAGTCCACATTCTTCATCACATGCCTTCAATACGCAAGCAGCAAGGGGAACTCACGCGACTCGGGCAGGAAGAAGAGAAAGATAAACTGGAGACCAGCGGGGACGGCGCCGAGCCCGACCATCCAGCGCCAGCCACCTTGAGGTGCTGGAAAGCGGCGTCGATGCCGTAGGCGACAACCTGACCACCAGTGATCATGACGACATTTAGGACGACCATGCGGCCACGCAGTCGCGTGGGCGAGAGCTCCTGGATGTAGACGGGCGCTACGCAGGCGGCGATACCGACAGCTACACCGATGACGAAACGGCCGCCGATCTGCGCGGTTCCAAAAGTCCTCGTGAGCACGAGAGATAAGATATGAGTACATAGGAAGCAAAAACACGCACCATGGGCCAAACAGCATGGGAGACGGCCTGTCCGATCGCACCGGCAATGAAAATGATGTCCGCAATACCGAGAACCCAGCGACGACCGAGGTAGTCGCTCATGACGCCTGCCACAAGGCCGCCGAGGAGGGCGCCGAGGGTAGTGGATGATGTGATGAGTTCCTGCAGGAGCGACGTTGAGTTGGCGTATGCGCGCGATTATCAGCGTGGACGCGCACCTTCTGGCCCGAAGAAAGCTCTGCAGGCCCTAGGTCTCCACCAATTGTAACGAGGGCGCCTGAGATGACACCAGTATCGTAACCTAAGTTCAGAAGGTTGGACACGTGAGCGCGTGGGGGTCATGTGTCCGACGAGAGGCAGAATTCTGACCGAAGAGGAGACCGGAGATGCTGGAGCAGCCGACGAGAAGCCAGACGAACCAGGTCACGCGGTCCTCGCCCTCTGCGGCGACCATGGCCTCGGAAATCTCTCCAGCAGCAGCGGCACCAGCGATGTCTTCGACACTGCGAAAAGGGTGGGTTTAGCCCAGAGCGATGGTTGAGGTGGCGAGGACCAAGGAAAGGACGTGCAAACATGCAGATATGCGAGGCTGAGTGGCTGAAATGCAGAGAACTTACAGCTGAGCATCAATCGCCTTGTCTTTTCCGTTGGCAAGAGCCATCTAGGACCTGGAGAACGTGTCTGTCTTAATCGAGAACGGAAGAGCGGGGGAGGACGCGGTAGGCGATGCGGGGGGAGGGCGCGGGGGGGGCGGGGCATGCTGAGGACATCGTGAAGAGCTTATATGCGGTGGTGGAGGGGAAAGAAGCTTCCTGGAGGCGCACGGAAAATCAGAAGTGGCCGGACCAAGGCCCGGAGGATTTTTCGCTTGTCATCCTTCTCGGGCGCCTAGAAACTGTTTTGCGCGGGCCGCCCGCAATTTTGTGGTGGACAAGGACGAACAACGGTGGCGCTACGCTCCCCAACACACCCACACTCTTCCACCCAAGTACCGAATGCTACCAACATTCGTCTCGTCTGCCAAAGCTCGCGTACCCATGGTTTCCCCCGCGTGACGTCATGTGTGCCCGTGCGCCACTCTGGCCCATTCAGCGCGGAGCGAACAACCCCCGGGTTGGTCGCGCTGTCGACTCCACGCGCGACCGCAATGCTCTGGTGTTGGTTTCACGGTCCTCTGTGAACAGAACGTGGGAGGATGGTGACCGGTGAAGCTTTGAAGGCTTGCTCGGACCTGTAGTTTACAATCATTAGCGTTCATGATTCGAAGACGACAGAGCGCACGCGTTCAAGTCACGGCTCGGAAGGTCGGGCCTACATCCGAAAAGGCGGTTAGTCCTGTCGGGGTGTGCGACGTGGTTCTGGAGAGTCAGGTATGCGTACTAAATAGTGGTATGAAGGCCAAACAGGCGTCACGAGTCCGACTGAGACATTGGAGCTATGAGAACGCAGAGCGACGAAGAGACGGTAAGAGATGGTAGCCTCTGAACGAAGGAACTGGGGAGAAGTTCGGGCCACGACTCGAGCTCTGGCGTCTGTTGATACACCCGAGCGCACTGGGAGTAACAACCTGCGCGGATACACCATGAGCTTTGTAGAATTTGTGCACCGCACCACGAGGCACACAAAAGGCTCGCAACCGGAATTCGTGTAAAGCATGTGATCGACTCCGATATTGGGGATTCCATAACCGACACACTTGTTCAAGATGTCGAACAAGGATTGGCCGAGACCACGATCGTCGGATCACAGCGTGTCGCCTCCGCGGAGCTTTAGACGAGGATAGCGCGGACGACGGATATTCGTGGAGGAGTTCGTGGGTCGACAAGGCAGAGTGGTGCATTGGATGGAGAGTGGGACAAGTGAACGTACTATCTCGCCACCGGGCCACCACGCGATCCCACCTACTCTACACCCGGAAGGATAGGCGGGCATAGCGTAGTAGGTAGCAGACCACCTTCAGCGACCACTTGTCGTACCATTGGATGGAGCTGGTTGAGGGGTCGCCCAGACGGGAGGAGGGCACTTCCACGACGATGAAAACACGGAAGAGAGCGCAAGCAGCAAGCATAACTCACCCGGGTCTACGAGGGAACAGGTCTCAGCCGGTCTGTGCGCAGGACTTTCTGAGACCCTCCCGGGGCCCAACTTTCGCCGCTCGGCACCGCGACGCCCTCCCATCTTCGACGGCATATCGCACGTACGGATGCGCACCCCGACACGCGCTCTCAAGACGCGTCCCCCGCCACGTCCGACGCGTCCGCGTGCGCGGCGGCGGCGCGGGTGGCCTCGAGGTTGTACTGCACGTTCTTGCGTACTTCGTGACCAGGTCCGCGGCTATCTTCACTTGCGTGTCCGCCTGCACGATCTCCTGGAGACGGCAGCGCATCAGGTGGACGAGGGGAGAGAAAGGAAGGGACTCCGGGACGCACCTCGAGGCAGCGGTTGAGCTCGAGGATCGCCTCTGTGCACTTGTCCGCGTTCTTAATGATGCGCTGAATAGGACGTTCTGGCGCTCTGCGTGCGGGTTCTCCATCTTCTTTCAGTGTGAGGTGAGTGGAGAGGGCGGCGGTGAAGGAAGTGGTCTGGAGTTTGAAGCTAGCTGTGAATCGGTTCACCAGCCCTTGGGCAGAGATTAGATTAGATACGGATTCTTCTATCTCCGACCTCAACGTTCGAGCGGCCAGGGGACCACATAGATGCGACAGGTCATGCCAGTGTCCTATCTACAACATATTACGCAGCGTACAGAGCCAGTATACAAACGGAAATTCAGCTACATGATTCACGTCGCTAGTCCACAAGTACTGTACATGGGCGTCACCAGTGACCGCACCCTCAGGGCGACCTATGCCCTTCTCCTGCTTCATCTTCACCCGCGCCGTGCCCACCTTCACCCACTGCGGCGCCCCCTTCTTCTCGTCGATGAATAGTACATGGTCGGACAGGAACGGGTGCGGCGCGCCCGGGTACGCCTCCTCCCACTGGCCCTCCAAGCGCTTGCCCCACCGACAATCCCCCGTCCCGAAGCCCATACTTACGCGCAGCCGCCGCAAGACGCTCGCCTGCGCGGGGCAGTACACCCACACCTGCAGCGCGCCGCCGTCGCCGCGGCTCCAGTGGACGTAGAGCGTGCCGATGCACCCGCGCGCGGTGCGCACGCTGTCGGGGGGCCGCGGGAGCCGGCGCAAGGAGGCGCTGCGGTACCAGCGCGTGTGGAGGCCGAAGCCGCGGATGACGAAGTGGTGCACCTCGACGTTGAAGTCGTGCCTGGGATGGAAGGGGGGTCGAGTCAGTGCCGAGTACGAGGCGCAGAGGTAGAAGACGGAAAAGGCAAGTTAGGATGCAAGGTGGAGAGCGCGAGGCGGTGAGCGCTGTCAATGGTGTAATCGGCCTGCGCGACCCCAAACCCTCTCTAGACGTGCACGACTGATGCGCGTCGGACCAGACAGGCCACGAAGGAGCGGCCGCAGCGACGCGCTCACGGTACGACGTACATACGTGAGGGCAGTACTTACACCCTCGAACTTTGGGGCCTGTCCGCGGGTAGAGCTTCCATGGGGTCGTCGCGTCGGCCAAAGAGCTCGCAGTCCGCTTCAGGCTCTGATGCGGTCCTGCGTGGGAGGGGCGTCTGCTGGCGAGAATGGGGCAAGGGCGTTGTAGGGAGACGGAACGACTGGCGGCGCGGGAGCGGCGGGTACGTTGGGACGGCGCTTGAAGGTGGCATGACCAGGCTGTCGCGCGCGACGGTGACAGCTCTGGGATGCGTGGCTGATACGGGCTCCTCGGAGAGAGAGAGGCGGGACGCGAATTCGTCAGCGTCGAAGGTCGTGGTGACATGGACCTTCCGGTTGGCCCAGTCCTGCATCAGAAGCGTCGAGTCAGCGAGAGGCGGTCGTAGAGGGCGAGGACAACGCACGACTGTTACCGTGCGTTCCTGAGAGGTGCTGGGAGTGTGAATGAGGTGAGAGACCTCTCCCGCACGCGTGGCGCCATCGAGTCTACGTCCATGTTGTTGCCAGTATCATTTCTAGGGGAAACGGGTTCTCCATCGTGGTTTGCAGCCGCAGAGGTGATCGTGGGAGACCGGGCTCGGGGCTGTCGCCGCAGTAGCTGAGGGAGGTTGCCAAGCGAGGCATACTTCCCCGTCGCTCCGCCGAAACCGATAACACAGAGGACGAATGATGCAGAGAGATGAAAGCAAGGGTAAGAAAATGGAGTGGTGAGGGACGAGAGTATAGAAGGTCTTGCGGATGTCTGTAGTCCTATATAGACCCCTGCGCGGAGATTGGAATATTGACGGCAGCTGCTTTGACCGCGTGAGACAACCTGGGTACTTGAGTTTGAGGCGCTGTCGGTCGCGATCCCGAATCTCATCGACAGATCCTCGAAAGAAGAGTTGATGACCGTGACCGTCATTCTAGCCTCCCACCACCGTGCATACGTAATTGTAATCAGCGACCGATGAAGATACCGAAGATGAGTGCTTGAACATACCAGGTTTATGGCTGACGCAGGTAGCGGCCCTCGTTCATTGTTCAAATGCGCGGATGTTGCTGGAACAAAACACTGCGCAGCGAATCGGAAGGCGGCGGCCAATCAACCGGACAATGTCGGACGATGCAGAATTTGTGGGAGAGTCACCGAACGTCGAGCGGTCTTGGATGTTGAGACAGTTCTCGCACAGGACGTGCTCGCCCGCTTCCGTAGCCTGGATCACCATCTCTGCGTGCACGGCTTCATTGCCGCGATCGCGATCGCGACCGCTTCAGGCTCGAGCTCGCCCTTCGCCCACTTGATCTCGGCGGCGACGACTTCGGCGCGCGTGGCGCAGTGTACGCCCGGCTGCACTGAGTTCCGTGTTTTGGCGCTATAGGGTAAAGACGCACGTACATTTTATGGCGGGGCTTGTACAGCATCTCTGGGCGACGTACTAGAAGTACAGTGTAGAGCTACAACACTCTGGTCCTGTAGTGTGAGGGGTGGAGTAGAGTACAACGTCCGAATACAGAGTGCGGGGTGCCGTCGGCTTGCCGAACTTCGAAGCGGAGCCTTCGCGCATGGCAGAGGAGATCGAAGCCCTCTCTGCGTGGACATCGGATGAGTGAATGTGTTCTCGGCACAACTTTGGTCGGTCACATACCATACAATTGGGTCCTGTGTCGCCACGTCCGTGCTTGCCCCGTCCGTTGTTGCCATCTCTGACGGGGATGAGCAGACGCCTGACATTTCATTGTCCATGAACATGACGCTGGTCAGCTGTACCACAGTGAACTCGGCGACCGCCGCGCATCTGAGGCGGCTGCAACCTTCCGCAGGTTGAGCAACACCCGGTGCATAGAGCGCTGTGGACCGCGCGAAGTGGCCTGTCAACAAGTCAGTCACGGGCAATTCCGTTTGCCTTTTGACGTGAGCTTACGTTTGGAAACACGACAGAGCGGCTGTCTGTTCAACAGAACTATGAGCGCCGTTACTCGGGCGGAGTAATTGTTGACATACGGGACCGAGGAGTGTGACGAGAAGATTGATCACCGAGAACACGAGCAGAATACAGTAGTAGAACAGGCCTACATTCGACGTCATGTCGGGGACATTACGAAGTCGTCGGGCGCGACTCACCGTCACGATACATAGTCTGCAACAGCGGAGAGCGACGACACCTGGCGGACCGCCATTCGCTTGGGGGAAGAAGGTTGTTCAACGATGCGCGGAGCGAGCTTTGAGAGATCTTCCACATGCGGCAGAACGTCAAAACAACGATGACTAACTTTTTGTATTAGTGACTGTAGAAGCGGGTATCCCCGAAATGATATGTCACCTGTCTCTGACGCAAGGATACAGCCGAAGAGCACCCAGCTCTGTCCGCGGTCCTCCACGCTAAGGACGCAGCCAGTTATCCGGATGATGGTTTCATCTGGGTCTGCGTGAACGACGATTGAATAGAAACATGATAAATGCGCAATTTCTGAGCATACAGTACGTGTTCTCCAGAAAGTGGATGAAGGTTGCTGTTGATGGTACCTGGTCGAAAAGTTAGCGTACGCCATCGGCGGGAAGGAACTTATAACCCACAACCATAACTACACCAAGGAGGCCCATGAGTGCAACGATGTACCGGTTGAAGTTGTAGAGCGCCAGCGTGCGCGCTATCAAGATGACTTCAAAAAGCGTACGTCAGACAAGCCGCGCGCTGTCGTTCAATCAGAGCGCCAGGTACGCACATTCGGAACAGTACGATCCAATGGCGTAAACGTCTGAAGCACTTGTCTGGGTCAATTTTTCGGACGAGAAGAATCAACATACAGGCGAGGGCCTGTGATTCCGTATAGCACGCCTAGCTGAATTCAGACGGGTCTAGCAACACAAACCCGGATGAACCCACCTTGGGGCTGCTCGTCATGCTGAGAGTCGCTGCGCGCGGCGAAGCGTTACAGTCGAGAAGACGACGAAGCGAGGGGCACACTTACACATCACCGCCAAGGTTGTATCTATCAAGGGCGAATATCTATTGACCACATAGAGTGCCGTCATGAAGCTGAAGCGTGCTGGCCAGATGTACGTGATCTGAGAACCAAGCCGTCAGTTCACCGTGCTGAAGACAAACAGGAGATCTACCTCCTCTTCTATAACCGCAAATATCTCGAGCCACTGCGCCGCGTGCGTTCAAGGACATGTTTCAGTGGATCTGTGTGCTAACTCAACACGAGAGACGCACGACGATGGTAGCCGAGACGACTAAATGCGGTCCGCAGCATTCAGCGTCGATAGGGTGGCCTCAGACGAGCGCAGCGGGAAAGGACGCACTGGAACTGTACTGCAGACAGGCCAGAATCAGATGCGCCGCACGGACTAAGAGAGGTGGCGGATCCAGGAAGACAGCGTGCGTGGCGGCGGCGGGGCGGGACTCACTTTGACAAGGTTTAGCATCGCGAGCTCCCTCCCGCCGACCGCCGCGATGGCAGCCAGCGCTGACATGGCCGCGCGTCGTCTCGGTCTCGGTTTGGCGCAAGCTCTCGGCGCTGAGTGGAGACGGTGGATAGCTTCGTGCTTCCGGTCTGGGGCGTGTTGAGGAGTCGCGAAGAGGAGGGGAGAGGAAATGGGAGGACAGACGAGAGAAACGGTCCACAGCGGCGAAGGTTCTTGAGGGGTCGCACATAGGGTGGCGACAAGTGTGCGATCCGCCCGCGGCGTGAGCGCGGGAGGCGTAGTAGATTGCCACCAGTGCGGGCTTGTTCGCTGATCGCAGGGCGAGAAGCGCTGCATTCGTGTTTGGAGGACCAGACCGACGGCGGTGATACACATATGTCTGCGTTTTGTTGAGAGCCAAGACCACCGAAACCCCAGGCGGGGGAGCTGTGGGCGGGGGACGAGCTCGCTGACGCGGGTCCCAGTGCTTGGTGACGAGCTAGTCCTTAGCGACGTTCTCGCTGCCTGCTTGAGAATCTCGCGAATGCGACAGAACCGGCCAGTTATTTGACATGGCGTGGCGCCAGAAGGTGGTGGTGAGACAAGATGCAGGGAGTCGGGACCGCCGAGGAGAAATCAGGCGGTCGTCGCTGCGAATGACGTGAATCCGCAGGCGCCCGGCGTCTTGTTACTATCACCTGCCCTAAAGTGGCTATGCGCCGCTCTCCGAAAATAGACAGGAATCGAGCACCCTCGCTCAACCCTCGCTGGCCGTTGTGCCACCGTTTACTTATGTAACTGGGGGGTTTGGAGATGGAAATCGCCGCTTGAGTCGTACGATGACATATCGCATCCCGCTCGCAGCAACAATCGTGTCACAACCTGACGAAACTCCAAAGCCTATCAGCAGCCGTCAGATGAGCCGAGACACGCACACCAAACGCTGTGTTCGCGTATTATAGTAAAGTAATGTCAGCTACCCCATGTACATCACGGCTCGAGAGAGCCTCGAGCTCGATGTAGACGGTGTTCTCGCCCCCACCCCGCTCCCTGCCGTACGGATGCTCCTCGAGTCCCTCAAGACGTGTGCGCCCCTCCGCGTTTGGATCGCGGAACGCGACGCCGCTGAGGGTCGCGATTGTAAAGTCTGGCATAGTGGCGAGGCGCCTTGGGCGGCGACCCGGCGAAGGTTGAGGAGAACGCGCGTGCACAGCGAGGCGTGCACCGTGCGGAGCGGCCTGTGGAATTCGAGGTGAGTGGCGGCGGCTCCGTGCGCAACAGAAACAAACACGGGCGTACATCTGCAGGACAGGGCGGAGGGCGGGCTATTGGGGGAGCGGTCCGGGTCAGCACGGCGGTTTTGTGCAGGATGGACTAGAACCGCCTTACGTTATTCGTGGCCGTCATCGCCAGATTAATGTGGAGAGATAGCATGATAACGTAGTATATAGAGCCTAACAGATGTGAGCGGGTATGTGCACCGAAGTCGAGATGCTCACTGTTCTGATACATGGTCTCGACGAGAGGGGGCCGGCAGTGTGACCGTGGCACAGACAGGGTAGGGCCCGTTTGCATGCCCCGTTGCCCCAGCGTAATAGCCGGTGGAGTAGACCCTCTCTCTCCTCGGCGGTCTCCCACTGCCGAAAGAACGTCAACGAGATGATGACTGCAGGAAGAAGCGACGTCAGCATGGCTATCGTGGAATCAGAGTGCAAATGACGCTTACTGGTTTCGCAGATCAAGAGGCAGGTGAAGAACACCCAGGCCGAGTTGATATCGTCCACGCTCGGTACGCATCCGGTAATTTCGATGATGTCGTCACCAGGATCTGGTCTCGTCCACGATATCAGGGCGGAACAGCGCAAGACACCAGAGGGTGCTACTCACATGCGAGAGGGAAGAGCAATCGAATGGATGCTACAGTAGTTGGGACCTGAGCGTTGAGCAGCGTCAGCACGTACACGAAACTCAGATGCGTAACTCACGACCATGATGAGAACAAGAGCGCATGCGAGGGCAATGATGACGGGATGGAAGTTGTAGAGAGCGAGAGTCCGTGCTATCAGGATGACTGTACCGGTGGTCAATGAGACCCCGGAAAGCAGTGGTGACGATGAAACGAGCACGTACACTCCGAGGCAAACGACCCGCTGGAGTAAGAGACTGGCACGCAAATGAGTGAGTCGGGTTGATCGGCATGAAGTCCTTCCGCTCACATGCCATGACTTGAAACTCGGCTGTGCACAGCTATGAGGCAATGAGAAGGACCGTTGAGTGGATAGTATGGATCACAGACATACCCTGTGATTGCCAACGTTGCTCAGAGAACCTGCATCGAGATCGTTGGGAGTAAGACACTGAGCCAAGTGCGTGAGTGACGTTAACCTACTCGCGAGCGCGAATGTCGTGTCCACTACAGGCGAGTAACGATTATGAAAGTAAAGGACCTTCATGAAACTTATGCGGGAAGGCCAAATGTAGGTGATCTGCCGGTCAAAGAGAGCGTTCAATGAGATGGAATTGCCGGACACTCCATGTCTATTAAAGAGCTCACCTCTTCCTCCATCTTCACGCATATCTCTGCCCACTGCACATGATAGGAGTGTCGGAATTCATGATCAAATCACGCCCGATCGGGACTCACAGTCCATGTAGCGGCCACGACTGGCGTCCGAGAATCAATGAGCTTCTCACTTGGACTTCCTTCGGGCGATCACCGACGAGCTCACGTACCAATGCCATACTGTCGTCAGGCGGAGGAAGTGTTAGTCACACAGTAGCGGTTGCAGCCGAGGCTTGCTCACCTTGACCAACTTCAAATCCGCCAACTGATCGCCACCCGCCTCCGCAATCTCCTTCAAGGCTGCCATGACCGCCTTCTTCTGAACAGCCGCGTCTCCACCTTCCCGCCTGGAACCGAGCGATCTTGAAGGAGTACCAGACCACGCAGGGAGCTAGCACAGCACCAAGGGCAGCGGATCGGGGGCGGGAGAGTGGAAACGGGTGCGGGGGAAGCACACGCGGTAAGCCTCATCGGGTCCGCGTTATGTAGACGTCGATGACAGCAGCATGCCCCCCACGACATCCGCTTGAGTGGGAACCGAAGTGTAACCTAGACCGGATCCTCGGAGCCAGGCTATGAGTACTTATAAGGATATATAAAGCATCATAGCGCACCATCAATAATTTCTCACGCGTCAGATTGGGTCTGTAGGCGTCTGCAGCGGCCAGAGCCAACCGTTCTGACACTTTCCAACCCAGCAGATGTGCCAAGTTCCAACCGATAAATTGGAAATAGTTGGAACAAGTTGGTAATGAGTGCAGAATTTCCAACAAGAGCCCCGCATTCCAACCAGAGCTTCACTATTCCAACCAGAGCTTCACTATTCCAACCAGAGCTTCACTATTCCAACCAGAGCTTCACTATTCCAACCTAGATATGAGGCGGGAAAATAATGCATTACTAATCAGGAAAAAAGCAGGTTGCTCCAGAGCACTATGTGGGCTATGTAGCATCCGAAGTGCCATAGGAAACCCCCCCCCCGTTTTGGGGTCTCCCATAGTCGCGCGCGGCGTCTACAAAGCGCTCCATAGTACCGCATAGCAGCATGCACCGTCTATGATGTTCGTCCAAAGCTTGTTCAAAGCAGCCCATTGCACTCAGCAAAGCGCACGAATGATTGATATAGCGGTCAAAAAACTGTATTAAGCCTTACAATAGAGTACATGCGACTACTAACATGTAACGACAACGATGGGGAAAGCCGAACCCACCCGTATGGACGCTCTCTACTCGTCCACCGCCTGGCTGACGTACCTCTGCTCCGCACCAGACTCGAAGTCACGGCTGCTCACGACCCGGCCAAATTGCCGGTTCTTGAAGAGCACCTTCTTCGACCGGACGACTCACACCAAGTCGCCGTTCGCCATGACGAAGACGCGGTCAGGCGCGGGGCGCGGGGCGACGAGCCCGTCCGCGCGCGCGCTCCATGATACATGTGATCGACGGGTAGCAGCGATCGACGTAGATGGCCATGCCCTCCTCTGTCGCCGTGCCGGGCTAGGGCTCGCTGGAGGGCGCGATGAACTCGGCGAGGCGGGGAGACTGTTGAAGGCGAGGAAGGTGGGCGCCCCAACGGGCGAGGTGCGCGCAATGGCCCTCGTAGCCGCCCCGGTTGACGTGGAGGGCGAGGAGTCCAGGGAGCTCCGTGTACCGGTCCTTGTTGTCTGTGAACGGGACCGCTAAAAGCGGGGACTCGTTGGCGGGCGCGGGGGAGAAGACGGGGCGTTTATCGTCGAAGGCGAGCTCGACGTGCACAGACCAGCCCAAGTGGGTGAGGATGGGGGAGGAGAGGAGGTCAGAGAGGAGCTGAGCTGGGGGACGCACAAACGGAGACGTACTCACGGTCGAAGATGTTGCTACACTGGTCATCCGCGCCCTTCGTGTAATCTACCCCGCCGTCCATGACGTCGTAAGGTGGCGTGGACTCCAAGTGCTCTCAGCAACAGCCTCGCGGCCGCAGACAGGGAAGAAAGGCTATTTAACCTGGGCGGCTGTCAAGTACCTCGACCACACGACTACAGAGGACACATACCTGCAGCCCTTCGTCACACAAACCCCCGCGCACCTGATCGCGGAGCAGGAGCCGGGGAGTTGGCGACGTAAACCCACGGGAGCTCGTGTCGGACCAATCTGTAAAGGTCCGTAAGCAGCATGAAAAGTGCGAAACCTAGGCATACCCTCGTAGCTGTTGGCAGAGCAGGGTTTTTCTTGAGTTGATTCACCTGGAAGACCTGAGTAAACAGGAGAATGAGGAAATGGGAGATGTAGGGGGAAGAGAAGACGGTGAAAGCATGGTTGGCGCTGGCCGCGGCAGAAGCGCGCATTTGCGCACGGGCCAGGCGTGTGAATCTACAGGCGCCAGTGTCCATTCAGGCCGGGTGATGCTCTCATCGCCCTCGACGCCAAGGCCTCCACGGCGACGGCGGTGACTGCATTCTTTGCGGCGTCCTCTATGGTGAGCTCCGCGAGCGCCTCAGCGAGACAGCGCGAGCACTCGCATTTGAACCTCCAGCCGTGGGCGAGCTCGATGCGACGCGCACACGCGCGCGACGCCCGCGGACTCTTGATTTGACCGAGCGCTGGAGGTCATCAACCCAATCGTGAGCTTGTCGCTGGCCTTGGTCGGGCGTGTGGCGACGAGCTTGAGGTCCGTCGAGCCGGGGGCGAAGATCTGGCAGCCGAACGGGTTGCCGGAATGTGTGAGCCGTATTGATGGATTGTAGAAAGAGAGACATGACACGAGAAGAGGGGAAAAGGGCGCACGTAAGACGAGACGAGGTACAGACCGGCATCGAGCTGGTGCGAGGTGGTCCCCGTGCAGCGCGCAGGCGCACTCTTGGTCCTCAGGGCACTCGGTTGGAGCAGGCTACGAGACAGGACAGTCAGTACACCCACACAAATTAATATGATAGCATTGGTACGAGGGCCATGTCGTGCAACACACCTTGTCCTCCCTGCTGCCATCAGGGTTGTGAAGCTACTGATGCACTTACCGGACGTCTTTCACTCAAAGCTCCAAGGAAGTCTCCGATGGTACGTTTGACATCTTCTCATCGCTTCTGTTAGTGACACCGAAATCTCCTTGAAATATCACTGGACTTCGGAGCGCGCAGTGATCTCCAACTGCCAGAAACGAGTGTCATTCACTCCCAGCTGTCAGTGATATGCTAAGAGGTCTGTTGTGCACGTTATTGATATGTTTACATCTGGTTTGTGTTGGCTGTCATTAGACTCTGCTACGGTATGCTTTGACAGTACTATGGAGTGCTATGGAGTGCGCACCAACGACTTTGGCGCCTATCGAGCCTACATAGTCTGTAGGCTGTGCTCCGTAGCAAATCTTTTTTCCTGATTAGTATCGTAACTACCGAATTGCCACAGGCAGGAGTGGTAAATACGGACATTCACATCTGCGCGCAGGTAGTGCACCACAGGCCGGCCCTGTGGCTACCAGGGGCCCGACGGGGCGTACGTGCTCAGCCGGTTAGTGCGTATCAGGGGTGGCCACTACCCTTGTGGGTAGGGGGAGAGGGTGTGCAAGGGTAGGGGTCGGGGAGGTACTGGCCAACCCTCAGATACCCTCGAGCGGAAGCCGGGCGCGCCTAGTCGAGCGCTGTGTATACGAGAGTCTGGTGAAAGTAAAAGGAATCTAGTCTAACGATAGTGATGTACTTCAACACTGTGTTCGCGTATTATGGTAAAGTAATGTCAGCTACCCCATCTACATCTCCTGCGACAGACTCGAGCGTCCACGGCTCGAGAGAGCCTCGAGCTCGAGCTCGATGTAGACGGTGTTCTCGCCCCCACCCCGCTCCCTGCCGTACGGATGCTCCTCGAGTCCCTCAAGACGTGTGCGCCCCTCAGCGTTTGGATCGCGGAACGCGATGCCGCTGAGGGTCGCGATTGTAAAGTCTGGCATCGTGGGCGAGGCGGCTTGGGCGGCGACCCGGCGAAGGTTGAGGAGAACGCGCGTGCACAGCGAGGCGTGCACCGTGCGGAGCGGCCTGTGGAATGCGAGGTGAGTGGCGGCGGCTCCGTGCGCAACAGAAACAAACACGGGCGCACATCTGCAGGACGGGGCGGAGGGCGGGCTATTGGGGAAGCGGTGCGGGTCAGCACGGCGGTTTTGTGCAGGATGGACGAGAGCCGCCTTACGTTATTCGTGGCCGTCATCGCCAAATTAATGGTGGAGAGGATGAGCATGATGACGTAGTATATAGAGCCTAACACGGCGTAAGCGGATACGTGCGGTCAAAGTCGAGACGCTCACTGTTCCGATACATGGTCTTGACGAGCGGAGACCGGTGTGACCGCGGCATAGACAGGGTAGGGCCCGTTTGCATGCCCCGTTTTCCCCAGCGGAATAGCCGTTGGAGCAGACCCTCTCTCTCCTCGGCGGTCTCCCACTGCCGAAAGAACGTCAACGAGACGATGACTGCAGGAAGAAGCGACGTCAGCATGATTATCATGGAATCAGGGTGCAAATGACGCTTACTAGTTTCGGAGACCAAGAGGCAGATGAAGAACACCCAGGCCGAGCTGATATTGTCCACGCTCGGTACGCATCCGGTAATTTTGATGACGTCGTCACCAGGATCTGGTCTCGTCTACGATATGAGGGGGGAACAGCGCGAGACACCAGAGGGTGCTACTCACATGCGAGAGGGAAGAGTATTCGAATGGATGTTGCAGCAGTTGGGACCTGAGAAGAGTCAGCACGTACACACGAAACTCAGATGCATGGCTCACGACCGTGATGAGAACAAGAGCGCATGCGAGAGCAATCATGAAGGGATGGAAGTTGTAGAGAGCGAGAGTCCGTGCTATCAGGATGACTGTACCGATGATCAACGGGACCCCGGAATGCAGTGGCGACGATGAAACGAGAACGTACACTCCGAGGCAAACGTCCCGCTGGTGTAAGAGACTGGCACGCGGGTCAGTGAGTCGTGCTCAATGTCGGCATGAAGTTCTTTCGCTAACATGCCATGACTTGAAACTCGGCTGTGCACAGCTATGAGGCAATGAGAAGACCGTTGAGTGGATAGTATGGATCGCAGACATACCTTGTGATTGCCAACGTTGCTCAGAGAACCTGCATCGAGATCATTGGGAATAAGACACTGAGCCAAGTGCATGAGTGACGTTAACCTACTCGCGAGCGCGAATGCCGTGTCCACTACAGGTGAGTAACGGTTATGAAAGTAAAGGACCTTCATGAAACTTATGCGGGAAGGCCAAATGTAGGTGATCTGCCGGTGAAAGAGAGCGTTCAATGAGATGGAATTGCCGGACACTCCATGTCTGTCAAAGAGCTCACCTCTTCCTCCATATTCGCGCATATCTCTGCCCACTGCACATGATAGGAACTCGTCGGGATTCATGATCAAATCACGCCCGATCGGGACTCACCGTCCATGTAGCGGCCACGACTGGCGTCCGAGATTCGATGAGCTCCTCATTTGGTCTTCCTTCGCACGATCGTCATTGAGCTCACGTACCAATGCCATACTGTCGTCAGGCGGAGGAAGTGTTAGTCATACAGTAGCGGTTGCGGTCGAGGCTTGCTCACCTTGACCAACTTCAAATCCGCTAACTGATCGCCACCCGCCTCCGCAATCTCCTTCAAGACCGACATGACCGCCTTCCTCTAGAAAGCCTCGCCTCCACCTTCCCGCCTGTTACCGAGCGACCTTGAGGGAGAACCAAACCGCGCAGGGAGCCAGCGCAGCACCAAGGGTAGCGGATCGGGGGTGGGAGAGTGGAAACGGGTGCGGGGGGAAGCACACGCGGTAAGCCTCATCGTGTCCGCGTTATGTAGACGTCGATGACAGCAGCATGCCCCCCCACGACATCCGCTTCAGTGGGAACCGAAGTGTAACCCAGACCGGATCCTCGGAGCCAGGCTATGAGTACTTATAAGGATAATGCATCATAGCGCACCGTCATATGTTCAGCCCGGGGCGTCTGGATTATAGCTAGTACCTATAGGTATATACAATGGTCGAGTGGACAGACGATTAGAGTCAGCCTGGGAATGTTGGACGAAAGATTCGTAGTACTGACCAAGTGACGTAAGAGTGGAAGGACGAAGTACGGCAAGGCGCCATCCAGTTAGAGCGGGCTCCGCCACGGCGTCACCACATGCGCGGATTCGTGAGTACTGTACCAATCCAAACAATTTGATAGGTCACGGTCACAAGCTCTAGATCTTCCAGTGTGCGAAATTGGGCGCTTGTAATGCGTCACCAAGCTAGCTCACATGTCGAATGTCGCAGACGTAGCCCGGCGAGAAACTCAAGGAGAAACTGCCTGCAATACAGATGAATCGCCCGCGCGACTCGAGCGTTTGCTGCATTTTTTGAAAAGGAGAGATAGCTTGGTCGACGTGCACTAGAAGAAAAATGGAGTGACACTCGGGCGCCCACTGTGTGACGGTCGCGCGCGGAGCGGAAGGGCGAAAACGGGGAAAAGAGCTGTGTTGCTCGCTAGCGTAAGACAGTGCGAATGCGGAGACTAAGTACTACTGTAGATAGGAGATGTGGAGCTCCAATAAGGACGCTGTCATGGGCGCGGCGAGAATGAGTAATGCGGAGTATAAAGTGTTAGAATGTAGCGTAGCCAAGCCCATGACACACTGGCCCTGGAGGCCCCGGTTCAGACTTGATGCCGGGCCGCTGCGCGGGCGACTCAACTCGTGTAAACCGTGTTTAAATACCGATAGACCAATATCGGTAGGCTGTTGCCGTACAGGAGCGCGAGTGGGGTCATGTTCAGTTGTAGAGCGGGGGTCAGCGCCGTGTGGCGCCCTCGTACACCACCGTACGGCGCGATGCGCGCGACATCTGCTTGCGCGCCCCGTGAGCATCGCGATGGCCCGCGCGCTGCGACGTAGTACTAGTACTTACCGTGCCATGATCAACGAAGTGGCTGGGTGGCAACAATAGTCTGTGATATCCACAAATCAATGCCACGCGTGTAGAAAGACCCGAGCCTCAGAGACATGCACACGAAACACTGTAACTCCCGTATAGCATAGTAACGTCAGCTACCCCATGCCCTCAGTCCTGCGATATCAAGCGCCTATGGCTCGAGACAGCCCCGAGCTCGAGCTCGACGCGGGCGGTGTCGCTCCCACCCCGCTCGCCGCCGTCACGCGGGTGCTCCTCAAGCCCTTCAAGATGTGTACGCCCCTCCGCGTCTATATTTGAGTAATTAACTTCCAGCTACTCCATGTACATGTCCTGCGACAGATCTGTCGAACGCCCACGACTCGAGAGAGGCTCGAGCTCGAGCTCGACGTGGACGGCGTCGTCGCTCCCACCCCGGTGCGTGTGCTCCTCAAGTCCCTCAAGACGTGTGCGCCCGTCCGCGTTGGGATCGCGGAACGAGAGGCCGCTGAGGGTCGCGACTGTAAAGTCTGGCATCGTGCGCGAGGCGCCTTGGGCGGCGACCTGGCGGAGGTTGAGGAGGACGCGCGTGCACAGCGCGGAGTGTACCGCGCGGAACGGCCTGTGGAGCTCGGGGTGAGTGACGGCGGCTCCGTGCGCAACAGAAGTAAACACGAGCGCACATCTGGATGACAGGGCGGAGGGCGGGCTGTTGGGGGAGTGGTTGAGGTCAGCGCGGCGGTTTTGTGCAGGGTGGACGAGAGTCGCCTTACGCCAGCCTTGTTCGTCGCCACCAGATTGATGATAGAGAGGGTTAGCATGATGACGTAGTATATAGAGCCTAACACGGCGTAAGCGGATACGTGCGGTCAAAGTCGAGACGCTCACTGTTCCGATACATGGTCTTGACGAGCGGAGACCGGTGTGACCGCGGCATAGACAGGGTGGAGTCTGTTTGTGTGTCCGGTCCACCCCAGCGGAATAGCCGTCGGAGCAGCCCCTCTCTCTCCGTGCCGGTCTGCCACTGTCGAAAGAATGTCAACAAGACGATGACTGCGGGAAGAAGCGACGTAAGCGTGGCTATCATAGGATCACAGTGCACATGACGCTTACTTGTTTCGGAAATGAAGAGGCAGATGTAGAATATCCAGGCCGAGCCGATATCGTCCACGCTTGGTACGCATCCGGTAATTTTGATGATGTCGTCACCAGGATCTGGTCTCGTCAACGATATGAGGGCGGAACAGAGCAAGACACCAGACGGCGCTACTCACATGCGAGAGGGAAGAGAAATCGAATGGACTCTATAGTAGTTGGGACCTGAGCAGCGTCAGCACGTACACACGAAACTCAGATGCGTAACTCACGACCGTGAGGAGAACAAGAGCGCATGCGAGAGCAATCATGAAGGGATGGAAGTTGTAGAGAGCGAGAGTCCGTGCTATCAGGATGACTGTGCCGATGGTCAATGGGACCCCGGAAAGCAGTGGTGACAATGAAACGAGAACGTACATTCCGAGGCAAATGTCCCGGTGGCGTAAAAGACTGGCACGCAGGTCAGTGAGTCGTGTTTGTCGGCATGAAGTTCTGCTGCTCACATGCCAAGACTGTAAACTCGGCTGTACACAGCTATGAGGCAATGAGAAGACCGTTGAGTGGATAGTATGGATCGCAGACATACCCTGTGATTGCCAACGTTGCTCAGAGAACCTGCATCGAGATCATTGGGAGTAAGACACTGAGCCAAGTGCATGAGTGACGTTGACCTACTCGCGAGCGCAAATGTCGTGTCCACTACAGGCGAGTAACGATTATAAAAGTAAAGGACCTTCATGAAACTTATGCGGGAAGGCCAAATGTAGGTGATCTGCCGGTCAAGGAACGCATTCAATGAGATGGAATTGCATGTCTGTCAAAGAGAGAGCTCACCTCTTCCTCCATTTTCACGCATATCTCTGCCCACTGCACATGATATGAACTTGTCGGAATTCACGATCAAATCACGCCCGATCGGGACTCACAGTCCATGTAGCGGCCACAACTAGCGTCCGAGATTCAATGAGCTTCTCACTTGGACTTCCTTCGGGCGATCACCGACGAGCTCACGTACCAATGGCATACTGTTGTCAGGCGAAAGAACCGTTAGTCGCACAGGAGAGGTTACTGTGACTGGGACTTGCTCACCTTGACCAACCTCAATTCTTCCAACTGATCGCCACCCGCCTCCGCAATTTCCTTCAAGACCGACATGACCGCCTTCTCCTGAACAGCCCGGCCTCCACCTTCCCGCCTGTTACCGAGCGACCTTGAGGGAGAACCAAACCGCGCAGGCAGCCAGGGCAGCGCCAAGGGCAGCGCTGAGCGGATCGGGGGCGGGAGAGTGGAAACGGGTGCTGGAGGAGTACAGCCTGTGAGCCTCATCGTGCCCGCGTTATGTACACATCAATGACAGCAGCCTGCCGCCCCACGACGACCGCTTAAGGGGGAACCGAAGTGTGACCCAGACGCGATCCCCAGACCCGCGTTAGGGGTAGAATCTAAAAGTACCATGGGACACTGTCATGGGCCAGCTCAGGGTGTACGGATTACAGCCAACTACACGGGTCTAGTGCGACGGATGGTCAGAGTCAGCCTGCGTGGAGATGGTTGAATTGTAGTACTGACCAAAGTAACGTAAGTAGCGAAGGACGATTGGTAGTAGCCGGGGAAGCGAAGCTGCAGGCAGGCACCATCCAGTTAGAGCGGGCTCCGCCACGGCGTCACCGTGCGCGGATCCAACACGATTTTCGTTTCCGTGGGCGGCGAGCGCCGAAGTGTCGGGGAAGTGCCGTCGGCACCAAAGTTAAGCACTTGTGGCCGTAGCTCCCCTCAGCGTGCCCTGGTGACTTGTGAGGACCGCTGCCGTGTCTGACGAGGTGTGTTGGCAGAGGCGGCGCCCGTGCGCAGGCACAGCAGAAGAGAAGAAGAGGCGCGTCTCTTCAGCATTTGAGAGACGCTGTGGGAGTGACGGCAATTGTGAAATTTCAAATCGAGTCTGGAGGAAGTGCGCAAGCCATGGCCATGGCCAGGCCCGAGAGCATATGAGATCTGAGATCTGAAGCTAAGCTTGAAAGCTCAGTGAAGATTGCGTGGCGTTGAGGGATTTTCCCATGCGGCTGACGCCCGTGACGCGCGCGAGTTCGAACCCCCGCTGTGCACGTCGTGGATGGCTTCTCGACGTCATGCAGTATGCATCCATCGTCTCGCGCGCTGACCTGCAGCATAATCCCCGTCTTTCTAATTTGATACCCTCCCACGACCCCCGGTGGAGTGCGAAGGATTCGCAAGGATTTCGACTCGCTGACACATCGAGTTTGAAATGCCGGCGAATTGCGCCATTGGTATACATATCCATCCCTTGAACGTCTCTTCTCCTCATCTCCTCCCCTCTGCAAGAAGATATCCACTTCTATTCCCTGTTCCAACAATTTCTCTCTTTGTCTTCGGTTCTGAAAAGCCGTCCACAAACGACCTACAGTTCGATGACGTCATTATTGTCCCGCACTCCTTTCCGGCTGACACACCCATTTCCCGGTGCAGCGAGGGGTCTTGCTCGTTCCTCCACAAGTGGTCCTGCTCCCATGTCGAAACATCAGTACTCCACCGCCACCTCTCCGTCGAGCACGCCGCTCCAGCTATACACTGCGGGCACTCCAAACGGGCGCAAGACCCACATCTTCCTGGAAGAGCTGAAGGCCCAATACGGTCT